TCTTCTCCTAATAACCATAAGCAAATCAAATTTAGGATCTTGAAATCTAACATCATCTATGAATTGATCATCTTTTAAGAGCTCTCTGTTCTTACCTGTGCCCTGGATCTTTCTACCTGGTTGAGCAGCATTTTCGTCTGAATCAACAAAACAAAGTATTGTAAAGTCAGGAGCATGAATCAAACAAAGTTACTTCAATCTTTGGAAACAAATTAGTTCTTTGTATTCACCTTTTGATCCTTGACACTATGCAAGCTATCATTCAACTGGTTCTCAAGAGAAATAAGATCAGAGAAACTCATGCCGTCAAGCTCCTTACCCTTCAGTCTCCTGCTCAGCAAACAAATAGTAAACAAACCAAATTGAAAGACCAAAACTTTACAGAAGTTTCGTCCCAGAGAGATAACATACTCAATTGCGAGCTGTAATCTCTGGAGTTCGCTCTTCATAGTATCATCTTTCCTCATCTGCAACAGCAGAATCAAAAACTGAGCAAGAAAAAGGGAGACGGAGGTTCTCTTTGGTTTATAGATATGCTTGTGAAGAAGAACATACCACAGCATCATTGTCTTGTGAAGAACAAAGTAGAAGCTGCTGCTCTCTTTGTTTATGCTCAGCCGTTGAAGCACTGTAACCATATCTGTTGAGGATTTGCTCCATACTTCACAAATCAAAACAATACCTCGCTGTTAGCTAAACCCCCTTTAATTGGGTTTGATCACTACAAACGAATCAACAACTCTTCTATGGCCTGATAATCTTAAAATTACAGATCTTTCCGATTTCTTAAGTTGAGATTCTAACAACTGATCCCAAAGAAGTACCCAATTGCACAGTTGATTAAACAGTTAGGTTAACTCACAACTATCCGATTGCAAAATCAAAGATTAGAGAGAGCATAACTCTTGATTCCTCCCTTTAACCAAAACCCACAACAAATATTTAACAATCAACCCTAAGATTTTGCCAGATTAGCAAAAGAAAAATCGTTACTTTGCTCTGTTTTCAATCGCTTTTAGACACGAAAACCCAGAAAGTAAAGTACTTTATCGCAAAATCAACCAAAACAAAATGAGGAGATATAAAAAGATTTTGATTACCAGCCGCTGGAGAAATCGTAGATTTTGCCGGTGCTGGAGAAAATGATGAGAGCAACCTCAGCGTCGCAGAGAATCGAGAGCTCTTTGGCCTTCTTCATCAGACCGTTTCGTCTCTTGGAGAAAGTGACTTGACGACTGTTGACATTCTCAATCTTCTTAATCTCAATCCTTCCTCTCCCCATAATTCTCCTCTGAGCAACCAACAACAATCTGGGCTCCGTAAAATCAAAAACAGAGAGATAGATATACAGAGGAAGTAGTAGCCTTTGTATATATATATAGAGAGCGTGAGACGAGATGAGATTTGTATACTGTATATAGGAGTTTGGGGGTTTTCTTTAGAAATTGATCAAATATGACAATTGGGAAAGGGGCTAATGAAGGAAAATCAGACCAAAATTAGGGTATTGCATAAAAAGATGGAGTTACTATAAGTAGCAATTTTCCATATTTGGTGGCTTTGCTAATTTGCTTGCTTGGTGTGAGTGGCTGTTTTCTTCTTTTGGAACTTCTTCCCTTTTATAACGCCTTCCTTGGTTTGGCTTCTCTTCTCCTATTGTGTATTCGCTTTCTTCTTTTTTATTGTTTGTTTCTTCAATGTTTCTAGGGTTTTGTTTTTTTGTTTTCTTTTAGGTCATGCTTTTATTACGCTTCTAAAACTAAATCTACCAAACAAATTAAAGTTTATTGGTTTACCAAAATGAAATTTGTATTTTACAAAGAAAAGTTGACCGTGTGTTTCACGATAGAATTAGAATATTTAGAGCGTATATTGGAAATAATATCTAATCAACTGTTTTAGTCATAGTCAACAGCACACTCAATTACCTTTATCAAAAAGAAAATTGGCAATCTAATTCATATTCAACACTCGAATTTGTATACATTATATAGTGCTTATCTTTAAATACTTTTTATACCATGTATATCTAACATTTCGTAGTTAATTAATCCTCCTCGTATACTTGAAAGATTTATGTTTTTTTTTGCTATTTCTTTGTTCTTTCTTGTACTTTTTATATCAAGTTTTTAAGACCTCTTTCTGAAAAAAAAAGTCTTTGAAAATAGCCAACGTGACTTTATTGGAGAAGAATATGATAAGAAAAGCAAAAGGCTGTGGCTTTAACGCTTCTATAGATAGCAAAATCTCACAAAGAGGATTGATTTTCCTTCCCAACCAGAATTTGTGATATTTATAGGAAAATAATATTTCCCTTTCTAAGAAGACTTTCTATTGTAACCGAAATTGCATTTAGGATTTATCCAAACGAGATGTAAAATCTTGTTATAAAAAGCTAACAAAATAGTTATCACATACCTAATCAAATAACAATAAGAAATAGTTCAATAATCCGAATTTCATAATTTTCAATAGTATAATTTTCAAATTGTTAATTGGAGAACACACATACCAAATATGATAGAACTATGATTTGTAATTTTTTTCTTTGCGATATCCATATTCAGCAATGTCATTAATATCAAAATTGTTTATTAAATTTCTGTGTTTCTTTTGTAAATTGAACTAATTGTTTTATTTGTTATATGATATTTGTTTTCCCAAGCTTCCTTTTACATATCATCCGTGTTACTCCAAGTTTAAACATTTACCATAGTTTTAAACTTATTTTAGTTGAATGTTTCATTCGTTAGATTTATTTGGGAATTCTTGCCAAGTTTTCTTGGTTGCTGTCCGAATATGGAGTCCTTATGCTATGATAATGTAGTGACATTCAAGATTTTTATTTCAAGGAAACACTTCAATTTTCTTTTGGTTTATATTATCAAAAATTTGGTTCCTTTAAAAAACAGATGTGATGATTCACATTATTAAGCCAGAGCATCAATTTCAACATTATCATTTAGAAGTTTTTTACATGTAGGCTTAAATTGAAACTTTTTAATGACTGAAAGCATCAATTTGATATAAGAGTTCCAAGAATCCAGCATCCAACAACCCTCAAATTAAGAGTACACCAATTTTGTACAAGAATAAAGCGTAAAAAGCTTTCCAACTATTGTTCATCAACATATATCTAATTTATAATAGTTAGATGGGAAATTCTACACTTAAACACATCAAGGATCTTCAACACAAATAATTTATGAAAATTCTCATTATCATTATTGATTTACTTGAACCTTTGCATATCTTGCTTTTTGTTAAAATTGAAAAGATAGTATTCATCTTCAAAATTACAAAATCCGTATTTGACACCATATCTACTTACCCAAATATTTATTCATCATTTTGATAAATAAGTGATGTATATTGAATTCTTAATGGAGAACTGAGAGATGATACAAAAAAACAAATCATTTGATAAATTGTTTAACTTGTATATGGTTTCCTTAAGCTGTGTTTAAAAAGGTTTTAGCCATAACTTCTCTTTTAAACCTAAATTCCACCCAAATAATAGAAAACAATATGTAAAAGCATTTGAAGATAATTATGTCGAATATGTTTTTGTTACAGGTATCTTTAATTTTAAGATAATTTTATTTTTCCAGATTTTGTGTAGACTCAAGTTTTATTTATTTTATATCTTCAAAAGAAAATGTAAATTATTTTTAAAAATTAGACGTGATTCTTTTTGGTAAATCCGTTTGGTTCAATCTGGATTGAACACGCTTAACCAAATAACAAACCAATTTATTGACATTTCTTTATATTGCGTGAAGTAAAAAAACAACATATAAAGAAGAACCCGTATGTAGCACACACATATATATATATATAATTATATATATACATACCTAGTAACCAATAAATCCAGAAACACATGAAGAAACCAAAACTGAATTAAACTTCCTATTTTCTAATAAGCGACAAAACATACCAGTTTGCATATAATATTTAACAAGCTTACATTTTGTTTCCTGAATGGTTTAATTATAACATCTAGCATTGGCATACAAAAATGACGTGAATTCATATATTCTTCTAGATAAAGGAAACTAAAATAATTGCCGTGTGAAAATTTCAGGTTTGTTTTACAAGTTCCTATGAATATACAACAATAATCAAACATACAAGAAACAGTTTGGGTAGATAATTACACTTTAGAGTTTGGTTTGTAATGGACCCTTGCTTGAAATATCAAATCACATTAAAATGTAAAATTATCGGTTTTTCAATTAACTACTAGACACTTTTAGTAACCGGCCAAAAAAGAGAACCAGCCACTTGTCGTAGTTACATGCAATTTGTTTCTATTATGCCTCTTTTTTTCTCTATCGAGGCTTTTACGAAAATAGTGAAATTCGATGTGTATCCTTTTCCGAATAAAATGCGATGATAATCACAGAAAAAGGTACAGAAAAACTAAAAGCGGAATATACTTATTATAAGTCGACTAACAAAAAAAGAATATACGTATCATAAAATTGAAGTCAATCTTTTATAGTTAGAAAATTCATATTGCGGTATATCCAAACTCAACTTGCAACTTTCATCGCAAATTCCTCGGTCGTTTAATTTTTTTAAAGATGGTCAAAAAGAACATTTTTGTAAAAAGATAAAAGGACCAATCATAACAGAGACGTGCTCGAGCCTTGCTCCGCAATTTGGGCCTAAAGAACAAACAATATATGGGCCTGTAGGCCCATTATGTGTGTTTGCGTGTGCCTCAGTCTCTGGTTAGTCTATGCATGAGCATGACTGCATTCTCTACGTTTACAAACAAAGATTGTGGGCCGTCCAATCGACCATTAATGGGTCCCACTCAATATCTACGTTCAATATTGTTAACATCTACGTGCACCTTAGTACAGCTGAATGCTTCCCCCATTATAATAACAAGCAACCGTTTACACTGTTCACTCCCTCCATTTTTCTTCTTCTTCTCTTTCGAAATCCCACTTGACTTCATTGAGAATTTAGGGTTTCGACTTTCAACAATGTGGACCTTGCATGAATGCTGCAGTGGGATTGTGGTTGATTGGGTTGCAAGAAACACAAGTTGCTCCAACTGTGGTTTTGATTTTGGTCTCTCCACTGTCACCACCGATCCGAATGATTTCTTGCTCCTTACTCATGGAGATTCGCAGCACCGTGGCTCAGAAACCGTCTCCATCGTCACTACCGAGACGAAGAATAGTTCCGATCTTCCAAATTCGCAGAGCCGCAGCTTAAATTCCCTCGCAATCGCCACCACTGAGCCGGAGATTGATCCGTCCGATGATATCTTGTCCTCCGATCACCGAATTCTACAGAGTCTTGGCCCCAATCGCGTCTCCATCGCAGATATGTCCAATAGGTAGCGTTTTGTGATCTTTCTTTTCTTAGAGGAAATATCATTTCTTTTTAAGCTAAATATCGCTTCGTCCAATTTTGCAGGTTGCGTCTTCTTGCGACAATCAAAGTAAGTTTCTCTGTTCATCTGTAAAAAAATCTTAGAGGAATAGTTGGTATTCAAGATAAAGTCTGAATTTGTTTTTTTTATCTTCATCTGTAGACTCAAGCAAATGAGATATTTATTAAAGTGGAGAAGAAAAGTAGAAAAAAGGATCGAAATGCCTTTTTCGCTGCTTGTATCTACATTGCATGTCGACAAACGGATATGACTCGATCTATCAGAGGTAAAAATGGTTGAAACTTGAAAGATTCTGTTTCCTTTCTTGTGCCATTGAAGTTGATTTAGCTTCTTCAAAACCCTTCTTTGTGTAGAAATTTGCTCTGTTGCCAATGGAGCCACAGTGTCGAATATTTCCAAGGCAATTGGGGTCATAGCTGAGACTCTGAACATCGACAAAATCTGGTTGATGCAAATCAAAGCCACTGACTTCATAGTGAGTTTGTTGCCTTAAGCTTTTGCTGCTGCATTGTGTTTAAGACTTTAAGAGCTCTCATATAATGACATTATATTCATTCTGCAGAAGCGGTTTTGCTCTACCCTTGGAATGGATGGCCAAGCAGTTAAAGCTGCTCAAGAAGCTGCGAGAAGCTATGAGTGTGTTAACAGGTACCTTCATTATTAGGGCAGACTCTGGAATCGAGTGGATGAGCAAGCAGACTTAAAGAAACCTTTTGGCTACTAATTGCAGGAGTAGCTCTCCTGTATCAGTTGCAGCCGTAGTCGTATATGCCGTTGCTCAAATTTACGATGACAAGCTGCTGCTCCAAGGTTGCCTTCAAATAGCTTGGCCATGAGAAAAAATTGATTCAGATCTTCTCTTTCTCTGACTTATCTACACACTTGATTGAGTTGCAGATATTACAAACGCCAATGGAGTTCCAAAAACCTACAAGGATGACAAGCTGCTGCTCGAAGGTTGGATTTTAGATCTCTATCTAAATAGCTGGCCATGAGCAAAAGTTGATTCAGCTCTTCTCTTTCTCTAAATTATGTGCACACTTGATGGTTTGCAGATATTGCAAAGGCCACTGGAGTTCAAAAAGCTACGATAAGGAAAACATACAAGGACTTGTATCCACATCTGTCAACGATACTAATCAAGTGGTTTGCCGAAGCAGAGGACCTGAAAATGCTAGCCAGTCCTTAGATCTTTAACAAGCTATCTCAGTCAAGGAAGGTTTATAAGTCTCTTACTATGCCTTGTAGAAAATACAGAAAGTTGTACATATTACCTCATGAATTTGCATCGTCAATGTTACTCCAACCATCTCACCTAAGATCTGCAACTCTCCTATTTCACTTAAATACCAAAAAGGAAGAGACTTTCGCAACGAATGATTCAAGTTTTTGTCCAAAGTTTTCCCTTTTTGACCTCTACTTCGACGATTCCTACTCTACAATGTGCAACTGCAAACACACAGCTAGAGAAAAAGAGAGTGGTTAAAGTACATACAACTCTCGTTTCCGTCGAGGAAGATGTTCACAGGGGCAATTCGTCGAACACTTGGACTGCATAGTGATATCAGGATGGGCCACGAGGCCCACGAGTTCTGAAGAAAGACGTCGTCAATGTCATGTGAGGTGGTGATAATTCCATTTCCAGGCAATCGCAAAAAAAAACGGCAATGGGTTTGGTGTTGTGGCCAAGAAACGGCACGGTGTTCTCTGGAGAAGATTGCGTAGCCGTTTAATCAACTATATAAATAGGTCCCACACCAACCATAGCTACGTTCACGATTGTCAATTGGGTGTATAAAGGAGCCGTTGTTCAACTCCCTCCACTTTTCTTCTTCTCTCTGTTTCGAAATCGAACTTGACTTGACTCCATTGAGAATCTAGGGATTTGACTTTCGACAATGTGGGATTTTGATGAATGTCGCCGGCGTCGCAGGGGTTGTAAGTCTGGGATTCTGGTTGATCGGGTGGCGATGAAGACGAGTTGCTCCGAGTGTGGCCTTGATTACGGTCTCGGTGATTGTGGTCTCTCCTCCGTCACCACCGACCCGAATAATCCTTTCTCTAGCTCTGATGATACGCATGGAGACTCTCAGCGTCGTGGCTCAGATACCGTCACCTCCGAGACGAAGAATAGTTCCGATCGCCGTGGCTCAAATTCCCTCGCCGCTGAGCCGAACAATGATTCCTCCGATGATCTCTTGGCCGATGGTCAAGGAGATTTACAGAATCGCGTCTCGATCGCATCTATGTCCGATAGGTAACGTTTTGTGTTATTTATTTTCTTAGTGGAAGATGTCATTTTTGTTAAAGTTACATATCGTTTTCCTCCAATTTCAGCTTGGGTCTTCCTCCGAATGTCAAGGTAAGTTCTTTTTGTTCGTCTGTAAACGTTTCTGGACGAAAATTTAGCATACAGATAAGTTTGAATACGGCGTGTTTCTTCATTATGTAGAATCAGGCTAATGAGATCTTTCAGAAAGTGGAGAATAAAAGCAGAGAAAAGGATCGAAATGTTAGAATTGCCTTTTTCGCTGCTTGTATCTACGTTGCCTGTCGACAAGAGGACGGCATGACTCGGTCTATTAGGGGTAAAATAGCTGAAACTTGAGAGATTGTGGCTCCTTTCTTGATGTAATTTGTGCCATTGTAGTTGAATCTTCAAAACTCTTCTTTTTTGTAGAGATTTGCTCTGTTTCCAATGGAGCCACAGTTCCAAATGTTGCCAAGGCAACTGGGGTCATAGCTGATACACTGAACATGGACAAAAATTGGTTGATGCAAATCAAAGCCACTGACTTGATAGTGAGTTTGTGGCCTTAAGCATCTGTTACATTGGGCTTATGGTTAAGACTTAAGAGCTCTCATTTAATGACATTATTTCTATCTGCAGAAGAGGTTTTGCTCTAACCTTGGAATGGTTGGCCAAGCAGTTGAAGCTGCTCAAGAAGCTGCCAAAAGTTCTGAAAGTGTTGAGAGGTACCTTCATTATTTGGCATTTTCTGGAATTTAGCGGATATGAGTAAACAGGTATATATATATATATATATATGATGCAGCAGACTAAAAATAAAATCTTATGTAGACACACTCATGTATCAGTTGCAGCCGGAGTCGTATATGTCGTTGCTCAGCTTTACAATGACAAGCTGCTGCTCGAAGGTTGCCTTTCAAATCTCCATCTAAAGAGCTTGGCCATGAGCAAAATTTGATTCAGATCTTCTCTTTTCTCTAACTTATGTACACCTGATGAGTTGCAGATATTACAAAAGCCACCGGAGTTCCAACAATCACGATAACTAGAACATACAGGGCCTTGTATCCCCATCTGTCAACGATAATACCAAAGTGGTTTGCCAGGGAAGACGACCTAAAAAAGCTTCCCAGACCTTAAAATCTTTATCAACGATGATACAAGCATCTAAGTCACGGAAGCTCAGTGAAGAAAACTTTTACTTTGGCGCCCTTTATAAAACTCTTGTTGTGTCCTGTAGAAAATACAGAAAGTTGTACATCTCCAAGTGTATGTAAACTCTCAGTTTTTTGTTTGTTTTGTGACTATAGTAAAAAGAAGGGAATACAAAAGCATTTCGTGTTTCTTATTACATTTCATTGTTCCTACTTTACAATGTGCAAACACAGAGAAAAAGAATGAGAGAATGGTTAGCTTAACAGGGACAATATCCAGAAACGAACTGCTAAAATTTAGTCCACCTGAATTGTAACTTGGGCCCTGAGCCAACATAATGAAACTGATCGTCATCATCGTTTGGCAAACCAGCTTCGTTTTCGCTTGAAGAGGAAGCTTCCCACTCTATTTTCTCCATAAGCTTAAAGTACATGTATAACTCTCGTTTCCGTCGAAGAAGATGTTCACTGGGGCAATTCGTCGAACACTTGAATTGCATAGTGATATCAGGATTGGCACACGAGTTCCTAAGAAAGACGTCGTCATGTCACGTGAGGTGGTGATTATTCCAGACAAGCAATAAAAACGGCAATGGTTTTGGTGTCGTGGCCAAGAAACGGCACGGTGTTCTCTTGAGAAGATTGCGAGCCGTTTTTAACCAACTATAAATGGGTCCACCGTTAATTCTGTTAAACTCCCTCCACTTTTCTTCTCCTCTCTGTTTCGAAATCCCACTTGACTTGAGTCCATTGAGAATCTAGGGATTTGACTTTCGACAATGTGGGATAGGGATTTTGATGAATGTCGTCGGCGTCGCAGGGGTTGTAAGTCTGGGATTCTGGTTGATCGGGTGGCAATGAAGACGAGTTGCTCCGAGTGTGGTCTTGATTATGGTCTCGGTGATTGTGGTCTCTCCTCCGTCCTCCCCACCGACCCGAAGAATAGTTCCGATGTTGGTAATTTGCAGAGCCGTGGCTCAAATTCCCTCGCCGCTGAGCCTAACAATGATTCCTCCGATGATCTCCTGGCCGATGATCAAGCAGATTTGCAGAATCTTGGCCCCGATCCCGTCTCGCTCGCATCTATGTCCGATAGGTAACGTTTCGTCTTCTTTCTTTTCTTAGTGGAAGATATCATTTTTGTTTAAGTTACATATCGTTTTCCTCCAATTTTACAGCTTGGATCTTCCTCCGATTGTCAAGGTAAGTTCTTTTTGTTCGTCGTCTATAAACAAATCTGGACGAAAATTTAGCATACGGATAAATTTGAATCGCGTGTTTCTTCATTCTGTAGAATCAGGCTAATGAGATCTATCAGAAAGTGGAGTATAAAGGAAGAGAAAAGGATCGAAATGCGTTTTTCGCTGCTTGTATCTATGTTGCGTGTCGACAAGAGGACGGCATGACTCGGTCTATTAGGGGTAAGATAGCTGAAACTTGAAAGCTTCTTCTGGTTCCTTTCTTGATGTAATTTGTGCCATCGTAGTTGAATCAGCTTCTTCAAAACTCTTCTTTATGTAGAGATTTGCTCTGTTTCCAATGGAGCCACAGTTCCAAATGTTTCCAAGGCAGTTGGGGTCATAGCTGATACACTGAACATCGACAAAAATTGGTTGATGCTTATCAAAGCCACTGACTTGATAGTGAGTTTGTGGCCTTAAGCTTTTGTTGCTGCATTGTGATCGTGTGTAAGAGCTCTCGTTAAATGACATTATATCCATCTGCAGAAGAGGTTTTGCTTTAGCCTTGAAATGGTTGACCAAGCCGTTCAAGCTGCTCAACAAGTTGCCAAAAATTCTGAAAGTGTTGAGAGGTACCTTCATTATTTGGCCTTTTCTGGAATTGAGTGGATGAGTAAACAGATATATATGATGCAGCAGACTTAAAATAAACCTTATGTCTACTAGTTGCAGGAGTAGCTCTCCTGTATCAGTTGCAGCCGCAGTCGTATATGTCATTGGTCAATTTTATGATGACAAGCTGATGCCCCAAGGTTTCCCTTTAAATCTCCATCTAAATAGCTGGCCATGACCAAAATTTGATTCAGATCTTCTCTTTCTCTAACTTTATGTACACTTGATGAATTGCAGATGTTGCAAACGCCACTGGAGTTGTAACGAAAACGATAGTGGACACATACAATGACTTGTATCCAGAGCTGTCAACAATAATACCGAAGTGGGTTGCCACGGAAGAGGACCTGAAAATACTTGCCAAGCCTTAGATCTTTATCTACGATGATACAAGCTATCTCAGTCACGGAAGCTTTTACTTTTGATCCCTTTTTAAGACTCTTATTGTGCCTTGTAGAAAATACAGAAAGTTGTACATGTTACCCCATGAATTCGCATAATCAAAGTTACTCCAAGTGTATGTAAACTCTCAGTTTTTGTTTGTTTTGAGACTATAGTAAAAAGAATACAAAAGCATTTCGTTTCTTGTTACATTTTATGGTAACACAGGGAGGTCTATGGAACTGAAGGAAAAGAAACTGACACGGCCCTGAGCGATATGACAGAACATCAACGGTGAAGCTACGCGGCTTTGCAGGACTTTGATATCTTCTTTGCTTGGTGGTGAGTCCCTGTGAAAAGAGGAGAGCATGTTGAGTAAGATTGCGAAGTTGAAAAACTTGCTTTCGTAGTTAGAACTAACGAAAACACACGCTTACCCTGAGAAGCAAGCCACAAAGCTAGGTTCACCAGGAGAAGACTTCTTGAACCGGCTGTTTGGCAAATACACGTCAAACACAGCTCTTGCTTCACAAATTTGCATATCTCCCAACAGTTTAGTAACAGACTCTTCTTCACTACTTAGTGTACTAATGGCAGCATCCTTTGACGTCCAAGGAACTCCATGCCTCCCTAGGATATAACCGAGACCCTTTAAGTACTTATAAGCTTCATAGTTTTCCCAAGAGCAGCCACTTTTTTCCTCTGCGATTTTCTCATACAAGTCCTTCAATGGGATCACTGTGTCATCCTTCTCACCTAAGATCTGCAACTCTCCTATTTCACTCAAATACCTGCAACCCAAAGAAGAGAATGCCAAAAAGGAAGAGACTTCATCAGATGATTTAAGTTAAGTGTGCAAATTGAAAAACTTGTAAAGAGGTTTAGTTTGCCACATACAAAGCCTCTTCTATGAAGCAATATGCTTTGCCACTGCGAATGATTCCAGTCGTTGTCCAAAGTTTCCCTCTTTTGACCTCTACTTCAACCATTCCTAATTCATCAATCCAACGAGCTTTGGAAGATCCTACTCTACAATGTGCAAACATACAGAAAGAGAGAGAGAATGATTGTAAGAGAATAATTGGGTCAACATGACAGCTAAAATCCAGAAACGAATTGCTGAAATTTAATCAACCTGAATTGTAACTTAGGCCCTGAGCCACCAGAAAGAAACTCCTCGTCATCATCGTTTGGAAAAGCAGCTTCGTTCTCGCTTGAAGATGAACCTTCCCAGTCTTTTTCCGCCATAAGCTTAAAGATGTTCACAGGAGCAATTCGTCGAACAGTTGGCGTGCGTCCATATATCTCTGTTTTAAAGGGTTTCAATTTCGCACCGTGTTTTCAGTTTTTCTTCTCTCCGGTTTGAGAGACTTTGAGTTTAATTGCACCGAACCGAGAAATAAGGAATAAATACCCAAATCGAACCGGTTTTATTTCTCACACCCTTCTTCTTCTCAGAGTTTGGGAAAGAAAAAAAAATGATTCAGAAAGTTTGAAAAAATCCTTAAACCTTTCCCATTCTCCTACTGAGTGCAGAGCTCGAACTCAATATCAATGGCGAACGACCAGGAGATGAGTGGATGGACTGATCTTCTCCATTCCTCGACGAAGCTTCTCGAGCAAGCGGCTCCTTCGGCTCAGTTTCCTCCTCTTCAGGTTCTTCTACTGACCACCGCCTTTTTTTTTTCGCTTTCGATTCTTCGTTTGTTTGTTCTCTCTTTGGATTGAGGAGCTGGTTATGTGATTATTTTACCAACGCAATTGATTCGTAATGATATATTTCTGGTACTTAGAGAAATTTGGATCAATTGGAAGCTTTGTCGAGGAAGCTTAAAGCGAAAACCCTAAGAAACGAAGCTCCTTCACAGTCTATTGCTGCCACAAGGTACTAGGTTTTACATTATCGAATAATGGGTGCGAGAATCGCATTCAGAAATTGTGGTCTTCCCTTTTCATAAGAGAGTAGGTTGCTATGAAAATGAGTGATGATTGTGTTTTTTGGTTGGATACACAGACTACTAGCACGGGAGGGAATCAATGCAGAGCAATTATCTCATGATCTGAAGTCATTTGAGTTGAAGGTGAGCATTTTATTAGCATCCTCAATCCAGTCTCCATCACCTAGCTTATGTTGCTCTGTGTTTTGGTGGGTTTCTTGAACGATGGATATGTGTCTTCGTTGGTTTCCTCTGGGGATTTTTTTTGTATCTTGGCTTTAGTCATACACTTATTTTGTTGCCTAGAACTCAGATTGTTAACCACTTGCCGTTAATTTATTGTTTGCTTACTCACCTGCATAATTGTCACTGCTTTTCTTATACTCAGTGCTGCTGAACGACCATTGTCTAAATTGCTTTTACTTTTTTTTTTTGTTGGATCGTGAAAAGACGACATTTGAGGATGTCTTCCCTGCCGAGGCAACAAGTGTTGAAGAATACCTGCAACAGGTATTTTTATATTTAAACTTTCTTTAAAAATTCCCTGTATTAGACTACAGATGGATTCTCTTGCAGATCACTGATCATTCTACATGCATTATTCTTGTTTCTAGATTCATGAAATGGCAATGGTATCGGCCATACAGGAGGCCCAAAAGGATAATGTTCGAAGCTTTAATGATTATATGTTGAAAGTATTGGAGGTCAGTATTACTACTATCCACAAATTGTTTTGCCTTGAATTCAGTGTTCGTTTTATCCAACGTATCTTTTTCAGTCAATAGAGTTCTGTTTCTGATGGTTTTAGAGTATAACTTCCCCTCAGTTCGTTTCTTATCATTATGTATTTGCACACAAAGATTGGTAAATGATATTAGCATGAGACCGTAACTGTGAAACGGATGGCTATGTATTTATGCCTACATCAAAATTTATGGATATTTGAGAATTCTTAACATACGAATCGTCAGAAGCTGGTTGATGCTAGTTAAAATGTTTTATTCTGAATTTATATAATGTCCTTTCTCATATATGCGAAATCTTATTCTGGCAGGAGGACTGTAGAAAAGAAAAACGAGACTTCCTTCAAAGTCTTAGCAAAATTTCATTGACACCTAAGACCAAGATGATCGAGACTAGCAGAGACACTCATGCTGGTCAACTAGTGCCTGTGGCTTTAAGTCCTCAAGCATCTTCAAAATCTGGAACAGAAGTTGTGTCTCTGGCTAACAAACCCATCCATGAGAAGAAAGCATATGTCTATGCAAAGGTTGTGAAGAAACTGAATTCTTCAAGAGAACGAGGCTTGCCATTTAGAGTATGGTCTTCCTGTACCTCCTTGTGTGCATTTTTAACGACGTCCTGTTTGATAGTTTCAGCTGAAGAATATGCATTTCACCTGATTGTTTAGAAGTGTAGTAGGATTGTCAAAGAATTAATACACGCTTCACCTTTTGATGATGATTGCCTTTGCTGCAGCATTGAATTAAACTAGTTGACGTTTTACTGATTTGTTTGGCTCTTTTTCCTACTAATATCTCATTCATGCGTTTGTATAGCCTGCAGTATCGTTCAAGGGTGCTTATGAAAGTCTAGGAATTGATTTGACTCGTGGAAAATCAGTCAACGTGCAGAAACTATGGCAACTCATTCAGGTGATCTTTTGATCTGAGGTTTCATTTTCGACCAGTGGCGCCTTTACGGACTGTCCTTAACATGTCCTAAGTCTTTAACATACTATAAAAACAGGCAATGACGGGTGAAGATTCAGCAGTACAACAGGGTGTTTCCAAGAGGATGTCTCTCGTGATAGGTGCAAGACGTCACTTGGAAAGTGGGCATGAAAAACATATAATGGACACAATTCAAAGTCATCCTTCACAGGTACTCGTTTCTATCCTGTGTTTATTTGTGCATACCTGCTATTGACGCATGTTACATTTGTCTTGATGCATCTTTCAACGAATCTTTCACTCCAATTCCTAGTGTGAAAATAATTACAACATGTTTCCATCCACTTTTTCTTAATCTTTTTTTAGGCTGCTCTTGGCGGATCTGTTGGAAATTTGCAAAGAATCCGTGCTTTTCTTCGGGTTAGTGCCACAGATTTGATAAAGCTTAACACAAAGTATTTATACTCCGGAATATTTTTTGAGGTAGTCATATCCATTGTGTTGTTTGCATTTCTTCTGCAGATTCGTCTGAGGGATTATGGGGCTCTAGATTTTGATTCAGGCAATGCCCCTAGGCAGCCTCCAGTTGATACTACTTGGCAGCAGGTTTCACATAATTTTTAAATTTTCACCTTTATCCTCAACAATTTAGTTGAACTGCAAAATCTTTTCGTTGCTGTTTCACAAGTTTAATAACGTAAGGTATTGATTAACTATACCTCGTTCATCACAGATATATTTTTGCTTGAGAACTGGCTATTATGCGGAGGCTAGAGAAATTGCTCAATCATCTCGCTCATCCCAACAACAGTTCGCTCCTCTGGTACGTTTCTAGGTCTTAGTACCCTAAATTAAAGTTTTGGAGTTGCCTTTTTGATTTCCTCTTTTTTTTTGGCAGCTCACAGAGTGGATTACCACAGGTGGTAATGTATCTGCAGATACTGCCGCTATTGCTTCTGAAGAATGTGAGAAGTTGTTCAGGATGGGTGATCGGCTGGGCCGAACAACATATGACAAGAAGAAGCTTCTACTTTTCACCATCATATCTGGTTCCCGAAGGCAAATTGATCGCATCGTGAGGGAGTTTTCGACGCTCTTTAACACAATAGAAGATTTTCTCTGGTTCAAACTATCATGCGTCCATGAGGTGGCTGGTGGATCTTCATCTTTAGTCTTCAACGATGGGCTAGTGCCTTACAGTTTAGATGATCTTCAGGCTTACCTTAACAAATTTGAGCCTTCTTATTACACTAAGAACGGCAAAGACCCTCTGGTATACCCATACGTTTTGCTTCTTAGCATTCAGCTGTTACCGGCCATCATGCACATGTCCAAAGAAGCAGGAGATGAAGGGTATAACATTGATGCTGTCCATATAGCTATTTCGCTAGTGGACCATTCCGTTCTGTCTGAAGGATCTGGGAGTGGCCACAAACTAAGCGTGATGGATGCTAATGCCGAGGCATCTAGCATGATAAGACAATATGGGTCGATGTATATGCATCATGGTGACATGCAAATGACGCTGGAGTACTATGCACAAGCTGCTATTGCAGTAGCTGGTGGACAACTAGCTTGGTCTGGAAGAAGTAATGTTGATCAACAAAGGCAAAGGAATTTGATGCTGAAGCAACTACTGACTGAGATTTTGTTACGAGAGGGTGGTCTTTACTTTCTGCTTGGTGCTAGAGGTTCCGGTGAAGAAGGCGAGCTTGGAAGATTTCTGCCTGATCCAAAATTGAGGCAGCAGTTCTTGACCGAAGCTGCGCATCAATGTCAGGAAGCTGGATTATCTGACAAAGTAAGTAGTTTCGAGTTTTTCGATCAAGTGAAGTGATTCACAGGCGAATCATTTGTTTCTTTCATCATTTTTCAGTCTCCTAACTGTTATATAATTCAATGCAGTCTATAGAAATACAGAAGAGAGTAGGTGCGTATTCGGCTGCCTTGGAAACAACAAACAAGTGTCTCTCTGAAGCCATTTGCTCCCTTGTCCGTGGAAGATCAGATAGTGAAAGCCGTACAGAGGAGCTTGTTTTCTCGGGCAATGATATTATCAACACTCACAAATATCATCCTGAAGTCAAGTAAAATTGCTGACTCTAATAAACTCATTCATCTACTTGTTTTATGTTTCTCATTATAAGTGTCATACTCTTGTATACACCAGTGTCCAGGAAAGAGATAGGGTCATGAAACAAGAAACAATACTACGAGAGCTTGAGGCAATACTGTCAATCCACAAGTTAACCAGACTAGGCAATCATCTAGACGCCTTGAGAGAAGTCACGAAACTCCCGTTCCTTCATCTCGACCCGAGACTGTCCGACACAACCCCGGACGAGTTCCAAAGAGCATCCTCTTACTTCCAGACTTGTGTCCCTGATCTACTCAAGGTTGTGCTGACTTGTCTGGACAACGTACATGACACTGATGGATCGATCTGGGCCATGAGATCAAAGGTACACATTAACAATAACAATGCAACATATCTGTGATGAAGAGAGATCATCATATGGATTTTAATTATGAATAATTTTTGCAGATTGCTGGGTTTCTTGCAAGCAACACACACCAAAACTGGCCTCGAGACTTGTATGAGAAGGTGGCCCGAAGCTTTTGAATTCAAGAAACTATAGCAATTTTGTGTTTAAGAGGTGTACCATGCTGTTGAAACAAATTTTGTAACTTTTCACCTTTAAACGAGATTTTTTCTTGGCGCAAAGTATTTTATAGCAAAAGCAAAATCTTGTTTCAGAAGATAATCACACAAAATCCAAGGATCGTATGTTAGGTTCTAAAGCATTATAATCCAAAACAATAAATGTAAAAAAAAAAAAAAAAAAAAAAAACATATATCAGTTACGACTCTTGAAGGCATCGACATGCAAATGTTTATAAACTGATGATGATTACCCCATTTCAGCCTCATTCTTGGTACTACTAGCTTCAGTGGGGTTCTAAGTAGCAGCAGTCTCAAATTTCCTCATCATGTCACAGTGAGGCGTTTCACGAACAAATCCCCATTGTTGCCTCTGAAGCTCATACCTACAATTCTGACTAAGTATAGACACATAATCTCTCTCAACTTGTTCTTCCAGCGTCTGCCGCTCGTGGCTGTCCCGTGGGTAATCCTGCTCGAATTTGGAAGATCTCACATAGTAATTGACACCCTTCTCTGTGGTGAATTTGTATTGGTAGGGGTAAGTTGCAGAGAGCGAGTAAACAGGTTGAGAAGAAGGCATGAAGTTGAGCAAGAGTATGAGTATAACAGGTAGAAGCTGGAGAAGTATACGACCATTGAAACCTGCTTCAGGAGCTTGATTGTTATGATTCGCTGTTCTATGGCGAGTAGCTCCGAAATTGAATGATCGGAATTGAGCAGCCGCCGGAGGCATTCCTCCTCCGCCGAAGAAGCTTCTGAAAATCTCGTTGGGGTCGAATTCGTCTTCGTAGTAGTATCCGCCATTGAATCCGTTGCTTCTCGCAGATCGGCGGGGTTGATAGATTGGCTCATCGGATCCACTGACGTCGTATTTTTTCCTAGCTTCATCGTTGCTTAAGCATTGAAACGCCTTGGAGACGGATTTGAAAGCTTCTTCTGATCCAGGAGCTGGGTTCTTATCGGGATGGACTTTCAGGGAGAGTTTCCGATAAGCTTTCCTCACATCGTCGACTGAACAGTTGCTTTCCAAGCCTAAGATCTCGTAATAGTCCTTCTTCGATTTTATCTTCCTCACGATCGAGATCTGTTCTTCAGTGTAGGAAATCGAAGAAGACGATGACGCCGTTGACGATCCACGTTGGCGTAGAGAAGGCCGATCTGACAAATTGGTTGCATCTTTCGCGGCGGCAGATCCAGGCGATTTTGCCGATCCTGCTTCATCTGATTGTTTATTGAGCTCAGATGCGAGATCATCAATCGGGAGATCCGGATCGAGACGACGAGCTTTAGACAGGAATTTCATAGCTCGGGATCGATCTCCGGCTTTGATAGCATCCTTGCAGATTTTCAGGCACTTCAACGCATCGTCTTTGTTTCCATCCATTTTCACTCAAAAATTAAGAGAACGCGATCTCGGAGGGAGCCCTTTAAAGCAACAGATTGAGAGAATCAGGAGAAGTAAGATACCAAGTGTCCGAGATGAAAAATCTCGATCATGAGACTATCGAGAGATGAAGTGAAGCCCTTTCGAAATTAGGGTTTCTCTCACCGATCGGATTTATCAGATTGGATTGTTGAAGAAGAATTTACAAGACGACTAATGGACGGCAACAATTTGCTGTGGAGAGAGATAAAGTCACTGTTCAAATGCTTAATCTGAAATTAGCGTACCAAGTCGGTACGCGGTAAATAACAATTCCGGTTATGGTTAATTTGAGCAATTTGGTCTGGTTTTGTTCCGGTTAAAGAATTACTAATGCGTATAGTCGAACCGATTTTAATTTGTCTACTTACGTGATGAAGGAGTAGATCTCATCTCCATTTCTCCTGTGGATGATGGATGCTCGTAGCTGAAATTTGTTACAAATCGATTGTAACATTTGCTTAGGCTAATTACTGCTCAATATATATAAGAAATCTGATATGTTTGCCAATTTCAACTAAAATTTGTTAGCATTTGGCATTTGCAGAGCTTTTTTGTATCTTGACTAATTATCCAATGTCTATCATCGTCATCCTAATGCAGTTTTCTGATTCCAAGTCATTAGCAGATTGTATACCTTACAGGAAATCATTCTTTATACTCTGATGGTTCTATGAAATGACATTTTTGTTTAGAGAAATAAGGAGACCGCAAGAGAAAACCATTAGCTAGTTTTTCTTTAATTTGATATCTTCTTTCTTCATGGACCTTTGGATCCCTAACTACAAGATGCATTGAAGTAGTAATACTTAATACCAAGTGGGACGATCCCGAACTATTTTAAGGCCTAGCTAACTTACTTGTACTGATGTACCATTAAGGAGCAAGATCAGTAGTAGTACGTAAAGCCTGTCAGTCTTTAAAGCTGTGAGTTGTTCACTCCATGTGCTCTTTATCTCAATGGCCTGAAATGATCATAATCACCTGAGAGCATGCCTCAGTTTAAATGGAATCGTAATAATGGTTAGTTGGTGGTTACATCTGTGTCTCTTCACATTCGTTCTCTTAATTCAGTATAATATTGGTATTCTCTTATGGTTATGACAAGGTTTTTCAATGTAACAGAAATGCTATAATAATTTTCGATATTGTGCTTCCTGATCGTGTCATATCATAAATCAAATAAGAAGACTTGAATAGTGGGGAGGGGGTTTTGTTTCAGGACCGGGGCAGGCTTATTATTAGTTTTGATATAAATCAAATAAGAAGACTTGCTTGTTACTATACTTTTTGTGCTACATAAGATTTTAAAATAAGACTTTGTTTGATTGGTTGTTAAGGAAGACTTTATAATTTGGAGAAACTGGGTCAAACATGGGTAGCAAAGCAACGGGACAGCTATGGAGCCCCCAATTATTACATATTAAATGCATTTTTCAGACTATAGGGGCTAAGCTTTTCTTACATTAATAATTTCTGTCTCACATTTTATATATACGTGTTTTAGACTTTTAGTTGATCAGCTCTATAGTTATTTTTTATATATAAAGAACTGCATGCATATGCAGCATGATTCTTCTCAAGTCTAAAGATGTATGTCTGTATAGATCTATTACTTTTATTTATGGATTCTTTAAAAGCGCCAGATTTGTAATCAACTTGTTTAATCCGCAGTTATACAGGAAGCTATGTCTTAACTTTGGATTGTACCAAAACTGCTTCGAAAAATAAAAGTATAAAACCAATAGATAAAAGTCTTTCGACCACGTTTTATTCCCCTCTCATATTTCATATTTGTTTAATATCATTATATCAAGTAGTCTTTTGTAAATTGTAATGGAGTTGCGTACACAAAGAACCAAAAAGTATTTAATATTTTTCTAATTTTGTGAGGAAAGGTGTAGAACTAGAAAGTAACGAATTGAAAAAGTAGGTCAAGAAAATACAAGAAGAGAAAGAGAGGGAAAAGGTTGGTGAAAGAAGGCAGCGCAGCCTCATAAAGTGGCGATTCCTTTAACAGAGCAAGTTGGATGGCTTCTGTGCCATTGTGTCAATCCACGCAACTTCAAAGCAACAAGCCAACAATTACAATCCATTTACGTTTTTACTGCTTTTGTTATTAACTAAAAAAGGTACGAGGTTTATGTCTCATAATCTTTTTGGATTAGAGATCCCACTAGATTTAATTAATATTTTTCACGTAAGCATTTGAATTCAGATTTCTGTTCCTGATTGAGTTACCAACATTCCATGGAGTCTAATTTTTTTACGAACATTGTTTATATTCGTTTTTTTCTCGAAACTGAAACATAAATTTTTTGAACATTAATATTTCAGAGATGTAAAACACTGAATGTAAAAATATTTTTTGTTGATCTCATATGCATCAAATATTCCTTTTAAATAGTAAAAAAAATAGATATGGAATATTCATTTTCTTGGCAGTTGTACAAGCTTTATTTTTGCATCCACCTAATTTACATTACATAGTGTGTCGATTTAGTGTAAACAGAGAGATATTTTAACAAATATGAATGCATATTTTGTCGATTTATTGTAAACAGAGATATATTTTAACAAATATGAAATCATGAATGCGTATTTATAGAAAACTCACTACATCAAAACCTAATGTTCGGCTGATTAATCGGGTCGGATCTTGAACACGGATATTTTATTCAATTCCTTATTCGTAACAGCGTTTATTTAAGGATGTCCTCCACCACGAAACAATACATATGAAACCCACAAAAATCGGACGACTTTCTTTGAGGTTGGATTCCGTCAAATAAACACAAAAAGAAAACGATCCAGTGGATGCGAAAAGGCGGCCCGACCCGGAGACCCGACTCAACATAAAAATGCACACTACACACCACAACAAACTCCCACGTTTGCCAGAGAGAGATTTAGCATAAAGAATAGGAAGGAGGCTTCACTCTTCCCTCTCTCTTTCACCTTCCTTCGCGCCGGCGAAGAGTTCTCTCTGTGTAGAAACAGCGAAAGTAAACGGAGAGAGAGAGATTTTGGCAAAAATAATGTCTAATCTCCTCAAGGATTTCCAGGTCGACGCGAAGAATCCGTCGCTCGAGGCTCGCCAGCGATGGAGGTCCTCCGTCTCCATCGTCAAAAATCGGGCTCGTCGTTTCCGTATGATCAGTAATCTCGACGACCTCGCTGAGAATGAGAAGAAGAGATGTGAGATCCAGGTCTGTTGTTTCCTCTCCCTTTTTTTTCTCTCCTCCTCGATCTCATGGTTTTTCTCTGTTCTATGGAGTGCGTAATTTTTCGTGTCTGGCTTTTCAATTTGGTTATCCTTTTCTTTCTCTGCGATCTGGATTTGTGGAGAATGTTAGTTTCTCGAGAAAATGCCTGGAAAATTTTGGGAATCGTTATTAATGTTTTCAGTCAATTTACACATTTCAGCTACAGTTTCCGGCGTTTCCATTTACGCTAACAGTTTCCGGATTACTATTTACAATTCCACGATCCTTGAGTTTAGCCGTTTAGGAGTTATGGATGCGATTGTTAATTACTTTGCAGAGTCAATTCGTTTTTCGTAGATCACTTTTCCCTGTTTTCTTCATTTTTAATGAAAGCATATAAAATGGATGATAAAGATCCAAAATAATCGGTTAGAATTTTCTCCTCTGATAATGTGAAGAAGATAAAAGGATAATGGGCTATGAATTATATTTTTCCTAGCTTCCAGTCAACCAAACACAAAATGACGCGTAATTTAGGGTTCACTGAGTCTTTTTAGAATTGATGTTAGAATATGGAATATTCCGCGAGGCAATGGGGGGGATTATTTATTTGATCTAGTGTTTAACGGATGAGTTATTTAATACGGCTATATTTATTTGCCAACACAGTCGATAATGACATTAAATTTAGGTCATGCTTTCGTGTCTCCAATTGAATCAACCAATGAACATCGTTACACGTTTTTTGTTTAAGCTAAGGATAATCGATAATGCACTTTTAAGACGTTAAATTTGATTAAGATTTGGTCTGTGGTCACTAACATTTCAGAGAATTGTTGACTTTGTGGTATCGCCTTCTTTTTGACTTGTTGTGCAATTACCTTAGCTTTAGGGAAGTTACGAGGAAATTTCGTGGAGCGAATCCATACCTTCTCTGAAAGAGACGTTAACTTTATTTGTCCACTTGCGTGAATAGAAAAAAGAATCACTATGGACAAAGTCTTTTGAATTCGAGTCCTTTGGGTCTTTTTCTTCTCAGTTTTGGTCGTTTTTGTTTTCATATTAAAATGGGAACATCGTCAATTTTTCAAACCAACAATTGAACAAAATAGTAGGCTGTTTGACTATACTGACAAATGACTATTAAGCAGATTACAATAGTTCTTGCACACTTATCAATTGTTATCGAGTTTCAGCTTTGAAGGCAAACACATAGAGTATTTTACTATGTTAGCTCCGGTTGTATCTGGTTGGATCACTATAACTTTGACATGCAACAACAATCATAATGCAAACAAAATAAACAATCACCTTTATGGCCTTTGGCATGACTTGATGCTTTTAATTTAGTTTGGAGATGTTGATTATAAAGATCAGTGTCTCTTTGTTCTTTCTTGTAGTGACTAATGATTTAGTTGTTGTGGTGTTTTTAAATCAGCTCACGTTTTCCTTATTTCATAAACAGGAAAAGATACGGGTTGCATTCTACGTCCAAAAGGCAGCTCTTCAGTTCATTGATGGTAAGATATGCACTGCTGAGTTTCAGATGATGCATGAATTGCAGAATTTGGTTGGTGACTGAGTTTATGGTTTCGTAATTTATCTTCTTTTCATTGTGTGTTTCTTCAGCTGGTGCCCACCGTGAATATAAACTCACTGATGAGGTCAAACAAGCCGGATTTCATGTCGAAGCAGATGAACTTGCTTCTATGGTTCGCAATCATGACACAAAGAGCCTGACGAAAAGTGGAGGAGCTGAAGGAATTGCTCAGAAAGTGTCTGTATCTCTCACTGAAGGTGTCCGTTCTAGTGAAGTACACATCAGAGAAAAAATCTTCGGAGAAAATCGATATGCTGAGAAACCAGCCAGATCGTTTTTAATGTTTGTTTGGGAAGCGCTTCAGGACGTAACGCTTATCATCCTTATGGTCTGCGCTGTAGTGTCGATAGGAGTTGGAGTTGCCACAGAAGGATTTCCAAAAGGAATGTATGATGGGACAGGAATCTTGCTAAGTATTATCTTGGTTGTCATGGTTACAGCTATCAGTGACTACAAGCAATCTTTGCAGTTTAGAGATTTGGATCGAGAGAAGAAGAAAATCATTATTCAAGTCACTAGGGATGGGAGCAGACAAGAGGTCTCCATCTATGAATTGGTTGTTGGAGATGTTGTTCATTTATCTATTGGGGATCAAGTTCCTGCTGATGGTGTTTTTATCTCCGGATACAATCTGGAGATAGACGAGTCTAGCTTATCGGGTGAGAGTGAACCATCTCATGTGAATAAAGAGAAGCCATTCTTGCTTGCGGGAACCAAAGTCCAAAACGGCTCTGCAAAAATGCTGGTGACAACCGTTGGTATGAGGACTGAGTGGGGAAAGTTAATGGAAACTTTGAGTGAAGGTGGAGAGGATGAGACTCCTCTGCAGGTGAAGCTAAACGGTGTTGCAACAATCATAGGTAAGATCGGTTTAGGCTTCGCGGTGCTCACATTTGTGGTGTTATGCATAAGGTTTGTTGTGGAGAAAGCCACTGCTGGTACTATTGCTCAGTGGTCTTCTGAAGATGCACTGATATTGCTTGACTACTTTGCGATCGCTGTAACCATCATAGTCGTTGCCGTGCCTGAAGGTTTACCTTTGGCTGTGACTTTAAGTCTGGCATTTGCTATGAAACAGTTAATGAGAGACAGGGCACTTGTGAGGCATCTTGCTGCTTGTGAGACGATGGGTTCTTCAACATGCATTTGCACGGATAAGACAGGGACATTAACCACGAACCACATGGTAGTCAATAAAGTTTGGATATGTGAAGGTATCAAGGAGAGACGGGAGGAAAACTTCCAGCTGAACCTATCTGAAAAAGTAAAGAATATCCTTATACAGGCCATATTTCAGAACACTGGTTCTGAAGTCGTCAAGGATAAGGAGGGAAAAACTCAGATCCTGGGATCACCTACAGAGAGAGCGATACTGGAATTTGGTTTGCTTTTGGGCGGTGACGTTGACACGCAGCGCAGAGAGCATAAGATACTCAAGATCGAGCCTTTTAACTCAGATAAGAAGAAAATGTCCGTTCTCACATCTCATTCTGGTGGCAGTGTACGCGCTTTCTGCAAAGGTGCATCTGAAATCGTGTTGAAAATGTGCGAGAAGGTTGTGGATGCAAACGGAGAATCTGTTCCGTTATCTGAAGAAAAGATTGTAAACATCTCTGATGTCATAGAGGGATTTGCTTCAGAGGCTCTGAGGACTCTCTGCTTGGTTTACTCGGATCTTGATGAAGCTCCCAGTGGAGATCTTCCTGATGGTGGCTACACACTGGTTGCAGTTGTTGGAATCAAGGATCCAGTTAGGCCCGGAGTTAAAGAAGCCGTTCAGACTTGTCAAGCTGCTGGAATCACTGTTCGTATGGTCACTGGTGATAACATAAGCACGGCAAAAGCTATTGCAAAGGAATGTGGTATACTTACAGCAGGAGGTGTAGCTATAGAAGGTTCTGCATTCCGTAATTTGCCTCCACATGAAATGAGAGCCATTTTACCCAAAATTCAGGTTCTGATCTTATATTACTAGAATGGATTGTTAGACTTGAAATGTTTAGAGCATTTTAGAATATCAATATCCTTTTTTTTTTTTTTTTATAATCTCAACTTCAGGTGATGGCTCGGTCTTTGCCGTTGGACAAACATACACTAGTCAACAATTTGAGGAAAATTGGAGAGGTAGTTGCAGTGACTGGAGATGGAACAAATGATGCTCCTGCATTGCATGAGTCTGACATTGGACTTGCCATGGGAATTGCTGGAACAGAGGTTAGTCTTTGTTACTGATTTATCATTTCGTTGGCCAAATCTGAATGTTTGTCTAATGTTAAAACTCTATACACAGGTTGCAAAAGAGAATGCTGATGTGATCATAATGGACGACAACTTTGCAACGATAGTGAATGTGGCAAGATGGGGACGCGCTGTGTATATCAACATCCAGAAGTTTGTCCAGTTCCAACTTACTGTGAATGTTGTTGCTCTGATCATCAACTTCGTCTCTGCTTGCATCACAGGTAAAATCAAACACACAATTTTAACAGTTGATTGTTGCTTTGATCATCAACTTTGATTGTCTCTGCTTTCAGGATCTGCACCACTCACTGCGGTCCAGTTGCTTTGGGTGAACATGATCATGGACACGCTTGGTGCATTGGCTCTAGCAACGGAACCTCCAAACGAAGGTCTAATGAAGCGTCAACCAATCGGTAGGACCGAAAGCTTCATCACAAGAGCCATGTGGAGAAACATCATTGGTCAAAGCATTTACCAGTTAATCGTCCTCGGCATTCTCAACTTTTGTGGCAAACAAATACTCAACCTCAACGGCCCAGATTCAACAGCCGTTCTCAACACCATCATCTTCAACTCCTTCGTCTTTTGCCAGGTAATAACAATAACAACATTCACAAATTAAAAAAACCTATAGAAGAAAAAAGATTTTCTTAACACTAAGTTGCTTAACAGGTGTTTAACGAGGTAAACAGCAGAGAGATAGAGAAGATAAACGTGTTTAAAGGGATGTTCAACAGTTGGGTGTTTGTAGCTGTAATGACGGCAACAGTCGGATTCCAGGTGATCATAGTGGAGTTCCTAGGAGCCTTTGCAAGCACGGTGCCTCTGAGCTGGCAACATTGGCTTCTCTGCATTGTGATTGGATCAATAAGCATGATTCTGGCCGTTGGTCTTAAATGCATACCGGTTGAGTCTAACCGTCATCACGATGGCTATGAGCTGCTTCCTTCTGGTCCATCTTCTGACGCTGCCTGACCAACAACACTTGCTACGTCATTTTTCTATATTTGATTTTTCACATTTTTGTCTTTCCTTATTATTTCCGGGATAGTCATCTGATCTCAAAATATGTATAAAATCTAACACGGTTTTTATTTTGGGTGTGGTTTTGATTCCTTTTTTTTTTCTCTCCTACTTTGTGAGTCTACCACCAACCCACTCTTTTGGTTTCTTCTAAAAAAAGGTATCGCGTTTTAGGATTTGTGATTATTCTGTCTTTTCTCTAATGTTGTGTGGTTGTGGAACTGTGGTCCCTATTTTTGGGACCAAACTTTGGATATAAACCAAAGTTCTTCATTGGTCGTCGCCTAAAACAGAGGTCTCTTCTACTTGTGGTTATTTCAATCGTTGATATTCAATCTTTTCTACTTAGTGCTCTGGCCCAGATTAAACTCAGCATTCTACTGGCGTTTTCGTATTCACCAATCCCATTATGTTGGACCTTTTCTTTTCTTATTCGAAAAACCCAATGGGCTCTAAAGTTGTGTTTTAATGTCTCCTTTGGAAGGTGAAGACCATTTTTGTTCATCCTTGGTTACAAACAAGCTCATCTCTGGGAAGTTCTCAGGGTAACATCAGGGAATTAAGATACAGCACTAAAGGATCAATCATAGGAAGACAATCATTACTACTTATGAACCTTTTCGCACCATGGAGCTGATTACAGGCTTCCTTCTCGAGCCAAAGGAAACTAAGCAATGCCCTGTTAAATCTAACAAGTGTGTGCAAAACCCAATGCCATTCCAAACTAAGAAGATGCAACACAAATCCAATGCCTGATCATGTGTAGCATCAGAAACAAATAGCAGAAAACTAATATCAACCAAGATGATGAACAGAGAGTCAGCAAACTGCCTCAGATGATGTGATAACCAATGACTTTTAAAGGTTATAGCAAAAGCAGATGTTTATCTTCCAAGCTTAGTGTAAAAAAACCAAATCCTTTCTGATAATATTCATATGTGAGTAAAGTCAAATCACAATTAGAGACGAAAAACTTGATCATTTTGAGAGTTTCTCAAGCTTCTCATCAGCAGCTCTCAGTGCCCGCACAAGATGCAATATACGGTACTTGTGCTTGTCGTTTTCAATGCTCAATTCCTTCACCTAGTAGAATCCAATTCATAATCAAAACTCCAAAACACAAAAACACCTAAAGTAATGAAACAATGTGAACTCTAAGAGATTACCTTGTGTTGTTCTTGCTTCACCGTCTCGTTAGCTTCATCGAGTTTCGACTGGATTTGGGTCATCTTCTCCACAAGCTCCGCATCTGGAACTTCTGCGAAATGAAAGGACATATAACTTCAAGACCGACACACAAGTGGGTAAAGTCTGAAGATCCGACTCAATCAGTTGTTTCGAAAACCAGAGAGATTAGTAGGAAGAGAGAACCTGTCTTAGTCGACGCAAGAGCAGCTTCAAGCCTAGCCAATCGCTCCTGCCAGATAACACGTGAATTGAGAGATTAACGAAGGAATGTCGAAGGAAGTGTTTGTTAATGTCAGTGCTGTCTCATCAAATAACATCAATGAATGAGATCAAATCTTAGATTAAAGCTGTAACGCTAGAAAACCATAAGAAACTGAACCCAGAACGACGGAGAACAGAAGACGTTAATTTTGAATAAACGGATATGAGTTTTTGGTTTAATTAGAGAGGTAGAGGACCTGAGCTTCGGTGGCTCTGTGAAAGAAGGGTTTCAATGTCTCCGGAAGATGATTCGCCTCCGCCTCCGCCATATTTGTTCACCTCTCTTGGAAGTCGGACTCGAGTTTCCGTCCTCACTTTTTTTTAATAAGTCAATTGGTTTTCTAAAACCACAAAAGTTACACTGTTTAATTAGATTAAACCAGGATAAACCGAAACTCGAGTAAAAACCAAATTCAATTTTAATTTTTGTTTTGGACTAGATGTCGTTTTGACGTCCCTGGCCTTCTGACGTGGTGGCTGACTCATATCTGTTTAACAGAATCGTGAGTTTCACTAACGGGAAATGGTCAAGGTATGTTTCGGCCAAACAAAGAAAAGTTGGGGTATTGAAAACAGGATTTTGTATACTTCGAATACGTATTCACACATCTAAAAAGTTGAAATATAAAATAGCACCTCTCTAAGACTCTAACTATGGTTGGGGTCCTAAATGACCGTTTTCGTTGAATATTTGCCAATATTTCACAATTCACAATTTCTTTTCGTTTTTTATTTCAACAAAAATGTAGAAATTTACACTTGGGGGTATACTATAACTTGGGATTTTGAATGATTTTAAGTGATACTAGCCCGAATGATATGAACTTTTTACATAGCTTCATTTGAGTAAATGACAATCCAAAAACAAAACAACATATAATTCAACTCAAACCACTAATATAAATTAAGGAAAACTGACATGATCATGTAAAGAAATTCAACATGATCATGAACTTTGATAGTTTATGGGTCTTATGCAATGATTCAGTTTTTGAGATTTGTGCTTATGTTATGTCAATCTTTTATTATTTTGCCAGACAAAAATTATGATTATTCAAGACCCGAACGAATATTGGAGAACTACTCATCCTTTTATTACATTTTCTGCTCAAAATTTGAACTTTGCAGAGAATACACAAGAAAAATCATCATGAAATGATTTTGAATTCTCTTAGTTTGAAGGGATTTTTAGAAAACCTAGTGAAACTTTAAAAAGCTTATATTACAAGTAAAACTCTTTGATTTTCAGATGAGTTTCAATTTTGCTAACAAAGATGGTGTGAATTTACTCACAAATTCCCAAGTTTAACGAATGTTTTGTGCTGATAAACAACAAGAGACTCGAGATTAAAACTGGCCCAACTTGAGTCAAATTCTTGAACGGAAATTGCCTTTCAAAGTACAAAGAGAAGATAATATAAAGAAAGTTAGATTTGTCAATTTGGAGAGACTAAACATAATCCTTACAGCTTTGGTGGACGGAGGATCAGGAGCTCCTTCTGATTTCTCCAGATCCGTATTAGGAGACAATGTTTTTGAAAGTTTATAGAACATACCAGTCAGCTTCAATGGTTCTCTTTAACAACTCCTCCCTAAGCTTAGTAATGAGCTGTGGGAGAGTCACAACCCTTTTACATAAGAGAAGACAATTAAAAGAGTTTAAAACATGGACAAGTAATGAGTACAAGACACATGTGTTACCTATGTTTCAGCTTCACGTCCTGTGCTTTGAAAGCCTTAATGACAAAGATGAAATCGTTTCCATGCATTGCTTCCAGTTTCAAGCATTCATTCGTGAGAAAGAAACAAAGGAGGGTTTGAGAAAAAAAGGAGAAAAGTTGGAGAAGAAAGATCACTTGGATTACAAGATACCTAATTTCTTTGATTTGGGGATCGTCATCAATATCGACAAAAAACTCAGAGTGAATCTCCTCAGAAATTCCATAGTGCTTTTTGGATTGACTCTCTTTTTGGATTGCAGAACCCATCAGAAAGTTTTGCACAGACTTACGAGGATGAGAATCTGCGGCTTGATCTTTGCGGTCCGACATGGTACTGAGAATCTAGAGAACAGAGTAGAGTGTGACTTCAAATATAATACTAATAAAGCACAAGTCACTTCATGGCCTATATGAATGACACATGTCTTTTTAAATTTCAAAAAAAAAGTTTTTTTTTACTTTTATTTCAAGAATTATGGTAACCCATCAATGCATTTTTCAAAATAACGAAACAAAAGAAACCACTTAACAAGAAGTGTTTAGTCCCCCACGTTTTCCTTTTTTGCAACTGTCCATTCCACATGTATTTACAACCTCCCTTTTATTATCAACTTTACTCTCTCGAAATTACGTTTCTTTTTGTTTTTAATCTTCCATTACTCTCAACCATCTTTCATTACTCTCGACCATTGATTTGAAAGTAAATATGGAGATGCGTTTCCAGGAAAGTGGAGATTGGATCAAGAATCTGTGAATCTAATGGAGATTGGATCTGGGCATTATAGGTAAAAAAACATCCATCAATTTCGTTTTGTATTTTCCATCTTTTGTTGAATTGATCTTTTATTGTTTTCATTCAATCTTATCAATGTGTTTGTTTAGGTTCTCACATTACAGAAGACGATGCAAAATTAGAGCTCCATGTTGTGATGGACTTTTCGATTGTTGATATTGCCACAACGAAGCTATGGTATATCTTTCTAACTACTTAAATTCGATGTTTTGATCATCTCATACTCATAAATTTCTCTTCTTTGAAATTTACATTCGTTGTTTCTAGCAATCAAATTCAGATTTTAAAATAAGATGACGTCGCAGCCATTGAGCAAGAGAATGCTACTCTCTCCAGTAAAATCAACAAGTCGATGGCGACGGCCAGCAGAAGAAGCCTGCAGCGAAGAGACAAACCCGAAGAAAGTCAAGGACGTGAAGGAGAAGAAGCCGGTTGCTGCGCGGCTCCGAAGAAAAAACCGTTTCTACTCATCCTACTTACGAAGAGGTATGAGAGATCCGGATCTAGCTTTTTTTATTTGTTGTTTTCTCTCTTTTATTCGATTTCTGATTCTGACATTAGAGATTTATTTATTTTGTTGTTGTTTTATATGTGGTGATTTAGATGATCAAGGACGATTGTTACGTTGAAGGAGCGAACTGGATCTAGCCAATACGCGATTCAGAAGTTCACGAGAAGAAGCATAAGCTGTTGTCAACGCTGCATCCATCTCAATTTTTCCTCTTAGCTTTGGATATGTATGTGATAACACATTTGGGTCAATTATATACGAGTTAGATGAGTCAATCCGATGTAATTGTATCAAAACTGAAAAGATAAGTTATTCAATCATACCTGAGAAGAGAGAAAAGAATTAGGCACAATTAGAGAGTATATAGCTCTGTCAGCTTAACTCATAAACAAATCAAGATTGATCCACTCATAAATGAGATCGGAACCAGTGTAATCAAATTGATTTTTTTTCCTTTTTTGTTCGGTGGTTCTGTTGTTCGGTGGTTCTGGTTCGTGAAGAAGAAGGGAAAGACAGTAAATAATATTTATTAACTTTTTTAACTGTAATAATAGGATTTGAAATAAATATCTTTAACGTGGAATTCTTTGTGGATTCAAAATATAAGGTTTTTTGGATATGTTATTGGTTTTAAAATATAAGATTTTATTTGCAATTTTTTTAGTGAAACCATTATGTTATTATGTATGAGATATTGAGATGTTCATACCCGTGCATAAGCACGGGGCAAAGACTAGTATAATCTAATTTTTGATATATGACAAAATCTCTCTCGTTACGATCTTCTTTTCTTGTCAACGAATGTTTCTTCTCAATAATTTTTGATATATGACAAAATATAAGGTAATTAATTTGATTCATACAAAAATAAAATAAAACATAAATCTGTACATTTGGCTAAAAAACCATTTTGTTAACATCTATTAGCTTTTAACTATTTTAACTGTCTGCTGCATTGGAGCTACTTGGATCGAAATCTCCATTTGATGCAGAGAAGACAGCAGGTTCAAGACTCTCGTTTATGCTCTTTGTTTGTCTCTTTACCCTTTTTGTTCTCTGAGGCTGAAGAGGAGCATCTCCTTCACCATTCACTTCTTCTTTTGCTTTCTGCGAGCCTCTAGGTTTCGGAGTTGAAGCAGCTTTCCTCTGTAACAGTTAAACATATATGCTTTTTTCTTTAGCAGATACTCAAACCACAATTCATCAACTAAACAACGAAGACAAACTACACTAGCAGATGAGAAACGTGAGCAAAAGAGTATCAAGTTTCTAATACACACCTTTTTGTTACTGGGTTTTGTCTTCTCCGCTTCTTGGCAAGGTTCCTCTCCGTTATCCTGTCGTCCAGCTTCTTCCAACTCTTCCAAAGTCGCATCTCCTTCATCATCTATTCTTATACATTTCGTTGGCTGTTTCTTCTTCTGCCTGTCCTTCACCTGGAAGATCAAAATGAACGAAGTTATGAGTGGCGGAATTCAGAACCATCGTGAGATCTTATTATATATATAATAAGAATGCTGTCCCCACCTGTAATGGTAGTTCTCTGAATTTCTGCTCCAGTTGTGCTGCCTCTGCATCATCCATAAGCAACGATACAACATCCGCAGTTCCAAAAACATCATCACCCTGAACAGTTCCTCCGGTCATAACAAGCTGCTGGACTGTATTTTTCTGACTTGCCCTGTGCAAGATTTTCTCTTCCACAGTCTCCTTGCATATGAGCCGATACACAGTAACCTGAAAGAGGTTTCAGTTTCAGAAAAAGAGGAATCAGGCGAGATAGAAAATCATCCCACTGTTAGATGCTTGTTCACTTGACAGCTTTTTGTTTTGTTTTGGGGTGGGAAAGCGATTAGAAGAATAAAGGAGAGAGAGAGAGAATCACTGACATCTTTTGTCTGACCAAGACGATGAGCTCTGTCCATAGCTTGCAAATCCAAGGTAGGATTCCAATCACTTTCATAGAATATGACAGTGTCCGCAGCCGTCAAGTTGATCCCAAGTCCTCCAGCTCTGGTGCTCAGCAAGAATACAAAAATATCGCTCCTGCAACCATGTAAGGTTTACATTTGTGAACAGGCAAGCCTCATGAAAAAAACGAAAAAGAGAGACTTGAGAAAGTTATATCATACCTATGCTGAAAATCCCTAACCATATCTCTCCGATCCATGATGGTGGAGGATCCATCAAGTCTGAGGTACTTGTACTTTCTATAGTTCATATAATCCTGGCATAAACATGAAATGGAACATGTAAGCTAATAAGCTATACTCGTTAGCAGGGTGAGGTCAAATTGTGTCTGGAAACTACCTCGAGAATATTCAGCATCTTTGTCATTTGTGCAAACAGGAGCACTCTATGATTTCCAGCTCGAAGTCGCTTCAATAATATATCAAGTGTCTGCAGCTTTCCAGAGGCCTACAGATAAACGATTTTATAATAAGAAACACAACACCTAATAAAACAAAGCTACTAAATATATATAAAAGAAGCTGCAACAGATTAGAAACTACCGTGAGTAACTTTGCTGGATCAAAACTTTGCATTGGAGGGCAAGAACCAAATATCCTGTGAGTCAGTTGAAGCGCAGGTTGCACAACTGGAAGTTCTGAATCAATTTCTTCGATTAACGGATGTGGAAGGCCGTTTGGCTTCATGGGTCCATTAGCTTCTGACGTCCGTGCAAAACCGATTAATAGTCTCTTAAGCCATGGTTGATGTAAATCCTCTGTAATTCTGTAGGCAGAATTTCTGTCCGAGCAGTGAACGCTTACCTGAAAATTGCAAGTTCAAATAGAGCACGGATGAGAAGACTTGGTAAGGATCTACTGCGGTAAATAATTGACAACTTCACAGTTCAAAGAAATCATACCGGAGGAGCCCTGGCTTTTGGGATAAAAGTATACGTAGAATGTAGGAGTTTGATATTTGAAAGAAGCCTATCCTGATGAGAGATCACTAGAGATTCCAATGAGTGATGGGTAGGACCTGCGCCTAATCTCCCTTTCAGCAAATTCGTTTCAACTTTTGATGGCATCAGCAACATTCTTGTGACAGCCCTGGTTTGCACTCTATTGATGTTGTCTCCACCAAGTTCATCATCCATGACTTCCATGTCTACTAATATCTCATCCAAGAATTGCCGTTCCCATTTCAGCATAGAGAATAATAGCCTTTCCATGATGGAACACAAAGCCAGATATCCAGCTTCTGATGGTGATAAATCCATCAAGTGCGAAAAGCCAAATGCTCCACTTCTACTAACCGCTTGATCTACCCGACTATCAGATGGGAATATTGACCTAAGAATATACTCGGGTGAATATATATTGAAATGCTTCAGAAAGGATTCTCTTGATATGCCCCGCCCGATGGAAGAGCAGAATGTTTCAGAATTTTGGAGCACCTCCTTCTGTAGGAGTTTAGGTATCTGAAACAGAATTAAAAGACAGAAACCAAACTCAGGATTTAGTCAGAGACTATAAGATATTGTTGACCCCGAACTTCTTTAAGGTATTGAATTGCACCTCGTATGTTATCGGATTTTGACCACCAGAATAATGTACATCCTCTAGCTCACCAAAGGGAGGGGGCAAAAGAGAATTAGAAATCACTCCAAAGTAGAGATAAGAGCTCCCTTCATTCCTTTCGAACAACTCTGGATGGTTGCAAACCTGGCACCAGAGAAACAGGTATACTATTATAAGCCACAGGCTGACATATATGTTGTTAGAGAGATAGATACACCTTCGTGTTGAATAATGTATGATAAGCAGGACAAGATGTTAAAACAAAGCAGGGAAGTATTGGGTTGACAAGAGAGCTTGCCTTCCTAAGTTGAATGACGATATTCATTAAATTCAATATTTTCTTTTCATTAAGATGCCCACGGTTGCTATCAAACAACTCAGTCAGAGAAATTTTGTTCTTAATAGCCTGATAAAACGCTTGTTGTCGAGAACTGAGCTTGCAATGTACTGTAACTTCCGTCTTTGTAGTTAGCTCAGAAACCACATCCTTTTTGACCCGTCGGAGCATGAATGGCTTTAATATTGCATGCTGTTTGGGAAAAGAGACAATGTAAGTGACTAGATAACTAAAAAAGGTAAAAAGATGCACCCGTTGTACAAACTTGAAGAATTCATACAGAAACAGCAGTCACCAACTAAATTTGACAGATCTTTAAAAAGAAGAGAGAGAGACAGAAAGTTGGCTGTAAGAAACCGAAAACAAGAACCTAGAAGCTTTCCATTCATGACATATGCATATACATGTCTGCGTGTTTCCAGAATTCTCAAGAGGAATAAAAACAGAAAATGAATGATTTCATGAATCAGAAATGGAAAGAGCAACCATATTTGCGCCTAGCAAACTTAAAATAAGAAGCAGACAGAAAGTAAAAGAACTTGAGGTGTCGCCAGACAGAAAGTGAAATCTCACCAGTCTGTTAAGCTGGTGCTCGTTTAAAGTGCCTCCATGTTCAGCATGATTCTCAATTCTGTTAATCAACAAGGATCGTGTATCAGAAAAATTCCTAAATTGTTCACTACAAACTTATACAAGACCATCAAACCAGAAATATAGTACAAACCCTTTTGAGAACCACTCATTAAATTGGTCATGGCTGTCAAACAACATTGGCATGATGAAGTGCAATAGGGCCCATAACTCTGCCATGTTATTCTGAATTGGAGTACCAGTCAGAAGCAATCGGTTCCGACAGTTGAAACTTAGAAGGGTCTTCCATCTTATACTGTCAAGGAAAAAGGGAAAATGAAACTTGCATGAGAAATTAGCATTTCAAAATCGCACAAGAATTACTCGAGGGAAAAGCAAGAACCTGGAGGCACTTTTAATTGCTTGGGCCTCATCTAGAACCATATATTGCCACTTAACCCGGCGAAAATACTTTTCATCGGTTACTAGTAGCTGATAGCTGGTAATTAAAATATGAAAACCAGCATCCCTGAAAGAGAAGGGAGTCAACAGAGAAACTCTAGAACAGCGCGAAAATATTTATTGATCAGTTCCACCCTCCAAACCATCTAGAGGAGTATCAACACAATTAAGGGAAATCCTCACAATACACATGGTCGTCTTTAGAGTGGAATCATAAAAATCAGAAAAGGATGATTTAACACTAGCGGTACATTTCACTTAATGACTGACTTTTAACAACAACAGTGCATGCTCTTTTCAAAATGCAACACTACAAAGACCAGGAAAGGCGAACCAAGTGCAGACAAACACTACACCTAATAACATGATATGCAAATAGGACTGAGAGTCTAAATGGAGAACAAAATAATCATATAACCTAAAATATATTACATAGTCATTACCTTCGGTACATACGCTTGGGATTGATATTCTTTCTTAAAATTGTCCGCTCTTGTATTCCTCCCCAATATGGAAGAGTCTTCAAGTCAGGACAGAAACGACTGATTTCATCAGCCCAGTTGTTCAGAACAGAAGCAGGGGCAACCACCAGAAATGGACCCCAAATGTTCTTTTCCTGTGTGAGTGAATCGATGAGTATCAAGATTGTCAAACCACAACAGATAAAAAGGACAGACAATTCTATTTACCTCAGCCAAATGTGCCAAGAATGCCATAGCTTGAATAGTCTTACCCAAGCCCATTTCATCAGCAAGTATGCCATTCAAACCCTGGAGTATATCAAACAATAAACTTAGCACTGACCCATTCTGAAAGAGGATTCCCAAGGAAAAAAATTTCCTCCATAAAGTCCCACGCAACAAAATAATAACTGTAAGCAGAGGTTGAGTGAACCTGCTCATAACAATTGACTAGCCACTGAAGGCCTTTCATTTGGTATTCTTTGAGGGTTCCTTTAAATAACTCTGGAGTCTGAACTGTTGATGTAACAGGCATTGTGGATCTGCAAGTAAAGGGATCTAATTGGCTTAATAGGCTAAAATCACAGAGACAAAATATGGAAATAACAAGAACACAAACTTACGGGTTATGCAAATCTATATTGCTCGAGCCACAAACTGGTATCTCATTTGAAGGACCTTCCATCTCAGAAGTTTGCCGTAGCTTTATATATTCAGTGTCGAATGCATCTGTTATTTTTTTCTGCTTAGACACCGCCTCTTGGGCAGCTTTCAGGGCCTGTTCCCTTACTTCAGCATCTTCAGGATCCTCCACCTCAGAAGGTTCTGCCGCTGAAGGTTCTGGGAGCTCTTCGTCAACTGGATTTTCATCTCCTATTGGGAAGGCTTCTGAAGGCTTTGAATCGGCCTTATTTTGCATGAAGTGACTGTAAAGTTCAGTCTGTTTGATTAGAAAATTGAGCCTCTGCTGCTGCCTCTTTGCCTCTCGAAGCTCCTGTTCACGTTTCAATGCCTCTGCAGCTTCCTTTTCCTGTTTTTTCCTTTCTTCTGCCTGTCAACAGTCAACATCGTCAAATTAATCCAACTGCACCATTCAAAAGAATTCCAGCAAAGGACATAATAAAGTTCCAAATCTACTACTTCCATTATAACTTCATCCATTTCTATAGCCAAGTTTTTAGGGCTGTGAGTACTATTCAAGTGCGCGTCTAGGAGAAAGGGTAAAGAAACCCATGCAAAAAGCATGTTTGGCAAAATAAATATGGCAGAAGAATGTGTAACCAGATCTAGTTGGCAGCCTGAAAGTATAGTACAGAGTCTATGGAGAATAGAAAATGTACCATCTGCTTGTCATATCGCTTCCAGAACAGCAACATGTCTCTGGATATTTTCCTGGTGCGAATTGGTGCACTCTTTGGCAATTTGTGTGATCTGGCCACCTTAGTTCTCACCTGTAAATTCAAACTCACAGCAAATGAGAGCTTAATTAAAACTCAAATGCAAGAGAACGGCAGTTTTGAGAAAGCAGATAATATAAAAACTAAATGAGTACGTGAAGCCATAATATGAGAGCCAATATCAATTACCTCTCTCTGGCAACAATCTGCAAACCTCTTGGCATCAATTGATTGTTTCCGATGAAAAGTAGTGAAGATTCTATGGTGTTTTGGTATTTCTCTTCTGACAATGTTGATCCAGGCTTTTCTAATTTTGTCCCTTTCTGTCTTTTCAATAACTGCAGGATCATGCTTCACCTTCTGCTTCTTTGGTAGACTTCGTCTAACAATCTGAAGAATGGATACATAAAAGAATGTCAGGAAATATATATTGTTGCAAGAACCGTGAAGGATACAAATTATGATTTTGTTCATAAAATATTGTCGCAGGATCCAAACCTCATATGTATCCCCTTTCTCCAGAACCTTCACGTAATGAACCTGTAAAACACCACCCTCTGACAGAATTGTCCGTGCAGTAGTTCCAGCAGCTCCTTCTGGAATGACAGAATTCATTGCAGCTTCAGACACCTTGAGGCTGAAATTTGGGATGGAATTTGAAGCGGACAAGGCCTTCACTCTAGCTTGAAGTGATTCATACTGAGCTCGAGGCTCACCCATTCCACTATGGCTTCTTGCTCCAGACCTTTTACTGGTAGCCATCAGTTCTGCTAATGATCTCAAATCCAGAGTTCCTTTCAAGTAAAATTCTTCCACATGAATATCTGAAAAGCTTGGTAAGTTTAATGATGCCACCAGCTTGTCATAACTTGGGGGGATTCTGTAGACAACGCCGTCACCAATATCCAAATATGAAGGTTCATATGCAATTCTGAAAATTATGAAAAAATCCAACGTGTCAATCCAGGAAACCCAACACCAGATAACTAAAGGAATCACACAGTATGAATCATGAAAAAACGTATGAACAACATACTTGGGGGTAATATCTGAATCTCGATGGCTTCCTCGCCTCTGTGGGATTGCATCAGAGGTGTCCATGTCATAGAATCTCCCATGGTGATCGTTCCCTAGTTTCCTACCTCTGTAACTGCCCACATTGCTCTTTGGCATCGGAACACCCATCAAATGTGTGTGATTAGGCTGAGACTCCTTGGACCTGCTTTTGAACTTTTGTACATGCTCCCCAAGCATTGATCGGTAGTGCTCCTCAGTAACATGATGATTGTAGGGTTCATCATCATCATCATCCTCTGCATCATCATCAGCTTCTGTCCACCGCTTTCTCTTCTTGATGCTCAAGTTCGTTCCCGATTTACGCCCATTGCTATAGTTTGCCACTACCCCACCTTTGACCATCACCAAACCATTAAAACACAGATCAAAGTCACACAAAGTGTCACAATTGGTAGCAAATGTATCAATACCATTAAAACCAATAAAACTTTGTACCTTGATTGCTTCTAGTTTCATCCTCGCTACTACTCTCATAATAATCATATTCATCTTCAGCTCTCGGAATTCTGAAGTTCATCAATGGCTGCAAGAGTGGAAAATTTAGCCACAAGCACACGAAAATTTCCAGAAAACAACATCGAATTTGATCAGGTAAAACGATGAAATCCACTACATGAACATGAACGAGGTATATAGAATTGCAAAATTTCCAATCACCAAAACTACATTCATCACAGTCACATGATCATCCAACATGTTCAAACCATCAGAGTGTACAAAATTACAAAATTCAAATTAAAAAAAAATCCAAAAAAAGTTGAGACCGTACAGACCTCGAGATCGAAGAGATTTGCGTAACGTGAGTCCTTGGGTTGCCTTCTCGAAGGATCCATGAGAGAGAGACGAGAAAGACACGGCGAAAAATTTCGGAGAATCTAACTCTTAAAAGCTGCTAATAGTATGGAAACATTCGTCACGAGAAAAGTGCAAGAGTTCGTCTCGAAGAAGAACCCTAATTGCAGTATGATAGAGAAGGAGGAGAAAGGTAAAAGAAGAGATGCGCAAGATAGTGGACTCAGCCGGTACAGGAAGAAGACGAGACTACTAACATACGCCATTCGAATAAAGCTTCTTACCGTGCGCCCCTCCTCCACAAAAATCATTTAATTTCCTTAATTTTATTTTTCTAAATTGTGCTTCAAAACCTCCGATACCGGCCGGTTACATAACGACGGAGACGACAACGATCCCTCGGGAAAAAGGGTCGATATTTGGAAATATAACTTTTTGGGGGTAAAATCAGAATATATAAGAAGTATACGGGAAAATTGATAAATATTGAAAGTCTGATTCGAGGTAACCCTAATTCCAATATACAAGACATCCTCATCGTCTCCAAACCTCAATCTCTGCCGTCTTCTGAGCTCGGCGGATATATTTGTTTTTTCCAGTGGAAAGCGGCGGAGATAGAGAGAATTGCGAAGATGGCGGACGGCAAATTGAACTATGACCTGACCCCTCTAATAGCGCCTAACCTGGACAGACACCTGGTGTTTCCGATACTGGAGTTCCTTCAAGAGTGTAAGCTATACCCTGATGAGCAGATCCTAAAGTTCAAGATCGAACTTTTGAACAAGACGAACATGGTTGATTACGCCATGGATATTCACAAGAGCCTCTACAAAACCGAAGACGCTCCCCAAGGTAAATCTCGTGTCTTTCCTCTCTAAAAATGTCTCTGAATTAGCGTTTTTTTTTTTCATCTTTGGTTGTCTGATGATGAATGTGGTGTTGAACATAGATATGGTGGAAAGAAGAGCAGAAGTTGTAGCTAGGCTTAAATCTCTGGATGAAGCGGCTGCACCACTCGTGACTTTCCTCTTGAACCCAAACGCTGTTCAGGAGCTAAGAGCTGACAAGCAGTACAATCTCCAGATGCTGAAGGAACGCTACCAGGTTGTGATTTTATCCGATTTTTTTACTGTTTTTGGGATTGACTAAGGAACGTCAAATCTTATAATGTCAATGTTGTTTTATCAGATTGGTCCAGACCAGATTGAGGCTTTGTACCAATTCGCCAAGTTCCAGTTTGAATGTGGGAACTATTCTGGAGCTGCTGATTATCTGTACCAGTACAGGACCCTCTGCTCTAACCTTGAGAGAAGCCTGAGCGCCTTGTGGGGAAAGCTTGCGTCTGAGATATTGATGCAAAACTGGGACACTGCTCTTGAAGAGCTCAACCGTCTCAAAGAGATCATTGACTCAAAGGTCTGTTTGCCGAGTTTCTTCTAGCTTTTGTAGCCTTTGAGATCCCACATTGATGTGAGTATGTATGTACTGATTAGCATTTTTGGTATTTCAGAGTTTTGCATCGCCGTTAAACCAGGTCCAGAACAGGATTTGGTTGATGCACTGGGGTCTCTACATCTTCTTCAACCATGATAATGGAAAGACGCAAATCATTGATCTTTTTAACCAAGACAAGTAAGTTTTTACAGTTTTAGAAGTAGCAAAATAACATATTTATTTGAAAGAAACATTTCTCCCTTTTGCATATGTGTATCATTTGAAACCTATCTATGCTTCCACCTGTTTTTTCTTTCCATCTTAAGTGGTTTAGCTGAATTTCACATGCAAGATTGCATTTATGTGCATCCCGTATTGATCCTCTTAGAAGCGGTGTTTGTCTCTGAAACAATTTTCTGAATTAAAGTTAGTCCTATGTGTGATCAGTGATTAACATTCTCCAGTTATAGATTTTTCATTCATTCTGTCCGGACCTCCGTCTGTTAGGATTGTGCTTTTAGTGAGGGCATTTGCTGAAAACTAACCAACTTTGTTTTCCATGCCATTTATGCTGTATAGTATACTAATTTTGTATTTATTTTTAGGTACCTAAATGCCATTCAAACTAGTGCTCCACACTTGTTGCGTTACCTGGCTACTGCTTTCATTGTCAACAAAAGGAGAAGGCCTCAGTTGAAAGAATTCATTAAGGTCATTCAACAGGAGCACTACTCTTACAAAGATCCTATTGTCGAGTTTCTGGCATGCGTGTTTATCAATTATGACTTTGATGGGGCTCAGAAGAAGATGAAAGAGTGCGAAGAGGTAAAGCCGTTCACATGCATATTGCTTTATTTTATGGAAATGGTGCAGTATGATATAATCAGCAGTCTCACATGTTGCTATGATACAGGTCATTGTTAATGATCCATTCCTTGGAAAGCGAGTTGAGGATGGAAACTTTTCAACTGTACCACTTAGAGATGAGTTTCTCGAAAATGCCCGCCTATTCATCTTCGAAACCTATTGCAGAATTCATCAGAGAATTGACATGGGGTAAGTTATTGTATTCGTTTACCTGCTTCTGATTAAGGTTGGTAGAATTTGTATGATCTTTGTATTTGTATTGATTATGTCATGGCCTTGTCAGGGTTCTTGCTGATAAATTGAATCTGAACTATGAGGAGGCAGAGAGATGGATTGTGAACCTTATCCGCACCTCAAAGCTTGATGCCAAGATTGATTCCGAGTCTGGAACCGTAATCATGGAGCCTACTCAGCCCAACGTGTAAGTAAAACACAATTTTGTACATAAATCTATAACATCATTCTGATCTTCATCTGAAAATCTATAATGTAAACTCGTTTCCCACTTAATGCAGGCATGAGCAGTTGATAAACCACACCAAAGCCTTGTCAGGACGGACGTACAAGTTAGTGACTCAGCTCTTAGAACACACACAGGGACAAGCAGCTCGTTAGTCACATTTTTGTCGTAGAAACCATCCTTGACCCTTTTCTTGATAATCCTCGCTTTGCTTGACTGGAATCATCTGTTCTTCTTTTTGCTTTGAGTTTGCCTTTTCTTCGGGAAACATGTTTACAAACCTGGTCATGTTTGCAAACGTTGTTTTATTTAATGTTGGATTCACACTTTGGGAAATTCTTAACCTTTTGTTTATTCAAGATTATTGGTACTCAATTCTCGTTTCTCTTGATCTGTTTCGTTTCAGTGTGATTTTCCAACGAAAGCGTTTGAAGGTTTTTGACTTGTGTGATTAAGCCAACTCAAGTTTCTGCCTTGCATTGGTATTTCTAATTCGATTGAAGAGTAAATCAGTCAAAGCATATGTAACCCAGTAGACAAAACTTTAAATCATGACACTGGACTGTCGCCTCTCAGAAATACAAAATTACACTATGAATCCAACACACAAGAGTCATAACCTAACTATTGTCGTCCTCAAAAGTATAAAATAACACCATGAATCCAACAGAGCAGAGTCGTAACGTATTTGAAAGTTTCTTCAGTATGAAGGACTAGCAGATGGTTTGGATTTCTTTGGAGGTGGGTTTCCTCCAGAGAGCACCACGTATGAATAGAAACACAACATGGCAGCACTGCAATGAAAAAGACAAACACAAGGTCACATAAACCCACTAAAGATAGATACATCAGACTCCGTTATAGATCACAAAAGGATTTCTCACCTGACGAAAGCAAAAACCCCTGCAGGAAACAGCTTCTTAGTCTGCATAAGTATAACATTAGGCAGTTAAAGTCAAGCAAGCAAACATTTAAAACAACCACCATGATCACAACGATGATGAATAGTTGAATACCATAGAATAAGCTGTGAAGTTCTTCCAGAAGACGACAGCTGAAAGCACTGCATTTTCAGGGTTTCAAAGAAATGAGTAAAGCACAAAAAGCTTTCATAGAGAACATAAACATATAGATAAACATTCATGTGCACTCATATCTCTACTTTTCATGTGTAAGATACCAGAAATTGCGTGAATAAATGAATTAGGAAGTAGTGATTATAAAACACCCTTTCAATGAAGATTACCTGCTTGGCCTAGTATATAAGGGAAACTAGATTTTCCCTGTCGCCAAATCTTTAGGCTCAATGTACTAAGAGCTAGAAGGCCACCACCATAGAGGACACCAGTACTTAAACTTGTAAGATTTCGAGAAAACGCAAATCCAAGAAGCCCTCCACTCATAACGAGACCACCTGAGAAATTGTCATTCATGAAGCCGAATCAACACCCATGCGTAACGAAATGGGGAATGAAGAACTTGAAAAGTTAAACAAAACAAAGCAAAAACACTTTAACAGGCAGCTCAGAATGCTAAGATTTGAGAGTCACAGAGTACCATAAGGAATGCCGAAACAGAAGTCGTGGATCTTTGCTGCTCTTTTTGGCTCTGTGATGATCTCTTTACTGGTAGCAGCTTCATCCACAGTTGAATACGGTCTCGGTGTTTTCTCAACAAAAGGTTTCGAAACCTCAGCTGTATAGCTTAGAGAAGCTGGCGTCTCTGAGGTATTGCCATCAACGCTTCTAACCACAAAAGACTGCACCATTTAAACGCGAATTAGCAACTAGTGACACAGTCAGTCCCAGAAAATCTAGATGAGAGAGCTCAACAAAGGATTCTAACACACAGAACTGGATATGATTGCTTGAAGCTATCAAAATCATACAACGTTCTCTATTATCTAAGCCAGAGAAGAGGGAAGCAATTCAACATTTCGAGTACTACCGAAATCAATCAAGCAGGTAACTTTTCGACAGCAATCGGAGAAGATTAACAAATACAGTGTATTGGGCATCGTCGTAACCAAAACGAGATGTATTTTTCAGGCCATACTCGAAGAGATTACCTCGGGACGAAACCGAAGGCAAGGAAACGATCGGCTCTGGAAGTGAAATTGGCGATTGGTGGAGGAGAAACAAGCAAGCTGAGAGATTTTCGCTGCCATCGTCGAGATCTGAGACTGAAAACCTCGTGTTTAAAAGTCTAAACGGAGAGAAGAGCAGAATCGATTTGGGGGAATGGAGCGTGGTCAGCACAAGAGGAAGTGGTTGATTTTGATTTGGCCGGCGTTGCTGAAAATGGAGACGATGATGATCGGACAATCGTGACCGTCCGTTCGATTTTGACTATTTATCAGTCAAAGAAATTACGCGCATATGATATGACAATAAGACAATTGATTATCGGATTTGTATTTTTTTGGTTTGTTATTTTAGTATCATCAATCAATTTGATACGGTTTTAGTTTGGGTTGGATTTGGTTTATAATAATGTATTGTAAACCAAATTTTGGGTTTTTAACTATTTCACACGCAAATTCAATTTTTGATTGATGAAAAAGTGAATCATTCCACGGTAAACCAAACCACGTCTTGCCGCTAATTCAGAAATCACTTTTTACAGTTTGATATTATAAAATCTTGTGAAAAAAAAATGTAATTAGAGAATTTCGTATCAAAATAGCATATTATTCTAAAAATTAGTATTTTAAATTAAAAAAAGTGTAACTATAATCTCTTACTTAAAAGAACATCTTCCTTGATATTACCTTTGTTCTGTCATTTATGGAAAACCATTTTCTATTATTTAAAATCACATCTTTACATCCACGGATTTTTCCACGTGGACGGACCGATTGGACGAAATAATGTACTTATTTTAAATGAACTATGTGGGATAATAATTACTCATTCTGATTTGTTTAGACTTCCAAGAGCAAATATTGTGCACTGGCTTTGATGGTAGAGAACTTGTCATTTCAAATAAGTTTTCAGTTATTATTTCTATAAATTTAATCTTTTATGTCTTTTTACGATGCTTCATATTTGTTTTTACGCATTTAGTTTGGACTCCTTATTATCGAGTATCCAATTTTGGTATATATATATATTTTTCTAAGTTTAATATAATATTAGTGGTTCAAACAAAAAATTTGGTTTAAGCATCTATCTCAAGTTTCTTTTTCAGAATAGGCTCATATTTATTGGGCTTATTTTGTTTAAAAAATATTGGCATTAGTCAGATTTATTAGGCTTATTTCGTTCAAAGCATATTTGGCATTATTAGTTGATATTTGATAATGTTGTTGTTTTACTTTGTTACATTTGTAATTGGAGTTGGAGGTATATGTGCGGAAATTCAAACAGTTTACCAACGAGGAGAAATATGTTACAATTGTGTTGATTCTATCCAAGTTTTCTCATCTACTTTGTTGATTCCATGAATCCAAATTTTGCTTAAGACAACAAAAATAATGTATCAAACTGAACACTACCGGTTACCTGTTAATCTTGTCCCTTTAATAAAAAAAAGGGGTTTCCACGATTCAACAATGTGAATTTAAAGAGATTTTAATAGATTAATAGGCAAAAAAAGAAAAAAAAAAACAACCAAACTTTTTAATGCCGTCATAAGTCCTTTTTGGTTTTCCTCAAACACACTTCATTCATTACAAGGATACTAAGAACTGACACAGTTTCTCCCTTTCCGCAATTAAAATCAACCAAGAAGAGGTACTATATGCAAGCAAAGCATAGTAAGAAAACAAGGAAGAAGCCGTTTTCGCTATTGTGTCATTCAAATGACTACCTTGGAATTTGAAAGATAGTTTCAACAACTTTCTTATTCCTTCCTTGATCTCAGTAGTAAAGCTCTTAAGTCTTGGTCATAGATGACGATCCTTCAAAAATTGGATTAAAATCCAATAAGCACTCTAAAAAAGTGAAAGACTTTTCCTCATGTTTTAATGTTACAACAAACAAACAGTACTGTACGCCTCAAGACTCACGACAGCAGAAATCTTTTCTTTCTGCGTCTCCGGAGTAGCATCATCATTAAGCGCCGAGTTGCCGTAACGACCACGAAACACTAACCACAACGACCAACCAGATTTAAAGAACCCACTCGTAATTAATATGATTGAAAATGCTTATACCCTAGTGGTTGAATTATAAAATTTAATTTGACATTTTTTTAAGACTCTTCCATCACAAACTCTCAGTTCAGTTTTTTTTCTTAATTAGAGGTCCCTAGCTTGATTTCAATCCCTCTAAGCCCTAATAAATTCCACTTCTTGCTTGACTTGCCAGTTACACCAAGTTGACTTATGAGGAGTCATGTGTTAGATTCAATTATACTGTATAGATTCAATTATACTGTATCTGATACCATTGTAAATTAACTATTACTACGAGATACGGATACCAACATGTACATTTCTTATTATATGCTTATTCAGTATATCTCCATATTGCTGCCATTTGGGTGCATTTCGATATTTATTCCCAAGAGTTTACTATATATACGTGTGTGTATGTATGTGTGTATAATGTATGTTAAAAATCAACTTAAATATAAATAAACGATTCTCGACTTCTCGTAATTATTAGGTCAGAACTCTTCCTAGTTACCAAGCCATGGATCTATGTAACTTGGCGTCGTTAACCGTTCTTCTCGGTCTATTCTTCGTCAATACAAATACTGCAGGTCACCAATCTCTCCTGATTCATTTTGTACGGAGAAAATTAATTACAATATCACACGTGCATAAGAATATTCATTAAGACGACGAAGTAATTTTTTTTTTTTTTTGGTAAGTTGTGTGGGAGATGAAATTCTCCCACCTTTATTGAGAAAACCAAACACATTTAAGTGATACAAATGCTACGAGGACACTTAAACTCTAGGAATTAATTAAGACGACGTAGTAATTATGTATAGGAATTTCCGCTTAAACTCTAGCGTATCCACCACTTTCTTTTCTGGCCCACTCGATTATATCTTTTTTTAACAATGCTATATTTTTAATTGGTTATTGAGAATGGTTCGCAGATAAAAGAAAAAAACTTTGAATTTTAAAAGTTGGCGTCAAAACAAACGTGATTTAAGGTGCAAGAGATGATTTCAAGAACTGTACGTAACGAAAAGTCATCTAAGTCTTACCACATTGATGATGGCTAGTTAGTCTAATGACGTAAGGGGATACACTTCTATGGTCCACAATCGACGTTTGTTTAACGGCTTATACCATGATTCCAAAATGCTAAGTCTTCATCGACGTTTGTTTAACGGCTTATACCATGATTCCAAAATGTTAGTCTTCATCGCATTTAATCTTAAGTGGGGGTGTGTAGGTCTGAATTTTCTCTTTTGTATTGGTAATTAATTTTTAATTAATGAAACCCCTTTAACAAAAACAAAAACAGTAGGCCTCAATTTTTTGGATTTGTTTTTTACATATTCGATGTGTAAACTATTTCTCCATGGTTAACATAATTCTGGAACAGATAGTTTGATTCCGGCTTATTTTTAGAAAAGAAAATATAATATTCATTGATTTTTTAGAATTTGGGATTTGAGTATTTGATTTTGGGGGCGATGGATGGAGGATTCGTCCCATTTAGCAATGAGATATTAGTGTCTAGCTAGTTAGGCCAAAGTGAAATGAAAGCTACTTGCATGTGTCCAAAACTCTCACTCTTAGACTTTTCAAAACATAGATTTAGCGAATATTCATGAACGGTGATGTATAATGTATAACATTCCAAAACTAGTGATGACGTATGTCGCGATGACTTTGTTTAAGTTCATTGACTTAAACCACCGATTCACCCTATAAATTTCGAACATCGAAGCATAAAAATAAACAGCATCCAAACATCATACATCTTTAGTTACTATTCCATGAAGATGTCTAACGAGTCGAGTTACTTAGCCTTACTTCTTCTTCTCAGCTTCCTAATGGCTTCCTTCTTCGACACGGCAGGTTCAAACATCTTTTAATTACTTTGATTGTTTTCAGAATTATGTTTCTGTTTTCTTCTTATTACTGATGATTCTTAGTTGGTAATTAAATGAAGCTGGACAAATCGGAGTGTGCTACGGGAGAGTTGGAAACAACCTACCACGTCCGTCAGACGTGATAGCGCTTTACCGGCAGCAGAACATCCGCAGGATGCGAATTTACGACCCCAACCAAGAGGTTCTGACCGCTCTCCGAGGCTCCAACATCGAGCTTTTGCTCGATCTTCCCAATGTGGATCTCGAGCGTGTCGCCTCCAGCCAAGCAGCAGCCGACGCGTGGGCCCAAAACAACGTCCGAAACTACGCAAACAATGTCAGATTCCGCTACATATCGGTCGGGAACGAGGTGCAACCCTCAGATCCACAAGCTAGGTTTGTCCTCCCTGCCATGCAGAACATCGAGAGAGCGGTTTCGAGCCTAGGGATCAAGGTCTCCACAGCTATAGACACCAGAGGCATCAGTGGGTTTCCTCCCTCGAGCGGGAGGTTCACACCGGAGTTCAGGAACTTTATCGCGCCGGTGATAACTTTCTTGGCAAGCAAGCAATCTCCCCTGCTCGTGAATATCTACCCTTACTTCGCCCATATTAACAACATGAAAGAAATCCCTTTAGCGTACGCTCTGTTCACTGCACCGCCTACTGAAGTCGTTGATGGGCGAAACGCGTACCAAAACCTCTTCCACGCACAACTAGACACTGCTTACGCGGCATTGGAGAAAACGGAAGGCGGATCTGTGGAGATCGTGGTGTCGGAGACTGGTTGGCCGTCGGCGGGAGGAGTCGCGGCGACTACGGATAATGCGAGGACTTATGTGAGCAATTTGATAAAAACTGTGAATAGGGGGGGATCTCCGAGGAAGCCAGAGAGACCTATAGAGACTTACATATTCGCTATGTTCGATGAGAATGAGAAGCCTAATGCTGAGACTGAGAAGTTCTTTGGGCTGTTTCGTCCGAATCGGGAGTCTAAGTACGGCATCAATTTCAACTAAAGATGATCTTTGAAGACACTTCAAGACAGTTATAATGAGATAAATGGAATTTGAAGGGCTTTCGCATTGTAAGGGTTTCCAAAGAATTGTACCTTGTTGTATAATGATATAAGAAATAATGAATCACAATAAAATAATAAAAAGAATTGTTGTAATACATACAAGTATATAATTACGCCGTTTTTGTTTGTAAAAAGAAAAATCACCTGAGGGATCAGATAGCTAAACCGTATAACTAAACGTATATAACAAACATTTATAAAGAGGAAGAAAAAAAAAACAAGGCAACAAACAAACTACTAACCTAGTTTGACAAACTACCATCATAAAACTTTTTATCTTATCGTCTGATAAACATGACGTGACACAAGAAGATGACTTTTTATTTAATGTTTATCTAGAATGACCTAGGGATAGGGATAGACCCCAAAACTTATATAATTAGTTTACCACATAGAGTCCATAAGGCATATAGTTACTCAAAGGAAGGCGGTAAAAGTAGAAGCTAGGGACGGCCTCCTCCTCCTCCTCCTCCCCCCTTCGCCGGAACTACACAATCCAGTTACCGAATACAATGGTTCGATCAATTCCCATAGCGCTCTCACATGACTCTTTTGATACGGAATCGGCCTTTAATATTTAATTAGGGTTTCTGTGCTTTTTTAGAAAGCAATCACTGACTAATTTGACCTAAGTCTTTAGTTTAAAGGATCTCCTGTTCAAGCCTAAACAAAAGACAAATGATTGAATCCTGAACAAATTAGCTATACTTGAATTGTGCTTAGCCACCAAAGTCGTTGCTCTGTAATTTGAAGTGCTTTGTTTTTTGGTTTACTTGTTCTCCAGGTTATTGAGAAAAAGAGTGCAAATGTTGCTGAGAAATCCGAAACTGAATTAGAAGATACGGTCAGAAGAATCGTGAGCTGGCTCGTCCTAAGTGCCTTCAACATTCTGGCTTACGTCTCCTCACGAGACGGCTTCATGGAAACTCCCTCAGTATGCAAGAATTTCGATGAAGAAAGTTGGTCTTGGTGGCTTCCACAACAAGACTCACTGACTTACTACGATAAGTTGATCAGCATCTTGATTTGCCGGCATCTATTTTGGGTGCAGTTCTGTTTCGCTGCCTTCATGATTATCGTCGTCAAGTACTTGATAGTCTCTGCTTTACCAGATACAAAGCAGACAAAGCGAGTGACTTTTAATGTTCTCGTCCTCGGTACTGTTTGCGGTTTCCACGGTAAGCTTTGGGTGGAGATATTGGGTGGAAACGGCAGACTCTGGCTCTTCGTTTGGGCAACGTTTTGTGTTTTTCAATTCGTTCCATTGGCTTTTCGTGGTCTAACTATAGATGTTACTCGAGCGACCAAATGAAGTGCACGGAGTAGTTGGTTTTTCCTTTTTTCGTTTAATGTTTTTTTTTTCTTTTCTTTTTTTCCGTGTGGGAGTTGTCGAAACTCAAACACTCTTAAATCTCTGTTAAACTCAAACACTCTTAAACTCAAACACTCTTAAATTAAGTTACAAATTAAACACTCTTTGCTTTACTTTATCGGTAACAAGTTTTTGAAAATATTAGCCCCCCTCGCTCTATTGAAAATTTATTATGCTCCCTCTCGCTCTATTGAAAATTTCTTATCGAAAAGGTGATATTTCTTTTAAAATTTCATCCTAAATGCTATTAGTATTATACATAACTATCGAAACATAGCAGTAGCACAAGAAAGTATGTGATGGCTACTCGGTACGTAAAACAAATTCAAAATGGAATTAAACAAACAGTGTAAGACAGAAAATTATATGTGATCCATATTCACTTGTCAGAAAAATAATGGGGAAATTTCTCAATAATTAATTAATGAAAGACTTTGTTTCGATAGTTATATAATGACCTCAAAAAAAAATTGGGCGTTATTTCAAATGAATTACAAAAAATTAAAATCTAAATGCGCCGTCTTTGTAAAAAGAAAGTCACCTGAGAACTAAACGTATTAAATCATACAGTATATAACAAACATTTATAAATGAGGGTGAAAAAAAACAAACAAACAAACTACTAACCTAGTTTGACAAACTACCAGCATAAAACTTTTTATCTTATCGTCTGATAAACATGACGTGAGACAAGATTAAGATGACTTTTTATTTAATGCTTATCTAGAATTAGGGATAATAGACCCTAAAACTTATATAATTAGTTACCACATAGAGTCCATAAGGCATATAGTTACTCAAAGGAAGGCGGTAAAAGTAGAAGCTAGGGACGGCCTCCTCCTCTCCCCTTCGCCGGAACTACACAATCCAGTTACCGAATACAATGGTTCGATCAATTCCCATAGCGTTCTCACATGACTCTTTTGATACGGAAATCGGCCTTTGATTTATCGTTTTCTGTTACATGGCTGTTTCACTTTCGTTATATTGTAGTTGCCCGCGCGCGCTTGATATTTAGGGTTTCTGTGCTAAACTTTTTTAGAAAGCAATCACTGACTAATTTGACCTAAGTCTTTAGTTTAGAGGATCTCCTGTTCAAGCCTAAACAAAAGACAAAGGATTGAATCCTGAACAAATTAGCTATACTTGAATCGTGCTTAGCCACCAAAGTCATTGCTCTGTAATTTGAAGTGCTTTTGTTTTTTGGTTTACTTGTTCTTCAGGTTATTGAGAAAAAGAGTGCAAATGTTGCTGAGAAATCCGAAGCCGAATTAGAAGATACGGTCACAAGAATCGTGACCTGGCTCGTCCTAAGTGCCTTCCACATTCTGGCTTACGTCTTCTCACGAAACGGCTTCATGGAAGCTCCCTCAATGTGCAAGAATTTCTATGAAGCAAGTTGGTCTTGGTGGCTTCCAAGACAAGATTCACTGGCATACTACGATAAGTTGATCACCATCTTCATGTGCCGGCATCTATTTTGGGTGCAGTTTTGTTTCGCTGTCTTCATGATTTTCGCCGTCAAGTACTTGATAGTCTCCTGCTTTACCAGATACAAAGCAGACAGAGCGAGTGACTTGTAATGTTTTCGTCCTCGGTGCTGCTTGCGGTTTACCCGGTAAGATGTGGGTTGAAACATTGGGCGGAAACGGCAGACTCTGGCTCTTCGTTTGGGCAACGTTTTGTGTTTTTCAATTCGTTCCATTAGCTTTTTCTGGTCTAACTATAGATGTGACTCGAGCGACCAAGCGCACGAAGTAGTAGTTGGTTTTTCCTTTTTTCGTTTAGTGTTTTTTTTTTTTTTCCTTTCCTTTTTTCTGTGTGGGAGTTGTCGAAACTCAAACACTCTTAAATCTCTGTTACAAATTAAGTTATCATTTTTTTTGTTACAAATTCGAACATTCTCGATATTTTGTCATCTGTATTTCTTTACTTGTTTTGCTGCTCGGTTATGTGCGATCTAATCCTAGCTCTCTCGAGAACAACTCTCGTTTAAGGCCAGCTAAACTTGTACATATCTAATGAAGCTTCTTATACTTAACACTCAATGCGAGTCTAAGTATACTTGAGCTATATCTTCATGAAATCTTAATTATTTTCAGTTAATTGTATTTATGCAATTTTTAAATTAATTGGAGATTAGGTTCATTAGAATTTTACAGATTTTGGTATAAAAGTAAAATTTTCAGAGTTGAATGTTTCATATTTTGAATGTAAAGCTTCCAAAAGAAGAAGCAAAAACTAGTTGAAATTTATCAAAAAAAATCTTATCCAAATTAAGATTTTCCTCGAAAGAACACAAAGAATTTAGGCAAAATCCCATTAACACATATGCTATCAAAAATTTGAACTGTTAATTGTTTCGGATCTCAAAAACATGTATTTGCCAAAATCATAGGATGGTTAACTTTTGTTTTTGTTTTTTAAATATATCATATTAGAAATGGCCACACGTATTTCATGTTATCGGACCGAATGAGATAAACGTTTAAAGATTCTTCATTTGTACCAACCAGCAAGAAAATGCCTAAGCAGGAAACACAAGGCGCAAGCTAGTGCCTGCAAAGAAAACCAAATTTGTTAACATCTCTCTTACAAGTCACAACAAGCAAACTTGTGACTAAGAGATAATTGGGCAGTAATACTCTTTTTACCTGGAAAACAAGAAGATGAATACAAAGAGACTTCTCTGATTTGCTACCAAAAATCCTCAAGTAGACGTTCACGAGCGTCCCATCTTTTGTTCCCGTTAATAATCCCGTGGCAGGATCAAACCTGGTTCAAAAGTGGGAGGAAGAGTCAAGTGTCGTTGGCTTTAGCGTTTTATGTAACAAAACAAAAAAGATTTAGCTTACTTTGGGAGGCGATGCCTTGGACATTTCACAATCCCAGCAAGCTGAAGAGTTACACAATAGCAAGTTTAGATGCTTAATAAGTGACTCAAAAGTAAAAGAAAGTGTGAGAGAGGATCAAACCTGCGGAAGCGACAATAGAAAGTTCAACACTTGAGGAAGAAAAAATATCAGGAGGGTCTCACTGCAAAAAGTGGATTTTTCGAAGATGGAGTTAGTCAAAACGAAAATGATGAAACTGAGCACAGGGAAACAAGGAAGCTATTGGTACCTGAAGTGGCCCAGAATGCCAGCTACTGCCATAGTCATTCCTGCAAAGACTGTGTAAGTGTCTCCAACAAAAACTGCAGATGGGTACCTTACAACAACACCAAAGAGAGGACATAGAGAAAGCATTAGCTTTAGCTAAAGTAAAGTCAAAGTATTCAAGAGAAAAGACTTGAGAAGCATTTACCAATTGTAAGCAAGCATTGCCAAGGATGTTGCCATCAATGGCTGAGTAAGATAAATAGAGAAGGCATGAGCTTGACGAAACTCGATGTCAACAGATGCTCCGATTTGCATAACGTTGTGTATCAGGATCTACAAGTTACTGAGATGCATCATATCTTTACTTAAGAGAAACCAACGGAATGAAAAGAAGGGACAAAAGAATGAAGAGTTCCAACACTTACAGCAGCTGCAATAACAACTGTTTGACCGATTTCAAGGCCATTTAGACCAGCGTGAATGTTTATAGAGTTTGTGCAGAAGACAGCCAGTAGCGCCATATATAACTTATATATCCGTCCTGCCACCATAACAATACAATTAAGGAAATCAATTTGAAAACAGTTGCTGCACTATGTAGCATTACGTAGAAGAAGAATTGTACCTAGATCAAGAATTTCCAAGCCAACATACGAAACTAGAGGTTTTGGTATAACGATAGTTGTATGTCCGGCATAAGCCATCAGCAGTGGAAGGGTTGCAAAAGATGGCAGGAGAAGTTTCCTACACATTTGACAAGAATTCATATGTGAGCAAAAGTTCACACGCATGAACTTAAATCATAACAATATAAGAACACTGCACCTACACTCTCCAGGGCACATCAAGGACGTCATCTACAAATCCAAGCAAAATCATGAAGCAAATAGATGCCAATGCTGCATTGTACTCCACAAGCCACTGCGCGGAGTCATTCAGAGCTATCAAATTCATAGTTCACAGCTCAGTTTAACAGCTATCACATGAGCTTTGCTTAAGCAAGTTTTGAGATGAGCAAACTTACCAATGAATCTTCCGTGAAATTGAAAAACTGAAATAGTATAGCAACAATCAAGAAGACTATACCAACAGCAATTCCCAATGACTCGGGCCTACAAAGAAATCAGCACACCAAAAGCAATTTAAGCCAAATTCCCAGTAGATCAAATAAAGCCAAAACTTGGATACAATACCAATCAGAAAATCAAATCTAAGAAACATCCATTTGAGCACTAATCCTAAATTGGAACCTAAACAGCTTAATAAGACAAATCGAAAATGGAAAAAACTTACACTTTAACATCTCCTTGAGGAGTGCCTCTTTTGTTGATATCGAATCCAAACATGTTACGCCTCAGAACATATCTAGCAGCCACAGGAATCAATTTGAGCGTAACGAAGAACCCAACCAAGCTAAGCCCAGCGTTAATGAGGATCGGACGCTTGAACTCATCATCAACATTGTAATGGAAACAGAGAAGGTAGAGGTAGAGCGAACACAGGAGCGAAGAGATCACGAGAATCACGCCCAATTTCGGCGGTGCGAGACGGAAATCTTCTCCGGGAACAGCGGTTTTCCTATGCTCCGTCCGCGCCGATGCCGGTGGTTTTTCCGGATTAGTCACTGAAGAAGTTCTCTTACGAGCAGTCATGGCGGATCCGTTGGCTCCTCCGATTCCCCGCCTCTGGATTTTGTTTTCTCCCACTTTTCACTAAAAGCTCAAGTCTGTAGCATCATTCAAAGCACCGCACGCGTCACAAGCAAACACTGCCAATGCGACACCGTATTTCAGAGTATACGAAAATTCACAATTTCACTCCAAAAGAAACTAGAAATGTCAACAAAGGCCCGAAATTTTAATTTATTGAACTTTTACCTTTTTTGGGATTACTCGTAATCAAAGTGTTAAAGAGAAAGTTAGGATAAGGTAAAGAATGATATTGTAGCACCAACAGTAATTAATCAAATCATGATCAGATTGTATTTGAAGAATAAAACCAACAATTTCAAGTATTCTGCATATTACATAGAATCGTGGCCTGCTGATAAACCAATTCCTATTTCCCATCTGTGTGACTGTGTGTATAACCTAAACGAAGAACTTTCCGAAATGTACACCAGAGCTCATGTCCTAAAAAGTCCCACTCTTTGTTAAAAACCACTATGGTTCCAAGCCTGGAGGAGACTGCGGTGGTATTGCTGACGCTTGAGATTCACTGTCAAGATCAAGATGAGATTCCAAAACCCTCCTCCTACCAGTTGCCTGAGATGATCCTCGTGTAATGCTTAATGTAGTTGAAGAGTTGCTCCCATGTTTTGAGAGAGACATGTGAGCTGAGGTTACCACGGAGCTGAAAACACCTGCCTCTCTTAACTCTTGGATTATAACCTGTAAAAGAATGATATATCTTGTGGAAAAACCAAGCATTTGATCTGTTCATGTCAAATTTAAAGAACAGGGTTTTGGTTCATGGTAACTAACCATTGGGGCATAAATCCGGGTCAGAATCCCCTTCCTAAGGAGTTTCAGCTTCAATTTTTCATCCGTCCACACTACTTTTTCTCTGTACCTGTATTGCTTGAGATTTTTAGAAAAATGGGATGAAGACTAGTGATGATGATTCTATTTGAGTCGACATTGATACCATTGAAGCATTTCCTCTGAACTCGCTGTTGAAGCAATGATAAATGCCTGAACAAAAGATAATGATGGTCAAGAGCTGTGATGACTTGTATACTTCAGAATAGTAGTAAGCAGGAAACATATAAAGGGAAAAAATAAAGATCAATTTCCCACTCACAGCTCTGTCAAACTCCAACATGAAACATCTCTTTACATCAACCTTAGTGGGCTTGCAACCACAACGATCACGTCTTGAAGTAAGATCTGAAAACTTGGGATAAGTATAATGCAGCACGGCAGCTTCGTCCAGTTTGACCTCACTGTCAAAAACATGCCATTGTATCAACCAAACAATTGACTAAGACAGGCTCAAGCAAATGGACGTGAAGACAAATACGAAGCATTACTTGACACTCTTCTTGTAGTTGTGCCATCGATGAGCACCATTGGGTCGGAGATGGTCTTGAACACGTGCAGCAGCTTTCCCATTCCCATAGGTTAGGAAATAGTTTGGATTTCCACGAGTGGCCTCTTTATAGCTTCCAAAGTAAACCTCTCTGGGAAGATGGTCAAAATTCTTCTTGAACATTGATACCTACAATCAAATGAAAGTACAACACCAACATTTACTTTAAGATCTATGTAAATATTAAGCATGATACTGTAGTTTCAGGTGATTGCTAAGAAGGCAAGGAGACGCAGAAGATGATCATCTATGTACCTCACTGAAAGGTTCCTTGATATCATCTCGCTCAACACTGCTCTCCTGAAACAAGTACAAGGACAATGGTGATGAGTCAAAAGAAGCTACTTTCTTTCAGTATACAATCCTTTAATCTCCTATAATAAGACTCACATAATTTGGGAAGACAACTGCATCCACGTCTGAGGATATATTTCCTAGCAACTTCCGTAGAGAATATTCATGGGTTCCAGCAGGATGTATAAGCTCATCGGTGTCAAGATGAATTATCCACTCCATACCATCGTTCTTATAACAGAAACATGTGGCGGTGAGAGGCAGTTGTGACTTTTACTTTTATCTACTGACTATTACCACATTGCCGTATTCAACTATGGGAAAATGTAACAGATACCTGTGCCATGGTAATTGCCATTTCCATGTTCAAGGACTGTTTCACGAATAGTTCGTAGTTACACGGTTTGTAGAAGAAGCTCGACAACCATGTCTCGTTCCATATCCGGCTATCAACCAAAAGGAAATGTCATTTGGTGTCATTCCAAGAAAACTAGACTTCTAGACCGCTCTAACTCATAAGATCACAACTTCTCTACACTCAGATTCAGTTTCTGCAAATAAAAAGTAGTTTTCCAACCATTTCATCAAACAAAACAAGCCAAAAAGATGCACCTTTTAGCCTGCTTTTCTTCTAATTCCTTTGTCCTGTGTATAACTTTTACACCCTGCAAAAGAAATCGCATTGGCCATAACAAGAGACGAAAAGAAAACTATGACTTACTAGAAAAACAAATCAACGGATCAGGAAAATGTTTCAGAGCTTACAGGGATGGTTTCCAAAACTCGAGACACGTTTGGAGATGCAGCCTTCCCTTCAACAAATAGATAAAACGTCGAAACGCCGATAACTTTGTGAAAGAAAATCCATGGCAGAGTCTGCTCTAACCCAGCGGAAGTGCTTGTTTGAATGCATATCTACCATGGAAAGAATCGCAAAAGTCAGAAATTTGCAACCATTTCATAAACTCGGATTAAAATTCGCAACTTTCTACACAAATCAAATCTCACGCCAGAGAGATTTACTTCACTCTAGCTGGAAGATTCACAACTCTCAGCCATTATGATTCAAATTCTACATCGAAGCTCTGTTATCGTAAATCCATCACAATGAAACCCAGCACAATAGCGCAATCAAAGATATGAACAATAACAAGCCTACATCAAATCGAATGTTACCAAAAATCAACATTCAATCCAGGGAAACCCAAAAAGGGATCACGATGGGTCACTCACTCACCCTAGGTTTCAGATCCGACTGGTAATCGAATTTCCAGTCACGGAAATAAGGAAACGAAGGGGCACGGCTCTGGCCTATAAGATCAACGCAACCCGAATCCGAACCCGAACGGCGCGATGACCGTTTCTCCTGGACGGAGGACATTCCGGGGAACTCGTGACGATCCGTAGACCAATGCGTAACCGGGTCGTGGAATCCGCCACGCCATTGAAGAACGAAGGCGAAACAGGCGAGGGAGAGAGGAAGAATGGTTACGAGCAACAAGAGACGCGAGTGAGATGGTGACGATGTTGAAGAGGGAGAAGACACAGTGGGTTTTGAGGAGGAGTTCAAGAGACCCGCCATTGGAGAATGCAGCAGGAAAGCGAGAGAGGCATAAAAAGAAGAGAATCAACTAGGAATCCATGTGAGGGTTTGTGTGTGTGTGTGAGAGTGTATATAGAGATGGAGGGAGGGAGACGAAGTTGAAACTAAAAGCGTTTGAATGGTTAATGGAAGACGGAGCCGTTTGTCAGTTGGCCTTTTCTTCTTATTTTCTTCCTATTAGAACATTTAGATATTTTGACTCAAAATATAACATTCACATAAATTTTTCTTTGTTTTTACATGGAAAAAAATACATATTATTTACACCAAAAATTGAATTCACATAATATTCTTGTAGCCTATATATTGTTCCTATAAAAATATATGAATAACTGGATTATCCTACCAAATCCATACTAACATCTACTTCAATTTGTATATCTTTGGCTAAAATGTCTATAAATGACCAAACGGAGCAGTGAAATAATGTAAGATTTTTTACCATTGAAGACGAAATCCACGAGCTTTTACTCTATAGCTGAAAGAATGGTGAGAAAATGTATTAATTTTTAGTGCAAACAAACGTAATCGGTCATCGGTAACGTGAAGTAATTAAAGTTACTAATCTAGAACTAGGAGAATTGCTAAGTAAAGTTTCTGCCAAACTCTACTACATTCTACAAATATACAGTATAAATTTTTCTGCCAACCCCTAATTATTTGCTACGATGGGCTAATCAATAACTTCAAATTTAACCAACGTGGTCCCGACAGTATTGCATCAGCTATGTCTTTATATTACGAGTTCGAATCTGCCACAACAAAAAGTATTCAAAATAAGAGTGGCAAAAGGAATAAAGCACATAAATCCAGAGTTTTGTGGTTCTGGGTTACTTCACAAAATGGGTTCGATATCATATCGTACAGAGACCAATTCTCACTTTAAAATTTAAATGTTAGATACAAAAAAAAAAAACAAAAAAAACAAAAAGTACCAGTTGATTCAGAGACTAAACCGGATCGATTGATCTTCTCATGCCAATATGAGCTCCAAGAAATGGTCCAATGTTCCCATCCAAGACCGATTTCAGGTCAAGAATCTCTAAACCGGTTTTCGTATCAACCACCATCTTCTGACCCTTAGAGACATATCTCCTAGTTTCTTCTACTTGCCTGTTGATTTTTTTTACGTCCTCATACTTTTGCTCTTTTGCTATCACAAGCAGAGTCGCCTTTAACCGGTTTAGAGCTTTGATCCTGTTTGCAAACCGGTTTCTTTCTCCTGCATCAACACAACCTCACATTACAAATCTTGCATAAAATGGAGTAAACCAAAATGTAATACACTCGATAATACATACCTGAAGATTTTACTGTGATTCCACTCGGAATATGTTGAATGCACACCATATGATTCTCATTTCCAGGATACGTTACAATCAAATCCTCTTCCTTTACTTCAAAATCAGGAGATGCTCTCAAGAACAGCGGTATGATATCAACACTCGCTGAACATACCTGACGCCAAAGAAAACATCTTTTAAACTCTTTACCTAGTGAAGAAAATGGACAAGAAAGTGACTTCTAATGAGGAAGAAGAGTTTATATACCCCATCAGAAGAAGAACCTGTAATGAGGCGGTGCACGCCTCGCTCACCTAAGAGATAACCGTAAGCAAACTCGAACTCAAACTCTATTGTCGCCGAAACTACGCCGTTTTTACTGCTACATTTCTCAGCCACTCTTGCATTTTGGCCTAGCTTCTCTGCCCATTTGACGTACATGCTTACAACTTGTTCTGTCCATATCTGCAAATTCCTCAAACTATAAGAACACAGAGAAAGTAAAAGTTGGAAACGTTTTGAGAATTGGTGAAAAATTGACCTGAGATTTTGTGTCTTGAGATGCAGATTTGATAACCATACAAGCTCCTTCAGCGTCATATTGATCAGTAAGAAGCTTAGACATTTCATAGTGATGCAAAGATCTGTTTACATCGAGAGATGAATCGTAAGCTTGCTCGAAGAGACTGTAATCTACAGCATCCATCTCACCCAATTGCATGATCAGCTTAGCTTCTTCGGCCTAATTATAACAAAACACATTTTAAAAAGCTTGCAAATAAGAAACAAGAAGATTTGTTTCGAGTAAAACTAAAAAGAAACCTTGTATTTGAGGTCTTTGAGGGAATCAACTGCTTTGGCACAATCAGCTAATTTGAGAAGAATCTCGTCGGATTTGGTTAGATCATCCCATAAGTCATAGTAACGCATTGTCTCTTCTTGCTTTATCCATTCCTCTTCTTCGATTTCAAGAGCATCCGGTGCTAACATCTCAGCCTTAAGAACAACATCTTTGATCTTCTTCTTTAGTGAGAACAATCCTGAAGGGAAATTTCAAAGAAAGATTTTACAGAAATGCCACCAAACCAAAGAAAAAACACACATTTTTAAAAATCTGAAAGCTCCCAACTTTATCTGAAGAAAGAACAAAATCAGAGCAGAGTCTTTAAACTGTCTTTAAAGCTTCACTAAACCAAGTTCCAATTTTTTACTCATTGTCTTAATCTCAAAAATCTCATTAGCTTCTGTAGATGAATACGAGAGAGAAAGAGAGATACCCAATTGCTTGTAGACGGTGTCCATGTCATCCGTGGAATGAGCGGATCGAACAGAGAAGAGCAGAAATCGAGGTGGTGTTCTCTTCCAGTTAAAGCGCCGCCATAAACAGCCTCCGACGGTAATCTTTGCCGCCATTTCTATTCGCTTGAGCTCCGACTAAAATCTCAAGTGGGGTTTAAGCTCACTTCTTGTCCGCGTGATTGGGTCTCCAGAACCTTATCCTCTGTTTTCAAATTTGAGTCTTTTATGTCTTCCACGTATATAAGCTAACGCCAAATTCGATACACAACATTTATACGAGTCAATTAGATCATTAATGTTAGCATATGGTATTTTGAAGGTGATTTACGTAATTATCTGTAGGGTTTAGCGTGAAGATCCAATACGCTGCGTTTTTGTGTAAAATCTTCTTTGGTTCGAGCCAATACGCTGCGTTTTTTTGCTCACTGACTCTGTGACTATCACTATCCTATCGAACGGAGTTGCTTATCCCCGGCAAATTCTCGGCGCGATTTCATCCCAAACCCGTAGTGACACGCTCAAACGAAATGGTGGTTTTGATTTCAAGCACAGTGACGATTTGCAGAGTAAAACCGAAGCTTGAAGACGGAAGCTTTCGCGTCAGCTGGTTGATACCCAGACCCGAGGTTCCATTTTTCTCAGGTAATTTTCGCTCTTTTTGTTGAAATTCGGATTGAATTTTCTCCTTTTTTCTGATGGGAATCTGAGGAAGAATTCATTCAAACTTTTCATTAGGGTTGAGTGAGAAGAATTGTAGAAAGAAATGTGCAGTTTCGGTTAAGTGTTTAGCTGTGAAGAAAGAACAAGTTGTTGAGAGCGTGGAGAGAGTTAAAGGGACGATTTTTCCGAAGAGAGCGAAAAAACTTATCATGAGCGATGGTAGAGATGAAGATGAAGCGTATGGGAAGCTTATTTGTCCAGGTTGTGGGATTTTTATGCAGGACGATGATCCAGATGTACCAGGATATTATCAAAAGAGAAAGGTCACTGCAAAGACCTTGGAAGAGGAGGAAGATGAGACTGAAGATGAGCTTGATGGGTTTGAAATGGTTGATGATGATGACGATGAGGAGGAGGAGGAGGAAGATGATGAAATGGATGATGAGATCAGTAATGCAATTGATGGTAGCGACTCTGAAAGTGAGAAAGAGTTTGACTGGGAATCAGATGAATGGGAAGAGAAGGAGGAAGAAAATGAAGTCGAACTGGATGGTTTTGCTCCGGCTGGTGTTGGATATGGTAATGTCACAGAGGAGACAGAGAAGAAGAAGAAACGTGTTTCGAAATCAGAGAGGAAGAAGTTAGCTAGAGAGGAGGCAAAGAAAGACAAGGAAGACGATGATGATGTGACGGTGTGTGCTCGTTGCCATTCTCTTAGAAACTATGGCCAAGTGAAGAATCAAGCCGCTGAGAACCTCTTGCCTGATTTCGACTTCGACAGGATGATCTCAACGAGACTGATCAAACCGATGAGTGGTAAATCCAGCACCACGGTTGTAGTCATGGTTGTGGATTGTGTCGACTTTGATGGTTCGTTTCCCAAACGAGCAGCCAAGTCTCTGTTCCAAGCGCTTCAGAGAGCTGAAAACGATCCTAAGGTTGGCAAGAACCTCCCGAAACTCGTGCTCGTTGCAACGAAAGTAGACTTGCTTCCAACACAGATTTCACCAGCTCGGTTAGACCGATGGGTGCGACACCGTGCCAAGGCTGGAGCAGCGCCTAAGCTGAGTGGTGTGTATATGGTTAGTGCTAGGAAAGATCTTGGTATCAAGAATCTGTTAGCTTACGTTAAAGAACTGGCTGGTCCACGTGGAAACGTGTGGGTGATTGGAGCCCAAAACGCTGGGAAGTCTACTCTGATCAATGCCTTCTCCAAGAAAGACGGTGGAAAGGTGACGAGGCTCACGGAAGCTCCGGTTCCTGGAACAACTCTTGGGATATTGAGAATCGGTGGAGTGTTGTCTGCAAAGGCCAAGATGTATGACACTCCTGGCCTTTTGCATCCGTACATTATGTCCCTGAGGTTGAATTCAGAGGAGAGGAAGATGGTGGAGATAAGGAAAGAGCTTCAACCTCGGTCTTACAGAGTCAAGGCAAAGCCCTTTCTCTTTACTCATATCTAAACAGCTTCAAGTAGAATATTCTTGTTTGCTGATTGTTTTGGAGTCTTGGTTTTGCAGGCAGGACAGTCTGTTCACATTGGTGGCTTGGTGAGACTAGACCTTGTTCGTGCAACTGTTGAAACGATATACATTACAGTATGGGCATCAAATAGTGTTTCGTTGCATCTTGGGAAAACAGAGAACGCCGAAGAAATACTCAAGGGACATTCCGGCTTACGCCTGCAGGTAAGTTTAAAGCTTGTTTTCTTGCAAATCTCCTCCTTGTGTTTATGCTAATGTTTCTTGTTTTGTATGTAGCCACCGATCGGAGAGAAGAGAGCGGCTGAATTAGGAGACTGGGAAGAGAAGGAGATTCAGGTGACGGGAAGTAGCTGGGAGGTGAAAAGCATTGACGTTGCAGTGGCTGGTCTTGGCTGGTTTTCGCTTGGACTCAAAGGTGAAGCGACATTAGCATTGTGGACGTATCAGGGGATTGATGTGACGTTGAGAGAACCGTTGGTTATTGACCGAGCACCGTTTCTTGAGCGGCCTGGCTTCTGGTTGCCCAAAGCTATCAGTGAAGCGCTTGGAACTTATTCTAGCAAGCTTGATGATGCTCTTAGGAGGAAGAAGCGACAAGACAGCACAGATTTTCTCTCTGATTGAATAGTGTAATCTGTAATTGTATGGACTCAATTAGAGAGGTTAAGATCTAGTGTTAAATCAGTGTAGTCACCATGGTAACAACAACAAAAGTTTGTAAAATTTTGGATAGTTAAACCATTTTCACAGTCACATGGATTCAGATGATTTTTTACAAAAAAAACTCCAAACCTAATATGATTTTTATGGTGTTTTTGAGAAAATATACTTTAGAGATTAATTAAATTCTGTAACATTTGTTTCTAAAATCATATTTCGTATGAAATCCAGTAAAACATGTTATTACGACAACACAAAGTTTAAATTGATGGATGAAGAATTTTGATTAGATTTTCAAATTAAGTTAAAAAGCCTGACATAAATTCTTCTTCATAGGCCCGACCAGCCCATTTTGAAAATATTGTCTTCTGCCGTCGTTTTAATTCCCTCCTCGCCGTTCGTCTGGTCGCCGGAATGTATCTCCCCTCCGATTGCTGAGGCCGGCGACGATTCTTAACCCGCTTCTCTCCTGAAGTTCGAAGTTCTGTTTCGTGATTAGACTGCTGGGGTTCGGATTTTTCTCTCTCTAAAGAATCCAGCATTTCTCTGTTTTCTTCGTGACCTGATCTCGATTCGATCCATGGAATAACTTCACGCATCAAATCCCTGTCTGAAGATCTCCTACCTCCGGCGGACTAACCGACTTCTAACCGTGAGGCCTAATCTGAAGCTCCCCCAAATTTGTAGGGTTTTGGATTGTTCACGATAGGTAGTGGCAGAGAGCTGAAATGAAGAGAAAGTGTAGGATTTGGCTGCCTAAGCAGCTGGCATCAGACGATGATTTGACTCACAGTCTACTGTTTGGATGGTTCGTAAGCCATTCCTCTGCTTGTCTTGACGTTGTCGTTGCCTTCATCTCCGACGAAAACTCCATTTCCAGCGACGGATCTAAGCTCCAAGTAATAACTCCACTTCAAATTTCATTTTTTTCCCATATTTTTTTCACGAATTTGTGTGTGATATCTTTCCTTTTCGATGCCTAACAGGACGTACTCCTTGGAACAAATAAGAAGATGCCTTCGACTTTGCGGGAGAAGGCAACATTTACGCTTCTTGGTCGATATGATCTATGCCTTAACGCCAATGGAAACTCATCTAAGAGTAAGAAAGATAATTGCAGTAAGGCTGGAGCTTTTGGTAGCCTCTGTAGATGTAGTAGCTTAAGCTGTGGTTGTCATAGGGTTGATGGCTTATTAGAGGATTTCAAGAAAGATTCTGTGAGCAGTCACTGGATTCATATGGTGCACGATTCTTCTTCGGAGCGTAGAGTTATGGAATTCGATTCGAGTTCTAGATTGCATCATATACATTGGAATGGGGAGATTGTATCTCAATGTGATGTACACGTATGTAAGTCATGATGTCTTTCTCAGTGTACTATTGTTTTTTTGAATCTATAAACCATTGTGTTTGACTCATGTAAACTTGGACATTTCAGGTTATAGTCTATGAAACTCCAGAGTTTGGCTCTCACCATTTCTCGTTAAGATTTTGGAATTCTTCTCCTCAGATGATAGCTCCTCTTAAGAAACCCAAGTGGGTTGATGATCTTCACAAGAGGCAACCTCTGAATGATATGGTTGAGTATTTTGCAAAAGGCTTCTCTTTTTGTGCTGTTTCATTCTTGACTTGTTGCTAATATTCTTTTATTCTTATGCAAGCAGGAAACTGTGATTCTTTCCTTAAATTGCTCTTCAGCTGCCAAGACGGCCTATAAGAAGATATCTATGCAGCTGGACACATCTTCCCGGAACTTCTCCATTAGTTGCTTGTAAGCTATCGTCAAACTTCATTTTTCTTGTTAAGCTCCTTCTTTGTTCTTAGCTGTTCTAACTGCTTGCATCTTGCTTTCTAGGATATCTTCTTTGACATGGTGGTTACTCGCCATAATTTTAGGCTCTTTGTCAAGTCTATACCATAGCCTTATCCAGTTCTTCTATGTACTTTCAAGCTCTCCGATTTTCCCATGGGTACATATCGCATCAAGGAAGGTGCTCAAGAATACATGGATCAACTTCAGAGTACGCAGTTGTCAGATCTTATACTGGCCAATCTTCCTTCAAGAGAATGACATGACGTAAGCTTAACCATATACCCTTGCTCATTTTGATTTGTAATGCTTTCCTGATTGCCACTTGGCTCAAAATAACATCTCTATTCATTTATGAAAAATTCTTCTGGGTTTCACAAGGTCCATATCCTGTGTGGAACATGCAGAGAAAGCTGCACTGCAGAGACATTCTACATGGTCAGCCATGGCTGTTGATCTTGTTTTGGGAAACTTGATTGGTCTAAGTCTATTGTTCAACACCGAATCCATCTGCTGGTGGATATTCAACTTTGCAAAGGAGTTTACGAATGATATTCTGCGATCTGGTTGTGTTTGGTTGATGGGAGTCCCAGCGGGTTTTAAGCTGAACACAGAGTTGGCTGGAGTCTTAGGCATGGTGTCTCTTAATGTAATCCAGATATGGTCTACTCTCTGGGTCCTCATGGCCTCTCTCATCATCTATTTGATAAGAGTAGTTGCCATTATGGGAATCACTTTTGGTGCAACAGTATCTGCTGCATTCGTCATAGATGCTATTACTTTTGCAACATTTCATATAACTGCTCTTCATTGGGCGATCACACTTGTCTACTCCCACCAAATTCAAGCTTTAGCAGCTTTGTGGAGGCTTTTCAGGTAAATTCGAGTAGAGTTCATTCATTATTACTCTTGTGAACTGAGAATTATTTTGTTATACCTTATCTTGAATTCTTGTTTTGTTCTTGTAGAGGGAGAAAATTGAATCCTCTACGTCAAAGGTTGGACAGCTATGGTTACACTGTGAAGCAGCATGTAGTGGGATCTCTATTGTTCACTCCTCTGCTGCTTCTCTTGCCAACAACTTCAGTCTTCTACATCTTCTTCACCATCACGAGCACGGCGATCAACTCCATATGTATGCTGATCGAATTCGCAATCTCTGTCATCCATGCAACACCATATGCCGAGATTTTGATTTGGCTTGTCAGGCGTAAAAGATTCCCTTCTGGTGTTTGGTTTGAGATTGAACGCAATGGTTTTGAAGTCAGAAGCAGTACAGTATCCAAAAGTGTACTAGATGAACATACTATTCCTGAGAAGAAATCATCTCTAATGGTTTCCAATCTTCGCAGCAATTTTCTAAGCATGGGTAAAGTTCTTTGTGTGATTAAGTCAATGATCTGGATGCTTTGCTATGCTTGTGTTTGTTTTGCTGACAGTATATGAACATATTGCAGGACAGATTCTTTTGCCTCACTATACAACAATATATTCAGGAATCTCGGCTTCTTCTCTGACTTCATCAGCTCGTGGAGTCCTTAGTGGGAAAAGGTGAAATTTATATGCTCTTGATCACAAATTTTAGACTGTTTCTCTCTATTCCTCTCTTTTGTGTTTCATTTATCTTCTGTCTTTTTTTTTCTTCAGAATGCCATCAAAACTGGGGCTTGATCTTCCTCCTCCAAGGCCATGGATGCACATTCCATTGAGAGAGTATTGGACCCTATGCCATAGTTCCATCATCTCATCAGCGGAAAACAAGGAAGCCTCTAGTTGAATCTTGTAGCGTTTTTACTGCATCGGCAGTGCGATTCTTTGTTGCTTAGTTCAGTTTAACATTTAACTTCTACCTGATTGATCATATCAAACTGGGAGATTTTTTCATCGTTTTAGTCATTTCTAATGTTTATATGATAATTTTTGAGTTTGAACTCGATAGATTATGTAGCACCAAGAAGGGATTTAAGCAGCTGCTAGTTGCATATAGTGGTTTCGTATAATTTGTTCAAAAATGTCAAGCTGCACTAGACTATTCTGTGGAATTGATTATTTTTAGAATAATACGAACCAGTTTGATTATTGATTGATGTTTCCTTCAGGTTCTAACCATAAATTTCTCTTGGAAGAAGAACTTCCATACAAATCTCAATCATCATAATAGGATCGACCCCATCCTGGGTCGACCTTCATAGAAAGCCCATTAGATTATCAGGCCCATTTTCCCTTCCAATCAATTATGGTTAGGTACTGGTTGATTGTGATTTGTTTGGTTCCATTAAAAACAAAAAAAAAACAAAAATTGTTGCATGGCAAAATTATAAATTCAGTAAACAATAATTAAATAAATCAGAAATGAGTTCTTTTCCATTATTAGCTAAAATTATAAAGATTTTTTTCTATAAAACCAATAAGATTTGGTTGCAATATTTTTTACTATTAAAGGTTAAATTCATCTACTTTTCTTCTAGTATAAGGAACATATTTTAGATAGGATTTACTTTAAACATAAACATTCTTCTTTTTTAGTTTCCTTATGTTCATCCCTTTTGTTAACTTGTCAAAGTAAAAATTAGTTGTATTTCCATAAATTCACTTTCTCTTTAACAATCCTTGGGGCTTGGAATAGCACATTTCTTTTAATTTTCAATTCCCATTTCCCAGAACCCAATAAATCTCCCAAAATATTAAAAATCCTTCCAAAATGATTTGGGGATAGAAACAAAAAAAATTGGTATAATAAAATCCGAATGTGTCTATAGTTGATAGGATAACCGTTATAAATTGCCTTTTAAAAAGATTAATAACCTAAAACGCGAGCGTACAAATAAAACACGCTTTCCCTCGTGTATATAGCCAGCCCCACACAACTTCTCATTTTCTCTGTTGCGTTTCCCGAGAAAACAAAAAGTAGTCAATCAGAAGAAGGAGAAGAAGAGAAAATCACTACGATGAGTCAACCTCCCGTCGGTGCTCCTCCTTCTCAAGGTCTGTTCTGATTCCGATCTCAATTTCTCTTCGTTTCTGCTAATCAAAGCGTTACCTGTTAGAGATGTGGTTGTTTTGATTCCGATTACGTTTCCTTGTGCTCAATCGGATCTGAACATGTTTACCGTATTCTCGATCTGAATTAGGTTATCCGTCGTCGGACGGACATGGTAACCCACCCAAGGACGCGTATCCGCCGACGGGATATCCGGCACAACCTTATCCTCAACAAGGATATCCTCCGGAAGGCTATGCTCAGCAGGGATATCCTCCGCAGGGGCAGGGCTATCCTCAGCAAGGTTATCCTCCTCCGTATGCACCGCAATACCCACCACAACAACAACAGCAGCAGAGGAACAGTCCTGGTATGCTTGAAGGATGGTACGTAATCTCTCCATTCACACTACTGATATTCCAATATTATCGTAGATCCGTAGAGAATTTCATACTTCGATTTGATTTGATTGAATAATTTTACCGTAATCTCGTTTCAATTTGAGTGAGTTTGGGATATGGTTGGCTCTGATGTGATTTTGTTGTACTGTATATGCAATCTAATCTGATGAATTGGATTTAGTGAAACTGGTATTGTTGAATTAGTGAATTTTGAATCTGCACTGCAATGCTTTAGCAATTGGGTTTGTAATTTTGGATTTTTCTACATGAGCTTTTGCAATCTTTGGAGGTATTGAAAACTGAATGAGGATGTTGATTTTTTTTTTTTTTTTTTTGTGTGCAGTCTTGCTGCTCTGTGTTGTTGCTGTGTCTTGGACGCTTGCTTCTGAGTGAAGGGAGGCTCTGATTGAAGCTCTGCGAAATTGGATTGTTTGTTGTTGGTTTGCTGATCTGATGGATATTTCTCATCTCTTTTCTCTCTCTCTCTTTCGTTTTATGACTTTCAGTTGAATTAGTGTCATCGACTTTCTTCATATACAGTACCTATTTGGATTTTGACCAATGGGAATGTAAATTGTTGGGAGACTCAATTTATATGATGCACAGTATTGGCTTCAAGTCTTACCCTCTTATTTTTATGATTTTATCTATGGTGTGGTCGTTTTATCGTGTCTCTCTTTTTTACCGTATGTTATGGATTACAATTCATACTGTCAATAATTTTCCCTTAAAATCCAGGGAGTCATGTCAAAATATATACTCCGTTTTTTTAAGAACAAAAACATTTCACATGTGAAAAACTAACGTATAAAACCACGACGGTAGATATTTGGTTAAGGTCGGAGAATAACAGCCAGTTTCTAATACACTTTCAAAGCGAACCTCTATTGATATCCATGGCTACAAAACTTATTGATGTGTATGTATAAAGGTATAACCATCAGGAGTACTCAACAACAGAAAAGGAAAAAAGGAAAATGAAAGGAGGATTTGTATCCTATATAGCTAGATCTAGCTAGCTGTATCAAAAGTATCACATGTCATCTTCGATCCTAACAGGCTTCGTCTTTATCGTCTTCCATGTTTGTGTATCGAAACGTGACTGATTATTCGTCTTTTCACGTATAAGCAGAGACAAAGAAGCACGAGTTTCATCGATCACCACCAAACTTTCTCTCTTTTGAGTTATGTCCAATTTCGGATTAGAAACGACAAGACTTGTAGCCGGAGGAGAGGCTCGTGGGTAGAAGAAGTCGGTGGGGAAGAAACTGTATTGGAGTCCGGCCATTTCCTACTTTAGATGTTGTTTCTCTTTTGTAAGTGTTAGGTTTGACAAACAAAATTCTTTGTTAAGAGAGACTATTTATTGGCAAATGAGCTGACTTATGCTTAAGCGGAATCCTATGGGTGTAAAATGTAAATGTTCAAAACAATGAGGTCCTTCTCTTGAAAATGTTGGGGTTCTTTTTGTTAGTTATGCGAATAAGTTGGCATAAACCAGGATATTCGAATATTTCAGAAAATATAGGGCGGTGCTTGATTTGATAAAGAACTCAGGAATCACATTTCAACACTCCACTCAAACCATTAAAATATGTAATTGTTTTTCATGTGTTTTGGACGGCCACATGATTTTCTTTGTATTATATAGTGTATCGATATGATTGTTTTTCACATGATTCGTTTGTATAAATAAAGTGAAGGACTGATGTCAAAACAAAAAAAGGAGAGAGCAAAGGATCATTAGAAGTAACTTTTACAGTGTATAACAAAATTATATAAACGTTATGAGAAAATTACTCGGATTAGCACATTTTCTTTTGTATCCAGCTAAAATCTCTCTTTTTTTCTCTTGTAGTTTTTATCTCTGTGATATACAAACTCACCCACGGTGGTGGTTTTTAGTATGAACTTTTGTATAAAATGGGGATTGTCTTTTCATTATTCAAAGAGACAGGCTTCACAGGCATGTGATTATAAAAATAACCATGAGGCATCATTCTTCATGCCTCATTATATTTGTGGCCAATGAATATTTCTGATTATACAAGTAGTTGTGAGGTGTGACAATATGAGACCGCAACAAAATTGACTTGTTTCAAGATCAACAACGATCATATTATATTGATAAATTTTTCCTCATGTGCCATGCATGACTCGAGCAATTGTTCAAATTCTAATCAACGATTACTCGTGCAGTTATCGATCATTTACCCTTCTCCGAATGAAAGATCTTTAATTCGACCTTTGCTAACTTCAAAAGAAAGCAAAACAGCACCGTTTCAATTGGGCCCTTTTTATTTGGGCATTAAACCAAATAACCAATTCGATTTGTAACACGCCCAATACAAATTCAAACAAAACCCTAAATTCAAGCTTGGAGACTTTCAGTGCACGGAACCATGACGGAGCTCTTTATATTAGTAGTAATTAACTTTTGTACACGACGCCTCTTCCTCCGAGAGAAAAACAAAAACATAATCCTGCCGGAGCCATGACGAAGGTCGAAATTTCTCACACGGAGAAGAAGAAGTCAGACGGCGTCGATGCCGACACCGGAGACTACATGATCAAGCCGCAGAGTTTCACTCCTGCCATCGACACATCTCACTGGCCCATCCTCCTAAAGAACTACAACCTCCTCAACGTCCATACCGGTCACTACACTCCCACCTCCTCCGGTTACTCTCCTCTGAAACGTCCTCTTCGAGAGTACATCAAGTACGGTATCATCAATCTCGACAAACCATCAAACCCTTCTTCTCACGAGGTCGTCGCATGGATCAAGAGGATCCTCCAAGTCGAGAAGACAGGTCACAGTGGAACTCTCGACCCGAAAGTCACCGGAAATCTCATTGTCTCCATCGACAGAGCCACACGGCTCGTGAAATCTCAGCAAGGTGCGGGAAAAGAGTACGTGTGCGTAGCTCGGCTTCACTCTGCTGTTTCCGACGTGACTAAAGTGGCTAGAGCTCTCGAGTCGCTCACCAGAGCTGTGTTTCAGAGGCCGCCTCTGATCTCTGCTGTGAAGAGACAGCTTAGGGTTAGAACAATCTATCAAAGCAAGTTGCTTGAGTATGACGCAAACAGGCATTTGGTTGTTTTTTGGGTTTCTTGCGAAGCAGGTACTTACATAAGGACAATGTGTGTTCATTTAGGGTTGCTTCTTGGTGTTGGTGGGCATATGCAGGAGCTTAGGAGGGTTAGGTCTGGGATTTTGGGTGAGAATGATAACATGGTTACAATGCATGATGTGATGGATGCTCAACACGTGTACAAGAGTACCGGTGATGAGACTTATCTCAGGAGAGTGATAATGCCTCTTGAGATGATATTGACGAGCTACAAGAGACTCGTGGTGACGGATTCTTCTGTGAATGCGATCTGTTATGGTGCTAAGTTGATGATTCCGGGGCTGTTGAGATTCGAGAATGACATTGATGTTGGCACTGAGGTTGTTTTGATGACGAATAAAGGAGAGGCGATTGCTATTGGGATCGCTGAGATGACAACTTCTGTGATGGCTACTTGTGATCATGGTATGGTGGCTAAGATCAAAAGAGTGGTGATGGATAGAGACACTTACCCTAGGAAATGGGGATTGGGACCTAGAGCTTCGATGAAGAAGAAGCTTATTGCTGATGGGAAGTTGGATAAGCATGGGAAGCCTAATGAGAAAACTCCTGTGGAGTGGAGTAGGAACGTGGTTTTGCCTACTGGTGGAGATGCTTTGGTTGCTGGTGCTTCTGCTGCTGCTCCTGAGAAGGATGATAATGAAGCTGTGGAGAAAAAGGTTGAGGCTGAGAATGGAGAAGGAGGGGAAGCAGGGAAGCGTAAGCGTGGTGATAGCAGTGAAAGCCCTGCTCCTGTTTCAACCAAGTCGGAGAAGAAGAATAAAAAGAAGAGCAAGGAGACAGAGGAAGCTGCTGTTGATGGTGAAGATGAATCAGCAGCTGAGAAGAGTGATAAGAAGAATAAAAAGAAGAAGAACAACAACAACAACAACAAAGATGGTGAAGATGATGAAAAATTGGAATGAGTAAGTGTTATGGTGCTTTTAAGTTTTTGTGTTGTAGTATCTACTCTGGATAAAAGTGAGACAAAAGGCATTTATGCTTGTAGTCAAAGTCTCACTTCAGTTTACTTTTGTTTCTCAGTTTTTATGTTTCTACTGTGTTACTTTTCGTAGTTGTTAATTGTTAGGTGTGTTTCAAGTCTAAGCACATCTCTTTTAGCTATGTAGTTCTGTTTGGTTACAGGTTTTAGTCCAGACAAGAAATTGGGCAGATTACGAGAGATCCCTCTGTTATTGCCGCTCTGTCTAAGAGATAAATAGATAATACCGAATTTATCTACTACGAACCATAACACGTTTGAATTATCATGAATATATGTTCGTCGCGACTCGCGAGTTTCAAAACACAGAGACTATTTGTGCACAAGAAAACAAATCAATTTTTTCTTTTTCAATTTGTAGTGTTCGCAAAATCAGGTTCCCAAAATTAGAAAGTCCAAAAAGATTACATGGCCATTTTTGTCTCTTAGCAAATGAATCTGATATTTTACCTGTAGATTATTGAAATTCCTCTCTTTTGTTCTTCTGAAACAGAATCTTGCAGGCCTCCTCCTTTATAAATCCAATCTTTTTTCCTCTCTGCACATTCCTATGCCTCCGAATCACTCTCTCATTTTCTTTCTCAGTTTCATTCCAGGTTCTTGGTTGCCTCTGTGGATTTGCGATCTCTCGTCCTGTTCTTGATAGGTTTCATCTGTTTGAATCATCATTTCCTTTCTCTCAATCGTAAACACTGAATAACAGGGCCTCCTCGTCTTGGAGTCAGACACAATGGATACTATAAGCGACGAGGCAAACATGGATCCGTTCTCAATAGGACCCACGACTATAATCGGAAGAACAATCGCCTTCCGGATCTTGTGCTGCAAATCAGTGTCTAAATTGAGGAACAAACTCTTCAGATTCCTCGTGCATTTCCTCAGAAGAGCCAAGGCTTTTCTATCACCGTTTGTGTCTTGGTTACATCCCAGGCATCCACAAGGGATATTAGTTATGGTGACGATGATGGCCTTTACGCTGAATCGCTACACAAGCTTAAAGGCAAAAGCAGAGATGGCTTACAGGAGAAAATTCTGGAGGAACATGATGAGAGCTGCGTTAACTTACGAGGAATGGTCTCACGCAGCGAAGATGCTCGATAAAGAAACTCTAAAAGTGCACGAGACCGATCTTTTCGATGTGGAGCTCGTGAGGAATAAGCTTGAGGAGCTTAAGCATAGACGTCACGAGGGATCTCTAAGAGACATTATCTTCTTTATGAGAGCTGATCTTGTGAGAAACCTTGGTAACATGTGTAACCCTGAGCTTCACAAGGGAAGGCTTCAAGTGCCGAGGCTCATCAAAGAGTATATCGATGAGGTTTCTACACAGCTTAGGATGGTTTGTGATACGGACACCGAAGAGCTTTCTCTGGAAGAGAAACTCTCTTTCATGCACGAGACGAGGCACGCGTTTGGGAGAACGGCTCTGCTTCTGAGCGGAGGAGCTTCTCTTGGCGCTTTCCACCTCGGTGTGGTGAAAACGCTCGTGGAACATAAGCTCTTGCCGAGGATTATAGCAGGTTCGAGCGTCGGGTCGGTCATGTGTGCGGTTGTGGGGACAAGGTCATGGCCTGAGTTGCAGAGCTTCTTCGAAGGCTCGTGGCACGCTCTGCAGTTCTTTGACCAAATGGGAGGGATTTTCACTACTGTGAAACGTGTTATGACGCAAGGTGCAGTCCATGAGATCCAGCATCTGCAATGGAAGCTGAGGAATCTCACCAACAATCTCACATTCCAAGAAGCTTTCGACATTACAGGACGGATTCTCGGGATAACGGTTTGTTCCCCGAGGAAGCACGAGCCGCCAAGATGTCTCAACTACCTGACTTCGCCTCACGTCGTGATATGGAGCGCAGTGACTGCATCTTGCGCTTTCCCAGGTCTCTTCGAGGCTCAAGAACTCATGGCCAAAGATAGAACTGGAGAGATTGTTACTTATCACCCACCTTTTAACTTAGATCCTGAAGAGAGCTCAGTGGCGTCGGTTCGGCGGTGGAGAGATGGTAGCTTAGAGATGGACTTGCCGATGATACAACTCAAAGAGCTGTTCAATGTGAACCATTTCATTGTGAGTCAAGCTAACCCTCACATTGCACCTTTATTGAGGATGAAGGAGTTTGTGAGAGCTAGTGGAGACCGATCTGCAGCAAAGGTATGATCCACAATTCCACATTCACTTGACAGAGTGTTATGATTCATTGTATAATTCGTTTCTCTTCATCTTTCAAAAGCTTGCGCAACTCTTGGAGATGGAAGTGAAGCATAGATGTAACCAAACACTGGAGCTCGGGCTTCCTCTGAGAGAGGTCGCACAGCTTTTCGCTCAAGAATGGGAAGGCGATGTCACCATCGTAATGCCAGCTACTTTTTCTCAGGTAAGCAAAAAACAAAATCGCTGATTCCATCTTGAAGCAGAGAATGCTAAGAAAATTTCACTCTAATCCAACATTTTGTGATACAGTACTTGAAGATCATACAGAATCCATCGAATGTAGAGATTCAAAAGGCGGCGAATCAAGGAAGGAGATGCACCTGGGAGAAGCTGGCAGTGATCAAAGCAAACTTCGGGATCGAACTCGCACTAGACGAGTGCGTCGCCGTCCTCAACCACATGCGCCGCCTTAAACGCACCGCGCAAAGAGCCGCTGCTGCCTCCGCCTCGACTCCCTCACCTCCTCAGCCTTCTTTGGCCGGAACCACCAGATTCAACGCCTCCAGAAGAATCCCTTCCTGGAACTGCATCGCGCGTCAGAACTCATCCGGATCCGTCGATGACGATGTGCTCACGGAAGCTTCAGCGCTGTACCAGCAGATCGTGGTTGAAACCGGGAAGATTAACAGAGCCGGCAACAGTCTCAATTCGCACGACGGAGGTAGCGACGGAGATTCTGGAGAAGCCGAGGATTGGACGAGATCTGGTGGACCATTGATGAGGACGGAGTCAGCTCAGATGTTCACGGACTACGTCCACAATCTCGACGGCGCTGATCCCGAATTGACGAAGATTATAGGCTCCGATAAAGCTACGGAGAGCGATTCGAGCGCGCCTGCTTCCTCTTTCCGCAGCATCACAGTCACGGAAGGCGATTATCTTCAGACGGGGAAAACAGACGACGGATTCGTGTTGAACGTCGTCAGTGGAGAGAATTTGGAGAGGAATCAAGGTCTGGAGGAAAGACAAAACAGCGTTGGAGCTCCGGAATGCTATTATCGACGGGGGTAGCTCAGCGTCGGAAGACGGAGACGGTGAGCCAGAAAATGCGACGGAGACGAATCGAATCCCACCAGTAACTGTAGATGTTTGACTTACAAAGGTCAAAGAAAGTTTCCTCTCTTTGTAAGGACTAGGTTGCAAATGTTACAGTTACTTCTAAATATTGTAGTATAGTCTTTTAAATTTGGAATATATCATTTTAGCTACAAAACTTCTTCAAAATTTACCTTTCACCCAAAAGGATTTCTTTATATGCATTCCACAATTTCCCCATTAACAAACACTCAACTTCTATCAGTATTTTTTTCTTTTTGGCTAACTTATATATGGAAAAATTATTTTTTTATTGTTTTGATATTCTTACAAAGATTTTGAGTCTCTACATTGGATGGATTCTGCATGACTTGAGAAGAAAGGTTCTCCAAAGACTGTAAGAGTTGTCCAGGAGCTTACAGATTTGAGCTCATCAGGCACCCCAAAGATGATATTGCAATCTCTTGCACTCAAAAACTTCAGAGTGTTGTTGAAATCCCTGCCTTTTGGGATGTCTCTTGTGATTACCATGACATTTGGTTCTCGATCCGTATTCAGATATTGTCCCACACGGTTGTCAATAGCCCACAAAAGAATGTCCAATAACATCCTCTGCAATCGATATCCTGAAATTATACACGTGGTATATATTGTTAGATAAGAGAAAAAGAATCCCAATTAAGGATTAATAGAAAACGTTAACTAACCTTTGTGTAAAACCATTTTGGTGTCCGACCCTCCATTCCAAACCGTTACCTTCCCGCCAACTTCATAAGCCGAGATTGACGTCACCCTACTACCACTTTTATCCATACTAGCAAGGCATGATTTGATACTCTTATCGATTGAACAGAAATCTAACTCCAGAGCTTTAGGGTCTGGGCAACCCTTGGTGTTCCAGAAGACTCCTGTGTTGCCTATGCTCTCGTCTACAAACAAAAAAAAACAAAATTAGGATCTTAAGACGGAAAAGAAAGAGGCAAAACAAGTGAGGTATATAGAGAGATATCTTACAAGAAGGTCTTTTGGACACTTGCTGGAAATAATCAAGGTTGGTCACATTCTTAATCTCTGGATCCAACTCCAACATAGTTGCCTTTCCTCCATCTAATAGACTCTTGGAAAGGCATACACCAGTCACAATTCCGTGAAGCTCTACCGGCACAAGGGCATCAGGCTGCGCTACCACAACATTGATATTTCTGGATTTCAAAGACTGAAGAACCCTGATCAGCTCCGGTTTCATCGACATGTTGTTTGCGATTATCATCAAATTTGTTGGTCTTTTAGGATTGTCCAGTGCAAAGAAGAGGATGTCCCTTGTCATCCTATCAACTCTGTCATATTGATCACCTTTCTCTGTATATAAAGAAGGTACATGTATGTATCATATATAATAGATAATAACAAAGAGAAAAAAAAAGTGTTAACAATTAAGAGGGGTTTTAAATAAAGGAACTCACCTCGTACCATCATGATTCCAACTGCATTGTAGTCAAAAAACTCACTCTCCGGGACCTTCTTAGTATATGCCCAGATTGTCGACAACTCACCGTGATAACCCATGGACTCAAGACCTGATTCAATATTAGCATATATCATATCAGGACTGAGATCCACGGGGAGTGGGCAATCCACGACGTCCCAGTAGACACCTGTTTTAGCGCCTGCGAGTTTATTTAGGGGAAAAAAAAATTAGGATTAGAAAAGAGCAAAGCAATTACGAACCAGCAGAAAAAGGAAAGAGACGAGCAATTTCGATCAAGGAGAAAGAGATGTATATCTTACAGATGAATAATTTTTCAGACATGTCTTCGACAGATCTCTAACCAGCAGATTAGGGTTTCGTTTTTCTTTTTCTTCCCGTCCTTTTGATCGGCTCTTAGCAAAAATCTTTACTAGTAAAGCACAAGTCACTTGGTACGTTCGATACGTGTTGGTAGTTTATTTTTTATTACTTTTTGTTTTTCATTGCTTTTTTCCATTTTTTCTGAAATTTCCTTTTCTCTGTAAGAAACCGCTACATCACCACGATCTTCAAAAACTAACTATATAAGTAACCCTGTTTTTTAAACATATACCAAGCAAAACTTTCTTCATCTAATTCGCTTGTGTTCTCCTTCTCTTCTCATCTCCTTCCTCTTCATGGAAGTAACGTTACAATTGTTCCCATAACCTTATACTGATATACACAACAAAAAGAGAGACCATAGAACCAAATTAAGATACTGAATGTTTTATCTTAATTAAAAGATGGGCTAGGAGACCTAGAAATGGTGGTGATGATGATGATGATGATACATCGCTGACGGGTCATGATGATGATGAAGGTTCATTCCTTCTCTTTGATTGCTATGGTCATCCCCAATATCATGATTTGTAGCTCCAAGATTGAGATAAACCAATCTTGAATCCAAATGACTTCCTCCTTGGCTTCCGCTCGTGTGTTCATCTTTCATCCTAGGGTAGATCACAGTGTTGTTATCGCTACTGTTGTTGTTTCCTTCTTCGCGAGAGATCACCAACGCCGCGGACTGGACCAGCTCGAGACAAAGCCTGAGCTTATTAGGCTCAATGTGAGTCAATCCAGGAATTGCCCCCTTGAACAAGAAATCGGACGTTAGGGTTCGAAGTATGTCAAGAGGAGTGATTCCATCGACTGTTTGGACGTTTGGGTCGGCGTGGTGGTCGAGTAAGACAGCCACCATGTCCGGAGAAACCATCTCAGCCGCGATGTGAAGGGCGGTTTTTCCGGTGGGACCGGCGGGATAGTTCACATCGGCAGCTCCAAGCTCAAGAAGTGCCTTCACAACCTCTCTACTACAATTCTCGACGGCGTAAATCAAAGCTAAGGACTCATCTAGATTAAGTCCTTCTCCCATTACCATTAGCTTCACGAGCTCTACGTCTGAGGCGTCCAATGCACGTCTCATCCTCCTGATCTTCTGGTCCTCGAGATCTAGAGCTGAGGTTAGGTCATGGTGGTGAGGCATTAAGGAACGGAGAGGCATGGAAGATTTGAGACGAAGCTCCTCAACCTTGGCTACGAGTTCAATTGGGAGATGTTTGGCTAGAATCTCTTGTGGAAGACCGGATTTTGCGACTAGGTAGGAGCAAGTGGTCCATAATTGATGCATGTCTTGCTTTCTTGAAGCTATTAGCACTTTCATCACATCTTCAATGGAGGCTTTCTCCACCATGCTTGTCAAATGTTTCTGTGAGAAAATATATATAGATAAAAATTAGATCTAATGACGAAATCTTAAAAGACACTATCCAGCACGTACTTATCACTGAATCAATAGAGTACTATTCGATTCTCTTTCCAGAAAAAAAAAAAGAGTAACCATGTTCACGACTGATAACATTGTGAAAGCCCAAGATTATGGAAAATAAAAAGAAGATACTGAAATGGCTAAATTTATCAAGAGAAACTTTGTTATACTATTAAACTTAATCCTATGGAATGATAAAAAAAACAAACAAAACATATGGCTTTGGTCATTGCATTTGCAGAATTGCGGCAATGCTGAATGCAAATAGTTAAAACATGCAAAATGATTTTGCTATTTCTCAATTTTTGGGGTTACTTATAAAATCTCTGTTATTCGTCAATGTTACTATTTTCAAAGATAGATATTTATCTCAAACAAAAAGTGACAATTTTTTTTTTTTTAATTATTCTAGGTGTGCAACAACACAACCACAGTCCATCGCCGTCTAAATCCGGGAAGGATGTAAAAGTACGTGCTATGCAAGCGATCTTGAAGCTTAGTTACACATGAAATCAACACAAGAACAACTCTTACCTATATTAACATGTGTGTATGATCATCAGTGGGTTTTCAAAATTCAACTCAACCGAACCAAAGCAAACCAAGCCAAATCGGAACAGTATTTTATCAAGATCAAACAAGAATATATAATCCTTAACCTAAAGAGACTGAATTTAACTAAGTAGAACCTGAGTAAGCAAAGCGAGCTGCTCGACGCCAAAATAACGAGCTGCGGCTAAGATATCTAAAGAGAGATCAACGGCTGCAGTGCAATGCGTGTGCCAGCATCCTCTATCTCCACAATTCGATCTTGGCTCGTGCTTATGCGGTACGATTGAGACTTGACCACTGTACAAGAACTGAAGTAGAAGTAAGAAAACTTCGTAACCGACCGAGTTAACTGGTATGACCCCTCCTACAACGGCTGCTCTGGCTCCTGATCCGGTTTGGTTACCATCTCCGGTTTGTGAAGGATCAGATCCGCAAAAGAATTTGCGGAAGAAGAGACTACGAGCGGCGAGGATGCAGCGGTGAGCGTGGACTAGACGGCCTTCGACGCTGAAAGTGACGTCGGAGAAAGCTTGGCCGTTGATCAAGAGGTTTAGGTAATCCATCGACAGAGATTTCAGCGATTCTTCGACAGAACTATTCATCGCTTCTTGCTGATTCTTGCCGCTAAAAATTAGGGTTTTCAGAGAATTATAGAAAAAAAAATCGTCTCCTTTGATTTAGAAAGCTATAGAAGATGAAGAAAAGAGTTTCTTTTTTTCCTTCAAGATAGACTTTTCTAAGGGAAAAAGAGGTCACGCATTTATCTTTAGAAGCTCATGGAAAAGATGAAGAAGAAGAGAGAGAGAGAGACTATAGTGTCTGAAAGATGAGTTTGTGTGTATAGATATAGAGAGAGAAAGAGACAGAGATCTGAATGGGCGGACCGGGGGGTCTCGAATTAATTTTAATTAATAAAGAACTAAAGAAAACGATAAAACTATTAATGTCGACGTGTGTGCTCTATTTTATTGGCTAGGAGCAATTGGAGTTTTGTATTTTGTTTTTGTCATCAGAAGCAAATCACCAATTAAGAGAAATTTGGTGGCATATTTTTGTTACTAAAACAGGAAGAAAACAAAGTGAGAAAAGGGTTTCTTAACATAGAAGTACGGGCCGAATCAATTTGGGGGGTGGAAAAACGAATGTGGAAAGAGGATGAAATGATTAATTAGTTTTTGTGAATATAAAAATCAAAAGGAAAGAGAGAGAGAGAGAAATTAAGTTTATAATAATGCCGCTTAAATATCATTAGCTACCGACTAAACAAAGACCCGTGTCACGTAACACGCTAACACTTTTTAGTCACATACATAATCACGTACTTATTAATTGGTTGCAAGGAAAATAAAACCAAGGCCGACGATGAGCTTTTTATCACAACTGCACCATGATCTTATATAAGAAACATATATACGTTAACGTTACTTAATGCTAATAAGAAGAAGGTTTTCGATGCAAAATAAGAATAGCTTTTAGAAATTTCCAAGGAATGAATATATATGGATCAACACATGCATAATATTTTTTTGAATAGATGTGTAACATTTCTAGTTGAGGTTATAGTATAAAACGACGTGGCATGACACGTCCATGAAGCTTATGACGAAAGAAAAATAAAAAGCATTCACCATATTAATCGCAGAAAAAAAGACCAACCATGTTCATAATTGGAACCCATCTGCATGCCGCATGCGTGTTAAATTTGTTAATATGTAAGGATGAAAAATTGGTAAGTTGGACCGGACGATGATGGATAGGAACATTAGCCTAATTCGTTAAGGCAAACCCACTGAAAGTCTCGCTGTACTTAGTAAATCTGTGATTTGATAGTTTGGCGTTTGACCGTTGGTCCGTTTTTGACCATCTCTTCTCATGTTTCCCCACTTTTTATTCCACAATTACTCTCTTATTTTTATACAAGACAATAAAATAAGGATTAAGAAAGAAAGAAAAACCTAAATAGTAAGGTATTGGCTTGGAGGTACTTGGGCTTAATTAGAATAAATGGTTCAATACTTGATTTTACTCTGAAAAATACATGAACTAATTTTGGAATATTTAATTTATAACATTGTAATGAACATTTAAGTGACATCGTTTATTCGATGTTATCAAAAGCTCACATATATTTTTGTCGTTCAGGCCTGCCTAGTTAGACCACTTTGGTTCAGCTCAAATGAGTTTGTAAATTGTTAGACAGCATTAATAATGCAGATGAAAACAAACCAAAAGTAATAAACAACAAATAATGCAAAATTTCAGAATTGGTGGATGAGAGTTGAAGTGCATGGGGATGCGGTGTCGGCCGGGTCAATCGGGTCCTTCTGCCTGGTCGCTATAATATTTCTTAGTATTTGTAACTAACTTTTTACAATCATTATTCAAGAATACAAAACATCAATCTCTTATTGTTAAAACAAAACATCAATCTATTTAAGCCGAACTCCAAAATGTGGTTGTAAAGTATGTTAAAAAGATGATTAAAACTCGTAAGCCTGTTTGCTTGATCATTGTAATCACTCGCAAGCCTGTTTGCTTGATCATTTAATCACTCGCAAGCCTGCTTGCTTGATCATTGTAACAGAATAATTCATAATTATTCATTATCTAAAAAAATTTAGAATTCAACAAATAATTATGAATTATCTAAACTCTAAGAGATAATTCTAGAACGGTTAACTTAAAGAAAAGGAAAACAAAAAATACTGAAGTATATATTGAAAATGACATGTTTTAGACTTCTGTTTTATCATGCATGGATGTCTAGTAACCTAATTATATCTCTTGTTTTATTCTTGTGAAACATAATTTAATCGTTACGATGGTTATCCCATCCGATGGACCGTTAATCTCTCGAATGACATATTCTTCCAATGGTACACTACGATGACGTCAGTCAGGAACACACGTGCGGGGTGATATATATTTTCCATATTTTGCTTTGACAAAAGAAAAGAAAGAAAGAAAGAAACTGTTCTTTTTTTCCAAATATATCTATCTATTTATATTTGTAATATACATATTGAATTCAATTTGTGTTGTGGCTGAGAAAAAGTGGAAACTATTAGTGAAAAAAGGATGACAACACAAGAAGGCACTGGCAGTCGTATGATAAGATAGAGATCCGATTTGACGTTTGTCTTGTCTTTTCAATCTCTCTCTCTCTCTATTTTTTTAAAAATAACTAAATTAATAAATTTACTTCTTCTGTTTATCTTCTTCGACCAAATTTTTTTAAATGTTTTTTTTTTTACATTTAAAAAAGAAAATGTTGTTAGCATAAACATTTTGAAAATACTCTAAACATTTTGTTTTGTATAAGATCTGTATATACATCACACTCACATAAGTATAGTGAAATTTCTTTTATTATGATAAGGATTTAATTTCAATGGGTCCTCGCTAAACCGAATCCTAGGGTTTTGCTTTCTGTCTTTGTGATATCGTGACCCTTTTTTAGTTTTTAATTTTTTTGCTTTTCTTTACTTTTGTAATCAACATTTTTTTTTGTCAATAGAGCATCATGTCCAAGTTCTGTCATTCGTAAAAAAATTAGGTATGGTCTCCAGATAAAAGTGAGGTGACCTTTTTTAAACATTGACATTTTTTCATCTAATCAGATCAATCAGTACGGAAAACTATAAAATAATTAACTAAATCAATGATAGATCGTAAATAGATAAAAGAAACGATAGAACATTCTAATTACTTACTCATTACCGACATGGTGTTTTTTTTTTTTGCTATTTAAAAGTTTAAACCGAAATCTCCTATCAAACTAGCTAGTTTCTACTATATGCAATATATATGTATGTTAATATGTATGTACATATGTCCAGAAAAATTGATCGTTGATCCCAGTAGAAATGGATTCACGAGCTCGGCCTACAAAACGATTATATTGATTTTTCTTTTGATAAAGTAAAACGATTATTGATGACTCTTAATTATATATGTGAGTATTTTGGAGTATGTGTGATATTTTTAATGTCTTCATGAAAAGACTATATACTCAATATAACATGACGTAGGAGAAAACTGATTCTACAATCGTCGCACACTTTTTCACGTTCTGTTATCATTTCCTGAGATATTGTAAATCACATGTTAACTTATCTTATCTTTTTAATTTTACTTCTCATCAGTTTCAAATTTCTTTTCAGTTTCCTGACAACTTTAATTTGTATATTTCATAACAAGATCAAGGGAAAAGTAACAAAAGTTAAACACATACTCCCTAAAATTAAATAATCGATATTGATTATTCATTAAATTAATACTCAATTCCTTTTCGTGATCAATAATCGAACAAGCGAAACTATTCACTAAGCTAATTGAACTAATACCACTACTGTAGTTGTTTTGTACTGTTCCTAAACAGTTAATAACTAACGAATGGGTATGAAAAAATAAAGAATATGGACATGTTCTTCTTTGAATGCTTACTTCTTTCATACACGCCACACTAGTCACACTAACTCATGACTACATCTTGTTATGTAGGAGTGTCATTAAATTATTTAACGAACAGTACCACTTTCTTAGAAATGATTTAATTAACTTTTAAAAAAAATCATAGTTATACAGTCAAAAATACTGGTTGCCAACTATATCAGTCTTAAGCAATTTAAAGTAAATTATTGTCCTAGCATTGTTGTAGACCTGATGCTTTGTAGCCTTGCAAAGCTTAAAGACGCTTAATGGTTTGAACTTTTTTGCAAAAAAAAAAAGGTCTTCAGCTGCCTTGAATTTTGCATTAATTAATTAACTAGCTCAGACTTTTTGTGTGTATAGCATGGCCCGCAAATACGCGTCGTTGTGTGTGTATGTATCCACTATCTATGTATCCACTTTGACGACAGCTTTCAAAGAAGAAAATAGATTGAAACCAAGATATCCTCTACTAGTCAAACTAAAAGTCGTCTTCAAGTGAAACTCCTGAAAATTGAAACAATAATGAAGCAACATAATACAAAATCACAGATAAGTCCTATTAGAGGGTGTGTCAGTGTGTGTGTGTGTGTGTGTTCCTGCGCGCAATATGTCGAGTTTATCTTCAGCCCATTGGTTAAGGTCTAACGTTTTTTTACTAGTGTATAAACAAAGAGAGTCATATGGTTAATTAGGGTAAATATTATTACAGGATCCCTATAATCAATACTACCCATGTCTTTGTAAGAGTGTGTGTGTGTGTGAAAGTAAGAGACAAGAAAAGCTGGGAGTTTTCAGTTATGTGTGAAGGAGTGTTTGTTAAGGATTACATATATGATAAATAAAATAAATGTAATTGTAGAATGAAAGAATAAAAAAGTAGAAGACTGGTGGTGAAACAGTAAATCTCAGCTGCTTTTTGTTTGGGGAAAGAAGATTTACTTCAAGTCTTCAACAGTTAAAAGTTATAAACCAAGATCTTTTAGAGTGGTCGTATATAATCTATAATAATGTTCTTGTTTCGAAAGGCTGTTATTACCCCCTATCTGCAGCCCATGGCACTTACCTACTTCTCGACCAAATCTTCTCAACTTTCTAATCAATTGCATGCAAAAACAAAAATGTGAACATGCATATATATATATATATATATATATATATATATATATATATATATATTTTTTTTTTTTTCTACTGTTATATGTCTTGATATATAACTCTATTTATTTTATACTTATATTTTTGAAATTCCATTGATTGACGTTCAAAGTCTTACCTCATTTATGAAGAGAAGATCTAACATTTAATTCTATCTGAAACGGTTGTTATAAAAATTTATAGACCGTACGTAGCCGTATTGTTTTACCACCGTTTCACTTTCACCAAGCAAAACTTAATTTATCCACATAACTGCGAAGCATCCAACTATTATTCAGATGGTGTATTTCAACTGAAACTGCCTTAAAAACACTAAATCGACTCTTAGCTTATGATTAATGATCCAGATCTAAAACAGTAAACTGTAAAAGGATCAGTTTATCATTTTTTTCAAAACTACATGCATTTCACAAAACAACAAATGTATCATAAAATCAGTAGTGGTATATTGACAAATCACATGTTTTTAACCCAAACCGTCACATCTATCAGTATTTTAACCTATATATCTCTGCATAACCATTGCAATTAGCCCATATTTTGTTTAGGATAACTCGGTTTGTTGGTGCTGCATTTTTTTAGGAGAGTATCAAAAGGAGCACGTATGTGCATGTATATGGTCGTGTATGTGTATATATGTATATGGGAGTAACATTTTGTCGAGATGCAAAATGATTTGACAAGACAAGACACTGGTATGCTTTTGCGTGTGTGAAGTGATGTGATGTGGACTTCTATTGACTTGACATCTCATTCTCTTCTTTCTCTCCTCCTTTTATATTCATGAATTTTCTTCTTTTGTTCTATGATTCTATCCAATAAGTTTATAACCTGCTTAATTGCTACTTATTATTTGACTGTTAATCTTAAGTCTTAACCAAAAAAACATCCTTTGATGCTCTGTAGCCTCTGATATTTGTTCGTATAGAAGAATGCATCATGCTTTTACCAAAAATAAAATAATGCATCATGCAATTTTCAAACAAAATGTTTACTTCCAACTTATTCTTTTTCCCTTTGAACAAAGAGCTGAAAATTTCGGCCAATCAATTCATAACATATGAGAACCAATGAGATTATGATCGTACCTTATGTAATGGAAGTATCGAAGATGAGGTATTGTTTAAGAGCCTCATTTGAGTTGTTCAGTAGCTAAACAAATAACAACAAAAAGCTACTGGGCCAAGAAGAAACTTAAGCCCAATATCAAGAATTCAAAAGCCCATACTCGTGTTTAACTGAGTAGAATTCTTTACTCCAACTCAAATGTTACCGTTAGTCTGTTAGACACATTCCTGAATTATACAGAGAGCGAGTCCACAACTCACTTCAAGTTAACATGTCCAAAACTTGATTATGAAACTTGTGCAATCAGTCAAATATCTCATTCTCACGTCTTTGTTTCAACAAGCATTAATGTGAGACTTGGTCCCTCTATAATTCATATGTCTTTGACTTGAAAAACCTCATCCACACGACTCTAAAGCAGCTTTCATTACTACTTTGCCTTTGGTTTCACTCTTTTCCTCATCCTTCTGCCTTTTGCTTCTCTGATAACATACTTCTCCAAACAAACAAACAACGTTTGGAAACGGATATAATACATTAAATAAATCCCAACAATCATGTATTATACTCTTCTTAGTTGCCCCACGAACATTTACTTACAATGAACAAAATTTAGAGTCAGAGATGTCGTGATTACAACCAGACCATCAGCAATTAATTTGGAAAGGAAAAAAAAAAAGAATTAAACTTGTGACAGTGCCCACGACTATAAAAAGTTTGAATGAAAATCCCTCATCTTGGAGCGTACGAGACGGTGATATCTATTGGCCGTTTCATATTCGTCGACCATTTTTCCGATTCCAAATACAGTTGAGATATTTTTCCGGCGACTCTTCCCATCTCCGGCCGATTCACCGGATCATCTTGCACGCATTCCAACGCCAGCCTCGTCAATTTCTCCGCCACCGTGACCGGAAACGAATCCTCCAATCTCCGATCCATCCACCTCCTCAACCGCCCCTCTACATCGCTCTCTCCGCCGTCGACTGCCGCTCCCGCGGTTTCTATCACCGACGTCCGCTCGAAATCTCCGCTGGCTTTATCATACCTGTACTTCAGCGGCTCCTCGCCGGAGAGAAGCTCCAGCATCATGACTCCGAACGCGTAGACGTCTGATTTCTGAGTGGCGATTCCCGACGCTTGAAATTCCGGCGACATGTAGCCTCTCACCCCTTCGAATCTGACAGCAGATCGCTGTGAATTTCTCGATCCGTCTCTCTCCGGTGACATTTCGTGCGTTTCTCCGCATAGCTGCGCGGTGCCGAAGTGGCAGATCTTACCGTTGAAATCGGGCTCCGTCACGATCACCGCCGAGCTCTTTATGTGATTGTGGACGAGGTTCTCGATTTTCAATCCGGTCTTGTTGTGGATGTAATCGAGCCCGTGAGCTAGATCCGTTGCGATTTGAATCCGCGAGGTCCAATTCGATAAAACTGTGAAATTAGGGTTCTTAGGATTTCTCAAGCAATCGGCGAGGGACGCTCCGTTGACGTACTCGTAGACTAGGTATATGTGATCGCCTCCTCCGCCGCCGGATACAGAAGCGCCGAGTAGGTTTATGATGCTCCCGTGGTGGCTCCGGCAGATATCGGAAAGCCGATCCCTGAGCTCGTCTTTGGCGATTCGCCGCCTGAACTTTCTCTGGAAGACGACCACCTCTTTCCCTCTCAAATTGCATCGCCATGAGGCTTTAGAGGAAGAGGAAGATAGACGATGAGCAAGGAAATTGTTGGTGGCGGCTCGAATCTCAGAGACGTCGTATATGTGAGGATTTTCCGGTAAGGTTTCCCGGAGACTAGCGAGGGACGTTCGACTAGCGGCTGAGGAGGAAGCACCGGATGAGGAGGAGGCGGCGCCAGTTTTGTTAGAATTCGAGCTCGTTGTGGTTGTCGTGGTGCCGGTGTTACTCGAAGACGTAGACCGTTTCACCGGCGGAGCCTGGTGGTGCCTCCCCTGAGATTGACTCGGCCGCGATTGCGTTCGGGTTGGCTCTGAAGCATTGACACCCATTTTGGTTTTGCACATACAGACAAATTTCTGTTTTAAAACCTGGAAAAAAAGGTCAATGGGAAACCTAGAGAATCAGAGAGTTGAGACGGCGGAGAGAGAAGAAGGGGAAGACGGAGATCGGCGCATTATAGCGGACACGGATACAGGTGCATTATAGCGGATGTTGGAAAGTCTTCTCTTTCTTTCTTCATCTCTCTCTTTGAATGGGTTTTGTCAGCGACTTATAGAAGCATTACGTTGGTGATTAACAAAGCTTACTTTTTACATTTTAAAACCGTGAATTATGAACATGCACTTTGTTTGATTATTATTTCCATTTTGATTTGCATCACTTTTTCATATTTCTTTCAAGTTTTGTAAAACGGGATTTCTTGTAAGAACAAAATTAGTTATTGTACATATTCTTTTATAATCATTTTTTTTTTTTTTTTGTAATTATATTAGTCATTTCAATATTACACTAGTTGATCAATCAGAAATACTTTTCTCAAGAATTTATCGGATCCATAAACTTACACAAACAAAAGCAAAAGCAATAAAGATCGACAGAGAGGAGAACAAAGGGAATTAGGATTCAAATCCACGAAACCCGACCGGATAAAAGGCTATAAATCTACCACCTGTCCAATAATGTGAAACAGCATTACAGCACCGTTGAATATTAGAATTTTTGCGAAACGTTACATAAGGAAAAATAAGTGACGTGAAGGATGACATTGCTTAATGACGTTTTCACCTTTTTGGTAAAGAAAAAACGAGTTCACGTGATCATTGCAATGCCAATTGGTTCTCTCTTGTCGTTTGTCTTTCCCATGATAGATTCAACTACAAGTCTACAACCTGTATGTCACAATGGTCTTTTTAGTATTTGTTACAAAGCATATATACATTACAAATACAATTGTACATTTTGAACAAGATAATGATAAATATGATCGGTGGCCGACGGACCCAATGTTTGTGTATATATACGTAATTATATGTCGTGTATAGTAATATGAGGACAAAGTCTCAGGATCCATGATTTAAATTATAACTTGTACTGAAATTTATAATCAAGTAACGCCCATTTCTGATAGGTGTTACCTTCGTTTCAATAGGAAATTAGACTTTATGAGTATAATATTAATTACAAGCTACAAAACTTGTCCCCTTCATATGATCATCCAACAAACATGGTCATATGAAGTCAACCTCAAATAGTTGTTTTTCGTGAACAAGATTTTTTTCTGATCTTCGCCATGTAACCTCAGTTGGGATCTAACTAGCTAGAAAAGATATTTTTTTTAGTATAAAGTCAACAGACAGAATTTAGTGAATGCAATATACAATAAGCATTTTACTACACAAACACACACGAAAAAAAACAGTGAAAATTGTTGCAATGCAGTGAAATTTGGCAGTCTTAAGTTATTTCTACAATATAAATTTCATTCTTAAAATAATTTATATTAGTTTGTCGATTTGTGGGATAGAACAGTTTTCCAATTACAAAAAGACAAAGTAATTTCATAGCTCTGTGAAAATTTCTCACGATTCTTTGTGATTTCTTAAACTTCAAATACTTGGGTAGAATCTGGTAGTTTTTCTTTCAATTTCAAACTCTCATTTCCAGGTGATTTAAATTTTTGGGGTCGAATCTGTTTTTTTTCAATAAATAAGTTATAGATTTGCTTGAGGAGGTATCAAAATCCAAATGAAGTCTATAAAGCAATATGGGCCACAATTTAGGAGAGAAGGAACGAAGAGTAATGGGCTTACCGCAAAAAAGTGAGCCCAAAGTTTAAGGAAGCGTGTAGTTACTTGTGAAGGTAGGAGGGAGAAGAATGCAGAGAGAGTGTTGCTGCTACAGGACAAAAATGGAGAATCTAGTGAAGCTGGATCACTGGAGTCGAGAGTATGACTGTATGAGTGAGAGGACAGGTGGAGCATTACCATAGCAGGATCTAGATAATTGTTTACCTGAACCATTAAAAGCCTTGTAAACCGCAAAGATTAAGTTTTTTTCTTTTTCTTTTTGGTGCAACGCAAAATATTAAGTTGAAAGGAGGTTCCTTTGCAGCAGTCACAAAATCCTTCATCTTTTCTCTCTTCTAAAAGCTGCTTGCTTCGTCGTCTTGTTGAAAGGAGGTTCCTTTGCAGCAGTGACAAAATCCTTCATCTTTTCTCTCTTCTAAAGCTGCTTACTTCTTCGTCTTGTTGAAAGGAGGTACCTTTGAAGCAGTCACAAAATCCTTCATCTTCTCTCTGTTGTAAAGTTGCTTCCTTGTTCGTCTTTCAGCTTAAGGTAAGCATGTTCTTCATTTAGTTTCCAACACCAAATACAGATTGTTTATTTGAATGACCCAAAAAGGAAAGACCTTGATCGTTTTGGAATACTGATCTGTAATTTATTTGTTGTTTCTCCCACAGGCAGGGATCTGGGTTTTTGAAGAAATGGAAAGTGAAGTGGAAGGAGATCAAGCGATACCAGAGATACACTTGGTACCTCCTCGGCGGCAAGTTGAAGATCCACACAGGTTAGGCGATTCTCTTCTCTTTTGTTTCATTGCAAACGATAAACTCTGGAAAAAGATACAAACTTTATTTTGTTTTCTCAATCAATTACATGAAACAACAAAGGCATTTTTGGAAAATTTTGGTTCTGAATTGGAATATGATTGATAACGCAGGAAGAGACTCGGTCCAGAAAAGGAAACAAAGAGAGCAAGAGATGATGATGATGATTACAAGGCTAAAGTGAATACACCGCAACAGTCACAGACACACAAGAGAACGAAGATCAGAGGAAAAGTTGCTCGTGATGGCTACAAAAGCAAACCACCGGTCAAAAAAGCCTCTGCTACTGCTACGCCTGCATCAGCTGAAACTTCTTCCGAAGCTAACGACAGCTATTCTCGCCCAAAGAGATCTTGCAGAAGATCTTTAACGTTTTACACTGATGATGAAGAAGAAGACGAGTATCGTGGGCGGACTTTCACTTCATTGCCAAGTACAAGTCGCCAAAGCAGGACTCAGTCAAAGAAGGAAACACTTGATAAGAGTCCTAAGGGGAAGACTATGACATCTAATGATCAATCTGTCACTGGCAGAGAAAGCTCAACCATGTCAGTCCGGATACCATCTCCAAATATCCAGAACTTTCTGTCAGAGATGCAACCAAGTTTGTGTAGAAAGAAGAGAAGGAACAGAGACCCTGTAGCAAGCAAACTCAATGCAAGGGTGTTACACCTCCAGTGGCGACGCCAATATGCAACAGGTTAGTCAACACAAACACCAAAGAATAGCACTTTTCATGCATTTACATTCTTGCCTAAAATTTTAATCCTACTTTAACAAAATTACAGGTACTACATCTGATGAGGAGTTGTGGGAACGGAAACTCTCAGTAGACTCTGTCACCAAGTTCTTCAAGGAGTTAGACATCAGGAGAGACAATCCTTGCCTTGCACATAGCATGGAAACTGCACTAACTCTACATGAGGAAGCATGTAAGAAGCAAAAGGCACTGTACACGAAAGATGATGGCTCAATCATTCCTTTCCCTGATGAGAAGAAACATCAGCCGAAAGTAGAATTGGATGAGGAATCAATAAGAGTGTGGAACCTCCTGATGGTGAGTATAGACAGCGAAGGTGTCGATGGTTTGGATGAGGATAAACAAAGATGGTGGGAAGAGGAGAGGAGAAGGTTACATGAACGTACAAACTCCTTTATCACTCGCATGCGTCTTGTGCAAGGTACTGTTTATCGTTTCAATTGAATTTCATCATTTGTGCACACAAAAGCAAAATAGTCTAAAACCAAAGCTGTTTGTAAAAATAGGCGATCGAAGATTCTCACCTTGGAAAGGCTCCGTTATAGACTCAGTTGTCGGTGTTTTCTTGACACAAAGTGTCGCTGACCACTCATCAAGGTAAATGCCTTCAAGAAACAGAGAATATGTATGTATGCAAGCAAGATGAATGTTTTTGATTTCTCCTGAATGAATGATCCACTTGTTTACTTTTGCAGCTCTGTATTTATGGATATTGCTGCCGAGTTTCCAAACCCGGTAAATGCAGTTGCAGCTCCAAGAAGAACACGCAACCCTACTGGCATCGTCATAGATGAGATTGATGATGACGACGGCGTCACTGATAGTTCCATCTGTTGTACGTTAAACCAATCGAAACAGAAAGGTACTTGTATTGTCTCAACGAACCTAAACGAAGCACCGTTTGAGGTAGAGAGCTGTGATGAACTCAGAAACAATGTTGATGACGGAAGTCAACAACAAGAAGAGAAGAGTACCATTCAGTCACAAGACGAGGAACCGAAGACAAGAAGAGAGCAGCACACAAAGATGAAGGGAAAGAAGAAAAAGGGTCAACCCGCAAAGAAAAAGGCAAAGAAGGACCCAAAGAGAGACTTTGATGACTGGGACAGTTTGAGACGAGAAGCAGAAGCTAGTGGCCAAAAGAGAGAGAGAACAGACAGAACTATGGACGCTGCTGACTGGGACGCACTGCGACGTGCAGACGTAAACAAGATTGCTGATCTAATCAAAAAGCGAGGGTTGCACGAATTGCTTTCCCAAAGAATCAAGGTATGACTACATTTTACGAAAAAAGATTGCACTTATAAGTTCCTGTTGGGAAAAAAACACAATCTAACAGAGTGAATTTACATGTGGAACAGGATTTCTTAAACAGAATGGTTAAAGACCATGGAGAGATAGACCTTGAGTGGTTGAGAAACGTACCACCTCACCAAACCAAGTAAGAATACTATTCAAAACTTTCATGCTACATATAACCTATAAGTCCGAAGTATTCAGACGAAACCTATTGCTTGCTGCAGGGAATATCTACTAAGCATAATGGGATTAGGGTTGAAAAGTGTGGAGTGCATCCGACTCTTGTCACTACACCAAACTGCATTCCCTGTAAGTTAATGAAAAACTCTCTTACCTTACTAAATATGCAATCGATAGACTAATATGTTACCTATCTGAAAATGTTGCAGGTTGACACAAACATTGGACGGATTGCTGTAAGGCTGGGATGGGTTCTCTTACAGCCGCTACCCGGCGATCTGCAGATGCATCTACTGGATCTGTAAGCACTTACAATCCTTGTTTAATAATGATAAATAACATGTGACATTTTAAAATCTGAACCGACTGTTGATTTTAAATTCAGGTATCCAGTATTGGCATCTGTTCAGAAGTATCTCTGGCCACGCCTCTACAAGCTTGACCAAAAGACTTTGTAAGAAAATAGCATTGCTTCTATGCACCAAAATACTTATCTATTTTCTAAAAACTCGATTAATCATTGTATCATACAATTGTAGGTACGAGTTGCACTACCACATGATCACATTCGGAAAGGTAAATCTCATTTATTTCATTCAATTTTCACAAAACTTGTTACGTTTTTGGAATGCTTACATCTTAAAGTGGCTGAAACATTTTTGTATGTTTGAGAAATTTTTCAGGTCTTTTGCACAAAGAAAAAACCAAACTGCGGAGCGTGTCCAATGAAGGCGGAGTGCCGTCACTATGCTAGTACACGTGCAAGGTAATACTCATAGAATTCGATTAGCACTGAATTTGTTTCCATCCTAAACAATTATCCCATGCTATAAACTATCATTCATGTTGTCTTGAAAAAAATCTAAGCTTTAAGAGAATGAGACGAAAGATCAATTTTAAAGCATAAATGTCTACTTACAAATGTCACTAGCTCTGTCTTAACATATTGAAGAACATTGAGCTGCTTTTAATGGTTTGTATTCTTTTATGTTTGTGTTTTGTGGCAGTGCCCAACTTGCGTTACCAGATGCAGAGGAGGTAACAATACATGCGAGAAGATCTGCTGTTGTCTGCGAACCCATCATTGAAGAACCAGCATCACCACCGCATTGCCCAGATATTGAGGATTTCCCATCGAGGAATGAAGATGAAGTTGATCCTTGGGAGAATAAGACTATCATTCCTACCATCATCATTGGGAACAAAAAAGATGGACTTTCTACAGTCTTTGAAGCTGGTACATCAAACAGTTTGGTGGTTCTAAGCAACAAAACAACACCAATAGCAAGACAGAGCCTAAAGACTAAGGATAGGCTACGCACACAACACATTGTGTGAGTTACACTTCCAGAATTTTTTTTCTCATACTAATAATTCTCTGTCTAACCTTTTGTATTCTCTTGTTTCAACATGACAGGTACGAGCTACCGGACTCTCATCCCATTCTGCGTGGGGTTAGTAATCTTTTCAAATTATTTAGCTAGCTTGTATGTTTCTCTGTCTTTAACATTCATATTTGATTTTTTTTTTACAGTTTGAGCCTCGAGACCCCGATGATACATTTCCGTATTTGCTAGCTATCTGGACTCCGGGTATTACTTTTCAAGAATCAGAAACAATAATACTTTTTAGATGCGTATAAATACTTTTTTTTCTCTAACCTGTGATTGTACATCATTTTTGTATGCAGAGAACACATGTTTCCCAGGGAATTCAAAAACAGTACGCGGAACCATTTTGGTAAGTTTATAGTGGATTTTTTTTTTTCATTTAGAATAAACACTACGCTATTAATAAAGATGACTATTCGGTTGTGAACAGATTCCTTGCAGAACTGCAATGAGAGGGAGATTTCCTCTGAATGGCACTTACTTCCAAACGAACGAGGTATATTGTGGCTACGTTGGAGTCGATTAGAGGAGTTACTACAAGCAAAATTCTGTTGTAGGCTAAATTTGAGTTACATGTGCAGGTCTTTGCGGACCACAGCTCTAGCATCAACCCAATATATGTCCGAGGAGAGTCATTAGGAAGCCTATCAAGAGCACTTGTGTACTGTGGATCCTCTGTTAGCGCTTGTTTTGGAGGTAAAATTTCAAAATAAGTATCAATCTATGCATGTGTATGAGAGTTACTATAAATTCAGGTCATGCTTGAATATACTTTTTAAAATTTGTGTAGGTTTATCAGTGGAAGAAATTCAATATGGTTTCTGGAGAGGTAAGAGGTTAATAGTTTGGCTGGAATTGCAGTGAGAAAGATCATATAAAAATCAGTAACAAAATGAAGAGAACTTGATGATACTTTGTGATTCATAGAACTTTTGGATTAACATTTTTTACTACAAATGTAATATGTGCAGGTTATGTCTGTGTTAGAGGATTCGACAGAAGGACGAGGAAATCGAAGCCACTTGTGAGAAAATTGCACTACACATCCAGCAAAAAGTAGCTTTTTATTGGTAGCTTTTTATTTTGTCAACGGTAGTTTACTTTGTATTTTAAATCTTTGGGCTAGTTTACTTTGTATTTTAAATCTTTGGGCTTACGCCTTCTTTAAAGTCTATTACTCTCATATGTATCCCTTACATTTTCTACGTTAAAGCTTTTAGTCTCATGTGTAACAAAAACCATGACTAAGTTAAATACACACACAAAGAAAAAGCATCATCTACATACATAACTGTGGAAAACTGCGTCTCGAAACAGACTTAACTCTCAATACTTGGAGTGTTACAACATCGAGAGTATACTATTTGTTTCCTCCTCTCCTCAAAAGCTTTTGGATTTCAAAAATTATCTTCTGTACAAGTACTTGGCCAGTGGAAAGCTGAGGCTTTTCCCAACCTAAAAACCAAACCAGAGGGGGAAACAAAAAAAGCATTTATCTTTGGATAACGCTATAGCACTATATGACTCAATTATTTGCAAACAAAGTGTGTTGTTACCTTAAGAGCAAGATCTTCAGACACCATGGAACGGTATCTACTAGTGCCTTCTAACGGGCAGCTTCCGCTTTTGATGATCAAGTTTGCATCACAAAGACTTGACACTTGAAGCAGAATATCTGACATCAGGTTCGTCTTCTCTCTGTCGTAACCCGTCGCTTCTCCTTCCTCCTCTTCTTCCTCTTCGCCAAATGAAGTGTCTCCTACAGAGGCAATACACTGGAATATCGCCAATAATCTCTCCAGGGGAAAGCTTCCAGGCCCTTTCATGACTGCTTCCTGCTCTGCAATCTCCTTCTTTTCCATGGATTTCTCCGAGGCCCTGTCAAGGAAAACATCATCACAAAGATTCTTTTATTCACACACCACTAGACCTTGTTATCAAGCTCAGAGTAAATCATCATCAGTGCTAGTGTTATGTATAGCTTACTTGCGCTTTCTTTTACGATTATCCATGCCCCCTGTGGAGTCAAACATGGACGCGTCTAGCGTTGCTGGGTTTCTTGAAGCGAGAAAAGCCGCAATGAGAAGAAACTTTGCCGAAGTAGACATATGGAAGTCCAATACTCCAACTTCTTCACGGTTTTCAGAACTATAACTGGCTTTCTTCTGCCTTCTCTCGTCATCATGAGAGCGACTCGAGACTCTGAATATCTCATTCAAACAGGGAGCAAGAAGCGGTTTAAGATGGCTATACAGCCTTCTCTTCAGATCTTCATTAGGTGAAACCCCTAAATCATCAAGCGGCTCACAATACTTTCTGAACAGTGACGAGAAGGTTGTGGAAAGTTCATCAACTCTCCTGGTGACCCTAGAGAAAGGTCTCAACACAACACTACACACACAAAGAAAATCAAATTAGTGAAAACACTATGAGTAAAGGATAGAGAAGGAAGACAAGGAGCCTTACTCGAGGAATGCAGAGTATAGTTTCCGGTTAGTTTGATTCTTCAGGAAGATTTGACGAAGATCATCTTCAGAATACTCAGGAAAATAGAGAGGGATAGGGTCCGTGTACCCCATGTTAGAGTAGTACACATCTGGTGGCAATCCGCTGATAAGTATAACACCAAGCTGAGGCATCTTCAAAAGAGAATACAGATTGAAAAGAAACTGCAGAATCACAGCTCCTTTGTCCCACTCTTTGATAAGATCCAAATGATCAACTACCAAGTACACCATCTTCCCCACAGGTTTCCCATTCGATCTCGAGTCAAGAGTTTCCATCACATTACCAAGGGATTGACGAAGCAAGTTGACGAAATCAGACGGCTTGTCACACCGTTTCGCGCTAGAGTAGCCGTTCGAAGAAGACTTGCTATGCAGCAACAGCTGATTGAGAATCGATTCGAACAAGACGCGGGGGTTGTAACAAGCACGGCAACTTGAGTAAACAAAGGGGCGATTGAGATGCCTCAGCACCTGAAGAACGAGACTGGTTTTACCGGTGGAGGCGTCTCCGTAGACTATTACTGGAAGAGTAGGGGAATCCAGTGGGCCCATGAGACGAATGAGGTCGAGAATCTGAGAGCGTCTGCCTGGGAAATCGGAGAGAAGAGCATCCAGAGGGAATGATTCTCCCCCGAATGTGAGATCGTCGATGGTTGGTGGGTGGGATTCATTGGGTTCTGGGTTCTCGACAGCCGCGGAAGATGAAGAAAACCTTGTGCTTCTTCGAGCCACTTTCGAGCTATCCTCTCTCGGAGGCATTAGTGTGGTTTCACCTGTTGAGCAAAAAGTCAGAATGAAATCAAGGGAACACAAAGTTGAGCAAAATCACACAAGTGGTGGCCACACAATTTACAGAGTACTGTTCAATCTCATTATACAAATACGCAAGCAATTGGTTTATGGATTCCACAATGACTAGAAAATTGAAAGGAAAACTCTTTTCATGGAGAAATCAATTGCAGAGATCTGACCTCCAACAAATCAAACTTTGCTTTTTGTTTTAGTTGTAAAGGAAATGAAATTAAAAACAACAATTCAGGAATGAGCAGGCGAAAAACCCTAATTCGTTACATCGAAGTATTGTAACTGCATCAATTCGAACGAGAAATTGAATCTAGGCTATAGGAGAGATGAACGGTGAATTTACCTTGAATCTGAATCGTTGCTTAATCAGATTGAAAAGGAAATGAAGGACGAATACTGGGCTTCAAAACTCGTAACTTTGTGAATCTAGGGATTACTCACCAGTAGACCACAGAGAGTAAGTAATTTAAAAGAAGACGAAGAAGAAGAGAGGGAAAATTGGAGCCAAGACTCGAGGGGATGAGAGAGTGAGAGGGAAGACTGCTTTATGAGTCGCAATGTCTCGCGGGAAGTTTTACGTAAATGGTGATGCAAGAACAAAAAGCCCAATAATCTTAATGGGCCTATATAAATTCAGTTTTTGCGACATGATGTTGGTTTCGTATTTCAGATTTCGAATTTGCTAAATAGCATCATGTTTGTCAGCAAATACTAAAAAAAACATCTCATAACAATGAAGGATGAGAAAAATCCAACTCAAGCTTATGTATATAAACTACGCAAAATTACTCGAAGTACCAAAAAAAAGCAAAAACAAACAGTTTTATCAAAGCGGAAAAAAAAACTTTTAAAAGAAGGTTGCTAATGTATGCACAAGGAAGAGGAACAAGACAGGATCGTGGTCACTTCTTGCGAGCCAGCGCCGCTACAATCCCACCAGCTATGAGACCTACAGCTCCTACAGCTGAAGCCGTGATGCCTATCCCGATCACACCATCTGCAAATATATACAAAAATTATTATTCAGCAACTCTGTGACTCAATTACCATTCTGTTTTGCAGTCCCAAGAACTTTCAAATTTGGTTGAGGAATAGCTTACCCTTAGTGATTTTGTCTTCGATGGTCTTCTTTAGCACCAAAGCCTGTCTCCAATCGGGTTGCATCTATGAAACAAAACCATCCATCACAAGGTGCTCTCATAATATATAAAGCTCACAGTAATAAAAAAAGAAAAGAGCTAGCAAGTGGGTGCAAACCTCAATACAGCGGTCAACAAGCTGCCTGCTCTTTGAGTAATCACCGCTTCTGTAACATCCAACAGCAAGAAGATAGAGCTTCTCTCGGTCCTCTAAAGGAGGAGCACTGTTTGCCAGAGATGCTGCAACCACAACAACAAGGAAACCGACTTATCAATCTCATATGTTACACGATGCAGAAGAAAAAAGAAAGCTTGAGCGTTTTTGTGCTAAATTTTGCAGCAATACTAAACTTTGAGGTCATGGTTTTGCACAGAACAAACAAGATAAGAGCAAGACTAGTTACTACCTTCAAGCATGGCTATTCCACGTTGCACATCTTCGGGTTGACGGGAATGAACAAGAGCCCATGACAAGCGCATTAGGCACTCCTTCTTAAGTTCTTCAGAGCCAGCATCTGTAGACTCTCTAACCTCTCTTTCACATCCCTGCCATCAATCAAACACAGCATGATAGTTTAGCTAGTGAAGCTATGAGAATGAAGAAGATACGAAGCTATCTAACAAAAAAACCACAGATGCTGTGACATTTAGTAAAGTTTCACAATGATTAAACTCGAACTTTCTAGTGCAAAGGACCCAAATTAATCAGCAATCACGAAGATTTTTCACAACTCATGAGCTTCTAAAACTCGATTCAGAAATTCTTAAGAACAATAACTGGTCAAGGACCGACTAATCCTCGGGAAAGCAAACCCCCGATTTCAGAAATCTCAGCAAAAAACAAAATTAACACGAAATTAACAGTTCTAGTTTTTTCGTAAAACAGCTCATGATTCCATTATTCTTCAAGATCGATTTCCGTTTCTGAAACCATGGGCGGAAAAAAAAAATCGAAACCGAGAAAGGAAGGAGGAAACTTACGGCGATGACATCTCCGTCGGACCATGGGATCTTATCGCCGCCGCTGAAGAAGGCACCGACGGAGTCAAAGAATTGTCCGATCTTAGCATCCATTGAAGCGATTTTACGTTTTCTGATTCACGCGGTCTTCGTCTTCGTTTCTGCTCTCTTAAAGGCGGAGTGGACTTGTCCCCCAAGCTCAGGAGAAGAGAAGAATATTTATTCCTTGAAGGTTGAAGCGATCAACAAGACCCCTATAGTTTTAGATCTTCCCACATTTATGCTATAACTTCTATTTAATCATTAAAACCCCCAATTGGATAAAATATTCTATCAGTCCCATGCGGTTATGGTTGTGATTGTGAATAATTAAACTGACTATCCCAAATGTATCGACAACAATTATATAACCGATCAACTGATTTATTCACGATCTAATTTTCACAAATTCAATGTTATTCATTTGGGACAATATCTTCTCTCCTAGTCCCATGCGATTTTGATTAGGCCTAATTATGATTGAGAATAAACAAACTAAAGATTATCCCAAATGGTTGAATTACAAAAAAAAACGCAGAATAAATAAAAATAAACGTTTTGCCTTTATGTAAGCACAGTAAAACAATCAATCAATCAATCACACACACGTCTCATACAAGTTTTACACAGACAAAAGAGTGTTTTCAAAGTGACAAGGCAGGTGGGTACTATGCCCTGTGAACGGCTCTTCTCAAGCACCAATCGTACAAGAACTCCAAACCTAGCCTTACTGCTGTTCCTAGCCCTAGCACCACTATCACTCCTGCAAGTTAACCATAAGACATTATCAAAACTCACTCATTCACTAGCATACTATAGCTTACACTAACATGGAAACAAACTAACGTACCGATAAGTATGCCAACCGGGAGCGCAGTCACACCAAGTGGGACGATTATTAACACATCCAGCATAAAACCGAATATCAGAATTGAGAATGCTACCCAACGCGGACTGAAACATCCCTGTGATCACGACACGACAAATATTGAATTAACACAAGAGAAACCAGACAAATGTTGTTCATTTGTCTGTTTTCAAAACGCAGAAAATGCGCCGTCACAAAGATAAAACATCACTTGTTGGTTTGCTTGAAGAAGAAGAAATCCTACTTACTGGTCGGGTCTCTGGTGGTGGCACGTTAACAGCCAGTACTCTGCATAACACAAGAGAAAACCAATGTAAGAACCAATAAAAGCATTAGTCTCTTGTCACTGAATGAAGCAAACGAGGAATGGTCTACTCACTGGCAGATCTCGCACCGATTAGAGCCTTTTGTGAGAAACCACGCCTCTATGCATGACCTATGGGCTTTAGCAAGGCCACCACGACATCGGCACCCTAGATCAATTAAAGCCTCTTGTTTCTCTTGCAGACAAACCCTACTTATCAACAAAAAACACAATGAACAACATAGTTAACCATGTTCGTAACTTGAACTGTAACAGAGTAAGACAATTCTTAGAACCGCCAAGATAAGAAAAGAGAGGGAGCGGACCTACACTGCTCGTGAGAGCTGGCGTTGCTTGAAAAGCAAACCAGTTCCGAAGACTCCTCACTCTCAGCTGGCACGGAGATTTGAGCCAATTCATGTGACTGACTAGAGTCTCCATTGCAGACGACAACCGTGAGGTTCACTTCGTTGGCAGACTCGCTCTGATTCTCGGGAGCCTTGTCTTGCTGCTGCTTCTCAGGGTCACCAGCGGAGATGGAGCTACTATGCATCTGATCTTTGACCTGTCAACAACTTCTTTCTTCGAGTTACGACTACAACTCTCGACTGCGAATTTAGCAATACACTTATGGGACCAAGCTGAATAAAAGGAAGATGTGCCATATGGAATCAATCACAAAGTGAAACGTTGCTATAAATGTACTTATGTAATGACGTTAATTTAATTTTCTCTTTTACTGCAAATGGCAAAAAAGAAAAATTTGGTGAGTGAAAGAAACTAAAGAAAAAAAGAAAAAGAAAAAGCATATCCAATTAGACTTTGGATTAAAGTAGCCAAAGACATAATAGTCTGGAATTTCTGGATCAGCAACAATAGAGCCGCACCAGAAACTTGCAGAGCTCTTCAACCAAGTTCATCTTCAATGAATTAACTATTTAAGACTATGCGTAAAGATAAGAAATATAATGTGTATCAAAGGAACCCCATATTTTAATATCCCCTTTTTAGATTGGTTGAACATTTAATTCGTTAAAAGACATCTTTCCTTGATCAAATGGCATCAAGAGTTTAATTGCTCTGTACTGTATAACACGTCTCATACAAGTTTTACACAGACAAAAGAGTGTTTTCAAATTGACAAGGCAGGTGGGTATGCCCTGTGAACAGCTCTTCTCAAGCTCCAATCGTAACAGAACTCCAAAGTCAGCCTTAGCGCTGTTCCTAGCCCTAGCACCACTATCACTCCTGCAAGTTAACCCATCCAACACAATATCAAAACTCACTCATTCACCACTAGCATAACTTCTTATGTGGCTTACAGTAACGAAAACAAACAAACGCACCGATGATTATGTTAACCGGGAGCGCAGACACACCAAGTGTGATGGATATCAACACATCCAGCATTAAACCGCCTATCAGAATCGAGAATGCTACCCACAGTGGACTGAAACATCCCTGTTGATCACGACAAGACAAATACTTTTCATTGAATTAACATAAGAGAAACCAGAGTTTTTGTTTTACAGTTTTAGACCCACTTACTCTTTCACGCTCTTCTTGTCTATAGCTAGGATCAACCCTCCAAACCCAGTAATTAGTCTGTTTCAAAACGCAGAAAATGAACCGTCACAAAGCTATAACATTCCCTAGTTTGTTTGTTTGCTTGAAGAAGAAGAAACCCTACTTACAATTGGTCTGGTCTCTGGAGGTGGCACGTTGACAGCCACTACCCTGCATAAACAAACCAATGTAAGAACCAATAGAAGCAATAGTCTCTTCTCACTGAATGAAGCAAACGAGGAATGGTCTACTCACTGGCAGATCTCGCACTGGTTAGAGCCTTTTGTGAGAAACCACATATCTATGCATGACCTATGAGCTTTAGCAAGGCCACCACGACATTGACACCCTAGATCAATCAATGCCTCTTCTTTCTCTTGCAGACAAACCCTACTCATCCAAAAAGGGAAAGAAAAAGAGCCTGATTCAGTAACATGTTCCTAACTTGAATTGTAACATATCACAGCATACGAGTAACAGAGCAGTGAAGACAAGAAAAGAGAGGGAGCGGACCTACACTGGTCGTGAGAACTGGAGTTCCTGGACAAGCAAGCATTTTTCGGAGACTCCTCACTCTCCACTGCCATAGAGACCTGAGCCGATTCGTGTGCGTGGCTAGAATCTCCATTGCAGACAACGATCGTGAGGTTCACTTCCTCGGCAGTCTCGCTTGTTGACTCGCTCTGCTTCTCGAGAGCCTTGTCTTGCTGCTGCTTCTCAAGGTCACCAACGGGGATGGAGATACTATGCATCTGAATCTTTCACCTGTCAACAAGTTCTTTCTTCTAGGTACCCATAAGACTACAACTCTCGACTGAGAATTTAGCAATACACTTATGGGACCAAGTTGAATAACAGGAAGATGTGCCATATGGAATCAATCACAAAGTGAAACGTTACTATAAATGTACTTATGTAGTGACGTTAATTTAATTTTCTCATTCACTGCAAATTGAAAAAAAAAGAAAGATTTGAAAGAAAGTCTTAAAACATGAATGAAACCATATGTTTTCTGACAGAAAGCTAAAGGTTACAATTGCGTACTTGATGAGTGAAGAAACTAAAGAGAAAAGAAAAAGCATATCCCATTTTACTTTGAATTAAAGTAGACAAAGACATAGGTTTTCTGGATCAGCAACAATAGCAGCACCAGAAACTTTGCAGAACTCTTCCACCAAGTTCATAGACAATGAATAAACTCAATTCTGGCGATTTAAGACTACGCATGAAGATAAAATCCTAATGTCTATCAAAGGAACCGTATATTTTTTTCTTCAATTTCCCCTTAATAAATAGGTTGAACATTCATTTCGCTAAATTACATATTTGCTTGATCAAATGGCATCAAGAGTTTAATTGCAGTGTAAAGCATTTTGACTGTTATGCTATATTTAGTTAATTTAATTTACCTTAAACAAAGCCTCTGTAGCTCTCTGTTCCACTTTAAACAAAGCCTCTCTAGCTCTCTCTTTCTTCCACTTAACTCAGCAGCAACCTCAACTGGAAAAACAAAAACTTACAACTGAGAAACTTCACTTCAGATTCAAGTCATGCTCTTTCGGAAACAGATTTTGCTGCCAGGCTTATCTGGACAGAAAAGAGATGTGAAAAATTCTTGATTTGAAGAAAAAAAGAAAAAAAAATCAATTTATACGACAAGACTTAGATGCGAGACTTACCGATACGTTTGAAACGGAGATGTAGAACACACGAATCTTGTGAATCGAATTCAAAAAGAAAAAGAGACCAAGACTTCAATTTTCTGAGTAAAAAAAGGTCTTCTTTTTTTCTTTTAATTGAAGTTCTCTCAAATTGCAAACAAGGGGATTTGTTGAGCCTGTCGGACAAAGTGTATATATCTTTAATGGCGAAAAAACTCACAACCCTTGGATGCGTAAAATTCTCAACCGTTGGATTAGATTTCTTTCTTTTTCAGACAAAACAAAGACGCTCACTTCAGCAACTCCTAGAAAGGCTAAAAACAGCTATGTACTTATCTCATTCTCTTGTCATTCATTAAAAAGAAACACAAGTACAAAACTCAAAAAAACCGGACAGATTTGCTGAAAGTTTGCCACTTTTTAAAACTCCGGTTTGCATCTAAATCGTACGGCTCTTGTTTTCTTCCTCTGCTCATTCTTCTGCTGCAGTATCTGATTGGTTTCATCAGATTTTTCAGTATTTTACTCACACCTAATAGTCCTCTTCGGCCTTTGCACGCCTGAGTCTCCTCCTCCATACGTATTGGGGAATCATCGAGATACATCAAAGAGAAACCTGACTCGGATAGGCTCCGACCAAGCAAGGCCTTGTTGAGGTGTGCCTCGAATGATAACCGCTCGAACCGATCCATCAACGAGCTTCGATCTTCGTCCCCGAAACTCTGTAATGGTGGAGTCTCCATTGGCTTTTTTTTTGTGGTTAGATAACGTCCGTAAACTGTTCTTTTTAAGGAAATGACAGAAGTGGAAATGTTGACAAGAACAAGCAAAGGATCTTCTTTGTTCTTTATTTCTTCTTAAACTATTTCTTGTTTTTAAAGCAAAGGATCTTCTCTAGGATGAAAACTAAAAAACCTAAGAAACATCTTAAAAGTTTTGCTGAAAATAATAGTAAGTTCACTTCACCACACACATCGGTAGGTAACATGAGACTCTGAGAGTTCGCCTCTGTAATTCACTTTCACAACTTGTCCTTTCTCCAGTCCATAGTACCGCACAATCGCGTCTTTCTTTGAAATCCGAGGAAGCTGTCAAATGTTTGTTTCCCAAAGAAGAGTTAAACCAGAGAAAAGATGAGAAGATGAAATTGATATTAAGCACAAAGAAATGGATAGTGTACCTGTTTTTCCTGGATATCGAACTTCTTGAGAAGTGCTGTCTTCTCTTCATCACTCAGAACTTGATGTTGTGGCTTCAGTACATGTTTCGTTATGTTGACTAGCAAGTCGGTTATCTTGAAAAGACCAGCAAGAAGGAAACCAGGTGTTAGTGTGTTACAGATATGAAAGTTGTGGCAATACAAATTAGATAAGGAAGAAATATATATATGTACCTGGAATATCTCGACCTTGAATTGAAAAAGTTCAAGGGCTTTCAAGGCTTGTTTGGTTACATGGCTTTGCAGGACCAATATCAGCCCTGTGATCGTTTCTTGGCTAAGTACTTCTGCTGCAACACTGCGGATTGAATTGACTTTAACCATACCAGTACCAAAAAACACAACCTTGACCTGAAAAAAAAACAAAACCACAAAACTTCTTTAACCACAACCTTCACAACCAATAACATACTCTCACTACAGGATCACAATGAGATATCTGTCGTGATCTCATAAGACTAGAACTGATGTAAGTAAGAAGCATCAAGAGTTGAGAACAGAAGACATTCATAAGTAGCTGAGAACTTGTAAACATCTGCTGTTAATTACTAAAGAAACCAAAGGCATAAGCAAAAGAGTGGCGGTTTCTACAAGTAGGTAACAAGCATGCCTATGAGCATCCCAAATCAGTGACAACATGAAAACGCACCAACCAACCAAAAAAGGGTTAGACTTCCAACAAGAATCAACAATCCAACATGTGAACTATCTATCAGAACCGCATTTAACCATGCTCTAAACAATGAAGGAGATCACTCAAACAATTCGTCACAATTTATTGTCAAAATGTTCAATAACCAGAGCTAGAGCCTAGAGGTCTAAAAATTACTTGTCACTTTTATTCATTACAAAGTTTCAGAGGACAAATAAACAGATTAATATCATACAGCCAAAAAGCCTAGAATCTACATGTAAATACGATCCTAAACCAAAGTAAATGTAGTCAAATCTGAATCCACAGGAGTAGCAATTATAACTTCAATTAATTTTATTTCATTTTCAACATGCAAAGGCAAAAAGGCCGCTAAGAATCAATTTTTTGTACACAGGGAATGCGAAATGCTTTATAATACCCTTTTGGAAGAATCGGAGCGATGCTGAACGGAGATACGGAGACGGTCAACGTCGGGATGTTCGCCGTGAACAGCTCGGAAAGCCTGGAGGGAGAGATCGATATCTTCGGAGGAGACTTGGTAGCCTCTGTCACGGAGCATCTCCAAGGCAGTCCTCCGCGCAAGGTAGTATCGATGACTCTCTTCACTCGATGGATCGACGTGCTTGCTCAGGCATAGAGACGGACCTGGAGCTGTGACAGCTGTCTCTTTCCCTATCTCCTCCATTTTTATGTTTCCTCGTTATCTGCGCAAACTAGAGGACAGTGACGGACTTTAAGGTGAATGTGAAACGGTGAGTTTTATTATTTTGGAATTGATATCAGCAAGGAGGGAGCTGTTGACCGGGAAGAAAAAGGAAAAGGAAACAAATTTTCAGTGTGACGGCTGTTTATGGTTAGACAATAGATGAGATTTTTTTGTACATATATACTTCAATTGGATGATTAGCCCAATGAGAGAGTAGGTGACATCAATCAAACTAGATATGTTATTGTTGGTAACTTTAGTTCTTTTATCTTTATTGTTTGTTTTTTTTAGGTTTTTTTTTTTTATTGTTTTGTTTTTTAAATTCGAAATTTTGACTCTTAGCTTTTATTTTACCAAAGATCCCACCTGAACGAATTTGAAATTTTGGACAATGTTACACTTTTACTTTTGGTTAACAGAATGCCTAGCGAGCTTAGTTTGGATCTTCTTGTCGATTTCCCCACTAGATTCCCATTAATGGATGTATTCTGTTTTGAAGAATATACCAAGAATAGAACGGTTATATGACAAAACCTAGAGAACAAACTTCAACTTGATTACAAAACTGTGGAATGACAGGTTCGTAAACTCATAGTTATATACTCCATTAAGCTTAAACTTTTCAGTTTCACAGATTACAAAAATATGCAAAACAACAGTACAGTATACTTTCGCCGTTTTGCGAATTGTCTTACATTTTATGGACTTGAAATAATCATTTTAGTTTAAAATGTTAAAAGTGTCCAAGAGCAAGAACAAATATGAAACAAAAGAACACACCACCACACAAAGAGAGTAATAATAATTAGCCTTGAGCCATTGTCTTATTCCCAATATACAACTCTAAACCCAATACCATCTTAGTAAGAATCATCAACTCTCTCCCTCTTCTTCTTCTCTTCACAATTCACACACACACAGCTTATGATCCAACATCTCTCACTTAAGAGTTAGACACAACACTCGCGACAACGCACCAACCCATTCTCATTGCACTTAGGACATCGCCTGAACCGTTCGTCCTGTTCCTCAAACACTTTGGTGCTCCCATCACAGTTAGTGCAAGGCACAAACCTCGCATCCCCACAGCTCCGACACGTCCCCAAGCATTCACAAGCTGGGAAATCTTTCAACATCTCAGCTAACTCACCACCATCGTTTAGCTTCATAATCTCCTCGACGCCACCAACGCGTGCTCCTCTTACAAACACCTGAGGCAGAGAAACCGGCTTCTCCGCGGTGCCAATCAGGCTTTGAAGCTCTTTCCTGTATTTGGAATCCATGGAGATGTCACGTTCGTCTACCGTCACTTGAAGCCCTCTCAGTATCGCTCTAACGCAACAGCAATCCTCGTACGTCTTTCGAATCCCTCGGAGTGATGTGAAGTAGAGCACAATCTTGTCTTCTGCTCCTTGTAATCTCGGTTTGGCTTGAGAGCATACAGATTTTGGTTCGATGATTGGGATGAGTGGATTTGATGCTGTGGGTTTAACCGGGTTTCTAATGTCGACATTGTTGCTTAATTGTTTAGAAGACAGAGCTTTCTTGTAAGACGAGACAATTCTGGGATCTAAACCGGAGATGAATGATTCTTGAGATAAATGTTTCCAAAGAGGCTGCTTTGGTTTATAAGACAACGGGACCCAATCTTCTACGTCTTCTTCGATTCTCACAAACTCGTAAGACTCTTCCAATTTCAACGCAGACCCGGTAAGACCCACATTCCGATTCACGGCGGGTTTAGGGCAAAATTCCGAATTGAGACTGAGATCGAGCTTACCGGGTTTGGGGATTTCGAATTCGAATTCGTCGTCTAAGCCGTCCATGAGCTCCCATGTGTTTATGACTGAGTCAGGGGAGAGCGAGTCGCGTGAGCTCGGATCTGACGTGGTCTTCCCGGAGATTGAGATACGAGGAAGCGTCTGTTGTTGGTCGGAGGAGTTCGTGGATCCGTCGAGGTCGATGAGGAGGAGAGAACCGTATGAGGTTGATGTGAGGGAGACGAGGTGGTGAGTGTCGCCTTTTCTAGCCGGAGGATGGTGGACCAACGGCGTAGGGAAAGAGAAAGCTCTCTGGACCGCCGGGGAAGGGAAATCGGAGGCGAATTTCGTCGTCGGTGAAGAAGAAGTAGAAGAAGCTGAAGACGCGGTTTTCGAAGAAGAAGATCCCATTTTGAGTCGAATTTAAGCAACACTGGCTTTTAATTGAGAAATGGGTTTTGTTAGTGTTTTTCTTGTTCTTTCTGTTTCTGGTTTCTTCTGAGATTATTGGTTCTGGGAATGATAGAGAACAGAAGGAGAAAGCTAGAGAGGTAGAGAGAGAGGTGGAGAATAGCTGTCTAGGGCAGTTGGAGGTGGAAGATGGTGAAATTTAATGGCAGAAGAAGGATGGTGATGGTGATGTTGATTTTCCGACACCGAATTTTCGATTTTGATTTTGATTGCGGAACAAATGCTAAAGTTTCATTATAAGAACTTTCATCAGTCTATAAATCGGGCCAACATTTAAAAATACAATTATATTAGAGGTTATGAAAAGGTAAAAGAAAACGATACTATTAAATGAAAATGTCATGATCTACATAACTGCAATCTTTATTTAGTAGTTTATTGCTTTTTAATAGTACAAAAAACAAGATTGGAAGAGAGAGAGGAAAAGTTGATCAAATTCATCAAATAAAATATTGACATGTCATTTTCAAAAGATTTTTTTTTAATAACTTTCGCTTCAAATTGAATTGTAGCATTTTTTTTTCTTTTTCAAATCAATACTTTATGAATTACTTTAACTTTATAAAAAAAATTATGTCCACAAATCCTTTAAGAAAATATGAAACAGAATATATCCCTATATAATAGTATATCAATATGATGTAAGAAAATAGATACATAAATTAAAAATAGACTATTAAAATTTAAAATGAAGGAGGAAATAATAAATTTTCGAAATACGCTTAGACAACAGAGTATTCACGTGAATAATTTAATCATTGAGTTTAGGGGAAGTTCCTATATATGACCTGTTATCAAAATCGTGGACCGTTATTTAATGTGCTATTGACTTTATCTTTCTTCATTCGGAGGGAAACTACATTATTTTATTTTCATTTTTTATGTACATAATTACTTCTAGTGTTTTGCTAATTGGTACAATCAATTGACCTAGCTGTACATTCTAATCCCCACGAGAATGTATGGTGCTTTGCTGTTACATGTTGCAATTCGCTTGCATTATGATAATGAATTTGGATTTACGTTGTTCAGTACGATTTAGTTGAATCAAATCGAAACCGTGTTGGAAAAATGATAAATTAACTGGGCAAATTTTTAGTTTAAAAGATTTAACCCATTGAAACTATTGTAGTTTAGTTACCTTTTTATATTAATTAACAAAATTTTGTTTAAAGTAACTATGTTGGCAAACCAAATTCAGACCGAAGAATGTTATGTTAGGTTCTAAATGCAATAATGCAGGAACCGGGAAAATTCGTGAAAAATAATTTGATTAAAGTAGGATATGCATAAGAAAAAAGTTACTAAAAGAGGATAGATTGGCTTAATCGATTTGGAGGTGGATCTTGGCAACAATTTATATTCAAATGAAGTAATAATATGCACATTGACTAGTAGTAATATGCTGAGTGCAAAACGTATTTATTCAACCTACATTGACTCGTAAGCCAAATGAGAAAGAGAATAGCGAAAGGCGATCTTGGGAATTGGGATAACAGAACATGACCTAAATAAAGTTTTGTTACCGAACTCAAATAGCTATCACTTATGTCGGCATTGTATATGTAAGAAAAACACTAACATTGAATATCGTCCTAGATCTGTTGAAGCCTATGGATCATATCACCAGAGCTGATGTAACATTTGTCTGTTAAAATGCAGAGAAGCGAGAAATTATCTTAGCATATCAAATGATCTATAAGCATAACTTCTATGATCAACACAAGAACACAAAAGCCAACAAGCATTATTTGCATCCCAGAGTTGCTGCTGATGACAATAACAATCAAAATTGGGATTTAGAAACTTTCGATATCTGTTCACGGTCCATTAACAAGGAAACAAGCATCATGAACATCAATTGAATCCATATGATTTAAGTATCATCTACGAAGCAGAACATTAGTTACACCTACATACACTATTCCAGCAAATCTGATATATCTTACTCTTGTATTAACACAAATTGGGGTTTCAAGGAGATTTGAAGCGACTGATCGAAAAAGTAAAATTGGGGAAGAGAAGAGCATAAACGCGCGAAAGGAGAGCTAAGGAATCTCGAGATCGATCATCCGACATGGAAAGGACCAATATCTCCGCTCCTGAGAGAAGCAGCGATCTCGTCGGCGATAGACAAACAGGTGAAGACCCAACTGCTCAGTGAAAACCACACCATTCTCATCAGATACGTCGCCATGCCCAGCGGCATCGCCATCTCAGAGCTTCTCTCTCTTGTTAGCTGAAATGATTCGCCGGAGAAGCCATTGGGGAGCATCAAGCTTCGAAAAGTGAAAAAAAACAAAGAAGATTCGGTACGTTCAAGGATCTCTCAACCGTTCAGATTTCGCCACGTGTTTAACATTAATTAATTGATTCACCAGCTACGTCTCTATCTGGCCCAGTCAAGCCGCCCGTGAAACGCAGCGTCATTAATCAATTCGAGACTTTAATAAATTAATCTCCGACCCGGGTTTGTTTTTGGGAACCCGACCCGATACGGTGGCCCATGAATTCCCGCTCCGCTCCATTTTCAATTCATTTTGAAATTGCATCTCGCCAAAAGGCGTCGTCGTCTCTCTCTCTCTCTCTCTCTCTCTCTCTCTCTCTTCTCCGAGCAACGTCTCTCAGTTTTCTCTTTCTACCAAATGGCTCCTCCCTTTGTTTTCCCTCAAATTCTGCGAGCCCTAGAAGAAGATCCGGAAGATAATCATCGATTGTTCGCTCAGAATACCGTCGATGTGACCTCTCTTCGCCCTTCTGATCTCGAAGAGTTCGTCAAAGGTAATACTCTTTTTTGGGCTGCCTTTGTTTTCCTCCTGTGTGAGCGTATCTGTAATCTTAATTTTCTATGTGATTCCCGAGAAACTCGCTAGAGATTGAATTACAGCGTTACTTGCAATTTGAGAGGATAATTGAAAATGTTAAGATATTCAATTAGTCACTCAAATTTCATATCTGGAAATGTGTGGAAGCTCAAATTTCTTCTCTGGCTCTATTGGAAAGTGGTACTAGTTCTACGTATGTTCGTTAAGTGGCTCAGTATCATACTCTAAAGTTTAAGAGTCCATTTGTTTTTTTTTTTGTTTGATATGAATATGTTGGTCTCGCAAAGCTTTTTTCTTTTTCTTTCAATAGCCTGCATACTTTCATGATTATTGCTTCATAAAAGGGAAGCATATAGAAACTGAAATTAACGACTTCACTCAAAACTTGGTGTTTACAGATTATAGTATCTAGTTATCGATGAGAGGAGTTCTTAAGACTCTTGTGTTTTGATATGTGAGGCAATTTGTTGACTGACTTCTCGTGTCACAGGTGTATCCTTTGACCTATCTGATAGAGAACTCTTCTGCATTGAAGATCAAGACGTTTTTGATCGTGTCTACTCTTTGATCAGGAGCTTCTATAGTCTTCCTCCATCTTGCAAGTGTAATCTTGTAGAAAGCCTCCGGTCCAATCTAAGTGTTCTTCTTCCCAATGTCGATTCGATCTCCCGATCTGTGCCAGATCAGGATGATGAAGTTCCAATCATTGATAGGATCACATCACATCGCAATGCCTTGAAAATATACACTTACTTTCTCCTCACTATTATCACGACTGAGGAAACACACATCAGCTCAGTCGATAGCACAAAGGTGTTACTCTTTTTCCAGCTGATTATGTATCATCTCTTATCGTCGTCTTTACTATAGTGATATTGTGGAGGAACAGGTCCCAGCACGAGGGAGGAAAAAGCAAATCATCCAGTCATGGAACTGGGAACCTCAGAGGGGCAGGATGCTCAATTTGATTGCAAATTCTCTTGAGATCAACCTATCCTTGCTCTTTGGATCACCAGACCTTGATGAAAACTACCTGTCTTTCATTGCCAAGTAAGTTTTGTGACCTAATGAATCTTGTTTATCTTGCATACTCCATGTTAAAGGTACTTTCTCAACTTTTTTTCATATTATTTCCTTGTAGGAACTCGTTCTCTCTTTTTGAGAATGCTGCAATCTTAAAAGATGCTGAAGCAAAAGATGCCCTGTGCCGCATCATAGGGGCAGCTGCTACAAAGTACCGTTACATTGTGCAGTCATGTGCCTCAGTCATGCACTTGATACACAAGTATGATTTTGCTGTTGTACACGTTGCTGATGCAGTTGCTAGAGCTGAAAGTAAGTATTCAGATGGAACCTTGGCCGTGACAATCATTAGAGATATTGGGAGGACTGACCCAAAAGCCTATGTTAAAGATACAGCTGGGGCCGATAATGTGGGACGTTTCTTGGTCGAGCTTGCTGATCGTTTGCCAAAACTAATGTCGACAAATGTTGGAGTTTTGGTCCCTCATTTTGGTGGTGAATCATACAAGATAAGAAATGCATTAGTTGGTGTTCTTGGAAAGTTAGTTGCAAAAGCTTTTACTGATGCCGAGGGAGAAGTGGGTACCAAGTCTCTTCGTCTGCGAACTAAGCAAGCAATGTTGGAAATTTTGCTCGAACGGTGTAGAGATGTTTCAGCCTATACAAGGAGCCGGGTTCTTCAGGTTTGGGCTGAACTGTGTGAAGAGCATTCTGTTTCGATTGGCCTATGGAACGAGGTTGCGTCAATATCTGCTGGAAGACTGGAAGATAAGAGTGCAATAGTTAGAAAATCTGCATTGAATTTACTGATCACGATGTTGCAACATAACCCCTTTGGTCCACAGCTTCGGATTGCTTCATTTGAAGCAACCCTGGAGCAGTATAAAAGAAAGCTGAACGAACTTGAACCAAGCCTCCCTACTGAGCACTCATCAAAAGAACCAACTTCAGATGGGGACTCCTGTAATGGCGATGGTGAAATCGATGACTTGCATCTTGAAGTTACAAATAAGACGCATCAAGATAGCCTGCCTGATAGCTGCCAGCCAGATATTGGGGAAGAAATCAGTGAGAAAGATGTTTCTGTTCCAGATATTGGTAACCTTGAGCAGACCAAGGCCTTGATTGCTTCTCTTGAGGCTGGGCTGAGGTTCTCAAAGTGCATGTCAGATAGTATGCCGATCCTCGTTCAATTAATGGCTTCATCTTCTGCCAGTGATGTTGAGAATGCTATTCTCTTGTTAATGAGGTGTAAGCAGTTCCAAATTGATGGTGCAGAAGCTTGTCTACGTAAAATTCTGCCTCTGGTATGGTCTTTTATCATGCATCGTAACTCATACGGATCCATTTTTGTGACATTTGTTCACTTAACATGCCCTTAATATTTTGTGAAAAAAAACTTGTTTCCTGTTGTCTCTGCAGGCCTTTTCTCAGGATAAGTCCATCTATGAGGCAGTGGAGAATGCCTTCATCTCAATCTACATAAGGAAAAATCCAGTTGACACGGCGAAACAGCTCTTGAACCTTGCCATAGAATCGAATATAGGAGATCAAGCAGCACTAGAGTTTATTGTTAATGCTTTAGTGTCAAAAGGTGAAATATCTAGCAGCACGGTAGGTTCCTTCTGTGACTCTAACATATGAGAATGCTTTGAAACTATGCTCAATCAGTACGCGTAATCTGCCTATGCACTGTCAAGAAGAACTAAGAAATAATGAGCATTGTTATTCATTATTGATATCATTCAAGAAATTTATTTCTCGAAGAAAATAATTCCACCTGCCAGAGGCTAATAAGTGCTTCCATCGTTTTTGTGTTTGTAGACTTCGGCTCTATGGGACTTCTTTTGCTTTAACATCAATGGGACAACTGCAGAGCAGAGTCGTGGGGCTCTATCTGTACTTTGCATGGCTGCAAAGTCGTCCTCTAGGATTCTCGGATCACACATACAGGATATTATTGATATTGGGTTTGGCCGTTGGGCAAAAGTGGATCCTCTACTTGCCAGAACTGCATGCACTGCTATTCAGCGGCTTTCCGAGGAAGATAGGAAGAAATTATTGCTCAGCAGTGGCAGCCGATTGTTTGGTATTCTTGAAAGCTTGATTGCTGGGAACTGGCTTCCAGAGAACATATTTTATACTACTGCCGATAAAGCCATAAGTGCGATATACATGATCCACCCAACTCCAGAAACCTTGGCTTCTACTATTATTAAGAAGTCCCTGGGCACCGTGTTTGATGTAGTTGGACAAGATCAGGCGCAGAACGATACCGAGGATAATAATGTCGATATTCTGACTACAGTTCAAGTAGCAAAACTCAGTAGATTCTTGTTCGTTGTCAGTCACATTGCTATGAATCAGTTGGTGTATATAGAATCCTGCATCCAGAAGATCCGGAGACAGAAGACTAAAAAGGACAAAGCGGCTGCTGAAAGTCAGAATACAGACGAAAACCTTGAGGCCACACAACAGGTACAGACCGATTTCCATAGAGCACAGTGAGTGGCATAAATTTTGCAACCCTATTCGGTTACTTTTGCTTACTAGTGCTATCCCATGCGATGTTTTCCTTGTTTTACAGAACAATAGCATAAATGCTGAGTTAGGACTTGCTGCCTCTGATGATGCACTGCTTGATACACTAGCTGAAAGAGCAGAGAGAGAAATTGTTTCTACTGGTTCTGGCGAGAAGAATCTGATTGGGGATTGTGCAACTTTTCTCTCAAAGCTTTGCAGAAATTTTTCTCTGCTGCAAAAGGTAGTACCCTTAGTTTTTCTATCATTCTTTCTCTTCATGGTGTATGATGAAGTTGTAAGCTTGTGTTTTAGCTCCTCTTCTTTCGCTCTGGCATTTGTTTTGTTATCACGTGACAACTAAAACCATGGCTTTCCATTCTCACAGCATCCAGAACTACAAGCTTCCGCAATGCTTGCATTATGCAGGTGTATGATTATTGATGCAAGTTTCTGGTAAGTTTAAATCATCATTTCATATTCTCTTTATCCTTTACAAAACCGAACTTCTAGTTAAATTGATGTGTAAACCTCAATGTATGCCAGCGAATCCAATCTCCAGCTTCTCTTCACAGTTGTTGAAAATGCACCGTCTGACGTTGTCCGGTCAAATTGCACCCTTTCCCTTGGAGATTTGGCAGTTCGTTTTCCAAATCTTTTAGAACCATGGACAGAAAATATGTACGCCAGGTTACGGGATGCTTCAGTTTCTGTCAGGAAAAATGCTGTCTTGGTCCTTTCACACCTTATATTGAACGATATGATGAAGGTATGTCTCCTTACCTCTCTCTTTCCTATCTTTAAATATCTGCAATAATAGTTTGAGGTTTCACCTTGTGAATCCTGATTTCAGGTGAAAGGGCATATTAATGAAATGGCTATATGTATAGAAGACGATGTGGAGAGGATCTCTAGTCTCGCAAAACTATTTTTCCATGAACTGTCTAAGAAAGGTCAGTTGCAATATCTATATCACATGGCATATTAACTTCAACTTTTGAATCAAATTTAACACTTGAGCTTCATTTCTTCCAAACAAATCCAGGATCGAATCCCATATACAATCTACTTCCTGATATACTTGGGCAGTTATCCAACCGGAATTTGAAGAGGGAATCATTCTGTAATGTCATGCAGTTCTTGATCGGTTCCATTAAAAAGGTATATTAATAGCTATTTACTATCGAGGTTAGTGTGAGTTGTTTTCATTTTTTATCTAATCATTCATCTGTATCCTCAACAATCTCCAGGACAAACAAATGGAGGCTCTGGTTGAGAAGCTTTGCAATAGATTTAGCGGAGTCACAGGTATGTTTGTGTTGATGATATATTCTTAAACCTGTTAAGGGATTTTATAGAAAGTATATACCTTATAACTCTACACCTAAACTTGCAGATGGAAAACAGTGGGAATACATTTCGTATTCTCTTTCTCTGCTGACATTCACAGAAAAGGGAATCAAAAAGCTTATAGAGTCATTCAAGTCTTACGAGCATGCTTTAGCAGAGGATTTAGTGACGGAAAACTTTAGAAGCATAATCAACAAGGTCTGGTTTCTCTGGTTTTCATTACCCCATGCCATTCTCTTCATTCCTTTCGTGCTATATGTGAGTTTGACATATGGTTGTGAATCTGAACAGGGAAAGAAGTTTGCGAAACCAGAACTCAAAGCTTGCATCGAAGAGTTTGAGGAGAAGGTCAACAAGTTCCACATGGAAAAGAAAGAGCAAGAAGAAACCGCAAGAAACGCCCAGGTTCATATTGAGAAAGCCAAAAACATGGAATCTCTTGTTGTCACCAGCAAAGTAAAAGAAGAACTTGTAGAAGAATATGATGAAGATGAAGATGAAGGTTAGTGATTTTCGACTCTTGGCTAAAGCAAAGTTCACTGTACCAGACTTTAGATAACCAAATGCCAGTTAAACATGGGACGGTCTCTCTCTTTTCTAAAACAATGTTTTGTGTTTTCCAAGTTGTTTCAGACAGTGAAATTGTGGATCCATCAATGGAAGAAGCAGGCGATGTTTCGGTTGCATCTGGCTCCGAGGGAGAGCCATCTGAGTCCGAGGGAGAGGCATCTGACTCCGAGGGCGTGGCGTCTGACTCCGAGGAAGAGCCACATTCTGAGCAATGTGGTACCACCAATCCTCATTCCTTGAATCAGAAGACTAGTGGCGGTATGTGAAAACCTCCATATGTATCTTCAACAAGCTCACGCAGCTTTAACTACAAGAATCCACTTAAGTAAAGTTGTAAGGTTTTTCAGGGGAAGAAGGCGAATCAGGGAGCAAGAGAAGAAGCAACATTAAGAGAGGAGACCGTACAGAGTCATCGAGCAGCATCAGGAGAAACCTGAGGTCTGGTAGTAAAACGTAGAGAAACAGTGCAGAGGCAGAGAGAGTCTGGTCTTAAAGCTATCTTATAACTAGGTCTGTAACTAGGTATGCTTAGATATTGAAGAATCAACCACATCTATCTTATTTGTGGTTTAGCTTTGATATAATGTGTAGCCTATTCGTCCAAGCACACAACCAGAGAAAACTATGTGAACTAATTTTGTATTACGTTCCTTTTTTTTCTACTGACGATTATGCCTTGTAGTCTTGTACGAGTTGGTTTACCTACTTTCCCCACGTTTTTTTGATAATAAAATAATTTTGTGTTCAAATTACACTAACCAAGTAACCATCAAGGCATCAACCGAATTGATTTTTTTTTTTTTTTGTGAGTAAAACCAGATCAGATTCCACTCGGTTTTTGACGTTTTCGATCGAATAAACCAAAACAAATTCGAAATAGACCAAACCGATACTTAAAAGCGATATTCGATTTCTCTATCTTCTTTCGTCTCCCCACTCTTCACTTCAGCACGAGAAGTGAGAATTGTCTCCGTCGCCGCCATTATCTCGTCGGCAAATATCTCAGACGAGAAACCGACGCCGGAGAAGAAGCTTTTATTCTCTCTCTCTCTCTCTCTCTCTCTCTCATCTACCGAAATGGTGGCATCTTCTCTATCACTTCACTCTTCCTTCGTACCTTCCTTCGCTGATCTCTCCGATCGAGTAAGCCCTTTAATTTATTTATTTTTATTAACTTTAATCCCATTCAAATAATTGAAGTCCCTTTTTTCCCCAATATCTATTCCTTTTGGTCTCCACCAACTTCAGTGATATTTGATAGACTCTGATTCTCTGGGTATTGTTTCTCTGAAGGGTTTGTTCAGTAAGAACGCTCCGACCAGTGTTTCCATTTCCAAGGTTCCAGCTTGGGAGAAGAAGCAGATCTCGAATCGGAACCTTCTCAAGCTAAATTGCGTGATGGAGAAGAGTATCGATGGACAAACTCATTCTGCTGTTACCACTACCACAGATTGCTTAAACGGTTCGTAAAGACTCTCTCTTTTTTCATTTTATTGTATGATGATGATCATAAGTTAATCAGTACTTGTTGATTTGGTGTTTCCATGTATTACAGCTATTGAATTCAAAGAAGAAGCTAGTGTTTCTACATTACTGGTGAATTCGGATAATAAATTTGATCCCTTTGATGCAATGAGCACTCCGCTTTACCAGACGGCTACATTTAAGCAGGTAACTGACTAAGGGGGTGAAATCTAATTATCTAAAGAACATTTTGTCACATCATGCTTAGGTTTTAAGTGTGTTTGTTTGCTTATTTTGTAGCCTTCTGCTATAGAAAATGGACCATATGATTATACAAGAAGTGGAAATCCTACACGGGATGCGTTGGAAAGGTAATTGTTTCTTAGCATCTTCTCATTTCATAGGTGATGTAGCTATGTTTGTATGTGTTTTGGTCTAAGAAAACTTTTCTTCTTTTCCTTGTGGGTTTTTGTTAGTCTCCTTGCGAAGCTTGACAAGGCAGATAGAGCATTTTGCTTCACTAGTGGAATGGCTGCTCTTTCTGCTGTTACACACCTTCTCAAAAATGGTAATTTCCGATGTTGACTTCTCTCTTGAAATGTAGTCTCTTTCTACTAACATCGGTAGCATAGACTTGGTCTCATTGTAGTATGTTTCATTTTGTTTCCACAGGGGAAGAAATTGTTGCTGGAGATGATGTGTATGGTGGCTCGGACAGATTACTATCCCAAGTAGTTCCAAGATCTGGCGTTTTGGTAAAGTTAGTATCACTTCCTATGATTCAAATTTTACAAGAACCTAACTCTTAAAACCGTGTTAAATTAATGATTTTATTTGATATTATTGTAGACGAGTAAACACAACTAATTTAGAGGAGGTTGCTGCTGCTTTTGGTCCCCGGACAAAGCTTGTGTGGCTTGAGTCTCCAACCAATCCAAGACAACAAATTTCCGATATACGAGTAAGTCCTCTGTTTCTACAAAATCTGAAGCCACAAACCACATGGCAGAAATCGACTAATTTTAATGTTTAATTGGTTTTATGGTTGGCTGGTGTTTGTAGAAAATAGCTGAGATGGCTCATGCTCATGGTGCTCTTGTGTTGGTGGACAACAGTATTATGTCACCGGTGCTCTCTCTGCCATTAGAACTTGGAGCCGGTGAGAAAAACAACTCATACTTGCTTACTATTGACAAATAATTCTGTTTTTAATTCTCAGAATTACTTCTTGATTCTTGTCTGGCTTTCTAGACATTGTGATGCACTCGGCTACCAAGTTTATAGCCGGACACAGTGATGTGATGGCGGGTGTGCTTGCTGTAAAAGGCGAAAAGTTCGTTACCTCAGACTTTTTCTATCTACTGCTTTCAACTATATGAGGCATATCTGTGTATTCTCTGAATTTCTTATACATACTTTTGTTGAAATTTCCAGATTGGCAAAGGAGTTGTATTTCCTCCAAAACTCAGAAGGTTCTGGATTAGCTCCTTTCGACTGCTGGCTTTGCCTAAGAGGAATCAAGACAATGGCTTTACGTATAGAAAAGCAACAGGTCTTGACTTTAATCCCTGTAAATAGCATCTAAGATACTTGTAATTACATTACCTTGAAATGTCATTGACTTTCCTAACTTTTCAGGAAAACGCACGGAAAATTGCATTGTACTTGTCTTCTAACCCAAGAGTGAAAAAAGTGTACTATGCCGGTCTACCAGATCATCCTGGTCACCATCTCCACTTCTCTCAGGTACTACTAAACAGCATTAACTGAATATTTGAAAAGAAAAGAGATAGTTTAAGTTCTCAACGCAAGATTACCTTTTTTCCGAAAATGCAGGCAAAGGGTGCAGGATCAGTTTTTAGCTTTATAACAGGATCAGTTGCGCTATCAAAGCATCTTGTAGAAACCACCAAATACTTCAGCATTGCTGTCAGTTTTGGTGAGACTAAAACCATACTTTGTGTTTGTTTGAAGCTCTCATGATCTTTGGGATAGTTTTGGGGTTCTGATGTCTTCCACTTCTTTATTTTTGACGACAGGGAGTGTTAAGTCACTTATAAGCATGCCATGCTTCATGTCACATGCAAGCATACCTGCAGAAGTCCGTGAGGCCAGAGGCTTGACGGAAGATCTTGTCCGTATATCTGCAGGCATTGAAGATGCTGATGATTTGATCTCTGATCTTGACAATGCCTTTAAAACCGGACCTCTCTAGCTTCGGTCTGAGAATACAATGTTTCTCTAGTCTCAGCTTTTGTAGTTTAATATGTTATTCTTGAAACAAGAATCTATGTAAGAAACCATAAAACATAATTTGGTGGATTCATTATTGTTGGATTCGTTATGTTGCTTGATTGGGGTCAAAATATGTATTAGAGCTTGTATTAAAAACGTGATTATTATGAAGCAAGCACAGATCTTTCTTCAAAGTGAAACACAGCTCTTAACAACATTCTGCATATGTGAAGAGAGAATAGAGAGACCAAATGACAACTTGTCCTGAGATTCTGTTTCAGGTTAGGTAAAGAATAAGAACATGGAACAAACCATGACCCCATCTGTACCATAATTTACCAGATTTATTATACCTTTTTGTTCACTACACATGACAGAGTAACATAGTGAATTTTATTGAAAACTACAGTTTGCAAATCAAGTGACATATCTACAGATCCTGCATACCATTTTCAGATAGGTAAAGCAAAACCAGAAAGAGTGAAATAAAATTGGCAATTGGACTATTCACCATGTAAGATTTACTGATGTACATATAAACATTTATCACCATACATCATCATCATCATTGATTCATTATCATCTATCTATATTCCCTCTCTGCAACCATGTATTGTACCAGCAGAAGCATTCCTACAAAACTCTAAATACCAGAAACTGTAAAAAGAAGCATCATAGAGATAGATCAGACTGCGGTTGTGATACCATCAAATCTTGGACGAGATCTATCTGTTGGGATCCCCTCTTCCATTGACTTCCTCTTGTTGTTGTTACTCAATATGTGCTCCTCTTGTTGCAGAGGCAAGATTTCGATTTCGACTTTTGTTGTTGAGTCTTTAATCTCTGGTTCAACTGCTGCTGCTATGGTTACATTTTCGTTTCTTGAAGGATTCTCAATCTCTTCCAGCTTCTGGTTCTTCAACTTTGTTTTCATCATTTGAGATTTCAACTTGTGAAGATCAGCCAATCTTACTGGTTTCAAGAAAAACTCTTCAGCTCCTTCTTCCAAACATCTGTTCATGAAATTAAGGCGCAATCACATAAGAAATTTCCCGTTACTCTCTCAGGATCATTATGATTCAATCTTCTTTGATTGCTATTTACCTGCTGATTCTTGCAGGAACGTTCTCAGAGGACATTATAACTACTGGTATGTTCTTAAGAGCTGATGATTCCTGAAAATTTGTAAAACAAGTTTTTATTAATAAAATGATGTTTATCAATAAACTGTACACATCCATTAGCATAAAGGAGAGAAAAAACAGAGAAAATATTCCAAAGAGATCTCTCTTATTGACATTCTCACTTTCTTGATTTGAAAATACTAAAACTTTCTCTGTTTTTTTTTCCCTAAAACAAATTTTAAGAGATCAAATCGAATAAGTTGTGAAGAGACAAGTACCTTGACTTTCTTGAGCAAATCATAACCAGTCATGCCTGGCATACAATAGTCTGTAATTATAAGATTCACTTCAACTTCCTGTCATAAGCCAAACCGAATAAACAAATTTCCATTAGACAAAGACTTGTAAGAACAGTTGAATTGCTTTTTCTTTAAAAAAAAAGGAGCTAAATTTTTGAACCTGGTGATTTTCAGGAGATGTAAAAAGCGCATTTGGGTCGTCGCTCTCAATATTTTCTCTTAAACCCAGAAATTCTAAAGCCTTTGAGCCTGAATCAACAGTTGTTACTGCAAATACCAAAAAACATAAAAGCTTAGATCTTTCTTCGATTCTTACAAGTTATACAAGACTTTTTCATTTTCTGACACTCGTTAATACCTTGACACGAAGACTTTTGAAGCAATCTCTCTATGAGTTTCCGGTCGAACAAACTATCATCAACAGCTAATACATGAAACTGCGGTTCCGCTGCCATACCCATTGCAGAAACTGAAGATAACAAGATCTAATCTCGAAATCCACGAAACCAGATGTAAAGTCTCCGACTTTTTTTTTTGTTTTTTCTTCACTAGAAAAAATTCAAACTTTTTTTTTCTTTCTCCGGGATTGCTGCTATTTTTAAACACTTAAATCAATGAATATCTGATTATGTTTTTTCTTCTTGCACCAAAACTTGCAAAAGAGAGAGAGAGAGGGAAAAATTGAATAAAAAGTAATTAGCTATGAATTGTGGAGAAAGCAAGTTCTGATAGAAAAATATTTTTGGTGTTCAGAAGACAACGCAGAAGCAAGCAAGAAAACAAAGGTGAGAAATACATAAAATATTCAAAACAAATCTTTATGAGGATTTTTAAGGATTAGATAAGACGAGGAGGCCCTTTGCTTTATATACTACTAGTACTACCACAACAACTTTGCTTTTACACCAAAAATTTTTAAAGACGAATTAGCTTATACAAATTACAAAAGATTCGAAGATGAAAATCATATAAATCCAACAGTTCAAAGGCTTAGACTTTAATGGTCATTTTTTCTAAAAAATAACAAATGATCTGCGACATTTATCTGTGACTTTCTTCATTGGACTTTATTCAGCTTCATTTTCCCACCAAAATTTGAAAAAAGGATCTGTGACAATTCATGTATAGTTATTTGTGTTTTTAGAGCTATAGTTATTTCTTTGCAGAATGTGTATCTTATTTCGACAATTCATGTAAATTTTATTAATATTATCCGATTTTTCATGGTAAGTCTTCCTCAATTTCCCCAACCTTGAAGTCTTCCTTTATAAAATTCATCAGAAGAAAATAAATACAAAAAAGGGGCCCGCCAAAATCTTGAGAGATATAGGTGACGCTGGCCGAAGATGCCCTTTTTTGTTTATTATCATTAAATTACTACTTGTTTTTTTCTCCAACTAAACTCATTACAAGAAAAAAAGCGAGATATTGTAAGAAAAGAAAGAAAAGAAATACAATAGGAAGCAAAACGTGAAATAATTGGTGGCGTTTACCGCATATTTAGCAGCTGGTGGCAACGACATGGCAATTTTCCTCGATTATCTTACAAAGTTTTGTTTCCCATGGTCATGTTTCATCATCATCATCATCCGCCATTATCATCTAAATACAGTAGCCACGTGTTGGATTTTGTGGGCCACGTGTCAAAGTCCCTCCCAATAAAAACCTACTTTCTCCTTTCGCCTAGTGGGTTCTAGTTTCTCACTCTCTTTCGACATTTCTTTCGTTTTTTTCTTTTATGTTTCGATCGGAGGATTAAAGTAATGGTTTTGAGTGACTACCGACTTGTTACAATTTGAACGACTTAATAGACGTCCGTGTTTTTCTATTTTCTTTGCTAAGTGGTTACTGTTACACTACATTCTTCTTCTCGCTATGTGAAAGTTGGAACACTTTAGTTCACCTGAGTCTTGTTGCCACAAAGGATTTTTGATCCTTGAGACTCAAATTAATCATCTGCATTAATTGTCTAGATTCCATTTTTTGTTAGTCGCGCCAGGTTTTATTAGCGTACCCATATATATACTAATGAGTTGCATGCAAGCTGTGACATTCCATCTGAGTTTATTTCAGAAAATGTTTTAGTTAGCCAAATGAAATCGTCTTTTATAAACAATGCTCAACATGATGAGTCAACAAGTCAATCCTATTTATAAAGAATTGACTCTTTTTATCGAACACCAAATGGACCAAATAAATGACATGAAAGAGTAAAGCACTCAAGTAACTCAAAGAAGGTGTAGAAGTGAAGAAGTGAAGAATTGAGAAAAAAGGAATCAAAAGGATGGAGGAATTGACCAAAAAGATATGGCTCCGATCGACTTGTCTATTTAATTGTAATCCACATTGTCGGGAAGACATGCTTTTAATCTACAACAGCTAAATGGATCTTCAATTAATCACAGATCTTCTCTCTCTTTATCACAACCATCCATTTCTCTTTTACGAGGCCACTCTCATCTTCTTCTATCCAACACAAACACCTTCTTCATCATCACAGCTTTTGACCTAAATTAAACATTACGAGACACTCGTCATTTTTAGACCGGCTACGTCAAACTATTTGGGTGATCAACAATTCAACATTGATATAATGTTGGAAAAGGAATGTAATATCATTTAAACTGACCGAAAAATCCTAAAGTAGAACCAACATTATTCACGTTTCAATCTCTATAGACCATATGTTACGTTTATGATTCTAGTGTTTCAGACACATTACTTGTGTTTGTAGTTGAGTTTATTAGCTCAAAATGTCTTGTTTATATGGTGGACTGAGAATGTCATATTTAGTGGATGCGTGTCATAGTGACATGTGAATTGGACCACATGAAATGAACATAATCATAGTATTCATTTCGTTAAAATATGTGGCTTAGATCCCCCGTTAAAATATGTGATATTCATCTAAGTACGTATAGTATCTGTAAACAATAAAGTTGACAAGCTGTTCAACAAAAAAAAGAAAAAAAAAACCTAAAAATGCAGCAGAAGTGGTCGGTAGAGTTTGTTTATATATTTTTTTTTTATCTCAATATGTTTTAGCTTAACTCGGATTTATTTTTATTTTTTTTTTTTTTTTTTTTTTTTTTTCTTAATAAATTTCCATTAAACGAAAGAAAGATACAAAAGAGCCTCGCAGGGTCAAGCACTAATACAAACAGAATCAATCTGCATAATCTAAGACATTTAAGTACAACAAGCAGAAACTCATTTGGAGCGAATTTGGATTTTCGGCAGCCTAAGTCATCCAATCTAGCAAGATGGGGTTTAGACTTGGAAGTAAGAGAATATATAGCTGTATTAGAAAATAAAGTAAAAATCAGTACGGCATAATTGTATTGGGTGAGGATATATAGTGGTATAATTAACTTGTGTCTACGGTCTACCACATCCACAAAGCATAGTGAACGATGCTGTTTTGGATGAAGAGTATCGTTAAAATTTTGAAACTAATGTATATGATATGATTTAAAAAATCATTAGATAAATAAACTACCAAAAAAGAATAGTGCAAAAGTAAATATATAGTGAAGTAGAAGTGATGTGAAGGGGCACTCTCTGCCTTATAAACTTGCACAATATGGCCCCCTCTCTTTCTTTCCCTTGTCTTCAGGCTTTTCTCCTTGATGGTCGCTTCTTTTGTTCTCTACTTTTCCCCATTCAATAGTAAAAACCAAAAATATATTCATTTAAATGTTTTTTTTTCAAGCTTGGACATTTATTTATCGAATTCGAAGTTTATGAATGTTTTATTTTTCTAACATTGATGATTGTTTTTCTTTGACAGCTAAATGGATGAATAATTGCCTAAATTGGGATATTTCAATATCCAAACGATGGAAGATGTGTGCAACTTTTATAAGAGTTTATCTTTGGACATCATGTACTATTTTTTTCGGGTGCAAATCGGGACTTGTACTACGTACCATGTATAGATTTTTCTATAGAGTATAGACTGATGTTTGGATTCATGAAGTAGTTGGACGAGGGAACAATTAATGACCGAAATTTTTAGAACTCGTAAGTTTATAGTTTTTGGCAAAACTGAATCTTTAGATTTGTTTAATGTTTAATCCTACCAGCTACGGTTTTTTTTTCTTTCTTTTGTATAGTTTTTTGTTCTCAATTAATTTACATGAAACACTATTTTGGAGGATATGTTTAAATAATTGATCTGCCATTTTTTTATCACAAACAACCAACCATTTAATTATATGAATCAAAACATTGCGTGCATTGAGTGGTTGTACCCAATCAGTCTTCTAAATTTGAAGAAAAATGAGAAGAAATTGTTTATAACACTCGCATCGCATTACATACTCGTCGGTGTGTGTGTGTCTAATATTGAACCACACGATTACGTATGTCAATATTACTATTAAGGACAAAATCACACATAAGCTAAATGAGCTTTATGGTCTTAATACGGTGAACCAATTCCCTATTTAAATTCATATTGGTATTTATAAGAAATAAAAATCAATTATTGATGTTGCATTTTTTGGGAAAAGGCTATGCTTCTAGCTAGCTATAACTTTTCCCCTCATAATACCACCAGATAGGTTCCCTATATGGTTTATATGATTATTCTTCCTCTGTTTTTCTTATCGTCGATGGCCGCCATTCATGTGTTAGAGGGAGTATGGAAATATGGGACAGAGAGAGTAAGGAAATAGATTGTATTCAAGACGTAGTCACGTAGAGTATCTACTATCCAAGATCTGACTGCAAATATATATGATACATACATGATACATGTTGGGATAACCTAACAATATATACAGTAATTTAAAAATGATATATAGGCCTACATTTCAGCATCTTAGGCAGCTTTATGAATATATAACGTTGTTTTCAGTCATCGAATCGGTTGGTTTTAGGTTGTAGCGTTCAAACTACATCAGTTAAAAAAATGCATAGCTATTTCTATTTTTGTTCCTAATTTATGCAGTCTTACTATAAATTATTAATTATGTAACACATACCGACGAACATATTACATAAATAATGTATACATATGCTGTATATTGTGTTAGCAATAGTTTACAAACTAATCGGTGAGTTTATTCCATATGAAGTGGAAAGCTAGAGTCCCATGCTACATATTTAATCAATGTTAATGCAATTTCACCAAGCAAATAACGAACTCAAGTATAAAATTAGTGGATGGATATTTTCTTTACATATAAGTATTTCACAGTAATCATTTCACTTATGTCGTTGGCTTGAAAATGTAGCGATGATTCGTTCATTCCTGCTTCCGAAATTGCACCAATAATCTAAAGAGTATAATCAATTCAATAGTATAAAATAGTAATGAATAAACTCATAACTTAAAATGCCCTTACAAAAGCTGCTCGGTCACATTCAAGATATGGGAAGTGTCCCTCCGATGAACACAGAGCCACATTATTTGATACACCAAATCCCTTTTGCTTTTTTTTTTTCTTTCTTTCTTTCTTTGCCATATTTGCCAGCAAATCTTTTATTATTTTATTTATCGCGTGTGTTTATATTTTTCATGTTACGTATCATTTAATGATTTAATACATAAAGTTTGTATGATTGTGTTCCTATAAGCCATCGTTTAATTATAAAGCTAGTAACATTTCTCTCGTTCTCTAGAAACATCAATATAGTACTTTTCACTTTTCTGCATACAACCTTTTAATAAGATAAAAATTGGACTTTCGACTCATATTTTATACCTTTATAGTAAAGATCGTTGCTTCATAGTTCAAATTTCCTGTACTTCAAATTTCCTCATATTTTATACTTTCGACTCATACTTCAACATTTCCTCAAATTGTTTGATCAATAGTTCAATACACTATCGGCTTCATAATTAGGAGAGTAATGGGCCTGCATAAACGGGCTGATTAATATTTCATTATCGGTCACAATTGGGCTATATAATGGGCTTAGATAAAGTCGATTAACAAGCCGTGTATCATTTCAATTTCCGTGGAGATAATTGATCAAGAACACAACTAAGTAGACTAAATCCGAATTAAGCTATAATTAGGAGGAAAGTTCTTAAAATATCTCTAACTTAGTGATAGTAGCGAAACAGAGATTCGAGTGCAGTATCCAAATCCCAGTGAGCACCACCATGACCACGATTTTCACTATAGTGTTCTCAACGGTGATTGTATCGATTGCCGCAATCCTTGCCTCGATTAGCGGAAGTTCTGGCATCTTCGCACCGCCTGAAATCGCCGGTTCGCGTGATGTTTTCCCGTCGGCGAAGGTGATAAACGTCACCGGGGCCTCCGGTCCGGAGAGTGTAGCTTTCGATCCAGCAGGAGAAGGTCCGTACGTCGGCGTCTCCGACGGCAGAGTCCTCAAATGGCGCGGCGAATCGCTCGGATGGACAGATTTCGCTTACACATCCACCAACAGGTATATATAATAAAACAAATTTTGATCGATTGATTCTGGATTTAGGAGCAAATCTGTAGGTTTCTCATATTCTTCGCTAGAGAATTTGGTTGATTGTTCAGGATTTATCAAATTGCTCTCGTCCTGTAAGAATTGTGGAGAATTTCGTTGGATTGCAGTTTAAGATTACAGAGTTGGATTTTGGAGAATCTCAATTCAGTCTTAGTATTTGCATCTGCATTTCTTTCATCTCTCTGTTAGGTTAATATGACCATCTCTTTACTACTTACTTCTTGTAAAATTGGTTTTAGGGAGATGTGTGTTCGTCCATTTGCACCAGAGCTAGAGCACGTGTGTGGAAGGCCATTAGGGTTGCGTTTCGATAAGAAAACCGGAGATCTTTACATCGCCGACGCCTATTTCGGCCTTCTTGTCGTTGGTCCTGCCGGTGGTTTAGCTAAACCGTTGGTTACGGAAGCTGAGGGACAGCCGTTTCGTTTCACTAATGATTTGGACATTGATGAGGAAGAAGATGTGATTTACTTCACTGATACAAGCTCAAGATTCCAGAGAAGGTAAACAATGGAATCGAAAACACCGTAAAGCTTTAATCTTTTGGTGATGACGATGATGATTTTAACTCCAGAGTGTTGTTCATGCTCTCAGGCAATTCTTGGCTGCTGTTATGAATCTTGATGATACTGGAAGGTTAATCAAGTATGAGAGATCAAGCAAGAAAGTGACGGTCGTATTACGTGGACTTGCGTTTGCAAACGGCGTTGCGCTGAGCAAAGACCGGTCTTTTGTATTGGTAGCTGAAACCACCACTTGCAAGATCTTAAGGCTTTGGCTCTCTGGTGCAAACGCAGGGACTCAGGACGTGTTTGCTCAGCTTCCGGGTTTCCCTGACAACGTTAGGAGAAACTCGAATGGAGAGTTCTGGGTGGCTATACACTCAAAGAAAGGTCTTTTCGCGAAACTCTCGCTTACTCAAGCTTGGTTCAGAGATTTGGTGCTTAGGCTTCCGATCAGTGGACCGCGCCTGCACTCGTTGTTCACTGGAGGGAGACCTCATGCAACAGCCATGAAGCTAAGCGAGTCAGGAGAGGTTTTGGAGGTGCTTGAGGATAAAGAAGGAAAGAGGTTGAGGTTTATAAGTGAAGTGGAGGAGAAAGATGGTAAGCTTTGGATTGGTTCTGTTCTCATGCCTTTTCTTGGTGTTTATGATTTGTAGTCTTCCACATCGTTGAGACTTGATTGTGTGTTTGCTATAACTATGTGCACGTTTTTTGTTTTGTTTTGACGTCCTTCTGTATACTAAAAACACTTAAAACAACTTAGTGTCTATTGCGTTTGCTATATTTATGGTAATCATATGGTGACATCTTAAAGTTGTCTTGTAATCTTATCTTGATTGTAACAAAAAAAAAAAAAAAAAAAAGTCTGTAAAATCATGTTTGTTTATGTAGAGTATAAGTTTTCTCTACTATACTCTTCAACAAAATGGTAACTATTTACAGCTTACGTATTTCCATTTTCGACTGTAGAATTATGATAAGATCAATGATTGAGGAAATATACACAGAACACGTTTTTCTCGGCTAGAACTTACGTCTGACGTCGGAATAAAATAATACTCGTGTCGTCGTGGCTATGTTTTGAACTCGACACCTTTGCGATTATATGTGGTCGAAAATGAAGTCACGTGAAAATGCATCTAACACTTTTATGTGGGGTTTGACTTTAAAGTTCGGTCGGCAACGAATCTATGACGCTCCGATTTCTATTTACACAAAAGGTTGGATGCGGAAGTAAATCGAATTTTCCTAGGCAGTTTTGCCTTTGGCAAATTTGCTTCTTACTCACTTTTTCTGGACAAACAGTTTACTCAACAGCAATTTGAAATAAGTTATACACTTTATACATTAATTATATATTCAGAGAGAGTGACACGTGGCCAACTCTCCCCGGTGCTGACGCGTCGATCAGGTGGAGAGAGTTGGCTCTTATATATAAGACCGAAAAAAACGAACTCAAATGTCAAGTAGTTATTGCTTTTCGTATGTACGGCGGTTTTTTTGATCGTTATCTTTGTTTATTGACAAATAAAAACAACGTATTATACATTCGACCTTTGTACTGAATGATAAAAAGGAAATGTTACGCGGAAAACTGCAAACTTAAGTACTATCTTTCCTTTCTCATTCCTCAAAACTCCAATAATTAAAACATTAACCCAAAATAAGGAAGTTTCAATCCTAAAACTAACATCGATGCTTTCATTAATTGACTAAAAAGATGGCAGATTCCAATCATATGTTGCTCAAAGATATCAGTGAGGTTGGGAAGTTTGTTTTGTCGCGAAAGAGCAACTTGTGAAGCAAGACCTTGCTGTAGAAGAGTTTAACTTATGTTTTCTCTGATTTTGCTGTAAGAAAGGGTTTTTGTCTGTTTCTTTTAATTCTCTGTTTCGCTTTTTATGTTTTGAATGAATCCAAGTCGAGAAAAACAAGAAACCAAAAAACAAAAACATCGTCGCTTTCATTGATCCCACACATGGATTTAATTGTACTTTTTATATATTTGACAGCGGACACTTGAATTATCTAGAGAGATGACAAAACGTGCCCATCTACTTTTGCATCCACCTAATTAACAATTGAATTATCTAGACTCTTTATTAGCACTATTTTCTTCTTTTGATGTTATATAGTTATTGTCACTTTGAGCTAATAATTAACAAGTTAAGTGTCTCTTAACAACATAATCTTCTCCAGTGAAATAAATGCCGATTAGTCAGAAAGTTCCAACTTGGGCCCTCGCTCCGGCTGTTCTGGCCGTCTTAGCCGTGATTTCATATCAGACCATAATTGCGCCGGAAAATCTAAAGGGGACCAAAAATATATTGTCTGGGGCTAAGACCATTCCACTTCCTGCTCATGGACCAGAAAGCCTTGCGTGGGATCCACAAGGAGAAGGCCCTTATGTTGGGGTCGTGGACGGTCGTATTCTCAAGTGGAGCGGCGATGGTCTCGGTTGGGTTGAGTTCGCATACACATCTCCTCACAGGTGATCTGTTTATAATTTACTGCACCATTTATTAGATGACACCGACATATGCAAATGACAAAAAAAAACAAAGTAACATTTTTCTGTTATTTTTTAAATTCCCTTATATGACTAGGAGTGCTCTGAAGGATCTGTTGTTTGAGTTTGTGATACCAATGAAAAGTAAAATAAAATTAGGAGTGTGTTTATGGAATAACAACTTAAAAGTAGTCGGTGCTGGAGAATTTTCTTTGAAAATATCGAAATATATGTTTTCATTATATAGTTTTTTTCTTCTTAAATTGGTTACATAGTTTTAGTTAAACATATACAACTTTGTATGCTTGTTATGCGTAGAGGGAACTGTTCAAAGCATGAAGTAGTGCCCACTTGTGGGAGACCTTTGGGACTTCGTTTCGAGAAGAAAACAGGAGATTTGTACATCTGTGATGGTTACTTTGGTGTCATGAAGGTTGGGCCCAAGGGAGGCTTGGCCGAGTTAGTTCTTGATGAAGCCGAAGGTCGCAAAGTAATGTTCGCTAACCAAATGGATATCGACGAAGAAGAAGATGTCTTCTACTTCAATGATAGTAGTGACAAGTATCATTTCAGGTATTTGTTAATTAGGCTTCACCTTCACCTATGTTATATATACATATTTAAAAATGTTCTTCAAAGTACTTTTGTGTTGTGTGTTATAGTAAAAGAAAAAGTACTTTTGTGTGTGTTTCTAATATATATTTGCATAAATCTTACATTATTTATGTTGAGTGTTGACTAGGGACATACACTACGTGACAATATGTGGGGAGAGATCGGGAAGAGTGATAAGATACAACAAGAAGACGGAAGAGGCCAAAGTAGTCTTGGAAAATCTTCTTAGCAATAATGGTTTGGCTTTAAACAAAGATGGGTCGTTTTTAATCACATGTGAGTCTGCGACAGGCATTGTCCATCGATATTGGATCAAAGGTCCTAAAGCCGGGACCAGCGATATCTTCACCAAGGTTCCAGGTCACCCCGACAACATCCGCAGGACACCGACAGGGGACTTCTGGATTGCCTTACACTGCAAGGAAAACCGGATAGGGCGATGGATGGTGTATAACCAATGGCTCGGGAAATTGGCTGAAAAGACGGTGAGTTTGAAGTTGTTGGTTGCGTTATTTAACGGATTTAAGCCGCATGGGATCGTCGTGAAAATCTCCGGTGAGACAGGAGAGATTCTTGAGATACTTGAGGACAAAGAAGGGAAGACGATGCAGTATGTAAGTGAGGCTTATGAGAGAGATGATGGAAAGATATGGTTTGGTTCCGTTTTTTCTCCTGCTGTCTGGGTTCTTGATCGCAAGTGAGTGAGTGATTCCGTTTGTTGTACGTAGTCATGTTTTTACAAAATATTAATAAATTAATGTACCTTTTGTGTGTTTTGATTTTTGAATTAACTCTTGTTTTTACAGTACACATATACAGTTACATCCATTTCACCTTTTATCAACTATTATTATGTTCTTCTTTTCTCTGAAAAAGAAAATGAATACAAATTGTTCTAAAGCTTACCTTTTGTGTTATACTCCCTTCAAATTAGTTGTCGTTTTGGCAAAATGTATCTGTAAATATTTGGACGTATCTAGACATATTTTGCATTGCAGATACATCTAAATAATTACAGATATATTTTCCCAAAACGACAATTAAATTGAAACGGAGGGAGTATAAGTTTCAAACCAACCTTGGTCTTTCAATGACATAAATTATAATAGTCCCTTTCATTAGTTTAAACTTTAACGTGCACTTATGAATTTACGGCCTTGGCTAATTATTAGACAACTGGCACTACAAAATCAAATTAAATTGATAACACTGACTTACGGACCACAGACGTCGTGTATTCTCGGCATCCACAAAAGAAAAAGAAACCGCTATACTCACGTTTGGAAAAATATGAATATATATAGCTATAGGTATCACATTAAAGGTTCCAGCTAACAAATTAAACATTATCGTTACACACAGAGTCACACACACGTCTTATTCTCCGGTGGGTGAGCAAAATGCCAATTATTAGCCAGAAAATTCCGAGTTGGATCGCCTTTTCTGCTGTTTTGGCCGTCTTGGCCGTAATAACATATCAGATACTCCTTAAGCCAGAAGATCTAAAAGGCTCCAAAAATATTCTTACAATGGCTACGACCATTCCCATCCCTGTTGATGGACCAGAGAGCCTTGCGTGGGATCCACAAGGTGAAGGCCCTTACGTCGGCGTCACCGATGGTCGCATCCTCAAATGGCGTGGCCTAGGTCTCGGCTGGGTCGAGTTCGCCTACACATCACCGCTCAGGTTTTTATTTTGTTTTCAACCTTTAATTTCTCTCCCATTATATCTAGAAAACAAACAAATGAGTGTTATTCACTTATTTGCATTGAACTCCCTTTATAAAAAAAAATAGAAATAAGTAAAAAAACAGAACCGAACAAGAGGGTTATTTGCTTGTGTTGTGTTGAACAAATTCTTACATATAACACATTTATTAACATTTCATTTTGTGACTTCTTATGTTATCCTTGTCGTGTGTAGAGGGAACTGTTCAAAGCATGAAGTAGTGCCTACTTGTGGAAGGCCATTGGGAGTTAGGTTCGAGCAGAAAACAGGAGATTTGTACATATGTGATGGTTACTTTGGTCTCATGAAGGTTGGGCCCGAGGGAGGCTTGGCCGAGTTAGTTGTGGGAGAGGCCGAGGGTCGGAAGGTAATGTTCGCTAACCAAATGGATGTCGACGAAGAAGAAGATGTCTTCTACTTCAATGATAGCAGTGACAAGTATCATTTCAGGTACCTCTTTATTAATTAGGTGATATATATATATATATATATATATATATATAATATTTATTAAAGGAAAATTCTCTAAAATTTGTTGGTTTTAAATTCTCTAAAATTTAGTTTTTAAAAATCTTCATTCTATAAATACATTCATAGAATGTTCATGGAAGTATTGTGTGTGTGTGTGTGTTTTTTCTAACATTTACATGAATTTCATAAAAATCCGCTTACAGTATTTGCGTGACTGTGTTCTTAAATCATACATTATTTATGTTGACTAGGGAAATATTCTACGTGACTATAAATGGCGAGAGGTCGGGAAGAGTGATTAGATACAACAAGAAGACGAAAGAGGTCAAAGTTGTCATGGACAATCTTCTCTCCAATAATGGTCTGGCTTTAAACAAAGATGGGTCTTTCTTAATCACCTGTGAGTCTGCCACAGGGGTTGTATATCGATACTGGATCAAAGGTCCTAAAGCTGGGACCAGCGATGTCTTCGCCAAGATTCCAGGTCACCCTGACAACATCCGCAGGACACCGACGGGGGACTTCTGGCTCGGCTTACAGTGCAAGAACAACCTGATAGGGAATTTGCTGGTGTATAACCAATGGCTCGGGAAATTGGCTGAAAAGACAGTGAATTTGAAGTTGTTGACTGCTTTATTTAACGGATTTAAGCCGCATGGGATCGCCGTGAAAATATCTGGTGAGACCGGAGAGATACTTGAGATACTTGAGGACAAAGAAGGGAAGACGATGAAGTATGTAAGCGAGGCTTATGAGAGAGATGATGGAAGGATATGGTTTGGTTCCGTTTATAGTCCTTCTGTTTGGGTTCTTGATAGCAAGTTAGTAACCGCATAAGTACATAGTACGTATTTACCAGAAGAGCATGTTTTTTAAGTTATCGTTGTTTCGAATTAATCAATTATATGTATGTTTTGAATCAGCATTGTTTTGCGTGACGATGAATTTGTCTGTTTGTATATCTTACATGAAGCCTAAACGTTAAATATTATAAACGTTAAGAAGTTGTTGAACAACATTAGCATAAACCAACATTAGCATGTTGAAAAAATCCACTCGAAAAAGTAATTTGGATTTAGATTTTCATGCGATTATATTTGTGACCACAAAATAATCTTGTAAATTGTTTTGTAAAAAGAAATAGAAAATAACAGTTTTGTAAAATGTTTTCTCAAAAAGTAAACAAGGGCCCTACGAATAAATCATACGTTTCTCATGTTTTCTTTTAAAGAATCCATTGTGCAAATTGCAATGGTTTTGACTAGAGTATAGTGGGCGATTATTTATTTTTTCGATCAATATAATGGACGAATTTATATGTATCGAAATACAAACAGAAAACGCCAGTACAGTATATGGTTTGTGTTGTATCATTTGAGAAGATTAGCGTTATTCCTTCTCCTGAATAAAAACTTACTCTTTTTATATTATCAAAAATTGACGAGTATAGATAGATTTTATCACGACAGTTAAAATCCAAAAGAGGTCTGTAAAAATCCGTACAAAAATAACCAAACCACCACCACTTTCGTTATGTACGGACACGTGGGTGCTTCAAGGTAGAAAACACTGATAACTACTGTGTGTGTGACGTCTGTTGTCAATTCCTGTAAAATGCGCACGTGGCCCACACGTATCATTATTGTTCCAAGTGAAAGACAAAGAAACAACTTGTTCGACTCCCCAAATCTTGATTCCTTTTCTTCTTATATTACAATATTCATCCATCCATCAATCACACACACAATTAATTTCTGGCCACAGGAAAAAAAAAAAAAAAAAGATGCCGATTAGCCAGAGAGCTGTAACGCAGATCGCCGCGGTTCCGGTTATCTTAGCCGTCGTGATCTACTCGTTCTGGTCATCAATCATCGGAACAGAAAATCTAAACGAATCGAAAAAGGTCCTCCAGTTGGCTAAGACAATACCTCTCCCAGGCGATGGACCAGAGAGCTTAGAGTTCGATTCACAAGGTCAAGGCCCTTACGTCGGCGTCACCGACGGTCGCATCCTCAAATGGCGCGGCGATGAACTTGGCTGGCTCGACTTCGCTCACAGTTCTCCTCACAGGTTTCAGATCATTACTTTGAAAATTTACCAAATTACCCTTCATCTGTGATCAAGTGGATTTTCTTTTATTAATCTTCCGGAAAAGTTAGGTTTTAACTAGATCTTAGGGTTTTGATTGAATGTTCTCAATTAATTAATGTTTATTTTTTTATTGAAATGAAGAGAGAACTGTTCGAGGCATGAGGCGGTTCCTAGTTGTGGGAGACCATTGGGACTTGTTTTCTATAAGAAAACAGGAGAATTGTATTTCTGTGATGGTTACTTTGGGGTCATGAAGGTCGGACCAGAGGGAGGCTTGGCCGAGTTGGTTGTTGATGAAGTCGAAGGTCGCAAAGTAATGTTCGCTAACCAAATGGATATCGACGAAGAAGAAGATGTCTTCTACTTCGTTGATAGCAGCGATAAATACCACTTCGGGTAATTAAATACTCACACTTTTCCTAATTTTTAGGGTTACGATATTCTAAATTTCTCATTCATTTTTTTTGTTTCTTTGTAATTTGTGAAATCTGACATGCAAATGTGTTATGTTTATTTTGTTGGACAGGGATGTATTCTACGTGTCTGTATCCGGCGAGAGAGTGGGAAGAGTGATTAGATACGACATGAAGACGAAGGAAGCCAAAGTTATAAAGGACAAACTTTATTTCCCCAACGGTTTAGCTCTAAGCAAAGACGGGTCGTTTGTAGTCGTCTGCGAAAGCGCTACAGGCAAAATCCATAGAATATGGGTGAAAGGTCCAAAAGCCGGGACCAGCGATATTTTCGCGAGTGTCCCTGGGGGACCCGACAATATCCGGCGTTCACATACGGGTGACTTTTGGGTCGCATTGCATAGCAAGTTCACTCTTCTCACTCGTATGTTTGCTAAAAGCTCCTTGGTGGGGAAGACTTGTATGAAGCTGCTGAAGGTGAAGACTTTGATTCATCTCACGAGTGGAGGGAAGCCTCACGGAGTCATCGTGAAAATCTCTGGAGAGACTGGTGAGATTCTTGAGGTGCTCGAGGACAGTGAAGGGGAAACGATGAAGTACGTTAGTGAAGCTTATGAGACCAAAGATGGAAAGTTGTGGGCCGGGTCTGTGTTTTGGCCTGCCGTTTGGGTGCTTGAGACATCGGTTTTTGAAGGCAAATGAAGTGACCAAATGAAGAAAGAATAAACGTTTGGTGGCGTGATTTGTTTACAAGCGTAAATGGATCTCGTTTTCTATCTTGTTGTGGACCGTGTGGTTGTGGACCGTGTGGTTGTGATTGCTAGTTGTTGTAATGTTGTTCTTGTGGTTGCTGTTGTTGTTTTTTTTGTTGTGTGAGTGGAATTTGATTGGAACATGGATTCTGCAAAAAAAAGTTGGGTATATGATTAGAGTAGTTTAGTCTAGTTTTGTGATATTAGTGTGTCGTGTCTCTCCGCTCTCGCATGGCAAAGATTTGTGGTTAATTTTGGTAAACTTGTGACAGATTATTGAAAACTCCAACGACGACGACAAGGGAACAAGATTTCCCAATAGTTCCTGTCTTGAATAGGGATGCAATACAGTGGGCTTTTGCAAACCCTTTAAAATTAAAAAAATACATGGGCGATTATTTATGTTTTTGAACAATATCATGGAGGAATTTTTATGTATGGAAATACAAACAGAAAACGGCAGTATATGTGCTGTGTTGTATCATTTACGACGATTAGCGTTATTCCTTCTCTTGAATTAAACATAGTCCACTTATTCAGTTATTTGGCATATATATTGACAACATTTATCGTTGTATTATATAAATTTGTTTTGTCAACAGTTGACGAGTATAAATATATTTTATCACGACAGTTGAAGTACAAACAACGTAAAAATCCGTACAAAATAAGTCTCAGGCTCTCAGCATTACCCTTTCGTTATGGACGGACACGTGGGTGGTTCAAAGTAGGAGATGCCACTGATACTTCTGTGTGCCAGTCTGTCATGTCCGAATTCATGTATAATGCGCACGTTTCATTATTATTCCAAGTGAAAGACAAGAAACAACTTGATCGACTCCCCAAATCTAATTCTTGATTTTTTTTCTTCTACTTATAGTATAATTTAGGGTAATTTATATCAATCACTCACAGACAATTTATAGCCACAGAAAAGATAAGAGAAAAAGATGCCGATTAGCCAGAGAGTTGTAACGCAGATCGCCGCGGTTCCGGTTATCTTTGCCGTTGTTTGTTACTCGTTCTGGTCATCAATCATCGGACCGGATAATCTAAAATACTCCAAAAAGGTCCTCCAGTTTGCTAAGACAATACCTCTCCCAGGGGATGGACCAGAGAGCTTAGAGTTCGATTCACAAGGTGAAGGCCCTTACGTTGGCGTCACCGACGGTCGCATCCTCAAATGGCGCGGCGAGGAACTCGGCTGGCTCGATTTCGCCCACACTTCTCCACACAGGTTTTCATTCATAACTCCCAAAAATTACCAAAATATCATTCATACGGAACCAAGTGGATTTTTTTATATATTAATCTTCCCAAGAAGTTAGGGTTTTATTCAATGTTGCCAATTAATTAATATTTATTTTTGTTTAAATGAAGAGATAATTGTTCGAGGCATGAGGTGGTTCCTAGTTGTGGGAGACCACTGGGACTTAGCTTCTATAGGAAAACAGGAGACTTGTACATATGTGATGGTTACTTTGGTGTCATGAAGGTCGGACCAGAGGGAGGCTTGGCCGAGTTAGTTGTTGATGAAGTCGAAGGTCGCAAAGTAATGTTTGCCAACCAAATGGATATCGACGAAGAAGAAGATGTCTTCTACTTCGTTGATAGCAGCGATAAATACCATTTCGGGTAACTAAATATCACATTTTCCCTAATTTTTAGGATTTCCGATTTCAGTTATTTTGTTTACGTATTACACAAGTCTAGTGATTTGTAACTAGTTTGGCTATTATATCATTAAGCGAGATAAATAAAAAATGTGATTTAATTAAAAAAATAGGTGTGAACTGAATTACTTTTGTAATTTAATATAACTTTTTAAGGATCCCAAATTAAGTAAGTCTCATACGTATCTTTAATCATTCTATTGTTTCATGGAATTTTGACATGCAAATGTGTTATGTTTGTTTTGTTGGACAGGGATGTATTCTACGTGTCGATATCGGGTGAGAGAGTGGGAAGAGTGATTAGATACGATATGAAGACGAAAGAGGCCAAAGTTATTTTGGACAAACTTCATTTCCCTAATGGGTTAGCTCTAAGCAGAGACAATTCGTTTGTACTTGTCGGCGAAAGCGGTACAGCCTTTATCCATAGAATATGGGTGAAAGGTCCAAAAGCAGGGACCAGCGAGGTATTTTCAAAGGTCCCCGGGGGACTGGACAATCTCCGGCGTACACCAACGGGTGACTTTTGGGTCGCAATACATAGCAAATTCACTTTATTCTCTCGTGTGTTTCTTAGTCACTCCTTGGTGGGGAAGGCTTCCATGAAGTTGTTGAAAGTGGCGACTTTGATTAATCTCACGGGCGGAGGGAAACCTCATGGAGCCGTCGTGAAAATCTCTGGCGAGACCGGTGAGGTTCTTGAGGTGCTTGAGGACAGTGAAGGGCAAACCATGAAGTTCGTTAGTGAAGCTTATGAGACAAAAGATGGCAAGTTGTGGACCGGTTCTGTGTTTTGGCCTGCCGTTTGGGTGCTTGATACTTCGGTTTTTGAAGGCAAATGAAATGAGTAACCGAACGCAGAAAAGAATAAACGTTTGGTGGCGTCTTTTGTTTACTAGCGTAAATGGATCTCGTTTCTCTTCTTGTTGTGGCGTCATTTGTTGTTGTGTAAGACTGGAATTGTTGTTGTTGTTATTGTCTCGCATGGCAAGATTTGGTTTTAGTGAACTTGTGACAGATTATTAAAAACTCCAAGACGACCATTGAACAAGATTCGTAATAGTTTGATCGTCTACTTTAAAACTCTGTCAACAGATATCAAAACCAAGTGCAGCAACAGAAAGTAAAGTGGGCTCTTCCACATTTAAGCAGTAGAGAGGAAACGAAGAACATTTGTCATTCCATCTTATTATTTTATACTCCAATTTGATGATAAGGCCTCGCAGATTCTTGCCACACAGTAGGCTGCGCTCAAAGGATACCCTGAAACTGAACAAACCAAAAACCTCTTATCAGATTATAAGCTACTACTACTCATCATTGACACAATCCTCCTTAAATTTATTTTCTATAAAGGATTGAGTGAATGAATAAGACTTACCAGCCACAAAATCTTCGATATAGTCGCACTCTATCTTCCCATGAGACATGGCACCGAGCTGAAATGGTTTAGCAATGCATAAGATTGGTTATATTGAAGTCGGAAAGCTAAAATCCTATTACTAAGCAAACGAATTTGGACTTAAATGCACAAGTGTGAGAGAGAGATGACTAACCACAAAAACAGTGTCTGATTCATTACAGTGAGTAGCTATGTGCTTCTGCATATCGATGAGCTTATCAGAGCTACGAGAGAAGCCTAACATAACAAGAAGAAAAAACATCATTTATTTAGCGATTTCGTAAAGCAAGATTAGATAACAAATGTAGGGAGGAAAACAAACCAATTTTTCTGGAGCCAACAGGAAGATATTTTGTAACAGGGTTCTTGATCACACGCAAGAGTTTCTCACGGCTATCCTTTGCAGTAATGCTCAGATTTTGTAGCAATTGACCTACACAAAGACAAAACAGAAGAGGTTATTAAAAGCAACAAAAAAAAAAATCGCCTAGGATGAGAGGAGAAAATCGGAGAAACTCACACATGAGTCCAGCAAAACGCTTGTAAGTTCTTGGTATACGAACATGTGGCTTAACTTCAATGAGCACACCTAGCTCTGTCCTAACATAGACAGCCTTTAACCTCCCAGCTTGCTTAACCGGACTATCCAAAATCATTAGAAGAGCCTGAAAGAGGGAAGATCACACAAGATAAGAGTCACAAATTTGCTATAAGATATGACTTTAAAAAAAAGTTCTAAAATCCTCACCTGGTGAGTGATGTCTGGCCGGAAATTATTAGGCTCTCTGCCATTTCTTTTCAAGAAATTCGCGTGATCTTCAGAGTTTAGTAGATGGTAAGTCTGCAAAAGAGAATACACACAAATAAGGCTCAAAAACAAATTCTTTCAAAGAACTAGCTCCAAGTATGAACGAATCCATACCTTTCCAACTTTGGCAACTTCAAGAGAGGCCTTCTCAAGAACGAAAATGACGCCGGGCTTTTCCTTTGACGGTTTAGGATCAGCGAGGGAAATAGGTATCCCAACATCATTATCATCATCATCATCATCTGATTCTTCCTCACTCTCTTCATCTTCTTCCTCCTCTGCTTTTGCTTTTGAGGTGCTTTCTTTTTTCGCCTTCTTCTTCGCACTCTCTTCTGCTTTTTGCTTTTGCTCAAGCTTTCTTTGTTCCTCTTCCTCGTCTTCCTCTTCATCGTACCTCTCTGCTCTCTCCTTCCTCTTGTTCACTTTGATCCCATACGGCCTCGTCATCTTCTCCCAAAATTTATCCTAATCCAACACAAAATTAAGTAAATCAAAACACCGCAGAGCAAACAATCAGATATCAAATGTAACTTTTTTTCCAGGAATCATAAACGTCAAACAGTAATACAGTAATACACTACGTTGACGATGAATTCGTACATAAAACAATCAAATTCCTTCAGGGTATCAATTCAAAACTACAGCGAATCAATGCAAACAATCACAGTCCCGTCCCGATTTGAAATTAAACCGGAAAATAACGAACCTTTTGATTAAGAACAGCTAAATTAAGATATGGAAGAAACAATGGCTTACTTCGATAAGCTTGCTTGAGCTTTGGCGAAGAAAAAATCCAAGTGAGCAAAAGCGACTGAAACCTGATAAACCCTAATTCGAAGACACAGGATTTCCCCTATTTCATATTCATTTCACGAAGATATAGTTTAACTAAAATTAGGCCCATTAAGGATTTAGGGTTATAATAGGCCCAATAAGAAAAGAAGAAAGAGAGCAGAAACCTAAAATTATGGTCGTCGTCGACACTGACTCGTTTCCGCCGGAGCACGACCGCCTTAAAGCTTAACATGCATTAACAAGTGGTGGTTCCTTCCATTTTTATTTCTTCTTTCAATTTTGGGCTTTCTCTGCAACTCGCCGCCAAGGGGAGGAACCAAAGCTGAGAGTACTATTGTTGCGATTTGAAGATGGCGTCTTATGGAGACAAACTGAAGTCGACCTCCATTAATGGAGTTAAGTTATACCATGTTTCTTCTGCCCCCAATGTTGCGACTTGGCTCAATCCTAAGAAGCAACGAGCTCTCCGTAAAAACCCTCGTAAGTATCTTCCATCAATTGCTCGAATTTCTGTGAGCTTATTTAGTGGTAAAAAATCGTTAAATCCCTGCATAAACCCTGTTTCTTAAAAACTCTTCCTTTTTATTTTCATTCTCTGGTTGATATGTGAGGTTTGCTCGTCGGAATTAGATTCTTCTCTTAATTGCAGCTTAATTATATCTTAAGAGTAATCTCTCAAATTCAATGTTTTGTTGATTGTTTTGTGGCTGTTTCTCTGTTAAGATTATATGCAAAGAGTGGAGCTGATTCAGGATTTGAAGTTTAATATTGCCACTACTAAAATCAAAGCGACACCAGACGGAGAGTATCTGATTGCTTCAGGTGCGTTTTTCATCTTGCTTTTCTTGGTGAAAATTTGTAAGCTGGATGCTAATAACAAGTAATGAAATTTCACTGATTTGTTGTTGAATCAGGCATATATCCACCACAGGTCAAAGTTTATGAGCTGAGGCAGCTTGCTTTGAAGTTTGAGAGACATTTGGTCTCTGAGATAGTTGATTTCGAGGTAACTTTTACTTCTCCATTGAGCTGTGTTTAAACCTTTTATTGTTTTTCTGGTTCAAGAATATGTTTGTTTGCATTTACAGATATTGGATGATGACTACTCAAAGCTTGCCTTCTTATGTGCTGATCGTTCTATTAATCTACACGCCAAATACGGGAAACACCACAGTTTTCGAATTCCTAGGTAGATTAGCTCTGTTGGTCTATGAGATTACGTTTTGTGAATTTTGATGTGGCATTGGTCTGAAAGCTCTCACATTTTATTTGTAGGATGGGGAGGGACATGACATATGATAGCTGGTCTTGTGATCTGCTTTGCGCTGCTTCTTCACCAGATCTATACAGAATCAATTTGGAAAAGGTACGTTTCGATGAGTATTATAGTTTAGTCTGCACGGTGTTGTGATCTTCCTCAGTCAATGATTTGTGAGATTTGCCTTCTCTCCTTAGGGACAATTTCTCGCTCCTCTCAGCACTCAATCCCCAGCGCTGAATGTAGTTTCTCGAAGGTCCGTATATCCAGCTTTCCTAATATGTCAACATTTGAACTGGGATAATGTTGAACTGTACTAGTTTCATATTACTGTTGTTTATGCTTGAACACTACATTTTTGTTTTTGTCCTCCAGCAAATTACATGGATTGGTTGCTTGTGGTGGTGAGGATGGTGCTATGGAATGTTTTGATATGAGAATGAAAACATCTGCTGCTAGAATTAATGCGGTTTCACATGGTAGCGATGCTGCTGCGGTAACGCTTCTAACATATGCTCCATTTGGAGAAAATTGCACCAATCTTTCTGATAATCTTATGCTTTTTTTATTGACAAATAGGAGGTTACTGCTATAGAGTTTGATGACAGTGAAGGTCTTCAAGTAGCTGTCGGGAGTAGTGCCGGAAAGGTCTTAATTACGTTCCATTGTTTTATATTCAAGGTTTTAGAAACTGGTATGTCAATTTGGCTATATAGCTATGTTTTGTTGATTGTGCTGTTCTGTATCTGCAGGTTTTCATATACGACTTACGTACTTCGGCTCCCTTACGAGTGAAGGACCACATGTAAGTATTACTAACAGTCTAACACACACTTCATCATATATGCTATAACTTTAGAGTTTGTTTCCTTGGTGTTCATTGTCTCTTCTGCAAATTTTCAGGTATGAGAGCCCGATTTTGAGTATTAAGTGGCAACGGACTCTTAATACGCAACAACCTAAGTTGATTACTACTGACAAACACATTGTTAGAATATGGGATCCGAATACGGTAATATTGCGTTTACCTCTCGGTTTCTTGAACTCACCGATTTTGGTATTGATAATCCCCGATTTGTTTTTCCAGGGAGAAGGTATGACCAGCATTGAACCGAGTGGAGGAGGAATAAACGACATATGTGTGTTCCCTGGAAGTGGACTTATGCTTCTGGCTCTAGACTCTAGCCTAATCCCATCTTACTACATACCTGAACTTGGTCCGGCCCCCAAATGGTGTTCTCCTCTTGAAAATCTAACGGTAAATTATCTGATTCTCAAAAGGTTTCCCAATCTTTTCAGCCATTCATTTAAGTGGTGTGACACTACTTTTTTGAAAATCTTGTTCTCAGGAAGAGATGGAGGAAACAGTACAGACAACTATCTACGACAATTACAAATTCGTGACAATGGAAGATCTGGAGAAGTTGCAGCTGACTCATTTGATTGGCACAGATCTTTTAAAAGCTCAAATGCATGGATATTTCATGAAACACGATCTGTACAAAAAGGTGATGCATTGAGATGTTCATACACTTATTGTAACTTTAAAGTAGTCTCTAAGATGCTTCTTCCTGATAACTTCTTTCTTTACAGGCTTTGGCAGTGGCTGAACCTTTTGCGTATGATGATTATTTAGAACGCAAGAAGCAAGAGAAACTTGACGCGCAACGTAGCCAGAGAATCACTGTAAGTTTATTCTAATCTAAGCATCTGCGGATTCACCATTGTTTTTTGGTTGGCTACTTACATGCATATCTGTTTTTCTCTTGTGCTTCCTGCAGAAGAAGAAAAGGTTGCCAAAGGTTAACTCTGTTATCGCAGATGCCATCTTCAACGGGGAAGATGCGGAAGAGGAAAAGAAAAGTGGCGAGGGTGAGGAAGCCACAAAGAAAGTGTCCAAGAAGAAGAAACTCGCACTTAGTAGCGAGCATTTCGAAGATGGCCGGTTTGACGCCATGTTTAAAAACAAGGTATTAACAGTTTTCTCTTCAACGTTTCAGTTTGTTTCTTTTTGTTTGTTACACTTCTTCACATCGCAGTAAACCGGAATTTTGGGATCTCTTTCTGGTTTTCAGGACTTCCAAATCGACAAGGATTCATATGAATACGGTGTCCTACACCCTGTGGCTTCTACTAAGAAACAACCTTCTTTGTTAGAAGAACACTTTGAAGCTGTAACAGATGACGACGAGAACAGCGATTCTGATGCATCACAAGTTTCAGATGACGATGATGAGACAGCAAGGCCAAGCAAGAAATCAAAGACTCCAAAGTAAGTGCCTTTCGAGTACATTCCAAGAAATCAAAAACACAACAATGTCTTTTGTTCTCTCCTGATGTTTAAGATTTGGTGTCAGGTTGTTTGAAGTGAAAGACGAGCGGCACGCAGATGCTTTCTACAACCGCAGGTCGCTGGCTAAAGAAGACAGTCTTCCAATGGGCGAGCGTGTTAAGGCTGTAGAGAAGCAGCGTGGAAACTTTGGAGCGAAAGATGTTAAATTTGGTCCTGGAGGATCCAGGGAGATTTCTTTCAACGCTAGAAGCTCATACAAACACAAAGGAGACAGAGACGATAGAGATGATGATGATGAAGATGGGCAACGAAACAAGAGGAGAGGAGTTCAGTCTCTTGGACTGAAACAGGATGTTGTTAGAGGCGGTTTCGGAGGTAGGGGAGGTGGCAGTTTTAGAGGTAGAGGCGGCGGCGGTTCCCGAGGAAGAGGAGGTGGACGTGGTGGTGGTGGTTTCCGAGGCAGAGGTGGTGGTCGTGGTGGCGGTCGTGGTGGCGGTAGAAGAGGCCGGGGTTAAATGTAGCTTTAAGGGTGTTTTTTTATATTAATTTTGGAAAATGTGTGCCACTTATGAGAATCTCTGAAACTTCACATCTACAAATTTTGGAATCTTTTTGACCTGTTCTTGAAATGTATTTGTCTGATGTTTGAATCAGACCAACATAATTTGGTTACTTGAACTTAAAGGTAATGATTAGATGAAGATGAACCTAGCTAGATAGATAATGCCTTCACATGAGAGATCACCGTCCGTTGCTAATTGAATTAAAGATAACGTATTGAATATTATTTAATCACATGAGATGCTCTTTTTTTTTGGGTCAACAAATAAATAAAATGCTTATGTATATGCTTACAACATGAACTTGCTTATGTATATGCTTACAACATTTTGACATGTTTGCTTGAAGCTTCTTCCACCTGTTTTCCACGAGTCTCCAACAATTTCTTCAGTCTGAGTCATCTTTCAATATGTAAACTATATTCTGTATTGCATTTAAGTGTATTTTTTAATACATGTAATATTCTTGTTTAATACTTGTCGAATTCGTTTACTGATGACTGGACCTAGCTCACGCGTGGTACATAGACTCTGGCATGTGTCAACCTACGTCCTTGGATCTAAATACTTCTCTTTATAGTTTATACTATTAAGTCGTATAACACTACACAAACACTTATAATATAGTTTGTTAATCTTTACTTAACAACAGAGATTTATTTGTTTATTTAGTCTTATTATCCGCATATATATATGGCTGGACAATAATATGTCACCTATCGTTCAGGACAATACCCAACCAAAACAGCTTCATTAATCAACCAAAGAGAAAAAAGAATCTAAAGAACTTGTCTTTAATCATTCAAACAAAAAAGAATGTGTGCATTAGTCCCTCCACTGGTCCCAAACTTTGGGTGGCCATCAACGGGAGAGTACGAGAGCTACTACCTCGCCGGAGAGAGCCTCAACAACGGCACGTTTCTTGACTTTCCGTTAACGGAGACTTATGGAGTGGCTCATCATCAGGATAGTTTGGGGCTTTCTGTTTCGTCAGAGGGAAATGGAATAGACAACAATCCGGTTGTGATCAAGAAGCTCAATCACAATGCAAGCGAGCGTGACCGTCGCAAGAAAATTAATTCCATGTTCTCATCTCTCCGTTCATGTCTTCCAGCCTCAGACCAATCAGTAAGTTCCTACTCTGCCTGAACCAAAAGACAATAATAATTTTGCTCATTCCATTAGGTACTATTTAGAAGAAGAATAATGAATTAACCGTTTTCATTTTTCTTTACTTTCTTGCAGAAGAAGCTAAGTATTCCTCAGACGGTTTCAAGGAGCTTGAAGTACATACCGGAGCTGCAAGAAGAAGTGAAGAAGCTAATAAAAAAGAAGGAAGAACTCTTGGTGCGAGCATCGGGTCAAAGAGACATTGAGCATAACGTTAAGCCGCAACCAAAGGCGGTCGCGAGTTATGTCTCCACTGTTTCTGCGACTAGGCTTGGAGACAACGAAGTGATGGTCCAAATCTCATCGTCCAAGATTCATAACTTTTCGATATCTAATGTGCTAAGTGGGTTAGAAGAAGATGGGTTTGTTCTTGTGGATGTTTCATCTTCAAGGTCTCACGGAGAAAGGCTTTTCTACACTTTGCATCTTCAAATGGACAAGGTTGATGATAATTACAAGATGAGTTGCGCAGAGATAAGTCAGAGGATGTTGTACTTGTATGAGGAATGTAGAAACTCGTTTAGATGATGATAATTTGTTCTTGTGTTCTTTTAGTTATGTGTTGTCCTTTTCTCTTGAACATCTAACATTCTTGACTAAAGCGTTGTACTCGAATTGTTTCGGTTTTTTTGGTGGAAGTCAATGATCGATTACTACATGCTAGCTATTTGACTGATAATTATGTAACTCATATTACAGCTATAACATTCTTTTTTTTCTGTCTGCACTTCCGATTCATGCATGACCGGTTACTAATATAAATATTATTTTGGTGGCGAAAACCTTTTGTTAGGTCTCCTGCTACTCTTTTCTTTATACAAACAGTTAATAGTTAGTTGTGTTTTGGTGTATTGCTAAAAGACAAAAAAGAGGTATTTTATTACCTCTTTTTATATCATTATATCAAAGAGTACTGAAATGTTACTCCTTCTATATTAAAATTTAGAAGGTTTAGAAGATTCGATGTAAATGAGCAAGTTGCTTTTATTAATAGGACGTTTCTGACATTAAAATAGTTAATTAAGAATCATTGGAAGACATAGTTAATGAAAAGGCATGGTTATCCATTGATCTTGGAGTTAATTTATATATTATTCCCTCCGTTTTTTATTACTTGTCGTTTTAGGAGATTTCACGCAGATTAATAAAATAGATTAAAAACTCTATTATATCCTTAAAAAGCAAATTGACTATTAGTATTCTTCATTAGATCAAGGTTAAATTAGGTATTTAATATTAAATTTTGCATTGGAAAGTGAGAACAACAACTATTTTGAATCAAAAAAATAAGGCTAGAATGACAAATATTTTGAAACGGAGGGAATAGTAAAGAAGTACACATTAGGCAGATTACAAAACTAAATAAAACTTGAATCAGAAAAGAAACATTCTCATCAAATGTTTTTGCAAATTTGAAATGAGTTTTTGTGTGTAAAAATACTTATTGATTGTCTATTTACTAAATCGTTACCGCTTTTTTTAATTGGATCTAATTCGCTACACAAGTTATAAAAAATAATTCAATTATTCCGAGAGAAAAATTCCAATCCCTATATGTTTTCGCAGAGTTTCCACGTGATTTACACAATTCAAAGCAATATATCTGTATGGTATCAAATAAGAACTGTAGCTTTCGGAGATAATCATTTTAGACTGGAAATGTGGGTCACAATAAGAATCTATGAAACCTCACTGATTCACATTTACAATTTTGGAATTTTTTTGACCAGTTCCTTGGAAAAATAGCTAAATCAGAACATATTTTAGTTCAGACATAGATGGCATCAAGTTGACCTTAGTAATTATATATAACGTCTTTGTATTAAACAACAATGCCGTATTTTTTAATATAATGATTATGTATAGGCTTACACCATGAAAATGCTTATGTATAGGCTTACCACATCGAAATGTTTGGGACTAGGAGGACGCCTAGAGCATCTTCCACCTGATTTCCACAAGCCTCCAACAATTTCTTCAAGCTGAATCATCTTTCAATATCTATATAAAAGTCTTATTACCATTTTAGTACATGTAGTGTTCGTTCTTTGATTCTTATACAATATCACCAATGGTGACTGGACGTACTTCATGCGTGGACCATAGGCTCTGGCTCGTGTCAACCTATGTCTTGTATATAAAGACCTAAATATGTTTTTTCTATAGCATCTAAGTTGTGTAACACTTATATTTTAGACAATATTAACGAATCAAAACATAGATTATACAGTTTGTTAATTAATACTTAACAACATAGATTTGTTTCTTTAAAATGTATATATAGGGGAGTCAATAATATTCCAACCAAAACAGTTTCAAAGAGAAAACAGAATCTAGAAACTTGTCTTTAATCAATCAAAAAAATGTGTGCATTAGTCCCTCCATTGTTCCCAAACTTTGGGTGGCCGTCGACGGCAGAGTACGAGAGCTACTACCTCGCCGGAGAGAGCCTCAACAACGTTAACGGCACGTTTCTTGACTCTCCGGTACCAGAGACTTATGGAGTGGCGGCTTATGATCATCAGAACAACTTAGGAGTTTCTCTTTCGTCGGAGCGAAATGGAATAGACAACAATCCGGTCGTGAAGAAGAAGCTTAATCATAATGCTAGTGAGCGTGATCGTCGCAAGAAGATCAACTCTTTGTTCTCATCTCTCCGTTCATGTCTTCCAGCCTCAGATCAATCGGTAAGTATTCCTCACTTTATAGAATACAGTCTTTGCTTCTACACCATCTAAAAGAAGAATGTTGAGAACCCTTTATTCAAATTTTCTTTACTTTCTTGCAGAAGAAGCTAAGTATTCCTCAAACGGTTTCGAGGAGCTTGAAGTACATACCGGAGTTGCAAGAGCAAGTGAAGAAGCTAATACAAAAGAAGGAAGACCTCTTGGTGCTGTTATCATCGGGTCATAGAGATGTTGCTAAGCCGGAACCAAAGGCGGTGGCGAGTTATATGTCAACCGTTTCTGCGACTAGGCTTGGAGAAAATGAAGTGATGGTCCAAATCTCATCGTCCAAGATTCATAACTTTTCGATATCTAATGTGTTGAGTGGGTTGGAAGAAGATGGTTTTGTTCTTGTGGATGTTTCATCTTCAAGGTCTCAAGGAGAAAGGCTCTTCTACACTTTGCATCTTCAAGTGGAAAATTTGGATGTTTATCGCAAAATGAATTGCGAAGTGTTGAGTGAAAGGATGTTGTACTTGTACGAGAAATGTGAAAACTCGTTTAGGTGATTTTTTATATATTATTTGGCTTATATATTTATCCATTTGTTCTTGTTTCTTTTTTAGTTATGTCATTTTCTCTTTAAAATCTAACATTCTTGACCAAATCGTTAATGCAGTCGAGTTGTTTTGGTTTCTTGATTGAATGAATCATGACCATTCGGTTTATCTTTTTCTTGAAAAGAAAAGCCTAATAGAAGGCAATATCAGAACAAAACATTTTGAACATTCACTGCTAAAGATGTCAACTGTTGTTACATAGTTTATTACAAACTCAGAACGATTTATAAATTTAAGAAAGAAAGAAAAAAAAGTAGTGGCTGCAAATCATTAGAGCCGCAATTTGCCGAAATGTGAGTGTATATATATACCTAAGCCCATTTTCTTGGGCCACAAGAAAGCCTAAGAAGGCTAGAAACAGAGGAGACTTGTCTCAGTTGTCCTCAGTGAAGACCTTGAAGATGAAATCACGGAAACGTCTGGAATACAGCCTCGGATCAACGGCTGAGATGGAGGTAGGATCGTACTGGATGCTCTTGTAAGCATGTTCGAGTTTCTTGCTAATGTCATAATCTTGAAGAATGTCAATGATACCGAAGATCATGACAACCTCGTAGTACTCTCCTGTTGGTTCCCCAACTAGCTGGAACTCTAAGTCGTTTCTCCTCATTGTCCTCTCTGCTCGAGCCGGCATGTTCCCTCCAAGTCTGATACTAGCCCATCTGCAACAACCAAAACCCATTTATTATTATTGGACTTGAAAATCGATAGATTGTTCTAAATTTGTGTTTGTGTTTACCTTGTGGGATCAGATAGAAGCTGATCCACGTCTGCTCTGGAGAGACGAGGAGCTGATTCGTCTTCAAACTCACCTGCAGTTGAGAAAGAAAGAAACATATTTTAGTTGCTAGATTCTAATGGAGAGAAAGTGATAATTTGGAATTTCAGGAGAGCGAACCAATAGGAGTGCGAGCTCCAGAAGGAATCAGCTCTCCAGCGACTGATGCTTCTCTGAAGTGAATCCCAACAAGAAGACTGTAGTCCATGATTCTCTCTTGTTCTAGGAACTCGCAGTCTTTATCAACTTGCCTGGAGACAAAAAAAGCAAGAAACAATGGTCATAATAAATTACAGTGAAGGAGAGAAATGGATTTTGATGGTCTCTATTCTCTAACCTGATGAATTCTTGGTACCAAGCTTTCTGTAGTCTGAAAATGAAATTCAGATCAAGATCTTTCAAGATTGTGTTTGAATTGATTTCTGATTCAGGTTTATCGGTTGTGCGGCCAAGTGAAGATCCTTTCAAATCAAAGCGTCTGTGGATTGAGTACTCAGAACAAAATAGATTTCCCATAATCACAAACCTCACCTGCAAAGAGATAAGAAATGAAGTCAAGTCAAAATCCAAGCCACAACTTTTTTTTTTAAAGTTAGTATTGTTCTCACTCTTTACCTTCTTTTGGATTGGTCCTGTCAGTTTCACACAGTGGAGACCATAGAATCTAATCACCAAAGTGTTCTCAAATGCTCGAACATGGTTGTAATATGCTGCAAGCATCCTCAGAAGCACCTGCGTCAAATATAATTCCAGAAAGAAGTTAATATTTGTCCACACACTTGTTCATCTGATAAACTTTTGTTTAAAAAATCTCACTTTAGTTTCTGACTTCTTCATTGTCTTAATCATATAACGATCATCATTTGTTAAGTAGAAAAAGCTTCCACTTTTACCAGGGGACGACAGCTCTCGAAGGGCGTCATTACCGCAGATCGATAACATGTAATCAGCTGCATCTACCTTGAATAGCTTCCTCAAGCTCCTGAAACATAGACAAATATTATTAGCAATAACATAGTGTAAGAATATAAGTACCACTGAGAAAGTGTTTTTTTTTTATCTCACCTAAACACTAATGGACAATAGTCTTTCCATTTGAATTCACTAGATTGATGAGGAGGTGTGTATTTGGTTCCTTCCGGTGGAAATCTTGTCCATACCTTCTCCTTCGGATCAAAATCTGAATGCTTTAGATCAAGAGACACAACCGGAGCTTGTTTCCCAACAGCATGTCTGCGTATAAGCACATTCATTCATTACAATACACATCTAACAAAGCTTCATCTTGACGCAAAAGTGAGATGTCAAATCAAATTACCTGATTCCAAGCTGTAGATTGAGCATAAGCTCGTAATTCCGGTGTCCTTTCGATATAGTCTCGCCTTGCTTCTTCCCTGCTCTTGGCAATCTCATAGGGACAGGGCTAGGTCTTAGGCTCTGAATGAAGCCTTCAGCCTCAAGTCTCATTATCTCAGCGTCCAAATCTCTTCTAGTGTTGGAATCAATATCAGCAGCGCCTTCACCGCTTTCGCTTCCCCACATGTTCATCTTCTCAAACGCTCTATCTACACCAACACTCACCCTCCCATCAACAGACATCCTCCTCGGCTTCTCCACACGCTTTGAAGAGTTCCAAACAGAGAGCTTCTTCTGTGATGGCAACACAGGAACCCTCTCTCCATTACAGATCTTGTACTCACTCAGATTGTTAAACACATCTTTAGGATCCCATTCAAGATTCCCTTCGTCCCCTGATGGATAGTAAGTTCCATTCATTTCTTCAGGATCTTTAGACCAATGGCCAACGTAGAAACCTCCATCGTCCCATTTGAACGTCCCGTTCCCGCAAGGAAACCCATCGTCCCAAAACCCGTCGTATCTACTACCATCAGTCCAAACAAATGTGCCTCTGCCACTAATCGTACCGTTCTTCCATTCACCCATGTAATAGCTACCATCTCTCCACCTATATTTCCCTTGAGCTTCTTGCAAACCTCTCCTCCATTCACCATCATACACGTCTCCGTTTGCGAAGCTCTTGATCCCATGTCCATGTTTCAGGTTCATCACCCACTGACCTCTATAAGTATCTCCACTAGGACCTGTGTAAGTCCCAATCCCATCCATGTATCCGCTTTTGAACTCTCCTTCGTATGCGGCACCAGAAGGCCAACCGAACTTCCCTTTCCCCATAGTCTTCCCGTTGTACCACTCGCCAATGTACATGCAACCATCTGTCCAGAGATACTTGCCGTGCCCGTGTGGGAAACTGTCATACCATTGCCCTGTGTAGTAGTCTCCATTAGGAAGTACTCTCTCTGCGTTGTACAAATCTCCTATGCTGCATCTGTTAGTGCTGCTCTCATAATCATCATTCTCCTCAGTCGTAGTGGTGTCATCATCTGCCTGTGGAGCTACCGAGTTCGTCCCGAAAATGCTGTTTGCACGCTTCTTCGCTTGTTGTGTCTTTCTCACCGTCACCTCCCAAGCTTTTAGAACGCAGCTTTGTTCCTTGCTCATTTTGCTTTTTAAACTATTCAAACTTTATCTCTAGACACCTATATTTATACTATAACAGTCCCTAAGAAAACATATTTTCTTTCTTGTCTAAACATCTAAACAACAATCCTATAGATGTACACATAACACAAGGGAAGATCATGAACACTCTGTGTGTGAAAAGACAAATTGTAAAACTAAAACCATTCAATCAAAAGCAGGATGAAGATTTCTGCAATGTATTTTACTCTGTGACTTCATGTCTCCATGTCATAGAATCATAAGAAAAGGGAAAAACAGAGAGAGTTATTTTTTTCTTTTAGATTGCAACATTTTCGGAGTGAATGCTGCTCTGAACGATCATCAAAACCTAACAAAGAATCATAGAGAGGGAAAAAAAACTAATGGCCAAAAGAGTTAAGGGATCAAAACATGTCTCCGACATTTCATCTTTTCTTGTCAATTCCTCTTAACTAAAAATGTTATTCAGAGAACAACCCGTACATCTCCACAAACCACTGAAAGCCTTCAAATTTAGAGAAACAAGAAGGACCCATTTCTTACTATTCTTAGCATTTTCCGATTTTTTCTCTCACAAACGAACATATTTTCTTAAATATTAAATTAAATACAGAGATAACTGAGACTCCAGCTCAGTGAGGCATTCTGTCGAACAGCTTAAGCTCATTGCTTAGACTGTTACATAACTCATCCTTACAGAGACCCATTAACCTATTTCCATAAGTTATTCTCTAGGATCCATCTCAAAACTACGTCATACGAGAGAAGAGGGACAGAGCTAAAAAGCTTGAAAAACAGTAAGGTCAAATACTTTCTTGGCGAAGAGGAAAACGAACTGTTAACAGTATATTGGAGAATCGGACCCTGGAGGAAGACGGCAATCCGAAGATGGAGAGTAGAACCTGAAACCGTTAAGGTTATTATAAGGATCATTTCTCTTGATTTGCCTAAGCTTTTAAAATTGTGCTACTCTATGTAAATTACCTAATTAAGTAAAATGATCAAAACTCTTAATGTCGAAACTCAACCCTTTTTTCCCATGCAAATATATTTTAGTACGATTGCTAATAAAATATGCTAAGTTTTATTTTTGAAGCAAACCATATTAATTAAGTTACTTCTTGTTTTGACATTCTTGACGTACAAGGTACAACTCAAGACTTTAACCAAAGAAGAAAATAAATGTACAACTACTAGAAGATCAATAAAATTCGAGAAGAAAACATTTCCTTTTTAATTTTGACAAAAAACCTATATTACCAAAAAAATCAATAATTTGTCCGAAGCTTTTCCAGTTTTCCTAATGTCCCTGCTTCATATAATTAATTATTACTTGGCTCGCAAGAACATTTCCTTTTTTAGAACAAAAAGAACATTTCCTTTAATCTTTTCGGTTTAACTTTTAAATCCGTATTGCCAAAACTTACACAAACTATACATAAAAGGAAAACGTTTCTTTGCCTTTTCGTTCTACGCAAATCCTCTATATAATTAACCTAGATACGTGACTCTCCATTCACAATTCACAACCTCTCTCACACACAAACAAAGAAACACTCCAAACTTCTTCTTCGCTTTCAAAGTTTTTTAGGGTTTTTTTCACGATGGAGAAATTACTCGGTGGACAAACACACAATGGACCGTCGAAGACTAAGATCGTCTGCACACTTGGACCGGCGTCTAGGTCAGTTGAGATGATCGAGAAGCTTCTCAGAGCCGGCATGAACGTAGCTCGCTTCAATTTCTCACATGGCTCTCACTCGTACCATCAAGAAACTCTCGACAATCTCAGAATCGCATCCAAGAACACTGGTATTTTCTGTGCCGTCATGCTCGACACAAAGGTAACCTAATTCAACAATCGTCTTTTTAACTTTCTCTTTTAATTTATCTTAAACCTAAGATTCGATTTTAACCTTTTACCTTAATTTGTTTTACAGGGTCCTGAGATTCGAACCGGATTTCTGAAAGACGACAAACCGGTGGAGCTAATTCAAGGTCAAGAGATCACAATCTCCACTGATTACACACTCAAAGGAGACTCAAACACAATTTCCATGAGCTACGAGAAGCTTGCGGATGATCTCAAGCCCGGTGACTTGGTCCTCTGTGCCGACGGCACAATCTCTCTAACCGTCTTGTCCTGTGAGAAGACCGAAAACAACATCGGCCTTGTTCGTTGCCGATGCGAGAACTCTGCAACCCTAGGTGAAAGGAAGAACGTGAATCTCCCTGGAATCGTCGTCGATCTCCCGACTCTTACGGAGAAAGACAGAGTCGATATTCTCCAATGGGGAGTGCCAAACAAGATTGACATAATCGCTCTCTCCTTTGTTCGTAAAGGATCTGACCTAGACGAGGTCAGGACATTGCTTGGAGACCACGGAAAGTCAATCATCCTTATGTCAAAGGTGGAGAATCAGGAAGGAGTGATGAATCTTGACAAGATTATGGAGAAGACCGATGCGTTCATGGTGGCTAGAGGAGATTTGGGAATGGAGATTCCGACGGAGAAGATCTTCCGAGCTCAGAAACTGATGATCTTGAAGGCTAATGCTCTCGGGAAACCAGTCGTCACAGCCACACAGATGCTTGAGTCGATGACCAAAACTCCACTTCCTACTAGAGCCGAAGCCACCGACGTTGCGAACGCTGTTCTTGACGGTACCGACTGTGTCATGCTCAGCGGAGAAACAGCCGCCGGAGCTCACCCTGAGGCCGCGGTGCTGACGATGTCGAGGATCTGCAAAGAGGCGGAGGAAGACATTGAGTACGACACTCTCCATAAGAAGATCAAACTAAGTGTTCCGTTGCCTTTGTCTCCGATCGAGAGTTTGGCGGCTTCCGCGGTTTCGACGGCGATGAATCTGTCTGCGAAGGCGATTCTGGTCCTCACCAAGGGCGGTTACACGGCGAAGCTCGTGGCGAAATACAGGCCTAGCGTTCCGATTCTGTCTGTGATTGTCCCGGACGCCGATGATTGTGAGGAGTCATCGTGCCCTGAAGCTGCGGCGAGACGTGGTTTGGTTTACCGTGGAATCATTCCGGTGGTGGCGGCGAGAGCTTCGGAGTCGGCGGAGGAGATGATTGGATCAGCGATCGAGTTTGCAAAGAAGCAGGACATCTGCAAGGCTGGAGAAGCTATTGTGGTGTTGCACATGATCGATGGCTCTTCTGTCATCAAGGTTTTGATTGTTGAGTAGTCGCTTAATTTATGTTTCAAGTTTTTTTAAGTTTGAAGTTCAGAGTCTGAGAAATTCAATTTTGTTCAATTTTTTTTTGTCAACGGAGAGTCTTGTTAAACATTGCTTTTTGGCCGCTTAATTTAATAAAGTTTTGACTTTGTCGCATGGTTTCATTTTTCTTTTGTCGCATCTTCGATTTGAAGATTCAATAAACCAATTTAAGGCAGAATCATTTTCCTGACCGTTTAGAAAGTTGTTGGATCCGGTTAATATTTCTGAACCGATGAAGTAATTTCGTCGAAGCAAGTAATTTTTCAACTATTATAAAATCTTTATAAGCACCTCTACAATATAACATTATATTGTACTTTTTTGGTTATTTTCAGATAATTACAACAACGGTTAAAAATCAAAGCCTATGATTTTACCATTTTCCTTTATAAGATTTTGTTCGAGCAACTCCAGCTGCAAGTTGTGCACATATTTTGTGCACATCTGTGAAGATCTTTAACCTACTATATAAATTACTACAAATTTTTGTGTGAACATATAGAAAATGAAAAATAATTAATTAATCAGTTTCTGTTTATTATTGATTGTCACATGGATGATCCGTTCAAGCGACTAAAAGATCCATATGATCTTCTAGTAACCAATGATCACGTCGATTTAGAGAACCGGATTTGTTTGATTACTATGACTATAGTTAGGGTGTTGATGTTCTCAAATTTGGCAATGTTGTTAAGCTCATGAATAAATATGAGTACGTCGATTTAGAGAGCCAACGGATTTGTTTGAGTACTATGAGTATAGTTAGGGTGTTGATGTTCTCAAATTTGGCAATGTTGTTAAGCTCATGAATAAATATTCAGAAGCTTGAGGATGTTCTTTCCAACTAACTTCTTTGGTTATTTATTTCCAAGTAGATTGAGATGTACATTTGATAGAACTATACCGTACATTATACTCGTACTCTTTAGTATATCGATGGAAGTTATGTATCAGTTACACTCATACTTTGTTTCTATTGGTTAATAGCTAAGCTCTGTCCGAGAATCTTTTATCTCATCACGACAAAACCAAATAACACATAGTAAAACCTTTTTTGACGGAAGCTGACTCACACACCATATAATAATAACACGAAACAATGTTTCTAGCGTCGATTTTATACCAAATTCACCAGCCTCTAAGAGCCAATCAAAATCCCCTTAAAAAATAAATCGAATCCTTTTTTTCTTCAACGGTCCTCAATCATCCCAAAATCCCCCATACTCAGATCATATCAAAAGCTCAGCCCTTTTTTCTGTTCTGTTCTGTCTGAGAAATTTTCGTTCTCATCGTTGGTATCGAAAAATGGGGAGAATCGGTCTAGTGGTTTCTGATCTAGTATTGTCGTTCATGTGGATATGGGCAGGAGTTCTGGTCAACATTCTAGTCCATGGAGTTCTCGGATTGAGGAAAGATACGACCGGCGATATCGTCCGATTTGGCTTCTCCATCATCTCCATGTTCGTCTTCGCTTTCCTTCAGAAAGTCACCAACGGCGGACTTTTCAATCCTTTGACCGCTTTGGCTTCTGGTGTCTCCGGTGGCTTCGGCAGTTTCGTCTTCTCCGTCCTCGTTCGAATCCCCGTCGAGGTTTGTTTCGTTGACTTTTCTTTTTACCTGAATTAAAATCCTCTGGCTTTTACTCCATGATTGTCCTCATTTCCTCATTAAATACTTCTGACATGAAATTAGGGATTGTCTTTACTGTAAAATAAATTACAGCGAAATTTGAGAATTTTGGTGATGATAATTTAGCTCTGAGAAAATCTGATCTTCTTTGTGCTCTGTTCTAATGTTTCTAAAGACTTCATTTTGGAGATTTTTTTAGCATTTTAAAGGTAAAAGATGAAATCTTTTTGCACATTGTGTGAGAATAGGAAGATCATATTTTGTTGTTGTTGTTGCAGGTATTAGGATCAATCCTTGCGGTGAAACATGTGATTCATGTATTCCCTGAGATTGGGAAAGGACCTAAACTAAACGTAGCGATCCATCACGGTGCTTTAACAGAAGGGATACTAACATTTTTCATAGTAATCCTCTCAAAGGGACTAACAAGAAAGATCCCAGGAAGTTTCTACATGAAGACTTGGATTACTAGTGTTGCTAAGTTGTCTTTGCATGTTCTTGGATCTGATTTAACCGGCGGTTGCATGAATCCAGGAGCTGTACGTTTTTTGTGATTGTGATTTCAGCAAAAAAACTCAGATTCTTGTTTTTTACTCAGCTCTTTGTGTTGATTGTTTTGTTCTGTGTTGAATGAATCTTTGCAGGTTATGGGATGGGCTTATGCAAGAGGTGAACATATAACAAAAGAGCATTTGCTTGTGTATTGGCTTGGACCTATGAAGGCTACTCTGCTCGCTGTTTGGTTCTTCAACGTTGTGTTCAAGCCTCTGACCGAAGATAAACAAGAGAAACCTAAGGCTAAGGCTGAGTGAGGAAATGTGGTTAATTAGTTTTCACATTTAATCCCTTCTGGTAAAATCTCCTTTCACATGACATTCAAAGTTTGAGAGATCCAGGGATTGCTTTTTTCTTAGCTTTTGTAATGTGTTTCTTTTATGTAGCAAAACTCAACTGTATCAATAAAATCTGAATTCTGATGAATCTGTTGGTGCAATGTGATTTTGATAGATGCAGTAAAACTGTAAAAAAAGTATTCAGTTTATTGAACACAAAAATAAACGATGTTTCTCAGTTTCGATCATTAAATTACAAGAAATCAAGAAACTCAAGGCTTGACACATTTGCAGCTACTAGTAGACAAGATTAGGCTCAAACTCAGCGAAATCAACAGAACCAGACTCAACAGGAGGCATGAGATAAGCAGCCAAGATCTCAGAGGCTAAACCAGTAACGAGAGGAATCTTCTTGAGGTTCTTGATGAAGGAAGGATCATCGGTTTGTCCAACAGCCAGGAGCTTCTCGTAGATCACAACCATTCTATCCAGTTTCCTCTTGAACTCAGGGTTCTCAACATCCAGCACCGCCGGGAATATTCTTGCCGTGGTTCGGTTTGTCTGAAACAAGAATTTCAAAACATTTTCAGCAAAAGAAGGGCATATAAGCATAACACACAGCTTGGTGATACTAATCTTCAGGTTTCAAGTTCCTTTTACCTCGATGATGACGTGCATGTCGAACTCCTTTGTGTTTAAACCGATACCTTCGTAGAAATTAGTTCTTTGACAATCGTTTAGGTACATTGTCACATAAACCTGCAAAAACCAATCCTCTTACCGGTTAGGCCAATGTCTTGGCTTAAAACCAAAGTCAAGCACAAATGAAGCAGAGGAGTTTAGTTTAGTTACCGAGAGGCAGAAGAAGCGAGACCAGAGCTTGGCTTGCCAGTCATTGAGGAACTGAGGCTGAGCTTTCATCAAAGCAGAGAAGAAGTCTCCGTGGCGGTTCTCGTCTTGGCACCAGTTCTCAAAGTACTTGAAGATTGGGTAACATTGGAACTCAGGGTTCTGCTTGAGGTGTCTGTAGATTGTGATGTATCTCCAGTATCCGATCTTCTCGGATAGGTAAGTAGCGTAGAAGATGAACTTGGGTTTGAAGAAAGTGTATTTCCTTGCCTTTGTCAAGAATCCCAAGTCAAGAGCCAAGTTGAAATCAGACAGACCCTTGTTCAAGAACCTGCAAAAACGTTTCCCGTCAAATTCAAGAAACAAACAGTCAAGATCGAATATGTCTACTGAAGAGGGTCAAGAGATTTTACCCGGCATGTCTTGCTTCATCTCTAGACATAAGAGAGAAGATCTCAGCCACAACAGGGTTTGTTTTCTGCAATTCCATCAGACCATAAGGTTAAGACCGTTCAAGTGATATATGTCTTAACTTCCACCTAATGAGTCTGTCTTCAAGCATAATGTAGACAAGAAACACTAAACCAAGAACAACTCTTGAAACATACAGAATTGAAACTATAGAAGCTACTTACTAGCTCAAAACAGTGAATCAGTAACTTTTTAAAAATTACAAGAATTTAACATGTATATATGCACATACAGAATATGAATATATATATATATACAGTATAAACTCTATAAATTAATATTCGATAAATTAATAAACACGATAAATTAATAAATTTTCCGGTCCCGAGTTGGGCCGGTGTAAAATATGACACAATTCGATAAGATAATAACTTTTTTTAAACTCTATGTAAAATATGGTCTCAATAATATCATAAATTAATAATCATCATATAAAAACATATATATATATATATATACAACTAAGATATCTAGCTACTAAAATATGAATCTCTGACAAACAAATATGGAAATTAAAAGAGAAAAAGGAATTTAAAACAATATGGCAAGTATGAGAAAATGTAAACAATAAAGTAAATATAAAAACATTAAAAAAGTTAAGAAAATATACGTATAAAGGAAAGTTCTTATTTAATTTGAGGGAAAATTTAAAAGATTATTAATACTGAATTTTATTTTTTGAAAATTATTTTTTTAATTAAAATCTATATATTAATAACTCTATAAATTAATAAAATATCAAAATCCCGATATTATTAATTTATAGAGTTTCTAGTATATACCCAATCCGTTTACTTGAAAGTTGACATTTTCCACAGAAATTTAAACAATACTCTAAAATGTCTAATTATGTCAATTTTCTATCTAACAGGGATAAAACTTGAAGTTATCTAACAGTTGTGGATCGAATTGAAATCTCAAAAAAGATACCTTGAGCCTTCGACCAAGCTCCTTGTAGAGAAGGAAACCAGAGAATTCGGCAGTGCAAGACCGCTCGAGGAACTCAACGAAGATCTGTCGGAGAGGTCCCTGCAATTTGTCGGCAGCTTCTTTAAACTCCTTGTTCCTGACGAAATGTGTCTGATTGTAATCGGTCTTAAACTCTTGAAGCAGAGCAATGAATTCTTCCTCGTTAAGGTTCTTGTTGATCTCCGTGTTGAAAAGTTGTTCCATCTCCTCGAAATCCGTCGTGTAGAACCTCGGAGTCAGAAGGGACTCCTGAATCTCTTTCTTCGTTCCCTTCTTGGATTTCACGGTGGTCGGAGGCGGTGGCGAGGAGGTGGCTGACATTCTGATCACGGTGGAGAAACGTCGGCCGGAGAGGTATTTGCTTGGGTTGGTGAGCTTTGGGGATGCGAACTTGGAAATGGGTTTCACTAACGCCATTTCAGCCGCCATTGATTATGAGTTGCAGAAGCAAAAGAGAGATAGAGAGTGAAACAGAGCAAACCAGCTAGAGGAAGAAGGTGAGGCTGTGAGGAATTTTATAATCGAAAAATCTAATCCAGTGAAAATCTCAGCTCTGATGTGGGCGCTTGACACGTGGCGATCTGTTATTGGTTTCTCTTGATTGCATTGTCTTCATGATAATATAATTGTTTTTTCGTGCTTTTGTAATTGAACACATACACAACCAGGAAACAAACAAAAAAATATGTGATCGAAGCAGAATTAACAAAAAGAAAATGAAAATACTGTAACCAGTAATAAATAAACAAGAGGATATAATTCCGAAAATACAACAGTATAAATTACAATTCGTGGTCCAAATCTTTTTATAACAAAAAAAAAAGAGAGAAAATATGTGATGCTGGTAATATAAATACAACTATAACTCACAAATCCTACAATGATTATTTCTTATTTCTCCGGATTTTTTCTTTTCCCACAAATATATGAAACACAGTTAAAAGAATAACAAAGAACAATCTCCACTTCTCCAACTTCCAAGCTTCTCTAGCAAGTAAACAAAAAAGGATAGTTTTAGGGCTGAGAAAGAAAAAAAGAGTTTCTTCTAAATCAAGCAACAAGCTTTAGCAACACAGACGTCAGGGCTTAATTTATTACCTTCTATTTACGAAGCATTGGGGAAGTGGACTGAGGAGAGCTTGCTCCATCCTCAGATCCTGCGTGACCTTTATCAGTATTCCAATTTCGTTCATACCCTTCAACTTTCTCTTCATCACCAATGGAGACTCGAACGCGTTTCTCTGCATCTCCATCATCACTCGAAGATCCTCCTGACTCTTCTTCTCCGTTTCTCTCATTGGTAAAAAACGGATCGAAAGGAGAGACGACTCCTTCATTATGATTATGTTGATGGTGTTGATGATGATGATGATCTTTAGCCTTCAAGTCATCTTCCTCACAATCATCCTCAAGATCTTCATAGTTCAAATTCCGGAGAATCTCAGGGAGTGAGTAACTCTTCCCACTCTCATCGATAATCCTTCCTCCTCCTCCTCCTCCCATTTCGATATCGATCTTCTCCTTGGAGCTAACTAGACTCTCACCAAGATTCGAAGTAGGAGTCTCAGCCATCATATAATCTTCTTCCTTCACAAATGACCTAAACTTGTTCATTGATGGAGGAATCTTAGACAGAAATATCTCCCATAAATTCCCTAAAATCCCTTTGTTGTATGGATTCTCCTTCTTATCATATCGATATCTGAAATTCTCATAAGTAGTCTACACACACACACACAAAAAAAAACAGATTTACACCATTAAAACAAAACAGAGAAAGACAAGATTTGGTGGAATTAAATAAAGCATAGATCTTTCTTCATGAATCACCTGGTTGGTGCAGATGAGATAGGAATGAAATATTGTGAGTCCACCAACAAACCAAACGGTGATGAAGCAGTAGACAATGAGAATATCAGACAGAACATCTTTGGAGATAGCTTTCCAGATGCTAATCTTCTCATCCGTATGCCTTTGGAATATGTTCAACCAAGAAAACACAAACACGTATATGCACAGTGTTGTTGATGTTGATATGAACATGAAGAAGAACCTGTAATTTCTCTGCACACAGAAAAATCAAAACACACATTTTCAAAACCACAGAGAGCAAAGTGTTTAGAGAAAATTCATTTTTAGTAGTAGTAAACTTACCACTCCAATGCATTGGCCAACCCAAGGGCAGTGATGATCAAATCTCTGAACACAATTGTTACAGATGGAACAATGAGAAGCTCGAGGAGGACGGTAGAGCAAGCATGTGTCACAGAATTTCACTTTTATGGTATGTCCATTAACTGTTACATCTTTGACTCTCGGCAATCTTATGTTTGGGGTTCTACCGCTAACCCATTCCATCGACGGAGTTGTTGAATCCGGCGCATCGTCTGATTCCGGCGGCTTTAAACTTCTTGGCACAATCCCGGGATCTCTACTAGATGTCATCATGAGGAAGAAAATGTCCTGAAGAAAACTATTGAAACTTTAGTTTCAGTAGACAGAGACACTTTTCTACAAATGAAGTTTAATCTACAGAGAATGTGAAAGCAGAAGAAGACATACCAAAATGGTGAGTATCCAAGCCACACAGAGAATAGGAATACAAAGATGTGGATGCTTGGTTCGAGGATCAGCCATTTTCAGGTACATTTTGACGAAGAACATCACCGCAGGAGCAAGGATCAAGATGGTTGAGAAATATAGAGATGATGCATCTGGACCAAAGATTAACCTCCCTCCACACAGAAATTTCTGAGAAAGACAAAATCAGAGACAGATTCAAATCTAAGGAGCATGAAGAGATTAGACACAGGCTGCAGAACAATCAAGACTCTAGATAGTAAAATACTGAGACTAATCAGAGAATGGATAAGAGAGGATTTAAATAAAGTCTTAAGAATGATATACACACAACAGCTGAAATTACCAAAGTGGCTAAATTCTATGACTTGGACTCAAAGGAATCCAAATGGAAGTGCGATTTCATTCCCAAAACTCAATCTTTCACCAGACAAGGAATGGGGAATGTTAAACGAAAGCAAAAAAAAAGGTGAAAGTTCAGGACTTACATTGCTTCCCCTCCAGACTTGATAGAGCCGCTTGAGTTTGGTCTCATTCCAAGCCATAGCTAAACACGAAGAAGAAACGCTAAAAGTTTAGAAATTTCGATGAACCCAGAATCAGAACATCATCGGAGAATCCATGGACGACGATGATGACCAGAGAAAGGGATAAAAAAAATCAGGAGAAACCCAGAAACGAAAAACAAAAATCTCTCCTTTTTCCCACAGAGAAAGATTCACAATTTCGAAACAGTCGAAAATTTGATTGTGTAGTTCCGAGAGGGAGAGGGAGACAGAGAAATTGAAGCTGTCCTCTCCACTCGGAAATCACAAAGAATTATTTCGATGTTTGCAAAATTGCGATCCCTTTTTCCCTTTTTTCTCTTCTCTTTCCTTTTTTGTAATTTTGTTTTTGGTAATAAATATATCTTTTTTATTATAATAATTAGATTTAGATTTGGGAGTTAATGAGATAATGGGGACATGTAATGCTAATTAAGAAAAGTGTTTATGCGATTAGGATGTTTGTAATAAGGAATAATTTCTTGTTTATTGTTTAATTATCTGATGGTCGGCCAACTAAATATCTAAAAATATTAAATTGAATGATGCAACAATGAGCTGTGAAGGCAAGTCAAATCATGCCTCAATTAAACGTGCTTCACACATAGATTTCTTTCCATCTATCGTTTGTGTGTTTTCTTTCTTCTCTCTTGTTTTTATTGTATTTCCTTTTATATTATGCTTCGCCTAAGCTAAAATATTTAATTGTAATTAGTTGTTCTATCTTTGCACCCAAAAAAAAAAAATAGTTGTTCTATCAATGCTTTCAAAAGAAGAAGTAATGAGTATCTTTTTCAACTTTCATAGCGCAAAAAATTGGAAGTCAATTTGATGAAAGATCACATAAAAATAAGATGATGATTGTGACTAGTAAGATATTTGGTTGGTAAAAAAACTCAAACTACTTTACCATTTTATTTGTCAACCCTATAAAAAAAGTATAAAATTATACACATCTTAACGAATATTCTATTCTGTCTTTTCTCTCTGAAATGAAATGCTTCTGCGATTTACAGCTACAATTTTTTCTTTTCTCCTTTTACTTGTAAAACGATAAGATCCAAGAAACACCACACATTATATAGTAAACTATAAGAGAATGATTGGAGACCAACGAACACATCAAATTGAGTTACCACTATATACACTAATTTTCCTACCAACCACCTACTCTAGATGCGAGAAAAGATTTAAAAAGTCATTTGAACGAGTAAGGTAGAGAAAGCTACATGGCTTTGAATACAACAATTAAATTTACACATGTTTTGCTCTGTTCTTGATCTCACATGTCCACGCTCGAGTTTCTCCTTAAATTCGCCTGTTCTTCTTGGTAAACCGAGCCAATCGCTGTGTGGAGCTTCATCTACACTTCTTTTCTTGACAGTTTTGCGTCACTGAACTCCAGCTTCTCACGGAGCAAATTTGAGGTTATCATGATCAGTCTTGCTTACTGCTCATTCCTGTGTTTTGGAGTCCCAAAGGCTCTGACTACCTCTGAGGCAACAGATCCAACCTCCACATCGTCTTCTTCTTCTGGCGCCCAATCTCTGAAATTGTTCAAAGATGGTGGAATCTTTGCGAAGAAGAGCTCCTTGAAGTTCTTTAACACCCCCTTACGGTAAGGGTTTTCCTTCTTATCGTAATGGTACCGGAAATTCTCACAAGTCGTCTGCAAAACATAATCAAAACAATCAGACTCAACAGTAATAGGTCACAGGTTCATTGCTTGCGCTGAAAGCTAAAGGACCTTACCTGGTTTGTGCAGATTAAGTAGAAGTGAAAGACACTAAGTCCACCAACAAACCAGACGGAAACAAAGCAGTAGAGAACAAGAACACCTAATATCGCGTCATCAGCGAGGACGATAAAGAATTGGCCATGGACTCCAAGCATGCTGATCCATGAGAACACAAAGACGTACATGCAGAGGAGTGTTGAACACGACAAGAAACACACGAAGTATGGATAGTTACGCTGCAACAACCAAAAAAACAAAGCCCCATATTATATATCATAAAGATCAAACTCAGTTGTGAGAAATGATTTATCAAAAAAGGCTTAATTATTACCAAGGCGATGCATTGACCGACCCATGGACAGTGATGATCAAACCTCTGGACACAATTGTTGCAGATTGAGCAGTGAGAGGCGCGAGGAGGACGGTAAAGCTGACAAGTCTCACAAAACTTCACTTTGACGGTGATTCCATTCACCATTACATCTTTTGTTTTAGGTAGTTTCGCATTCCCTACTTTGTCACTGACCCATTCCAAGGATTTGGTAACAGCCTCAGACGTTTCTTCCAAAGGAGCTTCTTTGTTCCTTGGGATAATGCCAGGGTCTCGTGAAGATGTCAAGAAGAGAAATGTGAAATCCTGAGATGAACAAAATCACCAAAGCAAATGACTACAGGAAACAAGAAATCAAAAAGAAAGAAGTTGTGAATAGAAAGCAATGATTTTTGTACCAAGATTGTGAGAATAATTGCACCAATCAAGATCAGTAAATGAAATAGAGGGTGGCGCTGTCTGATCAGAATAGCCATCCTGATGCAGAAAGTGATAGCTGGTGCTCCTATCATACATGTGGTCAGAAGAATTGAAGATGCGTCTGGACCAAACACTAGTCTTCCCCCAAAGTAAAATCTCTGAAACATCAAACAATCAGAGAGAAAAAAAGTCAGGCAACTTCAAACAATGGTTTCATATAATAAAAGAGTAAACATAAATTTAGGAACTTGCTATTGATCTAAATCATGTGTGAAACATCATTACATAGGACTCTTAGACTATTTCCAAACTAAAAGGCTATAACTTTATGGAAAGGCTATATTTTTAACATCCACAATGTAAACTTCGTCTGATCATAACCATAATTCTGGAAAAGAAAATCTCAATGAAAAGATATAATGATATTCGGAGGATGCTTACATTTTTACCGGGCCAGACTTGATAGATCCTTTTCCGTTCGTGATTCTGAGAAGACATTTGCGTTTTTCTTCCGGGAGAGAAACTGAGAGAGATTGTTCCTCGATTATCCAGTCTCAGAATCCACGGCCAAAAGCTTAGAGATTCATTTCCAGATTACTAATTTGAATGTAACTGTTCGGCTTTTTTCCCTCTTCGTTTCTCTCCTTTTTTTCTTTTCTTTTTGATTATGGTTTCTGTTGGAGAGATCTGTTTCTCTCTCTCTCCCTCCATAGATTTGTCCTCCGCCATTGGAAGTTCCCCAACACCAACATCATTTTCTGGAACATCCTTAACATAGCATTCTCGCCATCTCATACTCGGATAGCCACGTGTCATGACTCACAATTCTGTAAAACGTACGCACTCCGGTTCATCTTTTCAAACCGAATCAAAATTGAGAAACAACAAAACAGAATCGGTTCGGTTTCAACTTTCAATTTATATGTCCTGAAGAACAAAACCAAACCAACCCGAATTAACAAGCAAAAGTGAAAATTCAAGTCAATACCAAACCGTAAACCGGATTGGTCCAGGATCAAATCCAATCCGTTCGTTAAGAAGACACAGAGAGAAGAAGAAAAAGCTTATCCAGAAACTAAACTTGAAATGAAAATCTGAGGCGAAGTCTTCCATTAGAAGAAGATGGCTCTTCTCTGCTTCAATTCTCTCCCTTCTCTCTCTTCTTCTTCTTCTCCTTCTCCGCGCTCTCAACCTTCGCATTTCGCTTCACCAGGTACGCAGTTTCACTAGTTTCCACTCATGGCGCATCGCTTTAGCTTTGTTTTGCCGCAGAATCGTATCGGAAACCAAATTCCAGTTCCTGGGCTACTTCAATTTCTTGGTTATTTAAGTAAAATGCGTTTTTTTAGAGCAGTCACGTTTTAGATTGTACTAGGCATTTCGTCGAACACTTGGGTTTACTTGTAAATGCTCTCTGTTCTTTTTGGATTTCAGTTTTGAGCCTTAAAGCCAACGCCGTCGAGTCTAAGAACAGAGTGTCTCTCAACTTGAGCATTAGCCATGGAAGAGCAGCATTTGTGAAGTTGGCTGCTTCTGGTGTGGACGGGGTTGAGCCCGAGAGCAATGAGGAACCCAAGCCTGCCGTCGCTGCTGCTGTTCCAGTGGACAAACTACCATTGGAGTCGAAAGAAGCTAAAGAGAAACTACTCCTGGAACTTAGGTTGAAGATGAAGTTGGCCAAGAAGATTAGGCTTCGCAGGAAGCGTCTGGTTCGTAAGCGTAAGATGAGGAAGAAGGGTCGATGGCCACCTTCCAAGATGAAGAAGAACAAGAATGTGTAGAGACAGACTCTTCTTTGCTGCCTTTTCCTATTCATTCTCGTTTTTTTTTGTGTAATGTTGTTTGTTAAACTTTCCAGAACCATTTAATGGCTTTTTCAAATGCAAACATTGTCTTTTGGATTAAATCTCAAACTGAGTTCTTCAAAAGAGCCATTCTTTTACAAAGTGAGCAGTCTATGAATCGAACGAACCAAAAAGGTTTGAAACTTGCATTGAAACAATTGGTTACTAAGGAAGAACATGTGAACGGAAGATGAGCGGATAGGTGCAACAGAATCCAGTGCTCCAACACTGCAACAAAGTTTATTTAAAAGATTGATCATTAACTGATTCTACAGTTCAAATATTTTGATTGACAAGAAACTTAATTAAGCATATGGCTGGCTTACCACAGAGAGAAGCGGACCTTGCTTGAACTTGTCATGGAATGAAAAGGAGAGAGCTTTCGGGTTTTCTCCAGGTCCTCTGATGAAACCTCTGTAATCATGAAAAGCATTAGATTTGTCTGTAGAGAAAGGAGGTCAAGACCGATGGATGGATGGATATCAGTAGGGATAACTTACACAAGTGATGCTGATACAATAGGTGTTCTTCGTGTGTCGTAGATGGCAATCAGTCCTTTGTAATTGTCATCACCTCCTTTGTATGACACAGCCAATCGTTCCCCAGATGCATCCCATGCTATCTTCTCGATTCCCTCACTGCTTGTTTCAGTTATGATAACAATCAAAGAAAGGTCTTTGAATGAGAGAATTTAGCTAAACAAGAATCAGATCATTTTACCTGCCAGTCACAGAAGCAATCTCTGGCAATTCAACTGGTAACAGATGAGCATCTGAAAGTAAAACCAAAATAGGAGGATCAGGAATATGCTAACAGGTAAATATTTCAAGTAGCACAGGCAAAACGACTTTAAAGTTTCTGCATACCCAATGCAGGTGGCTTGGATGAGAAATGAACAGAACCCAGTGTTGAAGACTTTGAAAATGAAATCAAGATAAACCTTCCTTCAGGATCCCATATTGCTCCCTGTCAAGAGAAGTTTGTATCAGAAAGTATCATAGTTTAGTCCTTTTAAGAGCAAATGAAAATACAGCTGTATCGAAGAAGGGAACATATTCCTTTATGTTTAGTAAATTCAATGCATACAACACGGTGCACATGGACATCTGCACCGTGGTCTTCCTCATCCAACAAACCAGCTCTAACTATAGTCTATTGCATATATCAATATCCTATGTATTGAGACACAATAGAATTTACCGTGACAGAGCCGGATCCAGTAGACAAAGACCACGGTGCAGATGTCCATGTGTTTGTTTCCCATAGGCAAAAGGTTCCATCACTGTATTGAGAAAGAAAGCATCTAATTAGCCAACACATCAATTAGAAAACTACTTTTGACATCTGTTAATAAGAAAAAAGAGTTGCTTATGTCCTACAATCTTGCTGCAAAGAAGTAGTCCCCTGTGGGTGACCATTTAAGCATTGATATGCCACCTAGTCCCCGTCGAATAGGTGTTCCCGCACCTGGAAGATGTATATAGATCACATTCAGAAACAGGGAACTCAATCTAGTTAAGCAAGAAGCATTTTCTCATTTCAAGTCAAGATATATAGTGTTATACTTGATCAATGATTTAGACTTGATTTACTAATACTTTCAGATCGAACTAACTAGCAAAGTGGAAGTGAAGCATTAAAGTGTTAAAAACGGTCCTTTCATTACCTTGAGAAACATCCCATATGGTGAAAGAAGAGCTTTCATAAGAGGCTGATGCCAAATACGTGAAAATAGGTCAAGGGATAACAAGATGGACAAAGTTAGGGACCCATGTGATGCAAGGATCCCAACAAATCCAAATACTTTCCCAACAAGTGCCTATCATGAGAAAACAACTCGATAACGATCTTGACAATGCGTGCAATTCACTAGTAAACCAAAATGAAGTAAAGCAAAACATATAAAGCAGAAAACATTTTAAGGATATCTTCCACAGGGGCTCCATGAGAGAGCACTAATTTGCTCATCCTTTTGACAACGAAGAAAGTCCACCAAGATCCAGCGAGCTCCAGATCCTCGAGAGAGACTTCCCCTCAACGAGGAACCACCAGATCTAACCAATGCCATGTTACCTGGATAGGAGGCAGCCCATATGCATATCCCTCCCCTGTTTCATTGGAGCAGTTGTGTTGCTTGGTCATCAACGAAACTAGCTGATGATAGAAACTATATAGTATTCAGGGGAAGCCAATAATACCCACCTACAGGCTACAGAGAGTGATTTTCCACCATTTGGCCTCCACTCAAAGGCTTTAACACTTCTCTGGGAATCACTAGTCAAAACGCAAGGTTCCTTCTCATCTGTTCATAAAGAGAACATTAAAATGCATGCACGCATTTTCCAAAACATGTCCACTAGAAGCAAGAAGAGAAATAGATAGAAAAAGAAACAGACCTTTGTCGTCGTAGTCACGAATTGTAACTTGACTTGCACCGGATACAAAGGCAATAATATGCTTCCCTTGATGCCAACTCACTCCTTGAAGATCAATCTCTGACAGAAGATTAACCTACAAAATGTTTGTGTATAAAAGAAATGATTATTGACTCCAACAGCTACAGAAATGCCAATCCTAAAACACCTTACAAATAACAAATCCATTCCCCTAGATACAAAAAGATAACTATTGTAATTATCATTCACAAAACGCTAGGCCTTCCTTAACTCCATTAACTAAACAACACATAGCTAATGCACGATCAAATGCTTACATCGATGGGTTTTAAAATCTGTTTAAGGACGTCTGCAAACTTCATTTGCAGTGTTGCCACCAGTCCTTTTCTCTCAACACTTGCTCTATCTCCACCCTCTTGTCCTTCGTTTTCCTGCAGAGAGATAGGTCCATTCTCGAACGAAACGGGACTAAACACCATTCCCTGCAATCAATTTCAATTCCAAACCCCAATCCGGAAAACATGGAATTTGTCAAGACAAGTATAGGTTTCAAGCTATAGTAAAAAATCAAAAAGGAAAGAGGACGAAAACGTACGAGAAGCTTTCCATAAGTCTCCTGAGCTCGATCGTCAGACAAGCTCTGAGCCGTAACTGCATTCCGTGATGAAACAAAGGATTAGCTCAGAAATTCGAAATCCCTAAATTTCAAAATAGAGTACGGAAGATGGGTGTAAGAACTGGGAAATGAAAGCACTGCTTACTCAAGTCTCTGTTGATTTCGCAGACGGTGACGGAGCCGGGATGAGGAAAAGATGCCATTGTCACTTTCTAGAGTTTTGTTGAATCTGAAATCCGAAGCAAAAGCGAGCTTCGAATTTTTTCGTTGCCCAGATTTGCAGCAGTTACTTATCTCTCGGAAGGTCGACTACACTCGAAATCACAGTTGAGTGCGGATTATCGCCGGAGAAACGGAGGGAGAGAGATATAGACGACGGATGGAGGAAAGAAAGGTGTGACAAACCGGGAAAGCAAATTAGGGGTTTTGGTTTTGTAAAAATTAAGTAAAACAAATAAAATATTTTTTTAATTCACATTGATGCGAATTGATCACATTGCTAGACCGGGTCTGAACCGGACCGCCATAAACTTTACAAATCAAGGCTGATATTCCTAATCTCTTGTGAGCTAATCGAAAGACCAAAAACTATTTAAGTTGAAGAATAGTTTTTGTAAGTGTTTCTTCTCGGTAAATTACGTAACACGAATCGATGGGGTTTTGCATACGAAGGTGATTTACGTAAGACAGTTTTAAGGATATTCTTTTTCTATGATTCTTACTTATGTGGTACACAACTTGCATCATAATGTGTTGTTTTGCCTCTGTTATTTTGTTTTCGTAAGTAAGCGAGTTATACTTGTTTCCGCGTTTAGATTTTGAAAGCTCACAAAATCAAAATATTGGATTTTTCTTTTATGTACTTGTAGATATTAGCTTTTGAATCGGTTGTGGATTTTTAATATTCGTGTATGAAGTATAATATCCAGCTGGCCAATAATTTTTCAAAACAATATTGTCTCTTATAAGTAACAAAAGAGAAGAAAAAAATCTATGAACTATAAGATTATTGCGCAGACAGCAATTCCAGCATATAGTTGTACATTTCTTGGCTATTCCCACTCATATTACCATTCATACATTGATCAGCTCATATATAACTGTAATTTTGTTTATATCCACCATTTTGTAGGCAGGAGATCTTGACTTTTGAATATGATTAGCCACTTCGGTTCTGGACCTTGTGGTTGTCCCAACTCCCAAGTCCCAAACCAAACAATGTTCTTAAAAATTTAGAAAACTATTTTCGAAATTCTTAACTCTACGAACATAGATGTTAATGTTATATTGTTATGCAAAGAGTGTTTATAAAAAATAAAATAAATTTGTTTCAAGTCCTATGGTTCCAGCTTACACATCATATTTTTATATACTCCTAGTTTCTTAATTTGTAGAGTACAATAGATTAAGTATTTTACGCATGAAATAATTTACTTCTGAAAGATTTTAAGTGCGAATCATTGCAACAGAAATAAAACATAAGATTGCGTCTTCGGTTTAAAATCTTTAAGGAAAAGATTATAAAGATCTGAAGAGTATCGAATCAAACGACTATTTGTTCAATTTACGTCTTGTGTTTCTTCTTTAAAAAAACAAAAAAATGAAAGACAAGATAATGGTAATCGAGCCTTAACCTTAAGACCCAAAAAATTAAAATAAATTTTCAACCCTGGCAACACCGAAAAACAAGATAATGTAAGACTTAGGACATAAGCTTTTTGCATCTCACAATACGCAAACGCGGTTACTTGGAATCATACACCAAGTGTTTCCAACACGCGCAGACATTTACTCGTATATATATCTCTCTATAAACACATACATTATACATTACACAACCAAAATATTATATCGAGAGCAAAAAGATTCTCAGAACAAAAAAAACGTAAAGCTGATCGGAAAAATCATTGATAGAATGTTTGATATACATGGAAATCGGTTACCACTCGCATTATCTGTACGTTGCCACCTCGTTTCTTAACTCGATGTTCTTCAACTCCTCGTTTGTTTTTTAGTCATTTAATTACTAATTTATCTTTTCTTGTTTGTTTCTAGACTGTGGAGCTTTTGGTAGATATGGACTGCCAAGGATGTGAAAGGAAGGTTCGCAGAGCCATTTCAAAACTTGATGGTAAGTAACAAACTCTAAACAAATCTCATAACATTGTATTTGAGATTATCGATATAACTAACGGTCTAATAATCAAATATGTGTAGGAGTGGATACGGTAGAGATAGATGTGGATAGACAAAAAGTGACAGTCACAGGATATGTCGACCGAGAAGAGGTTCTCAAGATGGTGAAACGAACGGGACGAACAGCTGAGTTTTGGCCTTTTCCTTGTAATGGATATTATGGAGACTATTATACGTATCCTTCTCTATACTTGGAACAATCAAATCATCACAAGATAAGCCATGCAGAAAATACGGTTTCATACAATGGGAAATACGATTTCTACGATGATGTCTTTCAAAATGTAGATCCGCCATCAATCAACGGTTACTACCATCATCGTCCGTCCCAAAAAGTCCAACCTCGTATTGATGAGAATGCTCTTCATCTTTTCAGCGATGATAATGTACATGCTTGTGCTGTCATGTAAATTTTGTATTTATTTCCAACGTGGGATTTGTACAATTGGTTTGATTCTCACTGGCTAACCCCCTGTTTCTGAGATCATTCCTTGGTTGATAGCCTCCACCTTGGGAAAGGGTTGGCTAGGCATTGAGAAGCCCAATATCAAGAGAAGCCTTGATACAAGGAGTTTTAAGAGCTAGATTGATTAAGTGTAGATTCCTTTGATTGCAAAACCCTGTCTTGAACCCTAATTCTCTCTTTATCTTGTTAAAGTCGTCACCTTTAGCTTTGTTTGTCTCAACTCGTCCCTAAACTCGATCGAGCTGGTACTTTGCTCTACTCGACTCGAGCTCTTGGTCGAGCTGACACTTCACTGCTTTGTTTACTTTTATTGCACTGCTTTTCATTTTTTTAGGTTGTTAGTGTTACTTCAAATCTATTACTGCTTGCTTGACTTTCTGGTTGTTTCATATTCTCAAAGAGTGACAAGTTTCCCATTTTGGATTGATAACCTCTTATACTTCAATGACTATGATGGTTAAGAGGAATTGTTGATTGTGTTTTGCATCTTACCATATCATCTTTATTCACCCTGTTTGCATTCCACCTCATTTCATATCACATACACACAAAATCCTATCATCAATTTGGCGCCGTTGCCGATTTGGGAATATTTTTGTTGCATTTGAGTTTCAAACACACTTGGACGATCAAGCTATACCACCCCTGTTTTAAATAACTTTAAAATTAGATTTATCCTGGGTTCAGATCTCTGCAATTGATTTCTCCATGAAAAGAGTTTTGGTTTCGATTTCTAGTTATTGTGAACGATCGCTGCATATCTGTATAATCAAATTGAACACTATTCTGTAAATTGTTTGGCCACCAATTGTGTTAGTAGCTATTTGATGTTCGTGTGTTTGCTTGGCCTAAAGAAATTTTTAGATTCTGACCATTGTTGATTACCACAAGATCCATACATTCATATAGGCTATTATTTGTTAGCAGTGTATTTACTGGTAAAATATTTGTTTGTTGCATCTCAGGAGCTTGATTTTGGGGTGTTTTCGAGCTTAACTCAGTATCTAAGGAAGAATTGTAAGTTAGTTACAATGGTGGAGTTAAGAAGTCGCATCCATTTGCATTCCCAGTTGCATTCTATCCGGACCATTAAAGACGGGTCGATTCAAACAGTGGTGAATGTGGTTGCAAGAGGGAAGTCAAAGCTCAAATTCAGAAACTTGGTGGATATATACAATCAGGAAGGTGATGAGCCAATCCCAAGAGTAGTCAGGGATTTGGACAGTGTTTCTGGCATGACGCAAGGCTCGCGTCTGTTTGGAGCTGAGGTGAATCTTAAGGCTGATCCAGAAGATTTTGACATGACATTGGAGACGATTCGGAAACAATGCAAAGAAAAGAAAAGGAAACTTAGAAACCGCGGAGATACTGAGACTGCCTCACAAGTTAAAGTGAAACAAGAGTCCTTCTTGGCTCTTCAAACGGAAGATGAAGGATGTGATTTTGATGAGTCTCTTAGCAGTTGGAAGACGAAAGTCTCCAAGAAAAGAAAGAGAAAGCATGTTTCTACTTCCCCTCCGTCTACAACAAAAGTTGATTTGCCTGTCTTTTGTGATGTCAAGCTTGAGGCTTCGGTTGATAGCTGTTCAGTTTCTGAAGCCGTGGATTTCATTTCCACTGATCCTTTACTAGATTGTAGCAAAGAGTCAGAATCTACTACAAGTACAGAGCTGGTGGAAGAGATTATACATGATTGTTCCAAGGACAGAAAACTGGCTCTATATTGCAGTCCAGAGCCAAATTCTCCTGGAATAGTAGCCATTGAAGAGCCCATATCTACAAAGCTGGTGGACAGAGCTGTTACAGATGCATCAGAAGAGTTTATAGATGCAAAGAAGGCGCAATGCTGTCTTGCTGATAACATTGCTCTTGAGAATCAGGAAAATGTTCTGTCTAGTGAGGAAACTGAATTGGAGGTTCCACAAAGTTCAGAATGTGAGACCATTAGTTGTGTCAAGAACCTCATTTGTTCTAATACAAGCTCAGGGAGCGAAGAAGGTAAAGAAGAGGAGCAAGGCAATGATTCAAAGCCGAACTCAGAGATGACCATATCTGGTATGGAGATTGTGAAGATAGAAGCTCCAGAAATACTTGCTAACATAGACATCACCGTAACTGGTCTGGAGATTGTGAAGATCGAAGCTCCAGAGATACTTGCTATGGATGACTCAGGTATGCTCAACATGGATTTTGGGGTACAAAATACCGAGATGTGGGACAACGAAGACATTACCAAGGATGAGAGTCATGAAGCAACTGATATTCTTCTCCAGCTGACCAGCTGTTGTAATTCACTGGAAAGGTTGCATTTGGTTCCTGACGACAGCTTAATTTCATTAGAAGAAGATCATCTGCCGGAAAGATTACAACAATATCCATCCTTAGGGAATGTAGATGAAGCAGGAGAACATAAATCACCACAACTCTTTCAGGCACCTGATGATGTTAAAACAGCTGAAGAGACTGAGAGTATACAGCAACAAGAGCTACACTCTCAACCTGAAAAACTACTCTCAGGAAGAAAGGTTAGTCCTGTTTGTAATCTACTACCCAAATCACATTCTATGATTCTATCTAAAAGCAGATTCTCACTAGATGTATCTGTGGTTTTCAGGTTTTATCTCCCACCTCTCAAGCGAAACTCCGCAAGGCATTGGAGCACTCCGATTCACCTGAGAAGAGGTGTAAAAGTAAGTTAACGACAACATCTTCTTTTGTATGTTTTACATTTGACACTTTAGATTCTCATCTACTTTTACAAAACCATAAATCCAGAATCCAAAGGAAAACTCTACTTCAGTAGCCAAAACTCTCATAGGATCCTTAAAGCTAAAGGACTTGACAGCATCGACCGAGTGGAAGTCATTACAAATTCAAAGCAATCCATTCGAAAAGCAAACAGTAATACTCGGCAAACGCGGTATCAAAGAGCCACAAACAAGTTTCTCCGTCGAGATGCTCAGGCAACCAAACCACAGCCTTTTAGCACTGGAAGCACCTCTTTACAAGGATGTTCACAGAAAGCTATCGACTTCTCTCAAGGGCAAATGCGTGATTTCCATTACGTTGCAGCTAAGCTCACAAAAGAGCTGAAATCGATGAGACAGATTGCAAAGAGATGTCTGCAAGCTGAAAGCAACCCCTCCAACATGTCTGAGTGTCACTTGGATGAGGTACTTTTTTGTCTGTTAAAATTACTGAATTTTGGTTTCATTGACCAAATTAATCATTTTTTTTAATGGATGTCTCTTGTTAGGTGAAAACTTTGATTGGAAATGTAGAAAGAACTGAAGAGAGAAGCAAGAAATGGCTTTCGATGATTGAACGTGACTGCAATCGGTTTTGCAAGCTCATGGTTTGTTTTTACTCTCTAAACATTCTCAAACACAAAAACTTACCAAAGAGGTTTGATCTTCCTTCTGTTTCTAACTTTTTTTATGCGTTCCCTTTCTTTTTGACAGGGTATGGTTAGAGAAGATTCACCAGCTACTGAAAACAATGTTCAGAAGGAGAGGAAGATTAGATTTGCAGATGATGCTGGAGGAGATCTCTGCCAAGTCAAGTTTTTTGAGGTTGATTTGGAATCTGAATCATAAAACAAATTCTATATATTATTGTTGTAAACTCTTTACAAGCAATTTGTACATTCATGTCTTGGAATTTCACTAGTTATAAAAGATTATACATAAACAAGATGATGTTGCTTGATTCTTGCATAACAACGTTTGTCACTGCAATTTCAATCTCGTCAGAAGTAGAGAGAAATGTCTGGAGAATTAACTGACTAACAAACTCTTCGTCCAGATTGAATCCACCTTGAGACAAATCCCAGAAGCTGGATCAGATTCCGTAACCGGGCCCATGTTTTCGTAGGCCCATACATTTGAAGGATTGTCAAATCAGGTGGTCAATTGATAATATGATTCGGATTTTGTAATCTGGTGTGCAGCTAGTAATGGACTAACAACAAACCCATTGTCAGTAATGTTAAACAAAATTATTGTTAAAATTAGATATTTTAATATAATTAAGGGGAACTAGTAAGAACGGAATCTTTGCAAGTGTTTAGTCGAAGGAAGCTTGGGCAACAAGAGTGGGCAGTGTCTTGGGAATGATGAAAAGGGCTTTGGGCGCAACGCAATGACACGACCGCGTCTTTCAAAGTCAACATTCTCACGTGCCCTTCTCTCTTTTTTTAACTTTACTTTACTTTCGTCTTTTTTTAATTTAATCACTTTTAATTAGGCTCTACTAATAATAAAGTTTATTAGAAATTAAAAAATTAAGAAGCGCATCGTCATGATACCGTCATGATTACATCGTTTTAAAAAGGTGACGCCATCGCTGGCGACTGTTGACTTCTTTGTACCTCCGATAAGATTCAATGCGATCTATTTCTCACATGATTATAATCAGAAGGGAAGACTTTCCCGCTTTATTCTTTTTTCGTGTAATTATTTAATTACAAGCCAATTAATAGCACAAACATAATAAAAAGGATAAAGTACTTGTAAACAGAGTGGACTATCTAAAAACTCTCAGTTGTTTTTACTTTTCTATACAAATGATACTAAACCTTAATCAACCATGTTCAGGAACGATGCCGACGTCATCAGAACTCGATGACTCCAATTATTGACCATTTTTAAGATAAATCAAAGGCATAATGAGTAGAGCTATGAAGAAGGTTGGTCCATCTGTTCTTCTTATGGGTCCACTTCATCTTCTCCTAACATTATTACACAAACTGAATATTGTTTGAATTTTCTTACCCATCTCATTTGGAACAAATATAGACATCTTATTTAACCAATACAAGATGGCTTTCTTCACGCAATCAGATTCGTCTTTTTTATCATGCGATATATATATAACCCCTCCACTACAAAAAAAAAGGTGTGTTAAATCATTTGTTTTACTTATTTGTATTACTTATAAATGATGCCAAAGAAATTTACATCACTTATACGAGTTATTGTAATTGCTGTGATGCAAATAATTAACATCGATTTATTACGAACCAATGTAAATATATATATAATATTTGCATCAGTTTTTGCAATCGATTTCACTAGATATCAGTTGCAAACAAATGACGTTAAATATTTGTATCAGCTTTGCTAATTGATATTATAATCGTATGAATAATAAAATAAGTAATTTTAAAAAGTAATATTTGTACCACATACTTTCATTGACATTATCATATTTTTTGCATCACTTTATAATCATTAATTTTTGTTGTTTTCACGTAATTTATAAAATGTCATAAAAATTAACATTATTGAAAAATATTTAATTAATCTATTGAAATACAAAAATAAATTACAATAACAAATTAAATCTTAACACTATGATAAAGAATAAAAATGATAAAAATATTTCTTCTTGATTTGTTTTCTTCTATACATTTTAAATAAAATAAATAAAAAAATCTTCTTGTTGAAGTTGTGAGATGCGATCCCTAGTAAATAGCTTTGTCTGTTCCTTTTCTTCTTCCCTTCTATAGTCTTCTTCTCCAATTCTACTATCTCATGGAGGTTAGGTTACTTTCTGCAGAAATTGATTATAGAAATAAAGTACAAACAAATTTGTTTGTTTCTCTGTCATAATTGTATAAGAAAATCATGTTTCATTAGGATTTAGTAATGAGTTACCTTTTATTCATTACTCAGACATGAGAAGTTACAGCCTTAAACAAATGGATGTTGAGATCAACGATGAAACAAATTGGTAGATGAGTAGGTAAGATGAGTAGACTTAGAGTATAAACTTAAAACAGCAGAGGGAGAGAAATAAGAACACCCCTTGTTCTTTAGAAAAAGAAACTGTTCCATGGAGAGTGGTAGTGCTGGCTGATTTTTTATAGGAAATTAGTGTTTTAACTGCTTTTAAAATTACAATATTTTTTTTTTAACAAAATATATATTTTAGATCGTTTTTAAAGTGATGTTAACAAATAATACTAATTACATTGATTATCTAATTGATGTAAATTTGTATTTTAATATCAGTTTTGTTAAAGTGATACAAACTAATATAAATTGAATCAGTTTGGCTGAATTGATGTCAAAGTAGTTAATTACAACATCAGTTATTATAATTGATGCTTAACTATGTATATTTGTTTTATTTATAAATAAGTAATATAAAACAGTATCACTCAGTTTTGTGATACAAATTAAGTGATACAATCCACACTTTTTTTTGTAATGCTCGTATAATTTTCATGGGTGTAAATGTGTAATAGTTACAAGTCGCGTAAGTTAGGGGTCTTCCTAATTGCCAACAATCTCCCTAATACTTAAATTAATTGATAAACTTACAAGTGGTACTGGTGCCATATGTGTACCTGCATTAAACAATTATCATATGTATATCTTATTCGTTTCCAGTTAGAGTTATTCACGTAGTAAGTAGTAAGATGAAGAGATATATAAAAAAGTTGGTTGAAAAAATTAGTGATTTGAGATTAGTTAACAAATACTTTATTCAGATTTCGTATATATATATATATAAGGATTTTGGGGCTCATCAACGTAACATACATTTCAGCGGAATATTATAAGAGAACTTATTGATATCCGTAAGCAAACTAAGTACTACTAGTAGTATTTTTATTTGACATCGAAAGACCAAGATTCTGCGCTTGATAACACTAGGAACTTGCGTTGAAAGAGGCATGCGACCAACAAGCTGTAACCTGTAAGAGACAATATTGAAAATCACGACTTTTCCCCTAATTGATGCATATACATAAACTTTTTTATATAGTTCCTAATTTTCTTAAACTTGATATATACATGCAATCATATACTACAGTAATTTGTCAAAAAAAACTTAAATGGTAATGCTATTTCGATGGCAGAGTATATATATATTTTTTTAAATAATAATGGAGGGACAATGTAAAGGAGGGGAGGAGGAAAAGACATTGGGATACGTGAAAACGCGTTACTAAAAAGGAAAGAAAGAACTATAGTCGATAACGTTGCCATAATCATTTCAGATTGCCCATGCATGATTCATGCAAAAGCCTCAGTCACTTCTGATTCCCACGTTACAAATACAAATTACAGTATACTATAACTTATAATTGTGTATTTTCGGTTACATACTAGTTAAGATTTTTTTTGTTAAAGTAGTTAGATAATTTTCCAATTTTCTGGTATGTGCTATGAATAATAAATTGAAAAGAAACAGATATGTATATATATCACTACAAGAAAACAGTCATTTTGCAACGAAATTTTGCAACGAATTTATTTCGTCGCAAAATAACATCAATTTAGCGTCGATATTACGACGAAACACAACATCGTTGTAAATTCGTCGTAAATCGGGACGATCAGCAGTCGAAGTAAATTCGTAGTTAAATAGCGACGTTGTTGCGACGAATTAACAACGTTTATATGTTTCGTTGGTAAATCGTTGTAAATTTACGACAAATTGACAACTACCGTATTTCATAGGTAAATACCGTCGAATTACCAACAAGATAAAGACGTAAAGATTTTCGTAGTTAATCTGTTGCTAAATGCCGATGTAAATAGCGACGTGTTAGCGGCATAAGGTTCTATAGTCGCTCTAACATTGTTAATTCGTTGTAAACCTAAACCCTAAACCCTAAAAACAACTTGTTACACTCAATTTTTCAATTACCAACCTAACCAATAACAAATGATAACTTTTTCATGTTTAATCCAAGTAAACGTAAGTTTCGAACATTACAAAGAAAATGAACAAGTGTTTCTTATAGTATAAGGTTTACTATATGTCATCTTAGAGGATTTCTTATAATTTATGATCTTTTCCAAATATGTTGTTGTATTTTGTCAATACAACTTCTTTTATAGCTCCTACTTACATTTCTCATACGAGTAAAGGAACGTCTAACAGTTTAGGGCAAATTTAGGGTTTAGGGTTCATATTAACAACGAATTTCTGACGAGTCGTCGTAAAAATGAAGCAAAATCGTGTCAATTCTTAAAATGTTTTCTCGGATGAAATTGAATTATAATATTATGTGGTCCCTGTTTAGCAACGAATTAACGACGATTTGGGACACGTCATTGTAAATTTGTAGGTAATAAGTATGAAAAATTTTTAGCGATGAATTAACAACGATTTCTTAGTAATCGTTGTTAATTCGTTGGTAATTAACGACGAATTAACAAGGACATCAAAAAATGGAAAAAATAATTCCCGCGTGCGGGAAAACGAAATTTTGCGAAAAAATTTAAGGCGAATTTACGACGATTACCAAGAAATCGTTGTTAATTCGTTGGTAATTAACAACGAATTACCAAGGGACATCAATTAATGGAAAATTTAATTCCCGCGTGCGGGAAAATGAAATTTTGCAAAAAAAATTAGCGACGAATCAACAACAATTACCAATAAATCGTTGTTAATTCGTTGGTAATTAACGACGAATTACCAAGGGACATCAAAAAATGAAAATTTTAATTCCCGCGTGCGGGAAAACGAAATTTTACGAAAAAAATTAGGGACGAATTTACGACGATGCATACATATCATCGGAAATTCGTCGCTAAATAGCGACGCTGTTGCGAGGAAACAAAATTCTATATAAGGGATCCTCACTTCTTTCACACTTCCATCTCCCTTTGATTCTCATTTGCAACTCTCTCTTCTCACCGATCCTCTCTCACCCGCCGGATCCTCTCTCTCCCGCCGACCCTCTCTCTCTCTCCGCCAAGCCTCTCTCTCCCGCCGGACCTCCCTCTCTTCGCCGCCCCTCTCTCTCCCGCCGGACCTCCTTCTCTCCGCCAACCCTCTCTCTTCCGCCGGACCTCCTTCTCTCCGCCGGCCCTCCCTCCATCGATACTCTCTCGGATTATTAGTTATTATATTATTATTATTTTTTTTTTTTTAAAGAAAATATAATCGTCGCAAATACGACGCAAATAAAATAGTAAAATAACGACTTTCGTCGTTAAATCGAAGCAAACTTATTACAGCTTCGTTGTTAAATCGTTGCAAATTTGCGACGATTTAACAACAAAATATTACCGACTTAAAATTTCCGACGTTTTTTTGATGTAAATTTGGCGTCGAATTGAAGCCTCCTTGTAAATCCGTCATAAAGGTTACGACGATTTTACGATGTTTAGGTTGCGACGAATTAACGACGATTTTTTTTTCGTTGCTAATTAGCAAGGAATTAACGACGATAGGTCATTAGCGTCGATAGCTTAACGACGATTTCGAATTCGACGCAAATCCGATGCCAAGGTCGATTAGCAACGATTTAACAATGTTTTCGGCCGTTGCAAAACGCCTGTTTTCTTGTAGTGTATGTACAAGGAATGCAAAGCTATATCTCATTATTAAATGTTTTTGAGATAACTTTCTCATGGTATCAAATAGCATTCACATTGGTGGATCATGTTATATGTATATATAAAGCCTAATCTTTAGTATTGAATCATATTTATATAATATTTAGAATCTGCTTGATCTAAATTCAATGTCTGATCCAAAAACATGATCCACTCTAAAGTTACTATACTTTTTTGTGGCTGGGAAGAAGTGTTGGGATCAAATATCACTTTCTAAGAACTAAGAGTTCTAGACGTAGATAGCATACTTTTGTTTTCGTTTTTATATCATCCTTCACTCAGAGTGCCAATTGAGTTAAGACGTTCGACCTTAGTTAGTAGGCAAATTAGGGAATGCAACGAAAAAAGGTAGAAATACTATATATATGTAAACCATATATGCATAAAGAGAGCAAATCTATATAGTACTGGTCATGTCAGTTACTACTTAAAAAGTCCATCAATTTCTCACTAGCTAGATAGAAAATATTAATAGAAATAAGATCTAGATTGCTGGGGGATCAATCGGGAAATGAAATTTTAGGACTTGAATAGTAGTGGTCGTATAATAGTGTGTCTATTTGGTGTTGTCGTGACTTGTCAATGTAATCGAAACGGTCAAAATTTAGAGCAATTTATTTACCATTAAATTACCCAATTTTCAATATATATTATTTACCCATTGACAAAACCAAAGTTTGCAATTTAAAATGAAGGGAAATGAAAAATATTGACTTAAGAGGTCAAACTATTGATATGTAAATACATTTCCACAGGAACATGACTTCATAAAATACGTATATAGCTGTTGAATCGGTCAACCACGGATGGTTGGATTTATTATCGATATTAGTTTCATGCCTTCATCAACTATCGTTCTATTTATGTTCTTCCTTGCAATTTACGATATACTTATATATTTGTTCCATTGTTTGTAGCTTGGTATGGATTTAGACAGACAACAAAACATAGTTATTGTCCCGCTGCAATGTCAATTGAACAAAAATTTAATACGATGCCTCTCACTGACCGTAAAATTTGAAAGTTCACAAAATTCAACACATTAAAGTCTGCTAACAGTATATGCTATTAGTATCGGTCACAGAGGCCTACCTGCATTTATGTAACATCCTTTCAAGTTTGATTGTAATTAAACGGTGTCGCCGGAACAAATAACATACTGAGTACTGCATCACAACTAATAGACTACAAATTATGGAAACAAGTGACATTTGTGTGTTTACAAAGATTACTCCAGTCCTTGCTTCTCCAATCTAAGCTTCTAGATATGTACCCACATAGTTAAGAACTAAACACGTACTTTTGTTAAATAATGTTCTTTGATTTTTCAGAGAAAACCCAATCCAGGGGATGTCCAACTAGCTTATAACGTAACTGATATTAATAGGACTATTTTTTTAAAAAGGTTTATTTGCCAACAAAAAAAAGTTTCTATAAATGTTATACTCAAAGCTTATTCAGAAAAGATTAGCGACGTCATTATCCTTAATTAAATACGGGATAAAGGTGGGTCGTGGACAATGGGTTTAATTAATACGACCGTAGACGAAGAGCAGAGCTGAGTCAGACTTCCGTACAATTCTGCTGACGCGTGTCTTTCCTCTCTCTCTCTCCTCTCAACGCGGTTTCATCTCTCTCTCCTCACTCGCTTCTTACGCCGTCCTATTTATTTATCTCTCATCTCTCCCATTTCCTCAACTTCATTCGTTCACTCTCTCTGACTTCTTCCCCACTCCTCACAAAACTCTCACACAGCTCCACAAATGATCCACTGAGAAAAAAAATTCTCTTCTCGCTTCTTTTTCCCGGTTCCGATTTATAATTTTCCGGTGGTGAAATCGATTATGGCGTCGTCGGAAGGATTAGCGAGCGTTGAGCCTTGGTCATTCCGTCAGAGCTTTAACATCGACTCGTGGCTAATCCCTGATTCTTTCTCTCACGATACTGATTTATTCGCTAAAGCTCTTCACAGATCCATCTCAACATCTACAACCACCGAATCTCTCCACGCCGATCCTCTTTCTCCTTCGGCTTTCTTCGATTCCGCCGCCGTCTCCGATCTCTCCCCTCCTCAAACTCTCTCTAATGTCTCCTTCGGCTCAGATCCGGAATTTGCCGCCGGGGGTGGCGCGAAACGGAAGCGTGGTCCTGGTGTTTCCGCTAATCCCGGAGGTAAACCAGCGAAACGCCGATCTAGAGTTTCCACGAAGAAGTCTCAGACGACGTTTATCACGGCGGATGCGGCTAATTTCCGGCAGATGGTTCAGCAAGTCACCGGCGCTAAGTTCATCGGTGCTTCCCACGGCATTTTCTCACCGATTGTGAAGCCGGAGCCGCATAGGCTCGCTACCAGGCTGCCACCGTGCGGGACTTTGGATCGATCATCGGCGCTTCCGACGCTAGATACGTCTTCGTTTTTGTCGAATCATCACCAGGAGAATCTCGTCTCTGATTTAGGCTCTGTTTCAGCGCCGATGAGTTCGTTTCATCAGTCTAACGCGGCGGCGACAGGGAAGGCGGATGTTGGTGGTGGTGGCTCCGCCGTGGAGTTGGATGGTTACCCGAGCTTCCCGACGCTTGAATCGTGGAAAGTGATGTGATCGATCGGATTTTAATTAGTGGTTTGTAGATGTAATTCCTTTTTTTAACTCTTTTTTTAGATCGTTTCCTTTTTCATGCATTTCTCCTTCGTTTTTTTTTTTATTATGAATATCTTGTTTTGGTCCTAAGCTTTTGTGGCTATGGAATCTCTTGTTCATACTTTTGGGGAAATCTATGGCAATGGAAAACTTCTCTTTTACTTCTTCTTTTAATTTAGCGGATAAGTCTTTTGAGGAGTTAGTTCAGTGGTAATGAATCCTTTGTAACATACTCAGTGATGAAAATTGGATGCTACAAATTAATTTTTTTACCTTATAAGTTGTTCAATCGATATATGAGCTGTGGCTTGTTTCATTATTGAAGTGTAATCTTTTCGATTAGCAAAGTGCATAATAATTTTTACCTCTAATCGTCGTCGTTGGGGATAAAAAGCGAAATCCTGATAGATTTTTCTCCCGGCAGCTAAAAGAATCTGTAAATGGGTCCATTTGCATATATTGTCAATATCACACATAAGACAATTATATACGTTACCACCATCTCACTGTCTCCGTTAGTGCTACCAATCTAACGTTATATAGTAATAATCTAATACTCATCGACATTTATAAAAGCATAGCGAGTGTAACAACAACAGTTTACACACAAATGAGAAGATTATCTTCCAACAACTACAACAAGAGCATGTCAAAGTAAACGATAGTGCTAAAACCCAAGTCAAAAAGATTACATCCCTCAAAGAAAAGCTTAGAAAAACTCAGTTAATGGGTTTGGTGATCGGAAAATCCAAAAGCAAATGAAAATAAAGACTTTTTTATTTATTTATTTGACGTCTTCTGTAGTTTTATCATTTAAAGAATGTGAAATATGAGAAAAGTCGCAAGCAAATTGAACTTTGTTCAAAGCTTCAATTCCATTCAATACCCTCTTAAAGGTCAGTTTTAAAGTGAGTCAACGTCAATGCCACAAAAGAGGAAGCAGTGATCAACACCAGTCGTGTTCTTACTTCTTAGTAAAACGTCACTTGCGTTGATTCTTTGACTCCTAAATTACACGACACCAGTGTCCCGTTGATATTAAACTTACCCATTAGAAACAAAACGTAAACTTTTAACACCACTTGCTTCAAATACTAAAACGCTTAACCAATGTGGACACTAGATTTGGATACGATTCACATTTTGCAGGATCTATGCACAATAATGAGTTTTGTTATAAGAAATTATAGAAACAAAACAAAATGTTGGTAACATGTGGACGGTGGAAGAGACTAACCGAACAATAAATACGAGGAGGGACCATAGATGGACCAAGCGATCATATAATAATAAACAGTAGTCAGAACAAAGACTAATCCAACGGCGACAAATATAGGTGGTTGTTGGTTGCACCTGAGATGGGTTTACGAAAGACACATCATCTACTTTGTCTGAATCAGACAGCCTCAGACACTTATCTATCATCTCTCATGTGGGTCGGTCTTCCGACTTCCAAACACATGAGGACGACATTAATAAAATTTTATAACCAAGAGCAAGAGAGAGCCAGATAAAGTAATACGAGAAGCCCAATAATACTAATGGGCCTATATTTTATATGGCCTAGAGTAATTGTGTGAAATTCAATTTGCTGGGGCAAGAGGTTGAGATCCCCACACAGAGCGGCGTATTCTAGTTGTAGATAAGAAAGGAATCAGCTTCTTTTAGGAGAAACCAAAGAAATTTCGTAAGCCCTAAAACTCCATAGACGAGCTTCTCTCCCCAAACCTCAATTCCGCCATGGCAAAGAAGAGAAAGCTCGAAACTCAATCCAGCGAGGCCTCAGAACCGTCTCAGAAGCTGAAGCAGACGGAGGAAGAGCAGCCGGAAATTAAAAACGAGGTTAATGAAGAAGGCGGTGATGAAGAAGTTATATACGAAGAAGTAGAGGTGGAGCAGGAGGAGGAAGTCGAAGATGATGACGAAGAAGACGATGCAGATGACGCCAAAGCTGAGGTCGGCAATCGTACGGAGGCGGCAACGTCTGGATCTGGGAATCAGAAGGAGAATGATACCAACGACGATGAGCCGATTAAGGATCTGTTGGAGCCATTTTCGAAGGAGCAGCTTCTGAGCCTTCTCAAAGAAGCGGCGGAGAAGCATGCCGATGTAGCGAATCGAATCCGAGAAATGGCCGATGAGGATCCTGTTCATCGGAAGATCTTCGTTCACGGACTTGGGTGGGACACCAAAACCGAAACTCTAATCGAAGCTTTTAAGCAGTACGGAGAGATCGAAGACTGCAAGGCCGTTTTCGATAAGGTCTCCGGGAAATCAAAAGGATATGGTTTCATTCTGTTCAAGTCTAGGTCAGGTGCTCGCAACGCACTCAAGCAGCCGCAGAAGAAGATCGGTAGTCGTATGACGGCGTGTCAATTGGCTTCCAAGGGACCTGGCTTCGGCGGAACTCCAGTCGCAGCTGCAGCTTCCTCGGTGGTGCCTGCTCAGAATTCGAACTCGGAGCACACGCAGAAGAAGATCTATGTTAGTAATGTTGGAGCAGAGCTTGATCCCCAGAAACTTCTTGCGTATTTCTCAAAGTTCGGAGAGATTGAAGAAGGTCCGTTAGGTCTTGATAAGTTCACCGGGAGACCCAAAGGCTTCTGCTTATTTGTGTACAAGACGGCTGAGAGCGCCAAGAGAGCTCTAGAGGAGCCACACAAGACTTTCGAAGGACACGTCTTGCATTGCCAGAAAGCAATCGATGGTCCCAAACCGGGGAAGCCGCTTCACCAGAACACTCACAGCCACAACAACCCTCGTTTCCAAAGGCATGATAACAATGGTTACGGTGCTCCTGTAGGTCATGGACATCTCATGGCTGCTAACCAAGCGATGGGTGGTCCAGCGCAAGGTATAAATCCAGCCATTGGACAGGCCTTGACAGCTCTGCTTGCTTCGCAGGGAGCTGGTTTGGCTTTTAACCCAGCACTTGGACAGGCTCTGTTGGGCTCGCTTGGGACAGCTAACCCAGGGGCTGGAGCTGGAATGCCAGCTGGTTACGGTACTCAAGCTATGGCTCCAGGGACAATTCCTGGATACGGTGCACAACCTGGGCTGCAAGGTGGCTATCAGACTCAGCAACCCGGTCAGGGCGGTACAGGCAGAGGGCAACATGGTGTTGGCCAATACTCTCCTTACATGGGCCACTAGATGTATTATCATGTATCCACTAAGGTAGAGCAATGAAATTCGTCTCTTTGCTTATATCATTTGACTTTCCTTAGAACTGACTTACTATGTGTAAAGGCAAGATCTTTCTGACCCACACTGAGTGATTCCTCTCTGGTTTTGGTTTGCATCGGAGTTTTGGGGATTTTTCAGTCCCTGTCTTACTTTTCTAAGGGTTTATCAGATTTGCAGCGATTTGGATTGTTGAAAAAGCTTTTCTTATTTTCTTAAATTCATTGTGCAGATAAATCCGAAATCAGTGTTTTAATATTGGCCTGGTGATATCTTCTGAAGTTTATAAGGGAGCTCTGATGCAAATGAAGTCTTTATGAAAAGTTACTCTTTAAGGCCAGGCTCATAAAACCTTTCAAGGAGTTTTAGTTTTCGTCTACTTGTTTTTGTTTTTTTTTGTTTTCAACAGCTACTCTTTTTTTATGCTATTCCTGAAAACGTTGTACTATTTTCCGAGCTTTATGTCTCTATTTTTTTAAGTTTTCTGAAACATCCCCTCCTAAAGCTTTCATTTGTAAAACTAAAAACTCAACTATGCTTGTCGAATTCTAGTTTTTCTTAGTTCTCTAAATAGTTTTATTCGATCTCTCTGCTTCATGGTTTCAAGGATTCTTCTGCTTGCAAAGATGGCAGTCTTGAATGTTTTGTAATATGTTTGAGATATTTTGATTAACCTAATACTATACTGAATTTATGCTCAATCCTTATTCCTCTTGCAGGTAGTATAAGAATGCAGGTTGAAACAGACAGTTGAATACTGTAAACATATATACTGATCTCAATTTCACAGTTAAGCTTAACTTTGCAAAATGCAGCAACGGCTTTCACTGAAGTTTCTGGGATTTCTGTGAAAAGTGTCAAACATCTTTACAGAAGCCAGAAGAAAACACATCACAGCAGCAAATCTGAATGTTTATCTGCTGGAGACCAGGTGATGTGCTTGGCCATTCTTTGAGAAACCAATAACAAGAGAAAGCTTGAATTGATCAAGTGGCTTTAGAAATGATTGTAGCATGAGGAGCTGTATAAGTCGCAGTCCTCCAAAGTTCATCAACAGCTTCACATGCCATGGACATCAAACGGAGAAGCTCACAGCAATCTTCAAGAATGACAAGTGGCGTATCACCAACAAGTGTTTCAGAATTTTACATCAACAGCTTCACAATGTAAAATCACATTCTAAACAAGAATTCAGAGCATTGAGTTCGTGAACTACAATGATAACATGTATACATAACTTCTTTCTGGATATTCATTCACCACAAAAATTAATTATCCACGTTCATAATTTGTTAAACCACCCAATATTTGTTCCTTTTACAGAAGGACGACGAATCAAACCTTGCAGTCTCAAATTGATTGAAGTCTCTCCGAGCACATGTTATGTTAGTGTTTATTCCGAGGGAATAAACTCGATATCCACCTTCATTAAAGTAATCAATCACAAACATTAAATAAAATCTCTCATTCGTATTTGATCGAAAGGTTTAAGAGACCATCGGTTTTATTTTTGGGGTACTCAAATAAAGAAAAGAAACGCAATGAAACAAATTTCCACAGTCTCGAGTGTCACTTTCTCAATCAAAAGGTTTCTCTCTCTTCTCTTTTTTTTATCTCTCCTGCGGGAAACAAAAGAGAAAGAAATCAAGAGAGAGAGAGACTCACACACAGAGTTTAGGTTTGCTATGTAAATCTCTCTCTCTGCACTTATCATAGTCTCGTTCTCTTTTTCTCTCACACCCACCACTTCTACAACGAAAAACCCAAAGCTCTCTTCTTCAGATCTATTTCCCTTTTAAGCTCCAATTCCTTTACCCTTTTTGCCCCAAAGACATCTGCTTTTTTAGCTTAGTTTTGATTTTCCCCATCTCCGCAAATCTCTTCCTCGCGAGCGTTTGTTCTCGCCACTGTTGCGATTCCCATGCTTAGTATCTGCATTTAAGACCCCCTCGATGCTGCATGCAATTCCCAATACTCTCTCAGATTGCTACAACGCGGTGATTTCTTCTTCTTCTTCTCGGCCATTTCCTTCCGATTTGATATCTGGGTTTTATCGTTCCTCTGCTGCATGTTTGGCCGGTCGACCCTAGGAAAAAAGGTTACTTTCGCCTCGGATTTAGGCTCGATTTGATGAATTCTTCGTCGTGTATCTGTTTATCAAATTGAGCATTTCTGGGTTGTTGTTGTGGTTGAGATTAGGGCTTCTGATATTTAGGCTCGAAATTGTTTGTGTTGGTTAAAGCTATGGATTCTCAGAGGGGTATTGTTGAAGATCCTAAATCTCAGTCCTTGAATCGGCAAAACTCTCTCTATAGCTTAACACTCGATGAGGTCCAAAACCACTTGGGGAGCTCTGGTAAAGCACTTGGAAGCATGAACCTTGACGAACTTCTCAAGAGTGTTTGTTCCGTTGAAGCTAATCAGCCATCGTCCATGGCTGTCAATGGAGCAGCTGCTCAGGAAGGGCTTTCTCGCCAGGGAAGCTTGACTTTACCACGGGATCTCAGCAAAAAGACTGTTGATGAGGTCTGGAAAGACATTCAGCAGAACAAGAACGGAGGTAACGCTCATGAGAGGAGAGATAAGCAGGCTACACTCGGCGAAATGACGCTTGAGGACTTGTTGTTGAAAGCAGGAGTGGTGACTGAGACAATCTCCGGTGCGAACCATGACGGTCCTGGTGGTGGTCCAGGTGGCGGGGGTGGTGGTAGTGCTGGTTTAGGGCAAAACATGACTCAGATCGGCCCATGGGTTCAGTATCATCAGCTCCCATCAATGCCACAGCCTCAAGCATTCATGCCGTATCCTGGTGCAGAGATGCAAGCGATGGTTTCTCAGTCTTCGCTGATGGGTGGTTTGTCAGATACACAAACTCCAGGAAGGAAGAGGTTAGCTTCAGGAGAAGTTGTAGAGAAGACTGTTGAGAGGAGGCAGAAGAGAATGATAAAGAACAGAGAGTCTGCAGCTCGTTCCCGCGCTAGGAAACAGGTGAGAGAAACTAGTTCTGTAACTTCACATGTGTTGTTGTGATTAGTCTTGTCAAGAGTCATGCCTCATTTTTTTCCCTTCATGTTGATGAGCAGGCTTACACTCATGAGCTAGAGATCAAAGTTTCGCGGTTAGAAGAAGAAAACGAAAGACTTAGGAAGCAAAAGGTAATGCTTTGCAGCCTTGGCCGGTTTGTCATTTTAATACACATGAATTAATTGTGATTGCTAACTAAACTTGAAGGACTGATCATTAGTACTGAGAATTGCTATGTATTGAGTTTTAGAGTAAGATAAGAGGGAGCGGTAGATGATAGAAGATTAGTTAAGTCTAGCGCAGAAACATATTTGATAATTGAAAATGTATCCATGAACAAGAGAAATGATGAATAAGTTTAGACCCAACCTGTGGCTTTGTTGTTTCATTGCTTCTTGCAAGGGTCGTTTGGGTCATTAGGAAGAACATATAACAGACATGTCTTCCTCTGCTTGCGACGAAGATGGATTTGCTGGCTTATGATCGTGATGAAGTTTATAGCAAAACCTTACATTGTTTGTGTGTTGTCTATAAATTGTTGCAGGAGGTGGAGAAGATCCTTCCAAGTGCACCACCGCCTGATCCCAAGCGGCAGCTCCGGCGAACAAGCTCAGCTTCTTTCTGATCTCAGAACTCTTTTTATTTTTGTCTTCTATGTCGGGTTTGCTTATAAGAAAAAAAAGAGAGGCAAAACAGCTTTGTTTCTTTGTACATTCCGTAGCCTTTCTTGACTTGGAGCAATTCTGTTAACGTTCTTTAAAACCTTCTCTAAGTTATTTTAGTAGATGCAGCAATCGTTTTTCATGAGTATCAAGTTTGTTTAAAGGTTGAACAGTTGAGTTTACAACATTTGATTACAACAACATTTTAGTATGGGAGTACAAAGTTACAGACAATCTGTAGAGTTTCGATCTCAAATTCATTTCAAGAACTTGTTTGCTATATGTTCTGCAATAGCCAAGCTTGAAGTTAACCCAGGTGACTCGATGCCAAAGAGATTAACAAGACCAGGGACTCCATGAGTCTCCTCTCCCTGCATCAAGAAACGTAGTAAGAGATGACTGAAGATTTCATAGGAAACAACAGTGTTTGTGTTTGATCTCTGAAGCTTCGTAAAAACAAAAGATAAGATTACCTGTATGACAAAATCTACTTGAGGCTGCTTTGGTCCATAAAGCTTAGGACGGATGCCTGAATAACCGGGTACCAATGATCCATCTTTGAGACCCGGATAGTACTTTCTGATCTCCGGGTAGAATTTATCCGCTCGTTGCGGGTTTACACGATAATCAAACCTGGATTCAAACAACTTGAGTAACTTCAAAATGGACAAGAGAGAAAGGAGAAAATTTTCAAGAACAGAGTCAAGTATATTACTTGTTGAGGAAGCTTGATTGATCATCTGTGCATTCAATCCACTCCACATCAGGACCAAACTTGACAAGTCCATTCAAATCTAACGTGACATGGACACCGAGACCTCCTTCCTCAGGTATAGGATACACAAGATTGTTGAAAGGAGGAGACTTTGTGCCTGACAGCGTGAAGTAGCATCCACGAGCATAGTGAGACGAAGGAACAAAACGTTGATCAAACCCACAGAATCTCTTTGCTATAGCTTGAGCACCTAACCCCGCAGCGTTAACAACGAGATCAGGGATAAGCTCAAGCTCTGCCTCTTCTCCCTCATCAAACGATCTCGTTTCAGCAACAAACAAATGCATCTTCTTCTCTTCAACACGACCGCTTAAAACCACTGTATTGTACGAGAACGTTGCGTGACCGTTCTCTGCTTCTCCCTGTGTAGTTATTATCCCTGTACATCATGGAATCAAAACTCTTTTTCCTAGAGACAACAATCCTAATAGAGAGTAGAGAGAAGCTGTTTCATATGTTACCACTAGAGAGAGCATGAAGGAATGTGTATCGAGAATGCCAGATTCAGGAGATAGCAACGCCTTCACACATCGAAGCTCAGGCTCCATTCTCATCGCTTCGAAACCTTCCAACATCCTTAGACCCGAGACTCCATTTTGAGTCCCGAGATGCATCAGCAGATCCAGTTTCGGTATCTCGGAGGATCCAGTGGCGACGACGAGCTTACCAGTCTTCTTGTGAGGGATTTCATGCTCTGAGCAATACCTATACAGCAATTCCCTTCCTCTCCCACAGAACTTGGCCTGATCGAATGATTCAAATCCAAAAATTAACATTTTCACATACTGAATCGTTAGGAGTTTTTAGTCGATTTCATCGATTTGAAGTACCTTGAGAGAGTTTGGTGGGTAATAGATTCCGGCGTGGACGACCTCGCTGTTGCGGGAGCTCGTTACGGTGCCGAAAGTTGAGGCGGAGTCGAGGATCAGCACTTCTCTGCCGCGGAGACTGAGCTCACGCGCCACCGCTAAACCAACGACTCCGGCGCCGATCACGACGGTGTCGACTCTCTCTTTGGCTATCGTTTCCGCTCCGCTGCTTACTCCTCTCGCGGTTCTTCTTCTGCTGGTGCTACTTGCGTCTCCGTTGACCAGTTTCCAGGTCGGTTTTAAGTTTCCCGTTGACAGTCTGGTCCATTTTCTACAGAGAGAAGCAAGCATCTTCGTCTTCAGCTAAATTGCAGAATTCAATTCAACGCTCTTGCAGATAACATATACTACAACACAGCAGAAATGTTGATTGGTTTTTGACTTTTATTTTGTTCTCTCTAGTGACAACAACATTACAAGCTTTTGCATTTTCACAGCCCAAACGATATTTGTGTGAAACTCAGCCAAACGACGCCGTTTCTTCCTTTGTGAGGCCCATCTTCTTCATCCACTTTAGTAGTCTTCTCTGTTTAATTTTGTTACTTCTTCTTCACCCATAGCCATGGCCAGCTGGTACCATTTTTCTCGTTTCTTATCGTAATCGGTTTTCAATTTCATTCCAATAGTCGAAAGGATTGATTTTAGAGTAATAAGCGTGGAGGAGCTTAGGAAATTGGGCGAAATTAGGGGTTTTTTTAGTTGTTTACAACCTATTTGTGGAAATGCCTAGATAAATTGTAGATGTATTTGATGGCACTTTTCGATATTTTTGACCTTGTGGGATTCATGAATCTAGTTTCATGTTTCTTGCTTCTTCTCCGTCTATGATTTTAGTCTTCATTCTTCGAGCTTATCAGTGGAACTTCAATTACGTAAATTGCAAAGCTAGTTCGTTGGTTTATCAGCTTGTGGTTGAACCAGACACATTGGATTGTGAAATTGATAAGCTGAAACTTTGTGGTCTAGGACGTAGCTACACATCTGGGTCAAGAAGACCAACATTTCTTCTAGTTGTTTCATGGGATTTGCCATCACGGTGACATTACCTACGTGCGGAAGTGAGTTCTATTTACCTAAGAGGAGTTTCAGAGACAAAAGTGCTTTGTCTCTTGCCATTTGCTTGGAGCTGTGTTCCCTCTGTCATCTTCTTCATCCTGCACAGCCTCTGTTACTCAGACATCAAAGGCATGTCTTTTACTTTGCAGAAGCGTCAAACTTTAGTAACTGTGCTTGTGAGATTATACTGTGTTTTAAATGAGATCGTATGATGAGATTCTCTTTCCAGTTAGTCAAGTTTAAGTGAGTCTTTTGCATTTTCCAGGAGGATGTCATGGACATCAATCAGGAGTTCTGTTGGTGGGGGCAGATTCGATCCACCATCCAGCTCTTCAAGTAACAAAAGCTCGAGACGTCCAAGACTAATCAAAGCCATACAAGATCTCAGAACTAAGCTTCTGGTGAAAACTCAGGAGATAAAGAAAGGTCTCCCCATGAAGCTGTTCTTTCTCTTGGTGGGATTCTACTCTGCGACTGCGTTCTCTACATTTATAGGACAAACAGGAGACTGGGATGTTCTATCTGCTGCATTGGCTGTAATTGTAGTCGAGTGCATTGGAGCTTTAATGTACAGAGCATCTATTCCATTGATCAACAAGATGCGGAGGATAGTCGTCATGTTTAACTATTGGAAGACCGGACTCGCCCTCGGACTGTTCCTAGACTCATTCAAGTATGAAGTTAGACATAACAATCATCAGTTTTACTTCTTTATGCTCTTGTGTTGATTCCAAACGAATGAAAACTTTGAAAACTCTTTTGGTTGGACACAGGTTTTAGTTCAGACCTTGGAAAGCAACAACAACAAACACAATGGTCTCAATAAACGAAATCTGGCTCAAGAATGGGGACTGCGGTCAGCAAAGTTTGACAAGCTGTGTCCTCTTTGCCTGATACCAATACATGAAGGTTGTGAAGAAGTCACAGAAGAGTGAAGACAAAACTCTGGTCTACTAACTGGAAGACATGGGACCAGACCCTCAGATCTACTTAAAACCAGTCACCAGCAAAGAATGCTCGAATCTTGTTTGTAAAGCCTTTGTATTTGATTTTGGTTAGAAATAGTATTGCACTGCAAATCGACAAGTCTATAATACCATTGATTCCCAGAAAAAATTGAAAATTTTCTTCCATTTTTATTTGTTTGAAGAACTTGGGAAAATGTCCACCTTTTCTTCTTTATGAGATGAAAGATCCAACTTAACTTCATTGAGTTCTCTCTGAAACATGCTAATCTCAAGCTAACAACAATCAACTTTCGGTCCTCCTCTTTGCACAACTATCAACGGGCTTCAACAGAGACAGAATTATGAAAAACTATCAGAAAGAAGCAAGACAGAGCATTATAGATCTTCTTAAAAGCTGTGACTACTCCTTCGACCAGAACCGGATAGCCAAACCCACGGCAAGTATCTAGCCTTCATGCTCACTTACTGAAGAAAAAAACAGTAGTGATGAGTCGACGTCGTATTGGTTGGCTTTCGAAAAATAGGCAGGAGTCTTATTTCTAAAGTCCCACATCGGTAAGTTAAATAGAATTGGTCATAAGCTTGGCAGTATAAAATAAGAAGCTAAGCCTCTCTTCCAATTCATACCTTTCTCGGCCTTTTGGCTAAGATCAAGTGTAGTATCTGTTCTTATCAGTTTAATATCTGATATGTGGGCCATCGGCCCACACGATATTAACTCTATTTTTTAAGGGAGAAGGCCCATCAAGATAGCTTGCTATCTGGGCTTTCACGAGTCGCCCATGCCTTGCACTACTGCACGGGCCTGGCTCAACCCGCCAATAATTCAGTCAATTTTTTAATCTTCAACCCTAATATCTTTCGTATTAAAATTTTGGACAAATAAGATTATTTACTAATTACACAATTAACAGGAGAATGAACAGAGGAAGGTGAAGGAGATTCGAAAATGGCGAACCCTAGGAGGGTACTGATTGAAAACAACAGATTGTCACCTCTAATCAATCTACTGAAGAAGCCTCAAGCGTTTCCTCTACTTCTCTCGTTTTTCCTCTTGCTCACATGGATCTCTCTCAGGGTACAGCACTCTTCTCACTTCGTTTCGTCATCTTCCAATCCGAAAACTACAGTAAAGAGTAATCCCGATTTGGAAATCCACGACGACGACGATAAGGTTAATCTGGTCCGGTTCGATTCGTCGTCGCTTTCTCCCGTCCGGAAAGACGACCGTGGATGGTTGCTTGATCCCATTATCCTAGCTCGTAACTCTCAGCTCAATGGTTCGTTCCTAATCGATTCCCTCTCTGTAGAAATCTTACAATTGTTACTCAGGAAATTGCTAAACCGCTATTCGTATATTCTTCTCGGATAGTACACTGAAACTGTGAAAATCTTAGTTTGATTATCATTATCTAGCTTCCGTGATTGATGAAGATGTTGAAAAGAGATTATTGTGTAATCCAAAGCGTTTCTCTTTTGGCTCGTGGTGTAGGTGGAGCTGCGTCGTGTCTTTCGATTCATGTTGGTGAAATACGGCCTGGTGGTTTGAGGGGAAACCACAGACACCATACCTGTAATGAGACGTTCGTCATTTGGGGAGCCAGAACAAAATTCAGGGTAAGTCTCTCTCACCAATTCACCTGATATATTGGAAGAATTATTCAAACCTCTGAAAGGAAGATTCAATCCATCATTGAATGGTCAGAGTAATGAGTTTTGGCAGAGAGTTTAGGAGTTTAGAGATTGCCTAATGTTCTTGACTATTGGACTAATATCTGTGAGTCATTGTTCATAGATCACTGAGCGACTAATCACAGTGTGAGATTGAAAACGGTCGAATTGATCCCTGTAGATGTATAGTAATGTGGGAAATGTTATGTTATTCTAATCCTTTGCCTGTGATGATTGTGCTCTGGTTTTTCATTTCCTCACTGCTCTCGGGTTCAAAATGGACCAAACTCATCAATCTGACATTGTTTATGGATATATATATGAATCCGTGCAGCTGGAGAACCCCAAGGTTGAAAAAGGTTATGCCGAAGTAGTAATTGGAGAAGATGAAGTAGCTGTAGCGGTTAGTCCGAGTGGCACGGCTCATGCTCTAGTAAATGTGGATCCTGTACGTTCTACTTTCTTCATTGGCTGCCAAGACAGTACTATGCACAACAGCTCAACTAGCGACTACAAAGTATGGAAAGATCTCTTATCCAAAGTTGGTTAACTTTGTTCTCTTCTCCATTCTGATTTTCACTGGCGTTTTTCATTCACTTCTTCATGTGTATTCAGCTTCTCTGGTTTCTTTCTTTTGAGCTCTTGTTTGTATAGAATAGGCTTTGTTTTTCTTTTGTTTTTTTTTTCAGTCATTTTGTTAATGTGATTATAACCCTGAAACTTCCAAAGCTTAGGATTCACTGATATGCAACATGATACCCACATAACTTCTAGATTTTATTACAGGTGTGGATTAAGATTCGTCTCATCTTTGCGAATCAATGCGTATGGATACTCAAAACAATGCAAGTACACTGTGAATCTTTCTACTCTAAACGACGGAATTTTATCACTTATAGTCAAAATATTAATGTTGGATAAATTAAAGTATAACAAATGTTACATTAAGGTAATTATCAACTATCGATTGAAACGTAAATTGCTTTCTCAAATGGGAAAATTTATCTATGGTCTCAAATCAACAAGTGTGTCATAGTATCACTAGAAATATCAAATTCCAAGAGAATGGAAAAAGAAAGGCTTTAAACTTTTCTCTGTCCAGCATGCACAAGGACATGAATCTTCATGAACACTCATAATAATCATGCCCTTTTGTGTTCTCATGGAGCGTTGTGCTAAACTCCTAATACCTACTCCTTCTAAATTATAAATTCTAAATTCTAATTTCTATAAATTCGTTTGACCGGAAAATTTACAGTATCATTTAAGTTTGGAACTCATTCATAGGATTAGCCATTTTGTTGGTTCCAAGAGAAATTACTTTTCACTGCTCCAAGATGATTACCACATTATTTTTATAATTTTGTTTGAATATTTTGTAGTAACAGAAGTGTTGTAAAACTGAATGGAAGTAAAAAGAGTTTGAATTTAGAAGCTTATGTATTTATCTATCACCAAAATTTGTAATTCAAAAGGCTGATTTATGTTTGTCCTAGAGTTCGCATATATTAATCTTTTAGTAAAGATGTTACCCAAAAAAATGAAGAAGACAAAAGACATTATAATGTCTATAGGTAATGATATACCGCAATTGTAAAAGCATGTATTTCAGTATTTGCCATGTGCCCATGGACCAACCTTAAAGTAAAAAAACGTAAAACAAAAGTGAAAAGAAAAGAAAAGCAAAGACCTAAATCACAAAAAGGGTATAGTATAATGTTTTAGTTTTACCGTTAGGATGAATAAGAAAAAAAGACAATACTGCTTAAATGGGAATTTAAGGTTTGTAGATAGAGAGAGAGCAAGAAAAGAGGTCAGAAAAACAAAATCAGAGAAGAGCATGAAGAAGAGTAAGAAACGAGAGAACTTGCTTTCTCCATCTTCTTCATGGCGGGAAAACCATAATCCTCCTCGGAGGAGTCCAAACTCCTCCGCCGTATCCTCCGGCTGCATTCCCGGATTCTTCAACCTCTTCCTCTCCACCTTCAACTTCTCCTCCAACCGCCGCAAATCCATCACTTGGGGATCTAAGAAGCAAGAACAGAGAACCGTCGTCTACGCTTCTCCTCCGAAAGATTCATCAAATGGAGTCTGCGGCGGTGGAACTGTGGCGCCACCGCTTCCACGCAACGAAGGAGAGGGAGATGCGGCGAGGGTGAGTCTAGTCGGAGCGCTAGAGAAATGCGATCGGGACTTAGAGGAGCTACGGAGAACCATCGACGTCATTAAAACTAGTTACCTTCTTCACAAGAAACTTGAGGATTCTCAGGCGACAGCGCGTGACAATCTCAAATTTCCCGGCACCGGTAAGTTTCTTGATTACTCACACTTTCTTTCAAGTTGTGGTCCAATAATAATAAAATACTAATCACGAAATAAAACTCAACTTTAATTGTAGGATACTTAATCTAGGTAGTAATATAGCAGAATGTCAGATTCATGGTAGTTTAGTGGTTAGGTATCTTTTTATTGATCACATGCTTCAACCGCTGGACTCATGGCATTAGATATTGTAAAAGAAAAAGTGATAAAACAGATTATTAGGAAAATGTTTTAAGGTAAAAAAATCACTAATTTATAAACGTACAGTAGAATTAAAAAGTAGCTAAAACTAAGAGAACAGTGTGTAAATTAAAGCAGCAACAAAGAATGTGAAGGCCAAAGAGTTGTCTCTTTGGTGGTGGTGAAATCATGAGTATGTCCAATAGTGGAAGACAGTCTCATCCAAAAAATTATAAATATTAAATATTATTGAACAAATAAAATCTAATTGCTCCTAGATTTTCATGCATGCATGTAATGTGTTATTTGATTTGATGTCACATTTGTCATTAGTGATGTTCACTACAAAGTTGTTGCCATCATGGATCGTTTTCAAACTGATAGTCAAAGTAGTACTGGACTAATTGATAGTAAGGTTTAGTCTAGCTAATTTGATATAATTAAAGTGCAAAACAGAGCAATGAAAGTGGGAGGAGGAGAGAAAGAGGCACAAATGATGAAGGAAGACACAGCTTTTAGGGGACTTTGTTCCTTTAGTCATGAAGCCCACTTTTACTTTCTCCCCATTTGGGCCCCTACCCATTATTTACTTTATTCCTGATTCTGACCCACAAACTGTCTAATGGTACCAAATCTATGATATCACTTTATTAGAAAAATGATTCTGTGTAGCTCAAAAAAAGGAAAAGAATAATGATTTGTATTGCAATTCATTCAAATACATAACTTTGTTAAAAACCAAAAAATCCAAAATCCCACAATTTCTTTGTGAGAATCTTATTCTGCAACTAATAAAACATTAGTGGTACTTTTTTGATATAAAATGTGATGTTTTCTACGAATGTCCATTTTCATTATGCTTGTGTTCAAAACGAAACAAAAATTTGAGAATGGATGAAATCTAACTTTGAAACGTATTTGGCATATTTTGATTTTTAAAGAAAAACAAACCCCAAACGACACATAGAGATCTGGTTTTTACTATACTAGTTTTTTTTATGGGTTTGAAAACGATAATAGTAGTATTATTAAACTTTGTCGGATATGTTATTTTCATTTTTTTAACCAACAGTGACAGGAGATGTCGTCGTGGGGGCGCAAACGCAGAAGAACACGAAGACGACAATACACGAAACAGAAACAGACACGATGTTGTCGATGATGAACCAACAAGATCAGTACTACAAAGACAACAAAACGTACAAAGTCAACAACATTAATCTAATCACAAGACCCGATCATTACGCCATGCACGACGTCATTTCCAAGAGAACAACGTCAACGACGACGACAGAGACACGTGCCACGCTGCCCATGCGGAGAGTAAGGCGGAGCTTAAGCTTGATGGAGAGCGTGAACCAGGTTTGCGATGACGTGGCATCTGGTCAACGAAGAGAGGTCGCTAAGATCGGTTTGGCACTTCATGATCACATCTGTCGTGACCTGATCGCAGAGACCGTGCGCGAGTTTGCATTCTCCGGCTACGACTACGACGACGACGACGAGTCTTCCAAATTATCGGCGGCAGATTCTAAAGTTTGTTACGGCGGAAGAAGTGGAGGCCGACATATCCGACGTGGCAGCACCAACTCACTCCCGCTCGACGTGTGTCGCAGAAGATTAGTGTTTTGATGTTCGCGACAGTTTTCACCTATTACACTTGCTGTCGCTCTTTTTGTCTTCTATTTTAATTAATAAATTTTATATAGCGTGGAAATGTTTGTATTAGGGCTTCATGACAACATTTTTTATGTTTTAAGTACCTTTTGAGTTTCACTATTTGCTATGAAAACGATTTACTTATTTCCTTGCAAAATATTTTAATGTGGTATTGTACGTATAATTAATTATACTCCATTTGGTATAGTGACGGTACTAATTCGAACCAATCATAAGTAGACATCTGGAGTGATAGACTGGGAGGACCCAGCAGAAATGCTGACGTGACAGTCAACGTTCCGCGTACAGACCGCGTGAACGTGTGATCTGTTGATTGTCCACTCTGGCGGTTTTTAAGAAAAAACATTATTGATGATGGCATTTTACGTATTTACATTGAAAAATTGAGGGTAAAATAGAGATTTCTGATTCCGGTACGGGTTAATAAAACGATTTCGAGTCCGGGTCGGAGGAAAAGTCGTTAAAAGCTCGTATCCGATAAAGGCGGTTTCTCTCTCGTTTTATCGCAGACGACGCTTTTCTAATTTTGCTTTCTTCTCTCTCTCCCTCTCTCTCTCTCTCTCGATTCTCGATTTGAGAGAAAAACGAAAACGAATCTACAGATTTACGAAAAAGCTAAGAAACAATGGCGGATCAGCTCACCGACGATCAGATCTCCGAGTTTAAGGAAGCCTTCAGCTTATTCGACAAGGATGGTGACGGTACGTTGGTTTTTTTTGCTCTCACTCCTTCCAATGTTTGAATATCTGTTTGTGAATGCATATGATTTTGCTACAGTATCTTCGCATTTCGTCCCTATAGATCTTTAGTGTCTGATTCGACTCGTTGATTACTGATTCGTATCGATGTAGATGATAACGGATCTGCGATTCGTGATCTCTAGACTCGTCCTTGTTTTTCGTTTTTTTTCGTTCGGTTTCTCGATTGGATTAAACCGTGTTGGTGAAATTAAGTTTGGGTGATGACATTTGAGTCTGCTACGGAACTTGGCGATTTGCAGATTTGTTGATCGAATTTGGTCCTTGAAGATTTCTGATTCTTCGAATTTCGTTAGTTTTATCTCTTATTCTTCAAATTGGTCCTTAGCTCATGAAAATCAAACTGTAAATCGTTAAAATGAACAGGGTAGAGAGAAATTTGGTATCTGAAGATATCCGATTGAATTGTTCTGCCGAGTAATGAGTGAATGATATTGATGAACAAAATCCTTTGATTTGCTTGTAGGTTGCATTACCACAAAGGAGCTGGGTACTGTGATGCGTTCTCTGGGACAAAACCCAACAGAAGCAGAGCTCCAAGACATGATCAACGAAGTGGACGCCGATGGTAACGGCACCATTGATTTCCCGGAGTTCTTGAACCTCATGGCCCGTAAGATGAAGGACACCGACTCCGAGGAAGAGCTCAAGGAAGCGTTCCGGGTCTTCGACAAGGACCAGAACGGTTTCATCTCAGCCGCTGAGCTCCGCCATGTGATGACGAACCTCGGCGAGAAGCTCACAGACGAAGAAGTCGACGAGATGATCAAGGAAGCTGATGTTGATGGTGATGGCCAGATCAACTACGAGGAGTTTGTCAAGGTCATGATGGCTAAGTGATGCGGTTTTTGGACCCAAAAAGGTCTAGAATCTTTGGTTTGTCACTCTCTTATTAAATTACTCTTTATGTTCGTAAATTTTTATTCATGAGACTCGAATGTTGTTTAAGACGCGAATGTTTATCCCGTTAATGTTCTATTTTGTGTCTGAAACATTTCAGGTCTTTGCTTCTTCTTTTTTGTTTGTTTTTCTTGCTCTTGTAAGTTGTAACTTCTTCTAGTTTCGTGGTCTCTATTAATGATCTCTAGTAAAGCATTGTCTCATGGTTTTGTGAAATGCAAATGAGCAAGTATCAACGCATAGAGAAAGAGAGACTTCTTCACTGTATCGATTAGTAATCCATTAACGAGTTGCTAAGTTTGGTTAATTGAGCACAAGCTCACATGGCTTGGAACCTCTGGACATAGCAGCTAAGTCCTTCAAGGTCTGTTGCTTGTTTCCCACGACATATGGCTCAGAGGAGATTTTCGCCGTTTTCAAACACAGCGCATGATTCAGGAGATAACTCACCAGCTCTCTATCTCCGTATACTCCTGTGTATCCTCTCCACTCTAACACTTCAAGACTGGACAACAAACATTCAGGAACAGATCTCGGCGGCTCCCAGACATACAAAAAACCTTGTTCGTAAACCTGCAACCACGAGCAACTCAAAAGGGTACGTACTTATTAAAAGTTCATTGAGCTCAAAAACTCAACACTAACGTCAAAAAATGGAGAAGCTGCATACATGTTTAATAAGCTTGAGAACCTTCAAGTTAATGAAACATTGGAGCAAATGTACAAGCATTTTCCCAGATCTTTCACTCCGTATGCACATCTCTAGATGTACAATCCGAAGGAAGATACGTGCATCCTAGAAAGAAACATGAGAAAAAAAGAAAAAAAAACACAATTTTCCATTTACTTGATGAATAAGGAAACGACATGCATGGGATGAAAAAATATTACCTCTAACGTCGATGGATCTCTTGTGAGTCTAACCCTCGCACAAAAGCAGGTACGCGTATCAAACAACAGCTCATGAATGTCGAAGTACTTGAAAGAAGGTGCGATGGTTGCAAGCTTTGAAATGTAACTATTCAGTAATTTACACAAGTGTGTGGAGTCTTTCACTTTGGTTATAATCGACAATCTTTGTAAGCAAGGCATTGCGATATCCGAATTCAGCAAAACACGGCTGGTTTTTTCTTCCAATGCTAGGTCGGAAAGAAGAGGGCAATTGGACAAAAGCCGACGAAAGGAATCTTTTTTGGAGTTCACCATGCGAGAAGCATGAAGAGTTTTGAGGAATGGGAGAGATGATGGTGTTGGTGCCTCGGGAGAAGAAATGCGATTGCTCCTGCTCATGATCACATCCTTGAAACCTTCGAGCTTCAGGGACACAAGTGTTTTGCACCAAGAGACATCGAAAACATCATCATCATAGAATGTTGATTTGCTTATGATAATGAGGTCAGTGAGAACGTTGCAACTGGATAAAAGCATTCGAAGGGATCCAGAGTCGAATAGTCTCGAGGAGCTGACAACGTGGAGAGTTTCTAGGGATGGGAGACAGACCGTTGTAAGAGGTTCCACGACATCCATCACTATACCTTTGAGTTTCAAGACAACAAGTGTTTTGCACGTAAACATTTCAGGAGGTAACTTGGTTCTGGCAATATAATTAGCATCTATCTTGATCTCGCGGAGATGACAATGATGATGATGAAGAGCGGTTCTAATCCATGGTCCAATGTCTTTATATGCATCTATCGTGAGAGAAATGCTTTCTAGAAAGTGAGATTGATGTGCAAACAATGACTCGTCAAGAAACCGTTCGGATCGATAACTGTTACCCTTAACTTCGTACTTGAGTCTCGGCACCATTGTCCAGACAGATTTCCATCTTTTTGACAAGAGACTTGTCGCCACAGCATGTTTTGTCGAAAGGAATGACAATATCTTCAAGACCAATTCGTCAGGCAACTCGCTGATGTTCCTTTTCGTATTTGGATTTGAACAAACTCTCGTCCTCTTTTGGTTGGTCATTATCGTCTCTGTTTAGGTCAAACAATATTAGACTTTGTTAAAACCCTAATTACAGAGACCGGATTTCTCTTTTGCTTATGCGGCTATGGGCTGCAAGAGACTCTTTCCTTGCTTATTAAGTGGGGCATATTGAATCAGTGATTTGAAAGGATTTAGATATATAGGATTTTTAAGATTTGAGGAGATTTACAAATTTTGGGGGCTTATTTAACCAATGATTTGGGAGGATTTCAAATCTTTTCCAAATCACCTCTTATAAAATCTAGTATTTATAAAAACCATTCAAAATCCAAGGTTATTGGACTAATGATTTATAAAAATTCTTTAAAATCCCACCTTATTGGAAAATTAGGATTTCATCAACAAAATCTTTGAAAAACTGTTTTGAGTGATTTGTGAGAGATTTTGTAGTTAAAAACAAATATATCCAAATACCACATAATGAGATGGGATTTGAATAAATAATTAAATTAATTAAAATAATTAGTTTTTCTTGATTCTATTTGGTTAAAAATTTGAACATAAATATATAGGAATCAATGATTTGAAAGGATTTAGATATATAGGAATTTTAAAGAACTTTTAAAGAATTTTTAAGATTTGAGGAGATTTACAAATTTTATGTTCAAATTTTTAAAGTGATTAGGTGGGATTTCAGGGTATTTAGAAAATAAATAAATAAATCATTTTTATTGTTACCCTTATTAAAAAACGTGAATCATATAAAAGAAACAAGAAAAACTGCTAAGTTTCTTACAGTTTCGTTACTTGAGCACAAGTTCACATGAATTGGAACCTCTGGACATAGCAGCTAAGTCTTTCACTGTCTGTTGCTTGTTTCCCACGTCGTATGGCTCCGAGAAGATTTTCGCCGTTTTCAAACACAGCGCATGATTCAGGAGATAACTCACCAGCTCTCTATCTCCGTATACTCCTGTGTATCCTCTCCACTCCAACACTTCAAGACTGGACAACAAACATTCAGGAACAGAACTCGGCGGGTCCCAGAGATACAAATAGTTTCGTTCGAAAACCTACAACCACGAGTAAATTAAACGGGTAATGACAATGTACTTGTTAACATCATTCAGCTAAAAAACTGAACACTAGAAATAAAAAAATGTGCATGAAAAATGGAGAAGCTTCATACATTTTTAAGCTTGAGAACCATCAATTTAATGGACAACTGGAGCAAATCTACAAGCATTTCCCCAGATCTTTCACTACCTATGCTCAGCTCTAAATGTAAAATCCACCGGAAGATACTTGTATCCTAAAAAAAGAAAAAAAAAAATTAGTTATTAATATATGTGATGATACAAACATGATACAACACTAGAAAAGGAAACGACGATGAGAAGAGCTTACCTCTAATTCCGATGGATCTCTTGTGAGTCTAACCCTCACATAAAAGCAGGTATACTTATTATGCAACAGCTCATGAATGTTGAAGTACTTGAAAGAAGGTGCGATGATTGCAAGCTTTGGAATGTAATTACTCAGTAAAGCACACAAGTGTGTGGAGCCCTTGACTTTCGTTATAATCAACAATCTTTGTAAGCAAGGCATGTCGATATCCAAATTCAGCAATAAATCACTGGTTTTTTCTTCCAATGTTAGGTCGGAAAGAAGAGGACAGTTGGACAAAAGCCGACAAAAGGAATCATTGTTGAGGTTCACCATGCGAGCAACATGCAGAGTTTTGAGGAACGGCAGAGATGATACCCCGGAAGAAGAAGAAGAAATGCTATTGCTTATGATCACATCCTTCAAACCTTGGAGTTTCAAGGACACAAGTGTTTTGCACCAAGAAACATTGAACTCAGCAGCAGCGAATCTTGATCCCATTATGATAATGAGGTCAGTGAGAAACTTGCAACTGGATAAAAGCATTTGAAGGGATCCAGAGTCGAATAGTCTCGAGCTGTCAACGTGAAGAGTTTCTAGGGATGGGAGACAGACCGTTGTAAGAGGTTCCACGAGATCGATCGCTGTACCATCGAGTTTCAAGACAACAAGTGTTTTGCATGTAAACAACTCAGGAGGTAATAGGGTTCTGGTAAGAGAAGCATCTATCTCGAGCTCACGGAGGTGACAATGATGATGATGAAGCGCGGTTCTAATCCACGGTCCAATGTCTTTATTCCACAAAGTAAAATCTATTGTGAAATAAAGGCTTTCTAGAAGAAGAGATTGGTGTGCAAGCAATGACTTGTCAAGAAATCGTTCAAATGATCTAGTGCGATCCTTAACATCGTACTTGAGTCTCGGCACCTTTGTCCAGAGTGATTTCCATCTTTTTGACAAGAGGCTTGTCGCCACAGCATGTTTTGTCGAAAGGAATGACAATATCTTCAAGACCAAATCGTCAGGCAACTCGCTGATGCTACTTTTCATATTTGGATTTGAATAAACTCTCAGCGTCTTTTGGTTGGTTATGATTGTCTCTGTTTAGGTCAAACAATATTAGTACTAGGGTAAAACCCTAATCACAGAGACTGGATTTCTCTTTCGTTGCTTATTTAATAGTTTATCGAATAAGTATAACTAAACAATACACCTGGCATATAATTTAATATCAAAATATGAATAATTTGAATTTCCAGCAAAATTATGAAATTCTTACAATTTCGACTTTCACAAAGAAGATAATTAGAAAAATAGTTAGTACGGCCCCAAACCGAGCTGGTTAGGTCCATATCTCCATTCTGGTTTTTATTATGTTCTCGATCAATTTGTTGCTTCAATAATGTTCTCACTTTCAGTATATGACTAGGCTAATTAATATTTCTTGCTTCAATTACGTACAAAACTAAATTTTAAAGGCTATGTCCACAATTATAGTAACCCTTAATTATTACTTTTCGATGAATCTTATCTTCTACAATATTAAAAGAAGAAAGAAAGAAAATTGTTGGCCTGTCACAAAGAGAGTAATTTCAACAACAACAAAAGTTTATAGCAAAGGTAATCAAATATCTTTTGTTTTTTTCTCTGTTTTCGAAAATATTAGTATTTTTTATGACAAAACGGGTATAGGACAGTGTTCAGTTCAGATGGACAAACGGGCAAAATGCAAATCACAACCGTCTGTTTGCGGGAGAACCAATGAACCTTCTTCAACTTAAAAAAAAAAAGAAAAAAAAAAATTATCATTCTGAAATTTGTGTATATAATATAACTATGTAAGTATGAGTCATGACTATCTTCTTTCTCTCTCCCTCCAGTCTCATTTTTATGTATAAAGTATAAACAGATAATCTTCCTTTTAAGACAGAACCCACCGAAAGCTCCAAACCCAACAGAGAAGAAGGCGGCGGAGAAGCAAACACCAACAGGAGAAATAATGCAGCCTGATATTTCAGATCATATCTTCTTTTCTTTTCTCACCGGAGGACTCTGTGCCTCGTCGAGCACCACTGCAACGTCTTCTTTTTACCCTTTCCCAACCTTCGAAGATTCCATCTCTCAAGACAAAACTCTTTCATCTCTGAGGAAACATAAAGAAGCTGAGCGAAGAAGAAGAGAGAGAATCAATTCCCATCTCAAGAAGCTCCGCTACTTACTCTCTTGTAACTCCAAGGTACTTCAAACTTTTAAACCATAATCATCCTTTACTAATTACTATCTCTAAATCTTCTAATTCAAGTGATTATATCGATTTAATTCTACACTAGTTCTATCTTCTTTAGTCATACTATGCATAATTTAAGAGAGGGAAATTAGAATGATTATTAGAGTTTTGGATGTTATCTCACCAAAGTTTTTGTGTTTTTTTATTAAACCAACTAAACCTATATATTCATATGACAATATAAAATGTTTTTCTATTTGGTTAAATGAATCTTGCTTTGGTTAATTTACAGTACTGTCCACTGTCTTAGGATTTGATTTATTGGTAAGAAAGGTTGAATATTGGAAGTATATCACTTATAGAAAACGGACCATTTTTTACATTAACATTAGTCCAGTGTAATGTTTTCGAATAATAAAAAGGCTGCAAGTACTGGGAATATCTAGAAATTTGAGGAAAAATAAAAGCTTTCTTCAAGTCCTTTTTTTCTCTGAGCTGGTATATCACTTTGTCGGAAAAGTTGTCCAACTTTTTTATTTTCTTTTGAAACAATTGAACATCAAGACAAATTTTCTCGAATCAAGAGTTTCTAAAATTCTCTTTCTTGTTTGATTTTTGTTGTTGTAATTCTGTACAGACAGATAAAGCCACAATACTGGCAAAAGTGGTTCAACGAGTCAAAGAACTAAAACAACAAACACTAGAAATCTCCAATATCGAAAGCTTACCGTCGGAGACGGACGAAATCAGTGTACTCAACTATGAAGACTGTTCCAACGACGGCAGTCGAAGAATCTTTAAAGTATCGTTTTGCTGCGAGGACAGGCCAGATCTCTTTCAAGATCTCATGGAAAGACTCAAATCTCTTCAGATGGAAACTCTCTATGCCGATGTGACAGCAGTCGGTGATCGGACAAGAATCCAACTAGTTGTGGCCGCCGACAAAGAGCAGCACGGCGTTGAGTCGGTACAGTTTCTACAGAACGCACTCGAGTCATTACTCGAACGGTCAAGCGAGTCGGTGATGATGGGACGTGCTGGTGATGTGGGAGAAAGATCAAGACGACGTCGTGCGCTTGATCACATCATAATGGTGTGATTTTGATGAGACATGAGCACTATATGATATTAGTCGTTTTTTTTTATAACTTTTATCATTTTGTTAACGTGGTTATAATTACTTGAACCCTTTTATGTTTGTTTTCCAAAAAGAAGAGACTTTATATGGTTTTACTGATGAGTTTTGTATTGTGAGTGCAAACATATAGGAGTATTGTAAGTAGGGCTAGTGTGTTTTTAACTCTTAAGAAAAAGAAAAAAACACATAGTTAAATTCTGCGTAAATTTAATTTCAATTTTCAGGGATAAAAATAAAATAGTTGATGACGAAGGTTTAAATTAATTTGATTGTGGGAATATTTGTTGAGGCAGAAGAATCTAAGAAAGAGATGTGATTGGGTGAAGACTGAAGTACATGCACAGAAACACGACTTCAAAAACATTTTATATATTTATATACGTTATATAGTACTAACAAAGAAGCATCAAATGGTGTATATAAAGTGAACGTACGACGTAAGACAGTCAAGAGAAGGTGTTTGTAGAATCTTAATGAAAGAATATATGGAGAAGTGTTTGAGTTTCAAAGCTAGCTCATGTCATCTTGTCCCCCCAAAGATCTCTCTCTTTTGTTCGTATCTTTCTGAATATTTTTGTACCTTTGCTTTTTTATTTTTTCCTGTTCTCTTTGAAGAAAATTAAAGCAGAGTTATTGTCTGTATAAGTTTGACCAAGCTTTGTTCTTTCGTGTGAATCTATCATATCATTTTTTTTTTCATTTTCTTGAACTTTTTTTAGTGTATAAACTTTTTTGGGGGGGAGTACATGGAAAAAGCAGGCATACACTAAAAAGTTTATACACTAAAAAAAGTTCAAGAAAATGAAAAAAAATGATATGTATTTCTGTTAATTAATGTATCAAATTGTGTGGGAAAATCGCTATTTGAAATACATATTGAAAAGAAAGAAAAAAACACACAAAGAGTAAAGCAAAAACAAAACAAAAAAAAATCGAGAAAGTATATGTCTAGGAAGCGTGATGGCTTTGAGGCAGTTGATGTCTCATCGATACTCAACTTCTCGACCAAAAAGCATATACTTCAAAAAAGCTCTTTGCAAAATCGTAATAATAATAATGAAGTTCCTTTAAAAAGTACATTTTGAATTTGTATATGCTTTTGGAATTTATGGGTTTATTGGAAAAAGCAATCATTAACAACACTCCAAGATGTTGATAAAAAGAAACCAATATAATTAGTGTGCCACTGTGTTTAATGGCGCTCTCAATGTGAACATCTGAACATTTTTTCTTAGTGTTTAATGGCGCTCTCAAGTATTACTATTATCAAACACACGATTTGGTGATATGTTTATTTTCTATGGTACTAGCTAGTAGTTTTAATGTAAGAGGAAAACCGCCTAAAACAAAAAACTAGATTACAACCGAAAAACATATTTCTCTTAATGCTTGAGAGGGTAGTTTTCAAGATATGGTTTTGGCCTCTAGTAGTTAAAATAGGGAGCAAGTATTCGGCTGAAGGCCCAGCAATCTGCAAGACAAATTTGTTTCTTCTAAAAGGTATTGGGCCAGGCTAGGAATTGGTTCACATTCATAAACCAAGACCCAATGCTTCATGGACTCGGGCTAGGTGTTTAATCCGTGGTGGACTTGCGAAAAACTTCTGTCAAGAGATTTGCTCATCTACAGTAGTCAGTAGTAGTAGGCTAGTAGCTAATGTAGTAATGTGCCAAAGTTTTGAGAAGAAAATAAACGTTTTGAAAGTTCGTTCAAGTGGATATATTGGAGTAATTTAGCGCCTGTTACTAAAGACTAACAAATTTAAGTAAATCGACCCATTGTGGTGTGTCCTAAGAGTTACTTCAAGTTCATGCATGTGGAATATATTATGGGTCTGAGGCTCTGAGCAGAAAATAAGTATACACAATTTAAAAGATCAATGTTTTGCAGACAAAAGTATAAAAATACGTATAGAGAGCTCGAACTAGAACTACATATATATGCATGCTTCAGTAATAGAATAAAAGAGAAATTCTTTGGATAAGTGTAAGCTCAAACGTAGCTTTATAGTTAAGAGTTAAGACTGTTTACGAATCTACAGACGCATAAAGAAGTGGATGAAGAGATGAAGGCATCAATTAAGGAATAAGAATTCTTTGCTTTTCCTACTTTTCTCCCATTTCACTCAATACTTTGGAATTTTAGTTACCAATATAAATTATCGCTTCAAAAAGTCCGATAGCATTGTTTGTTGTGTGTCTAAAACGAACATAACTCTTTCTTGAAAAAACACAGTTACACATTAATTAGCGTAATATTCTAAAACGTTACTTAGCACTCATGAAAATGTTTTGGAAGTATTCGGAAAGTTACAGTCATTTTATATAGTCTTTTGTAATCCATGTGCTAAGAATCAATCAAACTGATTATTACCTAATAATTATGATGACTGTATAGTGTATGTAGTCGTCAAGGAATATTTGTATAGTTTATAAAAGAAAAGGAAAATAATCTGTAAGAAAATGATTCCATTAGATTACTATATTACAGTAATTGTATAGCACCATAGCTGACAGAAAAGAAAAAAGAATAAAACGATTCCATTATACGATATTATAGTAATCAGAATGAGTTTTTGTCACGATCAAGAAAATTCAGTTCGTTGGTATTATTACATATGGAGAAAATGCCAAACTAACACCAGAATTCTCTTTTATACAAAAAAAATCATCAGAGCTCTATAATGAAAATTAAATACTATGTTTTTAATATTATCTTACGAAAATGTACTCCGTTTGGACTTTAGACAATATCGACGGCTTTAGCCATTTGATTTTTTTGTTATCTGCTGATAATAATATATCGTTTATTAGTTAAAAGATTGTTTAACACACATTTTTTAATTATGTATGTATAATCCGTTGAATTACCTTGCCGAGGAAAATAAGTTCCGCGATCAACTTCAACCAAAAATAGAAGACAAGATTCAATGATCAATCAATGTCGTTACTCGGAGAATGAAGGGAATAAATGAATAATATATCCAACGTGCATGTGCTTCTAGCCTTCTTCTTCTCGTATTTTTCTGGAACTTTTATTCCTCTTACCAAATAAGGTTATTTTAATTCGATGATCACCCCATTTTTTAACCAAATAAATACTCATTAGTTGATATTCCAAAATTCCAACCAATGTTAGTTTGCGTAAGGTCCACAGCTAGCTTCATCTTTCAAGCACATACGGATACAAGGACATATATTTGAACATACGCACTCTCTCCTACCCTAAAAAACATTAAATTGTTAAAACTAATCAATCTTACATGAGACAAGGTTATAGAATATGGTTTTATAATGGAAAAAATCATTGGGAACCCTATATGATAAAAAAATAATTATTTTTACAAAAATAATCAAATAGGGTTCCCTGATGAAGAAAAACAAAATAACCCTATATGATTATTAGTACTACATAAAACTAAGTATCTACATTCATAGTAATGATCACAATCTACTAAAGATAAAGTTTTAAACTGTACGATTGTGTGCATCGTTACACAAAAACAGCCAAAAAAGATGGATAATATACATAAGATTATCCAAAGCATAGATTGACAAAATACAGTGATAGAAAGAGTGATGATGGATCATGTAACAATTAAGTAAGAGAAGAAGGTGCAAAACAAAAAAATCTAAAAAATCCTATAAGTTAGTCAAATGTTGGAACCCAACAAACAAGCAAAGTCCCAATACTTGTGTTTTACACAATCACACACACCTTGCCATGTTCACATAACATATGCAATAAAACAAATTCCACACCAACTTCATATTTTAGTAATAGATAGAGTTTCGTATTCCTTCATCATGTTCACGATATGGGAGGGGAAAGGATTTAAGATTAAAATAAACCAATGAATCAAAAATTGGGTGTTGAATTAGGACAGGCTGGTTTTGCTTAAGGTAGGATCCATATCAAACCCCACTCCCATTGTTATTCATCAATAAATGGTAATGGAAAAATAATGTTTTTCTTATTAGGAACTCAAAACTACACACATTGATCCCATTTTAACAAAAGAAATGAAATTTATAAAAATTTGAAGAAAGAAAAACAAAAAAGAAGTCAGAGTTTCTTTCTTTTGATTCTCTTTCTTTTATGCTCTTTTTTGTTGGTGCTCTTCTGCTAAGCATCTTTTCCCTTTTTACCCTTCTCTCTCTCTCTCTCCCACCCATTACCTTTATTCTTTAGCGCCTTTGCTTTTCTAGTTTTTCTCCCATGTCTTTACTTTCCTTCTCAAAGGAGTGAAATTTAGCTTCTTCTTCTCATATCTATCTTCTCTTTCACTCTTCGTGATTCGAGTTTTGTTTATCTTCTTCTATTCCCCTGATCTCGCATTCTCTCTCGATTTCGAAAAAGTCGAATTGCTTTTCCTTTTTTTCTGTTTTTTTCCACTCTTTTCCCGGGAGAAATTCCGTTTCTTTCCCGGAAAATTCGTTCCTTTTTTTGATACTAATTTCTGGGTTTAACCTCACGGTGTGTCGAAATCGATTATACTTGGACACTTTGTTGCTCTGTGAAACCTTAAAGTATCGATCTTTAGCTTCCCTGAATCACCGAATCACTCTCAATTTTGATCTCCATTGATCCATGGGGCTCTGTCATGGCAAACCAATCGAACAACAATCGAAGAGCCTCCCAATCTCAATCGAAACCGATGAGAAGAAGACACCTCAGCAAGCGAAATCATCATCAAAGTTTCCGTTTTACAGCCCTAGCCCATTACATAGCTTCTTCAAAACCTCACCTGCTGTGTCCTCCTCATCGAGCGTGAGCTCCACGCCACTTCGCATCTTCAAGCGACCTTTCCCACCTCCATCACCGGCCAAGCACATACGAGCTTTCCTCGCGCGCCGTTACGGCTCCGTCAAGCCCAACGAAGCCTCTATCCCTGAAGGCAGCGAGTGTGACGTTGGACTCGACAAGAAGTTCGGCTTCTCTAGGCAGTTTGCTTCACACTACGAGATTGACGGTGAGGTGGGTCGAGGGCATTTTGGGTATACTTGCTCTGCTAAAGGGAGAAAAGGCAGCTTGAAAGGTCAGGATGTGGCTGTCAAAGTTATTCCCAAATCCAAGGTTCGTAATGACTGACTTTCAATCTCTCTGTTTGCTGTTGAATCCTTATTAGGTTTAAAAATCATGTCTTGGAGTTTCCACTTGTCATTTGCCATGTGTAGTTTCTAGGTCTTAGGCTTTAGTTGGAACGGTGACTTGTACATTTGATATTATCATTTACATTGTCAGAGCGTGAACAAAAGAACAGAGCTTTTTGAGAAACTTATTTGTCTCCCTGAATTTGTTTAATGGTTAATGTAATTATGATGCACTGCTTATTGTGGATACTATTTTGGTTTAGATGACTACGGCAATTGCAATTGAGGATGTGAGAAGAGAAGTAAAGATATTGAGTGCTTTGACTGGTCACAAGAACCTAGTCCAGTTCTATGACGCCTTTGAAGATGATGAAAATGTTTACATTGTCATGGAGTGAGTAAAAACCGTAAATGGATTTGTTTTTCCCAAGTTTTTTTAAGAATCATCTCTAATCGAATGATTGATCTCTCTTGTGGTCAGGTTATGCAAAGGCGGTGAACTCTTGGACAAAATACTTCAAAGGTAGTTGTTACAACATACATGATATTGTCTTGTTCTCTCTACTGTATTGTGCTTTAACTGATTGAGTTTTCTTCATCAGGGGAGGCAAATACTCAGAAGAAGATGCTAAAAAAGTAATGGTTCAGATTCTTAGTGTAGTAGCCTACTGTCACCTTCAAGGCGTTGTTCACCGTGATCTTAAACCTGAGGTAATAAGATCCTTAACCTTTTTTGCTTTAGTTTCCACTTTCCAGTTTGTTCTCTCATCCTTAATGTTGCTTTCTCTCTTTTCGTCTACAGAATTTTCTCTTCTCTACTAAAGATGAGACTTCTCCTCTAAAAGCCATCGATTTTGGTCTCTCTGACTATGTCAGGCCAGGTCAGAGATTTTTCAAAAGGTTTCTTTCTTTTGAAGCTTATCGCCATGGTGGATGGAAAAGTTTGACAGTCTTTTTTTGCCTTTCTGCAGATGAGAGGTTGAATGATATTGTTGGAAGTGCTTATTACGTGGCTCCTGAAGTGTTACATCGTACATATGGAACTGAAGCAGACATGTGGAGTATTGGAGTGATTGCTTATATACTTCTCTGTGGTAGCCGACCCTTTTGGGCCCGCTCTGAGTCTGGAATCTTCCGGGCTGTTCTTAAAGCCGAACCTAATTTCGAAGAAGCTCCTTGGCCATCTCTCTCACCTGACGCTGTAGATTTTGTGAAGCGTTTGCTGAACAAAGATTACCGTAAGAGACTAACTGCTGCACAGGCTTTGTGTAAGTCTTTTGATCCCTCTGTTTCGATAATATTTATCATATTGTTCTGCTTTTTAAACACTTATGTGAATTGTTTTTCTTATATCACAGGCCATCCGTGGCTGGCTGGTTCACATGAATTAAAGATACCATCTGATATGATCATATACAAACTCGTAAAAGTGTATATAATGTCGTCTTCTTTGAGAAAATCGGCTTTAATGGTGAGTTAGATTCTTCATTAGTTACCACTTAACCTCACTCAGGTCTAATGCATGAAAATTTGATAACTGTTTGTTTCATGGTTACAGTCTCTTGCCAAAACGTTAACTGTACCGCAACTAACTTATCTGAGGGAGCAATTTAATCTGTTGGGACCAAGCAAAAACGGATATATCTCAATGCTAAATTACAAAACAGTGAGTGTTGGTTTCATTCAAACGTCTCTTGTTCATTCTGGTATGTTTCTGTTTTCTTATGGTGTCTATTACAAATTTGCAGGCGATCCTGAAGAGCTCGACAGAGGCTATAAAGGATTCTAGAGTCTTGGATTTTGTAAACATGGTATGGCAATAAAGGACTCATAAGTTTAATTCACTATGTTTTTCTGTGTTTAAGATTGTAATTAGTTACTTAATGGAATTGCAGATTAGTTGTCTTCAGTACAAGAAACTAGACTTTGAAGAGTTTTGCGCTTCGGCTCTAAGTGTTTATCAGCTAGAAGCAATGGGGACTTGGGAGCAACACGCACGGCGTGCGTATGAGTTGTTTGAGAAGGATGGGAACAGAGTCATCATGATCGAAGAACTTGCTTCGGTATAAAAGTGTTTCAACTAGAGATGTGATATTATTGAATGATGTCTTTGAGTGGTTCTTGATGCGTTTTGTGCAACTGTGTTTTGTTGACAGGAACTTGGACTCGGTCCATCGGTGCCTGTTCAGGTTGTTCTTCAGGATTGGATAAGACATTCTGATGGGAAGCTAAGTTTCTTGGGTTTTGTCAGACTCTTACACGGCGTGTCCTCTCGGACATTGCAGAAAGCCTAGAGAAACAAAGCTTATTTTTTTCTTGACTCACACACACGACACATCTACTTCTCCTTGGATCTAAGAAGTGCCTGGATTTAGGACAGGAACCTTTACACCAAGTCTAAAAGATTATTGTAACCTTAAAGGAAACCCGAGAGGAGCTCGTGATCAAACCGACTGTTGCAGAGCTACCACATTGTCCGATGAAAGTTGCAGCCCCTGGTTCGATCTGGGTTTCTTTGTAGTCCTCTGTTATTTTTTTTTCTCTTTGTTTCGGTAAAGATCGAGTCTTTAAGAATTAAGAATGGTATTTGATGAGATAGAGTTGTACAGAAGAAGAAACATATCTCCATTCAAGTTATCCCTTGTTCCTTTGTAATAAGAACACACTTCAGTTCCTTTACCTTAACACAGTACACTCTGTTTGTTTACCATTTGTCTCATAAATTTGGAAATCTAATACTACAAAGATCTTGCTTGGTTTACCAAATGAACCGAGTTTATTGCCGATCCCGAAGATCGAATTGAATCTATCTCGGTTTGGTTTGATTAACCGGTTTGTTCAGGCGTTGTGCGGCAAATTTTACGTGTGGAGCTCGAGCAGTCCATTGATGGCCTCCAAAGCCGAGACGCAGCATCTCTGCCTCTCTGGATCAGCTCAACGAATGTAGGCTTTCCTCCGCCACGTCACTTCTGTATGCTGCCTGAGACGCTCACGTGGCCGTTCTTCAGATCGGATCTTCTGTGTTTAACCGTCGCGAGGATTAGTATTTTTCTTCTTCTTCTCCTTCGTCTTTATCATAGCATTGCTCACTCTTGAAAACTTTTAATGGCGACAATGAGCAAAGCTCAAAGGCCCAAACCCACTTCTGGAACTCAGCGTCTTGTTCTGCTATGCATAGTTGTGTTCGCATTCCTCCTCCTGCTCACTTCGGTGATCTCCACCGGAAAATTGGGTTTGCCGTATCAGCAAACCCTAATCGATTATTTCGTGAGGTCTCCTCTCGGGAAGAGACAGCATACGCTCTCGGAGAAGTACTTGTATTGGGGAAACAGAATCGATTGCCCTGGGAAGAACTGCGAGACCTGTGCAGGCTTGGGTCACCAGGAATCTAGCCTCAGGTGTGCCCTTGAAGAAGCCATGTTTCTTAACAGGTAAATTCATTTGTCCTCTCTGAATTTTTCCCTAGACTAAAATGGAATCTGAGCTTGCATTTTCATGAGTAGATAGTACTAAAGCTTTGAAATTTGTCAAATTCTAGAATATTGTTCTACGTTTCTGAAATCAAGGAGATCGCTTGTATAGGAGAATGATGAAGCTTAGTGTATTTGGTTTTGGAACATGACCAATTCCAAATAACTCTGTAACTGGGAATGATTTTGTTCTTGTTGTTGCAGGACTTTTGTAATGCCTTCTGGAATGTGCATCAATCCAATACATAACAAGAAAGGTATACTCAATCGATCTGATAACAAGTCTACAGAGGAAGGGTGAGTTCTGTAATCCTTTTTGACTTATGCTTGTTTTCTAGAATCTCTCTAGTGCCGCCAGTCTCTTAACAAAAGGTCACTTTTGGATTTTCGTAGTTGGGGAGGGAGCTCTTGCGCAATGGACTCCTTGTATGACATTGACCTCATATCTGAGAAGATTCCAGTGATATTGGACGACTCAAAAACATGGCATATTGTTCTATCCACAAGTATGAAGTTGGGAGATAGAGGGATTGCACATGTTCATGGAGTCAGTCGGCATGAGCTGAAAGACAATAGTCACTACTCAAGTCTTTTGATCATTAACAGAACCGCAAGTCCTCTTGCATGGTAATCACCTTGCTTATCTGTGATCAGGTCATCATCGTATACTATGTTTGAAAAGCTGTTCTAACTGATGAAATTGGGTATACAAATTGGTTCAATAGTTTGTTCTTATGATCCTTTTAACTTTTTCTGAGTTGGTTTGATGATAACTTGGGTTTAGGTTTGTCGAGTGCAAAGACAGAAGCAATCGTAGCAATGTCATGCTTCCTTATTCATTTCTCCCAACTATGGCAGCTGCAAATTTGAGAAACGCTGCAGAAAAGGTATCGTAGAAAATGCCTCTGAACAAGTTTACAGAATTGTTGTTTACTATCTGCATCTTGAGGTGAAGCCTTTAAGCTTATGAAGTTATGGTGTTGATACAGATAAAAGCAGAGCTCGGTGATTATGATGCAATACATGTTCGACGAGGAGACAAGCTGAAAACAAGGAAAGACAGATTCGGAGTTGAAAGGATCCAGTTTCCTCATCTAGACAGAGATACTCGTCCCGAGTTTATACTTCACAGGATAGAGAAGCGGATCCCAAAAGGGAGGACTCTCTTTATTGGTTCTAATGAAAGAAGGCCTGGCTTTTTCTCTCCTCTCGCCGTCAGGTAAATTACTCTTTACCGGATTCTTGTAAAGTCTTCTTCAAGGTTAGGACTCAGTTTTAGAAGTTTCCGTTACAACGTTTGTAAAATGTTGTTGGATTTGGTTATACTGCAGGTACAAACTAGCTTACTCTTCGAATTTTAGCGAGATTCTGGATCCCCTGATCAAGAATAATTACCAGTTATTCATGGTTGAGAGACTGGTAATGATGGGAGCCAAAACATTCTTCAAAACATTCAGAGAGTACGAGACGGATCTCACGTTGACTGATGATCCCAAAAAGAACAAGAACTGGGAAATACCGGTGTACACCATGGATGAAAGAAAAGAAGAAGTTAGCTAAAGTTTTTGCCTTGGCATGGTCTCACTGCGACTCAAACTGATTCCAAACTCAAGTCTTATCACTTCCCACTTTGTCGAAGTCGAGCTAGAGTATGTAAAACACCTGAGTAGAGAGTGGTTCTTTTGTAAATGGGGTCTTTTAAGAACATATGTAATAAGAATTGTGATGTTTTCCGAGTTTCAAATAGATAAGCTTCACAGTGTTTCTTTTAACTCGCAAATCTGTGCTACATAACCTATGCAATCGGTCCTAACCAGGCTAAACTACAAATAGAGAGAGTGAGAGAGAGAGGTTTGGTCAGATGTGTCACTGGACCATATATGGCAGTTTTCTTCCAATTCAGAGTATAACCCTTTTTGAATTAGTGGGATTGTGCTTCAAGAAGGATGTTTGTGGCGGCGTTGACATCATTTCTGGCATGCACGAGCGCCTGTCTCGCAGCGTTTCTGTCAAACCCCATTGATACCAGTGTCGCTATGGCTTCCTCAGATGGCTCCACCTGTGACGTCACTGGAGCTGGCTGAGATCTCTGTAAACGAAGAAGCGTTTTAGATGACACTAAGCTAAAAGGCAAAACGGAATGTTACTTAGGAAAATAAAGGATGAGACTTGCCTCTGGTCGGCGACCTGTGTTGGGTGATATAGTCCCGACGATGGTCCTGCTTGGTGCTGAAGGAGGAGAGCTACTAAAGGACGGCAAAGAAAGCCGAGAAAAGAAGGAAGTCACAAACTCGGGGAACTGTGATGTGTTCAGACATAAAAATCAATGTTACTTGAGAGTGGCATTTGAAAATTTATTCAAAGAAACAAAAAGGCTAGAGAGGTATATAACCTTTGCCTTGCGGATGCCGAGGATGTTCAAACGATACAAGGAACCAGCGATTATGCCACAAACTCCAGGAAAAAGGGATCTTTTCCAAGAAGATAGTAGAAGCTACAGAATGAAAACCGAGAACATTTATTATCTCAAGACTAAGGACGCAACAAGAATCGTACAATGAAGCCTATAGTGTTGTTTACCTGGACTCCTGCAAGATATATGAAAGACTTATCGGAGAAGCTGACACCAAATACACGAAACCTCGTTGAAACTGGAATGTCCAAGTAGAAGGGTATAAATGAAGCAAATATAAGGCCGTATGGTCCAGAGGTCAGTAGATTTGCAGTGGTATCTGCACAAACAAACAAAAAACAGATTACCTTACTAAATAGATACAAGGTCCAACATATACCTTACTGAAGTAATGTTTTACAAATTGTATCAAAATCCGTAGCACAAGCACATAAGATAATAACACATGAACAAAAAATCAAAATCATGGGCCAGGGGGGTTTTTCTAGTAAACGACCTTCATGAGATATACAGCGAAGAAAATTATACAGTGTGGATAATGAAACCAATGAAGATCAACGTAGTATCTTAATCTTATCATAATTCATAGACCCATTCAGAGCACCACAATCCTTCCTTGTGCACTGTTCTCTACATATTTTCTGTACGAGTGGTAACAAAGCTATAATTCAAGCCAATCAGCAACCACAATACTTGTAGTAGCCTGCATTGGTGCCATTGTTGCAAATCCTAACTAACAAGCCAAAGAGATAGATTTTGAAGACGCTGCCTTGAAATAGAATGATGGGTACCTTTAAGAAATGATAACAAAAAGACTTCTAGTAGTAGAGATACAGTCCCCGAGAACAAGATAAAAACCTGCAGCAAGAATACTATCTCATTAGCCTTTGTAAGCAAAATAAAATAATGAAATTCAAAAATACTTGAATGAATTATCGCCAAGCAGAACAAGAAACATAAAAGGCATGGAACAAATAGATACGAATAAAGAAAGTCGAGCGAGCAGTGTCACATACCGAGTACTTGTTTGAGCCAATTTGTCTCTCGAAAACTCGGAAGTAGTATAGCAAATACAATCCGAACATCAATTCTGGTGTGGAGGAGAAGGCAAATGTCGACATGATCAACTTCCATATCCGGAACTTCTCAAAGATATCCTGCAATGCGTTTGGAAAATGATTATAAACACAGAGAATCTCAGATTTTCATAGCAACTAGAAATAACTTCGAAACCGAAAACAATCAAATTCTCTTTCAGGTGTCAGGTCACTGGCATAAACAAACAGATAATCGGAGGCAAGCTATCGAGAAAGTGAGCACTTGAATGTCGAACATATAGAGCTTAAATTTGCTTAAGCAAGTCATTTATTCAGCTCCACACATCGGACTAAAATCGAACACATTTGACCGAGAATCGGATCCTAGTTCACCCAATAAATCCATGAAAAGGCCAAAATGCGAGTACGAAATTCACGAAATGCAAGTACCTGGTAAGACAAACCGAGCTTAGAAGAACGGCCCCGGATCCCGAAGAAGACAGTGAAGAGGGCGCTCGTGATGACGAAGGCTTTCGTTACCGGAGCATTATCTGCAGCGTCAACAAAATTCAACACTCAGGAATCGAAATAAAATCAGGAAACAGCTTGGGTGAAATCAAACGACGGAGGAAGCTGGTTCCGATACGTACGGAAACCGGAGGGACCGCCGTTCATCTTCGCCGGGTGAAGAGAAGGCGACGAAGCAACAATCGGTGAGTGCAAATGAAGCTGGATTCCGAGATCGAGTTAACAACCGTTTGATCTTCTCTCTGAGAATGTTTTGCAGAAATTTCAATTCAACAATACTTCGAATTCAAACATCAATTCTGAAATCAAAATCATTATTTCAATTTCGCTTTTTAGTTGGCAAAATAAATTTTGACCAGAAAAAAAAAGGTTGGCAAAATAAATAACTCAAATAATGACCAATAATTTATTAATTTGTACAGAGAAGTTATACCATTTAAGACATAAAGATAATTTTCTATTATGAATAAAATATGTTTAAATTTTGTGACCTGGAAAGAAAACATTATTTTTTCTCTACTTCTGTATTCAGCGTTTAATCAAGTGTTTGAAAAAAAAAGAGAAAGGAGGAGAGATCTAATGGGGGCGGTAACAAGTGCGGTGATAGCAATCGCCGGAATAATCTTGGGATGGATAACGATAGAGATGGCTTGTAAGCCTTGCCTTGAGAAAGGCCGTGAAGCCATGGACAGATCTCTCAACCCCGATTACGATCCCGACGATCAAGACGTCGACGCTGCATCCTCCGGCGCTGGCGCTCCTCTCCTCTCCAATCGTCCACCGGAGATCCCCGATCCTTCCACCGGGGTGACCAAGTCAGTCTGATGATTTGTTTTTTTTTGTGTGTGTATGTACCTGAATTTGTCATCCTTTTGTCGTCAATGATTGACGATCTCGTTTGTGATATTTGATAATGTTTGTCAAGTTGAGTTGATTTGTGCTTTCTTTTAAAACTAAAGATTCTCAAACTGAACATACGAATTTGTATAAAATTCGATCTTCAGCTCCACTCTCCCATTCAATTCGTTCTAACAATCCGTCATCCATTTCTGTGATACGATGACAATGCTTCGACTCAACTAAAAGCTAACTCGAGAGCTTTCACCAAACAAATCTGACGTTATCTAAGAAACGAAGACATCTCAAAATGCTCTGAAACTTGAATATTTAACATCAAACTCAAAATGATCTCAAAACATAGTTTACTAAACTTAATTCTTACACACATTAAGGGCTTTTGAACGAGTATTTGTTCTACTAGTAGAGTACAAGAAGGAGATGCCACAAGAGTCCTTAGATAGACAAGGAGACGAGAGTAGGAGAACAATTCACCAAAGAGGTTCAAAGACCTAACCCCACCGTGCGTCCATCTCTCCTTCTTAATCCCGCTGTGTACTGCTTCTCTAGATCCTTCTGCAACTCGTTCTGCTTCTCCACTAAGACTTCGTTCGGGTTCTGCTCTTGGTTCACGACGCTCCCTTTCACACCCTACAATGATGCACCAACGCAGCCTCAGACTCTGAAAACGTGTTAGTATTGCTTTATACACAGCAGCCAATTCTATGCAACTTTTTTTCTTTCGAAAATGAGACTTTGCCCTACACTATCATGTCGTAAACAATCAGTGGAAGTGAAACGTCAGGATGAGATTTACCATAAGCTTGTTGAACTTTTCTTGTCGTTCACGGTCACCAATTAGTGCACTATCCCAACGATGAGCAGGCTGGTTCCAAGGGGAAAAAAAAACGAACAAAGGGTTTATCTCACTATATATAGATATATACATATCCAAGGGTCAACTCATAAGGATACCTCTTCTGTAGCCGTGCTTTTCTTCTTTCCCCACAACAACTTCTTCTTTTGGTCTGTGGTCAGGTAACCCGTTCCAACAAGGTTTTTGTTCACTGAATTCACCAAGAGAAAACAGTTTTAGTAAGAGGTATGAGTAGACAATGTCTCAAGTTCAATCAAAGATGATTCAATTAGGCAAAGATCATATGTTTATGAAAACATTTCAGGAATGAGGTCAAATGGATGAAGAGCAAAAACCAGAAGATTTAGAGTAAATCATAACAGCATTACCTAATTCGGCAGCCTGGATAGCTGCAACTTTTGCTGCATCGACATCACCAGAAACTCCGGCTTCTTTTGAATGGGGTTGCAGTGTCAAACCCTGATTCCCAGCACCGAGGGCTGGCTTTAAGCTCGATGTCTGTTTCTCTTCTGCTGCAGCACACTATAGCTTAGAGCATGGAGCTATAACACACAGAACGAAAGTACTTGAAAACAAGAGAAACGAATCACTTACCATGGGTAAACTTCCCTGAAACGAACCCCTTCAGTTTCTTAGCATGAGTATCTCGATTCTCAGGGTCCTCACGTTCCTTTCCTTCATCACGGGAATGTCGCTCACCAAGACCCCAGCGGGAACCTCTTTTCTCGTCTTGATAATCTCTGCCCCGCACATAATCCTTTTCTTTATCCTCCGTTCTCGAGTCTCCATGCCTCCTGTCACGGGAATGTCTGTCTAAATCATTTCTTGACCTGCTATGTTCAGCCTCTACTTTTCTCCGTTCAGAATGATGGCCACCCCTTGAATCGCGGCTAGAGCGAGGCGCTTCCCTCTCATTTCTGCTCTGCTCATCACGCTTAGATCCGTACTTATCATCTCTAGAGTACCTATTATCATGTCTATGTGAATCACCACCGCCTCTACCGTAGCGACTGCGATCAGAATCCCGCCTATCGTCTTTCCTTGCATCAACTGGTTCAGAAACTTTCCTAAAATCTCCCCTAGGATGCTTTTGATTAGGGCTCTGTTTACGTTCAGGACTTCCTATCAAATCAAGAACAAACCATTCCAAACTCAGATATTGAATCCCTAGCTAACCGCCACTAAGATGCACAATAGATGATCAATCAGATACGCTAATGTAAAGTATATAAGAAGCTGTATATGGAGCTTCGGGATGCGAAAGCTAACCGTCAGAGGAAGATGACCCAACGTCAGCTGAAGCTCGGCGGCGATACTTTCTGCTAGGTCCGTCGTTGGAAGGTTTACGAAAAGCGGCGGAGGTATCACCACCATCATGCGGCGGTGAGTTTAGTTCGGTGTCCATGGAGCTTAATTACCACCTGCAAAGAAATGATTCGATTCCAGAAATCAACGCAAGCAAATACATATTCGAATCGTATAAACAGCGTAGAGACAAATTTAAATGAATAAAAATTCGAAAATGATGTTCGCTCACCGTCGATCACTCGTGGTCCACGACGAATTATCCCACCAAAATTATGATACTGAGAGATCAAATCGAAAAACAAGGTCTATCAAGGATACGGAATAACTTGACAGTCTTCAATTCAAGAGTGTAATTCTCTATATCTCTACAAAGGATCCCTCCATTTCCCAGGAAGACAGAGAAAGTTAGGGTTCGAGGAAGATATTTTTCTCGGTGCGATTCTGATGAGGCTCAATGGACCAAGAAAGCCCATTAAGCTTTGCCGTTTTGTGGGATGGGCTGACTTCTCGAGACGAACGTACAGTATGTTATCTTTACAAAACAAAAACTATTTTTTGTTCCTAAACTTGAAAGGATAATGCTACCACGTCATATCATAGAGCTTGTTATTTCATTGCATGATTGTTCAGTTTTAATTGTTAAAATCAGTTAGGTTCTATTTGTTTACAGTTTCCACCATATTCATCCAAAAAGTAGTAAATCGTATATAGCCAGATTTAGGAGCATCTACTGCAAAACTCTAATTTTGACTCTTTCGTAGGCTTTTGATACGTACGCGACATGCTTGCATTTACTCACAAACATTTGTCCATCTATTATCATTGGCAATTTTTTCAATGTCATTGGCTCACCGCCAAAAAAATATTACCTAACAAATACTTACATGATATAAATAAACTGAATTAAATAAGAAGAAGGAGAAGTTATGAAGAGAGTTACGATGAGAGAAAGTATTGGTGTGAGAGAAGTTTTGATCGTGCAAAGGAAGAAGAGAGTTTCGTATGTGGAGAAGGAGAGCTATCGAATGTTTTTCTTTTCTATTCAACTTATGAATAACAAGTTACAAGTACATATATTTATAGGGAGCTAAAAGTATTAAAGAAATCAAGTCACCGACTTGATGACGGTGAAAAAACTTCACCTATAAGCAAACAATATAATATTGTGATGAGGATAATTATCCTTTCTAACACTCCCCTTAATTATCCGCTATGTATTATGTACGGTCTCGTTAAAAAACCTATGTCATAGAAAAACCCAATGGGATAAAAACTATGACTTAGGAAAAAGAGTACCGCAGCATAATCTCCCCCTGGAAAAGATATAATCTTTTCTTTTCACAAGTTTGTAGACGACGCATTCCAATACTGTGAACATGCTTCTTGAACACTGTAGTAGGAAGCGCCTTTGTAAAAAGATCGGCTGCATTGTCACTTGAACGAATATACTCGATGTCCACTTCTTGATTTTTCTGGAGTTCTTGAGTGTATGAGAAAAATCTTGGAGGAATATGCTTCGTTCTGTCACTCTTGATATAACCTTCTTTGAGTTGTGTGACACATGCAGAATTGTCTTCAAATATTTTTGTTGGCTCTTTCTCTATGACTATTCCACTTGATTCTTGTATGTGATGAGTCATAGACCGGAGCCATACACACTCTCTACATGCTTCATGGAGAGCAATAGTTTCTGCATAATTTGAAGACGTTGCAACCAAAGTTTGCTTTTGCGAACGCCAGGAGACCGCGGTTCCACCAATTGTGAAAACATAACCTGTTTGTGATCTAGCTTTGTGTGGATCTGATAGATATCCTGCATCAGCAAAACCAACTAAAACACATTTTGAGTTTTTAGGATAAAATAATCCTAAATCAATTGATCCTTGAAGATAACGAAAAATATGTTTTATTCCATTCCAATGTCTGCGCGTAGGGGACGAACTATATCTTGCAAGCAGATTAGTAGCGAATGCTATATCTGGTCTAGTGCAATTTGCAAGATACATTAGTCCACCAATAGCGCTCATGTAAGGTACTTCAGGACCTAACACTTCCTCGTTATCCTCACAAGGACGGAATGGATCCTTTTCAACATCAAGAGATCTATTAACCATTGGAGTACTCAAAGGAGTTGCTTTGTCCATATAAAAGCGTTTTAACACTCTTTTAGTGTAATTTGACTGATGCACAAATATACCATCTTGGAAATGCTCTATCTGGAGCCCAAGACAAAACTTTGTCTTTCCAAGATCTTTCATTTCAAACTCTTCTTTCATATGAGTTCTTGCATCATCAATTTCCTTTTGAGTTCCAATCATGTTCAGGTCATCTACATATACAGCAATAATCACAAATCCTGACGAGGATTTCTTAATGAATACGCAAGGGCATATCGCATTGTTGACGTAATCTTTACTCAACAAATATTCACTTAAGCGATTATACCACATGCGTCCGGACTGTTTTAGTCCATAAAGTGATCGCTGTAATCTGACCGAACAGATCTCCTTAGCCTTTGATTTCTTGGCATTGAAAAATTGGCTCTTCCAGAGCCCAATATTATTTTTGCACCACCAGAAATGGTATTCACGCTTTCAACGGAATCTTTAATTTTGAGACCGGAGAAATATCTTTTATCTTTGAGTATTGTGTGCGTTGTAGCACTGTCTGCAAGACACATATCTCCATCACGAGTCTCAAATTTCGTCATTTCTGGATTTAACAAAGATGCATTAATAAGTATTAAACAATACAAAGCTTATATCACAAGATACAAAATACCACATTAAAAACTATTTTACAACAAAAAGATCAAACTTTTAGGTTATCTTATTCAGGAAGATAACTATGTATATCATGTCCTTTTAGTCGTCTGTTTTTCCGTTGATCTCTTCGGAGTCAACCAGAAAATCTGAAACATCAAGATGAGTATCATCGTTTAGGCCGTGAAAGGAAGGACCGGGTTCATTGGAGATGAAGTTAGTCTCACTTTCTTTCTCCTTTGCTTTTTGTGATTCCCGGATACAGATCGGCTAAGTGTCTGGGTGTACGACAAGTACGCTCCCAGTGATTTTTCATGCCGCATCTGTAGCAAACACTTTCTTTTTGCTTTTTAGAATCTCGGCCGTAATCATTTGCTCGAGATCTTTTATATTCCTTTCATTGTTGGACTCGTCGGGACGGTACTCTTTTCCTTGTCCCCGACCACGTCCACGGCCACGGCCACGACCTCGGTTTCGACCATATCCACGTCCACGTCCTCGTCCATTATTTTGGCTGGACGATGCTACATTCGCTTCTGGGAATGGAGCAGCTCCAGTGGGACGAGTCTGATGGTTCATCATCACAAGCTCGTTATTCTGTTCTGCAACAAGGAGAACATCCATCAATTTTGAATAACGAGTATAGCCATTTGCCCGATATTGTTGTTGCAGGACTATATTTCCAGGGTGAAATGTGGAGAGCGTTTTTTCAATCATATCATAATCGCTCACATTTTCTCCACATAGCACCATCTTGGAAATTATTCTGAACAAGGCAGAATTATATTCAACAACACTTTTATAGTCCTGAAACCGGAGATATAGCCACTGGTATTTGGCTTTGGGCAAATCTATATATTTTTGATGGTCAAATCTTTCTTTCAAAGATTGCCAAAGATCCGCAGGATCTTCTTTAGTGATGTATTCATCTTTTAAACCATCGTGGATGTGATGAAGTAGAAAGATCATGGCTTTCGCCTTTTTCTCATCGGATGTCTCTTTCGACTTGTCAATGGCATCAAGAAGCCCATTTCCTTTTAGATGCATTTTTGCACCTATTGCCCATGTCATATAATTGTTTCCAGAAATATCAAGGGCGGAAATTTCGAGCTTAGCCAAATTTGACATGATATCTGCATAGATCATAGATCAGTTCATTAAATATAAATTCAAATTCAAATTTGCAAAAAAATTTGAGCATTATAACAGTATAAATTTAGCAGAAATTTAGATGGCAGAAAAGTAAATAGCGAAAAAGTAAATTACAGAAAAGTAAATATTCAGGAGGAGGCAAAGCCTCTACTCCAAGAGGAGGTTTTTACCATCAACTCTTATATGATCTAAGGTGACATAGTCTACCATATGATCATTTGCTCGGAGTAGGTACAACCTAGCATCCCGGCTTAAGAAATGATTTTTCGATTGTGGAGACAAAGCCTACCATAACAATCGGCTCGGAGAAGGCATAGCCTACCATCCCGGCATAGCATATAAACAATAAAAATAGACAGAATATAAGAGCACGCTGATAACGTGATATAAATAAACTGAATTAAATAAGAAGAAGGAGAAGTTATGAAGAGAGTTACGATGAGAGAAAGATTGGTGTGAGAGAAGTTTTGATGTGCAAAGGAAGGAGAGAGTTTCGTATGTGGAGAAGGAGAATTATCGAATGTTTTTCTTTTCTATTCAACTTATGAATAACAAGTTACAAGTACATGTATTTATAGGAGCTAAAAGTATTAAAGAAATCAAGTCACCGACTTGATGACGGTGAAAAAACTTCACCTATAAGCAAACAATATAATATTGTGATGAGGATAATTATTCTTTCTAACATTACATAATTTTTGAATTGAATTATTGTTGGACCATTTTATCTATAAGAAACTAGTTTTTGAGGAGTTATGCGAATTTTCTTATAAAAAGAAAACCGGTTTATATATGAAGGACGCACACTTTAACAAAAAATGAAGGACGCGCACACCTCCATATAATCCACTAGCGCTATGTTCTCTTCATCGTCATTGACCTCGACAATCAATGATCAACGACCAAATAGATACTATTCGTTTTGCAGTAGCTAACAGGACAGCATATTATTTATTTCGTAGTCGTTGGTTCAATGATAGAAATTAACGATTACTGAAAAATAGTGATAATAATAGTAAACGCTAAAATTGAATTTCAAATCACAAATTAGTCGTTGAAATATAGCTAGCAAAATAGAAATACGAGACAAACAAAATCTTATCACCAAAACTTGTATCATTTTGGTATTTTTGTGCTATGTTTTCTTTTCTTTTCTGTTTCACATTCGTAATTTCGTAGAAATGTGGGCACGTAGCCCGTAGTTTTCAACATCTCTAGTTTTCCTATTCGTCATAATTATCACGTATGATCTTGATAATTTATTCGTCATAGTATTTGTACGATGTTGAATGGTTGATTTTTAAAAATTCAACGTTGTTCTGCCAGTTTCTGCAACTTTCTAAAACTCGTCTACGTCGAACGCGGACATGATTAATATTTTTAAACCTTTAATATAATAGTAGTAAAACTCACACGGATACACCTTGACCTTGACGAAAAGAAAAGAGAAATAAACACCATTTTTTTCCCACAAGGAAACAAATGTCGTTTGGAACCGTTTACTTGGAAGTCAACACACGTACTCACTGTCCTCCCAGATTCCACCACGTATAAATATTTATTTATTGCAACTTAACTTTTATTCACCAAATAATTCGTTTCTCTTAATTTCTTACAAAAAAAATAGAGAATATATAGCAACGATAGTTCAAAGTTCAAGCCAGGTATAAAAATAACGAAAAGTATTACAGCCTGCAAATGCATCTCAAACCTTTTAAGATTAAGGTCCAATACTTATCAGAAAGAAAAGATTGGTCCAATCCATTAAAATATACTTCTAGTTAATTAGCATCTGAATTATTCGATAGATACTTAGAAATCTATCACATTATGGAAAAAACAAATCTATTAAAATTTTAGAAGATTAAAAATGTAACGTTGAATCTGTTAATATAAATAATGCTGAGAAGAAGATAATGAAATATGTTTGTGATACTCTTAAAACTTTATTGGACAAGGAAATAAGTGGTAATTAAGAAATTGTCAGGAGAACTGGAAAGAGGGTCCTACGTACACGTGACTTGACTTTCTTTGAAGATCTATAAAAGATGCTTATCGTATCCTCTTGACACCGACTGACCTTTTGATTATCTTTTTTTCCTTCTCTTTTTCTAATCATTAATCAAATATTTGACTTTTTAATCGCTGTGTTTTCATATTTCTCTTATCAGATAGATAGAAATCCACCGTAAATCATACGTAAATTAAGCCTTAATCATTCATCGATGGAGAAAAAGGACCTTACAGTACTGATTAAAGTCTTGTTTTAATTTGGACAGATTTACACAGAGTGACAGTGAGACTAGACACTGGCGCCAGTTGCTTTCTTCCCACTTGCACACGTGGACCCCTCACCTCCCCTTCGTTTTCTTAATTCTTACCGTAATTGCTCTTTAATTTTGTGTACACATTACCTTGATAATTACAAGTTCTACTATATATTTGACGTTAAACTATATTTACTACTGCAGTATTCTTAATTTTTTAATTATAAAATACACAAAATTGACTATCTATGTTCTATTCAAATTTTACAAAATAATAACATCTCACATGAAGACAAGAGGGATAAAAAATAGCTTAGATGTGTCATTCGAACAGCAAATAAAAAGTTACCTCATCTGTTTTATTAGTCATATTTTCTTTTTTCTTGACATCTTATGTGGCAAAACTTTCGCGTAATCAAAATAAAGTTCAATTCGTGCAAAGAAATCTAAACACATTTTTTTTTTTTTTTTTTTTTTTTTTTTTTGTAAATCTAAACACATTTTGTCCCCTTCATTTTAAAGTTCGGTTCGACCAATTTGCAGAAATCTTTCAAACGCTGAACTTAACATAAACAATAAAAAATAAAAATAAAAAATAAAACCTCACAACAAAAAAAACTTGCAAAGACCAATCTAAAGAGGAAATAAAATAAGAACAAAGGAGAAGAAACCAAATCAAAACAAAAAAAAAAAAAAGAAAAAAAAAAAGAGAAAGAAAAGTAAAGCAAACACATTTTGTCCCCTTCATTTTAAAGTTCGGTTCGACCAATTTGCAGAAATCTTTCAAACGCTGAACTTAACATCTAAACCAATAATGTTTTTTTTTCTCCCAACCAATAATGTTTTTTGCTTTTTTGGAGAAAGGGTTTGCTCGTACCAATAATGGTTCGTAAGAACTATAAACTATTGATACATTGTATGGTAGTGGTATAATTTATGATCACGTGAAAAGTAATATCAATTCAATTCAAACACCTAGACCCCAACAACTTATCGTACTACGAAATCTATATTATAAAAAGAAAAGTAAATATTTTTTTGGAGAAAACACTAATCGTGTCTCCTATTCTCGAATCTGTCTGAATAATGAAGAGCAAACGAATCTGTACAAGAAAATGAAAAAGGTTTTCTCAAATCACAGATGCAGCAATGTGCTTAACTTTCCTTCCCTAATCCATGACAGGTTGCGTGACATCATCTCGTAGGATATACGGTGACGTCATAATACTTGGATGAGCGGTATTCACGTGGAGGAGCTTCAAAGCCGCCTCCTCCCTGCTCTCGCCTTGCTCACCACTCAACTCAAACGTTTCCTCTTTCACCACGCGACTCTTTTACGCGCGTGATTCACACGGTTCACTATCCATTAGTAGTTTATTTCGGGTCATTCAACCTATCGGAGGGCAAGTGACGTAAACGCGCCGTCATTCACTTCGTTTGTTTCCTTTCCTCCGCTCTTTCGCTTCTCCTTCCCATTAATTTCCACTCTCCTTCCATTTCCAAAAGGGTAAAAAGAAAATGTTGTATATATATTTGAAGCTAGAGAGATTAATTAATAAGTAAAACAAAAAAAAGACACAAACTCATCTGAAGAAACAACATGGAGTATCCATCATCATCATCACCGACGTTTCTTACCACCGCAAGCTTAGACAAGGGAAAACCATCTCCGGTCTCGAGAAGTCCACCAAAGCAAAAGAGGAAGGCGACGACTTCAACGAACAAACCCATCAAAGTCCGTTACATATCAAACCCCATGAGAGTCGAAACTTGTGCTTCCAAGTTTAGAGAGCTCGTACAAGAACTCACCGGCCAAGACGCAGTCGATCTTCAACTGGAGCCAGAGTTTTCCCCAACCGCTGTCTCCGACCACAGCCCTTCTCCGCCGCCGGAGAATCTTGCGCCGCCACGTGTTCTTGATCAGGAGCCGTTCGATGATATAGTTGCTGACTATTATGAGCCGTTAGATGCGGGAGAGATGTATATGCCTCAAATGTCGGCAGGTTTTTCTGGGTTTTTCTCGAATGGGTTTTACAATGTGAATGACTTTGGAAGAATCGATTCTATGTAAAAATCTTCTTACACAGTTTTAGGGTTTTCATCCAAGTACATATATATCCATATATAAAATTATTAAATCGATACATAAATTTAGCAAAAAGTAAAGCCTAATATGAACATGTTAAGCGAATTATATGAGTTGAAGTCATTTTGTGAAAAGTTTTGAATGGATCTTTTAATATGTTTGTTTTGTTTTTTCATCAAAGTCAAAACTTCGGTATGTATGAACTAATCATCTATAGTTTATTTGATTTTGATTAAGAAACAAGTGATCATCTATAGTTAAACTTACTACTCCATGTCAATGATCAAAAGAATATTAACCCTCCATTAATTTCTAAATTCTAAAAACCCACAAAATCCGTCGACGAGTACAATCTCACACTCTCACATTCGTTGTGAATTGAATACACAGCTCCTCCATCAATCCTTGCTTCCCCATACTTTATTGCCCTTAAAGCATAGAAACAGTAAGGGATTGGTTTGTTTAGCCGTAACCGTTTGAAAACGATACGATTATAGTTAGACGTGTTTGAAACCAATCATAATAAGATAACAAAAGTTGGTAGTTGGTACTACTAAATTGTGTAACCCAACGCATCGTTTTTACTTCTCATGGAACTCCATCGGTATTTAGAAGAAGAAATGACTCATTTTTATCCTTCTAGAAGGCATTCTGATTAGATTAGTCCCGAGACCTTCGGTTCCGTTCGGAGACTCTTAAGAGATTCCTTTTGGTGTGGAGATTTTCTTCGTTAAAGCCACCAAATTCAACAATGTCTTTTATATGAATATATACAGAATCTGAACTTTCGAGCACTTAGATTTTGCAAGATAACATACAAAAACTCTCCTATACGTTTAGAATCAATAGCTTATGTACTCTGTCGACAGAATTGACCCTGGTATCATCAGCTTTTCTGGTACAATTTTGATTAGGCTAAAATGATTTTCACATGGCCAAAATGATAGACAGCATACACTTTTGTTGGTAGATGGTAAATTGGTACAAAATGATTGATATCATCCAGTTTTTTTGGTAATGGTACAATCAACAGCTTGGTTTCCACAAGGCAAAATTATTGATAGCATCAACTTTTGGGTACAATCAATCAACAGCTTGTTTTTTTTTTCACATGTTTCACATGGCTAACATGTGTTTACGGTCCTTATAACACCTGACCGGAGACTTAACCACATACAATTCTAAGTACAATTCTATATACATTCTCACACAAAAGCTTTCGTTTTTTCCCCTTCTTTTTGTTGTTGCTAACTTAAAAATGGCTATCAGTAATCTCTTAGCCACCAGCAATCCCGTCAAACTCAATGGCGTCAGCTTCTTCTCCTCGTTCTCAGGCAAGCCAAACCATTTCTTGTCTCGTCGTTGGTCACAGACGACGACTCATAGTAGAGTCCAAACTTCATTTTGTTATCGTGAGACGTCGTTGGAAGCTGTGACGCCGTTAATGATGCCTGAGACAGAAACATGTATTGACAGTGACGGAGTTGGAATCGTCAGTTTCTTAAAAGGGAAAAGCTATCTCGTTTCCGGCGCAACAGGGTTTCTTGCTAAAGGTAAGAAAAAACCCTAAAAACAGAGTTTTCTTCTTATTCAAGTAAACTTACTTTTAGGATTGGAAACTTGTTTGTTGCAGTGCTGATAGAAAAATTGTTGAGGGCAAGTCCTGAGATTGGGAAGATTTTTGTTCTGATGAAATCCAAGGATCAAGAATCAGCCAACAAGAGACTCTATGATGAGGTTTTGATTCTAATCTCACATTTACCTTTCTTTATTTTTTATCATCTTCCTCCTTCTTTTTCATTTTTTTTGGTCCACACAGATCAGATCTGTTCAAGGTTCTGAAGCAAATGCACGGTACCTCTTACGAAGAATTTATGAAGAGTAAATTGATTCCAGTACTTGGAGACATTGGAGAAGAAAATCTCGGGATTGAACATGAAACAGCAGACAAGATAAGGGAGGAGATTAATGTCATTGTCAGTTGTGCTGGTCGTACAACATTTGACGACAGGTGTTTCCTCTGTTTCTTCTTCGATTCTTTTTTTTATTGCTTGCAAACTAACTTTAATAGTTGACTTTGCTTGTAATCCAAACAAACTTGGACACAGATACGACTCTGCCCTAAGTGTCAATGCTCTTGGACCTGGTAGGCTCTTAAGCTTTGGAAAAGAATGCAAGAAACTGAAACTTTTCCTTCATTTTTCAACTGGTACGAGGCCGAGAATTTCTGTAATTTTTTTCTTGTCTAGAAGTTTCCGAAAACGTAATGATTTTATTTTTGTTATTTAGCTTACGTGACTGGTAAGAAAGAGGGAACAGTACCAGAGACTCCTCTATGCATTGGAGAAAACATAACTTCTGACTTGAACATCGAAACAGAGCTAAAGTTAGCTTCAGAAGCTGTAAGAAAGTTCCATGGCAGTGAACAAATCAAGAAACTGAAAGAACTTGGTATAGAAAGGTGAGGACAATGGAGAAATGTCTCCTTCCCTTGGGCTCTTATTTTTATATACCAAAATCTCAAACAGTTTTTTATTTATTTAATCTTATGAGAAACCAGAGCTCAACACTATGGCTGGGAAAACACTTACACGTTTACAAAAGCAATGGCTGAGTCTGTAATTCAAAGCAAGCGAGCAGATCTTCCCGTAGTGATCATAAGGCCAAGTATTATCGAAAGCTCCTACAAGGAGCCTTTCCCTGGCTGGCTCCAAGGAATAAGGTAAAAAAAAATTGTTTTGAAAGAAAATGGACTAGATTAGCTAGTGGTTGTAACTTGTAACTGAAGTTTCTTTTACTTGTTAAAAAAAAAAAAATAGAATGAGTGATCCAGTCATCTTGGCCTATGGCAAAGGCCAGATTTCTGACTTCTGGGGAGATTATGAATCTTTAATGGACATTATACCTGTTGATATGGTTGCGAACGCGGCAATAGCAGCCATGGCAAAGCATGGTTGTGGTAATGTCTCTGAGCTCAAAGTTTACAATGTCACTTCTTCATCTCATGCGAATCCCCTGCGAGTTGGAGAGTTGATGGACCTCGCTCATCAACATTTGTGTGAGTCTCCATTGACAGAAACAGTGATAGACTTAACGCGTATGAAGTTTCACAACTCTTTAGAAGGCTTCACTTCCTCTGTATTCAACACATTAGCAAAACAGGAAAGAGAGATTAAAAATGGAGGAGAAGCAGAGTCACATACCACATTGAGCATGAAGGGAAAGAGGATGTTAAACTATTTTGTGTCCTTGGCAAGAACATATAAGCCTTACACCTTCTTTCAAGCTCGGTAAATAACATTACTTGGCCTTCTCTTCTTCTTTTATTAAGCAAAAAAAGAAAGACACTATGTGATAACTGACCAAAATAGTCAATATTAGGTTTGACGACACCAATACAAGAACTCTGATAGAGGAGCTATCAACGGAAGAGAGAAAGATGTTTGAGTTCGATGTGGGAGGCATTGACTGGGAGCATTACATTGTCAATGTTCATCTTCCAGGTCTCAAAAGGCTATTCTTTCAGGGAAGAGAGTGATTCATGATATGAATGAAACCAAAAATATATGCTCCATATAGTTTAACAACTTTCAATAATTTTGTTGCAAGTGCTTGTCCTCCTGATCAGTGTATGGTCTTTATGATTCTTCAAAAATTTATCAACATTTTAGTCACCAAAACTTCATTCGAACCAAAAAGTGAAGATATTGGGTGTTACATTTCAAGATCCTGACCTGTAACTAAACAAAGAGACTAAGAGGCTTAAAGGCAAAGTAACAAAACAAAAGAGACTCGTCTGTTTCTCGAAGTAGTTGCAAAACTATCCAATATAATATCCGGTTCTATCATATTCCTCATGGCCAACGATAAGGAGCATGTGAGACAGGTAAGAATAGATCTGGATTTAGATTTAGTAACGTTCAAAAGCCCATATATATTGTAAAAGTTGTATAATAATGTAAACGTTGTCAAGATAGACAAATAAAAAATACAGATCATTCTTTTTGTATTCCTTTCTTTCTCTTTGTCTTTTCCCCATATTTTGTTTTGTCTGTTGTTTCCAACAAGGCCAACGTGATATTTTTATAAATAGATTCTAACGTAAAGACCCTCCAAATCAAAAGCTTCATCTCGAAAGAAAAACATATTGTTGTTTACTTGTTTGACGAAAAATGGCTTTCACTAATCTCTTAGCCACCAGCAACGCCGTCAAAGTGGATGGCGTCAGTTTTTCCTCCTTCTCCGGCAAACGAAACCACCACTTCTTGGCTCGTCGTTTGTCACTGACGAGTCATAGTCATAGTAGAGTGACTAGAGTCCAAACTAATTGTTGTTATCATGAGACGTCTCTAAAAGCTGTGACGCCGTTCAAGACTGAAATAAAAAGTGACAGTGACGGGATTGGAATCGTCCGCTTCCTAAAAGGGAAGAGCTATTTCGTTACAGGTGCAACAGGGTTTCTTGCCAAAGGTAAAAAAACTTTAACCTAAAACAGAGACTTTTCTTCTAGCTCACGTAAACTGATTTTCGGCTTAAAATTGTTGTTGCAGTGTTGATTGAGAAATTGTTGAGGGGAAGTCCTGAGATTGGTAAGATCTTCCTTCTGATCAAATCCAAAGATCAAGAATCAGCCAACAAGAGACTCTATGACGAGGTTCTGTTTAAACATTTCCATTTCCTCTACTTTGTTTTTGTTCTCTCTTTTTCAATATTTTGTATAGTTTTGGTTCCACGCAGATCATAAGCTCGGATCTGTTCAAGCACCTGAAGCAAATGCATGGGAGCTCTTACGAAGACTTTATGAAGAGCAAGTTGATTCCAGTAATTGGAGATATTGGAGCGGAGAATCTTGGGATCGAATCTGAAACATCAGACAAGATTACTAAGGAAATTGATGTCATTATAAGCTGCGGTGGCCGTACAACATTTGACGACAGGTGTTTCCTCTGTTTTTATTTGCTTTGTTTTTAAACTGTAGTAAACGACTTTGCTTGTGATCCAAACAAACTTGGAAACAGATACGACTCTGCCCTAAGTGTCAATGCTCTTGGACCTGGTCGGCTTTTAAGCTTCGGAAAGGAATGCAAGAAACTGAAACTTTTCCTTCATGTTTCAACTGGTATGAGTTTTTCATTTTCCTTATAAATTGGAGAACTGTCTCAAACTAACTTTCTCCTTTCCTAATATAGCTTTCGTGACTGGTAAGAAAGAGGGAACAGTAGTAGAGACTCCTCTCACTCCTCTCTGCATTGGAGAGAACGATACTTCTGACTTGGACATCGAATCCGAACTGAAACTAGCTTCAGAAGCTGTAAGAAACTTCCATGGCAGAGAAGAAACCAAGAAACTGAAAGAACTTGGTATCGAAAGGTGAGAACGAAGGAGAAAGTTTACTTTCTGGACGTTCTAATCTACCAAAATCTGAAACGTTTTGTTTGATCTTATGATGACAATACAGAGCTCAAAGCTATGGATGGGAAAACACTTACACATTCACAAAAGCCATGGGTGAGACCGTAATTCACAGCAAGCGAGGAGATATGCCTGTAGTGATAATGAGGCCAAGCATTATCGAAAGCTCCTACAAAGAGCCTTTCCCTGGCTGGCTCCAAGGAATTAGGTTTAATATTTTTAGAGACAAAAAGGACTTACTAGGTTAGCTTCATGTTTAATTTATTGACATTTTATTTGATTTAAAACACAAAACCAAAAACAGGATGAGTGCTCCATTTATCTTGGCCTATGGAAAAGACCAGATTTCTCACATGTGGGGAGATTATCAAGCTTCTTTTGATGTTATACCTGTTGACATGGTTGCGAACGCGGCAATAGCAGCCATGGCAAAGCATGGTTGTGGTAATGTCTCAGAGCTCAACGTTTACAATGTCACTTCTTCATCTCATGCGAATCCCCTGAGTGTTGGCGAGTTGATGGACTTTTCTCGTCAACATCTGCGTGAGTCTCCATTGACAGAAACAACGAAAGACTTAGAGCGAATGACATTCCACAGTTCCTTAGAAGGTTTCACTCTTCCTCTGTATCTAGCATAATAGCAAAACAAGAAAGGGAGATGATGAATAATGGAGAAGGAGAGGCAGAGTCACATACAGCACTGAGTAGGAAGGGAAAGAGGAAGCTATACTATTTTGTGTCCCTAGCAAGAACATATCAGCCTTACGCCTTCTTTCAAGCTCGGTAAATAGCACATTACTTGGACTTCTTCTTCTTCTTTAATTGAGCAAATAAAAAAAAGGTATCAGATTAGTGACCTAAAGTATATATATGCCAGGTTTGATGACGCCAACACAAGGAGTCTGATTAAGGAGTTGTCAATGGAAGAGAGAAAGATGTTTGATTTCGATGTGGGAGGCATTGAGTGGGAGGATTACATTGTCAATGTTCATCTTCCAGGTCTTAAAAGAGAATTCTTACAGGAATGATCCACTTAAACAGAGTGATTTAAGAGACATCTTAAATGATGTATCAGCTATCTTTATGACTTTTCTAGTTTCTCAACCAAAATGTTTCACTGCAATATGTGATGATACTGGATGTATCTTTCAACTTGAAGTATGGTGTACCTAAATCGCAAATCTTGCTTTATTCTACGGAACACAGGGTTTTTTTTTACCATTTCACCGCTTGGAGTTGACATAACTCTAAAATACTTTTACCTTTTCATTCCTTTATTATGAATATGATCTCTTCTGTTCCTCGCCACCAGTTTCTTTATGTGTAGCCTAACGAACGTTTCAAGGATAAATAAATCAGAGAAATCGTCAAAGTGTCGAAGGATATTGTGAGGTGTCGAAGAATATAGTGCGGTGAAGCAGTTTCTTTTCTAAAGTGATGTCACAAGGAGATTGTGACGTGTCGAAGAAAATAGTGCGGTGAAGCAGTTTCTTTATTTAAGTGATGTCACAAGGAGATTTTACGGTAAACTAAACCACTTCTAGTCTCGTCGTTGGTCACAGAGGACGACATATAGTCATAGCAGAGTCCGAACTTCATGTTGTTACCGCGTGAGACGTCGTTGAAAGCTGTGACGCCGTTAATGATGCCTGATACAGAAACAAGTAGTGACAGTGAAGGAATTGGTATTGTTAGTTTCTTAAAAGGGAAGAGCTATTTGGTTACTGGTGCAACAGGGTTTCTTGCCAAAGGTAAGCATATTTTTACCCTAAAACAGAGGGTTTTCTTGTTTTTCAAGTAAACTGATTTTCAGCTTGGAAAATTAATATGTCGCAGTGTTGATTGAGAAATTGTTGAGGGCAAGTCCTGAGATTGGAAAGATATTTATTCTGATGAAATCCAAGGATCAAGAGTCAGCCAACAAGAGACTCTACCATGAGGTTAGGTTTTCAGTCTCATCCATTTCGCTTTACACGACTCTTATGTTTTTTCTCTTAAACTCTGTGTCCATTTTTTTACATACAGATAATAAGCTCGGATCTGTTCAAGCTTCTGAAGCAAATGCACGGTAGCTCTTACGAAGCCTTCATGGAGAGCAAGTTGATTCCAGTAATCGGAGATATTGGAGAAGACAATCTCGGTATCAAATCTGAAATAGCAGACAAGATTAGTGAGGAGATTGATGTCATTATAAGCTGTGCTGGTCGTACAACATTTATAGACAGGTGTTTCTTCTGTTTCTCTTTTTCCTGTGTTTTTGTTCTTGTAAACAAACTTTGCTTCTAACCAAGCAATAAAACGGAAACAGATACGACTCTGCCCTAAGTGTCAATGCTCTTGGACCTGGTAGGCTCTTAAGCTTCGGAAAGAAATGCAAGAAACTGAAACTTTTCCTACATTTTTCAACTGGTATGAGTTTTATGTTATGACAAAATAGATTTCTATAAGAAGTTTCGGAAACTGAAGCTATATAACACTTTGCTTCTAACCCAAGCTATCTTGTTTGTTTGTTATATAGCTTACGTGACTGGTAAGAAAGAGGGAACAGTAGTAGAGACTCCTCTCTGCATTGGAGAAAACATAACTTCTGACTTGAACATCGAATACGAGCTGAAACTAGCTTCAGAAGCTGTAAGAAAGTTCAATGGCAGTGAAGAAGTCAAGAAACTGAAACAACTTGGTATGGAAAGGTGAGGATGAAGAAGAAAAATTTACCTTTTTCTGTAGATTCTTATGTACCAAAATCTGAAATAATATGTTTTGATCTTACGAGAAACCAGAGCTCAACACTATGGATGGGGAAACACTTACACATTCACAAAAGCCATGGGTGAGTCTACAATTCAGAGCAAGCGAGGAGATCTTCCGGTAATGATAATAAGGCCAAGTGTTATCGAAAGCTCTTACAAAGAGCCTTTCCCTGGCTGGCTCCAAGGAATAAGGTTCAATATTTTATCTTCAGAGACAAAAAGGACTGATTAGATTAGCTTATTGATTCTATAGACATTTTTATTTGGTCTCTTTTTATATATATATATATATATAAATAACAGGATGAGTGCTCCATTAATCTTGGCATATGGAAAAGACCAGAATTTCGACATGTTGGGAGATTATCAATCTTATTTTGATATTATACCTGTGGATATGGTTGTGAACGCGACAATAGCAGCCATGGCAAAGCATGGTTGTGGTAATGTCTCAGAGCTCAAAGTTTACAATGTTACTTCAGCATCCCATGCGAGTCGCATGCGAATTGGCGAGTTGATGGACTTGTCTCGTCAACATCTTTGTGACTCTCCATTGAGAGAAACAACGAAAGACTTAGAGCCTATTACATTCCACAGTTCCTTAGAAGGTTTCATTTCCTATGTATCCAAGAGATTAGCAAAACAAGAAAGAGAGATGAAGAGTGGAGAAGGAGAAGGAGAAGGAGAGTCACAATATACCACACTGAGCATGAGGGGGAAAAGGAAGCTTAAGTATTTTGTGCTCCTTGCAAAAACATATCAGCCTTACATGTTCCTTCAAGCTCGGTAAATAGCATTACGTGGACTTTCTTCTTCTTTTATATATCATGCTAAAACAATCTATCAGATTACTGACATATAGTAAATAACTAACTAAATTTATATATATATATATATATTATATATATACCAGGTTTGACGACAGCAATACAAGAAGTCTGATTAAGGAGTTGTCAATGGAAGAGAGAAAGATGTTTGATTTCGATAGCACATGCATTGACTGGGAGGATTACATCGTCAACGTTCATCTTCCAGGTGTCAAAAGGGAACTCTTCCGGAAAAGTTCTAGATTATAAGAAACGTCCAAGACCTGATGATAAAATATATACTTGAAAGTTGTATCATGTAAACCGTCATCATGACAGATAAATAAAGAAAAATTCAGAGAATTCTCTTGTCTTCGCATTTTGTGTGTTCTTTAACTCTGTCGTTTAATTTAGATATAGAAAACCTAATCTGTTCATACCAACGGAGAATGCCTTATTTGATTGCTTTTATATCCCCACTAGTACAACTAGTAGATGTGCTAAGAATGTATTGTTTATATATATAACAGATTCTTGCATAAAAACCTTCCCTTTTAAGAAGAAATTGTTGTTAGTTAACTAAAAATGGCCATCACTAATCGCAGAGATTGGTCGGTCTCTCGAATTATCCTATAGAATTAGGTTCTACCATATTCATCATGGCAAACACCGAGGAGCCTTTTTAGGGCATCTCCATCGCGAGATCTAAAGGCGGTTTTAAAGATAAATCGGATTAAAAAAAAAGATTTAATCAAATAATTTCTAAAACCCAAGTCTTACCTAAGCAGCGTATGCAAAATTTGGAACCCGCTACGTGTCAATATTTCACTATTTCTCTGAATTATTATTATTATTCTTTAAAAAAAAAGAGAGGAGAAATTGGATCCACGATTCCGTCTGCAATCACTCTCTCTTCTCTGATCGACGATTCCGTCGGTGAGCTGAGAATCCGAACAAGAAAACCGCAAAATCTGAATCGGATCCTCATCATCTCATGTCGTTCTCCTTCTTCAATCCCTTTGAGGTCGTTACACGTTGATTGGGATGAAAATTGCAGAAGGTTTTGGTAAAAAGGACAAGTGGTGGTGAAGCAAATGAGGCGTGACATTGTCGTTCTTCTTCGGTCCGGTGAAGATGCCACCGCTCGAATCAGAGTATATTTCACTTGCCCGTTGCATTACTCTGAAAACTGCAAAGGATTTATTGTTTTTGTGTGAGGTGACTTCACTTACAGACTTTCATTACATGGATAAGATCTTAGGTTTGGTTTTTGGGTTTGCATTGTGTGCTGAGGATTGGTTCAAGTTGTTCCAGAGTTACGATCACTATACATATGTGGTGTTGCTTTCATGCTTGAAACCAGAGTTTCTATTGTACATCCCTATTGGGAAAGAGTGGTTTTCTGGTCATAGTTGTTTGACGGAGTTTTTCATTTCCCAGGATACAATGCGATCGAGAATTAGAGAAATGCCTTAGAGAAACGTGGTTTGATTAAGAATGGGGATATGGAGAAGGCGAAACAGGTGTTTGATGCTATGCCTAGCAGATATTGTCTCGTGGAACGCTATGATTAAAGGGTTTATCCAGAACGATGTATTGGAGGAAGCGAAGGTCTTGTTTGAGAGTATGAGTGAGAAAATTGTAGTTACTTGGACGAGTATAATGTGTGGTTATTGCAGATACGGAGATGTTGATGAAGCTTATAGATTGTTTTGTGAAATGCCTGAGAGAAATGTCGTTTCTTGGACCGCTATGATTAGTGGGTTTGCTTGGAATGAGTTTTATAGAGAAGCTTGGTGTTGGTGTTGGTGTTGCTTTCACCGTCTTGGCCAGAAAGTGCACGCACAAGTTCTATTTAATGGTTGGGAAAGTGTCGATCACGATGGAAGGTTGGCGAGAAGTCTTTGTTCGTATGTATGCATCGTCTGGTTTGATTGCTTCAGCGCAGTCTCTGTTCGACAAGAGCTTTGATTTGCAGTCTTGCAACATCATGATCAAAGGTTATTTAAGAAATGGGATTTGGAAAGAGCTCAAACTCTTTTCAAGAAAGTCGAGCTACGGAGTAAATTTATGTTCAAAAGTATAATTTTTGTAAATTTTTTTTTTTTTTTGGTTAAGAACCAAATAAAAAGTTTTAGAGATGGAGGAAGAAAAAATTTAAGAAACCACATAAAAGTTGTTAGTATTGGTTTGTGTAAAAATTAATAATAAAATATGATTTAGAACCAAAAACATGGTTTTAGGGATGGAGATGGTCTTAGATCTGGATCTAGTCACGTTCGAGGGCTATTATATTGTATAATATTGTAAACGTTGTCAAGACAGAGCATCATGCAACGAGACCTCCGTGATAGTGCGATACCTCCCGTGAGAAGTTAGCGTATTTTTCAATATTTACTCTGTCTTCTCATTATATTTAAAGTTTGAAACAACTCTCTGTACAAAGGGTACGTTTGTTTTTGTTTCAAAAAATTTAGCATTCATTAAAAAAAAAAAAATGGCTATCACTGATCTCTTAGCCACCAGCAACGCCGTCAAACTGGATGGCGTCAGTTTCTCCTCCTCCTTCTCCGGCAAACAAAACCACTTCTTGGCTCGTCGTTTGTCACTGACGACTCATAGCCATAGTAGAGTGACTAGAGTCCAAACTAATTGTTGTTATCATGAGACGTCTCTAAAAGCTGTGACGCCATTTAAGTCTGAAATAACAAGTTACAGTGACGGGACTGGAATCTTCCGCTTCCTAAAAGGGAAGAGCTATTTCGTTACAGGTGCAACAGGGTTTCTTGCCAAAGGTAAGTTACTTAAACCTAAAACATAGACTTTTCTTCTAGCCCACGTAAACTGATATTCAGCTTGGAAATTTATTTGTTGCAGTGTTGATTGAGAAATTGTTGAGGACAAGTCCTGAGATTGGTAAGATCTTCCTTATGATCAAATCCAAAGATCAAGAATCAGCCAACAAGAGACTCTATGACGAGGTTCTGTTTAAACATTTCCATTTTCTCAATTTCTTTACTTTTCTTTCTTTTTGCTTTTTCCATATTTTGTAATGCTTTTGTTCCCACACAGATCATAAGCTCGGAACTGTTCAAGGTTCTGAAGCAAATGCATGGAAGCTCTTACGAAGCCTTCATGAAGAGCAAGTTGATTCCAGTAACTGGAGATATTGGAGAAGACAATCTCGGGATCAAACCCGAATTAGCAGACAAAATTAGCGAGGAGATTGATGTCATTATAAACTGTGGTGGCCGTACAACATTTGACGACAGGTGTTTTCTCTGTTTCTTCTTGCTCTGTTTTTAAAATTTTAGTAATTGACTTTGCTTGTAATCCAAACAAACGGAAACAGATACGACTCTGCCCTAAGTGTCAATGCTCTTGGACCTGGTCGGCTCTTAAGCTTCTGAAAGAAATGGAAGAAACTGAAACTCTTCCTCCACTTTTCAACTGGTACGTGTGAGTTTATTTTCTCGTTTTGGCCGAGAATGTGTTAAAGAGAAGTCCCGGGAAACTGAATTTTTTCTTTTGTTATATAGCTTACGTGACTGGTAAGAAAGAGGGAACAGTACTAGAGACTCCTCTCTGCATCGGAGAGAACATAAGTTCTGACTTGAACATCGAAACCGAGCTGAAACTAGCTTCAGAAACTGTAAGAAAATCCCATGGCAGAGACGAAGCCAAGAAACTGAAAGAACTTGGAATGGAAAGGTGAGGATGAAGAAGAAAAACTACTTTCTGTTACTTCTTATGTACCAAAATATGAAAACGTTCTATTTGATCTTATGGTTACAAAACAGAGCTCAAAGCTATGGATGGGAAAACACTTACACATTCACAAAAGCCATGGGTGAGACCGTAATTCACAGCAAGCGAGGAGATATACCTGTAGTGATCATGAGGCCAAGCATTATAGAAAGCTCCTACAAAGAGCCTTTCCCTGGCTGGCTCCAAGGAATTAGGTTAATTTTTTTTTATATACTTTTTTTTGAAACAAAATGACTAGATTAGCTTCTGGTTTCAATTGACATATTTAATTGATTTAAAACACAAAACCAAAAACAGGATGAGTGCTCCATTTATCTTGGCCTATGGAAAAGACAAGATTTCTCACATATGGGGAGATTATCAATCTTCTTTTGATGTTATACCTGTTGACATGGTTGCCAACGCGACAATAGCAGCCATGGCAAAGCATGGTTGTGGTAATAATGTCTCACAGCTCAAAGTTTACAATGTCACTTCTTCATCTCATGCGAATCCCCTGCGAGCTGGAGAGTTGGTGGACTTCGCTCGTCAACATCTGCGTGAGTCTCCACTGACAGAAGAAACAACGAAAGACCTAGAGCGAATGACATTCCACAGTTCCTTAGAGGGTTTCACATCCTCTGTATCCAGCACAATAGCAACACTAGAAAGAGAGAGGATGAAGAATGGAGAAGGAGAGGCAGAGTCACATACCGAACTGAGCAGGAAGGGGAAGAGGAAGCTAAAGTATATTGTGTCCCTGGCAAGAACATATCAGCCTTACGGCTTCTTTTACGCTCGGTAAATAACATTACTTGGCCCTATCTTCTTCTTTAAATAAGCGAAAAAAATCTATCACTGACTTACATATAGTATATATACATATACCAGGTTTGACGACAGCAATACAAGGAGTCTGATTCAGGAGTTGTCAGTGGAAGAGAGAAAGACGTTTGAGTTCGATAGCACATGCATTGACTGGGAGCATTACATTGTCAACGTTCATCTTCCAGGTCTCAAAAGAGAATTCTTTCAGGAAAGATCCACTTGAAGAGACAACTTTCAATAGTTTTCACTAAATGATGTACCATCTATCTTTATGACTTTTCTAGTTTCTCGATCAATATTTTACTGCAGTACGTTTCTTTTACCGTTTCACTCCTTGGAGTTGACATAACTACAAAATATTGTAAACTTTTTATTCCTTATTTATGAATATGATCTCTTCTGTTCCTCTCCACCAGTTTCTTAATTTTATGTGTAGCACAACGAACGTTTCAAGGATAAATAATTCAGAGAATCGTCAAGGTGTCCAAGGAGATTGAGATGTGTCGAAGAAGATAGTGCAGTGAAGCAGTTACTTTCTAAAGTGATGTCACTAGTAGATAATGTTCTACACAAAAGTCTCCTCCTCTGTATTAAAAGCTTCCTTTTTTTATAAATTTTTTTGTTGGTGCACTAAAAATGGCTCTCACAAATCTCTTGGCAACCAGAAATGCCGTCAAATTGGATGGCGTAAGCTTCTTCTCCGGCAAACCAAACCACTTCTTGTCTCGTCGTTGGTCACAGAGGACGATTCATAGCAGAGTCCAAACTTCATGTTGTTATCGTGAGACGTCGTTGAAAGCTAACGTGACGCCGTTTATGATGCCTGAGACAGAAACAAGTAGTGATAGTGAAGGAATTGGAATCGTCCGTTTCTTAAAAGGGAAAAGCTATTTGGTTACAGGGGCAACAGGGTTCCTTGCTAAAGGTAAGAAAATTTATAACCTAAAACAGAGAGTTTTCTTTTTTTCCAAGTAAACTGATTTTCAGCTTGGAACTTTTTTTGTTACAGTGTTGATAGAGAAATTGTTGAGGGAAAGTCCTGAGATTGGGAAGATCTATATTCTGATGAAATCCAAGGATCAAGAGTCAGCCAACAAGAGACTCTATGACGAGGTTAGGTTTTCAGTCTCATCTATTTCGCTTTACACGACTCTTTTGTTATTTTGCCTTTTTTTTTTTTTTCTTAAACTCTGTGTTCATTTTTTTTCCATACAGATCATAAGCTCGGATCTGTGCAAGGTTCTAAAGCAAATGCACGGTAGCTCTTACGAAGCCTTCATGAAGAGCAAGTTGATTCCAGTAATTGGAGATATTGGAGAAGCCAATCTCGGTATCGAATCTGAAACAGCAGACAAGATTAGTGAGGAGATTGATGTCATTATAAGCTGTGCTGGTCGTACAGCATTTGACGACAGGTGTTTCCTCTGTTTCTTCTTTGCTCTGGTTTTGTTCTTGCAAACAAACTTTGCTTCTATAACCCAAGCAAATTAACGGAAACAGATACGACTCTGCCCTAAGTGTCAATGCTCTTGGACCTGGCCGGCTCTTAAGCTTTGGAAAAGAATGCAAGAAACTTAATCTTTTCCTCCATTTTTCAACTGGTATGAGTTTTATGTTATGACCAAAAAATAGGTTTCTATAAGAAGTTTCGGAAACTGAAGCAATGTAACACTTTGCTTCTAACCCAAGCTATCTTGTTTGTTTGTTATATAGCTTACGTGACTGGTAAGAAAGAGGGAACAGTAGTAGAGACTCCTCTCTGCATTGGAGAAAACATAACTTCTGACTTGAATATTGAATACGAGCTGAAACTAGCTTCAGAAGCTGTAAAAAAGTTCCATGGCAGTGAAGAAATCAAGAAACTGAAACAACTTGGTATGGAAAGGTGAGGATGAAGAAGAAAATTTTACTTTCTTCTGTAGATTCTTATGTACCAAGATTTGAAATAATATGTTTTGATCTTACGAGAAACCAGAGCTCAACACTATGGATGGGAAAACACTTACACGTTCACAAAAGCCATGGGTGAGTCTATAATTCAGAGCAAGCGAGGAGATCTTCCGGTAGTGATAATAAGGCCAAGTGTTATCGAAAGCTCTTACAAGGAGCCTTTCCCTGGCTGGCTCCAAGGAATAAGGTTCAATATTTTATTTTCAGAGACAAAAAGGACTGATTATATTAGCTTATTGATTCTGTTGACATTTTCATTTGGTCTTTTGTCAATGGAAATGACAGGATGAGTGCTCCATTAATCTTGGCCTATGGAAAAGACCAGATTTCTCACATGTTGGGAGACTATCAATCTCATTGTGACATAATACCTGTGGATATGGTTGTGAACGCGACAATAGCAGCCATGGCAAAGCATGGTTGTGGTAATGTCCCAGAGCTTAAAGTTTACAATGTCACTTCTTCTTCTCATGCGAATCCCCTGCGAATTGGCGAGTTAACGGACCTTTCTCAGCAATATCTGCGTGAATTTCCATTGACAAAGTCAAAAACAGTGAAAGACTTAGGGCGTATGACATTCCACAGTTCCTTAGAAGGTTTCACCTCCTCTGTATCCAATACAATATCAAAACAGGAAAGGGTGATTAACAATGAAGGAGGAGAAGCAGAGTCGCATACCACACTGAGCATCAAGGGAAAGAGGAAGCTTCAGTATTTTGTGTCCCTAGCAAGAACATATCACCCTTACTTGTTCTTTCAAGCTCGGTAAATAACATTACTTGGACTTTCTTCTTCTTTTATTATGCGAAAGCAAACTATCAGATTACTGACATATAGTAAATAACCAGGTTTGACGACAGCAATACAAGAAGTCTGAGTAAGGAGTTGTCAATGGAAGAGAGAAAGATGTTTGATTTCAATGTGGGAGGCATCGAGTGGGAGCATTACATTGTCAACGTTCATCTTCCAGGTCTCAAAAGGGAACTCTTCCGAGAAAGATCCAGTAAAATAGAGTGACTTAATATATGAAAGAAAAATAAATAAATAAAACACTACAATTATGAATTGTGGTACAAGCGCTTGTGTTCACCAAGTGTATCACCTATATATTTATGAGTTTTCTACTTTATGAAGCTGCTTCTAAGATAATCCAGGAAACTAGAGCATAGCTCAATTACCTCAATTACCCTTATGCTAGAGTCAAGTGTCGGCTTTTTCTATTGATGAGGTTTTCAGATATGGTAGAAATGTGACAAGAACAGCTAAACAGCTGATAATATATATATTTGAAAGTTGCATCATGTAAACATGACGGATAAATAAAGAAAGACTCAGAGAAATATTTGTCTTCATCTCTTTGTCTTGGCATTTTGTGCGTTCTTTAACTCTGTCGGTTGAGAAAAAGAAAACCTAATCTGTTCTCACCAACTGAGCATGCCTTATTTGACTGCTTATCCCCCACTAGTACAACTAGTAGACGCGCTAAGAATGTACTATTTTTCTATATATATATAACAGATTCTCACACAAACGACCTTTCAAAAACTAGAAGTTTCCCTTTTAAGAAGATATTGTTGTTGGTTAACTAAAAATGGCCATCACTAATCGCTTTGCCACCAGCAACGCCGTCAAACTGGATGGCTTCAGTTTCTTCTCCTCTTTCTCCGGCAAACCAAACCACTTCTTGGCTCGTCGTTGGTCACAGACGACGACTCATAGTAGAGGCCAAATTTCATGCTGTTATCGTGAGACTTCGTTGAAAGCTGACACGCAGTTTGTGATGCCTGTGACAGAAACAAAATATGACAGTGAAGGAATTGGAATCGTCGGTTTCTTAAAAGGGAAGAGCTATTTCGTAACAGGTGCAACAGGGTTTCTTGCTAAAGGTAAAAAAAAAAAAAAACTTTAACCTAAAACAGAGACTTTTCTTCTTGTCCAAGTTAACTGATTTTCAGCATGGAATTTTTTTTTGTTTTGTTTTGCAGTGTTGATTGAGAAACTGTTGAGGGCAAGTCCTGAGATTGGAAAGATCTACCTTTTGATGAAATCCAAGGATCAAGATTCAGCCAACAAGAGACTCTATGACGAGGTTCTGTTTACGCATATCATTCTCAACTCTTAAGTTTTCTTTCTTTTCTCTTTTTCCATATTTTGTATCGCTTCTCTTGCCACACAGATCATAAGCTCGGAACTGTTCAAGCTTCTGAAAGAAATGCACGGAAGCTTCTACGAAGACTTTATGAAGAGAAAATTGATTCCAGTAGTTGGAGACATGGGAGAGGAGAATCTCGGGATCGCATCTGAAACGGCAGAAAAAATAAGTGAGGAGATTGATGTCGTTATAAACAGTGCTGGCCGTACAACATTTGACGACAGGTGTTTCTTCTTGCTCTCTTCTTTCATTACTTGAAAACTTGTAACGTTATTAATAAGCCAAACGGTAACAGATACGACGCTGCACTAAGTGCCAATGTTCTTGGACCGGAGAGGCTCTTGAGCTTCGGAAAGAAATGCAAGAAACTGAAACTTTTCCTCCACGTTTCAACTGGTATGAGTTTTGTTTTTTTTTTTTTTTTTACCCCATTTAAACTGAAAAACTGTCTTAAACTAGCGTTCTCGTTTCTTATATAGCTTTTGTGACTGGTAAGCAAGAGGGAACAGTACTAGAGACTCCTCTCTGCATTGGAGAAAACATAACTTCCGACTTGAACATCGAAACAGAGCTGAAACTAGCCTCAGAAGCTGTAGGAAATTTCCATGGCAGTGAACAATTCAAGAAACTGAAAGAACTTGGTATCGAAAGGTGAGAGGATGAAGGAGAGATCATCTTTTGCACCATGTTATGTACCAAAATCTGAAAATTTCTGTTTGATGAGAAAACAGATCTCGGAGCTATGGATGGGAATGCGCTTACACATTCACAAAAGCCATGGGTGAGATCGTAATTCAGAGCAAGCGAGGAGACATGCCTGTAGTGATCATAAGGCCTAGTGTTATAGAAAGCTCTTACAAGGAGCCTTTCCCTGGCTGGCTCCAAGGAATTAGGTTAAATATTTTCTTTGGACTCACTAGATTAGCTTCTTGTTTCTACTGACAGTAGTATTTTTTTACAGGATGACTGCTCCATTAATCTTGGGAAACGGAAAAGAGCAGATTCCTGACTTGTTGGCAGATTATGGATCTATAATGGACGTTATACCTGTTGATATGGTTGTGAACGGGACAATAGCAGCCATGGCAAAGCATGGTTGTGGTGATAATGTCTCACTCCTCAAAGTTTACAATGTTACTTCTTCATCTAATCCGAATCCCTTGCGACTTGGCGAGATGATGGACTTGGCTCACCAACATCTGTGTGACTCTCCATTGCCAGAAAAAACAAAAGACTTAGAGCGCATGAAGTACCACAGTTCCTTAGAGGGATTCACCTCCTCTGTATCCAAGACACTAGCAAAACACGAAAGAGAGATGAACAATGGAGAAGGAGAAGCAGAGTCACATATCAGACTGAGCAGGAAGGGGAAGAGGAAGCTAAACTATTTTGTGTCCTTGGCAAAAGAATATCAGCCTTTCTTGTTCTTTAAAGCTCGGTAATTAACATTACTTGGAACTAATTGTTTTACTAAGCAAGAAAATGCTATCAGATTACTGACCTACATTCTGTTATTCTATATATACACCAGGTTTGACGACACCAATACAAGGAGTCTGATTCAGGAATTGTCAATGGAAGAGAGAAAAATGTTTGATTTCGATGGCAGTTTCATTGACTGGGAGGACTATGTTGTTAACATTCATCTCCCAGGCCTCAAAAAGGAACTCTTACGGAAAAGATCCACTTAAAGAGACAACTTTCAATAGTTTTGGTACAAGTGCTTGTATCCACTAAATGATGTATCACCTATCTTTATGAATTTTCTAGTTTCTCAATCAATAATTCACTGCACTATGTGAAGATATTGGATGTATGTTTCAACTTTGCCGTATGGTGTGCCTAAATCGAAAATCTTGCTTTATTCTATGGAACACAATGTTTCTTTTACCGTTTCACTCCTTGGAGTTGACATAATTAACTCCAAAATACAGACCTTTATTATTCCTTTCTTATGAATATGATCTCTTCTGTTCTTCACCACCAGTTTTTTTTATGTGTAGCACTAGCACACCGAACGTTTCAAGGATAAATAAATCAGAGAATCGTCAAAGTAGATTGAGACGTGTCGAAGAAGATAGACATGCAGGGAAGCAGTTACTTTTTAAAGTGATGTCACAAGGAGATGTTCTATTTATATTATAGATTTTCACACAAAAGTACTCCAGACTAAAATATTCATTTTTTAATTATATTTTTGTTGGTTAACTTGAAATGGCTATCACTAATCTCTTAGCCACCAGCAATGCCGTCAAACTGGATGGCGTCAGCTTCTTCTCATCGTTTTCCGGTAACCCAAACCACTTCTTGTCTCGTCGTTGGTCACAGAGGACGATTCATAACAGAGTCCAAACTTCATGTTGTTATCGTGAGACGCCGCTGAAAGCTGCTGTGACGCCGTTTATGATGCCTGAGACAGAAACAAGTAGTGACAGTGAAGGAATTGGAATCGTCCGTTTCTTAAAAGGGAAGAGCTATTTCATAACAGGTGCAACAGGGTTTCTAGCCAAAGGTAAAAAAAATCTTTAACCTAAAACAGACATTTTTCTTGGTGTACAAGCAAACTGATTTTCATCTTGGAAAACTTGTTCGTTGCAGTGTTGATAGAGAAATTGTTAAGAGAAAGTCCAGAGATTGGAAAGATCTTTATTCTGATGAAATCCAAGGATCAAGAGTCAGCTGGCAAGAGACTCAATGACGAGGTTCTGATTAAACATTCCATTCTCAATTTCTTTAGTTTTCTTTCTTTTTCCCTTTTCCATATCTTGTAACGCAGCTTTTGTTCCCATAACACACAGATCGTAAGCTCGGATCTGTTCAAGCTTCTGAAGCAAATGCATGGGAGCTCTTACGAAGACTTTATGAAGAGCAAATTGATTCCAGTAGTTGGAGACATGGGAGAGGAGAATCTTGGGATCGAAGCTGAAACAGCAGAAAAAATTAGTGAGGAGATTGATGTCATTATAAACAGTGCTGGCCGTACAACATTTGACGACAGGTGTTTCTTCGTTCTCTGTTCTTTTTCTTCTTGCAAACTAACTGTATTAATAAGCTAAACGGAAACAGATACGACGCTGCACTAACTGCCAATGTACTTGGACCTGGTAGTCTCTTGAGCTTCGGAAAGAAATGCAAGAAACTGAAACTTTTCCTCCATTTTTCAACTGGTACGTACGTGTGAGTTTATTTTCTTGTTTTGGCCGGAAATGTGTTAAAGAGAAGTCCCGGAAACTGAAATTTTTCTTTTGTTATGTAGCTTTTGTGACTGCTAAGAAAGAGGGAATAGTACTAGAGACTCCTCTTTGCATTGGAGAAAACATAACTTCTGACTTGAACATCGAAACAGAGCTGAAACTAGCCTCAGAAGCTGTAGGAAAGTTCCATGGCAGTGAACAATTCAAGAAACTGAAAGAAATTGGTATGGAAAGGTGAGGATGAAGAAGAAATATTTACTTTCTTATGTACCAAGATTTGAAATAATATGTTTTGATATTACGAGAAACCAGAGCTCAAAGCTATGGATGGGAAAACACCTACACATTCACAAAAGCCATGGGTGAGTCTACAATTCAGAGCAAGCGAGGAGATCTTCCGGTAGTGATAATAAGGCCAAGTGTTATCGAAAGCTCTTACAAGGAGCCTTTCCCTGGCTGGCTCCAAGGAATAAGGTTCAAGATTTTATCTTCAGAGACAAAAAGGGCTGATTATATTAACTTATTAATTCTATTGACATTTTCATTTGGTCTCTTTTTTTTTTTAATATATATATAAATAACAGGATGAGTGCTCCATTAATCTTGGCATATGGAAAAGACCAGAATTTCGACATGTTGGGAGATTATCAATCTTATTTTGATATTATACCTGTGGATATGGTTGTGAACGCGACAATAGCAGCCATGGCAAAGCATGGTTATGGTAATAATGTCTCAGAGGTAAAAGTTTACAATGTTACTTCAGCATCCCATGCGAGTCCCATGCGAATTGGCGAGTTGATGGACTTGTCTCGTCAACATCTGTGTGACTCTCCGTTGAGAGAAACAACGAAAGACTTAGAGCGTATGACATTCCACAGTTCCTTAGAAGGTTTCATCTCCTCTGTATCCAATACAATAGCAAAACAAGAAAGAGAGATGAAGAGTGGAGAAGGAGAGCCACAATTTACCACACTGAGCATGAGGGGGAAAAGGAAGCTTCAGTATTTTGTGTCCCTAGCAAAAACATATCAGCCTTACTTGTCCTTTCAAGCTCGGTAAATAACATTACTTGGATTTTTCTTTTATATGATATGCTAAAACAATCTAAAAAACTAGATATATACATTTACCAGGTTTGACGAAACCAATACAAGGAGTCTGATTCAGGAATTGTCAATGGAAGAGAGAAAGATGTTTGATTTCGATGGCAGTTACATTGACTGGGAGGATTACATCGTCAACGTTCATCTTCCAGGTCTCAAAAGGGAACTCTTCGGGAAAAGATCTTTGGTTTGACTCATTTTAAGAGACAACTTTCCTATCACCAACCTATCTTCTACTCAGCTTTCAGTGATTTAAGAGGCTTTATGTTCTCCTAATAAGTGTATCTATCACCTGTCTCTATGAATTTTCGAGTTGATCTATCAAAGATCTCACCTATAATCCATTCGAACAAAAATAAAGTGAAGATGTTGATGTTGGGTGTTTCATTCCAATTAAGTTCCATAATAAATAAGTATGCTTTTGAAAGTTGTCGAGTTTCCGACAAAAAAAATAGAAAGATGTCAAGTTTCTTTCACACATTTTATCGAACATTTCGTGGCTGCAAAGTATATTTGAGCTTGGGCTTGGGCTTGGGCTCGGGCTCGGGCTCATTCAGACAAAATGTGAAAAAAACACAAACCAAAGTTACTTGACAAAATTGAGGGTTTTGCTTTTGGCTCTCTATCTCCGGCGACCACCATCACCGGCGGTCTCTCTCTCTCTCTCTGTATTTTTTTAACTCACCGAGTGACGAGTTCTGCTTTTCTCTCTGGACCAACTTTTTGAATAATTCAGTGTGAAGAAAAAAAGCTACAGATGCCTTCGAAGAAGAAGCAGTCGAGGACGCCGTCACGGCTTTCCAATTCGGAACCGCCTGCGTCCCCAAGAACTCCGGCGTCTTCAACAACGGGTCGAGATACAGATTACAACAACGATGAGGAGCTCAGGCGCAGTATTGAAGAAGCTTCCGCTGCGTTTCCTTGTCTCCTCGGAAAATCTGCAATCATCGGAAGAGTAGCCGATGTTGCGTCCGAGTCTATCAGAGGCTCTAAGATTTGGCTATCGGAAAGTTCGATGGTCGCTGCTTCCCTCAGCCCTGGCTCTACTGTTTCGGTAACTGAAATTCTTATCCTTTGTGAGCTGTTCATACCAAAATTTGATTACTTTTGTAGCTTTGGAATACTGATTTGAGAGTTTCGGAAAACTGAACAGGTATCACTTGCTTGCCCAGAAAGTAGATTCTCGAACAGATTCCCTCTCAGCTCGATCAAAGCTGAATATGGAGTTGAATGCGAGAGTAGCAGCATTGATGATGACGAACCAGGGAACTATTTTGTTCTTGCCACCGTTTTCTCTTCTTCAAAGGTTAGATGAATCTGTCTTGCAAACTTTAAAAGTTTGATCTTTTTCATTTCTCTTAAACTTTTTTGTTGTTGTTGTTGCAGGTTTTGAAAGATGCTGTTCGTATTTCAATGAATCTTTGCTATGGGCTTGGTTGTCCTGTTTTAGGCAGGACTGTGTTTGTTTATCCTGTAAGCAGACCTTCTTTAAGTGATCAGTTCAACGGGAATGGTGGAACGCAAGAAAATGATGTTAACCATTTTTCTCCGGTTGCCTGCAAAGAGTTGTGTTTAGAGCTGACTCCGTTGAATATGTTAGAAGCTAAGAATGATGTTCTTTCTATGGAGAAGCTATCTCTTGAAAGTTCTCATGAGGAGAACGGAAATGGGAGTTTAAGCCCTAAGACGCCATCAAACTCGCAAAAGCTTACTTCTCCTCGCCATAATTCTTCGGCTTCGCCAATGGCTGAAGACCCTGTTTCCAGTGCCAAGCAGCGGTTATCATCTGAATGTTCGATTGATCTACGAGAGGTCTTGAGCAATGAAAGTTCGAAGAAGCTTTTGCAGATTTGTGCAAGTTCCTGGCTATACCCTTGTAGTCTGCTTTATGGGAATTTTGTGGCTGTGCCAGTTCTCTCAGAGATCTGTATTTTCTGTGTCAAAAGGGCTAATAAAAAGCCTTATCATACATCAAACAGAAGTCGTGCCTTTGTGATAAACCGGGAAACTAAAGTATCCCTCCATCATTCACTGGACTTGGTATCTGAAATTCGAGAGAGAACATCTGTGCAGGGTCTGCAGTTCGATGATGACGATGAAGAAGAAAACGTGGGATGTGAGATCTCAAAGCTAGGTGGTCTCTCTAAAGAATATGCAATCTTAAGGGACATTATTTTTTCCTCATCCACGAAGAACTCCCTATCAAGGTCTGCACATATCTTAGTATAGCCAAATTTATGCTCTACTTGAAATGAACAAAGAAAAAATGCATGGAAATGATTCTTTTTATGTTCTATGCTCTACCACCTTCGCTTATTTTTGTTTTGTTTTTAATATTCTATGTTTATCACTGGCATGATCATTTAGTCTTGGTTTGCGACCTACAAAAGGAGTGCTTATTCACGGACCTCCAGGCACAGGAAAGACGTCTTTGGCTCGGTCATTCGCCCGTGAGTCTGGTGTCAACTTTTTCTCTGTGAATGGACCTGAGATAGTAAGCCAGTATTTGGGAGAAAGCGAGAAAGCTCTAGATGAAGTTTTCAGATCTGCTAGCAATGCTGCACCTGCTGTGGTTAGAATTTTGCACTCTCCTCTTTATTAACATTCCTGAGTTTTGACTGTGTATTGACATCTTTTGAGATCTTATCTTACCAAGTTAGCAGATTGTGATTTGAATAGTTTTGTTTCTTGTAAAGGTGTTCATTGATGACTTGGATGCCATTGCTCCAGCACGGAAACAAGGAAGTGAAGAATTGTCTCAGAGGATGGTAGCTACATTACTGAATTTAATGGATGGAATAAGTAGGAGTGATGGCGTTGTTGTAATTGCTGCAACCAATAGGCCTGACAGCATTGAGCCCGCCTTAAGACGACCAGGAAGACTTGACAGGGAAATTGAAATTGGTAAAGAAAGACAAACACCTTGTGGAAACTAGACTCGATATAGTTCAGATTCTTACTCCCTAATACGTTTTCGCTTAATGATATAGGTGTGCCATCTTCTGCACAACGGCTCGATATACTTCGGACAATTCTCAATGGGATGCGGCATTCACTTTCAGAGACACAGCTTGAACAGCTTGCAATGACAACTCATGGTTTCGTAGGTGCAGATTTAGCTGGGCTGTGTTGTGAGGCAGCCTTTGTCTGTTTAAGGCAGCATCTTGATCAGAGAAGTTCCTCTAGCAATTTGCCTCTTGAAGAAACACCTATTGCTGCTTCTGAGTCCTCGAGAAATATGACAGATGTATCATCTAGTTCAGATTCTGCATCGTCATGTATCACAGTTTCACCCACAACCTCAGGGACTCGGACTTCAGATAATTTAAACGGAGCAGTCTCCGTAGTAGAAGATAATTTTCAAAACGATGGCAACTCTAGTTCCGAACAGATGCTCAGCAGAGAAGAACATACCTTAAGTGTGGGGTTGGAAGATTTTGAAGTAGCCAAGATCAAAATCAGACCTAGTGCCATGCGAGAGGTATTGCCATTTTATTGTTTCTCTTAGGAAACTCGTATGTCTGTTACCTGGGGCTTTTTATTAGATTATGAACCATACCTTTGCGCTCAGACTAATTTCTGCTGGATGTTCAACTCTCAGGTGATATTAGAGGTTCCTAAAGTCAACTGGGACGATGTTGGTGGCCAAAACGAGGTGAAGAATCAGCTAATGGAAGCAGTAGAATGGCCACAAAAACATCAGGACGCATTCAAGAGAATAGGCACAAGACCACCAAGTGGGATACTGATGTTCGGTCCTCCTGGATGTAGCAAGACCCTTATGGCACGCGCGGTAGCTTCTGAAGCTGGACTAAATTTCCTTGCAGTCAAAGGTCCAGAACTATTCAGCAAATGGGTTGGTGAATCCGAGAAAGCTGTGAGGTCCCTTTTTGCAAAGGCAAGAGCAAATGCTCCCTCGATCATCTTTTTCGATGAGATTGATAGTCTTGCCTCTATTAGAGGGAAAGAAAACGATGGGGTTTCGGTTTCAGATAGAGTTATGAGTCAACTTCTTGTCGAGCTCGATGGTTAGTAACAACAACCCTTCAGATTGATATGTAAATGCAATTGTCATATTGCAAATCGTTTGGACTAAAGATGTGGTTGCTTATATGTTGAACTCAGGTTTGCATCAAAGAGTTGGTGTTACAGTCATTGCTGCTACAAATCGGCCAGACAAGATTGATTCTGCGCTCCTAAGACCTGGTAAGTTTCTTCCTCTCGTTGGCTCTTTTGATTTTTGCAGACAAAATTTGAAGGTCCGTTTGATGAAACTATGTGTATGTTAAAATGTTGCAGGACGCTTTGACCGGTTGCTGTATGTTGGACCTCCTAATGAAGCTGATCGAGAAGCAATACTCCAAATCCATTTGCGGAAAATCCCTTGCAGCTCTGATATCTGTTTGAAAGAGCTTGCTTCTGGTACTAAAGGGTACACAGGAGCTGACATATCGTTGATATGCAGAGAAGCAGCTATTGCTGCACTCGAGGAGAGTCTTGAAGCAGAAGAAATAAGCATGCAGCATTTAAAAGCCGCGATAAGCCAAGTGGAACCAACGGAAATTAAATCTTATAAAGCACTGTCTGAAAAGTTCCAGAGACTTGTCCACACAGATCCACAAGGAGACGACGACGAGGTTCCACAACCAGGAAACAAAATCCAAAGATCGTCATTTTCTCTATGGTAATAATCAGTACTCAGTCTAATATGTTCAGTATATCTGCTGTTAGAAGTTACTCACTTCCATGGGATTCGCATTCTTGGGTGCAATTTCATAATTGGTGTGAATATTTTGCAGGACACCATTGAAATCAGTTGTGATGTTCTTTCGCCGCCAAATTGGTTCGTAATCGAGACGTTATGCAATTCTTTCCTTGCTTAGAAACAGTTGGTACATCAGTGCTGTATGTAACATTTTATATATCTAAATCATGTATTATTTTTGTTGCATCTGAATTTGGAAGAATCAGTTTTCGAAGGATAATACTCGTATCTCGTGCAAATGAAACCATGGACAGGACATGTAACATTTGATTACACAGAGAGAGTTTCAATGATGAATTGACCCACAAACTAGTTCATTGATAAGCGTACGAGAAGCAAAAGAGAATCTTCCTTGTGACATTACAAAATTTCCATTACAGCAATCCTAGTTTTTAAGAAATAAGCTGGTAAACCGAGATAAAGATGGACAAAGGGCTTGAAAGCCTAACAACGACAAGCACCCTAACGGTTCTGCATGTAGTCGAAGCTCAAGGGTTGTTGACAGAACTGTGCCTGTAGAAACAAGTAACAACAGCTTTTAGACAAGGCACCAAACCAACTTCACTTGCTCTCTCAAGCGAATCGTTAAAAGATAGTTTATCAAGGGAGAAATCAAATGTTATTTACCTGGAGAGAGGCATTTACAAACTGCTCATATGAATGAGCATACATCATATTTGCATTAGGCCACTGCATATACATTGCATCCCTTGAAGGCTGGTTTAGAACTGGAACGCCATAGGGACCCATCATAGAGCTTACTAAAGGTGGACCGAAGCTTAGAGAAGCAGGAGCACTTGGGATTTGATTATATCCGGTTAATCCCATTTCGTAGTACGGTTGTTGCTGCAGCTGCATTTTCTGAACGTTGAAAGCTGGTAGACTGAAATTCTGATTCACCGGAAGGCTCCTAGTGTACCTGCGTTCACACACAAATCTATCAACAATCACATATGAAGCTGATCATTACTCTTCAGTCTTCACTAATCTAGTAAAGGCTTTACATACCTTTGAGAGCTGCGGTCATAGTCAGGGTCAAAGCGATCTTTCTCTCTGTCTCTAAGAATTGCAACACGAGATGTTGGACCCGTTTCTCTGAGACTGAAGTTCCTCTCTACCTCAACGCAAGCATTCTTAGATACTTGACTGTGAGTCTCATCTCTGCCAAGACTTGTGTTCCTCCCATAAACCTGAGTTTCAGACGAAGAGTCATCATCACCGTTAAGGCCCGTAAGACCATTAAATATGCGAGCTCGAGCCCTGTCATACTCTTCTTTCCTCTCTTCAACACTTCTAAGAGGACCACGTTTCTTTTCCAGCTCACCAGCATCATCTCCAGATCCTTTAGAAGGCCGAGTCTTGATGGAAACTTTCATGTGCTCAAACTTACGATTCTCCGACTGTTTCGCCACCGGGATTTCAGTCAGCCGAACAGCAGGGAATCTGCTCTCCGTTGTTTTCGTCACAAGGATAATGCCATCCGCACCATTGTCTTGAACCGATGTAGCTAATCCATAGTGGTTAGCAACACGGTGAGCTGCAAGACGAAGGTAGGAAGTAGGGAAATGCTGGAACTCGAACTGCTGCTGCTCAGGGCTCTGCAAGAACCTTTGAACATCAAGCTCCATCCGCAAAACTGTTCATTACAAAAAGAAAAAAAGGCTTAGATACAGTATCATAAACAGCTTCGTGATTATGATACAGTATCATAAACAGCTTCGTGATTATGAGTAACTCATGAAATTGAAGCCACTCAAAAGGCAGGCCAAATCTAAAACCAGTACATTAAGTTTTCAATACTCCTGATGCAAAATCTAACACTTTCCTTATTCATACAACAAATTTTACAGCTTTGATATCATAAAGCGAATTACTGAGACCCAAAATCATGTAAAATGAAGTAGAAATTCACCCAAATTGCAGTTAAATCGACTTAACTATACCCAGCTCAAGCCCCTCAAATGAGCTAGCGGAGCAAAAAAATTCAAACTTTCTTATGCTCGTGACACAGAATCGGATTTAATTTCAGGACATTAGGGTTTACGACATGAATCAAAGAGTAGAAGAAACGGCGCTTACTCGTCAAACGATGCCGAGGGTTCTGCAAAGCCTCGACCAGAAAAGGATCCACCGTAAATCCACCATTATCTCCAATAACCGCACCACCGGTTTCAGCGGCGGTTTCCGGCGGCGGTGTTGCGAAAGCTGAGTCCATGAGAAAAGGGGATGGATGTTTCCAGGGACTTCTGGAGCGTTACTCTCAGCTTCTCTGTCTTACCCTTTGTTTCCTTTCTCTCGCAGCAAAGAGAAGAAGAAAAATCAAGAGGAAGAGGAGAATCGAAATCGGAGCATTGAGGGGGGCGAGAGAGAGGAGGAGGAAACCTCTTCAGATGCAAATCTTATCTCTCTCTCTCGGGAAGGCAAAGCAAACGAGAGGGAAAGGAAACTTTATATTTTTCTCTTCTTTTTATTATTTTTTCCTTTTAAATCAAAATAAATATCTCACACAGTTGTATTTTTCCTATATAGGACTGGAAGTGTATTTTAAAAATAATTTTACGGTTTATTAGGTTCTGATTATATACTTTTATTTATAACACAAAAATGTATTGAAGAAGAAATTCATTGATGTTTATACAAACATTATATTCGTCATAATGATGTCAAACATCTAAGAAGAAATCGAGGTAAACATTGTGTGGATGTTAAAAATGGTAGAGTATGTTTTTCCATTTGATAAATCAAAAATTGCAACAACAAAAATCTCTCTAAAACTGTGGACATCCTCGATTTGAACAAAACTTTCGTAAAATTTTAATGTATAATGAAAGAGAGAAAAATATAGCAGGTTATTAGTACAAACAGCTTTGTGAGTGGGCATGTGTATTGTAAATTTGTAATGTGAGTACCTGAGTGGTGTTCTATAAATTATTATGTTGACATGGCATTAAGTTAGGGAATCCGACATTAGATGATGTGAATATTTATTTACTAAAGGATGACAGAGAGTATGATTTGTGCACTAATAAAGTTAAGGTTATTAAAAAAAAAGGTTAAGGTTATTAAGCTTTCTCCATTTTGGTATACAAACTTTTTGTAAGAGAAAACCCAGAATTTTATAGTTTCCAAGTTTATCAAGGGACCGGCACAAGAAATAAATTTGCGATTTGGCACCTCATTTGACGTAATCAAAATATTGTAGATAATTAAGCAAAATAAGTTTAGTCAATGTGAAGACGAGCGAAGATGCTCATCGTATTGCCACACCACACTGTTGAGGTTTTGGAAGGAGAGAAAGGGAAAACACTGAGGAAGAAAGTTGAGAATTTCAAGGTGTTGGCTCGTGAGGCCATTCATGACTTTGTTGCTATTTTGACTTGAGAATTTGAAACTGAGATGATCCGAGAGTTGCTGCTATAACAAAAAGTAACGACTTCTTTTGATTCCACATAATTAAAATATAAAATGCACAAAACCATAATTCAATTCAGGCCACAAGTTTTATAGTTTAGTTTCAAATCCATTGAAATACACAAAAATTTCCGGAGGAAAAAGGAAAAACAAATCTTCGGAAAGATTTTTGCATATCCATAAGATACAAACAATCAATTTAATTATAACATCTTGCGAAATTGACTGACTAGTTGAAGCTACGTTTCAGATTAAAACACGTGGAGAGTGGCTAGTGGTTGTAACTTCTAAAATCTTCCAAAACACCATAGAAGAAGGAACAATCTGTTAGCAAAAGAATAAAAAGAGAGTGAAACCCTAATTTCCAGCGAGAAGAAAAGGGTATTAATTTTCTTTCATGTGCTTCATAGATAGACGTCAAAAGGTTTTTTTTGTTTTGTCTGTCACGCGATCATGGATTACTCCGACGACGACATCGAATCAGGGGATGATAGTCTATACACTGACGAAGGGGCCGATCTCGATTATGGATTTGCCGAGGAAACATGGAAACCATCTCAGCTAAGTAGTTACGTAGTTCTCAAGGAAGAAGATATTCGCAAGCAACAAAGAGACGATATCGAACGACTTTCTACAATTCTCTCTATAAGCCAAGCTGAAGCGATTGTTCTGCTTCTTCACTATCATTGGAATGCTAGTAAAGTCGAAGATGAATGGTTTACTGACGAAGAGAGAGTCCGTAAAAGCGTTGGTATATTGAAGGAGCCTCTTGTTGATCTTAACGAGAGACAACAAGTGGATAATAATATTGAATGTGGAATTTGCTTTGAATCATATCTTCAAAAGGAGATCTCAACTGTTTCTTGTGGTCATCCTTATTGCAATACTTGTTGGACAGGTTTCATCACTACGGCAATCAACGACGGTCCGGGATGTTTGATGATTAAATGTCCCGAACCTTCATGTTCTTCCGTGGTATGTCAAGATATGATCGATAAGGTCATCTCTAAGGAAGAAGTTAAAGACAAGTACTATAGATATTTGTTTAGGTCTTACGTGGAAGCGAGCGGGAAGAAGATGAAATGGTGTCCGTCACCGGGATGCGAACACGCGATTGAGTTTGGGAGTGGAAGTGGAAGTGAAGATTATGATGTTTCTTGTTTATGTTCTTATGGCTTCTGCTGGAAATGCGGTGAAGCTGCTCACCGTCCTTTGGATTGCGAGACGGTGTCGAAATGGATACTTAAGAACAGTAGTGAATCCCAGAACACGACTTGGATACTTGCGAACACAAAGCCTTGCCCTAACTGCAAACGTCAGATCGAGAAGAACAGAGGTTGTAACCATATGAGGTGCTCAATTTGTAAACACAGTTTTTGTTGGGCTTGTCTTCGTCCGCTGAAGGATCACGTGAAGTGCCACAAGTTTAAGGGTGATGATGAGACGGTAGTTAAGAGAAAAAATGCGAAAAAGGAAATCAATAGATACATGCATTATTATGAAAGATGGACAATGCATCAATCTTCGTGGCTAAAGTCTATGGAAGCTTTGAAGAAATTGCAATCGGTGCAGCTTAAGAAGCTTAGTGTCAAACAATGCACACCAGAAACGCAGCTCCAGTTCATCCTAGAGGCATGGCGTCAGGTTAGTGTATACATACATGTATTTATTACAACATATTTTGTTCTTAAAATCAAATATCGATGTCTCATGTGATTGATATTACGATTGCAAGATCATTGAGTGTAGAAGGGTCATGAAATGGACATATGCATATGGATACTACCTTCCTGAGCAAGAACGAACCAAGAAACAGTTTTTCGAGTATTTGCAAGGAGAGGCTGAAGTTGGTTTGGAGAGGCTTCATCTCTGCGCAGAGGTGGAGTTGGAACAGTTTTTCTGCAAATCTCAAGATCCATCCATAAATTTCCTTGATTTCCGGAGGAAATTAATTGGTTTGACTGAAGTAACCAAAACTTACTTCGAAAACCTGGTGAAAGCTTTGGAGAATGGTCTTGCAGATGTGGGGCTTAATGAGAGAAAATCAAGAACAAAACCTAAACCTTCTACCAAGAGACGAAAGTTGGTCAAGTGACAACGGTATCAAGTAAGATCCAAGTGGCCGAGTTTTATGACAACTTTTACCTTATTCTCTCCCTTTTTATTCTTTAGCAGCATATAAGACAATGCCTTGTTATTTTTGAACTTTTTTTTTGTTATTGGTTATTTGAAGTTTGAGTTTTTATTAGCCTGGTCTTACTTCTACTATTGCAATTTTGGTGAACCAAAACCAGTTTATATTCTAAACAATTACACCCAGGCCAAGAGCGAGAGGAGTGATATTGGAATTGAGAGAACTTCCATAAAATATGATTTAACATCATTTTGATTGTCCACAACTTGCAAACAAATCCATATATGAATTATGTGTTAAGAAAAGGAAGACCTTTGACTTTGAGACAACAAGAATAAAGAGCTTTCGTGCTACTTATGAATATGATACGTTATACATTGTTGTTACACGATAAGACATTATATTGACAAACGGGAGAGGGCGCCGTTTATAGTATCATGAGAAAGTGAGCTCTTGAATTGCTGACTTCTTCTTTGTGTTTCTGAGTTAAACATCCTCTGTCCTATACGTGCTGCGAAATCATCCATTTGTTTAGATAAAAAAACTAATGATGGCATATGTGACATGTTGGCTCTAGGCAAATGTAGATAGATCCAAGATAAGTAATAAAGTTAATGATGCCAGAGGAGAGGAGGAGACATGCGTGACGGCTAAGAGACTCCAACACGATGATAAAATAAGATTTGATTTGATTTAAGATCCAATTCAAAGATAGAGTAAAAGTTTCCACTTTCAGAGATTGAGTCAGCAAAAAAAAAACGTTGAAGAGCATATAAACCCTGCATCACTCCATACTTAATGCAGTCAACGTGCTAGAATGTGGATCCTAAATTCCCCCCACCACACGTGCCTTTTGTCGCGTGTTTGTTACACTCTCTTCTATGCGCATCAATCTGATATAGGCGATTGAAATCCACGCGCATGAGTGAGAGTAGAAGAAGAGCAACGTCTTTTTTTTGGTTTTCTTCTCCTTAAAAACCTCCGTCATCGTTCCGGTTTGTTTCAACGTTGCCATCCAAAACCCCTTATTCTCCAACATTTCTCTCTTCTTCTTCTTCCTCAATTTAGTAACTCTAAAGCTCTAAGCCTTCCAACAATGGCGGAACCAGTTGTCGAGGAGAATCATACGCCTCCTCACACTAATCCTTCTAAATTCGATTCTTCCATCGTGATCCCTTCTCCTTTTCCATTCGATGATAATTTCTACAATTCTAGCTCCGATCAGGCTTTACTTGAGAAGTCGATCTCTGATCTGAGGTTTTTGATCGACGGCGACGGAGACTTCGAGTTGACTTTTGACACTGTCGACGACCTCTACTTTCCATCTGAGAACAAATCGTTCGCAATTCCTGCTGATGCTACGAACCGAGAGACGTTCGGCGATTTTACGCCGTCGTCGATAATTTCAGGCGATTGTGTGTTATCTACTTCAGGCTACTGCAATCGGAAATCGCCTATGGATTCTGCTTGCTCCGGTACTGAGCAGAGCTTGAGTTTATCGACTCAGAAGCTTAAGATGGAAGAGGAAGCTACTACGACATCCATTACGAAGAGGAAAAAGGAGATTGAAGAAGATACGAGCGACGAATCGAGGAACAACAAATACAGAAGATCGGATGCAAGCGTTGTCACAGGTGGTGAAGAAGATGATGAGAAGAGGAACGCGAGACTGAATAGAAACCGTGAAAGTGCTCATCTATCAAGGCAGAGGAAGAAACATTACGTAGAGGAGCTAGAAGAAAAAGCCAAGAATATGCAATCCATAATTTCGGATTTGAACAGTAAGATGTCTTATTTCATGGCCGAGAACGCCACTCTGAGGCAACGAGTAGGTCCCGGAAGTGGCATGTATCGGCCAATGCCTTACCAGTGGATGCATGTATCGGGTCCGGCTTATATGGTGAAACCGCAAGGCTCTCAAGTGCCTCTGCTTCCTATTCCTCGGTTGAAAAAACCACAACAATCGGTTCCTAAGGCGAAGAAGAGAAAGAAGGTTGCTAGTGTTAGTGTTCTTGGTTTCCTCTTTTGTCTATTTTTGTTTGCTGCATTGGCTCCCACTGTGAACTTAAACTATGGAGGAATTAGCGGTGCCTTTTATGGCGAGTATGATCAGCTTAGAGGAAGAGTCTTGGATGTGTCTGTTAATAGCAATAGAGTAAACTGTGGAAGAAACGTATCTGCAAGAGAGAACTCTGTGCCTCGTAGAAATAGTAGTGAGCCTCTAGTTGCATCGCTGTTTGTTCCGAGGAATGAAAAGCTTGTCAAGATCGATGGGAATTTGATTATTCATTCTGTTTTGGCGAGCGAGAAAGCCATGGCTTCTGAAAAGAAGATCCAAGGGAAAAGTGTTGCAGCAACTACTAAAGAAGTTTCTTCTGCGTTGCTTGTACCTGACTTCACAAGGCTGAGCGAAAAGCGGAAAGCTATGTCATCTTCTAGCTTTGATGATATTTTGAAAGACCAATCCGAATCAAGAACAGCTAATGGTGAAATGCAGCAGTGGTTTCGTGAAGGTGTTGCAGGTAATCACAAGTTTACTAATGTTACTGATTCTCTCCCTTGATATGATTATGTAGGAATGCTAATCATCTGTATCCATTAATAGGGCCAATGTTCAGTTCAGGGATGTGCACCCAAGTGTTTCAGTTTGATGTCTCCTCAGCCTCAGGAGCCATCATCCCTGCTTCTCCAGCTACTGAACACTCTAAGAACACTACTGATACACTCAAGAGAAACTACAACAGAAGAATTTTCCCTGGTGGTCTTCTGATATCCGATCTCAACCTAACCAAAGACCAAAACAGCTCTAGCAAAGAAAACTTCCGGGAAACCGATCCCACCCCATCAACGGTAGTATCAGTACTTGTTGATATCGGAGAAAGTGGTGACGGAGACATCAATGTGAAGATCGGAGGAGCAAAATCACTGTCCAGAGTTTCCATAGTCGTGCTTGTGGACGGTGTGAAGTATGTAACATACTCCTGCGTTCTTCCACAACCAGAAGTCCCTCATCTCCTAAACACTTGACTTGCTCTGTATCTACTGTCCTTAGCTTTTACCTTTACTTTTATATAGCAGCTTATACCATTGTTTGTTTTTTGAATCGAGATATAGAAAGCCTAACCACAGTAAGTTATACAATCAAGCCTCTTCACTGTCTACTGTTTAACGATAAGAGCAGCGAGCAAAGAATCCGAGTAAAATTTTTACTAATCACAGAGATAAATCCTTCACACAAACAGTATGCTCTTAGTTTTTTTGAGTACAGAGTCAATAGCAATACCTCTTTGATTTACAGTTGAAAAGAATCGAGAATGGCTTCAAGAGTCTTCTGTGAGCTCTGCCACTGCTTCTCAGTAGCACTCACAACAAACAGAACCACCGTGTTTCCCTTTGCCGTCGCTTTTGCAAGATTGTGACTTCCCGTTAGCGCAAACGGCGTCTCCAATACATACTTGTAGTACTGTCATAAACACACAAGAATCAGAAACAACTTTCCTTCAATAATTTGATTACTCAGAGAAGAAGCAAAGGTCATTCTCATTGACATCATTACCGTTTGATCTCCGATCTTTTCGATTGAAGTCTTCAAAAGCTCATCAGAGTCGTAAGAGTTTCCGGTGACAAACGGACCAAGAGAAGCGATCACTTTCTCCGGCTCACCGAGATCTTCAATAGTTGCATTCGGTTTGTTTGTCAAACGGATCAAAGGAGACGCCACAACTTGAACTTTGCCTTGCTTCTCGTTCTCAAACTTGACTTCGATCCATGGCTCTGCACATTTCGGTTGGCAGTAGTTACCTGACAAAATGTTGGCTATTCTCAACTGTTTCCAATTCGGCGGTAGAACAAACTGATACGGCTGCACATTTCCTGCAACCACACTAGATTTCAAACATCATTAATTTACCAAAAGTTACCAAACTATTTTGGATCCAATTCTCTAGAGAAACAAAAAGATCCAAAGCTGCCTCATTTACATTTAACCACACAATTACGCAACTAAACTTGTTTAGACTGATAATCATGATTGAAAAGAGACAAAAGTAACTGAATTTTGATAAGTAATGAACAATGCAGAGGAAGGAGAGTGGGATTAGGCATCACCTGCGCGGAGAGCAGGAGTATCGGAAGGTTTGGCTTTGAAGAGGACGAAGGAAGGGTCAGACGGAGACGGTGGTAAGTACGATCCGACTTCAACCTCACGCGCCTCCGCGATTGGAGCTTCTTTCAGATTCAGAATCGCCGGAATCGCTACCGCTGATTTCAACAACAGCTCTCTCCTTCTTTGTTGTTGTTGTTGCTGCTGCGAGGATGCAACAATTACGCTGGTTCTTGCTCTAATTGATGCTGGAGATTTCGGAGAGGCAGGGAAGATTTTGGAAGTTGGAACGAGAGATGCGGTCGCCATTTTTGTCGGAATACAACGAGCTTTGTGCTCTTTTCTTCTCTACAATTGAAGTTTTTTGATTTGAGAGGTTGAACGTTTTCCGGTTTTGGTGTCATTTGGATAAGGCAATTTGGAAGTGAAAAGGAGACTTCGGTTCGGTCCACACAACACAACCATTTCTAAATTCTAATTGCACAATTAGCGAAAATCCGAAATTACCCTCCAATAGTCCAATTCATGCTTGTGTTGTAATTTAAAAGATTGCAACTTTTTTGTGAAAAAAAAGATCTAAAGCTATAGCATTTTAGCTAAGTTTGTATTGAATTTCAGTTCTACAAAATGATACATTTGTAGAAGAACAAGAGTTTGTGGAGTTTCCAGAAGAAAAAACACAACTTGCTTTATTTTCTTTTTTTGAGCCGGCAATTACAATCACAACATGAAAACAAATGAAAGAAAGTGAAATCGTCGATTCCTCCAAAACAAGAACTATGAAAAGTGTTTCACCAAAAAAAAAATCATATATATATGAAAAGTGCGTTTTACATCTATGACGAAGACTAATCAAGTCTTCAATTATTAACAAACTTAGAAAATTAAACAATGAAAAGAGAGAGAAGAAAAAAAAAAGTAAATTCTTTTATTTGACATGTTCTTTATCAAGAACACATTTAATTTCTACGTCATTCTTATGTGTTTCGTCAATCCTCCGATCTCTGTCCCAACAGAAACTTGTTAACAACCGTCTCAAAATTCACAACCGAGGAGCCACGTTTACTCTCCGTCGCTTCCTCCGCCAACCTCCTCCACTCCTCCGCCTTGGCTCTCATTTTTTTCCCACTCTCTCCATCCATCAGCTCTCTAATCACCGTCTCAATCTCCTCCCTCTTCACATCTCCGCCTATCTCCTTCCCCACCTCCCATTCATCACAACAAAACTTACAATTAGTTTGCTGGTCCGCAAAGAAAGGCCAAGACACCATCGGAACACCACACGACAGACTCTCCAACGTCGAATTCCATCCATTGTGCGTCAAGAAACCTCCAACCGCCGGATGAGAAAGGACTTTCTCTTGAGGACACCAATTCGACAGCATCCTCCGGTTTTCCGTTTCCTTTAAAAACTCAGCCGGAACCACCGCTTCCTCTCCGGCCACTAAATCCGGCCGGATCACCCATAAAAACTCTTTCCCACTTCCCGCCAAACCCCATGCAAACTCCACAAGCTGCTCTGAAGTCATAACCGTTATGCTTCCGAAGTTGACGTAAACAACACTGTTTAGAGCCTTAGCGTCGAGCCAACTCAAACATTCCGTCTCCTCTTTCCATAAATTCGACCCCATCCTTCCAAGATCACCACTTTCTTCAATCTCTCGGTTCGTTAAAAGATGAAGCGGTCCAATTGAATAAACCGGAGGTAGAATGGATTGCATAGACCGGATGACATCATGCTCGAGTGCATCGAACGTGTTGAAAATGATAGCAGAAGCACGTTTGGCTCGTTCCGTCTCGCGGATGGCGAAATTCAACATAGTGTCATCAGGATTAGTGGTACGGATGAAAGTAGGAATGTCTTTTAATCTTAGATTCTTCATGGACGGTATCCAATCTATTACCGTGTTGTCCAAGTACTCCTTCGTCAAGCAACTCTCATCTGCCAATATTTATCCCAAAAAAAAAAAAAAAACTCTCATCTGCCTACCTAATGATCTCATCAAATAAATCATATTAATCAATTAAGGCCACGTACCTTTGAATGGACATAAACCCTTTTCGGCGAAGAGATAGAAGTGTAGAAAAGCCATGACGCTACAAACACTAGTGGTCCAAAAAAGAACATCTGGGACACCAAGCTTCTCTGCAGCATCAAGAGTGAAAGTCATAATACCGTCGGATACGATGCAGCTCACCGGGGGGACATTATTATCTCCGGCGTTGAGCCGCTGGAGAAGGTCTTGAAACGGAGTCAGACAGTGCTTCATGGTGGACTCGCAGAGGGAAGTGATGTCCTGCGTGGCGTCCGCGTCTGTCTCCGGTAGACCGTCAGGGATGGACTCGAACCGGAAGGAAGGAAGCCCGTCTAGGGCGTTGGGGCCACGGGACCGGAGGAGACGGTTGTGGTTGTAGATGGTGTTGACGAAGGTAACATGGAAGCCTCTAGCGTGGAGGAGTTTAGCCACTTTTAGCATCGGATTGATGTGGCCTTGAGCCGGGTAAGGCACGCAAACCGCGTGTGGTTTCTGTGCCTGCTTACAAACTACATGAGATCCCATTTTCTTTCTCTCTTCCGCCAAGAAAAATATGAGTTTTTTGCGAGTGTGTGTGTGATGGCCAGGCAAATGTGATGTCTCCTTGTGCTAAGTTTTGATCTACACCATTACATATATAGAGAAAAAATAAATAGGTGAGTCTACAGTATGTGTTTGTAGGACGTGGTGGTTGTCGACAAAATCCATTTTGTCATAAGCAAGAGCCACCTCGAGGCCGGTATTTGTCGATTATTGGGTGGAGTTTTACCTAATTAGAACGTAGGGTTCGGCCTTGTGTCTTATACATACGTGGTTCCATTGTGCTTCATGTCTTTGCAACCAAACTTTAGGTTTTCAATTAATTAAACTTAATATTGATGTATATGTGATCACATGGCAATTAAGCATGTCTACGATAGGCATGCTTGTCCATTTCTTCTTCGATTTTTTTTTCTTTACTTTTCAGATTACCTGTATGCCGAACAATCTGGAACTAGTTATCTTTTGAATTTGTAATTTCCTATTTTTCGTTGTCTATTATTCAGTCACGAAAATCCTCCTATATTGCCAAGTAAAGGCTGATTGGAGAAATACTTTCATCTTGGTGAAAAGAAAACCATGAAACTGGTCATGATCTAACTTATTCAATTCATAAGTTCATTACCATGGTTTTGTAGGTGGTATGGTCCTCTATATGTCGATAAAGAAATTGTTGTGACTTTGTGAATTAGTCAGCTTTCGGATATCGATTGCCGTATGTGAAATATCTTGAATGCATGCACAATTGGAAAAGACGTGATAAAGTATATAAACCAGACCTAACTTGACCAACAAGCTAACTCAAGCTCTTTCGTGTACACTCACAAACAAACCTCCTCTGATTCTAAGTGTCATTGACAAGAGAATCTCAGGACGCTCCATCTTCCCAGGAACCTCAACCACAAACCTCTCCAACACCGATGCGACAATCGATTTCATCTGAATATAAGCCATCTCTTTCCCTAAACACATCCTAGGTCCCGCGTGAAACACAGGAAACTTATAAGGACTCTCACCTCTAAACCCACCATTCGTTTCATCAATCCACCTCTCTGGCTCAAACCCTTCACAATCTTTCCCCCAAACACTCTCCATCCTCCCCATCGCATACGCGTTGTAACTTATCCCCCAAGCTTCCCCTACAAACGTTCCATCAGGCAACACATTGTCCTCAGCACAGCTCATTGTGTCCACAGGCACAGGAGGATACAACCTCATCGATTCTGTTATTGCTGCGTGAAGATAATTCATCAATTTAAGATCTTCAAACCCGTAAACTTCTCCGACTCGCTTCCCTGTTCTTGCTCTGATCGAGTTTAGTTCTTGGATGATCTTGTTCTCTACTTGTGGATGCTTAGAGAGCAACCAAAAGAACCAGCTCAAAGCAGAGGACGTCGTGTCTCTTCCCGCGAGGATGAAGCTTATGACAATGTCACGGAGTATCTCCGGCGAATTCATCTCCTCGATGTTGATAAACCGGGAAAGCAAATCCTCGTCTGATTTTCTTCCTTGATCAATCCTGTGACGCACGATTTCGTCGGCGAATTTATGGACGGTCACGATTGATTCTCTAAGAACTCTCTCTGATCCAATGTTTAGTTTCTTTTTTATCTTCCATGAATACGAAATCACGGATTGAAACCGCTGCGAGATGATCGTCGCCGCCGTTTCGAATGCGCGCATGAAGTCTACACCGGCGGCTCCGTCGTCGCCGAGGCAAGCGGAATCGACGTTGAAGGCTAATTTGCAAATGTTATCGAACGCGAATCGCTCCAATATGTCTTGTAGGTCAATCGATTTTCCGGCCGCCGCGGCTTCTGCTAACACCGGAACAAGCCTGGAGGATACGTCGGAGAAAATCTGAGAATCCGAAACTGAAATTGAAAAGTGAAATTGATTACATACCTGGTGTTGATTTCGACGGTGACGTTGGTCATGACGAAATCGCGGAGCGATCTGGTACTGAACTCGTAGCTCGCCGTCTTCCTCTGTTTCCACCACATGTCGCCGTCGGAGTTGAAAATCCCGCGGCCGAGGAAATCCTCGAGAATCGAGATGAATCGCTCGCCTTTAGGGAAACTATCGAATTTGGTCTTGAGGATGTGCTCGACGTTCGCTGGATTCGCCGTCATGACGAATTGTTGCTTCCCTGGTCGCCGGAAAATCGCCGTCTGGGTTGGGCATTGTGATAGCGTCTCTACAGTCCAGTCGAGGAAACGGTGACGGTTTTTCACCAATCCAGGTAGGCTTCCGACGATCGGGTACGCCTTAAAGCCGGATTGTGACGAAGAATGGTTGGGGAAGATGAAGAAGATGAAGATAGGGATTAGAAGGAGGAAGATGATGATGATGATGAAGAGCTCCATTGATTTCGTTTGTCTTTTCTTTGAGCTTCACTTTAATCTCATCGTCAATTTGAAACCAAGTGGCAAGTGTTAGTGGTGGCTACGAAACTACAAATCAAAATTGACTTGAAACAGTTTGAATGAGAAAACAAAACTCACTGTAAACAGTTTTATGGGCTTATTAACGGCCCAAAATAGTTGGTATATTGGACTCAATTCAATACAAACCCAAACCCAGTAACATTGCTTGGATTCAACGTTTTGACACGTCACCCTCAGTGTTGAGAAATGGGCTTTGGAATCGAGTTTTCTGACGAACACTTTTATAACATGTTGTGGTAAGCTAAAATCATAAAATTGCATTTGGGTATAACATTGGAGAAAAAATAAGATTTGTTACAAAGGTAAAAAGAATGAGAAAATTCTTAATTATGAAGTATTTACACTAAAATATTGTTCTGCTGCAATTAAAAGTGGATATTTTCATTAAGATCGAACTTTTTAATAGATTTGAGTCCTACTTAACTTGCCTAACATTCATCTTTTTAAACCTACTATATATAGCATAAGAGATACTTCAATTATTGAAAGATAAGCTCGACAAGATTGCCCAAATTATTGGACATTTTTTGTTTCAACAAATTATTGGGTACTAAAAAGGAGAGTAATGACTCATGGATATGTATGTTACTCTCAGATATTTATGTTCTAAAAGAATTCTTTGACCAAAATCACTTTTTTTCAATGAATCATCTGGAGTAGTAAAGAAATTGATGTTACAACCACGAAATGGACAAATGGGTTTCATAATGCATTTTTATGAAGAATAGTGATTTTTCTTTTGAAGTGTTTTCTTAACACACGCATGTCATAACCTTTACGTTGCATGTCAATATCTTACTAATCCATTAGATATTTCAATCATATCATAACCTTTACGTTGCATGTCAAATATCTTACTAATCCATTATCTCAGAACTAAAGTCATCCATATCTCACAACTCAACTGTAAAGAAAGTTAAAATTTTTGATTCATCGATTCTGAGACTTATTTTAAAATAAAATAAAAATTCAAGTGACTAAAGTGTGACCACTAGATATACATATGTTTTCTCTAAAATAGAAATATATACATGTATGGCGGAGATGATATGATAATATAAAACTTGACATGGGCAAAAAACAAATACCAAAGATTTAACATATCGTATAATAATTCTTTCCCAAAAGAATAATTTAATATCAGAAAAAGTTCGAGAACATACCCCTTTTTCCATAATTTGGGAATGTATATGTGTTTGCTAGCGAAACGTTACACATTTAAAATTTAAAGCTAGAAGTTGTTATATGTCTTATTGTATCTTTAGAAAAGAGAAAAGAAAAATAAAAGATTTGTTTTCGTCGCAAAAAGAGCAAATACGACGAGAAAAGTAGGATGCACGTAGTTGCTTTACTTAAGAAAAAAAATAGAAATAGAAATGTTTTGATGATAGAAATGGCTGAAATGCTAAGGAATATGTAATCTATGACTGATCTACGTGCATTGTATTTGTATTAGTCAGTCAAACTTCACTATTTATAAAAGAATTCTCCTTTTGAACACTTTTGAATAAATATATTTGTTTCCTTTTAACTTTTTTGGTGAAAACAATTTAAAGTTATAATATCGTGTTTGAGCTTAATCTTTGACCATCATATCATCAGCAGTTCGTGTGACAATATTTTGAACAGTTTCCTAAACTAAATTATTTTGGTATGGTCAATCATTACAAGTTCAGTACCTTTTTATTAGTTTTACTTTACCGGATATCCAACGAACCGAACTAAACAAAATCGCATTGTGTTTAAAGTTAATTTCAATTCGGTTTGAATGTTTCAAACAACGATCTAGCCGAAGATAAATGGGAGAGGTGGCCGAGGGCCCGAGCCCTGAGGGAAGTGGAACCTATTGGTGAAGAGAGTGTTGGTATGGTCGATCATTACAACTTGCCTTTTTAGTTGGATTTAAATTTATATAACCGGATATCCAACAAAACCGAATTGTATTGTACTATAAAGTTAATTTCAATTCGGTTTGGCGCCCATTTCGCTTTTCGAAATCCCATAATTTTCTTGAGTTTCTTGTCCATTCACGTACTCCACGCTTTGGCCGGTGGAATCTAAACTTTATTATGTGTTTCCTTTTCCTCCTTATTATATTTGGTTTATCTATTGCAGAGCCTTTGAATTTATCTCGTTAGCGTACAAAACTTTGACACGTGAAATTCGTGTTAACAAAAATGTTAAATCCTATAAAAAAATCTTATAAACAGAGAATGACACGGGATAAAAAAAATTGAGGTAAAAGTAAAAGGCTAAAAAGCCAATGATGAAAGATAGACTTAATAATGAAATATATCAGATATGATGAATGAGATAGAGTACTTAGCCTACACCATCTTAGTTCTCCATCAAACTCTCATAATTTTTTTTTTTTTTTTTTTTTTTTTTTTTTTTTTTTTTACTTTAACTTTAACTTTACTTTGTTCCACTTAATAACCCCAAAGGCAAGATATTACAAACTCTCATAATTGTCTCATGTTATTTGCTTGAATATCATTATACGTACTAAGTGGTACGGGATTGGAGTTGTATATATACATCTGATCAATGTAAGAGTTATACTATATATACACTTTGTTTTTAATATGAACGTGTTTGACGTTTTATGAATTATGGATTTGTGGAATATATCGGTTGTGTGTTTGTTTATTTCAACCACGAAGTCACTAAATAAAATTGTCGGTCTAAAATGTGAGTGGGTTAGAGATGAATTGCAAATGCTGGAATATGATTAGATGCCCATTTGGATTTGTTTGCCTCTTTGTTTCCATTTCTCTTTGGTACCCAAAAACGCACCTACATTCTTAACCGCACTTTATCCTTATTGTCTCTCTATCTTTATTCTAACCAAATCTTATATACCAACGAGAATTTAGCATCTCTATGAACACCCCCTGTTATATTCCCATGGGTCAGCTCACATGCATCGAGTATTAATCATTATTTTACATTTTTTCTTTCGCAAATAAGCATATATAGCATAACATATATGCTTATTTATCATCAATTCATAACCGCTCTATATAGCAAGTTATCGAGTATTTCATTCACTAATCTTTAAAGTTAGTATAGTTATCGAGTATTTCATTTACTAATTTTTAAAATTAGTATAGTTATCGAGTATTCCATTCACTAAATTTTTATTTTTTAGTGGATTTAAAACGTGGTACTATTATGACTAGACGAAGAGAAATGAAAGAGTTCATAATTGATAATCGGATCCACGTGAACGAGTTTGCGTCAAGTCCTCTAATCATACCATTAACTACGTTATCACTACTTGATTATGTTTTAAGTTTTTCTTACCACGTATACGTATACGATACGATATATCCACAAATTAGGTATAATATGATCGAATCACTGTTTTATCAAATTGAAGAGATGTGTTTGGCAAAAATCTCCCCCAACTTTGTAAAGTATCCAATCCTCCCTCTCACTGATATCAATGCATATTCTAGCTAGAGAAGGTAATGGATCATGGCCAACTTGGTTTTATTTTAACTAAAAGAAAATAATGAAGCGCTTGCAACAACATAGATTAAGGGAAAAAAACATATCACTATAAATCAATTACTGAGATGTACTGATCTTTAATTCAACATAGTTAACTACAAAAATACCGTAATTATTGTTAAAAGGGTTTTAGTTATTATGAGTCCACACTTAGATAACCGATTCTGTGCACTCGTTACATATGCATTTGGTTAGTATAGAATATTAGTGTACCAAAGTTATTTGTTAGTGTTTACATTTGCGTTAAAATAACAATACACTCGAAATCTTGAATCTCTTCATGTTTCTGTTTATTGCATCAGCATTCACAGGGCGACTTCAATGATCACATCCCTATGGATAGGGTCAATGAGAGCACCCACAAAACCAAAGAAAGCATTTTGCAACATCACAGATATTATCTTTATCAAAAAAAAAAAAACATCACAGATATTATTTCATCTGCGGGTCCCACAAACAACGTAAGCTTGGTCCCACTTTATTTCTGCTGCCACTTGTAATTCACTCCGTCCACTTGTGTTTCGTGTTTTTGCTTTCCCAACGTCAGATTTATAATGTTGATATCGGAGGGGATTGTTTGTTCACTGCTCATTACGTATGCAATTTTTTGTTTCCACTTTCATCGGTTTAATTAAGTTAACTTTTGGTTTTAAGTTTTGATCTATATACTAAAATGAATATCTCAAATGTTAAAATGCTATACACATGTTACTATTCCATCAATTTTCTCTGCTCTTGAGAATATATATTTGGTGCAGTCCCCCCTAAAAAAAGAAAAAGAAGAGAAAATTGAAGATAATTCTTACGGAATCGAAAACAGAATAATAAATGCGAACGTCACTAAAAAGGAGAAATTATCAATAATATTGATCAGAAAGAAAAAAAAACAAAAGGGCATTCGAACTCATCCGAATACGATGCTCTATAAATACAAAGAACCTCTCACCACTTTGTTCGTAAGAAGAGCACAAGCCAGACAGACCAGTGGCGTCCGCGTCTCCTCTCTATTCCTATATCCATTTTGGAATTCATATTTCTATAGATTTTAAAAAGAGAGAATATTTTAAGATGGGGTTAGAGATGTCAGAATCAGCCAAGCCCTACTTCGCAATGGTATGCCTCCAATTCGGATACGCAGGCATGAACCTCGTGACCAAGCTTGTCCTTGACCGTGGCATGAGCCATTACGTCCTTGTGGCTTATCGTAACGCCTTTGCCACGGCCGTCATCGCACCTTTCGCTCTTCTCTCCGAGAGGTAACATATTAGGTCTTATTATCGATAGAAATGTATAAAGTTTCATTTAAATTAGAAGTTAATAATTAATTTGGTGTTGTATAGGAAAGTGAGGCCGAAGATGACATTTCCAATATTCATGCAAATATTTGTTCTAGCTCTACTTGGGTTAGTTTTCTCCAATTTGAATCATTTTTCGATCGAAAACATTCGCTTGATCCTTGATGTGTATATGAATACCTTATTAATTTTTGTAAACAATCAACAACAGGCCAGTGATCGATCAGAACTTATATTACGCCGGTCTTAAACTCACTTCACCGACTTTTGCCGGCGCCGTCACCAATATCGTGCCTGCTTTAACCTTTATCATTTCCACAATTTGCAGGTACCTAAATCTAAAGCATGACTTTGTAATTAATTATAAATTTATAATGGTAGCTAAATACAATAGGTTAATTCATACAATATGGTACGTTGTTAATGATGTACTATTTAATGCTTTGGTGATAAAAAAAGGATGGAGAAGGTGAAGATTAGAAAAGTAAGATTCCAAGCAAAAGTGGTGGGGACATTAGTGATAGTGGTTGGAGCCATGTTGATGATTTTATTCAAAAGCCCCCTAATCAGCTTTCTCCGATCATACCTCATCGGCGATGCCTTGTCGCCGGCCGGAGAGGACTACCTCAAGGCCACCGTCGTCCTCCTCATCGCCTCGTTTTCATGGGCTTGCTTCTTCGTTCTTCAGGTACTTGATTATATTTCTTAGATGACACACGTAATTCGAAAAATTGTCTAAATTTTGCTGTTTTAGAAAGAAAGAAAGAAAGAAAAAGATAAATTACAAAATTTAATTTGCAATATTTTTAGTTAACATTTTGTCCTAACGAATTAGTACAATATTGTCTTTATTTCTTTAGGCAGCTACGTTGAAGAGATATTCATCTCACCTTTCATTATCGACGACGGTGTGTTTCATGGGAACGTTACAGTCCACAGCCCTAACCTTTGTGATGGAACCAAACCTTTCTGCATGGAACATTGGCTTTGACATGAACCTTCTCGCCTCTGCTTACGCGGTTCGTACTTCTTCTTGATAATATATAATTTTGTGTTATATATATCGAATTATACTACTTAATAATGGGATGTGTGAATGTATACATTTATAGGGCATAATGTCGTCGAGCATAGCGTACTATGTTCAAGGGATGATGACGAAGCAAAAGGGCGTTGTCTTTGTCACTGCTTTTAACCCTCTAGTTGTCATCATCGGATCTATCATTGGCGTCCTTATCCTCGGCCAAAAATTATACCTTGGCGGGTAAGCAACCACTGGATTTTGACTGATTAGGTCATATGGCTCGATCCTCATACTGTGTCTAAACTACTACAAATTTTCCTTAAATTTTGATTCTGTAATTTTAGGGTTCTTGGAATGGTGATTTTAATGGTGGGAGTCTGCGCGTTGCTATGGGGAAAGGAAGGGGATGAAGAAGAGTACACTGAGGAGAAGTTTCTAGAAGTTGTCAAGTGTTGTAACAGCTGCGTAAAGAATGATCTCTCGACGATGCCAAGAATCGATGAGGAAGAAGTAGACGTTGAAATGCAATCTACCGAGAAAGCTAAGGTGGTGGGGGCTGGTTTATTGTAGTAGTCTCGTGTGTATAAAAATGTTCACGAGCTTAATTAGATTGTTTAAAGTCTTTTATTTTTTTGGTTAGATAGTAGTGGAGCAACTTTTTCTTTGTTTATGTTTTATATCGTGCTCCAACTTTTTGTGTTTAGTTTTTTTTTCTTTCTAATCTTAATTAGTAGGGCCATTATGACTAAATAAATGTTCCAAATCTATCAGACCAATTAGATGAATAATCGCATTCAAAGATGTTGTAGTTGACCAAATATGGACCCTTGCTTCTTGGTACAAAACGATATGAAACGGAGGCGTTTTGCAATTGATTGCCTATAAAACGTAGCACCTACAAGAGTTGGCAAAAAAAAAAAAAAAAAAAAAAAACTACAGTCTACAAGTAACTGCCTCCATTAAACACAATGCATAAGATCAAATTGTTACAACTATGTTTCCTATATATTCCTCGGATTTCATTGTAAAATAAAGCAAGAAGTATTCAACAATTCACAACTCAAGAAAAAAGGAAAAAGAAAAACTTGATGGCTTTCAAACCAAGTAACGTCAGCAAATCAATGGCTGCAGTCTTATTCACGATTGTGGCGATGGCTGCATTCTCATCTGCAGCCACGGGTTTAGGTCAGTCTCCTGAATCAGACGCCGTGGTTAACCAATGTCTGGAGAGGATGTCTCCAAGGTGTGCAATGTATACCACGGCCGAAATGTTTCACCATGGTTCGTTAAAACAAAGCGGATGTTGTCAAGAAATTTATCACATGGGACGTATGTGTCTTAACATCGTGACAAAGCATGTAATCAATTCGCTTTTACCCAAGCTTGAAGATGTTCAAAAACGTGACCTTATGGAGAAAAACACAATACTATGGTATCTTTGTGTTCCGGCGGTTTAGTAATTTTGTCTTGAATATCAATTTATGTTTTTGTAACAGAAAATGCATTTTACATTTATAACAAGTCCAAATCGAGTAATACTAGTTAAGTTATATTATTATTTTTCTCTCTAATTTATTTTTATATGAAATAATTATGAGCCAATGTCATCTCAATTTTGATGCGATCACATAAATTCAAGATTTTTTTTTCCTGAATTCAGTATTTTAACTTTTCGAACTTTCAACAAGAAATTACGTAGAAACTTAGTTGCAGTAGAGCATATATCAGTTACATTAATCACTTTCTTGTAGACTATATACGACACTTAATATATTCAGACAAAAGAACATTATAATAATTAATTTGTGGATTGGACGGCTTTAGTTTGCTCGTCTCAGTTTCCATTTGCTTTTCTATGTTATAAACATCTGAATCTTAATCTCATCTCCCGTTGGTTTGTTCTTTCTCCGTTGTTTCTTTTAATATTTTTTCCCAAAGATGTTTCCTTCAGAACTTGCAAGAAGATCCAAATCTTGGCTTTGGTCCTTTGCTTGTTGATCCTTCAAGTGCTTCTGGCAAAAGCATCTGGAAACTCTGCAAGAACATCTCCCATTCATCTTCACTCATGTCACCGAAAGAAACACCTTCTGTTTCTTCATGATTCACACAGATCGGATGGCTCTTACTCCTCACGATACTCCTATCTTTCCATTCTTCTTCTCTGTTAACGTCCTTTGCAATCCACTGGTTCGGCGAACACATCATGAGAACAGATAGATTGGCAGAGAATGATGGAAAAAGAGGCTGTTTAGACACGTGAATGGTCTCTGGAAGCTCTTTGCATTGTACATCTTCAAATTCATCATCATCAAACTGAAAGATAGCACACTCTAGCTCAGCTTCAACTTCATTCCATTCACTACTATAATCATCATCGTCAGTTCCATCAACCACGCTTGCTTTTGCCTTGGTGCAGAGGATCTCCAACACACTAGAACTCTCTTCCCCTCCGCACATGTCCCGAGTCATCTTCTCTCCTATCTCTGCAAGACATAGCCCTGCAGCAGCAGCTTCTTTCAAGAAGATAGTGCAAACGATGAGAACCCTTAAAGAAGACTCCTGCAAAGAGCGTAGCTCACTTCTCAAAACCTCTGCGTCTTTGAAAGGGTCAAGCCTTGATATATACTGAAGCTCAGTCTCCGTGAACGGAACCGAAGCTTGAGGCCAGTTAAGCCACTCGAAGTAAGGATCGTCTAGGCATTCAGGTAAGCAAAGACCATGATCTATAGGCACTAGCTCGGCTGCTCCAACTCCACTCTCATCTTCTTGGTCATGTATCTTCTTCACCAACATGTTTCCAGCGTGTCTGTCAAGGTTCAAGACCCTCACATCAAGAATCCCAATCCTGTGAACCGACCCAACCGTGAAGCTTCCTGGTCCAAGCTCTCCTGCATCAAAGTCATGACCCACAAAACGTTGCAACGAAGCAACTTTATAGGTAGTGTCATTATCACTGACATGGAATGGAACGTGTGAGATTCTGACCAATGCGGTTGGTGGAACGCTGGAGAAGCCTTGGTGGTCTAAAAGGTAAGCAGCTAATTCACGGATTCCGGATTCACCAACCCTAATAGACCGTTTTAATCCCGGTTGACCTAGCATCAACCCACCAGAGCCTTTAGGGTTGTTGAAAGCTAGAGGCTCTTCATCAACCGGCTTTGCAACAGCAATGCTCTGACCTTTTCCGGTTTGGAGGAGATAAGCACCTCCTAAACCACTCGGTAAAAGTAAAGGCTGAGCTCCGGAGACCATAGCTATGGTTACTTCAGCTACAAGGGAGCGTATAGTGGGGACTTTCTTGCCACCGAGAATCTCAATACGCGGAGGAGCAGCAGCAGGGGATTTGAGACTGCCATCTATGGAGAAGCATGGAGTGGAAACGCTTCGGTGGTTCAAGGAGTGGGAAGCTGTGAGGTTGGTTTTTTGGTTAGTGTTGAAATCGAGAAAGTTGAAGTCGAAGTTGGTTAGAGATTGGAGTCTGCATCTTTGTGAAGATCGGCTAAACTGTGTGAACCGGTGGTGGTCGGTTAGTGGATCGAGAGCCACGGCCATACAGTTCATGCCAAAACTTGTTTGGCAGTGTTTTCTCAGATTATTTGTGGAAACTCTTCTTCGTCAATCATTTAAAGACCACCGTTAACAATGGTGTTCATTGAAAGGCTTGAATCCATAGTACCTGCAAATTCTCGTCTCTTTTAGTTGATGAACATAAAGAAACTCTTCTTCAAATATATATGTGTATATACGCAAACCTTATAATCCCTCGCTCCTCTAGTTGTAAATCGCAAGTTTCTGCAAAAATTGAAGCAAATAATCTCGTAAACAGAATCTTAAACATTTGTAAAAAATCAGGGAAGCCCTAAGAATCAAGAACAATTGCTTGAGGAACAAGTCACAAGAAAATCAACTTGATTGGTGTAAAAAGAAGAATTGAACGTACCCTGAATACGGATGAAGGCATTCAGGGGAAGAACGAAGAAAGATTTGAACAAAAAGGGGAGCGTCAGAGAACCGACACTGTCACCGGAAAAAAAAAAACTTCTGGGACTCCCCTCCCAGATTTCTTCTTTCTCCCTTATTTTTTTTTTTTCAAATTTAGTTTTCTATTTTCTATTTCTTTGATCTTCTCTCCTCTAAACCGTTTGTTCTTATGAAGGCTTTGATTTTTCCCGCTTTTGTAGGAGAGAAACACAAATGATATTTTCCCAAAATAGATATAAAACTTTGGAAACTGTTGATGGGTTTTTGTCAATAAAAAACAAACAGCTTTTGTCTGAACTCTTAAAGACGTTAATGGATACTTTAAGAGAGCCAGAGAGTCCTTACAAGCTACGAGTCTTAACTGATGAGAGAGATGATCATTGCCATCTTCGATCTCGAAAGGAGAATATTGTATAGTGACGTGATAACCACAATTTGTTAAAACAAGATTACTTTATGTACATACAAAACAAAAACAGAAATGTTTATATTTATAAGTCTGTTTTCTTTTCTTTTTCTCGGATGTAAGGTGCAAAACACACTTTTGTGTTGCAAACCTCAACAACTCTTTTACAAAAATAAACTCTCTCCATTTCCATACATACATTTTTTCTTTTTCGCCTTGTGTTTCCTTTATACAATTACTTTGATGTAGTTGGCCGGAGGAATTCTGCTTTTGTGAACTGCTGCCACTTTTTTTACAGCTTGAACGTTAAAAAGCAGTTTCTTCCTGACGCCTATTTTTTGTTTTTTTGGTTTTACAGAAAGATGCTTACAACTGATACTATTAGCAAGAGCTTCGATGATGCCCTTCTGAAGGTTGGACCAATGCTCGCAGAAGCTGTGTATAAACATATCACAGATTGATATGCTTTAGTTCAGGGAATTACTAAATCCATGGATGCAGACACTGAGAACAGAGAGAAGAGACTACTTACATGGAGTAGGAGAAGGTGAGGGAGCTTTTTCACCAGTTAGTTCTGATTCCGGGCTGCTTCTTGATGGAGGTGGGATATGAGCAAATACGACGTGGGGAAGCGGACTCGATACTGGGATGGCATGATGATGTGGCGGGGTTGGGTTTGGTGCTGGTGCGTGTGGCCGAGACCGGTGTGGTGCGGGAGTTGGTGGTGTAGTGTGATGGTTTCGAGCATTGTTTTCTTTCCGTCTCCTCTGCTCGTAAGGACAAGGCGGGTTTGTCGGGGGTAAAGGTAAGTGTTTGGTTGGCGCTGATGCAGGTGCAAGGCTCTTAGTTGCAGGTGTGAAGCTCTTAGCTGCAGGTGAAGGTTCTGGAGCAAGTTCATGATGGTTGTGATGACGATGATGATGGTGATGATGATGGTAGTAGTGCTGGTGGGTTTCAGGTTGAGGAGAAGGGGAAGGGGAAGGAGGCGATGGCTTGACGGGTGAATGTGGCAGGATTGAGGAAAGACGGACTTGCTTAACCTTACCGAAGACGGTGTGGTTTAGGCCGAGGTTTTTGGAATGGGAGCTAGTGATGGTTTGAGCAAGCTGCTTCAACCTTGAAGAAGAACCGAATGTGAGCAGAACAGAAGAATGAACTATAACAGGAGGAGCCACTGTTGAGCCTCTGGTGTTTGACAAGGTTATGTACAAGTTCTGCATTCAACAAGAGAGAGTTTGTGAGATTCAGAGTCATTAGTAATAGACTGAGCTTGTGAACTAGAAGTGGCATACCTCATAGGGAGACAGATTTATACCCTTCTTCAGCTGGCTAGTGAGTTCCTCGAAGTTTGATTGAATTTGGTAAATCGAAAAGTTTAATGTGAAGTTGAAGAGAATCTGTGCTTTCTGTAAAGGAAATATAGGCTGGGGAGGGATCACAGTGATTCCTCCTGGGAATTTTAGCACCTCGAAAGAGAATGGTTGCCCGAACAAGGATTCAGTCAAACGGAGAAACAGCTGCTTCTGGACCAGAGTTACAAAAGCTGCTTTGATCAGGCTCTCGATTTCTGCAGGTATCTTGGAATTCTCCTTCTCGGGATCAATGGCAAAAATAACCATTGTTCTGTTAAGATTACCCAAGCGTTCAAGGGCTAGCACCACAACCTGGGTCAAGAAAAGAAACAGAAGTTACAGAGTGATAAACATTGAAACCATTGAAATCCATGAAAGTGAGATAAGCTTAGTTACTTTGGTCATGGGAAAGCTTATTTCATCGGTGATATCATTCTCAAGCTGGAACAAATTTTCTTCCAAGAACGAAAATGGTTTTTCAACATCAAAACTCGCCACTATTCTGTGATCTGCAAAAGAAACAAAAACCCAAAAAAGTTATAATATAACGCAAGATATAGGTAACTGGTTCATAAACAGAAGAGGATGCTGGTTTTTATAAACACATATCACATGAAAGAAAATTTAGACACCAGAACTGCAGAGAAAAAGTTACTCAAACGTCACTGGCTTCAGAAGTAATTGATATCATTTCGAAACCAAATCAGAATCACTTGACAAAATGTGCTTGCAAATCTAGGAGACGCACTAAGCTATGCACTGAATAGCTCTAGGTTCTTGATTGATTCTACCAGCTTTGAGAATCGATATTATACACTAGCAATTTTAAACAAAAGTGGGAGAAAATTTGTTTTTGGTGAACTTGATATCATAAATGGAAACTAATCACTGTAAAGAGCCCCACTTTCCTACTACAGTCAGAGCCATATCCATAACATAACCGATATGCTGATAAAGCAATTTTGCCAATTTGCCTAGACAAGCTTAATGCAACATTCTGAAACATTTTTAGAAATCAACCTTTTAGGCAGTCTTGAATGAATAAAGGTGTTTACAATACTAAATTTGGAGTTCATGGTATCACCTTATGAGACAGTTCCAGACAAATAAAACACATCCTTATTGACTCCTCAACTCCACAGACCACAGTCTTAACATCAAATTTCAAACAAAATTCATACATAAGCAATAAAGAAATCGCCTAAAATAGCCATTTCTAAGTCCTAAGTCAATGCAAATTTTCATTCCCTACATCATCTCCTCAAAAATCCAAGGAAATCAATTAAAAATATAATCAATGGTTTATTCAGAAACGAGCTTTGTCCTGTTGTAGCAAATACTCCAGCTTTTCGACAGCTCATTCTCATTCATGTGAATTTCTCTCTACATTTCCATGTGAAATCCAGAAAGGAAGAGAAAAATCCAAAGAATCAAAAATCCTAGATCTACGCCACAATTCACATCAAGGAAGATAAACGCGAGCCACGACGGAATCATACAGACTAGAAGATCGAGGAAGACGCGAATTTTACCTTTAAACCTTGGATCGAGATCTAGATCCCCGCGATCTGATAATCCGAGGAATGGAGGCAACCAAAACAAGGCGGAGAGAAACACAGCAGCAGAGAAAGCAAGTATCAAAACGCATCTGAGACTAAAGTATCTAGAGATCGAAGCGCAGCAACAGCCGGAGCATCTGTTTCCTCCGCTATTCGTGGCCGTAGCGGTTCCGTCGCTCCCAGGGAGATTCTGCTCCTCGTCGGTGTTCTTCCCCATAACAAACGCATCCACAGCTTAAAACAGAGATTCATTCACGGAAAAAAACTCCAAATCTATTATCAAAGCTCCTCCGATCTACAGAGCAGTTGTACTAGTGAGCTCGTGTCAGTTTGAATTTCGAAATTTTTATATGTTTACATTTTTTTGCTTTAGTTTTCGGTTCAATTTCTTGTTTTAAAAGAATGACACATATATCACATTATCTTTCCCAAATATATGCAATGGTCATTTGTCAATTGTCATTGATCGTTTATTTGCTGTTTGTTTCTTATCGTTTATTTGGTTGCAAATCGTAAAAATAAAAGTTGACTAATCTACTAAAAAGAAAAAATGTCCAGTAAATAATCATTTAATATATGTAAACAGATACATCGTACATGTAATATTTTTAAGAAAAAAAAAATCGGAAAGATCAAAAATAGAAGGGCAAAAAGATATATAAATAACATTAGATTATTATTATCTTCATAATGCTATTAGCTAGCTAAAATGTTGTCTTTTTCCTTCTTTTTTTGCTAAAGAACCAAAATCTCAATCTACAAAATCCCAAAAAAAATAGAGGACAGAACTTGAACTTCGATTGGTCTATATCCAACTTCCATTTCTTTTTAGCTATGATTTTAGCCAACCTAATTTTGTTTTCTATTTAGCTAGCTAATGTTATTCGGGGTATAAGTAAGTTTTATACGAGACTAGTAAAGATTTAAGGAAAAAAAGGTTGTTAAACGACTGTGTCTAGTTGAAAAAAGTTTACAATCATATAATTGTTTCTAAAAGTTTACATAATGAATATGGTCCATTATGAAATAAAACTGTGATAACGATATTAGTCAACTTGTCATATTTTGTATTAATATTTATATAATGTAATTATTGAGATGCTTAATTATTTAATCAACTTGAGTACTTTTAATTTAGTACCTCCTTTGAAGCTTCCTCTAATTGTAAAGTCGGGAACTTTGGACTCTTGAAACGTAATGCCTGTTTCCATCATATTTAATTATTATTTTCGTTAAAAGGTTTTCATTAATTAAAAACTAGAGACTAAGTATAGGCTAAATCTAGAGAAAATTTTTAGAAAATAGAAAATACTAAAAACTGAGAAAGGGACTAGAAAAGGAAGACTAAAGACCACCACGGCCACGATAATGTAAGGATACAAGTTTTTAATTTTTATTGATTCGAAACTATGGAGTAAACTTCGCGTTATTTAGTAACAAACTATACATAAAGTCTTTTTACGAAAATCAAGGAAATCAATGAACAAATCACGTCCTATGAGGCAGAAACTCCCTGCAAGGTTGACCATCACTAGTTTCTCCAGTCGTACTGAGTAAGTGAACCAATAGTGACAGCTCCAGTTAATCCCTGGAGATAAAAAACATGTTTCTTTGAGCAAACAGAACCATCCGCAAAAGATTGGAGAAACAAGAACATGGAAATAACAATAACTTTACCTCTCTAAAGTGTTGGGTCTGAGGCATTAACGAACTGCGTGGTTGACGCATTGTACTGAGCTTCGGAGAGATGCTGAGGAAGTGAATCAATATTGAAAGCATCTAAGGAACCCTGCATCAAAACCATAACACAATTTTTCTTTAGCAACAAAACCAACTAGAGGAATAAGAAAGTTTGTGAAACAAGGACATGTAAAAAGCAGCACTTACCTCTCCAATCACTTGGCTCTGAGGAAGAAAATCCCTGCGTGGTTGAACAACACTAGACTCTCCAGTCTCGTACTGAGTGCGTGAACCAATAGTGTAAGCTCCAGTTAAACCCTAGAGATGAAAAACATGTTTCTTTGAGCAAACCAAAACCATCCGCAAAGGAGTTTGGAAAAGCAAGAACTTGGAAATAGAAAAACACTTTACCTCTCTAAATTGTTGGGTCTGAGGCATTAACGAACTGCGTGGTTGACCAGCATTGTACTGAGCTTCGGAGAGATGCTGAGGAAATGAATCAATATTCGCAGCACCTAAGGAACCCTGCATCAAAACCATAACACAATTTTTCTTTAGCAACAAAACCAACTAGAGGAATAAGAAAGTTTGTGAAACAAGGACATGTAAAAAGCAGCACTTACCTCTCCAATCACTTGGCTCTGAGGAAGAAAATCCCTGCGTGGTTGAACAGCACTAGTCTCTCCAGTCTCGTACTGAGTGCGTGAACCAATAGTGAAAGCTCCAGTTAATCCCTGGAAATGAAAAACATGTTTCTTGAGCAAACCAAAACCATCCGCAAAGGAGTTTGGAAAAGCAAGAACTTGGAAATAGAAAAACACTTTACCTCTCTAAATTGTTGGGTCTGAGGCATTAACGAACTGCGTGGTTGACCAGCATTGTACTGAGCTTCGGAGAGATGCTGAGGAAATGAATCAATATTCGCAGCACCTAAGGAACCCTGCATCAAAACCATAACACAATTTTTCTTTAGCAACAAAAATAACTGCAACAGGAGTTTGGAGGAAGAAGAAATATCTGTGATTGGTTTACCTGTGTAATATCTTGGCCAGTCATTTGCTTTTTCTCATTTGGAGGTAACGTCTCTTTTACAGTTTTGTATAGTCTACATATAATATTCTGAATCTACAAAAAGAGTGGCGCAGTTATAATTTCTCTATAACTTTTGAAAAAAAATTACAAGTGAATGAAGTGTAATAATACCTTCTCTTTTATATTGATCTTAGAATACTCTTCTATCAACCAGCTGGTTTTCTGCTGAGACCCTTGATAATATTCTAGAGTAATCTTGTTTCCCAAAACACGATCATGAACCCTAATTTTGTTCATCGGTTTCTTTTTTCTCCAATAGCCTTCTTTTGTTGACACAACACGATTTTGGGCCCAGGACGCATACTTCTTCTTTGACAGGAAGAAGTATGAGTCACGGTTTCCTTGTGTGTACCTAGCTGATAAGACAGATAAAATCACAGAGACATCACAAACTATGGAGAAAAATGAATAAACTCAATTACACAAGATAAAATCTCATGAAATCAATTGAAAATTCAGGGCAGAAAAAGGCAGTAACCTAATGCAATCATAAAGTCAAACGAGGAAATAAGCTCAAGACTATTCATTGATCAAGAACCACCAATGGTTCTTTACCAGCTTGTTTAGGACTTGCAAGCCAGGTCAAGAACCACCATTCGACGCCAAACGTCACAAATCACAATCATACGACGAAATAAGCATTATACAAGTCAAGACTTGACCCATTAGAGTAAACCTAAGTTTAGGACTTACAAGCAGGTAAAGAACCACCATTTGACGCATTGATCTTTATTCATTGATCTTGTTTAGGTGAACATATAGAGAACTACTTTAAGAAGAGAAGCGCAACTCTTAAACGTCACAAATCACAATCAAACAAGGAAATAACAGCGACGCAACTCTTAAATAAGCAACATACAAGTCAAGACTGAGATATTAAAACTTACAAGCCAGGACTTCTGGTGTTAAGGCGTAAACATTGCAAATATGGTTGATTGGGCAAGCGGTGATCTCAAAATTGACGCCATTGCTGAGTTCGTGAAGAAAATGCAGCAGGTCTTCGTCGGAAGGATAAAATCCGTATCCCCTGGGAAATCCCCACTTGTCATGTTGATACAGGGCGTGAAGGGCAACTTCGCTGGGAGCGAAATCGGAGGAAGTATCTGACGACGGCGGGGAATCTCGATCACGCTTCTTCATTGATCAAATTTTCCGGAAAGTAGAACGAGAGATTAGAATTAAGAGAAAGAAGAATTTGCAAACAAGAAGTAAGAATCAGAATCAGTTTTTTCTGTTAGTTTCTGTTTAATAGGACTCACACTCAGTGTGTATACAGTAATATATATATATGTGTGTGTGTGTGTGTGTGTGTGTGTGTGTGCGCGCGCGTAGTTGAAAAATTATAAAATTGATTGGAAAAAAAATTTGAGTTTTGGATTACCTTGAAAATCAAATAACTCCGCGAGGTGAAGAACAAGCATAGGCGTCAAAACGTATTTGCAAGTATGTCGATGCATGAACTGGAAGAAGACGTTTCTCGAGCTTCTGGATCTCATTCGCAGACGCCGACCAATTATCAGCAGACGCCGACCAAGCTTGGTCGCCGATATCTCCTTCTTCTCCTCCGAACACGAGCTCCATGGGGGCCACAGCCTATCGGGGCCACCTCGTTCACCACCGCGATGCCCGAAATCACTAAGAGTTCGCCGTGGTCGAGATTTTGCGGCGAACCCTAATTGCGTCGACATTGTGTGTGTACGAATTGCGAAGAATGAATGATATTAGTTTATGCTATACTCAGGCCCAACCTGATGGGCCGTTTGTTACTTTTCATATAAATCGTCTTCGGCGGCCTATCCACGAGTACTTATAAATTCATTAAATTATTCATTTTCCGAGAGATGTATTAGAAAAGTTGATCAAATATTAGTTGAAATTTAAATTTTAAAACTAGTCTCTGCTATTATGGTTTTTGAAATCTATTTTATTGACAATGTTAAAATACGATTACATCCACATTAGATTTTAGTAACTATTGCGTTAGAAGACAAAACAGACTTGACCAGTCAATATTCTTATTAAGAGACTGATGTACAATTAACCGAATGTTTTTCTTCTTTCAAATGTTGTATGCATGAAAACATAGAGAGCGTACTCAATCTAACCAGTAAGCACCATCAACTACAGGTTATTATACTCATCACCTTTGATATTTGTTTTACAAATACTCCAGGACCAAATGGGCTTACTTCAGCTTCTTATAAGGCTACAGTATTTCACACTACTTCAGAACAGCATTCATGCCTTCCTCTACCAATGCTACTATACCCTGGCGCATCTCTTGTCTCGGAATTCAGGCCTATTTCATGCTGCAACACTATTACAAGGTCATGTCCAAAATGTTAGTGAGAAGACTAAAGTCTGCCTTGCCTAACTTCATTCTGAAAAATTAAACAGCGTTTGTAAAAAGTTGACTATTAGTGGACTGCTGAGATAGTTAATGGTTATCATAAGTCAAAGGGTCCAAAGAGAATTGCCATTAAAGTAGATATTGCAAAGGCTTTTAATACTGTTCGATGGGTTTTTTTTTTTTGCTGCTTGCGTGGAATGGAGGTTCCAGAATTGTTCATCAGATGGCTCCAATGTGTGTGCACTTCTTTCTCAATTGGATATGATGGGAATATCCACGCTTACTTCAAAGGCAAAAGGTCTACGCCAAGGAGACCTTCTCTCCCCTTACCTATTTGTTATAACAATGAATTGTCTTTCACTAATGTTGGATAAAGCCGCTGCTTAAGGGCTTTTCAATTACCATCTCAAATGCCATGAATCAAAAATTACTCACGCTCTCTCTGGACTGGCCCATAAACATTCTCACGGTAAAAGTTAAATATAAAACATTTACGGTAATTCTCACGAAGATCTTAAACAGAATATTCTCCTGGTCCATGAGTTAGAAAATGTGCTTCTGCTAAGGATTTTGTTACATTTGTAAAACATTACTTCACTAAGTTACATTGTTGGACCTTGTATCTATATAGTAAGGTAATCGTTTGTTTATTTTTGTAGATACCACAGCAAATTTACTGACCGCTGGACCATTAAGGCCTAATAATTGCTTCGTCCCTTTATATCTTTCTACTTGGACATTCCAGTTTCAAAAGGTTCCACGTGTTTGGTGTCAAGTGTCAACTTCTCTGATAAGTCATTCCTATATATATAGTCCAGGTAAACATGTTTCTCTGTATGATTCTTGTTGCGTCCTTTAGTTTGAGACGATTATCTTATGAGTTTTCGTTTTGTAGCTTCTAGTTCTACTATATATCTTCTTGGAAAAAAAAAATCAGAAATAAACTTCCTTAGTGTGGCACGGAGGTTCGAGTAGGGTTTAGTTTCGCACATATTAAACTTCGGGCTTGTAAATGGCAGAATCAAACACTTAACAGTTGACCCTGCCCCAAAGAGCCAATGATAGATTAACATTTGGTTTGTCAATCCAAATTGCCCTGTGGCAAACACTTAACGTGTTAATTACATGTAATATCATTTGCTATAATATTTTTTTTATCGTTATTATTATTTTATTTTATTTCAACCTACAATGCAATAACATGTGTTTATTTTTTCTAATCACATTCATTAAAAAAAATTCACATCCACAAAAAAATATGCTTCTGTTCACGAAATTAATTTCTTGTTTATGTAATTATCCCTTATTAAAGCTTTTACAAGAAAAGTCATCAATTTTTGTTGATAATTGTTGGACGGAGAAATTTCAATGGTATTCCGATGAACAAAAAAAATGTTGTTGATATATTATCAAAAACAATTTTCTCGGTAATTTATCAAAAAGAAATTTCCATGAACATAGTCGAAATTATTATTTTTTAAAAAATTATCCACAGTTATATATTACTAGATTAGACCCCGCGTATACGCGGGTTTATTTTAATTTTTTTGAAATAAATCCTGGAAAATTATTAAACATAATATAATCATTTTTAAAAGTAAGTAGAATAATAATAAAAACCCGATAACAAATCACTAAATAAAATAAGATTAGTAATCTTTTTACATTTTTATTATAATTGACATTTGTTTTGAATTCATGATATGAAAAATGAATTAATTTGTGTTATCTTATTTTTATCTAATATAGAAATACTTACATGTGTTTAAATCTGATGGACTAATTAATACGTGAAACTTTGATTATTCCATCGAAGAGATTTCAGTTGATGAAATCAATTTTTTAAATATTTTTTGACCTAACAAAAATTTGAAAATAAACTATTTAAAATTAGAATATCGGACCAAAATAAAATTTTCTTTTTAATATTAGTTAGCTGTTGATAATTATTTTGTTAGCTTTCTATTTATATTCTTTCTTTTATAATATTTATTTTGCCTCGGACCATTATAAATTTTTCTTTTCATTATTAGTTAGTTGTTTTACAATTTTTCGTTTTGTTATTAATTTTTTCTAATTTTCTTGTGTTAACACATGTTATAATCTGATCAAATATTATACATGGTGCGCAGTAGTTTTGATTTTGATCCAACTGATCTAAAATTAAATATTCTTCATTGATATCTAGAACTTTTAAAGACATGATTTTTCATTTCTTAATAAGAAAGAAAATTTAAACAAAATATAAAAGCACACAATTAAATCATGAAGGGTGTAACTTATTATATATTGTTTTTTTTCCTTCTTGTATTGGGAATATGTTTTTTTCCGTTTCTTAATGGATGTAACAATTTATTGTAAATTATATATTTTCTTACTAACCTTTTTCATCAAGTAGTAGAAGCTCAACTCCCATAAGAATATTATTTTCTTTTGGATTTCTAACTTTCCCACTTTCGAATAACACGTACTATAGTACGGCGATAATTTCGATTTCGATCCAATTGACCTAGAGTCAAATAATCTTCACTGTTTTCTTGAACATTCAAAGACATGATTTTTAAATTAGAGAAAGAGAATCAGAGAAATTTAATGAATTTGCTTTGATGAGTTTGTGAATGAGAAAAAAGAGACTACTGTAACTTTGTATTTATAGGTGTTCATATAACATATTCCTTGCAGATATAGGAATTTTAGTTTACGTACCTATTCCATGTAGTAATAGGATTTTATTTATTACATTATTTTCAATCTTATTTTATAAATAATATGTGTTTGGATAATATAAATTTGATGAATGGGAAAACCTTTTTCTGTTAGGATATGACAAATATTAATTTTTCTTTTTTTATAAAATAAATAAAATTTCGTTTTTTTAATTATCCTATTTCTAGTATTTTTTAAAAAAATTTTTTTTCCCCTAATACACGTGTCACGATCTTAACGGACATAATCTTAAAAGTGACACATGTCGCGATCCTATATTTTATAAAAATCCTACGTGTCGCAACCATCGCGCGCATCCAGCTTTATATAATAAGATGTATTAATATTATTTTCATCAAATTTTAAATATATTTTTGAGAAATTTTTGATATAATTCAGAAATTCCCATAATTTTCATCAGAAAACATACATAATTGTAAGATAAATCTTTCTTTTAAATTTGAGTTTGTTAAAAAGTAAAATATCTTAAGATCATGATTACTAGTTTATATAAATATATTTTAGATGTTGTATGTAATGTATCTAATGCAAGAAAGAAGACTCATGGTTAAGCTAATTAGATTCGGTTCCGGTTAGGTTTACGTTCGGTTAAGTAAGATTTGGCTGAATTTGGAATCAGCTAAATCAAACCAGAGTTGGTTTGGGTTAAGATTCAGCTCCGGTGTAAAATCTTTACCCCCATAAGATTCCAATCTTGAGACGAAGAACAAATTTTCTTTGGGAAAATTACAGAAACTGATTTTACGGAAGGCGGGCGCAATGGCGGAATCTTCAGATCTCATGCTTCAGGCTAGGGATCATCTCGCGACTCCAAGCCACCAAAGATTAGCGAGTGTTGTAAATCAACTGTTTATGCGTCAAGAGTCCGACGAATATCAAACAGCGCGTGCTCTGTACGATTTCTGCGTCGCTAATTTCTCGAATTGCCTAACCCTAATGCTTCTCAAAGTGTATCGGTGTTCTTCAGATGAAATCACCAGATCCAGATCGATGTATCTACTCTCTGAAATTCTCACCTATATAAGAAAGCACGGTGTCGAAGTCTCTCTCGTCGCTCTCCATGTCATGAAGCCCCTTGTGCTTTCCGAAACTGAAATCGAGATCCTCAGAAGAATCGTCTCTTTTGTTTTGATGTCAAGTAATGGTTAGAAAATTGAATTCGCAAAGCGCATTGTTAGCATGGTTCAGCAATCAGCAGAGGAGATGGTAAGGAACGGAATGGAACAATTTCTGCTAGGAGGGCTTGAAGATCTCCACAAGTTCCTGTCACGAGAGGCGAACCTTTCCCAATGGAATAGGAATCAATGCGGTTTTGTGTCAGAGTTTGCGAAAGGGATTGAAGGGATCGGGGCACACACCAAAGGAGCTGCGAATAAGATTTATCAGATCCTAGCCTTAAAACTCAGCCATCCTCATCCTGTCCAAGTCTTGAGTATCTTTGCGTCAACTGATACTGATGACAGGACTAGAGAGATGGCAATCACACGACTTCACTCGTTACTTAGTGATCACACTTCAGGCTTAGTGGATATTGAGGTTTCAGTGATGAAAAGACTACAGCAATTGCTCACCTATTGCCTCAGGAAAGAAGGAACCTCCGACGAGATGTTTGGGATCCTCGGTCAGGTGGTGTTCCACGTTGCAAAGGAACTGTTTGATTATGAAGAGGACACTTGGTGCGCTCTATGGGACTATATTGCATTGGAATGCAAAACAGGTTTCAACAGAGCGATTTATCTCTTCCAATGCGGCTTAAAGAGCAAGATTTCGCGATTCCTACAATGAGCAAGCTTATCCCAGTGATATACACGTCGCTAGACCCACCAGAAGAGTTGTTGTGTGAGAACAGTTGCTGGGTCTTGGCGTTTACCGGTGGATTCTGTGTGGCCATCAACTTGTTAGAAATCACGAGTCAAGCTAAAGATGTTGAGACGCTTGCTTGCAAGATGATAGATTCAGTGAAAGAGCTTGTGAAAAGAGGAATGGAGGTTCAACTTGTGAGGAGAGCTTTCAAAGATCTTGAAAGCATTGTGGAGAAACAATGGTACTGGTACATGGCTACCGAATACAGATTCGTTAAGGGTTTGTTCTCGGAACTCTGTGCTATCGAAGGATTGACTATGGAAAGTAAGTCTGTGTTGTCGACAATCGTAGTGTTCCTCGAGAGGAAGATGCATCAAGACTTTATACTATGAGCTTGAGTGACTTCTGCAGAATCTAGTTTTTCTTTTTTCTTTCTTTATCATGTATAGTTTAGTTCGTGTTGGAGAGGACAGTTAAGTACCTAATTCTCCGTTCTTAGCTTTTCAAAGATTTCTTTAGCATTACTGAGACTCGCACATAACAAGCAACAATTTGGCCAAGGGATGAGATATATCTATGATCTTTTCCCAACCTGCATTGACTTGGTCAAATCTCACATTTACATTGCTAATGATACCAAAAATACATCAGTAACCAATCCCTAACTTAATCTATATGGTTAGTTCATCTGAATCCTCTGCTGTATGAACCTTCTTCTTCCTCGCCTGCATTGCTCATTCAGCTCTACTTGATGTCATTATTGGCTAAAGCAGCAGCTTCTTCTTCTTTTCGCCATGTTTCTTCAGTCCTTAAGTCTTTTCTTGAACGAGCTGGTCTTGTTGAGTAAGGAGCAGGTGTCTGTGGTCTTGTTGTAGGTGCATTGATTTCCAAGTTGTAGATTAATCCTAGAATACCTCAGGGACACATCAGCGAAAATATAACAAATCAAATTCTCCAAAGCCTGGACAAAAGAGACTTAACACACAACCTTAAATATCTGGCTGATTATATGACTGCCTTTCATGCTCACCTCTGGCATGTCTCTCTTTTGTATAACGGGGTAGAACAAAATCTGAATGCTTGCGTTCACAAATGACGTAGGCCACACTGAGCGTAGGAGAGAAAAAACTAGAACAATGCCATCATTGATCTTGCCATTAAGGGAAATCATGGATTTTGTTATTTTATTTTCCGATAAGGAAGCATAGTGCAGTCCAAGCATTCAGATTATAAAATATAGGAAGTTTTTCAAAAAAAACTAAAGTGGTGACTGGTGATCGTTTGCAAGTTTAAAATTCTGGTGGTAATTGTGAATTAACAAAACATCAATTGTGACTATTATTTCAGAACTGCCCTATAAATTTTGAGGAACACATTAAAGTACCATAATCTACTATTTGTGGGCTTAGCATATTCGTAATGGGGTTGAGTAATATATCTTTTGCAATTCGCATCAAACAACCCGACTGTAGGAGAATAGCCAAACATTATTGGAAATGATCATCACTTTCGTCTAAGCTTAGAAAATTAATTAATGAGATCGAGATTCGAGAAATGGTCAAGCTTTGCTAGCGCATCATAAAGTTATCAGGTTTTTCTGGTGTAGCAGTTTTTTGCTTACGAAATATGAAACAGTTAAAACAAACGTAAGAAAATAACGATATAAAAAGCAACCGAAGACATTCCTGATCGCAACTGATATTATACAGCTGGCCAACTGTTGTGATTCACTAGTTAATGCCCCTAATGACAGCACAATTTCATCAGAAAAACATCAGTATATATATATTGCCAGAAAGATTACAACAACAACCTGCATCCTCCAGGGAATGTGGATGAATTGAAGGAGACAAAAAATCATCACAAGTAACTGGGGAGGTTAAAACATACGCAGAACGACTGATGTTATCCAGTAAAAAAAAAAAAACATTAAAGCAGTTCCGATTCACCGGAGAAAAGGTGTACAAGTGTAAGCCAATATGACAAAATCTTGAATCTCTTTTTTGTATGTTTTACGGTAATGTAAGTTTACTTGTTTCTACAAATTGGTACAAGCGACGTTAACTGATAACACAAAAAGACGTTAACATACATCACAACACGTTTTTAGAAACCACATTATCTATAATCATATAAAACCATCTTTATTCATATTGTTATACAAATATGACATAACGTCACCCAAAAACGAAACGTAGCATTGAGGAAGATAACCGTCATTTCCCGTTTTGAATTAGTAATTAATCTGATTATTACATATATGGCAATGAAAACCACACAAACACTACACTAATTAACTAAATCCCTAAAGACATACGATAAAACCCGCATATACTTGTTATCCTCTTCTTCTTCCTACAAATTCTTCTGTCTTTTTCCTTACATGATGGATGCTTCATTGACCTCTTCAACGCCGTAACCGCAAACTGCGGAGACTGTGCGACATCACGTTATTTAATGTTGGTGTACTAAAACCTTCACGTTGGTGTTTTTCCTTTTTGTTTCAATTTCCTTTTTATTTAGGATTCCTAATAGCCTTAGATTAAGTTATTGGCTATATAAGGGAGTCAGGCTTTGTTTACAATCCAGACTTTGATTGATTGATTGATTGATTGATTGATGTATGTCCGGGTTCTTTTGTTTTATTAGCTTCCGCTATTCCACCAATTGTTAACAAAAAATATATATATATATAGTTACATATACGTCAGTGTATATATAATTATATAGATTGGGTTTTACAAAGCCTCGTTTATTTCTTATATATCTCTAGGGTTTCACAAAACATAAACAGAGGCGATGAAGAGAAGACGTGAAGGGAATGACGAGACATCACCATCGCCGGCACGACTTCTTCACAGTGGAAGCTCCACGGGAGATATCAATTATATCCCTCTCGATCTAACGGTGGAAATACTAAAAAAACTCCCGGCGAAATCTCTAGTGAGATTCCAATGCGTCTCGAAACTATGGTCATCAATTATCAGCAGGAGAAGAGACTTCATAGAATCTATCGTGACTCGGTCTCCTCGTGATGCCTATCTCCTCTCCTACAATGTTTCAACCGACTACGCCAACGCGAAAAGCTCCTTAGTCTTATCGTCTAGTTCGTGCACTCGAAATACTGAAACAAAATCATTATTACTCCCTCACGGATGTTATCAACACGTCCGCGGCTTGATTTTTTGTTGGACAGACTGTCTTCACGAGCCATATATATATAACCCTACCACAAGGCAGTCTTTTCAGTTACCAAAGTTGAGAAACTACGCGATGGGATCTTGCGTATTTGGATACGACCCTCTCGAGAATCAATACAAAGTATTGTTCCTACCATCAGACCATATGGAGCAGGGTTGTCAAGTTTTCACATTAGGAGATTCCAAAGCAAAGCAGTGGAGGTTCATCCAAGGAGTTAAGTCTCACTTTCCAATGTCTGGTGCAGTTTGCATCAACGGGATTATCTATTACCGAGGAAGGGCTACAGACTATGGTTATGCTTCTCTGTACAAATTGATGAGTTTTGATGTGAGATCCGAGCAACTTTGTCATGTCGACGCTCCAGAAACACTCATGGATCACCAGTCGTATCTGATAGACTACCAAGGGAAGTTAGGATTCGTGTGTTGCGACAAGGGCGTGGAAATTTGGGTTAGGGGGGATGGTGATCAGAAGATTCAAGGATGGTCCAAGATTTTCTTTTATGACATGAAGGGTTTTGAAAAATGGTACATCCCGGGTGTTACTCGTCATGGTGAGATCGTTTTTGTCGATTTCGGATACGGTCGTGATGACCCGTTATGTGTCCTATGTTATGATCCAAAGCAAAATAGTGTGAGAGATGTTGACCTCCAAGGCACTTGGCCGGGAAGGCGCAAGAGTATTATTCTTATCTGGTTTTTTCAATGTTTTGTTGAGAACACAATGGGTTTATATTAAAGTTCGATAGGATTTTGTCGAGGATATTATTTGTTGGTTTAGAATATTCGTTATGGTCTTTTATTACCATCACCTGGCGTTGTAAATATATAACTAGGTGTTATCCCATTGGTGTCATTATTGTTGTTCCTAAAAAAAATAATCTAAGAACCTCTTCAAATAATAAGAAAATATAGTTGTATTGTTATTCTTTAATGATTGTAATAAAACCAGTTATGTTGTTGTTTTTAATTTCCCACTTTTAGTTGGTTGGTTTTATCCCAAAACAAATCTCTAATACTTACCTATATACATCCATTGGTTAGATAGATAAATATGCTTTTAGTAGGTCTAAATTTGTTATGAAAACCTTTTGAGAATAATTCTAATGTGAGTAAACAATGTTAATGAATAAGCATTTATTTTTCCAAAAACAAATCTCTTAATTTCATTATAGTATGATAAATCAAGTAAAAAAATAAAAATTCATTATATTGTCCCCCATTTTTGTTGTTGGATTCCAATCCCATCTTCTCAAATTCACATCTCCAAGACTCCTACTAACCATGGCACTAAGCCGATCCAAACTGTCCAACCATTATCATCATTAGAAGCTAATGGCATATTTGCAGCAGCTGGTATATCTTCTTTTTCTCACTCTCCCCAAAAGTCATCACAAGAATTTGACTTCGGGGAACTGCAGTAACAAATGTGACCTTCCTTCTCCAACATATGAATTCGGTGGTCTGTTCCAATTTCAAAGGTTGGGATAGTACCATTTCTCTCATTCCTTTCTCATTTGGTTCCAGCTTATTGGTCCTTGTATAGTTTACTCTTCGACTTTGTGTATTGCAATTGCCTAACTTCCTTTAGTGATTTTCTATCTTTGTTGTAACACTCGTGCTTCTACAGTTTCATTGACCTTGCGATCACACCAACCTGAAATAACTAAATTGTTTTTTTTTTATTTTAACTTCAAGTTTCCAAATTATATTGGCAGCAGTACTATCGTAAACGAAAAATGTTTTACAGAGTATCCAAAACTATGCTCCATACAGAATCTAATTTGAGATTGTGCAGCGGCCTTTAGATGGAAAATAAACTTTAAGATTATATTTTGGCAAATTAAGGAAGATCATGCAGCTAGAGAGGACGATCAAACTTAGATTTGAGGGAGAAGAAGTGAGACAGGCAGCTCAGAAAAGGTTTAATACTTTACAGCCTCTCGTAATCAACATAGATAGCATAGCAGATAAAAGGTTACGGATTCCCAACTGGGAAATCAACCGGAATGAAAATGTTAACGTACCTTGAATGTCAACTCCTTGATGCTTGCATGAACAACACAACATCCAATTAAGCTGCAGGCTGTAGATGCGGTAACCAAAACGTAAAAAAACATCCCAACCCTTGTCGTTTATACACGTAAACACATGAACACGGAATTCACCAAACACATCTCATCCTACTTATGAAGAATTGAAAAGCATCAAAATTATCTGAGAGACGAAGTAGACAACGTCATCCTTGTTGATTCTTTCTTTAATCAAATTTTAAATATATTTTTGAGAAGATTTTGATACAATTCAGAAATTCCCCAGAATTTTCATCAGAAAACATACATAATTGTAAGATAAATCTTTCTTTTAAATTTGAGTTTTTTTAAAAGTAAAATATCTTAAGATCATAATAACTAGTTTATATAAATACTAGATTAGGCCCGCGTATACGCGGGTTTATTTTTTATTTATTTTTAAATCACGGAAGAATATTAAACAAAATTTGATCAATTTTAAAAATAAGAAAATAATATTAAAAACCCGATAACAAATCTCTAAATAAAGATATGTAGTCTTTTACATTTTTATTTTGAATTCATGATATGAAATAGAAAGATTTACATGTGTCTAAATCTAATCGACTCATTATTTTATGAAACTTTGATTATTCCATGATGAAATCTTTATTTTTAATATTTTTTTACCTAACAAAACATGGAAAATTAAACTATTTAATATTAGAAGATCAGTCCATTATAAAATTTTCTTTTTTAATATTATTTAGTTCCTTAATAATTATTTTGTTAGTTTTCTATTTATATTGTTTCTTTTTCAATTTCGTTTTTGCCTCTGACCATTATAAATTTTCATTTTCATTATTAGTTAGTTGTTTTAATATTATTTTGTTAGTTTATTTATTTATGTTACTACATTTTTCCAATTTTCTTGTGTTGACACATGTCATCACTTCATCAAATATTAGACACATGTATCGATCTAAAGTTAAGTATTCTTCATTGATATCTTTAACTTTTAAAGACATGAATTTTATTTCTTAATGAGAAAGAAACTTAAAAAATATAGCTTGTTATATATGTTTTTTTTTTCATTTTCGTAATGGGAATATGTTTTTTTATTCCTTTTCTTATTGGATGTAACATTTTTTAATTATTTCTTCATGTTTTTCTGATTTTCGTTTTTTTTCCTTTTCGTAATAGAATTATGTTTTTTCTTTACTTCTCATAATGGATGTAATATTTTTTCTTTTTAATTGTTTGTTTCCTGTTTTCTGATTTTTCCTAATGTACTAATAGGATTTTATTCAAATAATTTTAATTTCGATCCAATTGACCTAGAGTCAAATAATCTCCACTGTTCTCTTGAACTTTCAAAGACATGATTTTGAAATTAGAGAAAGAGAATCAAAGAGATTTTCTGAATTTGCTTTGATGAGTTTGTGAATGAGAAAAAGAGACTACAATAGCTCTCTTTTTATAGGGGGTTCATGTAACCAATTTCATACAGTTTTAGGATATTTAGTTTACATACCTATTACATGTACTAATAGGATTTTTTTAAATAGGAGTTTATATAACCTATTCCATACAATTTTAGGATATTTAGTTTACATACCTATTCCATATACTAATAGGAATTTTTTATTATATTATTTTATTTTATTATATAAAATTTCGTTTTTATTATAAGATATTAAAATTTTCCTTTAAAATAAAAATTTCTTTTTCCGAAGACATGTGTCACGATCTTAACGGATATAACATTAAAAGTGACACATGTCGCAATCCTATATTTTATAAAAATCCTACGTGTCGCAACCATCGCGCGCATCCAGCTTTATATAATAAGATTTAAATTTTCCCTTAATTTTTTTTTCTTTTTTCCCAAGACATACATTATTTTCAATTTATTATTTAAATTTTCGTTTTTATTATAAAAGATTAAAATTTTCCTTTAGTTTGTTTTCTTTTTTTCCAAGACATGTGTCACGATCTTAACGGACGTAACATTAAAAGTGACACATGTCGCAATCCTATATTTTATAAAAATCTAATGTGTCGCAACCTCGTTGTACGCATCCAGCTTTATATAATTAAGATAAGATGCTGTATTGCTCATTCAGCTCTACTTGCTGTCATTTTTGGCTAAAGCAGCAGCTTCTTCTTTTTTTCGCTAGACGATTTTTCTTCAATCCTTGAAAGAGAGATTTTTGTATACTCTTTACAAATGAACCCCCTTTTTAATCAATTGAAGTATAGCTTGGGGTTCTTTGTCAAATCCAGTAAGGTCAAGATAGAGACATCAAGAATGCATGAAACATAAGTGAGCTAAGCAAATTCGAAATGGTTTTGTTTTAACAACCTAAATGAACATAAAGCATAAGATAAAAATGCAAGAGATAAAAGAAATGCAAATGGAGGCACTTGGGATGAGGGTCATTGACCTTGGGAGATTCTCAAGTCAGTTTATGATGCTCAAACAGTTTAATGATTGCTAATCCTTAGGCAAAGAACTCATTAACAAGACTAATCCACTCTCATGGTACTAATCACTTTGCTAATTACCAATTTCAAGAACTAATTCTCATTAGTGAAATTGATTTAGCAAGCATAAGATTCAGTTCTAGAAAGCCAATAAACACCCTAGACAATCACTCTCATGAGCTAGGAATGTAAATCCTTTAGATGGTTGGTTCAAGCATTTCATCAAACACTTCTGGTGCATGAAATGCCTAAGATCTAGAATCAACTTGATCAGAGAAGATCTAGCATTAAGACCACCAAATAAAGAAGGATTAAGCAAATCAAGTCCTAAACATCAAGGTTGACCATCAAATCTCCCTAAATCTAACTCATCCCATGAGCCTAAAGAGAACTACTCAAAAGACATGAGAAATTCGAAATTAAGAGAAACAAGATGATGATTATGATAAACTAAGATAAATAAGAAAGATTCAAAGAAGAATACTTTCAAAATCATAAAATCAAACCAAGATCTTACAAAAACGAAAATAAAAGAAAGGAGGCAAAGAGAGAAGTTTTTGATCAAGGAAAAGATCCAAGATGCCTAATAAAATTAGGTCTTCAGCTATTTATAGTAAAAGATAAGTGGACCCTTGGTCAACTCCGTCCCTGTTGACTTTGTCCTTTATGACGGTCTTGAGCAAACTTCTCAAGTGCTTTGTTCTTCTTGCTCAAGTCCTCTGGTCTGCGAATTTCTTGAACACTTCTGAGCTCTGATCAGCTTCTAGCTTCTCTGTCTTGCTCCAGTCACTACTCTAACTCGCTAAACGCCTCAAACACCTAGGAAAACACTCCAAATGCAATGGAAAATGCAAATGCTATTCTAAAAGCTAAATGTTCCTAAGGAGATGAAACTTACACTAAAGGGTATGATATGAGACTCAAAGACATACAAAACCATGCAAATTATGATGCTAAAAATATGCAAATATTGAGTACATCAATCCTCAAGTCTTTTCTTGAACGAGCTGGTTTTGTTGAGCAAGAAGCAGTTGACTGTGGTCTTGTTGTAGGGGCATTGATTTCCAACTTGTAGATTAATCCTAGAATACCTCAGGGACACATCAGCAAAATATAACAAATCAAATTCTCCAAAGCCTGGACAAAAGATACTTAACACACAACCTTATATATCTGGCTGATTATATGACTGCCTTTCATGCTCACCCTCTGGCATGTCTCTCTTTTCTATAACGGGGTAGAACAAAATCTGAATGCTTGGACTGCATGCTTGCGTTAACAAATGACGTAGGCCACACTAGCGTAGGAGAAAAAAAACTAGAATAATGCCATCATTGATCTTGCCATTAAGGGAAATCATGGATTTTGTTATTTTATCCTTTTCCGATAAGGAAGCATAGTGCAGTCCAAGCATCAGATTATAAAATATAGGAAGTTTTTCAAAAAACCTAAAGTGGTGACTGGTGATCGTTTGCAAGTTTAAAATTCTGGTGGTAATTGTGAATTAAAAAAACATCAATTGTGACTATTATTTCAGAACTGCCCTATAAATTTTGAGGAACACATTAAAGTATCATAATCTACTATTTGTGGGCTTAGCATATTCGTAATGGGGTTGAGTAATATATCTTTTGCAATTCGCATCAAACAACCTGACTGTTGAGTACTATGTCTTGTGCTCACAATATTTCTCTTGAGAGTATTAGAAAATATTGTTTGGCACGTTTGTATGAGACTGAATTTGAATTCAAAATATCTGAGATCAATAGTTATGTCGCCATGTCTTCTAACACACGCTCGAGCTGCAAATAAGGTAAAGAGGATGAGGGAAATAATGATTCCGAAATACGTATACTTGCTATTGATTAATCACAATGGATTTGGTGGGGGTAGAAAATGAAGACATTCCTGATCGCAACTGGTATTATACAGCTGGCCAACTGTTGTGATTCACTAGTTAATGTTCCTAATGACAGCACAATTTCATCAGAAAAACATCATTATATATAAAAGATCACAACAACAGCCTGCATCCTCCAGGGAATGTAGATGAATTGAAGGAGGCAAAAAATCATCACAAGTAACTGGTGAGGTTAAAACATACGCAGAACGACTGATGTTATCCAGTAAAAAAAACTAAACATTCTATTTTAAAGCAGTTCCGATTCACCCGAGAAAAGGTGTACAAGTGTAAGTCAATATGACAGAATCTTGAATCACTTTTTTGTATGTTAAAAAGACATTAACATACATCACACCATGTTTTTAAAAACCACATTATCTATAATCATATAAAACCATCTTTATTCATATTGTTATACAAATATGACATAAGAACATAACGTCACCCAAAAACGAAACGTAGCATTGAGTAAGATAACCGTCATTTCCCGTTTTGAATTTGTAATTAATCTGATTATTACATATGGCAATGAAAACCACACAAACACTACACTAACTAAATCCCTAAAGACATAAGATAAAACCCGCAGATACTTGTTATCCTCTTCTTCTTCCTACAAATGCTTCTGTCTTTTTCCTTACATGATGATGCTTCATTGACCTCTTCACCGCCGTAACCGCAAACTGCGGAGACTGTGCGACATCACGTTATTTGGTGTTGGTGTCAAGAACCCTCAAGTTGGTGTTTTCCTTTTTGTTTCAATTTCCTTTTTATTTAGGATTCCTAATAGCCTTAGATTAAGTTATTGGCTATATAAGGGAGTCAGGCTCTGTTTACAATTCAGACTTTGATTGATTGATTGATATCCATAGAGTTTTTCCTGGAATTTCCTCTAGTTCTTTTGTTTTATTAGCTTCCGCTATTCCACCAATTGTTAACAAAATATATATATATAGTAACATATACGTCAGTGTATATATAATTATATATATTTGGTTTTACAAAGCCTCGTTTATTTCCTATATATCTCTAGGGTTTCACAAAACATAAACAGAGGCGATGAAGAGAAGACGTGAAGGGAATCACGAGACATCACCATCGCCGGCACGACTTGGTCACAGTGGAAGCTCCACGGGAGATATCAATATCCCTCTCGATCTAACGGTGGAAATTCTAAAAAAACTCCCGGCGAAATCTCTGGTGAGATTCCAATGCGTCTCGAAGCTAAGGTCATCAATTATTAGCAGGAGAAGAGACTTCATAGAATCTATCGTGACTCGGTCTCCTCGTGATGCCTATCTCCTCTCCTACAATCTTTCAACCGACTACGATAACGCGAAAAGCTCCTTAGTCTTATCGTCTAGTTCGTGCACTCGAAATACTGAAAAAAAAACATTATTGCTCCCTCACGGATGTTATCAACACGTCCGCGGCTTGATTTTTTGTTGGACAGACTGTCTCCACGAGCCATATATATATAACCCTACCACAAGGCAGTCTTTTCAGTTACCAAAGTTGAGAAACTGCGCGATGGGATCTTGCGTATTTGGATACGACCCTCTCGAGAATCAATACAAAGTATTGTTCCTACCATCAGACTATATGGAGCAGGGTTGTCAAGTTTTCACATTAGGAGATCCCAGAGCAAAGCAGTGGAGGTTCATCCAAGGAGTTGAGTCTCACTATCCAATGTCTGGTGCAGTTTGCATCAATGGGACTATTTATTACCGAGGAAAGACTATCTATTACCGAGGAAGGGCTACAGACTATGGTTATGCTTCTGTGTACAAATTGATGAGTTTTGATGTGAGATCCGAGCAACTTTGTCATGTCGACGCTCCAGAAACACTCATGGATCACCAGTCGTTTCTGATAGACTACCAAGGGAAGTTAGGGTTCGTGTGTTGCGACAAGGGCGTGGAAATTTGGGTTAGGGGGGATGGTGATCAGAAGATTCAAGGATGGTCCAAGATTTTCTTTTATGACATGGAGGGTTTTGAAAAAAGGTACATCTCGGGTGTTACTCGTGATGGTGAGATCGTTTTTGTCGATTTTGGATACGGTCCTGATGTCCCGTTACGTGTCCTATGTTATGATCCAATGCAAAATAGTGTGAGAGATGTTGACCTCGGAGGCACTTGGCCGGGAAGGCGCAAGACTACTATTATATCTGGTTTTTTTCAATGTTTTGTTGAGAACACAATGGGTTTATATTAAAGTTCGATCGGATTTTGTCGAGGATACTATTTGTTGGTTTAGCATAGGCCTGGGCATTTTACCCGGACCCGCAGACCCGAACCGAACCCGACCCGAAAAAGATGAAACCGAACCGAACCGGAACCAAGACAAATACCCGATGGGTCCAAAAAATTTATACCCGAAAAACCGAACCCGAACCGAATGGGTACCCGAAATATCCAAAATATAATTATATATCCAAAATATTAGTTATTTTTTAGACTTATAATAGCTTATAATACTAAAAATAACTAAAATTACAATTATAAATCTAATATAATAGTTATATTTAGAACAAAATAACCAAAATATTCGAAAAGTCCAAAAATATTTAGTAGAAGATGGATTATAACAAGATTTTATCGGTTATTTTGTAGGATTTTAGATATTCGGTTAAAAAAACCGATAAAAACCGACCCGAATCAGAACCGAATGAGATCCCTGTAAGAATCAAAATTTGTATAAACCCGAACGGGTCCATAAAATTTAGCCCCGAACCGACCCGAACCCGACAGGAACCGAACCGAAACCGAACCGAAATTTTCCTAAACCCGAACGGGTCTAAAATTTAGCAACCCGAAAAGACCCGAACCCGAATAGAACCGACCCGAACCCGAACCGAAACCCGAACGCCCAGGCCTAGTTTAGCATATTCGTTATGATCTTTTATTACCATCACCTGACGTTGTAAATATATATATATAATATAAATCATTACATGCTAACACGTGTGATATATGTAAAAACCATATATAAAAGATAAAATACAAAAGTTGATAAACCGTAAACAACGGAGACAGAAGATCTACAGTAAACACTAAACAATGAGAGAAAGAAATTCAAAGACCAAATGAAATAAAAAAGGCTTCAACAAAGAGTTTAAATTTACGTTTGATAGTCAAAAGGCCATCCACTGTAACCCATATGGCCATATGGGATTGTTGTTGATGATGTTGCTGCCATGTTGCTGGTGATGGTTATAGTGGCCTTCCTCTGCATTAGCTGTTTATATTTTTTCTTCTTGGTCTTAATTTGTGTTTATATATCGATTTTTTTGTTTTGATGAAAAGATTTTGAGGGTCTTACCGTTAGATTTCTCGAGAGTTGTTTGGTTTGCATAATGGTAGTCTTGTGGGAACGAATACATCAAATAATTATTCCAAGTTTATGTCCATCTTTGATTGAACAGGAAAAGAAAAGAAAGTTGGCGTCCGTCTTCGATTAAAACTGATATGTTACATGCTTATATTCTTAATTGTGTTATCATTTTCAGTTGTTAGGCAAATTCATCATCTTATATATAATAGGAGAGTTGCTCTCTCCATCTAGGCTATCCACATCAGCAAAAAAGTTCATTAAATTGTTTTTAAGATATTTAATACATGACTATTCATATTTCTTTACCTATATTTATATTTTTAAATATAAATAAAACTAAGAAAAATACACAACTAAATTACTTAATTAATATAAAGTATGTGATAACTTGATGTTAAAAGTTATCAAAAAGTTTGGATATAAGTAAAAATATATTTAACTTGAAATGGTATATATTTACCTTTTTATTAAAAGGATTTATCCTACTTCAAAATGTTATAATGTGTTTACAAGTTAAAAAGTTGAATATAAATTAATTAAGATAATAAAAAACCAATGAGAAATTAGAGTTAGAGTTTGCTTTTTAAAACAAATAGAAGTCGAGTTTTTATATGTAAATTTAATTGCAGTGAAAAACATGAAAATTTTAAGGATTGTGATATGTTTGTTTCCAAATATATTCAATTACAAAACTAACATAATAGAAAATAATCAATGGTCATGAGGCTCATATGCTACCACAACAAAGTAGATATGTATAAAAGTATATATATTATTTTTTCATCCTATTTCGGTGCAAATGCGATTTTACATTATACTTACAAATTTTAACGTTGAGTCAAATACATATGCATGTTTATAGTCTAACAAAAGTAAACAAACATAATATTTATAACATGCTAAAATGTTAGAAATAGAAAATTCGAGATAAAGTAGGGTGTTAACATCCTAATAAAATAAAATAAAAGGACACACGATGTGAGATAAAGTATAAATAAAACTAAACAGAAAACTATTACAAACAACGCGCTTGCGCGGGGCTTCAAACCTAGTTTGCATAATGTGCACTCCGTTCATTGTTGAGAAGATGATGGTAGTGGACTGGACCCGGAGCAAAATAAATGCAATCAAATTATTATTTGTCAAAATAGATATAATTGTTTGAAATAAAATGATAAATTGAATAATTCTAAAAAAAAAGAAATTTAAAATGAAACAATTACAAAAAAACTACGCATTAAGTCATTGTTCCAAATAAAAAACATTATGTTTACTATCACTTATTTATTTTTGGCAGAGACAATTAAATTTAGTTGTGATGCACCGAAAATCAGCTATAAATAATTGTATCATGACATAGTAACACAAATGAGATGAATAGAAACATATACAGCATTTATCATACTTATACCAAGAATTGAATCTTCACTACTATCATGCTCATGAGAGTAAATGGACGTTAGATACCAACTACATTTTCTTGTGAATCAAACACATCAGTATCTTCACCTATTTGTGCCCATATATTTTGAGGGTCTTGGCCGTTAGATTTCTTGCTGTAGTATTACCAATGCATCTATTCTGGATAGCCTGAAAGACAACATAAAGAAGAAAAACATAGAGTTGTTTGGTTGGAGAATGGTAATGTTGTGGGAACTAAACACAACACAACTCTATGTTAATAAACATTCAGCAACGTGCTGACACGTGAGATAAACACACAAAAGTGGATAAACCGTAAACAACGGAAACAGAAGATCTACAGTAAACAATGAACAAAGTAGGTGAAAGAGAGACAGAACAAGACAAAGCACAAAGAAAATACAATAAAGACCAAAGTGAAATAAAAAAAGGCTTCAACAAAGAGTTACGATTTACGTTTAATAGTCAAAAGGCCATCCACTGTAACCCATATGAGACTGTTGTTGATGATGTTGATGTTGCTGCTGCTGCTGTTGCTGGTGATGATTATAGTGGCCTTCTTCTGCATTAGCTGTGTTGTTCGTGTCTCTACGGTTTTGGTTCGAGCTAGAGCTAGACGAACGGAATGGCCAAAGGCTAGAGAAAAGGCTCCTTCTTCTGCTGCTTTCTCGTCCATTAGTGCTTCTGTTCTGATCACTCTGCGTGCTCGAAGAAGACCCTCTTGACGGTAACTCTTTACGACAGACAGGGCACGAGTTGTGCTGAACCAGCCACGGGACGATACAGTCAGAGTGATAGATATGGTTACACGGCATCTGTTTCGCTTCCGATTTAACCTCGAACTCGTCTTTGCAAACAGGGCAGTGAGAGTCTGAAGACGACTTGAGATGCTTCTGTGTGATCTTGATTGTCGGCAATGCATCGATTGATGACTTTGGTGCTGGTGGTGGACCTCGGTGATGAGTCCCAGACGAAAGTTGCTCGATCAACTCTTCAAGACCCGGTCCGAAAAAGTAGTCACCGGCGTTGGCATTGCCACCACGAGTGATACCGATTCCAGGTGAACCGTTGAACAAGGCTTCAACTGAGTGACTATCTCCGACTCCACCAGCTAATCTAAAGGGAGCTTGACCACCGAAGATCAACAGTGGAGCTATACTTGAAAAGCTCTCAGAACCACCACCACCTGCAGAGCCGATTCTTCCGCTGATTTCTCGGTCAGCTAAACGGCTTCTCATGAAAGCTGAGAAAGCTTCCATGAGATCAAAGGTTGGATCACGTGATTCAACATCTCTGTGAGATCTGATCATCGGTGTTACATCGATTTCCTCAACAAATCCTCCACCGCAATAGGAACAGACGGAATCTCGACCTCGGAGGCAAACACCACGTTGACATCTGTGACACCAGTGAGTGTTTCGACCACTCGACATCCTCCTCCAGCTCTGTCTCAGTCGACAACAATCTCCTTCTGCATGAAAACTTTTTAGCTGCTTCTTCAGTTAATAGCCTGCAAAATTAGGAGAACTGGTCAACCAACTCCTGCTTACTTATTTGCTTAAAGTTGGTAAACCAAAGAGGCTTTGGCCATATCTCTACTTTCCAAGCTAAACATACTTACAAGATCCATATGTCATAATTATAGGTCATCATTCAGCAAATAATAACCAAACTTTAATCCACGTTTCACCCAATTACGAAATCTCATGTTAGACAAACTGTAGCTCAATCATGAATAATAGACACCCCGAAATTCAAGCTAGACAAATTCCTCTAATAGGATCGTATACACAAATTAAGCCAACCCAATTAGAAATGAGTATGATAGATCTGCAGGAACTCGAGACCTCTATGATTCGACCACTTCCGAGCTATAAAATATAAACGAGCCATACCGCAACGAAGAGAAATCTAATGAAACAACGAAGAAAATTACAATGCAAACGATCTACAGAAATCAACGCATCTTCCAATCGGATAATCAAGCAAAATAAGATCAATCAAAACCCAGATCACGCTAAACGGATAATGAGAAGAAAAAACCCCATCAAAATACAGAAAAAAACAGAGCAAAATAAAATCCGAGAGAAAATGGAAGGCATTTTAAGGGAAAATCTGAGAAAATCCGGTCTAACGATCCAAATCCAACAAGATAATGAAATCCGGTGAAAAATAGAAATAAAGTTCTAAGATTCAAGACACATTGCTTGGTTAAAAAGACCAGCTCAGTCAGTTACAATGTCACATACCGATTCACATAGATCCGAAGGAAGACGAGAAACTAAGGTGAGATTGGATTTTGGAGGAAGAAGACGAAGACGAAAAAGAGAGCTAACCTGGAAAGAATCTCTCCGTCACACTCTATTGAGTATTGACTGTCAAAAAAATTTATAAGAACGAAAGAATAATTATTAGTTATTACCTTAGCCATGGTGAAAAAAAAAGATAAAGAAAAGAAAGGCTTGTCTCTTGTGTGTGTATTGTATTCTGCAATAAATCCTTTAACGCTCACGTTCCACGTGTCTGGTTCTATCAAATTACCCCTAGCTTTCTCCATATTCACAGTTGTGCCACTCTGACAGTCGCCGGCTTTTTATCACGCTATCTTTGCTTCCGTCGGAAGATTACTCAATATACTCACGAAAGTCACGACACAACTTATACCTTTGTTTATCTAAAACAAAAAATACTATAAATAGAATAAAGAGAATTGATCAAATGTGTCCACATTCGGTACTCCTTAAAAGATGATGAAATTCAAAAACTGGGGACGAAAATTGAAAATTCAACAAGCAAAATAAGGGGTGTAACTAGGATTTAGGAGTCATCATCTTCTTCCGGCGTTTTCCACCGGGAAACTTATCAACCCTTTTACGAATATAGCTCCTAAGCTTCTCCAGAATCCTCCTCTCACTCACACGCAACACCAACGAATGGTACAATCTCCTGTCTCTCGGAAGCAGACAAGCCTCCAGCCTCACAATGTCATCCTCCAAAGACGTCAACGAGCCATATAAACTCTCTCTCTTCTCCACAATAGCAAGAAGAGCTTCACCAACACCATCCGTGACAAGAACATCAACATCACTGCCCTCGCTGCCGCTTTGGCCAAGCACGAACTTGTGTTTCCCAACTGTTATCTCAGGACAAGCTTCTGTAGTTGATGTAGCTACGTCGAGTTTATTGTATGCGTCCTCTGGTAAGAGGAGTAGATAGAGTAGGATCAGGAGCTCGGATTGTGGTTCTCCGGTGGAAGAAACCTCGAAATATTCAGAGTTTTGGCTCTCGCAACCTGAGTAACCAAGTTTCCTCCAAAAGGCGAGCCTAGCTCGAGTGTGCCGGCTTGTGAACGAGGATGAGCTCCACTCGGTTACTAATTCAAGATCAATGTTGACTATGTCGTAAGGGTTATCGAGCTCTGTAAATCCGTATCTGTGGAGTAACGCAGCGTTACCCATCAAACCATATGTATTGAACACCTACACAAATACATTATGGAAGATTTGCATCATGTCAAACGAAGATGATTCTAAACAGACTAATAATCAATAGGCAATGTTAAGCAAATACATACCTCAGCTCCAGCAGGGACATTCTTAACCATAATCATTTTTAAACCGGATTGATCATCTTGCAACACCGAAGAGTTTTCTTCTTCATCTTCTTCTTCTTCTTTGGCTTGGTCGTCAGTGATTTCACCAGGAACATCCTCAAAAGAATGCTCAGGCGAGGGAGAACTTGTACTTGAAGGCTCGTCTTCATCAGCGTCCTCACTTTCATCAGTTTCGGTATCGGACTCACTGTGAGATGATTCAGCGGTGAAATGAACGTCTTCCGCTCCAGTTTTATGATTGAAGCTGCCATATGGAGTAAACAGAGTGGAGGATGAGTACACAAAAAAACATTGAGTCTTTGCTAGAATCACATTCAGTCCATCAAACACTTCCAAGGATCAATCTTTCCCCACACATGACAAAATTCAGAACATAAAAGGCACAGTTCTAAGTAAATAACAAAGATGTATGTAATCCTAAACCACACTGTGAACAAATCAGCACACTAACTTCAACCAATGAGCTGCATAATCAAATTGCTATCAGGTTGAAAAGTATTATGCTTAGCCTCAATCTCAATGACTTTCTTTGGTTGATACAAGGCCTATGTAAGCGAAAAGTAATCAAATTTTCAATCCTATAACTTACAGGTCTGCAAGAGGAACCATCCCGGATCCATGATAGTCATCAATCTGGAAAGACCGAGAAGCAATTAGACTCTTAGCCGCGAGATACGCTTTGATTCCAAACGAATCAGGATCAACATTTGTAGGCAGTGAAGATGTAAGTGGCTTAATGCTTTCTTCCCAATCCTCAAGTATGAGACCATGATCTTCCTTCACCACCTGCCTACAAGAAATTCAAACTCATGAGCAGTGACGACTTCAAATGAATTCAAATGCAATGGTGAATCAAAAAGTTGTGGTGAAAACCTTATGAAGCTCGGTTCCGGATAAGAGAGAGTCAAAGTCGTCAATGGACCAAACGAGAGGCAAATCCTCTTGAAAAGGAAGGATCTGAAGATACCCAGACCAAGGGGATTCTTCACCCAAGCTTCTCTCGTACATGAGAGCCACGGAGAGACCTAAGCTTCCGTCTAAATCAGCGGATTCGATCATCCCGCGAGCCGCGCTGGTTTTAATTGTGAGACAAGCGGGTTTGGAGATGTTGGCGACGACATCTCCTTCCTTTAGATCGACGAACGCTCTCACGGATACGCCGTCGTTGTGGTCGTCGACGAGATTGAGAGCATCGCTGCAATCAACTCCGTTGGCTTTCATCCATCTCTTGAATGCTCTTAACCTCCTGGTGATGACAATGGAAGTTTGAAATTATTCGACATTGCAATTAAAGTTTAGATTCATTTGACAGATAGAGAGAGAACCTGGTGCCTCCCATGATCGTCGAAGTCTCCTTTTGAGTGTTATTGGCCTTGCTCTCTGATGGATTCGCCGGCGGGAAACAGAAACAACGGAACGCCCCCGATTACAGAGACGACGACGGCGTCAGATGTAGAAGGGTTTATGCTCCGTATCACATAATGAAGGGTATTGACGGAAATATCCTTCCCTTAACTTGAAGTTTTGAACAGAAACCTTTATTATTTTGGTGTTCAACTATTTACACGAGTTTTTTTAATTTTCCGAATGCATTCCCTGAAATATTTGACTAATCCTTTTTAGTATTCGGATTAACATATTTTAAAAGGTGTTATGTTTTAGTCAAATATTTTAAGTTTAGTATTAGTCTTAGACTCTTAGTTTTAGGCTTTTAGCAATGGTTCGATCAAAGTACATGATCATAGGCAAAAATCTTTGAAAAGTAACCTTTTTAGCAACTGAAAAATACATGAATTATTGAACTCTCCGTACTAGTACTCACACTAACAAATCAATCATGTTATTCATGAACTTGCCGGTGGTTTCATGTTTTGGATATTAACTTTTTTGCCTTAATGATGTCGATGATGTCCATACAGTCCTGCAAGCACTTAGTTCAAATGACTTTAGTCAAAGGTATAAAAACTAATTTCTCTTACACCAACTTGATAAGTACTAGTAAAAAGAAATAAAAAAATTGATAAAGTAGAGTAGTAAACATCCAACTTTAAAAATGTAAAGTAATAATTTATAGAAGACTGTATAATGATTAAACCGTGTTTTGGCGTTGAACTCGCGCCTAATTGATAAGTATTAGTAAAACAAAACAAAAAAAAATTATCAAGTAAAGTAGTAAACATCCAAGTTTAAAAATGTAAAGTAATAATTTATAGAAGACCGAATAATGATTAAACCGTGTTTTGGCGTTGAACTCGCGCCTGCGCGAATCACAATTTCTAATTTTTCTAAAAGAAGGATGATATTGAGTCAACCTTAGATTTTCATTGTCATTAGTTATTCTACATACCTTTAATACATTGCCACTTCTTACATTAATAAATACAATAGACAGTTTGTGCCTGAACAAACCAGCAGAGTAAAATCAAGTATTTGCTATCATTGTAACAAGAGATATGAGTATTCATCCGAAACAACAACATAGTCCGGTGCAGGAGCAACAACAACAACATCTTCCTCGTCCTTCTCCATTCGATGAGCTGTCTGCAATTTTCTATCCTCTACAGCAAGAAAATTCAAGTTTTGGTGATTCCAATGGAGATCAGTCTCCCAATTCCAAGTTGATCTCAGCACTAATCAACGATAACGATTTTTTAGATGAGATCGGAAAGGAAGGTATGAAAGAGGAATAAAAATAGTTGATTTCTATTGAGTTGTGTTGAATTCTTGTTATTAATTTTCTATCAAAATATATAAGATGTCATTTACAATAGTTACTCCTTAATCCTTATTTTCACTAGAATTATGAACTTCACAACCGATTTTACGTATTTATTATTTTGTTCCAACGTATTCCTTAGTTATTTCACTAGAAATATGAATCTCACAACAAATTTTACAAACTTTTTTTCTTGTAAAAGCAAAACTAACTCTCAATAAGACTAGACAAAAGTTTGTTATAATAGATCTATACACCAAATACATTATGCAAACCGATATTTAATCCCAACACAACTTAACAAAAACAACTGTATTCTCTATTAGGACCAATCTACCGTATCATGTCGTCGATGATGGAAGGATCTTCGCCGGCACGAGAAATTCAACCACCGTCACCAGAAGACCCCGAAGCGAGAAGTGTAGTACTGTACGATCATCAAATCCAAGTTGTAGCTGATGCAGCTGCTTATTGTTACCAACCTTTCCTTCTCCCGCCAGGTTTTAGATTTGTACCAAATGATGACGAACTCATCCGTTGTTACTTGTTACCGTTCTTACGCGGCTACCCATTCCTGCCCTGTATCGACATCCATCACGTCGACATCTACAAGTACAACCCCGAAGAGCTTGCAGGTTTGCCTCCTAGCTCACTAGCTCAGTATATATCCATCCTTTCATTTAAGAAAAAATATATATGTATATGAAAATGCCCTTGTTGATCTTGATTTGATTGATTATAAATAACAGCCGAGTTCAAGAAGGGAAATGATAAAGACGAGTGGTTTTTCATCACGGAGAGGAGAAAGAATTGGTTAAGGCCGGATTGTAGTGCTAATGGAGGATACTGGAGACCAACAGGGAGTGAGACAAAGGTTGATGCCGGAAAAGGAGTGTTAGGCTCCAAAAGAACTCTTGTTTTTCACACGGGAAAACAACCAAAGGGCACCAAAACCGATTGGATGATGCAAGAATACCATTTGGACCATCCTCTGCCTCCTCCTCCGCGTGATAACAACTCCAATGAGGACAACAAGATGGTATGTATGCATGCATGTTGATGTTTACTTGAGTTGCAAGTTGTTTGAGATTTTTGTTTCGTTTTGTGTATGTATAGCTGGATACAGTTTTGTGCAAGATTTACGATACGCCAAAGGGAAAGAAGAGGAGAGCATATGAGGAAGAGAAACAAGAAGACGAAGACGAGGATGAGTTGTTTTCAACTTTCTATCTTGGAAAGCAAGAAACCGAAGAAGAAGAAGAAGAAGAAGAAGATGATGATGTGAGGGCCATGCCTTGTACCGATGAACACTATTAGCCTTAGTTTTAGATATAACTGCATTCTACATTTCTACATTTCTACATCCTTATTAAAATTCAGTTACACAGTGCTTGTTTCTTTTAAATTTCTCTGTTTTCTTATTAAAATTGACTTTGGTTAACAAGACATTGATTTATTTAATTATTTTTACCGTTCTTAATATCAAATATTTTTCAAATTGAGGAAATTAGTTGTTTTCGGTTGCGGAGGAAGAAGACGATGTGCGAGAAAGCGAGAGTGATAGTGAGAATGCTACAAGGCTGCAACAGCATGAACAAGCTCCATAAGATCCACTCTCACGTCATCGTCAACGGTCTCCAACACCATCCTTCCATCTTCAACAACCTGCTCCGCTTCTGCGCCGTCTCCGTCACCGGCGACTTGCCTTACGCTCTGCTTCTCTTCCACAATTTCGATTCCGATCCATCCACGTCGGCTTGGAACTCCCTCGTCCGCGGCTTCTCCGTCTCCTCCTCCCCACTCTCTTCCCTTCTCTTCTACAATCGAATGCTTCTCTCCTCCTCTTCCCGCCCAGATATCTTCACTTTCAGTTTCGCCCTCAAGGCCTGCGAGAAGCTCCGCTCGATTCCGAAATGCCTCGAGCTTCACGGCTCCATCATCCGATCTGGTTTCCCCGCCGATGCGATCGTCTCCACCGGCCTCGTCCGTTGCTACTCTGCGAACGGAAGTATCGAAATCGCCTCCAAAGTGTTCGACGAAATTCCTGTGAGAGACTTAGTCTCTTGGAACGCAATGATCTCTTGCCTTTCTCACGCCGGTTTGCACCATCACGCCTTGAGTATGCAAAAGCGAATGGAGAACGAAGGAGTCCGCGTCGACGCGTACACGCTCGTTGCTCTGTTATCGTCTTGCGCGCACGTTAGCGCGTTGAACATGGGTGTTACGTTACACAAGTTAGCCTGTGACATCGACTGCGAGAGCAGCGTCTATGTGAGCAACGCTCTTATCGACATGTATGCAAAAAGCGGAAGCCTTGAAAACGCTGTGACTGTCTTCAACGGGATGCGGAAGAGAGATGTGTTGACATGGAACTCGATGATGATTGGGTATGGAGTTCATGGTCACGGCGTTGAAGCCATCTCCTTCTTCAGAAAGATGGTGACTTCTGGGGTTAGACCAAATGCTATAACATTCCTCGGACTGTTGTTAGGTTGTAGTCATCAAGGTTTAGTCAAGGAAGGAGCTGAGCATTTCCAGATGATGAGTTCTCGGTTCCGTTTGAGTCCCAGCGTTAAACACTATGGATGTATGGTGGATCTTTATGGACGAGCGGGTCAGCTCGACAAGGCGCTGGAGATGATACATGCGTCTGGTTGTGGAGAAGATCCTGTCTTGTGGAGAACTTTGCTCGGCTCTTGCAAGATCCATGGGAATTTGAAGCTAGGAGAAGTGGCGATGAAGAGTTTGGTGCAGCTCAAGGCGTTTAATGCAGGGGACTATGTGCTTATGACTTCGATTTACTCTGCAGCTGATGATGCTCAAGGTTTTGCTAGCATGAGGAAGATGATAAGAAGGAATGATTTAAAGACAACGCCAGGATGGAGCTGGATTGAGATTGGCGATCAAGTTCATAAATTCGTCGTTGATGACAAAATGCATTTGGAGTTTGAACTTATTTACTCAGAGCTGCAGGGAGTGGTCCGTCGCGCCATGGTAGCTGGCTATAAACCAGAGGATTCGAACGTGACTGGTCCGGTTCTCTCTGACCGGTGTTTAGGATCTGCGTTTCACAGTGAGAAACTGGCGATTGCGTATGGATTGATGAGAACTCCTGCAGGAACAAGTCTCAGGATCACAAAGAATCTGAGGGTTTGCAGAGATTGTCATTCGTTTACAAAATTTGTATCGAAAGCATTTGATCGGGAAATTATTGTGAGGGATAGAGTTCGGTTTCATCACTTTGCGGGTGGCCTTTGTTCTTGCAACGACTACTGGTGAATATAAGTACTGTATTTGAGTCATCAGTGAATTTTTACACCGTGCGAATAAATAAACCAATGGAACATCAACAAACATTTTTAACTTTAAAATATTTTCAGTTAAATTATAAAGTCTAACATTTTCAATTTTCGGAAATTTTCACAAATTATTGTCATTTTTAAAAATCGGGCATCTATTCTTCAGTGGTTTTAATATTTAATTCGTATCACATATCGTCAAAGCCGACTTAGCTCAGTGGTAGAGCGCGTGACTTTTAATCCCGTGGTCGAGGGTTCGATCCCCTCAGTCGGCGAAATTTATTTATTTTTTCTTTTTTCCAAAAGAAGTCGACTTTTAAATTGACGTTGAAAATCTTCATCTCGTTGTGAAAAGCGGTTGTCTAAGTTGTTGAATCTCTAACAGCCTACTTCAATGGCGTCTCCGCCAAGAAACGACCGCAAAGAAGATCCCTCGTCACTGTCACCGTCACCAAAACACAATCCCCACGATCAACTCTCATCAGATCCCGAGGAATTTAAGTCTTTTTGACTGGCTGCGTTGATCCATACCAAATGGATGGAGTCACAGAGTCCAACAATAGCTCTTCTTTGAAGAAATCGCCACACAAGAACTGATCTCATCTCATTTCATCTTCTCGCAACTTTTTCTTTTTTTTGGCGGCTTAGCGTTTATTCTGTAAATACCAAATTCTCTCAAACAAATTATGAGGTTTTGTTATCAATTAGGTTACCAGAGATAATATTTTCTTCTCAAACAAGCTTTTATGTGTATTTTCTTCTTGGCATAGATAGGAACATATAAAAATCCGTCTGGCTATCTGAGTCTTGAGAAAAACATGAGACGTCACTGTATTTTCTCACAATTATTTAACCAGCAAAACATCTATTTACACTGATAGTGATAGCTAGTGATACTTATTTCCCGCCAAAATTGTAAAACAACCTATTCACCATAGGAAAATGAATTTTAATTTGTGCTTAACCAACTCCAATTGAGATTATGATAAAAAATATATTATTATGTCAAAAAGTTTCCAATTTTGTCCAACCATTTCTTTCTTTCTCAACAAATAAATATTTTTATATCCATTCACAAATAAATACTGAACATCACTAACCGTCTCTCAAGTGCCTCCACTCGTTGTTGAATCATGATGATGATGCCTCCGAGAAACAAGTGCAAAGAAAGATCCTCGCCGGAACCGCAAAAGCAACCACCGTCACCAAAACACGACCCTTACATGCCTTCGTCTTCTTCTTCTTCTCCGGCCGTCGATAACTTCACTTATCCGTTTTACCCGCCAGGTCCAGGTGTTAGGTTTGTACCAAACGACGAAGAAATCATCTTCATCTTGAATTACTGGAGATCCTTCCCGGAGCATTTCATAAACTCACGGCCCAATCTTCCCGTTCATCGCGTGAACATCTACCACTCGAATCCACAACAACTTTCAGGTTTGTCTCCGTCTTTATCTCTTTCTTTCTTTGTTATTTTATTTTCTGTGCGTGAATACCTCAATTTGTTCATTTTACTCGCAACAGAGGAATACAAGAAAGGTAATCTTAAGGAATGGTTCTTTCTATCGGAGAGGACCAAGTCGAGTAATGGTGGAAAAAGGCAGAAACGTAGCGACAATGGAGGATATTGGCATGCAACCGTAGCTGCCAAGAAGATTGAAGCTGGAGATGACGTAGTCGGTTACAAAACCTCACTAGTTTACTACGTCCGGAAACCATCAAATGCCGTTAAAACGGATTGGTTAATGCATGAATACTGGCTTGAGCCTTCCCAAGATAACCAGACGGTATGTATTGTTTCTTGGCTTCCAAGTTACTTCGATTGTTGTATTTTGATCATCTTGTTTAATTATTATTTTTGGTTAGCGTACGGAGGTGGATTATTCTCTATGCAAGATTTATTTGAGTCCGACGGCGATAAATAAGAAGAAACAAGAAAGCGTTCAAGACTCAGAAGAGAAGGTTGAGCCGCATCAACCGCAAGCAGAAGAGCAGCATCAATTGCCTTTGTCTTCTTCTTCCCCTTTTCATCTGCCAGGTTATCAGTTTGTGCCAAACGACGAAGACATCATCTTCATCTTGTTTAACTGGAAAACCTTCCCTCAAGGCTACATAAAACCATGGCTTTATTTTCCCGTTTATCACGTGAACATCTACGAGTCGAATCCACACCAACTTTCAGGTTTGTCTCCGACGTCTTTTTCTTTGATTTATTGTTTGTTATTTGTGTGTGTGTGAATACTAAATACCTCTGTTTCTTAATCCGAACCAGTGAAATACAAGAAGGGTAATCGTGAGGAATGGTTCTTTATGTTTAAGAGGACCAAAACGTGCAAAGGTGGAAAAAGGCAGAGACGTGGCGACAATGGAGGAGGATACTGGCATGCAACAACAGCTACCAAGAAGATTAAAGCTGGAGAAGAGATAGTCGGCTACAAAACCGCACTAGCTTACAACATCGGGAAACCATCAGACGGCAGAAAAAGGAATTGGTTAATGCATGAATACTGGCTCGACCCTAAACCTTCCCAAGAGAGCGATAACGAGACGGTATGTATTGTTACTTGGTTTCCAAGTTATTTAGAATTGTGAGTTTTGTGATTGATAAATGATAATCATCTTGTTTAATTTGTTTTGGTTGGTGTACGCAGGTGGAATGTTGTTTTCTATGCAAGATTTATCTGAGCCCGATGGCGAAAAGGAAGAAGCAAGAAGAAGGCGTTGATGCATCAGAAGAGAAGGTTGAGCAGCCTAGTAATGTTGCGTTTCAGCTGCCGCAAGTACAACAGAAACAACCTACTAATGTTGCGTTTCAGCTGCCGCTAGTACAACAGAAACAGCCTACAAATGCTGCGTTTCAGCAACCGCAAGAACAAGAGCAGCAGCTTAGTAATGTTGAGTTTCAGCAACCGCAAGAACGAGAGAAGCAGCCAATTAATGTTGCGTTTCAGCAACCGCAAGTACAAGAGAAGCAGCCTAGTAATGTTGCGGATCAGAAACCGCATCAACCGGAGTTTTGTCTACCCCCAGTGGATTCGCTTCAACCGCAAGCAGAAGAGGAGGAGAAATGGCCTATGCCGTTTATTTCTGATGAGTTGTATCAGATGCTCAACGATCACAACATCCCAGACGATGTCGACGGCTTGTTTCCTCCCTACGATGATTTATTTACACCGGAAGATAGAGCTCGGTTCTTGGATGAAATCGCCAGAGAAGCACTACTGAAGAAACCTAACACTTTACTCAACTAATTGAGATCTGCTCATTACTTTTTTTTTCTTTTTCTTTTTACTTAGCTTTGTTTTCAAACTCTCAATCGAGCTTTATGGATTCTTTTATCAATTTAGGCTATTACGAATATTTCATTCTGTCATAGTTTCTAATTACTACATTTTTATCTGAAATAAACCTTACAAAAATGGGACAAATATTTTTCCTTTGTTCATCCCTAAAAAAAGCAAAACATAAAGAAAGGGTTTACCTTAGCCGGAAAACAGAAAATAGACTATTCGTCTAACGTACGCTCTGTTTCGTTATTTCAGTTAAAAAACGAATCTTTATTTTTTGTAAAAGAACTAGACTTAATTACTTGCTTATAAATATCTTCATTTCGTTGTTGTTAAAGTGGCATTTTTCAAAGTTGATCAAGTTCGAGGAATCTCAAACGAATCGATCGAAGCCGAGATGTCACAAAGAAACAAACGCAAAGAAAGATCCTCGCCGGAATCGCAGACGCAACCACCGTCGTCACCAACTCACGACCCCCACATTCCTTCGTCTTCTTCATCTTGTTCTTCGGCCGTTTATAACTTCCCTTCCGATCCTTCGACGAATCCTATCGTTTTCCCGCCATTGCCAGATTTCAAGTTTCTACCAGACGACGAAGACCTAATCTTGCATTACTTGAAACCATTCGTCGAAGGAAACAAAAACTCACTGCACAATGTCCCTGTTCATCACGCCAACATCTACGAATCCAACCCGGAACAGCTCTCAAGTTTGTTCCCGTCGATTTCTCAACTTGTACATACATCGAATTGGTTTTTTGTTTGTTTCTTGTATGTGAAAATGGCTTTGTTCTTTCGATTCGAAACAGAGGAATTCGAAAAGGGTAATGATAAAGAATGGTTCTTTATAACGGAGAGGCCCAAGTTCCGTGGAGAAGGAAGCGACAACAGTGGAGGATCATGGAAGGCAATAACATCTCCTGAGAAGATTGAAGCTGGACAAGGCGTAGTCGGCTACAAAACCAGACTCGAATACCACATCGGGAGATCCGAAAATGGCGTAAAATCGGATTGGTTGATGAATGAATACCGGATTGAGTCTTCTTCTCACGACGATAACAAGGTAGGGTTTGTATGTTTGCTTGGATTGCAAGTTATAGAGATTGTGGAGTTTTGAATATGTACTATTTTGGTTTGTGTATTATTATTAGGTGGATCATGCTCTGGGAAATATGTATCTGACGCAAAGTGGATATCAGAGAACAGCAGATGAAGAAAAGAGTGAGAAGAAGAGAGACGAAGAAGGCATAGCAACAACCGAAATGGAGGTTGATCAGCCTTGTACGCAGAAGGATTATGCTCTTTGCAAGATTTACTTGGCAGAAGATACGGAGGACGAAGAAGAAGAGCTTGAAGCATCAGATGAAGAGGAGATTGAGCAGCAGCCTAGTGATGTTGCGTTTCAGCAACCGCCTCCGCCGTTTTTCCCTGATGAGTTGTTTGAGATGCTCAACGATCACAACACCCCAGACGATGTCGATGGCTTGTTTCTTCCTCACGATGATTTATTTTACACCGGAAGATAGAGACTGATTTTTGGAGGAACTCGCCAGAGAAGCAGTACTGAAGAAACATTAAAAACTTTACTCATCTGATTGAGATTTGCTCATAACTCTTTTTTTTCCTTTTCTTTTTGGTTAGCTTTGTTTTCAAACTCTCGGTTAAGCTCTATTGATTTTGTTATCAAATGATTTTGTTTTTGTCTCACTTTGATACTTCACTGAAAAAGCTACCAAATTGATCCAAGTCTTGTGAATAAATATATTTTATTTTCATTGTATCGATAACCGGATACAGAAAACCGGATTTATATCAATTGCGATTTACGAGAACCGGGTTTATTTGAAAAGAAGGGACATTTTTTTATTATCAGGCAAACCCTAAACAATTTACAGAGGTACTCGTCGTCGTCTTCTTCTTCTTCCGAACACAGAGCACAGTCGCCGACGTCACTAGCTCCTTCTTATCTCGGTGAGTTTCCTGTATTTCCTTCATAAACGATGAAAAAGGAGAGATTTCGATTAAGATTTCTCTCCAGATTCCTTTTACACTCCATCGGGGTTTCAATTGAATCTCACAGATAATCGTTATCTAGTATTTAGAGCTGTTTCATCGATTTTGAGCGTCCTGCAATTACAATTTGCTGATTCACTGTCTAGGTTTTCTGGTCCTTTTAATCTCACTAAAATTTCAATTGAGCTTAGATAAAGTTGAGATTTTTACTCACTATTCAGTTAAAAAGTTGGTCTTTTTCAGTAATGGTTTTGCCTTTTGTTTCTACAGCTTCAGAAGAAGATGGAGAGTGAGGAGGAATGTCACGAGCTTGGAATTGAAATATCAAAGGAGGAATCAAAGGAAAGAATTGAGAGTCTCAGGACCGATAGAAAGAAGAAGAAGTTGAAAGAGAGATTGCTTAAGGAAACTGCCAAGGCTGATAATCGAGGGGTTTGTTACTTAAGCCGCATCCCACCGCACATGGACCACGTTAGACTTCGCCAGATTCTCTCTCAGTTTGGAGATATCGGAAGGATTTATCTTGCTCCTGAAAGTGAGGTTTTTAATGTCAATTGTCATATCAATATGTGTTTCTGTATTTTGATTATTAGCTGATGCATTCGTTGAATTTCTGTTCAGATCCTGAAGCACAAGTTCATCGCAAGAAGGCTGGTGGCTTTCGTGGCCAACTCTTTTCTGAAGGGTATGCTTAAATATAGAACTTCAAAGCACTTGTTCACAGTGATTATCTGGTTTCTTCTTATATTGTTTACAAGATCTTTCTTGTGTACATTAACTGTAGGTGGGTGGAGTTTGGTAAGAAAAGAGTAGCTAAAAGGGTTGCGGAAATGCTGAATGGAGAACAAATTGGTATTGATAATGAATCATATTAGTATTCATAGTGAATAGGTGAAATCTGAGCTTAGATGAGTAGTGATGTTTACTGTTTTCTTTGCTTTTCCTCAGGGGGGAAGAAGAAGTCGACGATATACTATGATATTTGGAACATCAAATACTTGACCAAATTCAAATGGGATGATCTTACTGACGAAATTGGTATTGTTATTACTCTGCTTAACGTCCTTGACCATTTTACTTTTTACATGATCTCTAATCTACAAAGGGTTGTTTTTTTTGCAGCATACAAAAGTGCAATACGGGAACAGAAGTTAACTATGGTTCTCTCTGCTGCGAAGAGAGAGAAGGACTTTTATCTAGCTAAAGTAGAGAAGTCTCGAGCCATGACCGAGATAGATGCAAGAATGGAGAAGGTACCACTAAAAACTTATAAAACTCTAAATTTATGAAGCTACCAGAACTTTTAGAGTTGGCTTACAGACTCTCTCCTGTTTGGAGGATTGCATCGTTTTTTGTTCCTCTCCCTCTGGAGATTTAATTTCACTAGACTAACTAGATGTTTGGTTTGTATTGTTCTCTGTTTTTGCGGTGGGCAGAAGCGAAAGATTCAGGAAGAATCAGGTAGCACTGCTGAAGCAGCACCAGTCTTCCCTCCTAGGAAGATTCGTCACTTTAGACAGAAGGAATCAGTTACGAATGAGACTTCTCAGAGCAAACCTGGGCTCTCCACAGATTTCTTTGCATCGGTCAGTACTTTTTAAACTTATTTTACTGAAGAACAGTGATGTCTTTAGTAGAGAATTAAGTGAGATGAATAACTTTTGGTACCATAATCTAGGTTAGTCTCTTGTGTTTTGGTTCTCATAAGTATCTGTCTGGCACATATAAATCTGACCCAACCCTGGTTTTTAGCGGCTGTTCCGGATTAGCATTACTCATGTTACATGTAAATGTTACAAATTTTTGGATTTATGGCTTTGTATACTTTTGTTTCTTCTGATTCAGGTATTCGGTGGTTCTTAAAGATCAAGATGCATGTGAAGTTACATCCATTTGATCATAGCTTGATGGGGAAATTGGTCACCAAATGATTTTGAGTGTGAAACTACTAGTTCTGCATGTAAACGGAGAAAACCTTCACATACACTTCTAGAAACACTTTTGCTGTTTTCTGTTTCTTTCTCTCACAGTCTAATCCTTCTTACCTTTTAAGGTTGCTATGTCAATTACCAAGAAATATATATTATGTTTTTGTTTTGTGTACTGTTGTGTAACATTGTCAAAGTAAAAAAGAAAGGTCGTCCAACAAAGTAATTGGTCAAACCAAACCAGCCAAAGAAAACAGAATAATCTTTCCACGACCAAAGAAAGAAGGAAAAAAGGCAACAGCATACACAGAGACAGACATTGTACATATATGAGCATCATACGGATGTATCACTTGGTTGATAAAACAATGTTTGAGAAAACCACAACGCAAGAGACTATTTATGTGACATTATTGGTCATCGAGACGACGAGAAGAGAGCAAAGGCTTTGGGAGATGATGTTGCGTGGTAACTGCACCTTGGCTGGTGGTGGTGGCCGGTGCACGGTGAAGCCTACAACGGAATGAGCCTTCGTGCTTTGTTGGAGAACAGACGCATATCTTCCCCAACCGGTTGCTGTTGATGAGCTGACCAAGCGAGTCCGTGGACCACGACTTCCTCATCGACGACAAACCTCCTGTCTTGTTCTTGTTCTTGTTGTCTTCTTCGTCTTTGAAACGGCTAAACGGATTCTTGGTCTTAACCGAATCTCTGCTGCCACTTCTGGTCATGCTGTTCCTCGGCTTCTCTTCCGCCATAACTCAAATTGTTAACTTGGAATAGGATTCTAAGATGAGCGATTTACCTGTGATGTGATGAGAGATTTGATCAGATGGAAATAAACAAAAACCGACCAAATCTTTACCTGCAGGCAATGAGAAGGTCTACATACACAAAAAATAGCAAGGACGTGACCGCTACTAAGCTTTTATATAATAAAGATTATGTTGCAGAGATGCTCATGAAACACGTAGTTGAATGTTTACAAGGTCAATTCATGCGTTTTTGGTATAATAATATTCCTCAAAGATGGCTCTCTAGTTTCTCAAAGGGGTTCGATCTTTTTTGCCATTGTAAGAAATCAGTCAATAAACAACAACGTGGCAGATTCCTGATGCAACATTCACACAGGTTTAACACGTAGTGAATGTTTTCAAAGTCAACAATAAGATTAGAAAAGCACCAGATTCTTCCAACAGTCAAATATTCTCTTCATATCGATAATTCGCCCACAACATATAAAATAAGGTTTTGCATAACAAGCAATCATAAAAAGTCATGTCCCAAAGCTTTTTTTTATTTTATTTATAGAGACGGGAGCAAACTCTAAGCGTCCCTCTCTTTATGACGAGGAAAACATCCCATTCGTTGTAGTCTTGTAGATGATGTTTTAGCCAGGAGGCCAGTTCATTTGGCGTCCTCCAATGAGATGAACATGAATGTGATACACCGATTGACCTAGAAAGATTGTGACAAGCATCAATAATCATGTCCCTTTCTTTTATGTGTTGAATGTGAATAGACTAAACTAAAGCAATGGAAACTATATAACTGATACTTACATCCCTGTGGACCATCGTTGATGACAATTCTGAAACCCTCGTCTAAGCCTTCCTGTTTGGCTACAAGCTTGGCAGTGTAAAGAAGGCGTCCCAAGATGTCAATGTGCCTTTCCTCAGCCTGCAGCAGCAGAAAAAATACCTTATTAACTTGTGGTTCTTAATGGGATTTGGTTGAGAGGGTTTAACTTTGAGAGGTGTAAGTTAATTAAGGTACCTTAGAGAGACCAGTCAAGCCATCCCTCACTTTCGGAATGAGGAGGATGTGAACGGGACCCTGTGGCGTTATGTCCCTAAAAGCTAAGACCTGCAAAATAATTCATAATGATTTCAGAAAACATGCTACTCAAGCAATGATCATGAATTGTGTACAGCTACTGAAAAGTGAAGGTGAATATATCAAGTGATAGATTTTTGTTGTTAAAAGATGAAACCGGTTGCAAGAAGAGACCATCATCTACTTGAAATGCATAACATAGAAATAGTAATGTTCATTATTACAGTGCTTCGAATGGCAAACAACAAGACTGAGCTACTTTAGAGTATCATTAGATGTTGATATTCCAATTTCCAAGTGCAACAGAAGAAAAAGCATATCACAAGTACCTTGTCATCCTCATAAACCACTGTGGATGGAAGTTCTTTGCTGATGATCTTGTCAAATCTGCATTTTCCAGCATAATAAAACTAAATTAGTGTTCAACATCATTTCAGCAACTCAAGTAATCTGAAAGCAGAGAGAAATTTTTATGATTTGTGCAACAGTGTCACTCTTCAGTTGCATAAGCTTAACAGAGAGTGTTCCGACCAAATAACTAACTTCAAAACTACATCACAGAGTCACAGCCAAAAGATTTATAACCCAAATATAAAATTAAAATTCGAAACTTTTCTCTCGATCGTTAGCAGATTCCATCCCAACATCGCAGTTATAACCGATAATTTACGATTTCGCTAGGGATCGTTGAACCGAACAAATCGATCAGAGCAGGAAACAGAAGAGAGAAGGCTTACATGGTGGGAGAATCGGAAGGAGTGGCGGCGAGAGCAGCTTCTTTCTCGGAAGCCATGACTGGTGAGAAATGTGAAGAGAGAATCGCAACACGGTGGTGGCTCATTAACCAAAACTAAACCCTAAAATTTCTTTATATCATCCGTTGACGACGCAGCAACCACCACCACTTCATCCCGGCAACTACTCCTTCCAACCAATGAGATACTGACACGTCATAGACTTTTGTTCTCCTTTTTTTTAATGTCGGAATCACGTTTCTTGATTAAGTTAAGTGCTCTTTGCTCACAAAAGCCCACTCAGTATTGGATAATTGAAGAAATGCTACTGTTCAAACATATTACCAAAACTAGACGTTCCCAATGTTAAACGCAAATGCAGCTTTTGTTTTCTGAAAAATAGATAATCGTCAAAGTATGAGTATTAACTCTTACGATAAATTTAAATTAGAAACACCAAATTACTAAACGCCAAAAAAATAAAAAGACAGAGAAGTGAAAAAGTGATGGCGAGTGGGTTTGATAAGAGAGGAGGAGCTCATGGGATTCCATGGACCCCATACATGATGAATGCTTAATGCTTAGGGCTAATTATAGATATGGATGACAACACATCATTAAGGGACAAAATGGAGTTATTATCCTACAATTAAGTAAGAGATATACGTACTTTACAGCTAACGAGATTAATTTTACAACTAAATCGATAGATAAAATTAAAGTCAAATGCATCTTTCACTACAGTACTCTCTTGTTATACTACCGCAAGCAGAAAGTAAAAGCGAGATTATGATGTCTGAACCGTCTATTCATGTTAACGTGACCTGAAATATCACATGCTCTGCTTTAGCCTTTTTGACACTTTAGCGAAAATAGAATATTATAAATTCTTTGGAGTTTAACTAAGGAAATTCTTTGGAATTAGGAAGAATTGGCAATTTACCCCAAATTGAAACTTTTTTGTCCCACTACACCTTTTTTGACTTTGGTCTTTTTTGGTCAAGTTTGCCCTTCAATTTATTTATAAACTCATACTAAATGTATTTTGGAGTGAAAAAAATGCCATAATTCCTAAAAATCATTTTAGCACTGTGTAAAATTTTTGAACATTTTTGAAAATGCTTATGATATTTAAAAAAATATTTCAAGTTTCATTCTACAAAACTAAAATAACAAAGTAGAATTCGTTTTCTGCAAGATATTCAGAGGTCTAACCTCCGTAGAACATAATATCTACAACTTATTCATACCTCTTCCGGATGTAGAAGTTGATATCTACCTACTCTTATAGGCTCTACCATTTTGTAGAATTCGCACCAAATGTATTCTACTCAATCAAGTATCTTCTACTACTCGTAGATTTTACGTTCTACGCGAAACACTGCTATCTACAAGAAATAGTTTTCGTATTCTACGTGTTTTTGTCTACTCTACATCCCGCAGAAGTAGTGTTCTACTAAAACCATGTTTTCTACGATCCGTAGTACTCGTGTTTCTAGTACACAATCTAGCAAAACTAGTGTCGTCTACGGTTTTGTAGAATTCATCTTCTGCGAAGATCGAGAAAATATTGCAACTGAATATTTTTCAAATCTTTCTTTCCTTTTTTTCCTCCAACTATCCAAAACATCACGTTCTTCCTTCCTCTCATCATTCTTCCTTCGATCGACGTGGATTAGGATTAGGTTTCGATCGCCTCCCGCCGTCGCGAAGAGAAGGAGAGAATAAGTTTTGTTTTTTTTCGGTTTATTTTTTAATTAGTTTAGTTTTGTTAATTTTATTTTTATTTAATATATTTTAATTTAAAAAACGAAAATGGAAACAAAACTAAAATGAAGGGCAAAACTGAGAAAAATGTTAAAAAAAAAGGTATTAGGACAAAGTGGAAATGGAAGGTGTAGTGGGACAAATGAAGTTTCAATTTTGGGGTAAATTACCAATGACTTGTATTGATTATAGATAGTCCCCACTCTACTGGTCTTAATGATTTTGTCCCAATTGTTCTGTTCTTGTTTTTGTCTAAACATGATATTATGCGGTGGTGAGGTATCGAATTAATAAACCATGGACCACGAAATAGATAAACTATCAACCTAACTAATTGTTCAATTCAATAGATTCAATGAAATAAAGCTCATTTACAAAAGTGGCCAACTTAAATTATGGGAAAGAGACATTATAAACTACTGTAATTCGCCAAACGCTTTTAACTACTACCACTGTAATTAGTTACATATAAGTCGTGTTGTGAACGGCGTCTCATTAGGGTAAAACTAATTTTGAGTTTGACCTTTCAACTAACACATAGATTCCACCAAATGTAGTACTCATGACTACACGCCAAATGTTAAAAAGTATCTCACCACTCTCCAGAATGTTTGTAACTCTTTTGTTTTTCTTCACATGTTATAATAATGTTTTTATATTGGTTAGTTAAGAGATTGAGTTCTCCAAGATGTAATTATGGATTTAAGTAAAATTATACTGGAAACCATACATTGATTTTACACAAATATCCCTTGTTTGTCTGGAATTTGCTTTATGATTTATATACGCATAAAAACTGGAGTATTTGTAGCTTTCAAGTCAGATATCTTACATTATCTGTGAATAAAATTAGGCTAATCCCAAAAACATAATCCACTTATATTCATACCTCTTAACTCAATCAACTAAGATTTGGAAGTTTGGTTTCTGAATTCTGAGATACTACTTTGCTTAAGATGCAAAAGAAATAAACAGAGAGATTAATACGTAGTACTAATCAATAAGGGTAGTTAAAGAATCATAATGAGATCCGAACCAAAGCGAACTAGAAAACACAAAAACCAATCATGTGAAAGAAAGAAAAAAAGAACCAAAAATAAAGTGAAGAAGAAAATCCATGGAGCCAACTCAGCCAAAAGGTGGGGGTCCACCACAACGACTCACACTCGCGCCAAAGCGTGTGGTGCAAACGCCACGCAAGAGCGCGTGGTCCAACAAAACAAAGACCAGACCGGGACACTGTCAACAGATAATAGTTTCTTCTTTTTTGCACTCTTTGGGTTTTTAACGATGATGGCGTGAAAGAGAGAGAGAGAGAGAGAACAAGCAGTTTTCGCGAGAAGATTCAGAGGAACAAAAGTGTCTCTTTTTCTTTCTCTTTCTTCTTCTTTTTTTTTCTCTGCATTTCCCATTTATCCTGTCGTCTTTGACGCTTTTGTTAAAAGCTAAAAGAGAAAAAAGATGCCTAACGACGAAGACTAGACAGAGAGACACCCAATTCTCTTCTCTTCTCTTTATTCTTCTTCTTCTTCTTCTTCCTTCTCTCTTCCTGAGATTCTCTGCTCTGCGTCTTCAGGAAATCCGTAAGTTTATGTTTTTTTAGTCTTGATTCTACTTGCATTCTCCTGAGTTTTGTCGTTTTCATGATATGGAGTGTTTGGTTGCAGGAGTAAAAATTCCGCACCTTTTTTTTTATAATTCCTTTGATGTTATGACTCTTTCTCAATTAGTGTAATTTTAAACATGGTCGATTGTATAATGCATTTTCTTGTCATGTCCAAGCCCTTTTCCTATGAACTAGAGCTAATTTTCCTCTTTGAGATCAGTAAACAAAATTGTTTTTTTTTTTTCAATTGTTAAAGATTTGATCCGTGTTACTTTCACTTATGGCGGTTCCCTTCAGTGCATTTTCTGTTTTATACAATAATCTCGTGAATTGAATGATTTGATGATTCCTTCTTTTTTCATTTGTCATGTGAGATTGATTTACTTTTTCTCACATATTTTTCTTTTGTAAAAACAGATAAATCATACTGAAGAAATGACGAAAGTGTGTCCTGAAATCGAAGAAAGGACAATACCACAAGAATCAGCTCTTACAGTATCAAGAGACGTGAGCTTTGCTTCTAATCATTTCCCAACGTACAAATTAGGACCTGAAAACCAGATACTAGAGGAACCAAAAGAAGATGAAAAAGGTCCTTCAGTGCAAGAAACCGTCGAGACAGAGAGCGACAAGTTATCTGATCAGCACAAGCGTCTTTCAGTCCGTGACCTCGCTAGTAAATTCGACAAGAATTTGGCTGCAGCTGTTAATTTGGCTGATGAGGTTTCCACAAAAGCTTTCTCTGTTTTCTTTATTGTTCTGTTTCATTTTCTGTTTTGTTACATAACAGTTTTATCTCTCATGTTATCTTTAGGCTAAGTTAAGAGAAGTTGCTTCTTTGGAAGGACATGTTATGCTGAAGAAGCTAAGGGATGCTTTAGAATACATGAGAGGACGCACTGATGGGCAAGACAAGGAAGATGTGGAGAAAGCTATCTCTATGGTTAACATCTCTTCAATCAGATTATCAAGCAATTGTTACTTGTTCCTTAATTAGTCTCTTTAGAAAGACAAAAGGTTCCTTGATCATAACTGAAACTAACGGTTTATGTGCCTTCTACTGTAATGGCTGTAAATAGGTTGAAGCACTAGCTGTCAAGTTAACTCAGAATGAAGGAGAGCTAATTCAAGAAAAGTTTGAAGTCAAGAAACTTGGAAACTTCCTCAAGCAGGTCTAGTCACAATGCATACCCTTTTTACCTTTTATTCATATCTTGAAACTATGAATGAGGATCATTAAGATGTTTCTGTCATGATATCAGGCTTCAGAAGATGCAAAGAAGCTGGTAAACCAGGAAAAATCATTCGCTTGTGCTGAGATCGAAAGTGCAAGAGCCGTTGTGCTTAGACTTGGAGAGGCATTTGAAGAACAAGAGCGAAGTTCCGAAGCTACTAGAGCTCAAGGACCGGTTAGTATCATCTACTCTACCTAGCTTCTTCATAGTTTGATTGTTAAAACTTTCTTATCAACTTTAATGTTTTTATCACAACAGGATGTTGAGAAATTGGTTGAGGAGGTTCAAGAGGCTAGACAAATCAAACGGATGCATCACCCAACAAAGGTACTCCATCGTTATCATTGCACTTTTTGACACTATCCATTCGAAAACGCTTCATAACTGTATGTGTTATATAATGCAGGTGATGGGGATGCAACACGAGCTTCATGGTTTAAGAAGTCGAATCCAAGAGAAGTATATGATTTCTGTTAAACTTCATCAAGAGGTATGTTTTTTTGTATTCTTTTGTGCATTGACACAGCATTTAGTTTGCAGTTGGTTTGGTCTTAGCTCACTTCTTTGTTCTTGCTTTTTGACCACAACCGTCAAACATCTCAAGATAGCAATAATCAAGAGAGCAGAGGAATCCAAGAACTGTCCATTTGTTCTTGAAGGCAAACAAAGTCTCGGCTCTTGCTTAAGAATCCGTGTCTCCTCAGAAAATGCTGTAGATCTTTCCAACTGTTCAATCCAGTGGTACCGTGCAGCTTGTGAAACTAGTCGAAGGGAAGCTATATCTGGTAACTTGGTCCTAAGTCCTAACTGTTTGCTTCATGATCATTTGGTTTTTAATAAATGAAAGTTTATAGCTTGAGAAGTTGGTTTCTTGATCTTTAAGGTGCCAATGGATCGGTATATGCTCCAGAACCATTTGATGTTGGGAGGATATTACAGGCAGACATTCTTTCAAGTGGACAAAAGTTCACAGTTACAACCGATGGTCCAATTGATCCTGGTTAGTATTACTTAAACTATAGACGATGCAAATACTTTAAGTGTACAATAAAGTGAATGTGTTTGTTCTTATTGTATTGCAGATTCTGGATTGCAGTCTCGCTTAGAGTCTCTGATGCGAAAGTCTAACAGTGAATTCAGTGTATGTTGCAACTCTCTTCTGGTTTTCTTGAGAAAGATCTGCATTGGGTTTATGTTCTGATAAGCTGAACATTTTCAAACTCTTCTCCATCAGGTGGTTATATCACAGATGAATGGACAAGACTATGCATCACGATCTCATGTCCTTACCGTTGGAAAGACGAGGATCAAGCTGTCTCGAGGATGGATCTCAAAGGCGAGAGAAATATATTCGACATCCATGCAGGTATCTAGAGATTGTGTGACATGACATATCTCTTACATTGTATTTTCACAAGAAACAACTCTTTCTTACAAAGTTTGTATGTTTATTTGGTAATTATAGCTCTGTGGAGTTAGAGGCAATATTAAGGCTCCTGGCAAGGCATTGTTCTGGCAACCAAGAAAGAGTCTAACTTTCATACTAACCTTTGAGTCAGAACAAGAACGTAACGCAGCCATAGCCCTTGCTCGCAAATACGCTTTCGATTGCAATGTAAGCAAAATGCTATTCTCAGACTCTGAAAAATCACTGTGGTTTTGTACTTTATACAGTTTTAAAACTGCACGGTTTACATAACAGGCTTGCTTAAATCTGCAGGTTACATTGCTTGGGCCAGATGATTAAACAAATGGTGAACAAGAAGACACTGTCATTAACCAACCACCTGATTTTTGTTGTTCTGTGTGTTGTGTCGTTGTTTTTTTTTTTCACACTTTGGTGCAAAGAAGGAAAGGTGCAAGTTTGTCTTCTCACTGATCATCCAATGTTGCTGCATAGTTTTATTATTGGCAGCTAGCAGATTTCATTTTTTTGTTTCCTTCTTTTTCCTGATTTGTTTGGTTTATTTGCTTGATTTCTGTTGTTTTGTCTGATTTTAGGATGCAACATTGTCAAACAGCTTATGAGTGTGAAATCAGAAAATCAAGAGTTGTTTGTAACTGTACAAGTTTATGAGCAATTTCCCACTTTCATTACCATTACGTGTAGATAAAACTATAGTATACATGTGTTTGAATAACTATGAAAAGTTGATCAAGCAAAAGGGAGATCAAGGAGGTTGAGTGGTGGCATGATCCAGATGTTACCATACGGATCAAGTTTTTTCCACTTGAAGCTAATCACACTCTCTTCACCAACCTTATGGTAAATGCAAGTCCTCTTGAATCCACGGAACACAGAGAGACACAAAGAGTCCTCTTGAATCCCACTCTGCCCTGCTCTCGTTTCACAAGACAAAGCGCTTGCGTAGATCGTCAAGCCTCCCAGTGTTCTCCTCTCAGTCCATTCCCAGCTTGTATGGTCAAGCCTATGCACCGTAGGGCTCATGAAGCGGTACATGTATATGAGAAAGATCTTTCCTTGGTGTTCTGTCATAAAGCACCCGTTGCTTCGTCCTTCATCCTTGCGAGTTCGCCCGGGAAGAACATTCCAAGATTCCAAACACGGGTCGAAGATCGTTACGCAGCCCATGTTTGTGAGGCAGTAGAAGACACCATTGGAGAAGACAATCTGCTCGAAAGTGTGGTAGCTTCCTGGTAACCGGTTCTTGAACACAAATGTCTTCCACTCTTGAGCAGCGTTAGGACAACATGTCTTGACAGTGATGTTACTCGTGTTGACATTAGTGACAGTGAACAAGAGACAAGTGGTTGATGTAGGAGCGCAAGAGAAAGCCATTCTCTGATCATACGCCATCCAATGCGGAGGCAATGGTATGCGTTCACGTGTAAACGGATTGAGGAAGAGGAGCTGAAATGTGTTGGCGTTGTACATTAGTAACCAACCTTCTCTGGAGTAACATACTCTGTAATCGGATAGCTCTGGAAATGAAAGATTGTGTGTTTTCTGCGTTGATGGATCGTAGAGTTCATGGGATCCGTCTGTTCTGGAGAAGTGGATAAGCCAGGGAGACGTATCTGGTACTCGAACAGAGACACAAGCTTCGTGCAGTGTTTTGCAGACAGTAGAAGCATGGATGTTGTCTTTTAATGGAAGAAAGGAAATCACCAAATTTAAGAGATCAGAGGGAAGGTCTAAGAGAGTTTGCTTCTTCGTCTTCTTCTTCTTCTTATTTTTATTCGTCTTCTTCTTCGACCTGTAAAAGTAAAACCCAAAGTCTCAAAATCTCTCAAATGCTACAAATAATTTCTCCAGGAACAAAAAACAAAACCAACTTTAAGGGATGAAAAACTCACGATCCAAGTTTCCAACTTCTTTTACATGTCATGGTGAAGATGTAGGAATGAAGAATCTCCTGGCCGTTAGATTGGGTCAACGAGGGAGATCTCTCTGATCGTTCTCTAGGTTTCTTCTTCGCTTGTTAATCTCAAAATTAGTAAGAAATCAACGACCAAACTCGATTGACTTTGGAGGCAGGAAAAAGGCTGGTTCGGTTCAATCCGGTTACGAGCAAACACAAATTAAAATAATTTAAACCGATTTTGTTTGCATTCAACGAAAACAAATAAATTTACGAACAAAGATTAATCAGACGATAAAGGAATATCCAAATCCAAGTTTTGAGCACACGAGAGGAAAAAACTGAGTACAGAGAGAGTGAGAGAGAGAGCGAAAATGGAGGCTTTGGTATGCCGGAAATTGGGAGATCCGACGGCGACGGAGACTGGGAGTCCTGAATCGCCCGTGGAGGTGAGTAAGAGCTACCCGATCCCGCCTTTGAGCTCAGATACGGCGGTGAGAGTCAAAGTTACAGCTACGAGCTTGAATTACGCGAATTACCTTCAGATTCTCGGAAAGTACCAGGAGAAGCCTGCGTTACCTTTCATCCCTGGCTCCGATTACTCCGGAATCGTCGACGAGATCGGCCCCGCCGTCACCAAATTCCGCGTGGGCGATCGTGTATGCTCCTTCGCCGCTCTTGGTTCCTTCGCTCAGTTCATCGTCGCCGATCAGTCTGGCCTGTTCGTTACAAAATCTCCCCCTCTCTCTCTCGATTTTGCTTGCTTAGCTTATCTTACTGTTAAATGATGGTAGTAGCTGGTGGTTCTTTCAGGTTCCTTGTACCAGAAAGATGTGACATGGTCGCTGCAGCTGCACTTCCTGTTGCGTTTGGGACTTCTCATGTAGCACTCGTCCATAGAGCTCGTCTAACATCTGGTCAGGTATATAAATCATCTCTCTCTTTCTCTCTGTTTGATTCATTTTCTAGCTTTAATGCGAATCTGAGTTTGTAAAGGTTGTGAAACTCTATCGATTTTGATGCAGGTATTAATGGTTCTAGGCGCTGCTGGTGGCGTTGGTCTTGCTGCTGTTCAAATCGGAAAGATTTGTGGAGCCATTGTCATTGCAGTTGCCAGGTATTTGCTGGTTCAGCGGTTCCATGGACATTGATTCTTGGTTTGACTTTGAGTTGATATTCGATTCAATTTTTTTTTTTTTTTTTGTTGGCAGAGGGACTGAGAAGATTCAGCTGTTGAAGTCAATGGGAGTGGATCATGTTGTTGATTTGGGCAGTCAAAATGTAATTTCAAGCGTGAAAGAGTTCATCAAGGCAAGAAAGCTTAAAGGAGTCGATGTGCTATATGACCCTGTAGGAGGGAAACTCACCAAGGAGTCCATGAAAGTTCTCAGCTGGGGAGCTCAGATTCTGGTGATCGGTTTCGCCAGCGGCGACGTACCCGTGATTCCCGCCAATATAGCCCTTGTTAAGGTAAAGTAAATGATTGTTTGGTAGATAGAGAGAATAAGCTTTTCACTAGAGAGAATCAAATCTTCTAAGTTATAAGTTGTAACCAAATGGTGCAGAACTGGACGGTTCATGGTCTCTACTGGGGCAGCTACAGAATTCACCAACCAAAAGTCCTTGAAGATTCCATCAGAGAGTTACTTTCATGGCTTGCCAGAGGATTGATCACCATTCATATTTCTCATACCTATAGCCTCTCTCAGGTAAAAACTCAATCTTCATCATTCATGAGATCAAAACTCAAATCACATGTTTTGAAAACACTTGCTGTTGAAAATGAAATTACAGGCCAATCTTGCATTTGGGGCTATCAAAGACAGGAAGGCAATCGGGAAAGTGATGATCGCTCTCGACCACAAGACTAGCCTCTCTTCTAAACTATAGACTCTCTCTCTTTGTAGAAACATAAGGCTATTGCAACTGCTCGTTTACTATTTGGCTTGTCCCTGTGTCAGTTTATCTTAGTGTAATTTACAACATTCTGTTTTGAAATCTAATAATCGTAATCGAAAAGACGAATGCCAGTTTGGATTCTCTAGAAATAAGTTAATATATGTAATATAGTGGTATGTACAATGTCTCAATCAAGGATGTAGTTCCTTCAATCAAGTAAAGCTTGTAAGAATAAAATCTTATGTACTTCCACCAAATCTATATACAGTGAGAGCCACTGGTTTATATATACACTATCAACAGACGTGAGCTTTGCTTCTAATCATTTCCCAACATACAAACTAGGACCTGAAAATCAGATACTAGAGGAGCCAAAAGAAGATGAAAAAGGTCCTTCAGTGCAAGAAACCGTCGAGAAAGCGAACGACAAGTTGTCTGATCAGCACAAGCGCCTCTCAGTCCGGGACCTCGCCAGTAAATTTGACAAGAATTTGGCTGCAGCTGTTAATTTAGCTGATGAGGTTTCCACAAACTCTCTCTGTTTTTCTCTTTATTGTTCTGTTTCATTTTCTGTTTTTTCACATTTATATGTTCTCTCATGTAATTTTTAGGCTAAGTTAAGAGAGGTGGCTTCTTTGGAAGGACATGTAATGTTGAAGAAGCTTAGGGATGCTTTAGAATACATGAGAGGACGCACGGACGGTCAAGACAAGGAAGATGTGGAGAAAGCTATCTTTATGGTTAACATCTCTTTAGTCAGATTATTACTTTTTCCAAAATTAGTCTCTTGAATGCTTCTGAAATCTGATTTTCTCCTTAGAAAGACATAAAGGTTCCTTGATCATATCTGAAACTAACTTTTTTATGTACCTTGGATCAACTGTGATGGCTGTGAATAGGTTGAAGCACTAGCTGTCAAGTTTAACTCAGAATGAAGGAGAGCTAATTCAAGAAAAGTTTGAAGTCAAGAAACTTGGAAACTTCCTCAAGCAGGTCTAGTCACAATGCATACCCTTTTTACCTTTTATTCATATCTTGAAACTATAAATGAGGATCATCAAGATGTTTCTGTCATGATGTCAGGCTTCAGAAGATGCAAAGAAGCTGGTAAACCAGGAAAAATCATTAGTAAGAAATCAACGACCAACTCGATTGACTTTTGCAGGCAGGAAAAAGGCTGGTTCGGTTCAATCCGGTTACGAGCAAACAAAAATTAAATTAATAGAAACCGATTTTGTTTGCATTCAAATAATTATTAAAATAATACAGATGATAAAGGCTTATCCAAATCCAAGTTTTGAGCACAACGGGAGGAAAAAACTGAGACAGAGAGAGTGAGAGTGAGAGAGAGAGCGAAAATGGAGGCTTTGGTTTGCCGGAAATTGGGAGATCCGACGGCGACGGAGACTGGGAGTCCTGAATCTCCGGTGGAGGTGAGCAAGAGCTACCCGATCCCGCCTTTGAGCTCAGATACGGCGGTGAGAGTCAGAGTTACAGCTACGAGCTTGAATTACGCGAATCACCTTCAGATTCTCGGAAAGTACCAGGAGAAACCTGTGTTACCTTTCATCCCTGGCTCCGATTACTCCGGAATCGTCGACGCGATCGGATCTGCCGTCACCAAATTCCGCGTCGGCGATCGTGTATGCTCCTTCGCTCAGTTCATCGTCGCTGATCAGTCTGGCCTGTTCGTTAAAAAACCTCTCTCTCTCTCTTTTTTGCTTTGCATTTCTTACTGTGATTGTGAATGATGGTAGTGGTTGATGTTGTTTCAGGTTCCTTGTACCAGAAAGATGCGACATGGTCGCTGCAGCTGCACTTCCCGTTGCGTTTGGTACTTCTCATGTAGCACTCGTCCACAGAGCTCGTCTAACATCTGGTCAGGTACTTAGATCTCATCTCTCTGTTTGATTCAGTTTCTAGCTTTAATGCGAATCTGAGTTTGTAAAGGTTGAGAAACTCCATTGAATTTGATGCAGGTCTTATTGGTTCTAGGCGCTGCTGGTGGCGTTGGTCTTGCAGCTGTTCAAATCGGAAAGATTTGTGGAGCCATTGTCATTGCAGTTGTCAGGTATTTGCTGGTTCCATGGACATTGATTCTTGGTTTGACTTTGAGTTGATATTTCCGATTCAAATCTTTTCATTTGACAGAGGAACTGAGAAGACTCAGCTGTTGAAGTCAATGGGAGCGGATCACGTTGTGGATTTGGAAAGTCAAAATGTAATTTCAAGCGTGAAAGAGTTCATCAAGACAAGAAAGCTTAAAGGAGTTGATGTTCTATATGATCCTGTAGGAGGGAAACTCAACAAGGACTCCGGCAAGGAGTCCATGAAAGTTCTCAGCTGGGGAGCTCAGATTCTGGTGATCGGTTTCACCAGCGGAGACGTACCCGTGATTCCCGCCAATATAGCCCTTGTTAAGGTAAAACAAGTGATTGTCTAGTATAGCGAGAGAGAGAGAGAGAGAGAAGAAGAAGCTTTTCACTAGAGAGTCGAATTTTCTAAGTTGTTGTAACCAAATGGGGCAGAACTGGACGGTTCATGGTCTTTACTGGGGCAGCTACAGAATTCACCAACCAAAAGTCCTTGAAGATTCCATCAGAGAGTTACTGTCATGGCTTGCCAGAGGATTGATCACCGTTTCACATCTCTCATACCTATAGCCTCTCTCAGGTAAAACTGAATCTTCATCTTTCATGAGATCAAAACTGAGATCTCATGTATTGAAAACACTTGCTATTGGAATTACAGGCCAATCTTGCATTTGGAGCTATCAAAGACAGGAAGGCAATCGGGAAAGTCATGATCTCTCTCAACCACAAGACTACCCTCTCCTCAAAACTATAGACTCTCTTTGTAGAAACATAAGGCTAATGGCTATTGCAACTGTTCGTTTACTATTTGGCTTGTCCACTTTGTCAGTTTATCTTAGTGTAATTTACAACATTCTATTTTGAAATCTAATAATCGTAATCGATGCCAACGTATGGCAGTTTGGATTCTCTAGAAATAAGTTAGATATGTAATATATTGGTATGTACAATGTCTCAATCAAGGATGTAGTTCCTTCAATCAAGTAAAGCTTGTAAGAATAAAATCTTATGTAGTTCCACCACATCTATATACAGAGCACACATTCTAATTATCTTAGGATCTCCGGCTTCAGGAAGCGGATATATTCAAGCTGAGTCATCTCTCCTCCGTTCACTGGATCGAAATTGCACCTATAGAAACTGCAAGGCCGATGAATCAGGACTTGTTTGGTGATTGTGGATGATGATGCTGCGAATATATTTGAAGAGATAGAAGAAAGCTTATTACCTTCCATCCATGCCGATAATTGCAATTGTGTTATGAGCACCAAATGCTGCAAAGAATTGGGTGACTTCTGGTACATGGAACCGAGCAAATGACCACTCCGAGCTGAAATATTTTGGCAGAACTCCTGCAACATTGTATCAAAATGTTAGGTACAAGACTGATGCATGTGTATATTCAACTCTTAACGAAAACAGGGCATGTCTCCTAGTTTCTACCTTACCTCTCAGAAATGACAATGACGAACCAGGGTTGGCGCCACTAGCTGGAGAAACAAGAGCCTGCAGGGAATTTGAAGACGTCTCATGATCAGTGGAGTGTGAGTCCTCCCCAGAAACCCTCACTCTAAGAGAGAATATGTGAACAGTCCCCTTGTCGCTTGATACTGCCAGCCACTGCACATTTGGTGAAAGAGCAATGCTGTAGATATCTGCCCTGTCCACTCCTCTTCGTACCTGTAACAAAGCAGCATTCCATTTTACAAAGCAGATCAGTAATGAGCATAAGATGTTAAAGGAAAGTGAAAGCAGTAGTTCATAGTTACTATATACCTCTTGCAGACGAGTTCCATCCATTGTGTTGAAAATTCTAATCAGAGTTCCCTTTGTACTGGCAGTTGCAAGAAGCAATCCATCCAAAGTCATGGTCATGCAGGCGATATTGGAGTCATGAGCATTAATGATTTGCACCATGTTAAGCCCAAAATGCTCAACTCGGACCTCTCCTTGACGAACACCTGGACATGCCAGCACAGATGTATTCATATGATGAGAGAGGCAACACAAGCCCCTAGGATTCGCCAGGTTTTCAATCTGATGAAGAAGTCTCAGGTCCATGAAGCTGTAGACATATATCTTGTGCTCAAGGACAACAACAATCCGATCTCTCCGTAATTTCACTGCACGAATCTCCGACCTGAAAGAGAATTCACTGATGCAGCGGCTCTGATGGTCATCCCAAATCAATACTTTATTTGAAGGGTACTGAGATTTAGGTCCACCACCAACAAGTGCCAGGATATTACTCCTGAAAAGCATCTCCACGATCTTAAACCCTCCATCCTTGAGCTCTCTCCTGAAAGTTTCCTTGAAAGGCTCACAGTTATATATCCGGAAACCATGGCTCGTACCAGAAGCAAAACAGCTGTAATCCTGATTCCAGGAAACAGAAACCAACTCTGCTTCACCATTGTCACCAACATCTGGTTCTGGAGAGGCAAAAGATCCTGAAGTTCCAGTATTCCGAGAGTCGTATCCTCCTTGTTGGAAAATATCTTGCGAGTTCGAAACTGTTGAACTCATTTCTCCTTGATACTGAAAATCATTCACCAAAAAACAAAAAGTTAAGATTGATCCAAACAATGGAGCTTAAAATACAAAACTTTAAGAGTTGGAGACATGCCAAACTCTTTTCATGTAGCTGAGTAGCAGCGACATCAATCAAACACAAAGTCAGAGCAAAGATTAATACAATGCCTTATAGAAACTTCAGATAATCCATAGCAAAGCGCAAACAGATTAATGAGCTTCTCTTAGATATGTGATAACAGGTCATCGTCAGCGTTAATGTATCGGAAAATCACTTTCCACAATGATCGAAACTCGTCTACCTGGAAACCTTATCTGATCATCATACATTATGATCAACAAACCCTTTTCTCGGCAGTTCATACTCCTAAATCCTAAACGCAATCCCAATTTCGTAACAATCGCGTAAGAAAATCTACACAACGACGCCAGAATTTACGATTCCGATCAAACAACCAGAACTAGAAGATGAAAAACGAGAATAGACCTCAAAAGGTCGTTGATTTCGAACAAAAAAAACCAATGAACAAAATCCTCACCGATTGGAACGAAGCAGCGCGAAGAATAAAAACGCGATCGATGAGGAAGAAAATGCTGCTTCAATGACGAACAATCTCGAGGCTGATGCTTTGTTCAATCTCTTCAATGACTTCGCTTTCGAAAGTTCTCTGTATACTACTTCTATGATTTTTTTTATCTTCGTAGAAATTTTCCGATAGATATTCTCTGTTTTTGTTTTCTTCTTCTTTTTATGTTTTTGTTTTTAAACAGGTTGGATAATTGGATATATTTTCTGTATTGGTCAGTCAACTGTCGTCACTCGTCAGATATAATTTAATAATTTAACCTTTTTTATAATACAAGCAAAGAATAGTTATTGTGATATTCACAATATCCTTAATGGGCTCATTTCGTTACGACCCGGCCCGTTTCGTCAAGTCGGTCACCATCAAGTAATCAATCGCTCTCGCAGCTCCGGTGACGGAAAAAGACTATCGTTGTTTTGACTCCCACCCAAGTAACTGAATCCGAGTGTACTCATGGCGTCGAAGCTAAAACTCTGACTCACTGATCCTCTAATCGAACTCTTTCTCGCTCGTGTTTTTCTGCATTTCAGAAGTTTTCCTTAACACTCGATCAAAAGAGGGATTATACAGTTTTCTGATCCTTTCTACAATCGATCTTAAACCCTAAAAAGATGGTGAAGCCCTCCGATTTCAAAGCAGTCCACAGACTTATTCAATCGCATTACAGTCGAGTCAACCCAGTCACAACTAGCCGGTCAAAACTCTTCGCTTCGTCTTCTCCGGCTTTTCCTTCAAATGGAGTTTCTCAGCTTCAGCCTAAGTCCAGTTTCCACAGCTTCTCGTCGAACAACGTTGGCTTATCCCAGATTCTATCACGTCCTCAGCTCGTTCCCAATTCGCAGATTAGCGGCCTAGCCCTGGTTAAGCCCCGTGTGAATATGAACTTTGCGTCGGCGTTTAGATTGTTCTCCAGCTCCGGGTTTCGAAAAGTCGATGGGAATTTCGCTAGGAAGATTGTTGACAAGCCAATCAACGCTGTTACTTCGACTTTTGGTAGATACCGAGTGGCTTTAGGGTTGCAAGTTGATGCCTTTTGGAAGAAGAACAATCTTTTGGTGTTTGGAGCTGGAGGTGTGTTTGTGTGTATCTTCCTGTGGAGGATCATGTTTGGAATTGCTAGCACTTTCGTTGGTCTCTCTGAAGGAATGGCCAAGTACGGCTTCCTTGCTCTCTCCTCTGCCATCGTCGCATTTGCTGTAAGCTTTTGGCTATCTCTCTGCTCATCTCTGATAACTTGGGCGTTACCTAGAGCTTTGAGATAGATACAACTTAGGATTTTTCAGTGATGGATAAAAATGAAATTTTGGAACTGTCCTGTAGGTTTCAGACTATGTAGGTTATTGATAGCTTTGAGGAGAACCAGGAGTAGAGCTATTCGAACATTATGATTGTTAATTGTTAGTCAATCTTTCATTTGATAATCTAGTGGAATATTACCTTCAAGTTTCTATCAAGAATTGCAAATACTGTTGTTAGCTTTGGTGTGTTGTCATAACATTCTCCTTTTCTTATGCTGTGAAGTTGTCACTGCTCTCATACCAGTATCTGTATTTTTGTATTGGTAGGGTTTGTACCTTCGAGCAAGGTTCACGATAAATCCGGATAAAGTTTACAGGATTGCCATGAGGAAGCTCAATACAGCGGCTGATATTCTTGAAGTTGTGGGTGCTCCTCTGGCAGGATCAGATTTACGTGCTTATGTCATGTCAGGTGGTGGCCTAACATTGAAAAACTTCAAGCCAACAATAAGAAGCAAGCGCTGCTTTCTACTATTCCCGGTTCAAGGTTCTGAGAGAAAGGGCCTCGTTAGTGTCGAAGTCAAGAAGAAGAAAGGCCAGGTTTGTAGACTTTCTCTTCTTTCTCTGTGTCTTCTTGATTGTCCACATTTCTCTTTCAAGGAGTATGCGAGTTGTGGTGTAATTCTGATGCCCATGTCTGTTTTTTGTTCAGTATGACATGAAGCTATTGGCAGTGGATATTCCGATGGCGTCTGGTCCTGATCAACGGTTATTCCTCATTGGTGATGAAGAAGAGTACAGAGTCGGTGGTGGTTTGATCTCTGAGTTAAGAGATCCTGTGGTAAAAGCAATGGCAGCGACCAAGGAGTTTGATAATCTTGACAGAATTGAAGAGGAAGAAGACGAGGAAAGAGAACTTCTAGAAGCCGAAAGAAAGGAACGTGAAGACATCGAGAAGCTAGAGAAAGAGAGCTCTTAGCTGTTTCTTTCATACTCGCACGCAAACATTTAACATCTTTAGTGGATATAGAACAATAAATTTCAGAGTATGTTGCTGTTTTTGAGTTAACCGGGATTTTGTTTGTGAGGGAGGATATAAGTTTTTTTTGTCTAGCTGGTTAGTACCGGTTAAAGCATAAAAGAAACCAATACAGAATCAAAAGAGTCAAAGTCAAGGCCTGTAAGAGACTTATCATATCTATGTTGTCTTTGACCGATTTCTCTATTTGACAAAATTAGCATTAGTCAGTTATTATGGTTCATCAAAACCACCTGCATCGTGAAGGAGATATAGTTTTCCATCGAAGAACCAAGAATACGTCAACGTCGCCATTGGTTTTATCTAATGTTTATTGTGATTCCCTCCTTATCTGGATTCTTCTTTCTATATCTTCAACATATAGTTTTGGTCTTTCGATCGAATCTCTTGCCTTTAGGTTGAAACTGTTTTGAATTGCAAGAACACAAATCGTCAAACTCTGGAAGGATTTAGAGGTCAACTCCTCTCCTACATGTATTCTTTTGTCAAATCTAGATTCCACCATGAGCACACCATTTTTAATATATGATATTTTTCTCTCTTTTTTGACAATTTCTGTGACAAAAAAAAATAAGGGTTTTGATTTTCGTTTGGTTTGATGATTTTTTTGCATTTAAGGAGTGATTGTTGAGCCAGTGAGAAGAAAATCTAGAATTGGTTGTGTAAAGAGTTGATGGGAAATCGGTGTGAAAGAACTCCTTGTAGAAAGGTAATGATTCCTTGAAGGTTACGTTTGCTAGCTACAACATCTTGTGTTTGAATCTTGTAGCGATTGAATGTATAATTTAGCCATAGCTTCAGAGAGAAGATGGTAACAGATAAAAAGTCCATATATTGTCTACAGTTATGGTCATGTATATGCTGCTGCAGAAGCAACAATAACAAGTCTCAAGCACGAAGTCAACACGGTTCCAGAGGAAAGGTCCATTCAGTAACAAGAATAGAGAAATGGGAAGAAAAGATCACAGAAGCTAACAACAATGGCAAGATTGTAAGGCTTTCTTCTTCAAAAAGCTTTCCTCTTTTTGTTATCTGAGTAACCTAACTTAATCATTCAATCAAAACAGCTCGTGGTGTATTTCAGTGCGCCGTGGTGTGTGCCTTGTAAAAAGATAGAACCAGTATTCAGAGAACTTGCTTCTAAATACCCTTCAATGATATTTGTAACCATTGATGTCGAAGAACTCGCTGTAAGTAATCTGAAAATTTTGTGTGTTTTGTGAAGATTAGATCAATCTGTTGAGACTGAATTTGGTGAAAATGCAAAAAAAAAACAGGAGTTTAGTAATGAATGGAATGTGGAAGCGACACCAACTGTAGTGTTCCTTAAAGATGGGAGACAAATTGATAAACTTGTTGGTGCTGAAACCTCAGAGCTTCAGAAGAAAACAGCTGCAGCTGCAGATCTCATTCCCAGAAAACCGTAAACTCTGAAACACAGAACAGAACAGAACAAAGTTAGGTTTTTCCATTGTCTGTCAGAAAATCTGTTCAGAGAAATGATTTCCAAAAGTTACTTGCGGAAGGAGTAAGTGACAAAGGAGAGACTTTACATTACAGAACTGATTTGGTGAGACTTGTTATGTTTTTTCTTCTTTTTAAAACGTTGTCTCAGAAAACAAATATGGAGATGGAGAAGAATTTGGTGATGAAGGTTCTATAAAAGCTATGGCTCTAAATCTAATTCTTCTTTAGAACTGGTTTATGCACACTTCTCTTTTATTCTTTTACCAAATGGCTCTAATATTTCCAACAGTAAACGAACTTCTTCTTGTGCACATTAATTATTTTACTGTGTTATTCCATCTGGAAACTTGAAAAAAACTGTCAAACACGGTATAGAAAGAAAGATTTGTCCACAGAAATGTGTTGCTACTAGTCACAAAAGACATACATAAAAGTTAGAAAGGTTTAACGTATTATTCAAACTCAAAATGGATTGGTCAATAACACTGAGCTTGATGTTGGCAAATTACTAAGATGCACGTTGGATTATTTCTTATTTTAAAGTTATAAATAAACCATGACGCCGTGTGATTCTTTCTTTTTCTTATAAAGAAAGCTACAAACTATTTCAAATTTTAATTAGAAATTAAAAAACAAACGAATCTAGAGACAATAAAGGGCTGTTTCTTGGCGATCTCCAAAGTTGACTTCCAAAATCCAAATTGTTAAGACTAGGAACTGGACCTCAACTTTGTCTCAGATTAATGCAACTCTCAGATCTTAAATTTTAAATGAAAGAAGAAAAATAAATAATAAAGAAACAAGTAAACTAATATATACAAATCTGTTAACTTAAACCATCATCACCTTGACCATTATTCACTTTGAATTTTTATATGAATATTCGTAACTGTAGTTCATGTGCCTGATCTGGTTCATATAATATCTTCCTCCTCCTTCCTGCTTGCTTCAAAGATCATCAACGAAGAATCATACCCTGAAGAAAGAAAAAAAGATCATATTCATCAAATTAGGTAAGTCAATCATCAAACCATGATGAAGAAGAAGAAACAGAGCATATCCCAATCTTCTATCAAGAAAAATCTTGAACCATCTCCAGATTCTTCACCTTCACCTTCACCTAGGCTCCTCTCTCTTTTCCGTTCTAAGGTTACTTCTCTTTCTCTCTCTCTCTCTTCTCTTTACCTTCTTCCTCTCTTTCTCTTTGATCTTTGATTCTACCTATTGCCGTTTCTTAGATTCTGAAAGTGAGATGATGTGTTTGTTTTGTTTCTCTTTTTTTGGGTAGTTGGGAAGTGGTAAAGACCTGAAGCATATGTTAAGAGGCATGAGAACTAAAACCATGCCTGGATTGTCTTCTCAGTCTAGAATCGTGAGATGTCCCAATTGTCAGAAGCTTCTCCAGGAACCTTTAGATGCAACTTCGTACAAATGTGGTGGATGCGAATCCATTCTTCATGGTACAATAGCCTTTCCTTTAAGTCCTTCCCCTTCTTATGCATAATGCTTAGTGTTTTGTGGTTTCTTTGTGTTCTTTCTTTGAATGCAGCAAAACGATTGGAACAGAAAGGCAATGATAAAACTATTCCCTTGGCTCTCCTCTCTTCTGAAAACCGCAGTTTAATAACCAAAGAAGATTCTGCAGAAAGTGGAAGTCAAACTCCAAGGTCATCGCCTTCTGTTGAAAAGGGTTATCATCACTCGGAAACCGTTTACAAGCATGAGACATCCGATATCCGCAGAGAATGGATGAGAAAGGCTGATGATTTCAGTGATTCTGATGTGTTTGACTCAGCAAGAAGCTCTCCTTATAACTCACGCAGCAATGCCTCCGAGTGGACGACACAACATGAAGGGAGATACGAAGATCCGTCTCGGTTTCCGTTATATCAAGCAAGTCCTTCTCCTTCTTCTGCATATGAATATGGCTACAGCAATAGTCCTTTTCACGGGTCTCAAGCTTCTGCATCAGAGCAGTCTTATTATCACCATCAACAACCAAACCAATTCAAGCAATACGGAAGAGAAGGCTGGTTCCAAGAACCGGTTCGTTTTCAAGGTGAGACATCTCGTGAAAAGTACAATCACTGGCCTTCTCAGGCTCAGCTGAATGACCTTCAGTATCGTAATCTTTACGAATCCAATAGCTCTGCAACAACACCGCATCGCTCTGTCTACTCTGAGTGTAGTTATCAAGCAGCTGCCGCGCCAAATGGCTCCACATACTCTGAGAAGAGCTCTCTCAGGAACAAGAAAAAGTATGTCAAGCCTGTGGTGAAGCGCTATGTTCTTCCTTCAGCGGGAGGAGCGCCTTTTGTGACTTGTTCTTACTGTTTGGAACTTCTAGAGCTTCCTCAGGTGTCTCTCCAGGGCAAACAGAAGAGATATCAAGTGAGGTGTGGCAGTTGTTCCGGTGTGATTAAGTTTCCTGTTGGAGACAAAGCAGATACTGTCCTCGATTCACCTGGCTTAGCTGATGAGACTATTCATCAGGATTCTGCTTCAGATGGTCATGAAGAGATTTATCCGGATGATAGTCATCTGTCAAGTTCAGACAACGGCTCCGGAGATAGGATCTGCAAAGGCACTGATATATCAAGTGGGACTATTGTAGAGACTTCAAGGAATCATCTAGAGAAATCTGAGGAAGCTCATTCAGAGAAGTCAACAGAGATGGATGGTAACATTTTTGAAAGAGTTGGTTGCAGTTTAGAGGAGTTTGGATATGAGAAGAATGATATTCTCAAGCCAGAAGAGATATTTGGAGATGGATCAGTTGAGTCCTTAGAGGTTCCACTATACAATAGTACTTCAAGTATAGAAGCTGGGACAGTTTCAGAACCTCTAAACAAGAATGAATACGTCTGTGAAACACGCGTACTGTCTGAGAAAACCAAAGACACTCAAGAGTTTAATTGGGAGGAGACTCAAGGAAATGAAGCACATGGAGGTGAAATCTCATGGGAAGAGATCACGAGAGACAAGCCGGAGTTGCATTTGGAGAAATCTCTGTCCATCAGTGATTCCATTTGTGACAGTAGCTCCAGCAATGGTGAAACATTTGAGGATAGAGCGGTCAAGGAATATACAGAGCACATATCAAGCACATTTTCAGCTACACCACAATCTCCCCTGACATCTTTGGTGAACGAGAAGCAGATGTTTATAGGACATCCTGACCAATCAGGTGAGGCTACATTCACAATATCCAGGATTCAGGAGGAGCAGTCCAAGTATGAGTATGAGAACTCAAGTGAAGGAAAATATTTGGATAAAACCATTAGTGACAGAGTCAGGTATGAGTTAGCGGAGGAGCCTAGATATGAGACAAATGAAACAATCATAGAAGGAACTGTTGTGTCTCTCGGAAAGGAACTCAAAACAATCATAGAAGGCGATACAGGGGAAGAAAGATCTGTAACTCATCAAATGGATCCTCAAGACGAGGTCGTAGCAAATTCCAATGAAACAGTGGAACCAGTTTATCCAGAAGGAAGCGGGTATGCGGGTGAAAGAACATGGGCAGAGACAGTGGGAGACAGAGCGGGGTTGCATTTGGAGGAATATGAAAGCAACTATGAGAATCACTACAGCAAACCACTTGAATGGACTTCAACAAGAGCTTTAACATTTCGTCTCCATGAGAATGAGCTAGGGACAACGGCTGAACCAGACGGGGATGCGAATGCAAGATCCATATCCAGATCAACAGATTCCTTCACTGACCATGAAAGTTCAAAAGAGATAGCTGTGCCTCATGGGGAGGAGCCTCAGCTGGTGAATGATTACAGAACCGAAGCGTTGGTGGAAAATGGACCATTGCTGCAGTTGGAGAAGTGGGAAAACGAATCGATGAAATTGGAAGAGACGTTTGAATGGACTTCAGGAAGAGCTTTAACATTCCGTCTCCATGAGAATGAGCCAGGGACAGTGCTTGAACAAGATGAGAATGATGATGGAAGATCAGGACAAAGCTCAAGGGGATCATTCAATGAACATGAAAGAGCGATGAATCATGAGGAGGAGCTTCAGCTAGTGAATAATTATGAAACCAGAGCCCTAAAAGTGGGAGTAATGGCGGGAGATGGACATTCACTGCACTATCTTGATGACACAATCGAGCAAGAGAGCATGATGTTTCATTTTGAAATGTCTCAAGATAAGCAAGAAACTCCAAGGCAGATCTTTAAACAAGCATCTGGTTCAAGTTTATCTTCAGAGGACAATGAATCTCCAAGCAAAAAGGCAGAAGTAGATAGTGAAGCTGACGAGGAGATATTGGAAGAGCATTTCCAGAACGAGAATGAGAAAACAGGGCTAACCTCTGAAGCATATGCTCACATCTACAGCACAACAGAGCCATCTGAGATTGTAGGTCTGCGTCACGCGTTATACCAAACGCAAACTTCACCTCTACGGTCACCTCTCACTTCACCGATTCATACACCCATTGGTTCTCCACTGCATTACCTGATGGGTTCACCAATGCAATCTTACATAGTTTCACCACTGCGTTCTCCCATCAACTCATCTGGGTCCCTCTCTGATGTATTGTTCTTCGGCAAGAGAGGCTGATGACAAGTAAACAGATGAGTGGTTTCTTATCCATACACACTCAAGACTTAACCTGCGATGCCAAAAACAGTGTTTCATTTTTGTTTGCAAATGATTGGAATACATGTAACATTCACCAAGATTTCTTACGCTTCATTATTTTGCATCAAAGCAGCGATCAGAAACCAAATGAAGCATGAATTCGAGAATCAAAGTGCTCACTCACTCACAGATCAAAATTTATCATCTTTCCTCTAATAAACACGGCAAATAGATTGCTACTACCTTATAAACGAGAGAAATGAAAGCGTAATTGGAAGATCCAGACGGCGGTAGCGGCGGCCTAGCCAACCGGTCGTAGACTGAGCATCATCGTTGCTTCACCTGCCATTTCCGCTTTCGATCACTCCGTGTCTCGACTTTCGAATCTCACCCGAATCAATTTCAGAGGAACGATGAACCTTATTTTTACACTTTGTGCCATTCGACATCAAAACAATCGAACAACGTGCCGTTTATACAATTTATTTTCGTAATGTTATCTTATTTACCTATTGGGTTAATTTGGTAGATAACAATATTGAATGTTAAAATTAAGAATATAGCCATCATAAATTCAAAATTAAGTCAGTAGCAAAGTGAAACATATTTGGACGATTTTACCCTTGTTTAAAGAAACCAATAATATTTTGTTTTCTATATTATGCTCTTGATTTTTCTATGCTCTCCGTTTATGTAAATTTGAAAATACAGTATAATAATTTTGATGAGATTATGTCTGAAGATAAGATGTTTAGAAAATTCACAATCCTTGCGAAAGAGATTATTTGCCATATAATTGAGTTTTAAACTAATGAATTATATGGAGTTCTCAAGACAAAAATCAAAATGAGTCATAAATGCCAAGTGCCAACGATGGAGATGCAATACAAATTGGGAAATTAAAAAAGATGAACATGAGATAAAAGAGTAAAAGAAATAAATAAAGGTTTGTGGTGTGTTGGAATCGATTTACCCATTTATCTATGTGTTGAAAGAAACAAAGGTTTGCGGTTTGGGAGATTCGTAAGAATTCTTCTTTTAATTTTCACGAGCTGTTCTTCTTTCTTTTTTCCTTCTTTCAACAAGACAATAACACAGTTTTCTGGATGTAAGGTTATATTTGGTAATATTTCATATAATATACCTCATATTCTATCCATAAGATTATTGTTGTTAGTTTCTTAATTATAGGTTTTTGTATGGTTATCTAGTGCTATTTCCCTTACCTATTTCTGTTAATTTTTTTTCATTGCAAATTGATGATGATTCTCATAAATATTTTAACTTAAACGACAAGACATGAAAATAGAAAATGTTATTTTGGATCAAAATTTAACTGACGAATTTAGTCTCACAACAATCTGCGCAGACATTAAACAAAAAGTACATGTGATTAGGTGAGAACATATATATGTCACAATACAACAAACAAACGACATCATATCATACGGCATCGTCTAAACACACATGATTAATGTAATTAATTACATACTTCTTCAAATTAGACATTTGGCACGTACGTTACAGCCTCAAGGACTATAAGTGGTCAACTACTACTCATTTTGTAGGGTTTCAAACAGACCAAATCAAATCAAAACCCATTGTGTTTCCCGTTTCTGTACAAGTTAGCTATCTAATTTTCCTTGGATACAATAATGCTGCCTAATTACAAGTCTCGTTTACCTTGTATACATGTCTACTTTGGGAGTATCTTCAACTTTCCCTATGACGAATTTCTAACATTTCTTTTGGTGTTTGTGTGACGAGTTTATTTATTTTTGCATGATTGAATGCTTGAAAAATGAAAAATGAAAAATGATTAATATGGATTTGAAGTAGTTCAAAGTAGTTTGAAACTTCGTCAGGTCATGTTTTTACTCAAAATCAATAGATTTTTCAACTTCAAAAGTTAGACCACATATAATATGTGTTGTGAATTCGAATTTTAGAGGATTTGGGAGAGGAATCGAATCTAAGGAGATTGTGACTGTCTCTTGATTATAGAGAAAGTCATGGAAGAAGCTTCCGTTTCTTTACCTCAAAGTTGTGACTTCAACGTTGTGAATTTTGGTAAAAAATAAAAAAGCGTGTATCTTTAACAAGTAGTGTGGTAATGTTTATTTTGTCTCAATTTTTGTATTTTCCATTGAATTTCCTTTTTAAGTCTTTTTCTCACCTTTTTCGTGTTCCCCGAACAAAATAGTTTATTCTTTTTCCAATGAGAACTTTCTCATTGTAGATATGATGTATGAAGCTTCCCCTCTTTTTCCTTGTTTATATTTCCCTTTTGATCGCACAAATTTTATTTGGTGAAAATGGTTATAACGGGTTGTGCAATTATTGGTCCCAGCATACGATACCCACTCACACTCCTTGTGTCATCATTCCTTTTACACATCGTAATCAACTGTACATTATTTGATTCATGCACCGTTCTCAAAATACGAAAAGTTGATCCGTATAGAGTGAATAAGCCAAGTTTTTGGATGATTAATTTCAAACATTATATTTATATCTTTTTTCGAACGTAAATTCATTAATAAACATTTGTTAATCGTTAGTGCAGCGGCTTCTACCACGCTTATGCAACTACTACGATTTCGACCTCACCATTTTCACCTCTCCGCAATTCAAGCTTGCTCTTCGTTAAATATATCAGGTTGTTAATTGAGACTATAGTCAATTGATTCGATTAATGATGCGATCAGAACCCTAAATCTTATCATATTTATACTTATATGAATTAATAGTACAACCCTTCATTCGTTAGGGGGAGTCCTATCTTGTAGTGATTGATCGATCGCAATGGCTATCTATAGCCTACCCCTTTATTAAATTGTCTTTTTGGGTACATACAGATAGACGACATAATAGTTGTCTTCGCAACTTGATGACTTATATAGTTATATTTGTTATTTCAATATATTTGTGGTCCATTTGAAGATTTATAACATTCAAATATGTAGATATAATCATATAGATATACGTACATGTCTCAAAGAGACTGAGGAGAAAGTATTCTTAAGAATAAAAATGAAAAAAAGTAGAGCCATGAAGATATGATAAATATGGATATCATACTATTTAAGTTTAACGATCATCATTTGACAAGTAGCACTACTTTTAAACGCTTGGAAATTGGAAGTATCATGTATGTTTATATAGTAACATTATATGTTTTTAAATATAAAGGTGGTACTTTCTTGTGTCATACTTTTGATTAAGTTTTTATAATTTGTTACTTACTTACTTGTAATTTTTAAAGTTTGTCAACGTATGCGATAGATTATTATATTGTTTAATTAAATCGAACACAATAATCTATAATTCAAACAACAACAAAATTGCTACAAACGCCATGCTAATTTTGCAAGCGCCCACTCATAAACGCAAATAATTCTGTGTAGAGAAACACAAGTAAAACTTAAACGTTGCTTACACGTTCTCTTTTTTGGTAATCGGAAGGAGATAATCTCCCTCAAGTTTTATTAAAGAACTAAATAATGTCTTACAAATCGGGCTTGTGTAGAGCTATTTGCATCCTCCGTAACCAGCTCTGCAATCTCAGGTGGGACGGAAGGAAAAGAATAAAAACCTAACGGCAAAGAGAAGGCAAAATTTGCAAGACCATCTGCTACAAAGTTCGCCATTTACACGTTCTCTTAAAAAGGTATTTGTGTCGAATGTATTCTTATGCAGTAGTAAACAATATTTTTGAATGCTATAATATTTTAGTAAATTAAATTGAATGTACTTTTCTCTATATATATTAGAGATAGGTCAGTCCGGAGCTTTTGAATCAATAGGTTAGCAATTCGCTGATATCATTAACCATTTATAAAAAGACAGCTAATCTCCAGATTAGATTAAGCACAAACTAATATTTTTAATCATTCTTTAATTGTTTATTTCCTTGACAACACCCTTGAAAACAAAGTATTATAACATTTTCAACTATTCCTGTGACCCTGATACATAATATTGTTATCAAATACCAATAGTTTATTGGATCCTCTCTATTGGTCGACGTACATCAAAGACTAACTCCATTCGATAGAGATATTATTTTGAGGATGCATTATGAGCAAGGGATTTGATATCAGAAAATTGCCGGCCTGGTAAATAAATTTGATTATAGATAACAAACAAATATTACAGTAAATTAATGTCTTAGAATATGTAAAAGTAAAACTAATTAATTGATTTCCCAACAGATCTCATTATTCATATTTGTAACTAATTCTAAGTCATCATGTAGAGTTTCCACCAAAAAAAAGTCATCATGTAGAGTACGTGACGTATGTAAAAATTAATTATTGTGGAAGTGAAAATACTCCTATCTACACAATAAGTGAGCTAGATCTATATATATAAAACACAGTTCGGGTCTTTTATGGGAAGCCACGTCAGCAAACTCTCTTTTAAACAATACTCTTCCAATTCTCTTTTAAGACTAATAATTTATTACATCTATCACTTAATCATAATAGAATTTGAAAAGTCATTTTGTATAAGAAAATAGTTTATATATTGATCTAAATAAATTCTAATTTAATAATTTTAGTTTTATCAAATAGATTTTAATAGTTTAATACGAGAAAGGATGGGATGGGGCAATACGAGACGAAAAAAAACAGAACGAGGCTGAACGGGACGAGACAAAACGGTATGTGAATGAATAGCAGAACGAGGCTGAACGGGACGAGACAAAACGGTATGTGAATGAATAGGACGGGGAGGAACGAGACGAGAAATAGAACGGGATAAGAGGTAAATTTTGCCTACCTCTTATTATATTTAGAGACGGGACAAGAAGAAACAAAAAGACCAAGATGGGACAAGACAAGACAGGAAGAAACATAATGAGACAGGATGGACTAGACGGGATGGATATGACGGAAATGACGGGATGAAAAGAAACATAATGGAACGGAAAAAACGTGAATTTAGCATATCCCTAATTATATTTTAGGACATGACGGAAAGAAACGGAAAGAACGGGATGAGACTGGACAAAACGGGATGGAACAGTCTCAGACATGATGGGATTGCACGTGACGATACGGACATGGCGAATGGGACGGGAAAAAACGGATATGATAAAAAGAACAAAATGGGAGGAATGAAAAATGATGGTTCAAAATTTTTGCGTAAACTTAATTATATTTAATTTTCGGAAATTTTTTAGTAACCCTAATTATATTTGATTAATATGTGTATGACATTTTTAAAATAATAATAAATCATATAATTAAATTAAATTTGTGAAAAATAATAAAATCAACACAACAATTTCAATTCCCGCGCGAAGCGCGGGTCACCCCTAGTATAAACATACAACCAGGCTAGAGAACCAACCTTTTCGAATTAATTAAAAAGTTGAGAGACACAACAACTTGACTTTAGAGCATTAATAACGGATCACATTTATGAATCTGCGTACAAATCTGCATACCAGAAGTTATTGTCTTCTGTGAAAAAAGAAAAAATGTTGTTGTTGTCTTCTGAAGGAGTACTACTAATTAAAGTGTCCCTCAAAATTACTAAAACCAAAATCATATCCCTAAAAATGTCTTCTTATACAATAAAATAGTATTTTGATACTAATCAGAATCTAACAATTGGAAAACCAAAAACTTATGTTATAATATAAATGGTGAAAACATTAAACAAAAACAATTTTTAGTAATTTTTATCAACCAAACATTAATCAGAAGTTAAAACTTTGTAGAGGAGAGTGAGAGGCCACTAGACTATGAGGAGAACCCACGCACGTATTGAAATGGTAAGGGGCCAGTGAGCCGACCACCTAGGCCTACACCTCTTATTTATCTTGTGTGACAAAAATATAAATAATAATAAAAAGATTAAGCTTACTAATTATACCTTTTCACGAAACTAACATAATGTTCTATATATGTATTAAAAATTTATGATGCCTACCTAACTATACCATTTCAACGAAAGCGGAGCAAAGTGATTTCGAATGAAATAGGATACTTTTCAACAATAGATATTGTCTCTTCGTTATTAATTATATTAAAATTAAGTAGTTTCTAGAATAAAAAATTGAGTAGAAAAGTTTACCTTTGACACTCCAAATTTTATAGTATTTAATAAAGTGTGCTGATAAGTTAGTCTAACTGAAAAGCGAATGAGATTTAGCTAGATATCCAAAGGTACTTTTATTCATATGGTTCTTTCAGCGTAATCAATCTAATTTAGATAAGTTAACCCAATGAACAAACTTATATATATGTAAAATATCCAAAAGTTATATAAATATTGTCAGCATAGTTTTCAATTATAGGAATAGATGATCATAAATCTCTGGTATACAATAGAGTATAATAGCGAATATATAGGTTGTTACAATATGTAAGAGTACTAATCAAAGTATATTCGAGTAAATGTAGTCACTAGCTAATTCGAACTCGATAATTTTCTCCCTTTCTTTTATTATTTTGGATAATATTTTGAGGGGAATTTTTAGATTTTAATTGTCCAAACGACGATATCCGTACCTAAAGAGTAAGCAAAACTTTTTATTCCGTTCTCATTGAGGGAAGAATTACATCATCGCCACGTCACTCAAACTACGTCACGAGGCTCTCTTAAGCAAATGGAAATGGTGGATAAGTTCATAGCACTCTCTGTCTCTTTCCATCTCTCTCTCTTCCTTCTCCTTTCCTCACATCTTCCTCTCTCTCTCCAAAGAGACCCAACAAAAGAAAAGATCTCATCATTACAAATCTTTCTCTCCCATTATATATTTCACACACACTTCTCTTCCCTTTAATCATAAAGCCACACCAAGAGCAAACCCACCAAAAAACCTCCCTCAAAATCAAACAAATGGATATTTTTAGTAATAACAAAGCAATAAAGCTAAAGGACCAACTAGTTCAAGGCCACGAGTGGACCACTAAGCTTCAGCAAATCATCTCTCAAACCGGGTCGGGTCTGGGTTTAGCGGAGGATCTGGCGGCTAAAATCTTAGGGTCTTTCAATGACGTAATCTCTTCTCTTGAATCTTTGGAACCCATCTCCTCCTCCTCTCTCGTCACCGCCGTTGAAGGCTCCCAAAATGCTTCTTGCGACAACGACGGCAAGTTTGAGGATTCCGGCGATAGTCGGAAAAGATTGGGACCCGTTAAGGGTAAAAGAGGATGCTACAAGAGAAAGTAAGTTTTCACCTTTTCTTGCTTACTTTTTGTTTTTTGCGACTAAAATTCACACACGCATGAGTATGATGATATGGTGGTTGTATTAGTACAAATCATTAGGTTACAAGTTTTAGTCTCTCTCTCTTTTACTTATTTACCTTATTCATATAGAGAAATTTATATAACCGTTTGTGATTTAATTTTACTGGACCTTTACGTTGGTCATACCATAAATATACCAATTTGGATTCATACTAATTATTAGTAGATAAAGTGATCATTTAGGATTTAGTGTTGTGGTTGGTCCACAAACAAGGCATTTAGCCTTGGTTGCAAGAATCATAACTACTGTAAGGAGCCAATGTTTTGATTATTAATATATATAAATATTATTATGAGCAGGAAAAAATCGGATCAGACGTGGACTGAAGAGTCGAATGTTCTTGAGGACACATTTTCTTGGAGGAAATATGGACAAAAGGAGATTCTCAATACCAAATTCCCAAGGTCTTTTTTACCCCTACATTCAACCACATATATGTATATCTACGTATACAGATATTTGTGTAGATGTTCGAATAAGTGGGCATGTTGCTGAGTATTATTGTAAATGGACCGCATTTATATCTACCATCATTGTGGTCCGGATTAATTGGTTGTGGAATATAAATTTGGCCTGACATTTTTTTATTTTTGTTTCATTAATGTTTTGCAGAAGTTACTTTAGGTGCACACACAAATACAGTCAAGGGTGCAAGGCAACAAAGCAAGTCCAGAAGCTAGAGCTAGATCCAAGGATGTTCAGCATCACATACATCGGAAACCACACGTGTAACACCAACGAAATAACACCCGCCAAGATCATCAAGCCTTGTGTTCCATCTCATCAGGATGAGATCATCATGGATTCTGAAGAGCTTAAGAGTCCTAGTTTGGCGACCTCGATGAAGGTAGAGGAAGAGAATCATCATGGCTCGTCTACGGAGTGTGACTTGCAATTGGTGTGGCCAGACATGTTGGTGGGTGAAGAGGATAACCAACATCATCATTATGAGGAGATTTACGGCTGCTATGAAACTAGTGCACCTATAGATGTTTTGGATTCTCCGGATCTTTGGAGTTGGCAGCGTTATCCGTTCCAGCAACAATAAGCAGCTCTCATGTTCAAATCTAGCTTGAGTTTACATTACTATAGAAAATGGAAGATTTATATGCTGTCATAATCTCTAGAGAATTAATCATCATGAGGGCTTCTCTAATGAGTGTGGTCCTTACTGTACATATATATAGTAGAATATCGTAATAATACTCTTGTTGAATTAGCCATTTATCTCTCCTCTTATATCCTCATATTTTTAATTTCTCCAACTATCAATCCCTTTTCTTGGACCCAAGTATCGTATTATTCGCATTATTCAGAAAATACTCGAGTCGGCTCAATATAGAGAGATTTTAGTCATTACCACTCTACCAGTGAAAAGAATACTGAATCATTGATCATTATGATAAGTACATACACACAAATTTATAAATGTATACAATCATGAAAGAGCTTTACGTATACATATATAAAAAGGTAAGAGTTAGGATGTTTTTCTGTTTGATGGTCAAAGAGGACCAGGAAATAGGAGAACAGAAAAAGTGATCGGTGCTTCAACACCTCAACTCAAGTAGCAACCATATACGTACAAGGTACAACTCGACGAATTGGTCCTTTTCTAATTATTTTTTCTTGCCATATCTTTGTATTATCTGGTGGGAAAATATTGTAAAAAGGAAAACACATAAAAATGTGACCCTGTATTATTAAGGATAAATGTCGTCTTCTGGTCATAAAAATACAAAATGGTGGACAAAGGGACAATATTGTGGATGAGACATGAGAAATGCGACACAAATGAATCAATTTATTTTGGTTTTGATTCATTGGTTTGCAACACAACAAAAGAAAAACCCCAAGAAGATACATGATTTATGTATCTACGAGATAAAAAGAACAGCATTGATTAGACGGAATATAATTGGTTTTTATGATTTTCTTGAAAATCTTCCACTGTTCATCATTATGTTTTGAATATTTTCAAGCTGAAATAGTATTCGAAATTAAAACCTGAAATTAATAGATAACGAATTCCAATATATAAAAATTGTTTGAAATTTTTAATGGGAAGATAAAAAATGAATTCACAAATCTATAAAGAACAGAAGTGTTTTGAGAAAATCAAGACGATCTTTGTCATTGTTTAGGAACAATCTTTGATTTCCTAATCTATTAAAAGATCAAGAAGAATTATCTGAGCTTTTGAGTATAAACTCTAAACAGATCTTCCTTCAGCTTCTACAATTCAAGAGATGGCACTTGAGTTTCTCTACATCCGACAGTTTCAATGGCTTCTGCATAAACATCTGAGCTCCGCTGGCTAAACATCTGCAAACATCAGCTAGAATAATAAATAACAAAATCTTGATTCATCACTGAGAAAACAAGAAAACAGAACAAGCAAATGTTTGTCATCATCAGGAACAATAATTTTACTTGTTGATGCGAGTAGGAATGTTCTCTGAAGACAGTATCACAACAGGTACGTCTTTTAGATTCGATGATTCCTTCTGTCAATAACCAAAAAACCATATAAGCAACAAAAAAAAAGACGAAGAGATTTTGATATTCTCGTTATCTTTCTCAAGTAGACTTTTGAGATTCATAAGCAATTTGTTAAACACCTTTAGTTTCTTGAGCAGCTCAAAACCTGTCATCCCTGGCATACAGTAATCAGTGATGATAAGATTCACCTTCATGACCTATGAAAAAACAACCAAAAGTTACAATAAAAAAACAATAGGATCTTCTCTAAAAGCCAATCAAAGTGCTCTCTGAGGATTAAATAACTTGAATATCAAGCTTACATTGGTGGTAGTTAATGAATCCGTTTGTTGTGGATCTCCCAAGCCTAAGTACTCCAATGCTCTAAGCCCATTTTCTGCTGTGGTCACTGCACAAAAAAAGGTAGCACCAGTTTTAACATTTCAGAGGTAATGTTACCTTTTCCACATAAGAATCTTGGTTCTTAAAATTTAAAAGGAAAAAAAAAAAGTGAGTGAGATAATAGTTTGCCTTTGCAAGAAGAAATCTTGAGGATTCTCTCAACCAGTTTACGATCAATTAGATTGTCATCTACTGCTAAAACATGAAGCTCTTCCTCCATTGATGATTTACTTTACGTGCAGTGAAAACAAACTACACTTTCAACATAAAAAATACACAACTCAGGCAAATCTGTTTCTAATTCTCAAACTTAAAGGAAAAAAGAGAGAGACAAACTTACAGATGAAGAAGAAAGAGACAATTGACAGATCCAAAATACTTGAGTATGAATGTATGAAGTATATATAAATAAATTCAAATAATTTTGTAATATCATGTTTTCAATTTAATTATGGATATATAGGATAACAATATATCAGGAGCTGATTTGATATGATTTTTATCCTCCTTATAATCTTGAAAACAAGTTGTGGTTTTGTGCTTTGATATTGATTCTCTGGAAATTGGTAAGAAACTTGGTGTTTATGTCAGTGACAGTGCTTTGGGATCTTATACGACGATAACGAAAATCTAAATATTAATTTTTATTTTCCATTTTCTTGGCTTTCCTAGTCGTGGGAATAATGAACATGCAAACTTCTAATCATTTCCTCTCTCTCTTTAATTTCAAAATAGATCACAAATCTGTATCAGAATCTTGGATACGAAGTCCCCACGATTCTCTGAAAATCAGTGAAGTTTGTTTTTTGAATTTTAAATTATGGGATTGTTTTCACGAACAAACCTTATACTTTAATACAGGATATGGGACCGATATGTTTCGTTGGATCTGGTCATAACTTGGCCATCATTATGGAATTTGCTGTAAGCCCTTTTACATTTGCTTATGGGCCTGAATACTCAGATGAGCCCATTAGCCTCTCTAATAATTACCCATCTTGTCGAAACCATTTATTAATCACCATGGATTAAAAGAAGTTCAAATAAATCAAAATATAAGAAAAATTGGATACTGCAGAAACAAATTAATGTTATACTCTTTTAGAGGATGGTCCTAAGTGCCAATCCTGCTATGACAGATGAAGTTTCGAGTAAAAATTGAATGTGGAAATAAATACTATAAAACGAACAAAGAGTAAATAATAGAGATGTGGTAAGTGAAGAACGAGTAAATGTGAATTCTGAATTCTCTACGTCCGGCTCACACTGCCCAAAAAATTCCTTCAAAGCTCTTGCAACTGTGTGAAATTGACCCTAAAAATATTAACTTTTCTTTTTGAAAAAGAGCCTCCTTGTTAAAATATGTTAATAGAAACAAATAGTAAATTCCAAAATCTCCATGAAGGGTTGTTTTCTCTCCATGGGGAAAAGAGTTCTTTTTCATTCTTTTATTTTTTCTTTTAGTTAAATAATTTTACTGCCAAAAGGAATAAAAAAATTAAAACATCGGCATGGAGAGAGACCGAAGTCTGATGAAAATGTCTTGACGCGGACCAAATCTCACACGAGAAGAGAAGACTACAATAAAAAAATTCCAAGTGCATACTTAACGGATTAATATTTTTATTATTTTGTTTATCACTATTCACTACTGTTCTCTTATTATTTGTTTTTTTAAGTGTTTTATTTTGTGGCAATAAGTGTTTGACACTTTGTTATTCAACCGCATTTCTCTCTGTAAAAAAGGTACAACATAATGGATGATTCCTTGCACAAACAGAAGATCCCAAATTACATCTGTTGCTCCTCCAAGTCAACCAATATCCTTAAGGTTATCATTAAATTTTAAAAACGCCATCGATGTATCATAACTAAAATCCCATGATTTAGTTTTATGACTTTACATATATTGTTAGCTTTTGTATGATACAGTGACCAAGAACTTTATAAATATAAACGAATAACATTATGGTTGCAATTATTAATGTAACAACTAAACAAGTGATTCTAACACCACAAACTATATTATCCAGGTCATCATCATCCTCACCAACTTACTTTAATGTTCTTTCCTTCAAAAACAAAATAGGAATAAAAACGGAAATTGAAAATAAAGTAGAAATCAAATCTACTGTGACCACTTTACCACTGTCTCTTTCTGCATATTACCCAAATTGCCCATTCTCTCTGCATGAAAACAACAGAACCCAACCACATTCCAATTTTTTTCCAATTTATGTGAAAGATTTACTTATAGCTAAATGAATCAAAACCAGAGACAGGCCAGAGGATTTAAAAAGATTTAAACGCGTTAAAGAAAGTTCCATTATTTTGGAAGGATATTTTCGTCATTCCCGTTTTGTTCCTTTCTTTATGAGTCGGCCAATCATTTATTCATTCTCCCACTTCTAAACTCAGAAAACAAAAGAAAATCCACGTGTATGCCATGTCATATTATTAAACCCAACAAAATTAATCCACGTGTCACTTAGAGTTAATGAGTCCACCCACCTTCCTCGGGACCCACAATCTTCTTTCCAGCCCGTTGATAAAGGCAGCTTTTAATTACTCATCAGCGTTCCCTTTCTCTTTCACTGTGCTTTCTCTTCCCAATTTCACTCTTTCTTTAAAGCTACACACCTACAAGAAGAAGCTCGTGCTCACTCTCTTTTCCCTTTTTCTCGGTGGACTTTGGTCTGAGCTCAACCATTCTTTGTCGGAAACCTTCACCGGAGAGAATTTTGTCCAGGTTAATATTTCCTCATTTTGCTCTCTTCATTTTCAGATCGCAACTTCCACAAACGCGTTTTCTTCCTCTACAAACCCTATTTTAAAGCTCTAAAATTGCTAATTTTGCCCAACATTAGCCCTTATTCTCAAGTATTTAGAAAATTTCTGAGATTTCCATGAATTTTAGGTGAATTTAAGCTACTTTGTATTTCTATATACATCCCTCGTTTACTTGGTTTTTCTTCTTATCTGTGTCATTTTTCCTCCATTGGTCGACAATGTAGCCGTTGTGCTGGATTTTTGTTTTCTTCTGTGCTCAATCTCACACCAGAAAACGAACAATTTTTGTTTTGTTTTCAGCTGTACGTTTTTTCATTTTGTTCTAATACTTTTTTCCTTTCTAATTTCAGCTCTGCCCAAAAATGGTGTTCTTCCGCAACTGAAATCTGTAGAACGGAGAAGTGGGTGGTGGAAAGATGTACAATAAAGCTCTGATTTTTCCAGTCCTGTTGGTGTCGGTGATAATAACTTCTCTTGCTCCGGTGAGATCTCTAGACCCGCCTTTGAACGACGACGTTTTGGGGCTCATTGTCTTCAAAGCCGACTTGCGAGATCCAGAGGCAAAGCTTGCTTCTTGGAACGAAGATGACTACACTCCTTGTAGCTGGAACGGAGTCAAATGCCATCCGAGAACTAACCGAGTCACTGAGCTAACCCTAGATGGCTTCTCTCTCTCTGGCCGAATTGGCCGTGGGTTACTCCAGCTCCAGTTTCTTCACAAGCTCTCTCTGTCCAACAACAACCTCACTGGAACCATTAACCCTAATCTGCTGCTTAGCCTCGTTAACCTTAAAGTTGTCGACTTGAGCAGCAATGGGCTCTCTGGTTCGCTTCCTGATGGGTTTTTCAGGCAATGTGGGTCGTTGAGAGCTTTCTCTCTGGCCAAGAACAAGCTTACAGGGAAGATTCCGGTTAGTATAAGCTCCTGCTCGTCTCTTGCTGCTTTGAACTTGTCTTCGAATCGTTTCTCTGGGTCTATGCCTCTAGGGATTTGGTCTTTGAACACTCTGAGGTCTCTTGACTTGTCGAGGAATGAGTTAGAAGGAGAGTTTCCAAAAAAGATAGAGAAATTGAACAACTTGCGTGCGCTTGATTTGAGTAGAAACCGGTTATCAGGTCCTATACCGAGCGAAATTGGGAGCTGTATGCTGCTGAAGACTATTGATCTTAGTGAGAATTCTCTGTCTGGAAACTTGCCAGAGACATTTCAGCAGCTCACTCTGTGTTATTATCTGAACTTGGGGAAGAATGCTTTAGAGGGTGAAGTTCCAAAGTGGATTGGAGAAATGAGGAGTCTTGAGACTTTGGATCTTTCAATGAACAAGTTTTCAGGGAAGGTTCCAGACTCTGTTGGCAACCTTCTTGCACTGAAAGTTCTGAACTTTTCTGGGAATTGGTTTAATGGTAGCTTGCCTGACTCAACAGCCAACTGTATCAACCTCATGGCCTTGGATTTTAGTGGGAATTCACTGACTGGAAAGCTTCCCCTTTGGATGTTCCAAGATGGTTCTCATGAGGTTTCTTCATTGAAGAGTGATGATTCCACTGGAGGTATCAAGAAGATCCAGGTGTTGGATCTCTCAAGCAATTCTTTCTTTGGTGAGATTGGAGCTGGTCTCGGAGATCTTACAGAGTTACAAGATCTGAATCTGTCAAGAAACTATCTTACCGGCTCTATCCCCGGTACCATTGGGGAACTGAAGCATTTAGGCGTCCTTGATTTAAGTCACAATCAGCTTAATGGAACCATTCCTCGAGAAACATGTGGAGCTTCTTCTTTGGAGGAGCTGAGACTTGAAAACAACATGTTAATAGGAAACATCCCGCCTTCCATCAAGAATTGCAGTTCCCTTCGGTCTTTGTAAGTCTCTTTTGCTCTAACTTGCATTCAAATAAAGATTCTGTCATGACCGTGTTCTCTCTTTCATGTTTCTTTATACAGGATCCTGTCACATAACAAGTTGATAGGTTCAATTCCACCAGAAACGGCAAGACTTACGAACCTCCAAGAAGTGGACTTATCGTTCAATGAACTGATCGGAACGCTTCCTAAACAGTTGGCTAATCTCGGCTATCTTCACACCTTCAACATATCTCATAACCATCTCTCTGGAGAGCTACCTGCTGGTGGAATCTTCAACGGTCTCTCCCCTGATTCGGTGTCAGGAAACCCGGGGATTTGCGGTGCTGTTGTCAACAACTCATGTCCTGCTGTTGCTCCTAAACCGATTGTCTTGAATCCTAATGCAACTATCGATTCTTCTTCGGGTGAAGTAGTGCCTCCTGGTGGTGCTGGTCACAAAAGAATACTCCTTAGTATATCTTCCTTAATAGCCATTAGTGCTGCTGCAGCCATTGTGGTTGGTGTCATAGCCATCACAGTCCTTAATCTGAGAGTGCGTGCAACAACGGTTTCAAGATCAGCCGTGCCGCTTACGTTTTCTGGCGGAGATGACTTCAGCCGATCTCCTACAACTGATAGCAACTCAGGGAAGCTTGTGATGTTCTCTGGTGAACCTGATTTCAGCACGGGGACGCATGCTCTGCTTAACAAAGACTGTGAGCTCGGTCGAGGCGGGTTTGGAGCAGTGTACAGAACAGTCATCAGAGATGGTTACCCTGTGGCTATCAAGAAACTCACTGTCTCAAGCCTTGTCAAGTCTCAGGAAGAGTTCGAGAGAGAGGTCAAGAGACTCGGGAAACTCAGGCACGCGAATCTGGTTAAGCTCGAAGGTTATTACTGGACGACATCTCTTCAGCTTCTTATATACGAGTTCCTCTCAGGTGGGAGTCTATACAAACACTTACACGAAGCACCAGGAGGTGGTTGTTCGCTTTCTTGGAATGATCGGTTCAACGCGATCCTCGGTACAGCGAAATGCTTAGCGTATTTGCACCAATCCAACATCATCCACTACAACATCAAGTCGAGCAACGTGTTGCTAGATAGCTCCGGTGAGGCTAAACTTGGAGACTACGGATTAGCGAGGCTGTTACCGATGCTTGACAGGTACGTGCTCAGCACCAAGATACAGAGTGCTTTGGGATACATGGCTCCAGAGTTTGCCTGCAGGACGGTAAAGATAACAGAGAAGTGCGATGTTTATGGGTTTGGAATCTTGGTTCTTGAAGTGGCTACAGGTAAGAAGCCTGTGGAGTACATGGAAGATGATATTGTGGTGCTTTGTGAATTGGTGAGAGAAGCTCTTGAAGATGGAAGAGCAGATGAGTGTATCGATCCGAGGCTGCAAGGGAAGTTTCCTGTGGAAGAAGCGGTTGCAGTGATAAAGCTAGGGCTCATTTGCACATCTCAGGTTCCATCAAGTAGACCACATATGGGAGAAGCTGTCAACATATTGAGGATGATCAGATGCCCTTCAGGGAGCTCAGATGAGTTGGGTTCGAGTTGATGAAGAGAGTAAAAAAACTAACATAGTTTTTTTAACTAAGGTCCGGCGAAGAGGAATCCGGTTTGTTTATTTTGTGGGTTTTGTAAGAGAGATCCTGTCCCTTGTCTGTGTTTTGTTTGTTACTTTTGATGATCTGTTTTAAGTCTTGTCTTATGTGTCTGTTAGTTTTCATTTCAATGTTTTGTAGCTTTTCTTCTGTTTATTGTTCTTATAACAATATAGGGTTTTCATCGGATTTGTCTTCACCGGGTTCCATGATTTGGGACTCTTTTGATGGAATTTTAAATTATTAAGAAGGAAAGTTGTAGTCCTCATTTCAGGTTTTGAACCTTATTTTAGCAGTCAGAGTCTCAGAGAGATAGAGTTTTCTTGTGAGACAAACAAAACTGTATGGGTTAATAAAAACAAGAATCAAGAAAGAGCCAAAGAGGTTGCCAAGGTTAGAGATTAGCCACTTGGTGTGATGATGCTGTCTGAATAACAACACTAAAATAATTAGAAGAACTTAAGAAGCTTCATTTGTTGGAACCATGTGCATGGAACTCTGCGAAAACTCGTCAGTTTTATGTCCCTGATCTTTATTGGACTATGGATATCATCGAGGAAACGTCTCAAGAAGTGGTATAGTATTAAAATACTCCATAGTTAGTTATTCAATTGGCTTTTAGAGTGATTAAAGATTTTACTCTACATTTTAACAGAAGAATCCTAGTTTCAATGGCCAAGAAAAAGAGGAATTGAGCGTGCATTGTCTGAAACAGTCCACATTTTTCTTTCTCGGAGTTGGGGAAGTAGAAATTCATGAAATCGAAGTATTAATTTATCATCTCAACAAAAGACTAGAAGACAGAGCGATATGGAGCATTTACGGTCATTGTCTGAAGCCTCGGTACTTTGCAATTTGTAAAGTTCCCAAGTAATAGAAATTCAACCATAGTAGTATTAATTTGTTACGGTATCTTATGCTTTGACTTTCTAAGCCAATATGCCTTTTCCATTATACAATATCGGATCAATTTATTCAGTTTACTTAATCCATTTCACCTTTGGCTGGACAAGAACATTATAGACGCGGTACAAACTTGGACAAGACTTTCGACCTGTCTTTGCTATGTGTAATCTTTTTATTGACAACACATAATATATTGATCATTGACCCAAACAAAATATGTACACATTTCATATGTTTTAAGTTCTAACTAATTTATATATGGTGGGTTTTTCATTTTTTAACAGCACTAATTGTATGGTGGTTTAAAGCTTGAAATAATATTTTAGATGACAACCAAAAGTTGAAATATTCACTGTGAGGATAAAGGACTGAGGTCTTTTTTAATTGTGTGTTTTCAGTTAGGATTATTAAACCTATAAGAATAATATAATCTTATCCCGAACGAATACAATGGCCTATACGATCCACATCTACAGGCCCTAGAATCATAATCCGTTATCGAAAGACCACGTGAAGTATGGGTTCCACAGTTGGTTACAAGTCTCAAGTGGCAAGAGCAGTAATGAACTAATGATCAAAGAGCCACGCCGTTAAGTTATACAATACATTAAATGTACTTCATCATTATCACGACCATGTCACACGGTCAATTTAATCATGCTCTTCTTCTTCCTCCTCCCGAATTTATTGACGATTTTCGGTGTTACGCATATGAAATGTCAACGTTTCGCTTGTAACTAACGAAGAGTGTTCTTGATGACTTTGATCATACAACTACAACAAGTCACTTTAAACAAGAATTCCTAAATCACCAATCCAAATTTCTTAAATGTTTGAAAGAGTATGTTTATATTGTAATCGTTAACAAAGGTATTTGATCATCCATAAGGGTTTCAAAATCAAAAACCCAATAGAATAATTAATTACAGATCAATCCCTTAGACTTGAAACCTATTACAATCTTTTTCATTGACCAGTTTGCACCAACCAGGAGTTGTTCAACTGCGAAACAGTCGTCTCCCTAAAACTCTTGACTTTCACCAAACAGAAATGAGTACAAACCGTGCCCATACCCGATCCGACCCGGGTCGTTTTCAATAGGTAGCAAACCGGACTACAATCCGTTCCTCTTCCCTGCGCCACTATCCCCCACGCTCTTGTACTCTCCCCACACGCGCCGCCGTAATCATCTCCTTCCAATTCCTGATCAGCTACTTCATCGTCCGCGAGCTTCTCCACGAGTATTACTCCCTCCGGCGTCCTCTCTTCTCCTCTATCCCACCTTCCTTCCAACGCCGGCCAATCCTCCGCCTCCGGACTCGTGGCGGTTGTAGTCAAAGCTCCATTCGCCTCCGCGTATAAGTGCACCAACAACGGAGATTCTCTAAGATTCTTCACGATCTCAACTACCGAATCTCTCAACCACTCGTCGAGCTTTTCCCGCGACACGACCGATCCGCCGCGTTTCCTTTCACCGATATTCGTCCGTTCAAGCTTCACCGCCGGAGTCGGTGCCAAATCCGCCATCGTCATCGAAATCTTCCCGATCTCACACCGATTCCGCCGATTAGCCACCGGAACCACACACGTTGACGATCGAGCGGTCATCGTTCGCCGATCACATCGAACGGCGCATGCGCTGCCTCCTCCTCCGTAACAAATCCTCGCAGACGCCATATCCGTTTACCAGAATTGAAACAATGCAGAGAGAATCGGAGAAGAAAAAGATCGACGATGAAGATTAATCGGCGATTGCTTCACGCGATAATTCGAATATCCAATTGACGAGTTCTTAGTTTCTTTATAGAACCAATCACCAATGGTTGCTTTTCTCTATACGTTATACTGACTCAGCCACACACAACCCAATGGCAATCATGGGATTTAATTATATAACTAATTTTTTTTCCTCCAACATGGATTGTAAGTTGTTAAATCGAACGGTTGAGATTTAAAGATCATACATATCGCGTTTAACTTATTCTTCACGCTTCCTCGAAATTCAGAGGTGGCCAAACTAGTTCGATAATTGCCCGAAAGAGACCTAATACAGCTCTGATATTGACCGTTCGATCAAATTCTAACGGCTGCGATTACGAAAAGGCGAGAATGGGTAAGGAGAACGTGGCGACGCGGTTTAGCTGTGTGCATGGCTTGGGCGGGCACGCGCTGCTACGGCGTTTTTGTTGTGACGAACACGTGTCATCTGTGTCATTTATATTCTCGACCACTGGATTCTCCACGTCAGATTCCACGTGTTCTGTTTAGTAGAATGGATTTGGGCCTTTCGTTTATTTACGAAAGTTTTAAGGTTTTATTTATGGTTTCTGGGCTTTACCACTTACGATCTTTGCATCTAAGGAACTAAGGATTGGATCATTTGACCGAGTTTCGATTTATATACAGCGTTTGCGTTTTACGGTTCACGTTTCTCGTGCCATAAAACACACAACGACAAAGCACACTCGCCAATATCATGAATAAAGCATCAAAAACATCGTAACGTAAGGTTGTGACACAAATCGAGCAACTGAGCAAAACAAGTAAAGCCATGAAGCCTTAGAGAATGACAAGTGGATCAGTCAAAGGTGACGTGGTGTGATACATTTTATATAAATCTACTTACCCCTTGGCTTCATTTTCTATTGTAAATATATATAACCATGAACATCGTTGTTTCCATCATCTTCCTTGCTATTTTCGCGGTAAGCGTTGACGCCAAAAGAGAGAAAACCATGGAACCGTGTCTAGAAACGTTGAAGACGGCGTCACTGCCTGATCTTCCGTACACTTACGATGCGCTAGAGCCAGCCATCAGCGAGGAGATCATGCAGTTGCACCACCAGAAACACCACCAGGCTTACGTCACTAACTACAACAAAGCTCTCAACAGCCTCCGCTCCGCCATGGCCGACGGTGATCACTCATCTGTCGTCAAGCTCCAAAGCCTCATCAAGTTCAACGGCGGAGGTCAGAGCCTAGATTTAAGCCCTACTTTAAGTCCTCCGGTTGTTGTTCGTTGAAATTTATAAAAAACTTGATTACTCTTTGTTTTTGGCTACTTTGCTTGTAGGTCACGTTAACCATGCAATCTTCTGGAAAAACCTTGCCCCTGTTCAAGTGGGAAAACCTTTCTTGGTTGTTACTCCATATTCTTTATGTGATGGTCTCTTCTTTTCTTTTCTTAATGGTGAAATTGAATCTGTAGGAAGGAGGTGGCAAGCCACCGCACGATCCTTTGTCTTCTGCGATCGATGCTCATTTTGGATCTTTAGAAGGATTGATCCAAAAGATGAGCGCCGAAGGGGCTGCTGTGCAGGGATCTGGATGGGTGGTAAGCCTTTTACTAATTCCTCCTATTCAGAATAAGCCAATAAATTGGGTCCCAGTCTCGGATGTACGAGTACGAGACAGACATTCGTTTTGAAGCCTATGAATTTTGTCACATACATCAATTTTTTAAATTATATTGTTTGCTAATTAAATGATTATTTTATATTCTCTTTGGTGATTGTTTCATATTGCATAGTGAGTGTTTTTGCTTTCTTTCTTTTAGTGGTTTGGATTAGACAAAGAGCTAAAGAGGCTTGTAGTTGAGACCACAGCCAATCAGGTAAGTCATTTAAAATTTAGTTGGTAATGTATTAGCTATTTCAAGATTTTTTGTTATAGAAAATAATTGAAAGAGGGAAAATGTAGGATCCATTGGTGACTAAGGGGTCACACTTGGTTCCTCTAATCGGGATTGACGTGTGGGAGCATGCCTATTATCCACAGGTAATCAAATCTCTTTTTCAATTCTTTGATATAATGGTTTAAGTTAGTAATGGATTATATTTAGTATCAACTCTGATCAATTGGTGCGGGTATGCAGTACAAGAATGCAAGAGCGGAGTACTTGAAGAACATATGGAGTGTGATCAACTGGAAATATGCCGCAGACATATTCGAGAAGCACCATCGAGATCTAAACGAGTTTTAGGAAACATGATATATATGTATAAATGTGGACAGAGTTGGCTGTTTTCTATTTCGTCTTCAAGATAACCAAGGTTTGAGCAATAAAATATGGGAGTATAGTAAAAATGCAATAAAATGTTCAAAATGCTATGTACATTGGAAAAATAATGAAGTTGTTATTCGGATGTCAAATTGAAGCCAAGCTTACTGCTTAGTTGATAGTAACAAAATGACTAACATGGCCAAAAGATAAATAAAGCCAATTGCGAGTGATGAACAAAGACAATCTGATACAAAATGAAAGTAGTTGAAACTTTAACCTGATACCAAATGCTAATCTGATACAAAAAAAATGCTAATCTGACATACACAAATTAGGCCTGGGCATTTTTATCCGGACCCGAAATATAGAACCGAACCCGACCCGAAATAGACGGAACCGAACCGGACCGGAACCGACATAAATACCCGAATGGGTCCAAAATTTCTATACCCGAAAGAACCGGATCCGAACCCGAACCGAACCGAAAACCGGACGAGTACCGAAATATTGAAAATATAATTATATTCTCAAAAATATTAGTTATATTTAGACTTAAAATAACCAAAATATGTAAAATTACAATTATAAACCTAATATAATAGTTAAATTTAGAAAGAAATAACTAAAATATTCAATAAATCCAAAAATATTTAGTTATATTTGTTAATATTCAATAGTTTTTGCTAAGTTCAATAAAATTTCATTCAAATGAAACAGGTTTTTTATTTTTATTTTATTTTCTGTAATAAAATTTGGATATCCGGAATCGACCCGGAACCGACCCGAACCCGACCCGAAAATAAAAAATACCCGAATAGTACTAAAATTTCTAGAACCGAAAAACCCGAAACCCGAAAGGAACCGACCCGAACCCGACCAGAATAACCGAACGCCTAGGCCTAACACAAATCATTAAACTTCTCAAATATTGAAAAAAATTTGTTAAAAACTATTTTAAAATGTATTGGGGGCCTTCTTGTAGTTGTTAATGGGTAATGAAGCAGGCCTGGGTTTACAAAATGTCAATAAAGGGCCCAAATATTTTGGTCAGCACATTATTACAAAACCCTAAAACGGCAGCTGCAGGCGCATATTACAGATTATAAAGTCATTTTAGGGCTCCTTCTCTCTTCCTCTGTCGCCGCAACAAACCCTCAGCAAGCAACATGGCAAGTGTTCCTCTTCTTTCATAGATTCATCGTTTACAACACAGAATCAAGCTCCCGTAGTCATGTTGATTCGAAATCGAGATTGTATATTGAATTCCGAGTGTTTTTGTTTTTGTGCAGACGTTCAAGCGCAGGAACGGTGGCAGGAACAAGCACAACCGTGGTCACGTGAATCCCATCAGGTGCTCCAACTGCGGGAAATGCTGCCCCAAAGTACGATCTCTCTCTGTCTCTCTCTCTAAATCGTATTTCCGATGCTAGTTTTAGATGATTCGGAATGAATTTGATCTTAGTTTTTAGTTGATTCGGAATGAAATTGATCTCAGTTTTGGTTTCCCTTTTTTGTTTAAAGGATAAGGCTATCAAGAGATTCATCGTCAGGAACATTGTGGAACAAGCTGCTATCAGAGATGTTCAAGAAGCTAGTGTCTACGAAGGTGCGTCGTTCAACGATTCTCATTTCTCTCTATCATTCTGCATTGGTTGTTATTATATCTCTTATACGGATTTTGGAATGTTTATTCGTTTGTTTATACGATATTTGTGTGTGTTTGGATTCGTAGCATACACTCTCCCGAAGCTTTACGCTAAGATGCAATACTGTGTCTCTTGTGCGATCCACTCTCACGTCGTGAGAGTCCGATCTCGCACTAACCGTAGGGTCCGTACCCCACCGCCCCGTTTCGCCAGACGCAAGGTAAATTACCAATTACTTTAGTTAGCTTGTTTGTTTTGATTAGATAGAAATGTTCTGTTTTGTTTGATAGTGTAATTGGATTGTGATTATGATTTGGTAGTGAAATTGGATTGCAGTAGAACTATTTAGGTTTCCTTCGTGTATATTATAACTATACAGTATCGTTTTGCTGAAATAAACTTGACATTGTATACCTCAATGTTATTAGTGTTTTATGATTCTGTTGCATGTTTTAAATCTGAAATGTTACAATAATTGCAGGAGGATGCTCCCAAGCCAGGACAGCCAGGTCAGGGTCCTCGCCCAGCTGGTGGTGCTCCCGCTGCTCCTCGTACCTGAAGACTGCAAGAAGCCAGCGCACCGAAACTTTTTCAGTTCTAGTCTCTGTTGTTTTGAAAATGTTTTATACATTTGGTTAAAGATAATTTTGTCGTGTGGATCTTTGAATGCTTTAGACTATTTATCAATTGATTTTGAGCCTTTTGACATTCGTATTTCTTCTTTATTTTATTTGAGCATCTCAGCGCCCTACTTTTCAAATATCCTCCTAAACTTTGATGGATCAATCTATATCTTGTTATTTACTTTGTTAACCACAATTTCTCTGTTATCTAAGTAATTTTGCTTTAAAAATAGTTGACCACAAATGCTCCATAATCTAAGTCATTCTGATCTCCTAAATTATCATGTACCACAATTGTTGTCAGTGTTGGGCTGAATTGCATATTAGATAGTAAGCAGAGCCACAATCTCATCTAAAGTCCTGCTAAAGTAACGAAGTTTACCAAGAACAAAAAAAAAGCAAATTAATCAACTCTCTGCATTTCATCTTTGGCAATCCTTATAAAGTGCGACATGGGGCAATCTGTTTTGAGAGCATTAGAGATAATATGAGATCTGCTAACAGCGTATCCCTCCTGCAAATATCCCAAAAAGCACACAGCTTTTTAGCTTTTAAATCTCCATATACCATTTCTTGAGAGGTCCAAAAGCTATTGAAAAATGCAGTTACTATTTTTACCTTAACAAGTGCATTCATCATCTTCTTCAACGAAGGTGAGTTCATCTTCGCACGGCTTGCTACCTGATCAACACATTAACATAAACAATTTCAATACAAAAGGAATGCATCTTTCTCATCCAAATGTAACTCAAATATGGTTCTTTTTCAAAGTACCTCATCCATTTTGGTGTATCCAGGAGGTAGTCTTGGATCGCTCTCTTCAATCATTATGCTGAGAAGCTTCTCCAGATCCATACCGATCCCTTCACCGATCCACCCCCATTCTTTCGCCAATTCCATCATCTCATTCACATACGATGCATCATGAAGCGGTCCAAGCCACATCGGTCCTGACACTACTAGTGAAGAAGAAGCCTTCGTATCACTGCAAGCACACCCCATAAGTCCAAGCTCATCCCATCTCACTGTATTAGAATGGCCGCAGAGATGACAGAAAGTAACAAAACCATAGTTCCTGCAGTTACAATCACACTTATAAAAAAGAGAGCAACAACCCAAATCAGAGCCCTATAAGTCAGATGACAAACCTGTCCTCGTGTAGCTTCCCACGGTGAACACGAAGCAAGACTCTAAACACAGGTCCGTGATAAGAATAATACGAGAACAGAGGCGTCACGTGATAACCAAGCAGAGCAGCCTCTCTCACTGCTCCACCTATAAGCATCCGCAGCCCAACCTCATTCCCAAACGGCATTGGCTTAATAAACGCTCCATAAGCTGCTAACGAACTACATCAATAGCAAAACCAATAAAGGTTTAAACTTTTCAGCCTCCTAAAGCCTATTGAGATATGTAAAAGCATCAAAATTTTGAAGTACACTCACTTGTAAGGCCTGTGACCACCAGAAGAGTAGCCATCTGTTGAAGTCAGGTAAAGCAAACCACCCAATCTCAACGCGTTAAACGCATCTCTCAGGAAAGCTGAGTCGCTGCCAAACGAATCGATGTCAATCAAATCGAAGAAATCCCCAATCATGTATCGCTCAATCATCGCTTTGTTGGCTAACATATGCGTCACGACCCATTTCCTCTCGTCTCCTTCGCCTCTCTCTACTTTTCTCAGATTTTCGGTGATTATCCTCCGATTCTCGTCGTTGGCGTCGTTGGCAATCACGAAATCGGCGTCCGCCTCCACGAGGTAACGAAGCGACCTGATTCCGCATCCGCACATTGCGTCGAGTACCCGTAAGCTTCCAATTGATCTCTTGTAGAGAGTGGCCGAGAGCACGCCGAGGTCACGGCCTCTGGCACTTTCATGGCGGAAAAACGTATCTCCTGTCTCGAATTCGAGATCTCTCTCAATGTGAACCTCGGATTTCACGGAAATGGGACTGGGTCTCCATTTGGAGCTCCGGAATCGACCTGAATTTGGGGATTTGCGTCTGGGGTTTTGCGATTTGTGCAGAGTGAAGGAAGAAGAGGATAGGGTTTTAGGAGAGAGAGTTAACATAGCGGGAAATGGAATCTGGTAGTTTGCATATTCCGACAAGGCAGAGGGGAAAATTGTTTTTTGACTTTTTCTTTTTCTCTTATTATTAATCTGATAAACTAGCCCGTCCGATATAATTCCACGTGTACGGAAGAGATGAACTATCACCACACATGTGATCGACCCACGTCATCAAGCTTATGATAAGTAGGTCCCTCGTTTTTAGATGACAAGAACTTTAGATAAATGTTGTTTTGGACTATGAAGAATATGAGTATGTAACACATTACAACTATGAAGTATGAACTACTGAATAAAAATGGAATCAGAAAACGTTTTGAGCACAACTCGACGTTATATGAACACAATTATTTGCATAAATGAAATAAAGAGCATAAAAAGAATTTTGAATGCTTTATGAATTCTTCTTTGTGCATCAAAGTAAAGAATTCAATGATTAAGATCTATGAACATTAAGGTACCATTTTTGTTTTACAAGTAGAGCAGCGTTATAGAATTGTCTTTGATTACACTTTCCGTGCGTTAGAAGAAATAAAGACAAAAAAAAATTGGCGATCCTTGTGGGTGTCACTTATTAAGGTCTAAGCAAGAGAGTAATAACTTGGGTTGGCGGGATCATGCTCTGGAGGTTTCAGGAGCTCCAACAAGGCGCATCCGGATCTGCAGAGATGAGAAGAAGAACAGTTAATGGGCGAGATTGGGAATGATGAGAAAACCTAAGCGAAAAAGGACCAAACCTGGGGAAGCTTCTGTCTGAAGGCGACGTCAAGTCGTGCGTCTAAAGTGTTCTCGCAGACAATCTTTCCGTCTTGAGAGGCCAGCACCACCCCGCCCGAGCTTCACCATTCAGAATTAAACCATCATTGTTTCATACATTCCTGTGAGAGAAAGAGAGAGAGATAAAAAGGAAGAGAAGTTTACCAATGAGGTTCGTGGGAATCAGGTTGCTTAGGATTAGGAGGTGGAGGGAGGAAGACTTTCTCGTCGATGGTGATCTTAGGAGACCCGACTTTGGCTTTCTCAGCGTACTGTTTCTTAACATCCTCGATGATCGATTCAACGACCTTCTTGTCAACCTCTCTGCATCTCAGCAGAACCGATGGCTCTTTCAGCCGCAGCAAACTCTACGTAATAGTAACTAATAAGAACACATATTAACATGGAGGAGAAAAGGCTAAGGATGAGAGATATAAAGATACCTCAACGATGAGAGCCTTGAGAAGCTTCTTGTAAGCGTTCTTGTCGTTGGAGACGCGAAGAAGGTCCTTAGCCGCGGATTCTTTCATGGAGGTGACAACGTCGTCCTGTGCTTGAAGATACTTGATCCTACTTGCGTTCAGCAGCGTCGAGTAGTCGCTGCATGCAAAGAAAAACGGAATATTGGAGTTACGTTGAATCAAAGCCTGACAAGATCGGAGAGGAAGATGAAAAAGGTAAAGCGCGCTCTAGCTAGCTCACGTACATTCGCTTGCGGATATCGACCTGCTTGAGTTTGCGGTCGTACTCTTGACGGAGCTTACGCTTGGCACTCTCGAGAAGCTGGAGTCTCTCGATGTTGAATTCCTCCTCGGCGGAGATGGAGATCTCGTTGGCTTTCTCTTCCGCCTCTTGCCGGATAAACCGGACCATCTGTTGTATCTGCTTTGACACATCTGCGTCGTTCATCTTTCTCTCTCTCTTTCTCTTTCTCAACAGCAAGAATCAATATCAATCATCAACCTCCTCCTTAATTACTCTCTTTTATAACTTTTCTTCTTCTCCCCCGGTTTTTGGTGCCAAATCTTCGTTTTGTGGACCATTGACTCTTTCTTCATACCAAAAAAAAAAAAAAAAAACATATCACAGCATTTGTAACTTTTATTTCGTACCTCTAGATTGGGTAAACAACTTTGAAATGCTTTCTTGTAGATCAAGTTAGTTGCAGACTGAAAATGAAAAAAACAAGTACGACATAATTTACATTGAAGCCCATGAGGCCCATGAATAGTTTTTCATCTAAATAAATTGGGTCCGACCGATATAAAGCCACGTGTACGGAAGTGATGAAACCTCGTATTAGCACCCATGTGATGAGCCACGTCATCATTCAAGCTTATGAGTAGTAGGTCCCACTTAAAACGCGTATGGATCGTCTACAGTCGATACCACCTAAGACTACGATACGCGCTTTTTTCCCCATTCATGGAATTATGAAGTTTCTGTTTCTGGGTTATGGACTTTGGAGAAATTGGGGTTTTGTTTGAATCAGAAAAGTTTCTCTTGCCAATGACCATGAAGATGCTAGAGACTGAGGGTATCCGACATCAATGATTCAATGAAGAAGAAGAGGAAAGAAGAAGATTAAAAAAACAGTGTTTTTTGGGCTGAAAATTATTTGAGGAGCAGGTGAAGTTAATTTTTTTCATGATACAAAAATGGCAGATTGTTTTAGTCTTCACTTTTATGAACCTTCCAAAATCTCTTATGTAAATATTTAATTTCCAACTTCTGTGGTTTATATATACCCCTTAATTTTCTTTGCATTACTTTTTTTTGTTTTATTTTTTAGAATTTAGTGCTTCGGTTTCTCTTCCTCTTGAATCAATGAATAGGTATCCAAAAACATTTGCTTTACGTTTCATTTTACTAATTCATTTTCTGTGTCATCTGGGTTTTATTTTTTCACCATTGAAGATTTGTTTTGTCTGAAAAAAAGTTGGTGTAACGTTTTATGTCTTTAGCCATAAGATCTGCAAATCAAACGCTGGAAAAAACTTGTCTCGAGGTGAAATAATGTTTGTTTGATCTTTAAACAATCCAATTGATAGAAACATGATTTTCTTCGAAATCGTCTTTCTCGATGAGCGTGAGATGGTTATTGCGTGTGTGGATTTTGCGTCAATTAAATCGGCTTGTGTTCTGATGATTATCTATGGATTCCAATTGTGACAGGGAAATGAACAATTTTTTTTAGTCTCACTATTTTTTGGGGTTTTCTCTTATGTCTTTGATTATTGGTGAAACCAAAACGAAAACTGGAGACTTTTTTCTAAATGCTGTATTTTTTCATGTGAAATGTTAGTTACAATCCTAAACCCTGTTCCAAGTTTTGATTTTTTTTTTGTCTTTTTAATGTTTTCGATTTCTTTTATTTGTCGCAGGAACTAAAGCCCCTTGAATATTCACAGATTAGCCCCAAAGAATCCCAGGACAAGCGGAGTAAAACCGCAGGTACTCTTTTGATGCTTAAACCTCAATTTTTTATTTATTTCCTGCGTTTAACGATGTGGACGAAGTATCTGATTTCGGAGAATTCTGAGCTAGTTTTGCCGTATAAACAATTTGCTTTAACCAACTCTTAAAGATTTTTTGAATAGGTAGGTAAGTTCAGTGTTTGAATTGGCTTTGAGAATGTTAGATTCTTAGGACATTCACTGTTGATATGCTCTGTTTCGATTTTTCTTGTCTTTGCTTAGGATGTAAATATCACTCACTCTCTGGATCAGCCTTCAATTTTTCTGGTCTTTGCTTCTTTTGGTACTAATTACTAAATTGTTCTTCTCTGTTTTTTGAAGATTCTCATCAGAATATAGCTTGAAGTTATGCTCACATGGGTGACATTCAAGAAAGACTGTCAGTTTCGTCATCTTCGTCCTCTTCATCATCCTCACTGTCGCTAACAGCTGCACAGCCTAGAGCGAATCCATCGCCAATAGAAGCTGAATCTTGGATGCTTGCAGAAGAGAGAGCTCATGAGATACTAACCACTATCCAACCTGCCATTGTTTCAGACAGAAGTAGGAATGAGATCATTGATTATGTACAAACTCTTATCAAGAGCCACGATGGAATCGAGGTTAGAAACTCTGCTACTCTCTTGCTGGTTTAAAAGCTTTTCTGTTTTGTTGATTTTTTCAAATGGAAAATTTGTATCTACACATACAGGTCTTCTCGTTTGGTTCAGTGCCATTAAAAACCTATCTCCCTGACGGAGATATCGATCTGACGGTACTAACTAAGCAAAATATGGAAGATAAGTTCTTTCAGAAACTGTACGAAACGCTTAAAAGTGAGGAAGAGGAATCTGTATCCGATGTAACCGATGTTCAATTTATCCCTGCACAGGTTCGTTTGTACACTTTTGGTTTCGGTTTTGTATTTTCCAAAATGCCTCAAATCTTGCTCAAGAAAGTTTGCTGATTGTAGGTGAAGGTCATAAAATGCAATATCAGGAACATTGCTGTGGATATCTCCTTTAATCAAACGGCAGGTCTCTGTGCTTTATGTTTTCTGGAACAGGTACCAAAATTAAGCTCTCGAAGTTGACTAAACATATCATTACTCAGCTTTGGTTCTTAACTATTGGCTAAACTCTGGGTTTTATGTATTCTCAGGTTGACCAACTCTTTGGGAGGGATCATCTGTTCAAGCGTAGCATCATCTTGGTTAAATCTTGGTGCTATTACGAGAGTCGAATTCTTGGTGCTAACACTGGATTGATCTCAACATATGCGTTGGCAGTACTAGTCTTGTACATTATCAACCTGTTTCATTCATCGTTATCTGGCCCTTTGTCGGTAAGCACTCTCTCTCTCTCTCTCTGAAGCTTTAGCATCTACAGTAAGTTATATAAGTAAAAAGATGTCTTTCATCAGGTTCTGTATAAGTTCTTGGATTACTATGGTTCATTTGATTGGAGTAACTACTGCATCACTGTCAATGGCCCTGTGCCAATATCTTCCCTTCCAGAACTTATAGGTAAGGATGGTGATGCTAACAATCACATACACTTCTCATTTGTTGCATTTTCTGGCCTTTCTTTGACGTTTTTCTTTGATGCTCTCTCTCTCTTGCCAACAGCTTTTCCAGAAAATGGGCATGAGTTATTACTTGACGAGAAGTTCTTAAGAGACTGTGTAGAGTTATACTCTGCTCCAAACAAAGCTGTTGAAGCAAATGGTTTTGATTTTCCTATCAGACATCTCAACATAATTGATCCTCTTAAACACAACAACAACCTTGGCAAAAGTGTTACAAAAGGTACGTTTATTGATAAACTTGTATATGACCAATGTATCCAGTTGCCAATGTATTCATTTTCTTTTTTTAACATTTTGTTAGGAAATTTCCATCGGATAAGACATGCTTTTAGCCTGGGAGCTCGAAAGCTCAGAGATGTTCTTTCACTACCTGGAGAAACCATGGGATGGAGACTGGAGAAGTTCTTTCGTAACTCCTTGGAGAGGAATGGCAAGGGACAAAGGCAAGATGTGAATGATCCTGTCACTGCGTTTGGCACTGGAAGATCAGAGTTATCTGAACTCGGTGGAAACTTTGAAGGTTACTTTGAAAGACTAGTCTATGGGCAAATGTATCATGGCTATAGCCTACCTGGAACATTTCAAGATAGCTATGCCCCGGTCGCTTCTCAAGCTAAGGACCCAAGTTCTTGGGATGTTGTCCGTCACCTTGTGACTTATCGAAAGAACGAGTTTTATCGGAGAGGTCTTAACATATCATCAACCTCAACGCAGCCTTTTCCTCTCCACTCTTTAGCTAATGGCTCTCAAAACATGGGGAAGACTAGAGGAACCGGCACTTATATTCCTGACATGGTATGTGATGTCCCTCACTGATTAAAAGTTATCTTGCTGCTGCAAGCTTCTGAATTGCCTGTTCACTTGTTGTTGCAGAGTCAAGAGTCATACACTGAGAGGTTCAGGAACTCGGGTGCTGGAAACTCATCGACGAGTCCTTTAGAAGCTTCCGCTGAGGCAATAGATGATGATGGAGCCAGTAGTAGCTGCAATCTTTTTGGTGAAGTGTCTACTTCTTGTGCCGATATCAAAGGGGAAGAAGAATGTGTGAGATTAGAGAGTTGTAGTAACACAGAGCAGCCTGTGTTGAAGCCTCCAAAATCGGAGATTGATGAAAATGGCCAATCTTCACCACCGGAAGACGTAGTAGATTCTATATCTTCAAGCACATTGGGAATGGAAGATGGCAAAGAACAGAAGACCAAATCCTCTCAAACGTTGAATGGTTCTTGACTTCAGTAGTGATTGTGACAGAATCTTTGGTTGGTCTCTTAGTATACCTTGAGGATTTCTCTTTACCAACTGGACAAACTTTATTTAGGATTTAAAAGATTTCATCAGGAACTTGATTACTTTTTAGTTAACTTGCCATCTGTCTTTTGCTGAGAATTAAATTCTTTAGTTCTTGATCAATTTTCTCATACAAGATCTCTTCACTTTGAACTTTTGTGGCATTTCTTCATTTTATACTTAAAACGTACACACACATGTATTAGGTACAAGATTGTACAAACCAGACATAATGAAAGTTGTCTGAATCACATTTTGTTTCATGTGTTATAAAATACACAACAAGGTATACAGAAACACAGTGGAAATCTTTGGATTTGAATGCCTCACAACAAAGAACTATACAGCAGAGTGTGATACTGTCTGGGGAGTGAGAATGTACATATGACAGTCGTGAGCGTCTACTTGAGCTTCAAAAGAGACAGAAGCGTTGTCTGTAACATCTTTGTGCTGCCACAAATCTCTTACTGAGACGCTAAGGGTAGATTCAAGACCGATCATATCCCATGATGCTGCGATGGTTGCAGGCTCTGAACAACGGTTCCAGAGAGCAACTACCATACGGTCACCAGATAAAGGCCCTGACCACACCTGGAATGAAACATTCATCACAAAATCTGAGTTTTTGTTTTTCTCTGTGATAAATCTGTGCCTCTCAATTCATACCTGTTGACAATCATCTACACCATTGACTTGAATCTTCCTTCCTTGAACACCAAGTGGGTCTGCAACCACAAGTTTTCTCAGTTTTTTGTTTTGCCTGCAACAAAAGGTAACAAGTCTAAAAAGATGGAAGTTCGTTCACCTTGGTTTACAGCGATAACCTCCTTATTGCTCAAGATCTCAAAAGTTTCAGCGGTCATGTTTCTTACATCACAACCAATCAAGAGTGGTGCCTGCAGGAGAACCACGAGGTAGAGATCAAATCGAGGATATAATAAAAGGAAAACAAGAAATGATGAAACTAGTTGCATACATACCTTCATTAAAGCCCAAATGCTAAAGTGACCTCGATACTCCTCGTAAGTCATCCCTCCATTCCCAACTTCTAGCATATCCGGATCTAATGCAATGAACACAGTTGTGATCAATACTTCAAGTTCACTAGTTCTAACTCCATAGGAGAACATTTTTGACATGTTAAATGATTGTTTACCATTCCAACCACCAGGTCCAGCATATGAAGCCCACTTGTTATTCAAATCAGCAATTGTAGTCATACTTGAGAAACAACAGAATAGAGAGTAAAACAATCAGATCATGATTTAAACAAGCAACTCAATGTCCAAACTATAATGCCAAGAGATTTTCACCTTGCCCATGTATCATTGATGTCATCAGTTGTTCGCCAACTGTTTCCAACTTCTTTTGCCCACAAGGCAGGATCATCAACACCCCTGCAAAGACGAAAGAAATGGTGAATAAATGGACACAAATTGACTCGTCCGGTGTGAAGACATTTTGAAGTATGTAGTACCATTCACAAAGCGAGTAGAAGACTGAACGACCGGTCGCGTTTAGAGCATCACGCATTGGAGGGTATCTGAAAACCATAAACCATATCCAAGACATTTTTAGGAAAAATTATTGTGATAAATGGTACTATATCAAATCATAAAAGATCAAACCTTTCGATTGGTTTGATTCCAAGGTTGAAACAGTTGTCATATTTCAGATAATCCACACCCTGGATGAGAAACCAAGACACAGATACCAAAAACATTGTGATCTTTCAATATTTGTAATTAGGGATACAAGATGATTCACTTCAAAAGCTCATCAACTAGCTAAAGTTTGAACGAGATTGGATGAAAACTAACCCAAGAAGCAAAAATGTCTGCATCATCCACTTCATGGAAAAGGGATCCCGGATAAGCTTGACAGGTGAAAACGCTGAAAGAGGAAAAATTGAGATAAACTCAAAAACATAAACAGGAGACTATATATCTTATCATTTCACTTATACTACAACAAAAGAGGTACATGAACCTTAATTAACCTACCCAGCATCTGAATATATACCGAGTTTGAGACCCTTTGAATGAATATAATCAGCAAGAAACTTAATTCCTGATGGAAATGTTTCAGGATGAGCAACCAATTGACCCTGGAAATTTTACAGATTTTACAAAAGAAAATAAGCATCCGGCGTCTACTTAGCCAATATAACCTCACTACAAATTTAGTACTCTCAAGATTAAACAGACACTCTAATACGAGCTATCTTACCTTTGAATCCCGTTTCAAATTGGACCAACAATCATCTGCAAACAAACAAAGACTAACTTGTGAAACCTGAAAGCAGTAAAGGATTCAATACAGATGAAATGTGATGAAAAAGGACAGTACCGATATTGACATGTATGTATCCTAAATCAGCCAAGCCAGATGAGACCAAAGCATCAGCTGTTAATTGAAGTTAAAGTAAAGTTATCAGCAACTCTAGTAAACATTACAATATACAAAAAAAAAGGAAAGAAAAACATATGAAACATGTGAGTAGCTTTACCAGTTTCCTTTATGACCGTTTCATTGATATTGCAAGCAAAGAAATTCCAGCTATTCCATCTGTCGATTGATTAACAAAGTCCAATAAGAGACCTTTAAATTTCTAAACTTTACACCACAGCAGAGTCAAAACACATAAAAAAATTGTTCCTTTGACTAATCAGAAACAACCCATCAAAGTCAAAATCCAAAAGATGAACAAACAATCGAAAAGTTAATCTTTTTAATCTTACCCCATCTGTGGAGTTCGAGCGAGGCCATTGTTGAGCTGCAAGCGACCGTACAAAGAAGTATCATAGATCGAATTGAAGGATTTGCTGAAAACCAATCCATTAGTGTTGCTCTGCTGCAACAATGGCGCTTTGACTCTCCCTGCGATCGACTGAGAGACCAAAACAGATAAAGAGAAGAGCCCAAAGAGGAACAGGACCGAATCTTTCATCTTCTTAGTAATCGCCATTAAAGGTTGTCTCAGTCCTTCGGCTCCGGAGATTTCTTTAGATAAACCAAATTAATGAAGAACACGGAAATGGTTTTTTTTTTTAACAGAGTCGTATCGATGTCTCCAAAGAGTTCGATAGAATACTAGATTATGCTTCCGAGTCATCATACATCGTTTTCACTAAATCCAATATAATTACTTCAATTTCATTAAACTTTAACCCCATTTAATTTCACATAGCAATTTGCTTTAATGGTTTGTTTTTTTTTTTGTTTGTGAAAGAAATTGCTTTTATGTTCTTACTTTTAACTTTTTAAGCACTTCTTGGAACGATCAAGATTTGGTGGTTGCAACTTTGTAGTTATGCCGTCGACGTTTAAAGTTAGTAAGTTTCATTGATACCGTCACTCTACTAATACCACACGTGTTGTAGTCATGCAACACATGTATCATGTATGTGATGTGTGTGTGGTAGTGGACCTAGTGGGGTTTATAAATCGATACATAGATTTACCTCAAAAATTATTCCACTTGATGTACAAAGAAATTCTCAACATATTTAACAAATTAAACACAATAAAATAAAATTCGACACCAACACCTTATACTTGTTGAAAGCCATGCCATGATCTTTCTTACTGGCCAGTTCTACACCAACCCCTTGCTCTTCTTAAATGCCATGATCTTCTTATTGATCTCTCGGCCCAGCAGAACGTAATGCTCTACATACAATAAACGACGACGAATTCATGACAAGTTTTACTTTGAAATCAATAGATCAAGAAATCAATGAATCAAATTTACGTACCTGGACAAGAATAGCCGATCATCTGACGCTCACTATCGAACGCAAAGGGAGGAGGGTTGTTAACCACTGTCGCTACAAGGCGAACAGTTATTTTCCTTCCTCCCACTTCACTTCCATTAAGTTTCAGCGCCTTACCTTCTGCGTCTTGTTGGGAAAAATAAATTTTAGCACATCTGCAAAAAAACAACAACAAGATTCTCTAGTTAATTAGTTAAGCTGGGAAAAATATATTCACAATACACAAATAGGAGAAAGCCAACAAACCTGTCCACGATACCCAGAAGAACAATTGTGATGTCTCCGCAAGAAGAAAAATGTTGTATCAAAGTGCTCTTGACATCATCGTCAGGAAGCGAAGTGTCATATCCTCTAACGTCAACGCCAAACCAACTGCACTAGTTAAATTTGCATGTTATCATCAACAGCATTATAACAACACATCTTAAAGATGCAAAAAAAAAAAAAAAAAAACATCACTTACAATCTTCGGTCATTCATCAAGTCATCATCCAGAGCGGTTGCATAACGAAGAGTCTCCTCGTCTTCTTCCGGTGTAACCTGAACAAGGACCTTCCATCCCCCCACGTCACTTCCGTTAAGTTGCAAAGCCTTGTCTTCTGCGTCATCTCCGCGAAGGAGAATAAAAGCACGTCTGTTCAAATAAAGAAAGCAAGAGCAATTGAGTTTAGGCTTTTTGATAAATAGTATTATAAAAAAAAAATCACAAAAATATTAAGAAGCTACAAACCTTTCGACAAGACTGGTTTCAGGGTCTATGGGAATCCTCACATTAATGATTTCGCAACATGAACTGAAGATATTAACCAACGCCTTGTTGATATCTTCCTTAGGAAGCGATGTGTCGTATCCCTCAACGGAGATCCTAACCCTAATTCGCAGGAGATCAAATCTTATCAACATCAACATTTACAAACACATACATATAAATCTACAAACACAAATCAAAAAAATCAAAAACAATCCACTTACCGGGGCCTCCTGTCGCGCTTCAAGAAGGCTTTCATTTCATCATCACTCATGAGCGGTTTCGGTTTGACTCTCCTCCGCTACAGTAGAACAGATCTAATCAGATATTCTTTGTTACAAATATATAGAGAAAATAAAATCCATAAACCGAGTACGATGAAATCCATAAGGAGAAGAAGATTACTTTGGCGAAGGATTTCCTCATAGGATTGTCCATGGAGAATTTGAGAAAATTTCAGTAACCCTCCAGGATGGTTTTCTGTGTCTAAGACTTATATATTTATAATTTTCTTTTGGTTTGGGCCCTAGGTCGGTCCTTTCCTCTCTTCTTCTCAATTTCTATCTAACAAAGAGTTCGAGTCATCAAACATCGTTTTCACTAAATCCAATATAATTACTTCAATTTCATTAAACTAGACCATCGTTTAACCCCATTTAATTTCACATAGCATTTGCTTTTATGGGTTTTTTCTTTTTTTTTTGGTGAAAGAAATTGCTTTTATGTTCTTACTTTTTAAGCACTTCTTGGAACGATCAAGATTTGGTGCTTGCAACTTTGTAGTTATGCTGTCGACGTTTAAAGTTAGTAAGTTTCATTCGTACCGTCACTCTACTATACCACACGTGTTGTAGTCATGCAACACATGTATGTGTGTGTGGTAGTGGACCTAGTTGGTAACGCGAGTGGGATTTATAAATCGATACATAGATTTGATCCAGCTGATGTACAAAGAAATTCTCAACATATTTAACAAATTAAACACAATAAAATAAAATTCAAGGCCTCATAAATCATCAGATCACTAAAATTCCACGTAACCACATTAATCACAGCCATATTCTTCATTTGTGGGGTCCCTATCTATTTCAACTCAACCACATACAAACCACACGTATGTTTACTACAAATCCATCAAATTTGCAAATTTTTTTTACTTGGAGTTAAGAGTGGAAACCAAAAGATGGGTCTAAGAGCATTGCCTCTTCAACATAGCGGTGGGTTCGTCTCCACGACCAAAGTACCGTTCTCGAGAACCTCGCCGAGAATTAGCCGGAATCCTAGATGGGTCGTTGTGTCGGCGAAGCAAGAGAAGGATGATGAGAAGAAGAAGGAAGATGAGACTTCGTTGTTCACTAGACTAACAGATGCGTTGGATTTCTCACAGGTTCGGTCGGAGAAAGACGCCGAGCTTCTCTACGAGGCCCGTGAAGCCACCAAATCTGGCGGCAAGATGAGCAAAGAACAGGTCGGTTCTTCTTAATTAACCACACCACTTTTCAACTCTTTTTCTAATATAATAACTATCACTAATTATGAAATCAATCCAAAGTAATACAGATCCTATACTTCTTTTTGTTTCTATACTCCAATTCTAAACATGGATATGAGAACAATTTATCATGTTGATGATAATCAGTTATTGGATTACCATCGAATTATATTTGAAATATTGTAATGGTGTATAGTATGGGGCATTGAGAAGAAAAATCGGAGGGACATACAAGGACTTTTTTAAATCCTACGTTGAAGGTAAAACTCACTCTATAGAAGTATTTAATATCTGAAGAAATGATAATTCTTAGACTGTTTTTAGTATTTGAAAGATTTCTAAAGTTTTGTTTATATAAACGGTATAGTGGATGGAGAATATGTGGAGGAAGGATGGGTGGACAAAACATGTAAAATATGCAAGAAGGACACAAAGGGTGAGGCAAGACAAGTGGATAAGCTAGGGAGATATGTTCATGTCTCTTGTCTTCAAAACCCCCCCACTTCTTCTGGAAATTTCTTCACCAGACTCTTCTCTAGATAGTTTCCTGAATCATATATATGAATGTGTTTTTTTTTTTTTTTTTTTATAGAAATCAAAATTCATTTACATACCAGAACAAATGTTATGGTTATATTTTGAGAAACAAAAGTTATGGTTATATTTTGAGAAACAAAGTGACAGATTAAAAGTTAACAGCAAATGAACAATTTGTTATGGTTATGTATTTATGTTACAAGGGAAAAAAAAGAAATATAGATGAACAATCTGTATTATCATCTCAACTCCCAAATTTCATGATCAAAGAAGAGAAGTAAACAATACTTTTGGCCGGTTCCAAGTTTCAATTCGAAGCAAATATGAAAATGGTAGATTATTGATGTTTAGTCACTAAATGATTTAGTGAAACTGTAAGCTGTGAATCTCATGGCGGGACAACAGCGTTTGGCAATTGAACAAAACACCATTCATTTCGAGCTACTGATTCGAGAAATACTTTGTTACTAGTTTAAGTACATATTCTGTTCATTTGGACAAAAGAAGAAGAAGAATTTATGCATGGTTGGTTCCTTTCTCGGTATACCGTAACCATATACATATCAATCATTACATTGAAGTTACTCATGCCATTGTGGTCTCATTGAAGTTAAATTTATCTAAAAACAACCCTTTTTTTTTGTGGACAATACCAGATTTTATTAAAAAAGCCCAAAGCTTAGGCATACAAGTGGTTCAGAGCCCAACAACTCAAAATGAAAACATAAGCCCAACTCAAAACTGCGTAATGCCGAATGCCACTTTCTATCTCATGGCTATTCTGTGTTTCGAAATAGCGAGTACCCGTTCCGTCTTTCCCAATGCCACTAAGAAGCATATCATGAAGAACACCGCTTCCACTCCACAAATACATCTCAGTGTCAGTTGGATTGAACGGTGTTACTCCATCCGATCTATAAAGGCTTTGAGAGCTTTGGACAGCAATGGTGATTGGGGAGGAGATTTTCAAGATTCTCAACATCTCTGTTGTTTGTACTCGCTAATGTCATGTATACGAACTTGAGTAGGTGAGTAAACATATGCAGCAGGGTACCCATTCACAGGATTAGAAGATAATCGATCGAACGTCAGAGGACATACAGTCTCTAGAACCGTACCTCTTCGCATCAATATGCCTGCAACAATCCCCCAATCATCAAGATAACCCTATAAATACTCAAACCATAAACCCATATGATTTAAAACAAAACAAAAGATAATGCCTCAAACAGAATACATAATGGAAACAAATGATAATGCATCAAAACCATAAACCCATATGATTTAAAACAAAACAAAAGATAATGCATCAAACATAATACATAATGGAAACAAATGATAATGCATCAAAACCATAAACCCATAGAGGAAATTTATTGGTCGAAAGAGCCTCAGTCATGGAAACTCTTTGTCCTCTCATGTTTGATTTGCGCTCTCGAACCTCCCAATGGATATCCTGCTCGAAATTTGCTCATGCTTCAGTGATTATCAATGTTTGTTTATTAATTTATGTAAATTTCGAGCAGGGATATGAACTTACTTTTTGCCCATTTCCAAGTTTCAGTTCGAAGCAAATATGAATCTGGTAGATTATTGATGTGTAGATTATTGATGTTAAGTCACTAAATGATTTAGTGAAAATGTAAGCTGTGAATCTTATGGCGGGACAACAACGTTTGGCAATTGAACAAAACACCGTTCATTTCGAGCCATTGATTTTAGAAAATACTTTGTTATTTACTTAGTTCATTTGGACAAAAAAAAAAGAATAATCTATGTATGGTTCCTTTCTTGGTATACCGTAACCGTATACATATCAATCATTTCATTGAATTATAAAATTTGATAATAGTAGTTACTCATGCCATTGTGGTCTCATTGAAGTTGAATTTATCTGAAAAAAAAAAACCTTAAGCCTATCTGATACCCATTTTCAAAGAGTCATTTAGAGACTAACATAAATTCGAAACGTTTTGTCCGTTGGTGACATTGCATGGACGGGAGCCCGGAAGGGAAAATAGTGATGATGTCACCATACTGAAGAAAAGCAGAGACTAGGCTAATAAAAGCTCTGCCTTTTCTTCTTCTCTTCACCATCTCCGGCAACGATTTCTCTCTCTTTTCACTTCCAAAACCCCTTGTGCCACCGTCGATTCTAGGTATTTCTCGTCGTTCTGTTTTCTGAGTATTTTTCGTCTCTTGATTTCTCTGTCTCTGTATCTGGGTTTTTCAGAGGAAGTAAGAAATGGCGTTGGGAACCAATCATTATCTGTTCTAGGCTTTACCTTGTTAACTCTTACTGTCACGATTGACTTTGCTTCTTCACAGCTCAGATTTCAATTTTTTGGTCTAAAGGAGCAATCTTTCTTCGCCAAAGATGGGTTTTTTTCGGTGATTTTTTTTATTTATTTCCTTTTTGGGTCGCACGATTTTTCGTTGCGACTCTGTGTTTCTGAGCTTTGCAATGTGGTGGAATGAACATTTCTGAAACATAGTTACGACCTTTCTTTACGGTCTAAAGGAACAAACTTCAACATTTCAGTTGCATCTGAACTTCACAAGCACCATATGAGATCTATCTATCTATCTTTCTATCTATCTTACCTCTCTAAAAATGATGTTTAGGACTTCGGATTTTAAGTAGTTATGAATTGAATTTACAAGCGAGAGCAGATAATGTTTATCTCTTTTCTTCCTTAATATTTCCGGATATTCCCTTAAACCTTTTGCTTTCTATGATAATCTCTTAGAAACAATAGAAATTAAACGAAAATAACTTGGCACCCGAAAAAAAGAAAAGAAACATTCTTCTCCGGCTCATCTTCACCGTCAAATCTAACAAATCTCTTTTCATCATTTTCCCGCGTTAAAAAAACCTTCCTCCAACTACTCCGTTACGTAAGCAAGAAGGAACAGGAAGAAGCTCAACCGGTGGATGATCCCCAAAACTTTGTCTAACAAAAGGATGGCTCATTAGCTCCTCCGCCGTGGCTCTACCCTCCGGATTGCGCACTATGCATCTCCTCACAAAGTCCCAAGCCATCGGCGGTAGCCTCTCCGACAAGTTATCACTACTTCTACCTTTTACAACGTTGTTCACAACCCCTAACATCTCAATTACCATATAACCTAAAGACCAAATATCAACCGCAGACGAGATGTTCCCACCTTTACCTACCGCCTCAGGAGCCAAATACTCCGGATGCCCTTGGAACAGAGAGCCAGCCACTGGATTCGGCCCATTAGGCACCTTAGCTAAACCGAAATCAGGAAGTTTGAGATCACAAAGCTCTCCATGAGCGTAGCTCGGGAAGATAAGTATGTTCTCCGGTTTGAGATCACAATGGACGTAACCGTCTTTGTGAAGATCCCTAAGGCCTTCAAGAACTGGGAGAATGCAATAACCGGCCACGTTCTCCGGTAACTTCCCACCGGCTTTGTCTATCATGTCTTGGAGTGAGCCATGTGGAGCGACTTCCATGTAAATAGAGCAGACATTGACGTTGACTGGCATGGTTTCGTAGGAGACAATTGGGCTTGTGGGTCTTACGATGTTGAATCTGATGGAGTGGAAGTGACGCAAGATCCGTAACTCCTTCTCGAGATGCTCTGAGTATTTTCTGAAAGATGTTTTCTTAGCCATAAGTAGACCGTCGGAGGTTCGAACCAGAGAGACGTAGCCATGGCTGCCTTGGCCGAGAGTGCCGAGTTTCGGTAATGGAATCTCGTCTAAAATCCACGAATCGGACGACATGGAAAGTTATAGGATTAGGGCTTTGTTTTTGCCTGAAAGAAATTCTGAAGATTGCTTGTAAAAGTTAAAACGTTATCTATAAATTGGGTTATATATATTTATCTCCAAGTTTATATTTTCCTTTTTGTAGATGATGATCAATTCATGCATATTTTCTTTTCTATCTTTACCTTTTTGCCTTAGGAATATTGTATTAGCCAGAGCTAGATTTCATAGATTTGGATAAGACTCTTGGTCGGAAAACAACAAATTTGATATTTCTCTATACGTACATATCAAATTTGAAAACATTAGCGAAATTGTTGACATACTTTACACCATTACAACAAATCATTTCATCATATATAGGAACTAAGAGTTAATTCCAACAAACCTTTCTCTGTTACAAAAACACTTAATAAATTAGTGGTTGGAACAATGGAAAAAGTAATAACCGATACTACATTGGATAGCCAGAAAAAAATGACTTGCCTTTTGAGAGACACCTTTAGAGATGTTATGTGGGATGAACGAAACATAGATGGAGAATATTCTAAGACATTGATTGATACCTATGCTTTATATATACTAACCCCAAATATACATTGATACAAGATTGTTATACTAGCCCCACTTAGATGAGAACACTCCACTTATATAATAATCCGAATATTTATGAACTTAATATATGTATATTCCATCTTTATACCGAAAATCCCACCCATGCCTAGAGATCTCGTAACCTTCCCTTCTCCATATGGATATGGTTTAGCCTGAAATTAATCTGCACGTGTACGTTGATATATTAACTTGCATTTTATTGTTTGTATATATATACCTAACGTTATCAAGAACATATATTAAGAGATTGAAGGAATATGATTAGTTTAGAATGATTGCATACGGTACCATGGCTTAGTGAGAGCCGGACTGTCGAGCCGGAAGCGGTGGTCCGGCCGCCATGTGATGGATCCATCTAATGGATCTGTCTAGAGATCGATCGGCTGAGTTATTGACTATTGAACAAAGAGATCTTCATTTTCCTTTCCATTAGCTTGATCTATGTCTCTGAACACTATGCTTCGTTTCCTTTTATAAGCAAATCAGAAGCTATTATAATTTGAACATAAATAAATAATGATAAAGAAGATGCAACATTTTAAAGTTTAGGAGCTCCAAATAAAATTAATAAAAATAGGAGAAAGACGTTGTCTTCTTTTGGATTATTGACACGAAACGAGCAAAGCAACCTAATTTTTTAAATAAGTATCGAACGTACCGTCGGATAGTTGACACGGCGAAAAGCTAGCCCACGTGTTTGGAGTGGAACATTTTAGCATGAGACAATGATTTTGCTAACCCACGCCGCTATTAATTTCCCACTTTATTTTATTTCAGTTTATGTCTCTTTTGGATTTCGTTTTCCGTAATTACTCGGCCCCACTCTCTAGCCAATAAGAAGATAACAACGAAATCATGTAGTGAAGACCAAGACACGTGGTTTTTTGTTATTGGAGATGTTTAGATTGCCTTAAAAGTCATGGCCACGTCACCATTCTGATATCGACGTCAACTCTCATAACTGAAAACATTTCAGGTTTTTTTTCCTACTCCGAGAATAGTGAATTTGAAACATTATAGAAGGCGTTACAGGCTCGATAAGATAAAAATATCAAAAATATAAAAATATAAAAATATGTAACATATTAAGTGGTTCAATTATGGATAATCAGCTAATCTAACTCTTTGAACACATTAATCAAAGCTCGTAAAATAATGAAACTGCTCAGTGCTCACCACCTAAATCACATGATCAATGCCCTTCACTAACTCCCACAATTAATTATGAATACAAAAAGCTTCAATTTTCATAGTAATGTTTTTCTTTTCGTCACATGAGTCAAAACGACTCATTTCACTTTAATCATTTTGGTTTGCTTATGATAGAAGCAACTACACCCATCAAAGATCAAACCAGTTTAAACCAAAAACAAAACAAAAACGAACCAAAATGGGCAAAACAAGTTTTCAAAGGCTGTGTTTTTGCTTACTCTGTTCTGGAACCATGCTGTGTGTGTATGAACCTAAACTTTCTCCTCGGAGTCACCAACTGTTTCTCTTTCTCATCGACGGTACGGACTTGTTTCCAATTCAGAACATTTCCGATTGAAACATTACGTTTCAGCACTGGTTTAGGAAGATCGATAACCGGCTCGTGCTGCTGGTTCACATGGCTCAAGAAGGAGTCTCGAGGAAAGTTATCTCCTTTCATCGACCGCTTTGCTCTGACAGCTTTCTGGTCTTTCCATGACTCTATGTTCCACTTGCGAAACCCATCTTCTGCTTCAAGTTGCTTCACTCTAGCAATCTCTACCCGGTTTAACGCCGCTTCCAAGGCTTGTCTACTTAGTTTAACTTCTTCATTAGCTTCCTCTACCTTTCTCATGAGCTCTGTTCTTGAGACATCGGTGGATAACTCTTTGTTCATCTGTGCTTGAAGAGTTAAAAGAGATCTTGGAGGCTCCTCCGGGAAGCAAAGTCCGTCTTGGTTTCTCCCGCTGGATAATATGTTCATCTCAGCAATCGCAAGTGCTTCCGCTGCTCTTGCAGCTTCTTCCATTTTCCTTGCAGCAAACAATCTCATTTCTGCAGTTTTCAGAGAGGCGTTGCTCTGTCTTTCCAAAGCTGTATCACTGGTTTCAACTACCATCTTAACCTGTTCACATTGCGACTCACTGGTTTCGAATCTCTCTCTTTGATCTGGACCTGCTGGTTTTAACCTCAAACTGTTAAGCTCCTCAGCTAGAGACGCCACTCCAGGGAGATCTTTCTCTTCCTTTGTTTTCATATTCAGAGACTCAACATAGGATTGGATCACTGGAAGACCATCCATGGTTTTACGGTGACAGCGTTCTTCAGTGATCTCTTTGATGTGTGAAGGCAGATGCTCAGGGGTCTCAGTGGATCTCAGTGCTTGTTGCTGGAGCTGCCGTTTGAAATCTTCGACAATACTTTTGGTTGAACAAAGAGCTTCTAGAAAATCCAGAGTTTCTAACTCTTTCACAATCAGATCCTTCTCAAGCATTGCTGCATTCTCTTCCATTCTCTTTATGTCAAAATCTCCCACATCGTCCTGGAGAAATGACAAACCAACAAACATATAAAATTATAAACCAATAACAAAGCACACCTTCCTGGAAAAATAACATTTTTGGCTAATCTCAGAGGCAGAGCAAACAATTCAATACGACTTTGAAACTGTCACATCACACTTTTAACACAAAAAATAATCTTCATTGTGATAGATCATAACAGAAAGTTCTGAGATTCTCGACTTAGTTTCCTCTAGCATTTGGAAGAGTTTCGAACTTTCGATAGAATTCGACTATGGTCACCAAAATTGCATCACCAGCTATCAAATTATTAGCAACTTAGCACACACATACAATTAACACATCGCATTTCAAAATTTCAATGCGTTAGTATTCGCAGATGCATTTCAGTAGAAGAAACTAATCCACATTGCAAATCGGAGATTACAAATAGAACTCACGCAATTATCTCCGAGCTTGAAGGGAACCCAAGACCCACGGCCAATAAATCCAGCTACTGCCTTCTGATCCGAAACGTCGATTTCAGCTCTCGAGCCTCCTCTCATAGTATTATCCGGGTTGAAATACTCGGATCCGGATTCGATTCTCACCTCCCGGATTCTGGGTGTACCCGGAATCGCCACCGTCGCAGGGTTCTGATGTTCCTCAGCCATCTCCGTCTCGAGAATCACCAATTGGTTTGTCCAATTCCAAGGGAAAGAGAATTAAAGAGAAACTCATCGGAGTAATCATAGTTACTCCCCAGAAGCAAACAATAAAGAGAAGAGCTCTCGAATCAAGTAATTCGCTATGATTCTGTTTTCTCGTTAGGGATGCATTGAGGATAATAATGTGTGAGTACGTGGCTTGTTTTTATTGGTTCTTGCCACGTAGAGTTTCTCTTTGACTCTGACTTGACTCGCGTTAAATTCGGGTGCATCGGTGGATAACATGATTAACAACAAAGTCCAAACCGGTTAACCAAACCGGTTCACCATTTACGCAAACCGAACCTGAAATCAACTCACTCAAACGTAAGCTTATTTTATTTTTGTGGAATAGATATTTGTGTCTGAATACGATATAATATCCAGAAATTGACATAATTTCCCCATGCGATAGTACATTATATAATGTGTATAACTAGATAAAGTATGCTGAAATAAATAGGCAGGAGCGTTGTCATGTACATTATTATAAGTTCTAACCAACTTTGTGGCCATCGAATTAAAATCAAAATCTTAGAGTAGAAGAGAAATGGACCACGTACATATATACGATCGAAACCTTCATTGATTATACAGCCTCTACCATCTTCCTCTCCTCCCATCCAACGGTCCAAATTCACCACCGTCCTCTTTCTTCCGTCACGTTTCTATTATTTATTTTTCTCTGCATATATACGTAGTCTTCCACTCAAATTAGCACCGACAAAAAGCAGGTTTTGTGTTAATTAATGTTACGAGTTACCAGTTAGCAGTAAGATAGTGGTGAGTGTTTATTCATACGATATGATAACGTAAATATGGAAGAGAGTTGACTATCCGTTAACTAATCTTTTCATTTGACGTACCCATATCGAAACTTTTTGGTTGGAGTTGTTCCTTATTACGACAAACAAGGTTTTAAGATTTTTGGTGGGTGTGAAGTCTTCATATAGATTAAACTTGTAGATTATGTAGCTAGTCAACTAATTATTTCCTTAATAGAAAGAACACCAAAAACAACGTTAATTGAGGGGAATTCTATACAAGGCAAAATATGTGAGATTTAAGCATTGAAATTGTAATGGCATATAGCTTTGAAAACTTACTAACTATTACCAACAATGTGATCCCCACGACTCTCCCATGATTAATGAAAAGAGGCATTAAGTAATGCATACACATCCAACAGTAAGATAGCCACCTTTCATTTATTGTCTAACCATTTCCTTGGCCTTTGTATTATATCATACATGTATTATGCTCATCCATATGAAAATTTCCAAAAGAAAAATCCCAAAAAAAATAATAGAAAGAAAACAGAATAAATATCCCCACTTACAACCATGCAAACAAGACTTTAGAAAAGTAGATCACACCCCTTTGTCTCTCTTTAATTTTTGTGTTCGTGTGAGATTTTCAAATCACCTCCAAGGTAACTACAACACAAACAAAGAGTTTGTATTAAGATGTCAGGAAGATTGAGAGATGACGTGGAGTACTACTCTGCAATCCATGAGGGGCAAGGCGATGGAGAGAGATCCTCCTACTATGGCGGAGCCTCCGTACCATTCATATGGGAGTCAACGCCAGGCACACCGAAACACAACCACTTCTCTGATTTCTCTCTTCCTCCGCCGCTCACGCCGCCTCCATCGTACTACTCCTCCTCCGGGTTATTGTCAACGCCAAAGAGACAGAGCAAGGTGAGAACACAACTAACAAGAATCCTGTCCATGTCTCTGTTCCATGACCTCAGGAAGAGCAGTAACAGTAGCAAGAAGACGACCAACACTGTCTCTGGGTCATCCTTTTCTTGGTCGTCTACGTCTTCTTCATCTTCCTTCTCCTCCTCGCCGCCACATTCTTCCAGAAAACCAGTGAGACATATAAAGAACTCGCTGGTTGTGGACGGTAAATGCAAAGAGGACGAGCTTCCATCGTCGCCAACCTCGACTCTGTGTTACTCGAATGGTGGAAGGAAAGGGTTTAGTTCGTCAATGGGGAGTATGAAGAGAGCTCTGTTCTCTGGATCCACTGGTAAAGTTCTCATCAACAAGGCTTGATTATGTGAATCTATTGTGTTCTTGATTCGTTGCTTTGCCTTATTGAACAGAAAGAGTATTATAATGCTTGATGTGTGAATGTAACTCTATGATGTATATATATAAATATATAGTCTGTGTTGTGCACTGGCCTTTTGTTATTTCAAGAAAGTTGTCCCAGTAGAACGAAGTCAAAATATTATATAAACTGATAGATCTGTTGTATACACAAAGGTTGGCATGTCATGTGTATTAAGGGATCAGTGAAACATTCCCTGTGAGAACTGAGAAGAGACCTTAGCTATACAGTAGATACGTACGAACGGGTTATGGTGTGTCATTGATATCCTTAAAGATCTTACTTAGTCTAAGTCGCTACTAGATACCTCTTCTTCTAGCAGCTCAAATGCATCGACCTCTGCAAAATAATCTCTCTGCTGCTTTATATAATCCGGAGAAACTCCATGCGCCAGCTTATCTTCCTCATGCTTTACCCTTCGCTGCCTCTGTAATGTAAGCATAGAGTAACGAATTAAATTTGGAGAAAACTTGTAGATATACCAATGAAGAGTGGAAGAAACAAGTTAAAATGCATATCTCATTAAACAGCTATACCATAGTATCTCATGACAATTGCAAAGAGAAGAATACACATGAAACTGAAAGACTAGACACTCATCTCTGAACTATGCGTAGCACTGGTGTTTCAGATATGATGGCAGAAAATGTTGTGACCAATCATTGTTGAAACATACGATGCACTGATATACAATTTGCTAGAGCCAAGATCCATTGACACAAATAATGACTTTTTCACAGAAAGATAAGAGCAACACAGAACTGTTGCACTCTGATAAGTATATAGCTACAGCTTTCCTGATTCACCTTTTTGGGAGCCGCTTTTGAAGACTTCGGTTTGTCTCCATTTGCTTGAGGTGTTTTCTTCCTGTGATACAAATTTCAGAAAGAGTTACTAAAACAAAGACAAGCTTGGATTTAACATAGGCCAGAAAATGCTAAACAAATCTGATAGGCATATGATACTGATAAGTTCAACACTAATACCAATACTGACAAGATTATTTTCAAAAGAACAGAACAAGCCACAAGAAAGCATCCACAAATTAAGTAGCATATACAATGTTCTAGCCTGATTCCACATGTCCCTAGCTACCACTAGTCATACCAGGTCTCATATTCCTCAAAACTCAACAAGTATATATCATCGAATGAGTTTCATACCCTGAGCTTGAGATTAAGTCCAGACGAAGGCGAGACACTGCACCAGATGGAGATTCGTCTCTATTCCTTTTCTTTCCAGAAGCCTTCCTTCTTACCGTGTAAACCGAGAAAGGCTCAGCAACCTCCTTGTCACTAACGCCTAGGCATAAAACAGTTCTTAAACATCAGACTAAGATACACACAGAGCAAATTAAGCAAAATTCCCAATTGAAAACTGACGACACTGAAATCAAGCTTGATATCAGTCTCCAGTCCAGTTAATATTAGTGCCATTTTGAGGATTTAAGGAACATGGTGATGAATCTGATGACCCAAACTAGTTCTCTTTCACAGGAAACGTGATAATTCAAGCATCAATCAGCAATCTAACCATTCCTCTTTCAATTCCTAAGAACACAGAATCGACAAACAAAGCCCTAGAGTTGCGCACAAATTCAATCCAATTGAAATTCCCTCAGTAGAAGATGGAAATCGATATATTAAAACCAAATTCGAGCAAACCCATTTTCAGGTGAATAAATTACCATGATCGGAGCGCGAGTTCTGGGGACGAGAAGGCGCAGAGGCCGGAAAACCCAGATCGGTAGACATACGGCGAGTTACGGGTTTAACGCTAGTGGAAAGAGACCGGGAAGCGCTTCCGTCACCAGCCTCTGATTGACTAACATCTTTGGGTTTCGGGGGACGAGAAGGCGTAGGGGCCGGAAAATCCAGATCGGCGGACATGCGGCGAGTAACGGGTCTAACTCTCGTGGCAACAGACCGGGAAGCGCTACCAGCACCAACCTCCGATTGATTAGCATCTTTGGGTTTCGGTGGACGAGATGTCGTAGAGGCCGGAAAATCCAGATCGGCGGATGTACGGCGAGTTACGGGTCTAACGCTCGAGGCAACAGACCGGGAATCGATTCCGGCACCAGGTTTCGAATTGTTGACATCTGCGGCTTTCTCCTTGAACGAAGTTTGATCAACTAACCTCTTAAGAGACGAAGTGAGACTCGGATTGGCGAATTTGACGAGAGAAGCGGACGAAGAAGATGACTGTTGGGGAGCTCTAGAGACGATGTTGGTGCAATCTCCGAGGGGTTTTCTCTGCAATCTTCCTCCAATAGACCGATGAGCTTCCATTTTCAACCGGAGAGTCGGAATCGTCGGATTCACCTGAGAACTCGGGGGAGAAGAATAGATGGCGCCACTCCTAGTTGGCGGGAAAGTAGAAAGGATCGAAAGGAGAAGATTTCTGAAGAAGACTCGAGAGCTGGAGGGAAGAAACGAAAATTTGGGGATTTTCCTTTTTGTGTGTGTGTGTGCGTCAACAACTATGATTGGGGATTTCTTGAGCCCATTTTGGCAATTTTATCAGTGGGCATAATTAATATGAGCAAATAAATTATTAAAGTAGAAATTAATATCTGGCATGTAATAAACTAGAGTATGTATAATTAAGATTTGATGTCACTTACCAAAAAATAATAATTAAGATTTGATGTCGTGATCTTTATTTTCTGAAACTTTAGGTGTCTACTATTTATAATTTTTTAACTCGTGATCTTATAGACTCTGTTTAACTCGTGATCTTATAGACTACGTTTGAATAGCAAGATAATAAAAGATTGAAGGGGTCTATCTGAATATAGAAGAATAATTCAGTAGCAGAAATATTTGAGGTTACTGGAGTTCTCTCATGTTAATCATAACTTCATAATTAAAAATGGTTTACTATATTAGTAACATTTTAAAAACGTAAAATCATGAAAATTGGTATACCAATTATCACGTGTTTTGTTCATCATTCACAAGTTTAAGTATTTTACAAAGTCACAAAAACATTTAGGAAACAAATTCTTGCAGCAAAATTTTGTGAAAAAAGAACAATTTATTAATGTGTCATGTATATAACTATATATGTACATGATGATCTACGTAAATAAAAAAAGAAAGGCATGCCTGCATTCAAATACCGAAAGCTTTTAAATTCGCGTGTGACTTGTGAGTAACTAACGTAAAACATACTATATGCTTTAAAATCTTAAAAAATAAAATACTAGTATTACAATATTTTTTTATAAGTGCATAGTCAAATATATTTAAAGAAATAAACATGTAAACTTTTAATAACCGACCCCTTATGAAAATGTAAAAAAAAAAAAGTACTTGGTACTACAACTAAAATATATGTGTAGTACAAGAGAGAAGACCCTCATGAATCCTCTCCATTCATTTGTACAAGTTGTACTTTCCGTTAGTGGAAATTAAAGTTGGTAAGCTTTTTTCAAAATCCGGTATAACTAACGTTCCTAAAATCTTTTTATTCAATTGGAATATGGTGATAAATGCAATAATTCCAATAATGCTCTCGTTTCCTTTACGCTAACTTCTCCTCCTCCGACGAATCTTTGCCTTTTGCGTTGCTATAAATAATCAACAACACACCATTTCTTCTCTCATTCTACAAACAAACATCTCATTTCTCTAATTCGCTTCATCGACCTCAAAGCTAGCTAGCTTCTCATTTCGTTTCATCTATTTCTCTAACCATGTCTCAGGTAAGTCTATATGACTCTGATCTCTCTGTCTCTTATCTTTTTGTGTGTTTCTCTCTATTTCTTGGGTTTAAGTCTGGTTCTTGACGTAAACTATGAAATCATGTTTTGGAAAGCCACTTATATAATCAAGCAACAACGTTTATCCGTGTTCATTTCCAAAATATGCTAACTATTCTTTAGGATCCTAATTACTTATGTAGTTATCTGTTGAGTGGTGTTCTTAAATTTAGGCGAGCGTTTAGATCGGTCGATTAATCGCTAAGTTGATGGAAGCTTGATATTTTGGAATCAATTAATAGTAAAACTAAGATGGTGACATATTTGGACCGGACTGGTCCGATTCCGGCTTTACAGTATGGTTCTAATTTCTCACATTCTTTTATTTAATTGTGTAATCAGACCGTCGTCCTCAAAGTTGGTATGTCATGCCAAGGTTGCGTTGGTGCCGTCAATAGAGTTTTGGGCAAAATGGAAGGTATTTTTTCTCTATTCCTTTTAATTGTCTTTCAAATACTTTATGAGAATCATTTGTTTTTAATTTCTTTTATATATGCCTTATAATTCGCTGACCGTAGATTTCATCATAAAATAATATTCTCAGGAGTTGAGTCATTTGACATTGATATAAAGGAGCAAAAGGTGACAGTGAAAGGCAACGTTGAGCCTGAAGCAGTGTTTCAAACAGTTTCAAAGACTGGAAAGAAGACTGCTTACTGGCCTGTGGAGGCTGCGGCTGAGCCCAAAGCAGAGGCTGAGCCTAAGGCTGAGACCGAGGCTAAACCCGAGGCTGAGACCAAGACCGAGGTTGCTAAGGTTGATGTTGAACCAAAACTCGCAGAAGCCGAGACTAAGCCATCAAATGCTTAAGTACTAAATGATGACAATGGTGCTTTTATAGTCTATCTTTGCACTTCTTATTATCTTTTGCTTTTGTGTTGTTGCAAGGAATGCTTTACCTAATATTTTAACTTTTCAAACTTTTGCTAAAGATGTTGGACCCCATGTTGTTCTGACTTTCTTTTATTATATACTTTTAAACTTTTGAAGTGTTTAATAACTAAATAAAGACTGCAATCATCTTAATGTCTTGACTTAATATAACTTAATTCATTCAGGCATCATCTGTCTGAATATTTGCAACAAAAAAAAAGAACCATAATCAAAATAAATTGTAAGATGAGCATGCTTTCACGTTTTGAAACCCACAAGTTTAAGTTAATTGTGACCATTAGTGATTTTTTTTTTTTTTAAAAGTTAGATTAAGGTTTAAGGTGGATTCGATATCTTTCCTCCTTGGTATCAAACAAGCCCAAAACCAATCAGACTAATGGATTTTTTTCTACATGTGGCCCAAAATTTGATAATATCAACATGAGCTAAATACATAATAAGCTCAGAATTCAGATTTAGGACCACATCAGTATTGATTAGCTTGTCGTTAATTTGATGGATTTTTTAAGACTCGGAACGAACCTAATCCATTCCGGGATAAAAATTTCGTGCTAAACTCGGATTGCATTCTCTAATATCAAATGTATGATTAATTAATCTTGAAGCTATAGATATACGCGTATCCGTGGAGCGACGTGCTTACACTACACATATTCGCTGTTGAATGGTTGGAAAGTCTTTTTCTCTTTCCCAACTTTAAAGTCTTTTAGCTTTTGAAGCTATCATATCCTTATCCTACATACAAAATTCCTCTCTAATTAACTCTTCATTAATTGATTTTACTAAATATGTACGTTTAACGCATCGTTCATGTACATGCGAAGCATATCCAACATGCAAGTAAATGAATTAAATATGTTAAGAATAATTTCGTTATCCATTAATTAATCATGCCTGAAGGTTCCAAGTTCCAACTAGACAATTGCCTCAAAAGATTCCTTCATGACTTGTAATAATAACATTTACGTTGTTTTATTAGTTAAATTATGCTCAACAACTCTTTACGGAAACAATCATGTATCGAGTCGATTATTAACGAAATATATATATAAAAAAAGTTTCTCAAGAACGTAAACATCTCTAACCAACTCTTGAACAATAATTTAACAACTTGAGTTCGAAGCAAGAAACTGCTCCTCCATCATCGTCCTCTTTTGTTCTTCTTCATATTCTCAAGTTTTACTTCAAGAAAATTGCGTGATAGCTAGAAATAGAAAAAAGAGAAACTGCAAATTCACCAAACGAAATGGATTGCTCAATCTGCACCACAATTCCATCTATTTTAAGGCCACCAAGGAACACAATATGCGGCTCGTGCTACGAAGGGGCTAGAACCACTATCGAGCTGCTCAAGAAGCTCGAGGACTCGAAAGAAGTTCATGACAAACCTTCTGATAAGTCCACCGTCAACAACGGCTCCTCTCTTTCTGCTTCTCCTTTATTTTCTTGTGAGGTAAGCTCTATAATTTGTATTTGTAAAGAGATATCAATTTTTAAGATATATATCAAAATACATTAATGGATCGGTTTTGTGAATTTAAATTATATTCCAGCCGCAACCATTAGAGAAGGTGATCAAATGGATGAAAAAAATGAAAGAAACCGAAGAGGAGCAGAAGAAAAGAATAGTCTTCTTGAGCAGCTTTGTCTCTGGTTTCCAAGAACAACTTCATGCTGATATTCATTTAATACCTGGCGATGATGGCCCTCCGATTCCTGCACATAGAGCTTTGCTGGTAATCTCAATCATCTCTACTTCCTTTCTTATTTCTACGGCATGAATTTTTCTCTTTTACTTTTTTGTTTGTTTGCCGTTGTTTTCAACGTTTATACGCTATAATAATTTGTTATCCATTAAAACGAAATCATAATGTATATATTTTTAATTCATCAAAATTCATTAGTGTTTTGATGTTTACGTTTAAATACAAATTTCAAACTATTTGATGAAAACAAATATTACAATAAATATTTTTATAATCTCATCGACTCACATATCATTTACATGTATAAAGACATATACAACTAATTATGAAGATTTTGTGTGCTTCTATATATGTAGGCTTCAAAATCCGAGATCTTCAAGAATATTCTAGATTCAGACGGATGCAAAACCGCTCCAGAATACGCCATAACGCTCCAAGAACTGAGCTCCGAGCAACTTCAAGCTCTCTTGGAGTTTCTTTACACTGGTACATTGGCTTCAGACAAGTTGGAGAAGCATGTCTATGCGTTGTTTGTTGCAGCTGATAAGTACATGATTCATTACTTACAAGAGTTCTGTGAGCAACATATGCTGAGGTCTTTGGATATCTCTAGCGTTCTTGACGTTCTTGATGTTTCGGATCTTGGTTCGAGCAAGTTGCTGAAGGAAGCTGCTTTAGGATTCGTGGTGAGGAACATGGACGACATCGTTTTCTCGGATAAGTACGAAGCTTTTTCTCAGAAGAACCATCATTTATGCGTGCAAATTACTAGAGCGTTCTTGACAGAAGCGAGAAATAAGAGACGTGATTAGTTTTACTAGTGAAAAGATCCATGAATGATTGATTAATGTAATTAAGTTTTTGTATGTTTTACTGAACCCATTCAATATTTGATTTATTTTTTAGTAAAAGGTTTTTTTTTTTTTTTTTTTTGAACAACTTTTTAGTAAAAGGCTTATTTTACTAAACTGCAAGAGAAACAAAAAAGGGGGGAAATTGCCCAATTTCATTAAGTAAAAAGACTTTTATTTAAATAGAAAAGTACTGTTTTGATAAAAAAACGCTTCAAACTCCATTGAAAATTTGAAGCACTCTAACATACCTCTCGACGAAACCCTCCGTAAATTTGCTACCAATTATATCCAATCTCATTTGCGTGTGAGAGTGTGAGTTTTTTGTTAGATAAGTTTAGGAATTTTAAGGAGAGAAAAGTGTCCTTTTGAATGTTCATTTTTATCTACTCAAGCTTTCACTAATAAGTGATGAATCTATAAACTTCATGCCAAACAAATCACTTTATAGCAATTGGATTAATTAGAAGGACATACAATTGATTTTTGTTTAATCATATGTCTAACTAAAATTCCTCTTTAGGTAGAACAAATGTATAATGTATATAGAGAATATGAATACTTGATGTAAACTAGGCTCTCGGATCATGGCTATCATTCCAGGTCCTGACTGCTACGGCCACTGCATGTTTGACTGCTTGAGCATCCATGTTTTCACCATCATCATTCTAGAATTAAATCAGATTAAATAGAAAGTAATATCTATAACTAATATGAGTGAAAATTTTGATGAATGGAGTAATATTATTCGATAAGGATGATGAGGGAGAATTGTGTTTACATCTGATGAGCCAATGGCATGAAAGCTAAATGAGTCCGTACATGAAACCCTAGCTTCAACAACGTCAAGTCCAAGATCTTCAAAGGCTTCAAGAACACAAACCAGCATGCCTTCCTCATTCTTCCCGGACATTACCTTTATCATGAACCCCTTTTCTAGGGTTTCCACTGTAACCTATCAATACAGAACCCCAAAATAAATCAAAATTTATATAAATATAAATGCATCGAAGAGTATACGTATATATGTTTATATACCTTGGAATCGGTAGGATCACGGAAAGATTGCTCAGACGTGGTCTCACTGTTGATTTTTCCGACTTTCTGCTTAAGCTTTTTGATATATTTTGATGCATCCACTATGATTGAAGATTCGCTCTCCTGCAAAATGTGTGCGTTTAATTGGCATATAAATGAAATGGTTGAGTTTAGATTCTCAAAGTACAAGTTTAGTCCAAGAAAATTTCCCATTTCAATTATCATATTTTGGCTCCTTTATGTTCATTATGGTTAGGACTTAGGAACGAATCAAGTATAAGTATAAGTTGAAGATATACAAAGAAAAGAAATCCAAATAGCAGCATATCACTAATGATAAGTCAAATTCCGCCAGATCAGACTTTTCATACAAAAATATATATATACGATATAAGGAGTAAAATTTGATCTCTAATAATGAGTGGTAAGAGAGAGAAACAGAGTCATCAAGGTTAAGAGGGATATCTGTGAATATGAGGATATATATATAACTATATTACTAGGACTGAATTTGGTTTATAGTTATAGAAGAGATCGAATATGATTACAAAAAAAAAAAGTAAGAAAGAAAGTGGTGGAATATGATTACAGCATCAGAGTTAGTGATTGAGCGAAGCAATTGAAACTTCTCACGCAGAGAGGAACCTCTCTTGTGTTCCCTCGAAACCATTCTTCTGTGCTTTAGCTTCTTCTTATCTCGTCCTCTTCGGTTTCTCTTCTATATAAATAGAGTAAGAAAGAGGAAGTAAAGTAGAGGTCCGATTTTCTTCAAAGTTTATAGGATCCTCTCGTCTCTCACATGTCTGCCTTATAGTCTCTCTTCATCGCTACAAATTGTAATATACGGACAAATGCGTTTGGTATCTCGTGAATTACTTGATTGCCGCTATGTCTAGTTACACGTTATTCCATATTGTATATACAGTATAGTTCTTCTGCATATACGTATACGTGAGAATACTGCCAAACATAAATAGGTAAAGGAATTACTACAATTTTTGTTTTCATTTTCTATGCACGTGTGAGTATAATTTTCGATGGAATTGCTTTAGTTAAATTAGAAAGTACACAAATATTTAAAATTACATATATAAATAAATTTCTCTTGAGGGAAGACTAGCTCTTAGGTGGTTTATAAATTGAGTATGTAAGTTGCCAATTAAGGAAAAAATAGATTACATTTTATATGCCTTCAAATGGTAACTATCCAAAACAAAACAAAAAATGAACAGAATGAAGAAACAAGATGAGAGGAATAAGTGGTTCGCTCATGTTTTGAATAGGAATTATTTTAATTTTCTTCCTTGTTCTAACAGAATCTAAAATAAACAAATTATCAATATTTCTTTTCTAACAAGTGAACCGACAAGATCAAGTGCATTTTCAGGATGTTCCATTTATCATTGACGTGTCCAATTCTGGTGTGCACTGAATTATGCGCTTGTCTCGCTTTAATTGGTCTTGACCAACTCTCCAAAGGCTTACACCTATTGTGTGCGTGTGAGTGATTCTTGAGTATATAAGGTTTGGGGAAATGAGGAGAGGGCAAAAGTAAAAACGAAGTAGGCAACCATGATAGCTCGTGATCAAGGATGAAATAAAATTGTGAAATGTATAAAATATTGAAATAGGAGAGCATCGAAAGAAGTGAAAGAAGAGGATAAAAGCAAACAGAAGAATGTTAGTTGTGATTTTGGAATGCCTCCAAACACTCCTCACGGGGATCTTTATGAATGCCACCATCTACTTCTTGTATATATACTACGTATGTGTACGTTATATATGCATACGCATAACATACATCATTCATGCCATTCGTAACGAAAAAAAAAACTTCTTAAAATTGGATTTGATTAAGGAAAACAACAAAAATATTCCATGTTTCTTGATTGATACACACAAACATTCAAAAATGTACATGAGGCATGTGCGTATGTAAGCGCGTACATATCATAAGAAATGTGATGAGAAGAGAAAATATGAAATTGTCTATATCCCACAAGGACATATAAAAGTATCCATCAATTCACATGTGTACCGATTAATCATCACCGCAAAATAATACTCTATACAATAGACAACCCTTTTTTTCTCTCACGTATAGCCTCATAGATATCCTATAGTACTATCTCTCATATTCTTCTACTTTTACAGTCTGTTTTCTCCATATTTAGGGTTTTAATTGCTCGGATTTGCCAAAAGAAGATGACACTCACGTGACTTGCACTTCGGGAAGAACATTCACATTCACATGCACAATTTGACGATATTAAAAAAAAAAAGAAAAACAAAACATATTAATCTCTAGAGTCGAGAAAAAAAATGCATTCGTCATGTAGAGTAAAATAGGGAGAAAGGGACGTGAGCGAGAGAGCTCAGACATCAAAAGTTCATATGCATAGGAAACTTTGTCTCTTCCAATATATTCTTGTTATATTGGTTAATATACATGAAAATATATTGTTCTGCTGTGTATTAATCGTGTATAGTAAAATGTAATAAAATAATATATCGTATGAATATGATAGAAGGAGAGGAGTGGTCGAGATAAAAAAAATGATCTTTATAATGTCACAATGATTAATTTGGTTAAAAAATGTTAAATGTCCCTTCACTCTCAAACGTGTAGCTGCTCACACAACTGTTTTCATGTTTTATTCTATAACAAATTCCAAAGACAACACCTCTTTTCTAGTACATATGTCGTCTTTCAAACAGATTGATCACCGATGAATTCCGGGACACGTATATGGCTTGAAGAGGTCGACTTGTTTTTTACGAACCTGCTCTACGATTAATTTGCACACGAGTACTTTCAGCATTTTCGTATTTACCAACTGTTTTACCAAAGCATTTTTTGCCTTAATGAAACTTTTAGCCATGCCAAACACATGTAAAGGTAACCGTTCCATTTTGGTAAACTAAACTCACACTTTTTCTGAAAAAAATCATCAGTAGTTTTAAAATTGTTATTTTGTATAACAATCAGCTTTAAGAAACTGTGAAAAACGCAACATTTGTTATTTTACCAATATATATATCCTTTATTCTTCTTTTTGTTTCCTTGTACTGCATAAAAACAAAATATAAAATGTAAGAAAGTCTCGTGTTTGTGACAGCTATATTTCCTTTGTCTTCTCTCCATATGTAACGTATTACGTATTCCCTTGTCCGAATCAAATATCATTCCATGACACTTCAATCAATATTTTATTTAGCATCATAAGAAACTCCAATGTTTTTTTGTTTTGTATAATTTTATGATTTAACAAAAACCGAAGAATCCAACATTTGTCTACTAGGCTAAATACCACCACATGTGAATAGAACATTAGACGGTCTCCACTGTTTTAGGTGAAGGGTTCAATTCATCCACTATATGTCACTATTATAAACGTCTCGAATGGTAAAACCAAATCTAGTTTTTTTTTGCTAAATCCAAGATGTGAATTTGCATGAACTGTAAATGAACATCTAGAAAGGACCAAAACGACAAAGTAAACATAGAAAACAAAATCTTAACATGAATGTACAAAAACAATACCCATTCCATCTGCCCCACTCTCTTCTTCTAAGTGACAAAATTATCTTAGAGAATTAGGTCACGGGGGTGACTTTGAGCTATCAAACACCGATCACTCCTTGTTTTGACATAGCATGCGTAAATTATATATAAATGAAGAAAATATCTCTAATAAAAATTCATTTATTTTTCTAGTAATTGGGTATGTATACATTGTCTTGGCACTCATTGGCAGTAAAATAATCATTATGAAAGAAGAAAAAACAGAAATGAAAGAAAATTCCTTTAACAAATATCTCGTAGGCGAGAGAAAACACATGAAAACGAGTGATCATTATGAAAAATTCATAAATCTTTCAAGAATTATATCATGTTCGAAAGGAAACACTTGTTTACCAAAGAAATAAATATATAGAGGAAACAAAAACAAAAGTTACTGGGCCTTGTCAAGGTTTGATTTCGGCCCATTACTGAAAGAGAAATAATTGTTTCGATTTTATTTTCTTCTCGAACTAAATAGATAGATTTGTTAAAAATTACATTATAGCTACCTGAAAATTAAGTTTTTACATTTTGAGGGACTAAAGAACATCATCATCGACAGAGCAACCCAGGTGTGGTAGAAGAAACACAAGGAAGATTTCAAGCTTTTTGATCAGTCATGCGAATTCTTGTTGCTCGCGTAGCTAACGTAATTTCCGAAATTTCCCTTTTTTTAAGCTTTGCTGTACCTTTCTTAATTCTTTTCCATCAATTGGTTTAAACGGGTCGTCACCACCGATTCATCTGAAATCTGAAGTGAAATTTGCAGCATTTTTGCAGAGGAAGAAGTAATGCATATCCTCCTCGATCTCAGAATTTCTCCTCATTGACCAAAAAAGGTACCTCCTTTTTCCCCAGTCTTCCGCGAGAATCGTCTCGTGGGCTTAAACCCCAGATTACGATTAGAGTGAAGTCTTTTGATTTGAAATTCTGATTAGTTTTGGTTCAATAGTAGTAGTAATCAAGTCCATTATCACTTCACAGTAGTGAGACTCTCGATTTCAATCCGGATTGTCACAATTTGTTGTAATGTTATCCTACATCAAAGTGGATACTTTGTTTGATCAATCAGTCCTTTTAGTAATTAGATACAGTGGTTAAGGAAAGAGCCATGAGAGATTAAGAGTAGAGGAGGTATTGATGTGTTGATGAGCTTGACTTTGCTTCCATTTTGTAGAGGACCTAACATTGGAGGAAGATGCTGAGAGGAAAATAGGCTGGTTGCTCAAACTTTTCTTCGCTGGAACAGCAACCTATGTTGGATACCAGTTTTTCCCTTATATGGGTATGTGAATGTCTAATCTCAAATCAGCTTTTACATTTCTCAATTGCAAATTTTGTTGCTGTATACTTTACTGATGAGTCATTTGGTGGTTTAGGTGATACTTTGATTCAGCAATCTGTGTCGCTTTTACATGTGAAGGATCCCTTGTTTAAGAGAATAGGAGCTTCTAGGCTGTCTCGTTTCGCCATCGATGGTAAAGCTTTGTAATAACTCAATACCTCTATCTCTAATTGATTGGTTATAAGAAATAGATTTGATTTTAAGACTTATGTGGTTCTCACCAGTGCTGATATGTTGTAATCATTTGGTTTGTTGTGTATAAAAGATGAGAGGAGAATGAAGGTTGTAGAGTTGTGTGGTGCTCAAGAGCTTCTACATATGTTGGGGAATGCTAAAGATGACAAGACAAGGAAAGAAGCTCTAAAGGCTCTCTCTGCTCTCACTAAATCAGGCAAGACATATATATGCCTTTCGTCTCTTATGTTGAAACATTCTCAGGGTTGTCGACTGATATAATCTTCTTTAACTCTCCTTTTGTTGCAGATGAAGCTGCGAACTTCCTGGGAACTAATGGAGCACTCTCTATCGTCAAATGGCTCCAGACTCTTTGGAAGATTCAGAGATTTCAACTTACAAGTCAAACATACTCAAGAAGCTAGATGAGAAAAACCTCGGCCGTCTCTTCCCTAAGGTTCTATTTACATAAAAGGATAGATCAAGAATCATGAGTATAATAAGTATCTCCATACTCATTAAGTCTTTTTCTTTTATCTTCCTCAATTCCAAATTAGAGCTCTTCAATTTTGTTCCGAAAGAAAGGAATAGTTTGATTGAAGATCAATCGAGCTTTTGGTCTCAGTACACTCTGACTCGGATGTCGTTTGTTCTTTTGAATAATGGTGTATCTTTCTCTAGTTTAAGTAGCCATTCCTATAGCTTTTACATTGCAGTTATTCTTGTTTATGAAAGTTTATAATTACTGGAACAACTTCAATCAAAAAAAAGAAAAAAGAGAGTGAAACTGTGTTGATGCTTGCGGATAAGTAAAAACTAAAAACAAACCTAGTAAACTCTAAAATTCCAATTCAGTTGAGTGGGGAATCGAAGCTGAGATGATGTTGAAATCCTAGGCATAGATTCTATCTCCTTTTGTGTCTCTTCAAGATTGCAGGAGGTTAATTTTGTTGCAAAGAGGGAGATCTCCACTGCCTTCAAGCATTTTGAGTTGGCGAGAATGTATGCCAATAGTTGTTTCTCATCTTCTGTTGCTACACAGTCTCTCCACCCAAATATCTCTAGGTGAGACGACAAGCATTCGGGAATTGAATTGGGCTGGTTCCAGGATGGTGTGAGAGTCCCCGCCCACTTCTGATGATGTCATTACATAGAACTTTAATATCATATCAAAACTAAATCTAGATGCGTGTCTACTTGTTTAAAGGGATGATGGTACTTACCGTGTTGATGAAAAGAGTCTTTAGTTTGGGAGAGTTTTGAAGCAAAAACATAAGGGGTTCCAACCAATCAACTGAAGTTGCTGTAAGGAAATGCAACTCTATGAGCCGAGAGAAGTTAGTAGCGCTACAACAATGAACCTGGTGACAGAAAATTAAAAATAAACAACATTACTTGACCAAGAAGCAACAAGGGACCAATATGAAATCACTACCATTGGCTCGGTCAAATGCAAGAGCAGACGTCTGGCAGAAGAAAGACATGTCAGAAGCTTGCCATCGGGGTTAGGAACATTGCCTATGTATGCCTCATCAAGGCAATGCATATTCTCTAACAAGCAGTAGTTTCCCCAAACATCATATAATTCCATATTTGTTATTGCAGGGGAATCTATTACCAACCACCCAGTGGGATCATGATGATGATCCCGCTCAAGAGGAGTCCAGTAGTACAATCTTTTCAAGGAAGGCACTTTCACGGTAAAATTTTTCAACATGTCGTTTTTGCGTCTGAACACCTTGATATACTCAAGAACAGGGGAACTTGATAAAAGGCTAACAAGAGAGTCTTCGTCTTTGTACACCACGTTCATAAGCATCAGATACAAGAGAGATGGTAGGCGAGCCTGGGAAGAAACATCCACTAGAATCTGGTTGGACAGAGTTAAATCAACGAGCGTGTCGCATGTGTAAAGAATCTTAGGAAGCCTTGTTGGCACTCCGATCAAGTTGTACTCGAATTCTACCACTTCTACACCGCGTTTAACTGCGTTCTCAACGAACTTCCGGACATCCACATGAACCGAACAAAGTATGAAAAGCAAGCACTCTAGTTTCGGTGCCTTGTGAAGTTGCAATGCCTGCTCAAGGCTCTCGCTGCCTTCGTCTTTGAAGGAGATTTGAGGCATCATCGTCCAGATATGACGCCATCGTTTAGACAAGACTGCAGTGGCGGCTGCGACTTTTGTCGGGACGAAGTAGAAGATCCGTAAGAGCATATCGTCGGGTAAATCACAGCTTCTATTTTCGATTCTCTCATCCGCTTCGGTTGATAGATGCCTAGTATCCGACATAATATCCCACAAAAAAAAAACAAAGACCAAGCCCTATCCCCCTCTCTACTTCTTTCTAGTCGCTCTCGTTTTGTATACGAACGTAAGAATTTAAAGACTCAAAGAAACTTGAGCTCTCAATCTCTCTCTAAACTCATAAGCTGTGACACAACTTGACACTTTTCCTAATATAATAATAAAACACTTTTCCTAATCCTAATAGGAAACACTTATATTTAGACAACTTTCTAAACATACTAAAATAAAATAAAATAAAAACTTTAAACATACTTTTCCTTTTCTCCTTGATAACCATGACTCTGTTTAGGATTAGGAAAGCTTCCATCTTAAGCTTACTCCCAGCATAATTTATTTCACGCAAAAGTTCTACAAAGACTTGACTACAGACTACAGTAATCAACTAAATAATACACACGCAACATGTTGAAAAAACCCTAATTTTATTATTAATTTTTAATTTCTTAATGAAGTATCGGAAATGGACATTTTTTACCCTTTCTATCTTGCTCATCAAGCAACATGCTGTAAAAGTGTAAAGTGACTGAGACCAATCGTTTTCCAGTATACTGTTCATGTACAATCTGTTGAAGAAAACAGATTGTTCTGTCAAATTTACCAAATGGAGATTCAACAACATACATGTTCAACAACAGAAAAAAACCCATACATGTTGCGGAATTAGAAGATTTTTTGTTTTTCAACTGTTCTCTTTTTATTTTTCATTTACGTGTTCTACACATCTTGCGGAATTTTTTTTGAAAGAATTAGAGGATTTCTAAAGTAAATAGAAGAGAACAATTGAAAATTATACCAATAGCTATCTGTGAATCAACAGTTTCAACTGCTCCGATGATAAACTGAGATTTTCATTGCCAATAAGAGCTACCACTTGTGGAAAGAACGGAATAATTTAATTTCCATCAATAAGCTTTTGTTCTTAGTACCTAATCATATATATGAAAAGATGTCAACTCTCTCTATATTATTGACACATGGATACATGAGAAAATGACACATGTTATATAATTTTCATTTAAAAAAACAAAAATCTAAAAGTTTAATATAACATTAATGCAACTTTTGGTCTTCTTTTGTGCTTATTGTAACTTACAAAATACATTTTCATATAATTTTCACTTTAAAAAAAAATATCTAAAAGTTTAATGGAATTTCAATGTAACTTTTGGTTTTCTTTTGTGGCCATTAGAACTTATAAAATAAAATAAAACTATTATATCACTTTAATATTATTATCTTTCGTCATCAATCTTGAATCACTATTAAACATTTAAGTTCTCTTAATATACAGAGAATTGGATTCAGAAAAAAATAATGGCAGAGAATCATAGTGTGTTCCACGTACCGGTGAATAAATAAAGAGTAGCAAGGGTATAAAAACATGTGATAGTATACAAATCTACGGGTGTTATTTGGGTTAAAAGATTATTTACAAATCTATAATTGTTTTATACTCCAACCAAATAAGAATTAAGATACAGATGTTATTTATATCATTTGGAGTAACATTTTTTTTAAACTATAACCACAGAAAAATCCGTGCGTACGCGCGGACATTGATCTAGTACCACATGATTTGGAAATTCATTGTTCACTACAATAATGGTCTCTATAGAAAGTAATTCACGGAATAATATTTAAAGAATTGTAACGTTTGATCTTTCTCTCATTTAAGTAGCAACAAATGTTGCACCACCTATTCCTATAGCTTACAGTTTATACATTGTATTTTCTCACAAAACCTTCTTCACATGTATCAAATAGTCATATAGATGCTAAGGAAAGCTAATAATTTTACACATTTCTTTGAAGTGATCATAAGGAGACTTGTTTGCAAAACTTTTTTCAAATATCAGTTTGCTGTGACTGTGAGACTGTATAAATTCGTCGAAATGGCGATGGTGCTAGTGGCAACAGCGAGAACAAGCATTATCGCAGCTACAGTCTTCTCTCTTGAAGTGGACACACCATGCACATTCCTGCCATTTCAAAACCAGCGAATAAGGACGACGATTTTTTCAGGAAAAGTGAAGCAAACTAGAGGAAACAAAGCTAATGTACCTTAAAACAATGGCTGCTGGAAAAATGAATGCTATTGAGACCGTGGTGGTTGATCCCAAGAACTGAAAGAAATACCAAATGTCTGGTACCGCGATCGCGGACAAGAAACAGCAAACTAGTAAAGCCAGAGTGAGTCCGATGAATCTTGTCGAGTCTTTTGCCAATGATGACCTCTTTGGGAACAGAAGCTCGTCGAGGTTTGCTCTCAACGAGAAGTTCATGAGAGGAAAGACAAGCATGAGGTGAAGCGCGTAGCTGAGCCTGACAACGTCGTTGAAGAGAGAACCAATGGAAGAACCAGAGCTCTGGTCAAAGTTCACTAGAATATCCGACATTGTTGCATCTCCAAACAGAAGATACCCGAACAATCCAGTAGCGAAGTAGATTGCAGCGCACAAGACGACAGAGATCTTAGTTGCTGGGATCACCTTTAAAGGATCTTTGAGCTCAAATCCAATTGGATGCACTGCAAAAAATTTCATCACCAACAGCAAACTCAGAAACAGAACAAAAACAGAGGAAAAAACAGAGGAAAAAACAGAGAGACAATACTAATTTGGTATAAAGAATGGATTCTTGCCATTGAAATGAAATGTGAAGGCGGTTACTATGACAGGAGAAGCTGTGAAGAGATTCCAGAAAGATCCTGGGAACTAATGTAGATTTGCTGCAGATGAAGCTGCAAACTTCCTGGGAACTAATGGAGCAATCTCTATCGTCAAATCGACTCCAGACTCCTTGGAAGATTCAGAGATTTCAAATTACAAGTCAAACATACTCAAGAAGCTGGATGAGAAAAACCAGGCCGTCTCTTCCAACTAAGGTTCCCTTTACATAAAAGGATAGATCAAGAATCATGAGTCTAATAAGTATCTCCATACTCTTAAGTCTTTTTTTTTATCTTCCTCAATTCCAAATTAGAGCTCTTCAATTTTTGTTCGGAAAGAAAGGAATAGTTTGATTCAAGATCAATCGAGCGTTTGGGCTCAGTACACTCTGATTCGGATGTCGTTTGTTCTTTTGAATAATGGTTTTAAGTAGCAATTTCTATAGCTTTTACATTGCAGTTTCTGACAACCTATTTCACAAAGATATACATAAACATGAGAGAAACAATCTGAGGAACCAGACATCCCAAGTCGGTTTGCCGTTTTTCATTCCACCTCCCACAATCCAGCCTGATAAGGGTTCGATGGGACCGTTGAGGACGGACCAGCGTGGAGTTGGGTCAGGAAAGATGCGCATGCATACGTACAAAAGAGTGATCTTTTGTCACGTACTTAAAATGGTCAAAAACTAGAGACAATACAAAAAAAAACATAATTAGTGCTCGTTTAATGCTGTTGTAATCAAGTCTTTTCTTGTAGTTTTCTATAATTTCTGTCAATAACTGAAAAAAATGGTATAAAATCTTCACATTTTACCCCAAAAAAAAACATAATTAGTGTTCGACGTAGGATAAACAAGGTCAATGAGTCAATCACAGTTTATGAATCTTTATTATTGTTAGAATAACTTAAATCAAAAATAGGAAAAAGAGAGAAATTGTGTTGATGCTTGCTGATAAGTAAAAACAAACCTAGTAAATTCTAAAAATCCATTTAAGTTGACTGGGGAATTGAATTGAATTGAATTGAATTGTCTGGAAGAAATTGAAACTCTATGAGCCAAGAGCAGTTGTAATCGAATGATATTTAATACAACAAAGCTAAATTTGTATCCTCAACTAGATGACAAAAGCGAAGCTAAATAAGCTCAAATTTTTATTATTCCTTGAATTTCAAATTTTCATTTGAGTTGGAAAATTTTCAAGGAATAATAATGAAACCTTTGAGCTTATTGAGAACTACATGTAGATTTGGTCCGCTCGGCCCAATGCTCTTTTCAATCAAAACTCAAGAGTGAATTCGTTTGATCCAAGCATGATGAGGGAATGAGAAAGATTGATCGGGCAAAATGAGGGCAAAGTTACATATATTGAGAATAAAGATCAAATAGATAATACGTTACATATCATATCTTAGTAATAAGTTACATACCGACATCAATGGATACAAAGTTGCATGATCTATTTGGCGACAACGGTGGAGTCAGTGTCGGAAATGGCGGTGGTGGCATAAGTATTGCTTCTCTTTTGATACTCTACTCAAATAAGTTGTTTGGTCTATGCTTAAGTTGTTTGGTCGATGCTAACCAAATGATCTATAAATCACATACACTTTGATTGATAAATCAATCACACAAACGTGTTTTAACCACCAAATGATCTATAAATCACAGACTTTGATTGGTAAATCACAAAATCGTGCAATGTTTCACAATTTCTAAGGTTTTTACCAGCCACAAAACTTTTTACGAATCCCACCATTCTACAAGCGTAATGGTGGTAACAACAAAAAATAATGTCATTTCACAAACTTTTTACGAATAATACCTTGCAGTTCCATTTCAATTAATACAGTTTTTTGTATACAATTATGCTACTAACAGCAATTACCAAATCAACTTAATCAACATTTTCAACTGCTCAGATGATAAACTGAGATTTTCATTTTCCGATAAGAGCTACCACTTGTGGAAAGAAAGGAATGGTTTCATCCAGATCAATGAGCTTTTGTTCTTAGTATTGAATACTGTCTGAAGATCTAAAGAATTGTAACGTTTGATCTTTCTCTCATTTAAGTAGCAACAAATGTTGCACCTCCTAGTCCTATAGCTTATACATTGTATTTTCTCACAAAACCTTCTTCACAGATATCAAATACAGATGCTAAGGAAAGCTAATAATTTTACACATTTCTTTGAAGTGATCATAGAGGAGACTTGCTTGCAAAACGTTTTCAAAGCTTAGTTTGCTGTGAGACTGTATAAATTCGTCGAAATGGCGATGATGCTAGTGGCAACAGCGAGAACAAGCATTATCGCAGCTACTATCTTCTCTCTTGAAGTCGACACACCATGCACATTCCTGCCATTTCAAAACCAGCGAATAAGGATGACAATATTTCAGGAAAAGTGAAGCAAGCTAGAGGAAACAAAGCTACTGTTACCTTAAAACAATGGCTGCTGGAAATATGAATGCTATTGAGACCGTGGTGGTTGATCCCAAGAACTGAAAGAAATACCAAATATCTGGCACAGCGATTGCAGACAAGAAACAGCAAACTAGTAAAGCCAGAGTGAGTCCGATGAATCTTGTCGAGTCTTTTGCCAATGATGACTTCTTTGGGAACAGAAGCTCGTCGAGGTTTGCTCTCAACGAGAAGTTCATGAGAGGAAAGACAAGCATGAGGTGAACCGCGTAGCTGAGTCTGACAACGTCGTTGAGGAGAGAACCAATGGAAGAACCAGAGCTCTGGTCAAAGTTCACTAGAATATCCGACATTGTTGCATCTCCAAACAGAAGATACCCGAAGAGTCCAGTAGCGAAGTAGATTGCAGCGCACAAGACGACAGAGATCTTAGTTGCTGGGATCACACTTAAAGGATCTTTGAGCTCGAATCCAATTGGATGCACTGCAACAACAACAAACTCAGAAACAGAACAAAAACAGAGAAAACAGAGAAAATATTTGGTGTAAGAGATTGGTTCTTGCCATTGAAATGAAACGTAAAGGCTGTCACTATGACAGGGGAAGCTGTGAAGAGATTCCAAAACGATCCTCCATTGTTCAGCTCTGGAAAGAGTCTTGGATTCTTGGTTTGACCTTTCACTAGCGCGGAAATGGCAAGCACCGAGCTTATAACCACAAACAGCACCGCAAGAAGAAACGATACCGCAGAGCTAAATGCCAGTGTTTCTACACAACATAATAAAATTCATCAACGATCTCATAAATTTGCAAACTTATTACTGAGTTTCTGAGAAGGCAAGATTATATAACTTACCCACACGTCTGCACAAGACTAATGGAAGCAAGACGAAACCGTAGATGAACAACAAAGCGAAGATTCTCGTGTTCCACCAGTGAGAACCAAACCATTCTTGCAAAACTCCAATATGTTCGGATCCTCCGTTGTCGTTACCGGAAAGCACATCTCCTGAGAGAGAAACACACAATCCCAAAACCCAAACTCAGTAATTTGTTCTTAAAATTCAGATGGTAACAGAAGCTATCGAATTACTTTACCTATGATAATCGAGAAAATGATCATACATCCGAAAGTGGCAACCATCGTAGCAATCTGTACAGCGACGGATCCTGTTTTCCCGAACGACTCTTTCATGACTCCGGCGTAAGTAGTTGATTCGCCGGCGAGCGTCGATTTCATCAGAAACCCAGCAGAAATTGTGGAAAGCCAAGCGATGATCGCGATAATCAATAGCGCTGGGATTACTCCGAGAACCTTAAAGGCCGCCGGCATTGACATTATTCCGGCTCCGATTATGCTCGTCGAGACGTTGAAAACGACGCCGGAGGTTGATCCATGCTTCTCAGACGACGGTTCTTGCTCAGGCAAGAGAGGATTTTTTATCTGAGGAGACATTCTTCCACACCGCCGGAGAGACTTGAAAAATTGCCGGCGGGAAGAAGAATTATTGTTTTTTTTCTGTTGTTGTTGTGGTGTCAGAAAACGGCTTCATATAGCCACATGGTTAAGCGGGTCAAAGTACAATAATACCCTTTGAGTTTGTGTGTATTTGTGATCACCGTTGGGGGTAAAACCGGGTATGACAACATTTGACCATTGGAAACATGACAGGGTGGTCCTATCACATCAAAGATATCACCAGATGATCTTTTCGTCACGTACTTTAAAACAAATATTTCTGATAGAGATAATCAGATAAACGAGTTCAAATGAATTTACACCTAATTTTTTCTATTAAAAACATAGAAATGAACAAAAACATATGGGTCAAGAGCTAAGTGTCCACTTGGAGACCTTTTCTGGAATAATATCATTCATTTTCATTACAAAAGAGGGTGTATCTAGACGGAATAGTGGCAAAAAGTGTTAGCTAAAATATACTGTTTGTTTCAGGAAAATTGAGTATAATTTTAGCTCCCAAGAAACATTGAAAAGTCTGAAGATGTAATGAAACTCACTATAATCAATCATCATAGGCGGCACAAAATATGATTCACGTTTAGATAAATTATGCTAAGAGCAGACTTTTGGATACTGTTCATTCAGACGTGATAAACTAGACTAACTAAGAATAATTAAACACTTTCTAGTTATACTTCTCTTTCATTAGATATCATTCTATCACGAATAGCACGTAGCATTGTATAATTTGTTTCTACTTATGGTTATTTTTAGTCAAATTTTTTCTGTTAACAAATTTCGATTTTGTATGTGGACAGGATACATTGTATATGGTCCATTAAGTTGAAAACATACAAAAAATCATTCTGTATGTTGTATATTACAACAAAACTAACCAGGTTCAATATGTTATTTTTGGATATAAAGGTTTGTGTACAATTTCAATCTAAGGAACCAAATACATTTTGTTTGTTCTGTTGATTTACAACATCCAAAAAAAGATGGCAAACTTTGTTGTGGGCTTTCAGTGCCCAATACTTTGAATGATAATAATAGGCCCAACTGTATCGGTTGAAAAATCTTCTTTCCCCTAGCAGAGTTCGTCTGATTTTTCGCTTACGATCAGATTCTCGTCTCTCATTGCTTCGAATAATCGAAGCAATTTCTCTCGAGGAAGGAACGATAAACATTCAACGAACAATCGGAGCGCTGAGGAGATAAAGAAGTATACTATCGGAGGTCGATCGGAGTTTAATTTCGATTCTGAGTTGGGGAAAAATATGGGGGATCATCTGATGAGAGCGGAGGATTTCGAGAAGAAAGCTGAGAAGAAGCTCAACGGCTGGGGATTATTCGGATCTAAGTATGAGGATGCTGCCGATCTGCTCGAGAAAGCTGCTAATTCCTACAAGCTTGCCAAATCATGTAAATTTCTTTTTCCTCCAGCCGACCTTATATGTGATTGATTTTCGTTTCATTTGATTGCTCGTGGATGTTTCCGGGCTCTGAGAAATTAATATGTATGAGGATTGAGGAAGACAATTGGAAAATGGAAACGTTTGGTCTTAGGTTATCGATTGCGGTGATCCGTCCATCGTCGTGTGAGAAGTAGAGTAGTATCTGTGTTGGTATAGGGCGTTTTTGATCTGTAAAGAAATTTTGAACTGATTGCAAATGAGAAAACTGAAAATCGTATAAACATCTTCTGAAACTAGTGGAGATTTAACTTTCAGATTGCTCGATTAGAGTTTTATAGGTTAATTTTTTTCCTGATTGTTGTTCGATGTTTCAACAGTATCTATCTCCTGCTTATGTGTTTTTATGTGACTGTTCAGGGGATCAAGCTGGAAAAGCTTATCTGAAACTCGCCGACTGTCACTTGAAGGTAAATAATTTGGCTGCAAACATGAAACTGGAAGAGTGTATTGATTTATTTTATATGATAACATTGCTCTGCAATTGCAGTCAGACAGCAAACACGATGCTGCTAACGCCTATGCCGAAGCTGCTAAATGCTACAAGAAAGTTGACACAAATGGTATGTCTACGCCACTGGAAAATTTTAAACCTTTGATCCAAAAGCTACTATTTTCAGTTGACATTTCAGTAATACAGAATTGATAGAAACTCCTGTGTTTTTTTCATTTCTTTATGCATGCGTATCATGTTCTGATACAACCATGATCTTATATGCAGAGGCTGCATCTTGCCTAGAGAGAGCAGTGAACATATTCTGCGAGATAGGAAGGCTAAACATGGCTGCCAGATATTACAAGGTACTATGTGTCTCTTTTGAGAGTGAGTTAGAGAATACACTCTAGTACGATACTGAGAAAATAGTTTTACTGGGGCTACTGTACTCCCTTTATTTCTCCTGATTCGTAAGATGAGTGCTGATTTGTGTTTTTTTTTGGTTTATGTACCAATAGTTGCTTTAACTGTTTTCTACTTTGGCAGGAAATTGCTGAGTATTATGAAGCCGATCAGAAGATCGACCAGGCTGTTACTTACTTTGAAAAGGCAGCTGAGTTCTTTCAAAATGAAGAAGTGACCACTTCTGCAAACCAGTGCAATCTCAAAGTCGCACAATATGCTGCCCAGTTGGAGAAGTAAGATTTTCTGCACCTTACCTTCTTTTTATGCTTTCTCTTCCTTTGGTACAGTGATAAGCTGAAACCTTGTTGAACTTTGGGAGAAATTGATTGATAACGGGCTTGTTGTATCTTTGATTTATAGATATGATAAGGCAATCAAGATTTATGAAGAAATAGCAAACCATTCGCTCAACAACAACTTGCTCAAGTATGGAGTTAAGGGCCACCTTCTCAATGCTGGCATGTGCCACCTATGCAAAGCCGATGTTGTTTCCATCACTAATGCGCTGGAGAAATATCAGGTTCTTCTTCTTTTTCCACATCAAACCCCCGTAACATCAGCATTCCGGTTGGACTTTGACATGATTCTAACTTCTACATTTCCGTTTCTGCAGGATTTGGATCCGACATTTACAGGAACACGAGAATGCAAGTTCTTAGGGGTAAGGGTTTAAACTGCGGTTGGTTTATGGTGATGAAAGGAGTATCTTTACAGAAAGTGTGTTATAATTTAACTTATTTATTCCCATGAGCAGGACCTTGCTGCTGCTATTGATGAAGAAGACATTGCAAACTTCACAGATGTTGTCAAGGAATTTGATAGCATGACTCCGCTGGTACTGACCATAACATCTCTCATACAAAGAGTTTGAATAGTGTTAAATTTGTCTGATCTTAATCATGGAAATGGTATATTGTTGCAGGATTCATGGAAGACAACCATGTTACTAAGGGTGAAGGAGAAGCTGAAGGCCAAGGAGCTTGAGGAGGATGATCTTACCTAAACATATTTGTCGGGAGCTTTGCTTATTGATTATTGCTGGTGTGTATCATCGTTTGTGTCCCGTTACTTCAAAGTTCGAGTCTTCGTTGATTTCATTGTGTTTGGTTTTGAGTTTTTAAGGTTTCTTAAGAGGTTTGGTCGAAACGGGTTTGTTTGATATCAGTCAACGTCTACATTTGTTCTCCGTGTCTCATCACATCATTTATGAGAACTTTTCAAGTCTATGGAAATTTGCTTCTACGTTCAAAGATTTGATCTTCAAATGTTTTTTTTGCATTGTTTTTTTTGAATTTATTTTTATTTATGTAATAAAATGTGTTTTCACTAAAATTTAAGCCAAACATGGATGGAATACGTTTGATCTTTTGCCTTTACTGATACGTAAACATGTGAAAAACTCTGATTTGGCACATTTTTGTGTTTTTTCTTCTCTAGCTGCACGTTTTCTGAAAGATAAATAACAATTTATGACAATGAATAATGCATGGACGTTACATTGAAAATTTTCGTACACATATCTTGAGAAATGAATACGTATACACCGATAAACAGAAAAAATGGACCAAAGAAAGACATTTGAGGACAAGATACTCTAACACCAATTCTCATTGTCATCGACCATAACAAGCAAAGCAATGATAAAAGCATAATCAACCTCTGGATTTACCCTCACCCTAAAATTATATTTCCCTTTGCAGAAACTTCCCCATGTAAACTTATGCGTCACCTGCAAACATCACCCACAAAACAGAAGAAAAATGTAACGATCAATTCAACAAAGCACTAATAAAGAAATGTTGTTTTATGATCATGAATGTGTTTTAAACTTTTTTACCCCTACCCCGGCGATGAGAGCATCCGATTTGAAAACTTTGAATGATATATTCGAGTAGCCACCAGAAGCATGAAAATCACAAGTAGTGCTCTTCTTGACATTATTGTTCTCAGGCAAGAAAACATCCACAGATGTTTTCAATGAAACCGCTTGAGATTGCTGTACCGTGAAGAGCAAGTCTTCTCTCTCTTTGCTCTCTCCTCCATGCACTTCCCATTTGTTCTTCAACGCAATCCCCTGAAAAAATACACACAAACATACAATGTCAAGAAAGATTTTTGTTGCATCAATGGTGGTTTAAAAAATATTGAATCTTTTTGTAACCTTTTGACGCATTGTGAGGATTGTGAAACCAGCTGGATCACGCATAATCCTTTTACGGTTAAACCCCCAAGCTTGTCCATCAATTTGCAGGAGAAGATTCCCGCTTGGATCAAACACTTGGTAATGATCTTTGGAGAAATTTTGAACTTTCCTCTTTACCATTAAATCCATTGGGTATGGATTACAGAATTGATCGCTCACTACGCTTATCGTGGGATCTCCTACTTGCCATTCTGTTTTCTTGTTCTTCGGCATTGATTCTATTTTGTAAAAACTCAAGAAGATGATTGAAAAAGATTATGAAAGGCTCTTTGCTTTAGAGCCCTTGATAATTCTCCTTCTGATGAAGAATTATCAAAAACTGTTTTCACATTCTTTTTAGCAATAATATATCAAGATTTTCACTTGCTCTGGCTGTTAAACCAGAGTTTTAATCTCAACCTTAGAATTTTTAAACCCATAAATAAACTTACTTTTTAGATTTAGAATTAAAACGACTAAACAAGTGCTATTTTCAGGTCCACAGAAATATTCTCAATTGCCAATTGTATTATCAATACACAAAACATTTACAGAGAGCTCTTATAGTTACAACAACATATCATAGGTTTTACAAATCACAATAATCTTTAATCAAATTATATTGTTATTTTTGTTATATATCGAACTTGATATGTAAATAGAAGAGAAGGTATCAGTTTCCCCCACGTTTGTTCTTTCTCCACTCCCATGGCTTCTCTGGATTTGAAGATGACCACAAGCCAATACGCTTATGCCTAGCCTCATTTTCCCACTGATTTCAAAAACACACAAAAAAATTGTTAACAAAATCAGAAATACTAACTCAAATATACTAAAGACACTTAGGGTTTAAAAATATCATGCCTTTGAAAGCTCTGCACGCTTGTCGTAGGCTACATAATGCCAAGCAAGACCTTTCTTTAACATTACTTCTTGTACAAATTTTCCATTGCAATAAATATCTCCTACACATCTTCCATAACGATCCTCTGTATATACTAACACCTTCAAGATTTTTCCTTCGACCATCTTGAGTAGCTCATCGTGTGCCTCTTTTCCAAAAGGCATTTTACTTTCCGGTGAATCAATTCCCCTGTTTTCGTTTCATATCCAAAGTTGTTCTTAGAACCCCTGAAATATCTTTGATTCAAGAGATTTAAGATTCATAGAAGTTCTTTTACCTTAGTCTAATTCTGAATTTTTTAGCAAGCACTTCCTCATCCTGAAAATTTATCATCCTAAGCACAAGATTAAAAAAAAGGTCAGATGAATATTATAAATTTCATAGCTCAGTGATCTTCTTGTGAAGTGTATATCAGAAACAAAAACCTGTAACCAGAAGCTACGATCTTCTTATGGAGTGCATCTGCTTCTGTATAGTTCTTCTTCTGGCGTGCTTTGGCTCTTTTAACCACTGCAAGACTCACTTCCTTAGGAACAGAAGATGACACAATCGGGTCTTTGCTGCTAACATACACAGTAACTGTATCCCCATCTGCCACAGATTTTTGATCCACCTTATTTCAATTAGCACAATTTATTGATTAGCAACATAATTAATCATCATGCATAAACTATCTAACATTTCGAAGGGATTCATAAGTTTTCTAACCGGAAGCGTATTAAGCTCAAATTTAACTCCTTCAGGTATAGACACAGGAGACTGATTAGTAGGTACTTCATCGAGCTCATGAGACGAAGGTAGTCTATAGAAAGACAAAAGCCCCTGACAATGTCCACAAACAAATCAATTACACCAAAATTAACCAATAGTTTTTCCAAACTTATAAATGTTTTCACAACTTGAAACGTTATTCATACCTCAACATCGGCTTTCTTATGCCCTTTTAGAGTCGTGATAACAAGCCTTGCGGCTTCATCAGCAGTCTGAGGCCGAGGCTTTGATTGCTTCCATGCCTCAAGTATTTTTCCATACCTTAAAAAATATTTTGGAATATACCAAGGCAAATTTAAAATCTGAAAAAAATACAATAAGAAAGATGTAGGACGATCTGTGTATTGCTTTCTTTACCAGTTAGCTTGAGCCTTCTTGGAAGACACAACGTAACTTCCAAGCCCTTCAGGAACCTAGGAATAAAGAATATTAAAAAGTTATGATCACTTTCTTAAGAATTTTGAAGAAAAAAAAACATTTTAAACTTGTGAATTGTTATTGATTCTGCTTAAGAGACAAAGGTAACTAATCACACAATTCACTTGGAAGTAATTTTCAAAACAGAATGAAGAGAGAGACCTGAGAAGTGGTCTCGAAGTGGAAGAGATCACGGGAAAGAGCTGAAACGCCGGCGGTTGAACCGAAGACGCCGTGAGGCTTATCGTCCGTGGTCGGATTTAGGCATTTCCGGTAGAGTAACCTAATCGCGTTACCCATTGGTTTTCGATTCGATTTCTTAAAACAGAGAGAGAAAAGGAAGAAAGAGTTTTGATCTTTCTTCCTTTCTGGTATGGAAAGTCTTTGGTCGTTTTTCCTGGCAGAGAGGTTGTTTGGTTAACAAGCGAAATCATACGTGGCAGCCTTTTATTGGATGAGAAGCTAAAAACGATCGTCTTTATATTTCTAGCTAAAAAGTAGATAGTGGTTGCCTTGTCGTGATCAGATTCGATGAGATGTTTAATGTAAGCAATCTTAACGACGCATCGAGTGTTCCCATTGCTTATTTTCTCGACTCAGTTTTTTGTTTTTCAATTTGATTTCTAAAAATTCATTTTCAGTATTTAGGTTACCCAAACAAAAACAATTTCATTTTTGTTACATAGTAAACTAAACCTAGTTGTGAGACAGAAAAAGAAAGTAAATTAAGTATTTGCACATTAACGATTCCAAAAACCAACTTAACATGCATGGATCCACAAATTGTGGGAATAAACATAACTTGTAAGGAAGATTTGCAGAATTAAACTTGAAGAGGATGTGCTAAACAATATAGCGCGTAATGTCAACTCTAGGACATGGCTACATTTATTGACGCCGGTGAATGTAACCATTTACACTCTTAGCAATTTACGATTTAACGGAAGAATAGAGAAATGCAGAATTGTATTACAAGATGTGAGTATTGATATAACAAATGATTATTGATAAAAAATTAAGGTCATAAACTTACAGTTAATCTCTTAATACCTTGCGATTAAATAAAAGTGCATAATTTTTTAACAAAGAAAATATATAACCGTGCAGAATTGCAAAGGTTTACTTAATACATTGGGAACACATGGCGTTTTCTGATTTATACAGTAATAAGTTTTTAATATAGCTAAAAAATGTAAGACCAAAAAATGTTGGGGGACTTAATTTGTAACATAATTTTGTTTTGGGTAATTTTATGTGAACAAAATAATTACATGGTTTATTTTGAAAATTTGAAAGAATTGACCAGATTGGTTTTACTTGTTTCGTGGCAAACATTGCTACTGGATTTGGGGAAACACAATCTCAAAGATTCTTTCGATTGTTTGCCAATATCAGTGATCTGCCCACTCATATGTGCCAAATTGTTCTGTCATTCATACCAATCACAGAGGCTGCGATCACTTCCTCTTTCTTGAAAGCTTTGTTCTGGATGTTCTGTGCATGTTTTGTGTATGTTCATCTTCCGAATCTGAAGAGGCTATGGGTTGATAATGCGGACTTTGGAGAGAGTGGCGAATGGTTTTACAACCTTGTCTCTAGACTGTCCGATAATTGAGGAGTTAATTATGGAAGATATTGAGTGATACACTTGGATTCTCTTGTTGGAGCAAAAATTCTTCTCCACATGAGAGATGAGGAGAACAATGACAATGAAGAGAGGGAGAGGTGAACAATGAGGATGCTTCAGCTTTGATTGTGGGGATAAAAAACGTGAGCCTCTTCTTGCATACACTTGAGGTAAACATTAAATACCAGATTGTTGTTTCTGTTTTGTGATGTATTCTGATCTTGTTGAAATGACAGGTGCTGACATTCCGATGTGAAGAGTTGCTGGTATTTGAACACCTCTCTCAGCTAGAAATTGAGAGCAACCTTCACGTAGGGTGGAATTCGTTGCCGAATCTGCTGAGCCATTGTCCACTTCTACATACCCTCATCTTCCGGGGTAATTAACCAAGCTCACTTAAATTTTCCAAAGATATGCAAAAACACATTCAGATAACTTGTATCTCCATTGTCCACTTTATCATTGATTTTAGGGACTTGTCCATGAGGCTAGAGAAACATGTGGGGACGTATGCCGGTGCAACGATTTGGGGAAAATCCTTCTTGCCTAGGGGCGTGTCCGGTGAAGGTGCTAAAGTGTTTGAGCTTGGTCATGAGGTCATGCATTTCTTGGTGAAGATGCCTCATCTTGAGAGACTCGTGCTGATCTGCGATGCATCACTTGGCAATGATGCTCCGGCTCAACTATCCACTGCAGTTTGCGGGATGGGATCCAGACAAAGCTTCACCCATGTGCCTAACCCAAGTTATCGGTGATAACCAATAGATGCTTATATCAATCTCTACTAGACTAATACTAGTCTACTAGACTAATACTAGTCTACAAAAAAAGTGCACAACTTCAAAGCTTTACTTAAACAAATCGGGAACACGTGGCGTTTTCTGATTCACAAGAATAAATTTATATGTAGCGAGAATGGTTTTAGTATAGCTAAAAAAATGTAAGGCAAAAAAAGCCTATAGCCACAACAATCTTGACCACTTGACCAATTGACCTTTCAATTTATCGAAACAGAGTAACAGTGTCAGCTGGTAGTGAGCTAATTCGATTTCGGCAGCCATGCTTTGACTATCATCTTCATTCTCTACCACCGCTCTTCTGCTCGCTATTGATTCTAAATCCCATGGCGGCGACGATAGCTACTATCCTGGCTTCAACCCGAAATCCCTTTCTCTGCCTCCGCGAACAACCGTCTGTGAGAAGTCGCTATCTAGACCCCTGTCGCAGCCGATGGATTCCCAGATCCATTCGAGCATGCCTACCTTCCGACAAGGTCTCTGTCGCTGTCCCTTCGATTTATTCTATCCCCTGCCTTTGCTCATAGTTGCCTGTCCAAAGTTCGTGAGCCCTTGGTGTATGGTCGTGTCTCCTGTTAATTAACCGTTTTGTCTCGTTTGGAGATTTTTGCTTTGTTGACAGGTAGGTGGTGAAGGAGGCATTTCAGCTTCAGCTAAAAGATTACATTTTGGAAAGGAATTTCTGAGTTTTGCTTCAGATAATTTCTTGCCTTTAGGTAGATTACACTCTGCTCTTTCCATTTTTTTCCAGTTTTCCACTTGGTTTACAAAAAAAAAATGAAGGTGGGGTGAATGTTTGTCACTAGACCATCAAAATGTCTGATCAGAAGACAGAAGCTAATTGATTGCATCAAAATTCAAATTTTCCATGAAGCATGTAACTATCATTTTCTTCTCAATATATAATTGCTTAGCACTTCAATGTGATAGTTTATCTGACCTCTGTAATGTTTCCTGTACATTTCTCTATGATATGATTGATTTTGCTTAAGCGTGGTTTCTTAGGCCAATTGTTCTGGAGAACTTCTTTGTTGCCTAGTCATATCTATATAAAAGTAGAACAACAATGCTTGGTGTACTCTTTACTTTGTTACTTTTGAGATTTTAATCAGAAGTTGTGGCTGTGTTGGTTACTGTTTGCAGCTCTTGTTAGTGGAGTGGGGCTGGGATTTGCAAACCCATCTCTTGGCTGTCTTGCAGACAAATACTCTCTTTCAAGGTTCAGCACTTGTGGGATATTTATCATATCAGGTGATTCTATCATTCTATGGCATAAGCGTGCAATTGTTTTGTTCTTCACGAGTTCGAAGCTAATCCATTGTGTACCCCTTTCTCTGTACTGTGGAACAGGCTTGACTTTACGTACTGAAGCTATTGGCGCTGCTGTAAAAGGATGGCGACTCGGAGTCTTTGGGCTAGTATGTTCTTCACTCGTTTTTCTTTTTGAATTTCTGTTGGTTAAACTGCATACTGAAGCCCAAACTACTCCTGCTTTTTTTTTTTTTTTTTTTCAGGTCTCTATTTTGTTGCTCACTCCATCCTTCTCAAGGCTAATTATGCTGGTCCAACTCCAACCCCGGGAACTTGTTACAGGTCACTCTGTCTCTTGCTTGCACTTAAAGTGATTCCAAAGATCATGTTCTTTCCTCAAGTTGTTACTAATAGTACATCTATAGTTTTACTTAAATTGTATCTGGCTTGATAACTAGCCACCAGTTCTATATATCTAATTTTTGTAATTGCTGAGCAAATATAAGTGATCAAGTAGTGGACGAAAGAGCTACCTTTGTGATTGTGTTTCCAACAGCTCCATATTGATGTTTTGTTTGAATCTTGATTTCGTTCCTTACATTTATTCAATTTCTGGTTTAGAGTTGTTGGAAGGAAAGCATTACTTGGATAATGATGAAGCAACTTGATTAGTTATTGCTCTCTTGATACTTTATCCCTCAGTTTCCAGCTCTGTTAATTGACGATCAATAGGGATTTAAGGCTCTAATACATATTTGTGTCCTCATATTATTCACAGGGCTGGCTATATTTTGCTGTATGCCAACCACCTTATCAAGTGGTGTTGCCCTCACTCACGTACTCAGTTTCATATATGACTAATCAATATTTTGTGCTTAATTGTTTAAGCTTGTGTGCTTTACTGACACTTATCAAATTGCCGATTCAGCTTGCTGGTGGCAATTCTGCTCTTGCTCTTGCGGTCACAGTTACATCCAACTTATTAGGAATTCTAACTGTAAGTTTAACCTCTTACATTTTAATTGTTCTCCCTTTGAAAGTAAAATTTGATAAGTTAATAATAGTTGACCTCTTTATCAGATTCCATTTTGGGTATCAAGATACGTAGCTGGGGGAGTAGGGATTTCTTTTCCTACTGACCAACTATTCAGAAGTCTTGTAGTTACTCTGTTAATTCCTTTAATCATTGGCAAGGTGAGACAATCTTTCTTTTTGCTTAGTTTTCTTCCTCTTAATAAAGTATGTGGTTAACCTCTCATTAAGAACATCTTGGATGTGATTGGTTGCTTTCCCTGATGTTTAAATGAACTTTTCATAAACAGTCAAGTTCTATCACTGACCATTTTTCAAAGCGTTATTAAAAGCTGGGGTTTGACATATTTGTGTTTTCTTTGCTACAGGTTGTTCGAGAATCATTCAAAGGTGAGTGTCATTTGTTATCTTTTCCTTTTCCAGTGAAAATAATCGAATATAAAAACATTATGGTTATCATCTTGCATGTGTTTAAATGGTGATAGAGATAAGTGGGTGTAACATAAACCATATAAAGTAGTTTTAGAGCAGCCACTTTATGGTGACATTGGATCAGAATGATTAATCTCTTGTTGAAATGTGTGATACAGGTTTCGCAAACTTTGTTGACAGTAACCGTAAACTCTTTTCGAAAATCAACGCAATCTGCCTCAGCTTGGTAAGTTATGAACTGTTAGTCTTCCATAGTTTCCAAGCCCTTGAAATTTCACCGTCGTTAGTCTCCAATCTGCCTCAGCTTGGAGAAGTTAATAGTATTTTATCTGATGAAACCATTGTAGGTACCATGGATCCAAGTTAGCAGGTCAAGATCACTGCTACTATCCGTTGAGCCAAAGGTTTTTCTTGCCGCCGTAGGCATTGGAATGTATGCATTCTTCTTTAACATATAGAAAAAGATGCTAAAGTGAAGAATCACATGGAAACATTTGGGGATTGACATGATTATAAACGTTTCTTACAGATTGCTGCATCTTTCTCTACTAGCATTCAATGCTGTTTCGATCAGCATCCTCTTAGCTGTTTCAGGTGATGGCAGTAAGAAGAACTCCAAGGGAAATGCCACTGCAGTCTTGCTCGTTGCAAGCCAGGTAATAATAAAGTTTTGCATTTAGCTCCAGTTTCAATCTTATAATTTGAAAGTCATGGCTCGGTTTTTGTTTTCTTATTCCGTGCCATAGAAAACATTACCGGTAATGGTGGCGGTGGTGGAACAGTTACGAGGTGCATTTGGTGAAACAGGGCTCTTGGTTCTTCCTTGTGTAGCTGCACACCTGAACCAGGTTGATACATTATAGATACTTGTATTGTGTTGTGTCTTCTTATTACCATTGACATGTATTTTCTCGGAATGTGTAGATCATGATCGATTCCATACTTGTCAACTTATGGCTCCGGAAGCGTGATATGACTTCGACTGATGTAAAGACAGCCTGAGAGAGAGAGGGATAGAAGCAATGAAACCAAAGTTGTGGAGAAGATTACGTCTTAAACACATTCAGTTTTAGATGATTATTGATAATCTCTCTGAATGCTTGAGTCATGCCCATGTAGTCAAAGTTGTTTTAGGTGTTTACTGGTCCATTTGTATGATTTTGACAATGTAAAAATATCTTGTAGAGCTACTGGTTATTATAAGACTTTTGTGATAGAAAATGTCTAATTGAAAACATCAAATAATTTACTTTTACGACAAACCATCGATAACCATCACTGGTTCTATGTCAATTAGTCATTCCTTGGCATAAAATACCAAACCGAACGGTTTTCAGCAGATTTCAATTACGTCGGTTTGGTTTTGGAAATAGATAACCGACCTTTTCCTTTTTTTTTGCTCTTGACTAAAATAAAATAGAGAAACCCTAATTGTTATCTCGACCTTCTTCGGTTGAAACTTTCGACGGCGACTCTATCTCTATCTTCTCCGCATCTTTGTTCGTGATTGTTAACCATCTCCGAGCTTTTTCATCTCCATCGTTTCAAATCAAGGTGATTTCTAGCTTTAACTTCTGTTTCAGTGATCATTATCTGGGTTAGCTATTGAATTTTGGCAAAGTGTCCTTCTTTTCTTATGAATACCTCCGCACAAAACGAAATTTCGAAGCTTGTAGTTGTTGTGTTAGGTTTTGGAATATATCTATCTATTTAGAGCACAAACGTTGAATTGTAGCTAATGTAAACACATACGAATCTGCCTGTGTCGATGAGTCGTTCAGTTTTCTTGTTCAATCTGAATTAATACAGTTGTTTTTTCTTTTTCTTTCAAAGCAAGTGTTATTGAATTGAATTAATTTTGTTTTCAATTCCTCTTCATCTGGCTGTATCTTTCCTTTGGATATGGTGTGATTTTTATTCAGCTTGCTTACTTTTTGGTGTATCAGGTTACATCAAGCTCTCTTGTCAACGAAGATGAATTCTCGTTTTTTCGCTCAGGTTTGCTTCATTACACTTGTTTAATTATCGAAACATGTTTTGCCATAGGCTTTTAAATCTCCTGCTTGGTTCAGTTTCTTTAATGAATTGCTTGCTATGTTCACAGGGTGGAAGTGAAAGTGATACTGATACTGATATTGAAGATCCTGTCATCGAGGTTCAGAATACCGACGTCAATAACCGTTACCTTCAAGATGGCAGTGACGAGGAGGATGAGACGGATACTAAACGTGTCGTTAAGGCAACCAAAGACAAGCGTTTTGAGGAGATGACCGACACTGTGGAGAGGATGAAGAACGCCATGAAGATCAATGATTGGGTTAGCCTGCAAGAAAACTTTGACAAGGTCAACAAGCAGCTTGAGAAAGTTATGAGGATTACAGAGGCTGTGAAGGCTCCGACCTTGTACATCAAAACCCTTGTGATGTTGGAGGATTTCTTGAATGAAGCTCTGGCGAATAAGGAAGCTAAGAAGAAGATGAGCCCTAGTAACTCCAAGGCGTTGAACTCAATGAGACAGAAACTGAAGAAGAACAATAAGCTGTACGAAGAAGATATCGTTAAATATAGGGAGTCTCCAGAAGTTGAGGATGAGAATGAACCAGAAGAGGAGGACGAAGAAGAGGACGATGAGGATGACTCTGAGGACGATGTTGTCATAGAGCCTGGGTCTGAAGACGAGGTGGATGGACCTGCTGATAACCGCTGGGAGAAGATACTAAACCCAAAAGATAAGCTTATGGAGAAGCTGCTTAACAAAGATCCTAAAGAGATAACTTGGGATTGGGTCAACAAGAAGTTCAAAGAAATTGTGGCTGCTCGTGGGAGGAAAGGAACTGCACGATTTGAGCTAGTGGATCAGCTTACGCACTTGACAAAGATTGCCAAGACTCCTGCGCAGAAGCTTGAAATCTTGTTTACCGTTATTTCAGCACAATTTGACGTGAATCCAGGTCTCAGCGGACACATGCCTATCAATGTTTGGAAGAAATGTGTGCTGAACATGCTCACCATACTGGACATTCTTGTCAAGTACAACAACATTGTTGTGGAGGACACAATTGAACCTGATGAGAATGAAACTTCAAAGCCAGCAGACTATGATGGTACAGTTCGGGTATGGGGAAATTTGGTTGCGTTCATAGAGAGGATTGACACTGAGTTTTTCAAGAGTTTGCAGTCTATTGATCCTCACACCCGTGAGTATGTTGAGAGATTGAGGGATGAGCCCATGTTCTTGGTCCTTGCTCAGAACATTCAAGACTATTTGGAGCGGATGGGTGATTTTAAAGCTGCTGCAAAGGTAGCCTTGAGACGAGTTGAGTCAATATATTACAAGCCGCAGGAAGTTTATGATGCTATGAGGAAATTGGCTGAGTTGGTTGAGGAAGATGAAGAAGCGGAGGTGGCCGAAGAGGAAAATGGACCTACTTCTTCATTCATTGTTGTTCCAGAGGTTGTTCCCCGTAAGCCTACCTTCCCAGAGAGCGGCCGAGCAATGATGGATGTTCTTGTGTCCCTAATCTACAGAAATGGAGATGAGCGGACCAAAGCTCGTGCAATGCTATGTGATATCTATCACCATGCTTTGATGGACAACTTTGTGACTGCTAGAGATTTGTTGCTGATGAGTCATCTCCAAGACAACATTCAGCACATGGACATCTCAACTCAAATCCTCTTTAACAGGACCATGGCACAGCTTGGTCTTTGTGCCTTCCGTGTTGGAATGATCAATGAGGCTCATAGCTGCCTCGCCGAGCTGTATTCTGGTCAAAGAGTGAGGGAGTTGCTTGCTCAAGGTGTCTCGCAAAGTCGTTATCATGAGAAGACACCAGAACAGGTAATTACTTATATTCTGTTTTTTTTTCATCATATATTTCCGACTGAAACAGATTTGAGTATGAAAACTATTCAGTTGAGCTTAACGTACATATATAATTATGTTGCGTTTGAGGTCTCTATTTTGTTATCTTTTCATACAATCTAGTCCTCTATTTCAACATGTATGCTTATGGTTATGACGTTACGTTCAGTTTTATTTTATTTTGATAAATTGTACTATTGATTTATACAGGAAAGGATGGAGAGGAGAAGACAAATGCCGTACCACATGCACTTAAACCTCGAGCTCCTAGAGGCTGTTCACCTAATCTGTGCCATGCTACTTGAAGTCCCAAACATGGCAGCAAACTCTCTTGAATCAAGACGCAGAGTTATTAGCAAGAATTTCCGTCGCCTGCTTGAGATCAGTGAGAGGCAAGCGTTCACTGCACCGCCTGAGAATGTACGTGATCACGTCATGGCAGCCACAAGAGCCCTGACCAAAGGGGATTTCCAAAAGGCGTTTGAAGTTTTGAACTCTCTTGAAGTCTGGAGACTGCTCAAGAACCGGGACAGCATCCTCGAGATGGTGAAAGCTAGGATCAAAGAAGAGGCTCTAAGGACTTACCTGTTCACATATTCAAGCTCCTACGAGTCCCTAAGCCTTGATCAGTTGGCCAAAATGTTTGATGTCTCTGAAGCACTGGTTCACAGCATTGTGAGCAAGATGATGATCAATGAGGAGCTTCATGCAAGCTGGGACCAGCCAACACAATGCATTGTCTTCCATGAAGTGCAACACAGCAGATTACAATCATTGGCTTTTCAGTTAACTGAGAAACTCTCGGTTTTGGCTGAAAGCAATGAAAGGGCAATGGAATCTAGAACCGGTGGAGGTGGTCTTGATCTGAGTTCAAGGAGAAGGGACAACAATCAGGACTATGCAGGAGCAGCATCTGGCGGTGGGAAATGGCAGGACAACATGAATTATGGACAAGGAAGACAAGGTAACAGATCTGGTTATGGTGGAGGAAGAGGGCAGCATGGTCAGTCTAGAGACTGGTCAGGGCAGAACCGAGGAGGGTATGCAGGAAGAGTTAATTCAGGAAACAGAGGTGGTATGCAAGTGGATGGCTCAAGCCGTATGGTAAGTCTGAACCGAGGTGTTCGTGCTTAAAGATGATGACCAGAACAGACTGTGTGTTGCTTACTTTAGCCTCTACTAAGACCTTTTGTTATGTTTTTTGGTTTTTTGTTTATCGTGGGTTGAACCTTTGGATCCTATTTCCTTCACAACAATTTGTTTGAAAACTTATATTGCTTGATTCTCTGGAAATGATTAGAGCTATACATTGGCTAGTTTTCTCAGTTTTCTGTAGCTGAAGTAGGGAAGATCTTGTTTCGATTCTTGTTTCAGCGATTCATTGAATTAATTTCTTGCCTTTAGGTAAACTCTGCTAAAAGAATCATCTTTTCTTTCCTCTGCAGCCACAAATGTAACAAACAATCTGTGTTTCTCTACTCTAACCGAACACACTCTTGATGTTGTCTACTACTATTTTCCTGATCAAATCAAAAGCTCACTGTATTTCTACCCAATCTCAATTTAAGAGTAGCAACACAATACAATACATTATTATACAAGAACAACATTATAACATATGGCTCCAACAAAGAACTATCCATAAAAGAAAGAGGAACGTTTTAACACAATAACCATATATATATAAGAAAAACTATGTGCATTTTTAACATTGTCTGTAGTACCTATTTCAACCTATTATGTGCTTCAGATAAGAACCTGAGCGCATCTTCCATACAGGGACGGTCAGACTCGTTACTTGTTACGCAGAGAAGTGCAACCTCAACAGTTCGTTTCACTTCTCCTTGTTCATAACTACTCGAACTCACTTTGTTTTCTGCGTATACTTCTCGTAGGAGAACATCCTTTGGCTTGTTATCTACCAATCTGCCTGCATTCCTCAGCTTCCCATTTGTTAAGATCTCCAAAACAAGCTCTCCAAAGTTGTATATGTCCGTTTGCTGCTCCTCTCTTATCACATCGTTCATCTGATCTGCTTTCAGAGAGTTCAATGTTAGAAGCAACACCAAATGGTTAGAAGTACAGTACCTGTGTTTTCATGGTTAGAAGTACAGTACCTGTGTTTGCAGTTGAAGAGACCAAGCCTTTGCTCAAATGCAGCATGTATTTGAAACCAAATTCACCCAAGCAAGGTTCCATGTTATCATCATCGAATAAAACATTAGTCGACTTCACATCTCCATGTGGAATTGCAGGGTAACATTCATGGTGAAGGAAGCAAAGCCCTTTTGCAACTCCACTGATGATCCTCTTCTTAGTTTCCCAATCTCTCTTCTTCGTCTTCATCTTCTCAGCCAGAGTCGTCCCGGTATGCAAGTTATTATCATACAACACATACGCAAGATGATTGTTGTAACAAAAACCAAGCAACCTGACCAGATTCACATGTCTTGCATTCCCCATCTGCGTTAGAACTTTCAACACAACACTCTTCTTCTTCCCTTGAAGTTCGATTTTCCTCACTATGACTGTTATTCCTGTTGGCAGAACTGTTTTGCAGGGTGAGGCAGTAGGTTCTTGTGAATCAAAACTCCTCAAAACATCATCAGCTGTGAAATGAGGGAGTCCTGCAAAAGACACCATCTTCCATTGACCTTGACTTCTCTGACGAACATAGTACAACCCCAAAGTTCCAGCTGCAATTAGTACAAGAAACACTAGACAAGCTACAAGAACAGACACAAGTTTCCTTGAGCTTGTGTAAGCTTCACATGGCTTCAGAGGAAGTCCACACAGGTTTGGATTCCCCTCATATGCATGTTTCCCCATTGACTGAAACACTCTCTCAGATGGGATGGAACCACTCAAGTTATTGTCTGACAAATCCATCTTCTGAAGAGACCGGCAAGCAGAAACAGTTGGTGTTAAACTCCCTGACATGCTGTTGTTACTCAGCTCAATAACAGTGATGGACTTGCATGATTCAAACTCAGGGAGAGCTCCGGAGATACTGCAGGAGGAAGCAGAGAAGTTGTGAAGACGCGGCGCAGACCAAATCTTTAATGGAAGTCTGCCTCCAAGGTGAGGGTTATTGGAGATATTGAAGTATTCAAGCTTTGTAGCTTTGGATATATCTTGAGGAATGCCTCCAGTGAGTTTGTTTCTTGAAAGGTCTATGTAAGAGATATCAGGAAGCTCTGTGAAGCTAAAAGGGATCACACCTGAGAAGGAGTTATCTTCAAGCCGGATACGAACAAGCGTGGAGCAGTTTGAGAGAGATGGAGACAGAGTTCCAGTGAAGTTATTGGAGAAGAGCATGAGCTTGAAGAGAACACCTCTTGAGCAAATACCTTCAGGGATCTCTCCTTGGAAACTGTTGGTGGACACATCAACCCATCTGAGCTTTGACTTAGTCCCCAAGGTTCTTGGAAGTGAGCCAGTGAAGTAATTGTTCCATATGAAGAGAGTGTCCAAAGAAGGAAGCTGAGCAATTCCTTCAGGGAGAGTCCCACTCAGCTCATTGTACATAAGACTCAACAGCTTGAGATTCTTCAAACCTGAGAAGCTCTCCGGTATGGCTCCGGAGAGGTTGTTGTCTGAGAGGTCCAAGTTCACAAGAGAAGTGATTTCTCCGAGCTCCCATGGGATTTCTCCGGAGAGATGGTTTCTAAAGAGGAACAGAGATTCAAGCTTTGTCAAATTGCTGAAATGCTTTGGCAAGAAGCCGGAGAGATTGGCTCCGGCGATGTCTAGGTACTTGAGCTCACTCATGTAACCGATTTGCCAAGGGATTGATCCTTGGTACGAGTTGTAACCAATCTCCATGTGAGTCACAGTTTTCAAGTTCCCAAGCTCTTGTGGTATGTGTCCGCTGAGTAAGTTTCCTCCAAGATGAAGAAACTCGAGATTCTTGAAAGATCCGTATTGACTCGGGATTGGTCCGGTGAAGTAGCTTCCGGCGAGATTGAGTACTTTGAGATTCTCTAACTGAGGGAGATCGATTGGTAAGGAGCCGGAGAAGCTGTTGCTCAAGGCGTCGAGCTGGATTAGGTTCTTGAGCGATGAGACACCGTCTGGGAAACGGCCGGAGAAGTTGTTTTTGCTTATGTCGAGGGTTATGAGAGTGGTGATGTTGAAGATGTCTGGAGGAAACTCGCCGGAGAAGGAGTTGTCGCTGATGTTGAGCTCGAGGAGGTCGGTGAAGGTTGTGAACTGGTTGGTTGGGAAAGTTCCGGCGAGTTTTTTGGAAGAGAGGTTGAGGGAGATAACGGAGGTGGAGTTTCGGTTGCATCGGACACCGGACCAGGAACAACATGCGACTAGGTTGGTGTCGGAAATTCCGGGAGTGGTGATGAGGAACCAGTCTTTCAAGGTGTTGGAATTGTCGGTGAGTTGTGATTTTAAGGTGAGAAGGGACTCTGTTTGAGGGTCAGCTGATTCTGCTTCTGCCATTGAAGCGAGGAAGAGGAAGAGGAAGAGGAAGAGATGAAAGTAAGCGCAGAGTTTACGCTTAGACTCCATTGGAGTTGGAAGAGGAATAAGGAGAAGAGAGAGAGAGAAAGAGATCTGTGAGGAAACAAAAGCGAAAGATAAAGAAAGAAGATCACATAGATGAAGAATCTGACAGTGGAAGAAGAGAGGCGAAAAGAAAGAGATTTATGGGGAAGTGAGCTCTTTTGTGAAAAGCTGGGCGCATTGATTGGTCTAAAAGTGAAACATTATTAATTAGTTTCTTACTTTCTTTGATTGAGAAACAAAAGGCTCAAATGGTTCTCTTTCTCTTCTGAAGATTTAAAATTATTAATGGTGAGGTCGGAGGTTTTCTTTTTCTTAATCTCACATTTGAATCAGAAACTCTGTTTGGTTATTGCACCAAAAAAAAAACTCTGTTTGGTTAATTATTCCGAGGGACAAGAATCTACAAAAGAATTAAAGAACCCAGCAATATTCCTAATTCTAGCATGACGATGATGGAGTTCAGACTTCAGACAGTACTTTTGTCTGTTTTGAGAGATTTGTGCAAAGTCCTCAAAAACATTTCTGATATCTGGTTAGGTGCGATTCCATTTATTTATTTCAAAAAGTGAATAATCGTGAGTTTGAGCAGCAAAGTAAATAATCGTTATCTTTCAAAGCCGTAGACTGATTCAGTCTTTGATCTGCACTTTAATGTCCTCAACAAAGCAGAAACATCCTGTGAGAAAAGCTCTTCTTCTGCAAGTAAAAGGATATGAATTTGTCATACAATCAAAATGATGCTTCTTGAGGTTCATATGTGTATTGGAACAGAACAGATGGACAACATTTGTTAAAAATGTACTTGGGAAAATGAACGTTTATCCAACTGGTTTGTGCACACCATCCATTGCTACATCATTACATGATACTTTACAAGAATATGACAAGACTAGGTACCAAAATTTCATTTCGAGAGAAAATAAAAGAGAAGCAATCGACTCATAGGATCCTATGGTAGATCAGCAGGACTAAAGTATAATAAAAAAAAAGAAACTATATTTAAACCATCACTATTTCCAAGAAGCACAGATACAAACACAAAACTTTACAAAAATTGTGCAATTATGCTCATTTCAACGATCTAAAAGCTTTTGGAAAACAGCTATTAATCGATAACTAGTGGGGTAACCTCAACAGTGTCATTGATTATCGAGCTTGTCAATACTTTCCTCTTCCGTAGCTTTACTCTCCACCGTAGTAGATTCTTCCAACGGCTCCGTAATTTCCTCAGAGGCTAGGATGCTTTTCTGAGTCTGTAGACCCGTAGAGCGCGCAAGATCAATCCATTGCTGCAACATTTTCATGAAAAAATGGGATCAAGAGGATTTAAACTTCCAAAAATAAACAACAGAAAAGCACGAGGAAACCAAAATACAGGCATGTAACTCTGACCTGTGTTCCAAAATATGAGTTAAGTGTCCTCACAACAAATGAAATCACATTTACAAGTAGAGGTTGAGAAGAAAGCTCATCAGATATGCGATGCTCTATTAATCCAGCAATTATCTGCATTTCAAGACGCTTTGACGTTAAGAGGCATAAATCAAATCGTAAGAAGAGGATGTTACATATATACACCATCATACCTGGTAACGAAGATTTGCAGATGTTCCCAGAAAACCTCCATAAACCATTGCCGTCTTCAGAAGAGGAGATCTCTTAGGTTTCTGAGCAACAACCAGCTCTGGTTTAATGAATTTTCTAACAGCATTCAATGCATTTGAAGCTCCCACAGCTGCGAAACTGGAAACGACTCCAACGCCAGCAAGCTTCAAGCCACCAACAACAACTGCAGCAACTCTAAGATTCAGCGTCCAATCTCTTCCAGCGAGACTTTTCTGAAACGCATTGTCAGGTATGGATCCTAGGAGGCTTCTCAGGGCGTCTATGCTGTCTGGTCCAGTGGTCTCATCAGCATATGAGAGAAAAGACAAGGTCGGTGCAGGAAGCCAAACTGTGAAGAAATCAACAACTGATCCTCTCACTGTATCCGTTATAACATAGTCGATTTCTTCAAAGAAATTCTCTTTTCTCTTCTCATATTGTGCTAGAAGTGTGGTTGTTATTGATATCGCCTCTTCAATAGCTAACCTATTCAGGAATTTCGGATCAGCCAACAACCTTTCTCTGAAACCCTGTATAACAGATTCACAGTGAATCATCTTAACTGAAATAGGACATGTGGTGTTGATGGACTGATATTCAACTATGCAAGCTCTACAATATTATAGAGCACAACAGATATGCAAAAATCTAACAAAAGAAATATCATCCAGAATGGATATACCTGGAACCGCTGAGCAAGCTCAGAAATAAGAGGGTACTGCTCCAAATCAAATAAATTCTGCAGAACCTCAGGTGACACCAAACCAAGGTCCAATCCATTTTGAATATCCTGGAAGCATGGAAACGATTCCATCATTATGAGCTTATGACATACAAGCTCGTGTCAAAGTTTAGCTCAAGAGAGAACAGAACTGGACTGCTTAATCAAATATACCTGTGGAAGAGCATCTCGCCTCCTGCCAGCTGCATTCATTACTCGAGCGATCTCTGCTCGGTCAAAGCAGTTTCTACTGCAGGGTCTAGCTGCGGAATACCACAAGAAATCAGCAACTGGACTCTCGCCCTCTCTTCTCAGGTACTGTCTTTCAGGGTCTAGTAACACAACGACTTGGTTTTTCTTCGGGAACTTCCTTGAGATCCTTGCTGGCAACCCCGTCCCTCTCGAGCCATACTCAACATGACTCGCCCCTGTCACCACCAATAGTAGACCAGTCCCACCTCCATCTGCCACTGCTTGTAAAATAACTTGTGACATTGTATGGTCTTCCACAACTCTTGCTTGCGCTGACAAATAAGAGCTTGGTCCAAACGGAACAATCTGCGTTGGGAGGCTCGTATCGAATGTAGATCTACGTGAAAACGAAGAAAATCCTGAGATGAACCCAGAACCAGCAGGTGGAGTGTATAATTTACGCTCAGCCTTTGATAGACCGCGGATACCCTCTGCTTGGACAGTTCTTAAAACCTACATCAGATGCAGCAGAGTTCTCTGTCACCTCTCATCACAGTCCAAATGCAGTGTTTCTGATAAGGCTACATGTCCACAAAAACCAGACTCATGCAACTAACTCTATCAAGATGTAATCAGTTCCTTAAACTTCAGTCACAGAGAAAACAACAGTAATCAAAAAGACCATTGCGTTGCATCTAAAACCAGTAGAGAGCCAAGTGATTAAAACGAAAACAAGCAGCATGATCAAAGAAATCAAGAGACAAAGCCTGAACTACAATGATGAGCCAAACAGTGAACTACACCCAAAACAAACTGTGAAGTGTGTAAATTTATAAGATGTCAAGACTATACCTTGAGAGGAGTGCCACAAGCAATTAGCCTAACCGAGTTATCACGACAATAAGTCAAAAGAGGCTCATATTCTTGCCAGCGTTGCGCTGGCCAATCTGCCACATAAGACTTCAACGTCTCTCCGTCAATCCTGCCACCAAAGTTACCATTTTCAGCAACGAACGCGCCAAACAATATTCACGATCATATAAGCTGCAATCTTGAACTTGCATCCAGATGCAACCAAATTGTCATTGTCCTCTCTTTTTCCAAGATTATGAAGATCATATTTTAGTACAAAAGGCATTGCAAAGACTATTGCACATTGAGAATAGAAGACGAAACGATGAAATTGGCACCTTTTATCCATGAACTGATTAAGCTGGTCCTGCAAATCGAGAGGGAAAGCTTCGAGTGCCACAGAGAATTGACGCTCGCTCTCGACGCATCTCTTCCTCAGGTTTCTAACGATTTGGAGTTCAAGTTCCTTGTCGTCTTTGGTAGGCACTTGCTCCGCCTCGCCGAGGTACACAACCCTCGCATTCATCAGCTTCTCCCACACTTTGTTCTTATCTTTCCCAATCGCCATCGGCTCACCAATCGCCGTCGCGTCATAGATTCTCGATGTTATAGTCTCTTCCTTAGGCGGCGGTGGAGCAGTCGGAGGAGCTGCTGATTCCGTAGGCGAAGTCACAGTGGCGGAAGAGCTCTCCTCAGAGGCTAAAGAGAGAGACGGCTTTAGAAACAAGGAAGCAGCGGCGGAGAGGAGTGGCGGCGCGAGGAGAATAGCGCGGCGAGAGAAGGCGGTTCGGGATGGAGGATCGGAATCAGAAAGAGCCGCGACGGAAAGAGAAATTCTCTTTCTAGTGACGTTGATCGGAAGATGAAGGCCATGGAAATTACTGCGGCGACGAGGACGAGAGTGGCAGGGGCAGTGAAATGATGGATGAGAAGCCAAGAGATCGTTCGTGGTGAGTTTCATTGCTCTCAAAGAAGAGAGGTCCGTTTGTACACGTCAGCTAATGCCATACATCGATAGAAATAAAAGCGAAGAGAAGAAATGAAACATTCGTCGTCAATTTTTCGATTTTGGGTATGGTCGGGGAAGATAAGAGCCACGTCATCCTAATTAAGAAAATCGGCAATTATTATTTTCTGGTGCAGAAAATTCATACACGAACCAAAATCCGATAAGAAAAAAGAAAGAGATTGCGAGTGACAACTGACAAAACCACAACGTACATGACAAATGATGATGATATCAAAGATCAAAATAGACTCTTCGTAGCAATTAACCGATTACATTATCAACAAAAGAAACATAGGAGAAGATGAATATTACAATCATCTCCGGATGAAGAGATTACTAATTTGCCGTGGAATTGGGCTGAAGAAAGAAACCAACCATCACTTGATTGTGGTGTCCAACGGCATCACGGAAGATATGGTTCTCGTTCCTCCACCTCTTCTAGTGTTACTCCGCCGTTGCCTTTAAGGGAACCTCCGTCACGTATGTTCCCAACGTAGCCATTTCTTTCTCTCCCTCTTGTTTGAAAGCTATTTTTAATTTTTGCTTTGTTTTGGTGATGAGATATTACATGTTGTGGCGTTGGTTTAGAACTTTATATAGTGTTAAAACCAAAAAAAAAAACTTTATATAGTGGACGTGACGGTTAAAAACATGGTCTTAACGGTTTCTTATATTTCATTTTAAACATGGACGTTTGAATTGTGGCCACATATTTATTTTGAAGCTAAGAATCATATGCAAATATGACGCAACATATATTTGATTTGAGGATACTCTTGCATATGACACGACATATATGTTGTCTAAGGTGACCTTATCGGGTTTTACATGTATACTTCGGTTTATCATGTTTTTTAGGTGTATATATAAAGTTTTTAGGGTTTGTAAACATTATCACACAAGTTAATAAGAAACTGTATATGTCATCTCAATTGATCGCTCTTAATTCACAACAATATAGCATACAAGATTCAATCTTTAGGACTTGAAAATGTTTGAAGCGCATACAATACCTGAATCAATTGATGAACAGCAGAAATTAGGTCTCCAATGAATCATCATAAAGAAATTTGACAAATCAATAAAAGATTTCAGAACATTTTCATAGCGGCTTAACGTTTCAAGATTTGCCTTGAGAAGCTCGGTCATATCACTGATTAAATTAACTTTGCCAAATTGACCTAATTCAATCGCCTCAAAAGTGGATTTGTGACTGCACTAAATGCACACATGATATGTTGACCTTGCATGAAACGACAATGCAATCAACATATTCATCACTAATATTTGTTGAAATGATACACAAAATGCTATCAGATTATTGGATGCAAGAGGAAGATTGGGTACCATATCGCAAAATCTAAACCCAATTTTCCATAAAAGAAAACTAGACGTGAGAGGACATTCACGTGAAAACTGAGCAACTAAAACACTAGCCACTCCCTCCAAACCATAAGCAATCCCATCCCAATTTGGATCCGTGTAGAGATGCTGTCCCACTTCATTAATGAGGTATTGAATCGACAAGACTCTGATTTCAGTTGAGGATGTTGTGAAACCTGAGGAATGCTGTGAATTGTCTTGTGAGGGAAATCGCCCAGAAAACCGATGTCGTTCTCTGATTCAGGACTGCATCTAGGTAAACTGAATCCCTATAAGAGAAATAATCAGACATCTTCGAAGAAACCCTTCATTTTCGAAGAACCTTGAAAAACCCTGAACCCTAGATTTTTAGCATTGTCAATTAGATCGATCTGCGAATTAAGTTTGTCGGGTCAGGTTTTGGGTAGGTTATTGGGTCCGGGTCCCTATACACGTCATCCTAATTAAAAAATCGACAATTATTATTTTGAAAATTCATAAACGAACCAAAATCCGAAAAGAAAAAAGAAAGAGACTGTGAGTGACAACTGACAAAACCACAACGTACATGACAAATGATGATGATATCAAAGATCAAAATACTCTTTGTAGCAATTAACCGATTACATTCTCAACAAAAGAAACATAGGAAAAGATGAATATTACAATCTCCAGATGAAGAGATTATTTTTTTTGCTAAGAGAAGAGATTATTAATTTGCCGTGGAATTGTGCTGAAGAAAGAAACCAATCATCACTTGATGTTGATATCATGGAACGATGGCAAGACCGCAACGAGTGGCTCCCCATAACCTACGGAGTCTGTTTGCACATGAAGCAAGAGTTTATATCATAAGTTTTGTGTAAAAATCAAAGTGAATGAATATTCAAGGATAAGGTTTGAATACAGAGTGTTTTACCTCCGTCATCTGAAAGAAGCTTGAGGACTTCCCCAGCTACATCCGACTGTTCCACAAGTAGCAAAGATCGATGAGTCCAATTCGATTGTTTCAAAACAAGAGATGGGTAAATTAATTAAGCTATTATTACCGTCACTGGAAGTTCTGTTCCTAGCTGATGCAAGTATCCAATAACTTGGCCTTCCTTTATTTCATCACCCTGCAAGATAGATATATTATTTGCTAAGAATGGGACAAATCTTTGATTTGAAGAGTTGGAAAAAAATTTAGTTAGAGTCGTTTACCTCTTTACAGGTAGGAGCTTGTTTCTTTCCTTTTACAGTTCTGCTTCTCTGAAACTTGCCCACCTTTGCGCAAGAGAAGAGACAAAATCAGATCAAACAAAATAAAACCAGATAAAGGGATATGAAAGCAATCACTCTATTAGGAGGTGGTGGATCTCATACTGAAGGAGACGTGACAAGAACGTAATTGGAAGATCCAGATTTCTCCAAAGCAGCCAACTTTGATGATTTCCCATATGAATCATTCATAAATGGAGACACTTTTGCACAGGCAGGTTTTGCTTGAGATGGGCTAGGAGCTGCAGAAGCTGATTTGTTCATAGGTTCAGAAGGAATTGGAGGCGCCACGGTTGGAGAAATATCCGCCACGGGAATGGGGTTTATGTCCTCTCCAATCTTCCGCTTTAGGTTCATCTCGAAATCTCCAACCTGTAGTTTAAAGAAAGCATTTCATCAGCCTCAACTCAAATAGAGATAGTAGCTACATACTTGTGTGACTTGAGAGGCGGTGAAGAAGAGACTTGCCTTAAGTTTCAGGACAGCAACCTCAGTCTCATCACACATCTCATGAACCAGTGCCTGTAACAGAAGGGTCCATACATCATGTAGAAAAATTAAGAGAAGATTGCCTAAAGTTATGCATCCAAAATCCGGATGATATCTAGAAAGTGGATATAAGAATACATTTGTCAAATCCAGCACCTAGCAATGTATAAGCAAAAGAAGCCTAACATGTAAATTCCAAAGAAGGGAAAAAAAAAAAGAAACCTCCACTTCTTTAGGGAAAGTTGTCCGTCGAACTGTATTCTTCCGATTTGACACAGATGAATCTACAAAACCAAAGATGAACAAAAGGTCAAGGAAAGAAGATTAAATGTTCCGATACTTGCATGACACTATAGTATATATTATGGCTCCAAGATGAAGAAGAATGGTGAAAAAGATAAACTCACCATCACTTTTGGTTGTTGTAGATGATTTAGAGGCCTTTGCACGTAACACAAGCGTGTACTCGTTGCTCTTCTTGAACCTCCAACGTTGCACACAAGAATTACCAGTGGCAAACCAGTTTCCAGAAAGCGAGTGAACCTTACTCTCTGAGTTAATGGCGGACCCTAAAGTCTCTGTAAAATGGAGCGACAAATGTCACGCTTAAACACTAAATCCACCTTCTTTCAGCTGCAACAAAACACCTTAAAGAAATACCAACGAGCTAAACGAGAAACGAATCTGATACAAATTACTGAATTAGACATAAAAGATCTGTAATCGAAACCTAATTCAGATAACAAAATTCCAGTCGGATCTATCAAAACATGAAAACCTCAGATAGTAGTAACCGTATCACTGATAAGTTTCTCTAAGAAGCAACAATGAGCTAACGGATAACTCAGATCAATGCATTTCATTTCGTAGTGATAATTTCACTCACAATCCTCCGTTTTTCTAATTTCTCTCATCTCCACTGAACCAACAGAATATAGCAAGAATAAACGAGAGACTCACGATGGAGAGATCCGAGAGCTGCAGAGGACTCCATTAGATGAACAAAGGCGCGAGCTCGAGAGGAGAGAAAAAGCTTTTTGTTGATCCGACGCGAAAATATTTGGGTTAGTTAAGCTAAAATCGGTTGAAGAAGATGACGGTTGGTCAATTTAATTTTTGAGCGGCCTTCTTTGGTAACTCCGTCCGCCGCAGCTACCGTCAACTATTCTTGGTAACATGCGCCCAGGATAAAATCGCGTACGTTAGTGATGAAACTGTGGCAGTATCAATTATTGACAAAAAGTAATGTCAAACCAAAAAAAGTTGTTTAACTATTTTTCACTCCTCTTCATTCATCTTTTGTCATGATACTAATTCCGTTTGTTACGTTTGATGTGGACCTATGTATCAAGTGGCTTACATGCGCCATGGAATAAATCAACAAGCAATACTGAAAAGTACAAAGGTAGTAAAAATGAAGGACTTCATCCGAGTAAAAAACACAAGCCTGAATATAACACATTCAATCATTTGTCGAGAATTGATTCAAACTGCTAATATTTTTGTAAGATCTTTGACACAAGACTCATTCACTACCGATTCTTGATATTTCATGATACCAGAACCAATTGGTACAAAAATTCCAAGGGATGTTTTTGATTCTTTCTCTCTTCCCTAGGTGGTCTTTTAGGCTTCTTGTATCAAGCATGCTTCAGGTAGTCTAAAACTTAGGCAAAACATGGCCTGCAATGTACGAAAAAACAAATCCAGTCAGGAGCTATACGGATGATATATTTCAAAATATTAGAAGAAAAGAAAGGACAGAACAATAAGAACTTATCTTACCTTGTTTGGCGCAACATCTCTAACCTTGTGGAAGACCGGGTCTTCTATACGGAACTTTAATGCAGTTTCAGCTTCCTTCACAATATCACAAACGCTGTAATTAGATTTCTGAAGTATGCAGAAAAAATGCCGCCAGATATTATATTCAAAGAAGCAATAACGAAGATACACAATTAGGAGGGGAGAGAAGAAGAGAGTGGATCGTTGATTCTTACTGCAACTATCGTCTCTGTGGTTTCGCTTGCACGAATGAAACAATAGCAATGGATCAAAGGAAGAGCTCCCTTCCAATATCTCCTTTGAATTACATTACTGAAAGCATCTGCAAAAACAATTACAGAGCAAAATATACATAAGCAATATGATAAGAACAAAACCTAAACACTTTTATTACTCTAACAAGCCTCAATACATGGTTCATCTCCTATATCTATTGATCCTGGTTCTAATTAACTTGTAGTTGATGAACTCTCTATTTTATAAGCTGACAAGACTATAGTCCAAAATATTAAACAAAAAACTATAATCGTTGGTAGCATACCGAGAAACTCCAAGGCAGAAGCTGGAAGGTTCATAATAACATGGTCGATATGTTCCCATGGCTTTGCAACTGGAAGCAGAGTTTGTCTCAACCTCTTATTTCCATTTCCTTCGACACTCTTCCGGTCTTTCCCTACTCCATTCTCTGCAATGAATAAACACCTCAGTGATGATCCCCAAGGCAATGTTAACTGTTGGAATCTCTTAAAGCAACCTTCTGAGAGATTTCTTACCTGTCTCAGAATCACTAGATGGCTTCTTATTTGCACCAAGAGGCTCGTTTATGCTTGAGACTTCTTCCTTTGCTTTGTCATCAGCAACTGATTGCAAATTATTCTCACAAGTTGAGACAGACATCAACTGAGAGGTAAATTTCCGAGCATCCATATTGTGCACACAAATCAACTCATCAACCTTGTTGAACTTTGCATTGATCTTCAGGTACCGAACACTGTCTGGATTCAAATCATTTGCATAAACGAAGCATCCTTTTTGCGCAGCTGGGATAGCAAACGGTCCAATACCAGCGAACATGTCACACACGGTTTCTCCAGGTTTGAACAGAGATGAAAGGCGCATGTGCTCATGCTCCAGTCTTGAATTCCAATAAACCAGGCTGTAGTCCAGCTTGAATCTTGCCCCATATTGCTTTACTTCTGTTTCCATCCCGTTTTCTCCAGCCAACACTTCAAACTTTGGCACTCGGAACTCATTAGAGATTGTCCCGACTTTGTTAACAATTGTCTTGATCCTTGGATAATTTTTCTACGAATAGAAAAATGATCAAATAGAACATCAGATGTCTTTGCTGTCATGACACAGAGATTTCAAAAGAACGATGTCCAGAGAGGAATGTCAAAAACTTACATCGTAGATAACCTTTGCTATAACATCTTTGAATGGAAGGAGCTCATCATGTAGATTTAAGTGGGCAATATGACCTGCACATAATGAGATAACGATGTTGGTTCTAATGAGAGAGGCTGTGTTATAAGGTAGGTTCTTAAGTTTAGGAAGCAAACTGAAATTTAATACTTACCTATTGTTTCGAAAGATGAAGGTATGTCCACTCCATCTGGCAAAATCTGCTTCAATATTTGATCTGCGAGAAGATAACGATATCAGAAGGTTTTATATCACCTAAATAGAAGGACCTAAATAACCAAAAAACAGCTAGACCACCAATAGCCTGTGAGTTGGATTCCCTCACATCCTTAGTAATAACAAAAGAGAAATACAAACTCATGGGAAAGACTATTCCTAATGAATTTGTTGCCTTACCTGCACTCCAATAGGAATAACCGAGAGTGACTGAATGAGGAACTACTTCAACTTCACTTAGTTTCTTAAGCTGGTTTACTTTTTCCTCGGGGATGTCAGACAAATCTGTCCTATAACAAAAACAATTCATGGTTAATACGAATCATTCTGCCACTTCCACCATTTTCTAAACTCATTCCCAGATAAAGAATAAACCTTACCAACATTTTTAACAGCTTCGGATAATATCACCAAACGAGTCTTTTCACAGGTAGGATCTTCAATGATGGGCTTAATCCGTGGCATGTTGAGCATGTATCTACAAGTTATCAAGCCAAGGAACTTCATTTTCATCAATAAGAACATGAACTTGATTCGATAAATTCCGAGCTATCTATCTACATTGCGATAACTGCTTGCTTCACTTTCTCATTGAACTATTCAAATTTTTGAGATAAAGAGCAAGGGAAGCAAACAAATTCTTGAAACTGAGATGATTCTGGGCGCAATAATTTGAAAAGTTCACTAATTTATGAACCTCTTGAGCAGAAAAAACGTACCCATTGAGTATGCGAGTAACGCTTTTACAGAGCTCACGGGGAATTCTAAGAGCCCACAGCTTGAGATTGACATTGAATTTGCTTTCATCGAACTTGCTTTCATCAAACATGGTGCTAAATGGCGTCGTTATACTATGCTCGAGTATCAAGAAGAAGAAAAGACGAAATCGACGGAAGAAGAAGAACAAACCACCAGACCGGAGCGTGAGTTAGTGCAAGCCGTGAAGGTGAGTGAGTCGGAGACTTTTTTTTTAGGGTTTAATTAAAAAATCAACAAAATTGATCCAGAGAAAAAAGAAGTCTCTTAAAAAACCAAAATGAGGATTCGAACCCGTGACTTCACGTTTTGGGCCGATAAGGGCCTAAAATACACGGAAACTCTGATCAGCAGGAGCTCTGCAAATCTTGTCTTTTTTCGATCCCATCAAAGATCGAATCCTCTCGGCCAAATTAGCCGGACCTAATCTCACGCGCCACCGCCATGGCAAGTCCACCGACTCTCCCTGTCACCAACCAGCAAGCTGTTCAATCTCAGCCGCCAATCAACACGCCTGCCTTCCGTAGCTTCTTCTCACGCCTCACCACCTCGATCCGTGATGGCTTATCACAGCGCCGTCCATGGACGGAGCTCGTCGATCGGAGCTCCATGGCGCGACCTGAATCTCTCACCGACGCTTTGTCCCGGATCAGGAAGAATCTCGCCTATTTCAAGGTTAACTACGTCGCAATCGTCTCCCTCGTGCTCGCCTTTTCGCTCTTCTCGCATCCTCTCTCCCTCCTTGTACTCGTCGGTCTCCTGGGCGGGTGGATGTTCCTCTACCTCTTCCGGCCGTCAGATCAGCCGCTGGTCGTCTTCGGCCGCACTTTCTCTGACCGAGAGACCCTCCTTGCTCTCGTTTTGTCGACGATTGTCGTCGTGTTTATGACGAGCGTCGGATCTCTCTTAACCTCCGCGCTGATGATTGGCGTCGCGATTGTTTGCTTACACGGTGCGTTTGTGGTTCCGGATGATCTCTTCCTGGACGAGCAAGAGCCTGCCAACGCTGGATTGCTCTCCTTCCTCGGAGGTTCTGCTAATTCGGCTGTTGCTGCCGTCGCGGCGAGAGGTTAAGAGCTCTCGATTCGATTCAGATCTCGGAGACGAACATGGATTTTGAGATGAGTATTACGTGCCTTTTGATTACAGTTGTGATTGTAACTCCGTATTGGTTTTAGCGGATTGGTGTTGTTGAATTGAATGTAGATTCGTAACGAAGCTCTTCTGAATTTAGAACTAAGATCCTTTTTCCCAGTATTTGCTTATTGTTCGGTGCGTTGACACTTTTATCTTCAGATGTAGAAAAGTTGAAGTAGATCTTTGTCAAATCGTTCTCAGATTCAGTGTTAAGATTCCATTTCTCCTAAATCTGTTTGTTCTCTTGTTTCTGTTACGAGTAGCAATGTCTTTTAGAGCATTGTTCACCAAAACTAAGAAGGATCTTGATGCAATTGGGGTGATTATTGTGAGTTCTATTAGCTTTCAGGATTCTTTAGTAGATTGAGGAGATTATGACATAATAATTTGATCTGAACGCATTCAGCTATAAAATTCAGTGGTGTCAAAATGCCTATTTGGTGTTCGCGAATTACTTAGATGATCTCTTTGGAGAGTGTATGTAGTTAATAATGATCCATTTGCTTGATCTTTGATTCATCTTGGCTTGTAAATAGAGAACAGCTCTTTGGAGTAAAGCTGGTGAAATTCTCTTAACACATCTTGTTGTATCATCTTCTTGTTTGATATTTGTGTTATATTCAATGTCAAAGCACATTGAATATTTTGACATTGATCGGTCTAGTATTCATAGATGTTTGTATTGGTGGGCTAGTGACATTGATCGGTTTAGTATTCAAAGTGAGAATCTTTCATGTTTTGTGGGGGAACTTTATTTTTCTGAACCTTAATCAGATATCCAGGATTAATTTTCTAAGTAGTCTTACATCGAGGTATATGAAATATATCGCCGTGAAGTCGGATCCAAAAATTTGAGTCTGTGTCTACAGTTCAAAGTTGCCGATAGAGCTAATACTGGCTTGGATCATTCTTGATGTAATCTCAAGAATGCTGGAGATCAGCAAGATATCAATCTATCACGGTGTCTTAGTTTTGAGTTCAAGTCCAGTGTTTAGTATACGTGGCTTGAAAGAAGATATAGCAATTTGCTATTTTGCAACATTGGTTTGAATTATTGGTTGGATTGAATTATCGGTTGTGAGTTGGTATGGTGTCCGAGTTTAATGATTGTGTATGAGAAACGTGGGATGTGAGTAATCATGTGACAATGTACCTTTGAGCGAATTCTTGGAGTTTATTCCTACGGTTGAAAATTTGGCAATTTGGCGTAGTCTAAGAAATTTTAAGGGAGAATCCACATTTCCCTACAAAATGCAATGCTTGTTTCGATTCCTTCTAATTTATGCAATATTTGTGTTGAGACAAGCAAATCTTGTGATAGCATTTACAATTTATGGCATATCATTGTCTTATTTTGTAAGCGTAGGAATGAAATGTCACTATGCACTTGACATGTCCTTGAAATGTCAGTATACAAGAGAATTTGAAAAAAAAATGAAGTTCAAAAGCTGCATATCTAACGGGTACGGTACACGCGTACCAATCAGAAAACTGTCTTAAGTAAAAAAAAAAGGTAAAGACAGATCAACGTCAACTAATTAACCTCGTACGGCACAACCCTTCTTTGTTTTTCTATTGGGAAAAGTTTCGCTTTCAAGTTTCAAAGTGGTGTGTCTTCTACTTCTAAACTACAGTACAGTATAACTTTATTCATTCCACTTCGGAGGGTATTTTCGTAATGAGCCATGAATAAAATGGATTTGTTAGTTTCACACACTTGGGTTTAGCAGATCTAGTGATCTATGTCTCATGGGACCCACAAATATAGCCGTTAGTAGGAGAAGTGAAGGAGCGGCTTGTTGTCCAACTCCATAGGTAAGCTCCGTCGCATTAACCAAAGCTGGTCCTCAAAATAAATTAAATCGAATTATGTTGTCTTCGTAAAAAAAAAGAATAATGCTGTCTTCTTTTATTTTATTTTTGAATTTGATCAGACGAACAATACTTTGATCTCTTACTCAGATTTGGAATTCGTAATACCTAATCCTAATATAAACTCACACACAAATAATTAAGAGCTAAGAATTTTTTTTCAAAATATTACAGAACTGACAACAAGTGTAAATTTGAATCTTAACATTGAAACCCCAAAAAATATATAAAAATTTGAATATACGTGTTTACCATCATCAATCTTGGTCAGAAGTCAGAACATATTGTATTGTGAATAATGATTATAAATTTATAGTTTCTCTTTTTGAAACTCATATAACCGAGACAATATTTATTAGATGTAGTGTAGATTTCTCTATGAAAATGAAATCTACATTCCTTGACAACAAAGTGATTCCAAATTCCCAATGATTTTTTCCATATTTTATTTATCAAACAGTTAAACAAAATGACACGAGCAAGAGTGACCTAACGAACAAGACAAAGTGTTCAAACACAATTAAATAAGAGAAAAGGGTCAATAAATGAAACTAGCCGTTGGACCTCATTTAGTATTAGGCGAGACTGAGAGCCTCTGCTCCACCCCCCAACCTCTTATTGCCATCACCTGACCTTTGTCTCCTCTTCTCTCTCTCTCTCACTAGAAGATAAAAGATCACACAAAGATTCTCTCTCTCTAAGATGGTCACGTGCTGTGTTCTTTTCCAACGAAACCATTCTCTCTCTTTACAAAACTCTTTCAAATCCAAAATCTTTCCCTGTTCCATCCTCCTCACCAATTAAGACTCTCATTTAACCTTCTTCTTCATCTTCCATGGATTTTCTTACCAAAAATCAACCTTTCTTCTGTTTCACCCCTCTTAATCTAATGATCAACACCGTCATTGATCAACCTCAGGCTTCACTTCGAAGCCGTTTTCTCCTTCACCTAACCGTATTCCTCCTCTTCTTCGTCTCTCCCGGATCAAGCCAAGACTGGGATGGTGTAGTGATCACTCAAGCTGATTACCAAGGTCTTCAAGCGGTTAAGCAAGAGCTCATTGACCCGAGAGGCCACTTGAGAAGCTGGAACGGTACTGGATTCAAGGCTTGCTCTGGTGGCTGGGCTGGAATCAAATGTGCTCAAGGTCAAGTCATTGTGATTCAACTCCCATGGAAGGGTCTTGGAGGTAGAATCTCTGAGAAAATCGGACAGCTTCAAGCTCTCCGCAAGCTCAGTCTCCATGACAATAACCTCGGAGGCTCAATTCCAATCTCTTTAGGACTCATTCCTAATCTCAGAGGAGTCCAGCTTTTCAACAACCGTCTCTCTGGCTCGATCCCGCCTTCTCTCGGTGTCTCTCGTTTCCTTCAAACGCTTGATCTCAGCAACAACTTGCTCTCTGAAGTGATTCCACCGAATCTTGCTGGTTCCACTAAGCTTCTTAGGCTGAATCTCAGCTTCAATTCACTCTCTGGTCAAGTCCCAGTGAGTCTCACTCGTTCATCTTCTCTTCAGTTTCTTGCTCTTGACCATAACAACCTCTCTGGTCCAATCCTAGACACTTGGGGTAATAACAACACTTCTCCTAGTCTTCGTGTCTTAACTCTTGACCACAACTCTCTCTCTGGTCCATTCCCATCTTCATTCTCCAAGCTAACTCAGCTTCAAGACTTTTCCTTTAGTCATAACAAGATTAGTGGAACCCTACCTTCCGAGTTAAGCCACCTCACTAAGCTTAGAACATTGGATATTAGCAGCAACAGTGTTAGTGGCCAGATTCCTTCAACTCTAGGGAACATTTCTTCTCTTACACATCTGGATTTGTCTCGAAACAATCTCACCGGAGAGATTCCCATTTCGATTTCTGATCTGAAAGGCCTTAGCTTCTTCAACGTCTCCTACAACAACTTATCCGGACCGGTTCCTACTCTCTTGTCCCAGAAGTTCAACTCAACCTCATTTGTCGGAAACTCACAGCTTTGTGGATACAGTGTTTCAACGCCATGTCCTACTCTAAAGCCTCCTTCACCGCATCCCCGGAAATCATCCCACAGGAATCTGAGTACCAAAGACATACTCCTCATTGCTTCTGGTGCTCTACTCATAGTCCTGCTTATCCTTGTGTTTATTCTCCTCTGTTGCTTGCTGAGGAAGAAACCTGGAAAATCCAAACTTAAGGGCGGAGAAGCTGGATCCGGAGTTGCTGCAGCCGCAAAGACAGAGAAAGGAGGGGAAGTTGAAGCTGGAGGTGAAACTGGAGGGAAGCTGGTTCACTTTGATGGGCCTATGGCGTTTACTGCGGATGATCTCTTGTGTGCAACAGCAGAGATTATGGGGAAGAGCACTTATGGAACAGTTTATAAAGCTACGCTTGAAGATGGAAGTCAAGTTGCTGTGAAGAGGCTGAGAGAGAAGATCACCAAAAGCCAGAAAGAGTTCGAAAATGAGATCAATGTATTGGGAAGAATCCGGCATCCGAATCTCCTTGCCCTAAGAGCTTATTACTTAGGCCCCAAGGGTGAGAAGCTTGTCGTCTTCGATTACATGTCCAGAGGAAGTCTTGCCACATTCCTCCATGGTACAGTTTTATACATTTCCTTAGAAAAATTATCATTTTTTGTGTGGGAAATATCAATTAGAACTAATGTTGTCATGTTTTGAAATTGCAGCAAGAGGACCAGAAGTTCATATCAATTGGCCTACGCGAATGAGTTTAATAAAGGGAATGGCTCGTGGCTTGTTCTACCTTCACACGCACGCAAATCTCATCCATGGAAACCTAACATCAAGCAATGTACTTTTGGATGAAAACATCAACGCAAAGATCTCAGATTACGGTCTTTCAAGGCTAATGACAACAGCAGCAGGATCAAGCGTGATTGCAACAGCTGGTGCATTAGGTTACAGAGCACCCGAGCTCTCGAAGCTGAAGAAGGCCAACACGAAAACCGATGTGTATAGCCTCGGTGTGATCATACTGGAGCTTTTGACCGGGAAATCTCCGAGCGAGGCCTTGAACGGTGTGGATTTGCCTCAGTGGGTTGCTACTGCGGTTAAGGAAGAGTGGACTAACGAGGTTTTCGATTTGGAGCTGTTGAATGATGTGAACACAATGGGTGATGAGATCTTGAATACGCTGAAACTTGCTTTGCATTGTGTTGATCCTACACCATCAACAAGACCTGAAGCTCAACAAGTTATGACACAACTTGGAGAGATTAGACCCGAAGAGACGACAGCAACAACTTCAGAACCGTTGATTGATCTTCCTGAAGCTTCTGCTTCCACAAGTCAATAGAACAAAATGGAGTTTTTTGGTAGCTGGAGTGTAGTGGTAGATTTTTTTGCAATTCTTTAATTCTTCACGTAATTTCTTTATTTTCTTTCAGTTTTGTGTTGTTTAAAACATTTCATCATCAGTTTGTGTTTGTAAATACTGTAAACTGGCTATGCTTCTCTTTCATCAAATTTGGTTGTCTGTTTTCTCAAGCATCATAGTGAAGAAATTGAAGCCAGCAAGTTAAATCCGTGCAAGGACACAGATAACCCGGTTCAACCACATTTCAATTGATTTTGGGGCCATATTCCTTTTTTATCACCAAGAAAATTTGTCTTTTGCTTCTTTCTTTTTACAGAAAAAGCCGAAAAGGCAAATAAGAAACGTCAAAAAACAAGCGGCCCAAAATGAGCACAAATATCAACGCAAAATATAAATATCTTCCAGCAGAGCGATAGTACCACAAGCCCTCCACGCGCCTGATGCCAACTCTCAATCTCGACCATCCACGTGTCACCAATCCACAGCCTCATCATCCATAAAACCTCACTTTATATTTCCTCCCTTCTCCGCCACCAATCGCCTCACATAACCTTTTCTTCTCCTCCCATTTCGTTGCAAATCTGAGACTGAAGAGCAAAAAAACTTTCCAGGAAAAAAAAAATGATGCTCAAGGCCGCTTCATCTTTCTCGCTCGTGAACATCCATGGAGGGAAGAAGGACATCTCTCCTCTCTTCTCTTCCGTTTCCTCCCCGACTGATTTCTCCTTGAGTCTTCCGGTTTCTTCGGGAAAATCCGGAAACCTCTCCTTCTCTCTCCGTGCCTCTAAGGCCACCACCACCCAGACGGTAAGCGGCGTCGTTTTCGAGCCGTTTGAGGAGGTGAAGAAGGAGCTCGATCTCGTCCCTACGGGTCCACAGGCTTCACTTGCTCGACATATGTTCTCCCCAGAGTGCGAAGCCGCCATTAACGAGCAGATCAAGTAAGTTTTCAGTATCGGGTCGAATTATTGTTGGTGTTATGGATTAATCGTCATGGATTGAAGCATTTGGTGTTGGAATTTCTGCTGATTGACGTAGTTTTCGCTTGATCTGGATATTGGATTTTGAGTATCTCGTGAATCTGAATTTCGTCGATTGCTTCTTTTGTTTGCTGCAGCGTGGAATACAACGTGTCTTATGTGTATCATGCTCTGTACGCTTATTTCGATCGGGATAACGTTGCCCTCAAGGGTCTTGCCAAGTGAGTTTTTCTGGAAACGTTGGAGTTTATTTCAGTCCCTTGCTAAGATTCGTTCTGTGTGTTGAGAATCGGTTGTTTGGTGTGTTGCTATCAGGTTTTTCAAGGACTCGAGTGTGGAAGAACGAGAACACGCTGAGTTGTTGATGGAGTATCAGGTCATTGGCCATTGATTTCATTTTGTTTCATTCGTAAGCCTTAATATCTGAGCTTCGTTTTCTAACACTTTTTCATTTTGGCTTCTGTGATGTACAGAACAAACGTGGTGGGAGGGTTAAGTTACAGCCCATGGTGATGCCTCCGTCTGAGTTTGATCACCTTGAGAAAGGAGATGCTCTCTATGGTAAGCTTCATTTCCCATTTCTGAGATTGTAGATAATGAGTCCAAGTAGAAACTCATAATATGTGGAGAAGCTTGTTTGATGAGGTTGTGGTTTTGAGTTTGGAATGTGTAATTTATGTTCTTTGATGTTGCAGCCATGGAGCTGGCTCTATCTTTGGAGAAGCTAGTCAACGAGAAGCTTCTAAACTTGCACAGTGTAAGACCATCTCTCCATAGAAATTATCCACTTCTTGTTTGTTGTTAGTGGCTTTCAAGTCTCTTAATGCAACTTGGATTTGAATAATGTGGACTACAGGTGGCTTCGAAGAACGATGATGTCCAGTTGGCAGATTTTGTTGAGAGCGTGTTTCTAAGCGAACAGGTAAAACTAAAATGATAGTCACGTTCTATGTTAGTGGCAAAGATCCTGTCAAAACGGAATCTAATGAAGTTAAAATAACATCAAATTCGCAGGTGGAAGCAATCAAGAAAATCTCAGAATACGTTTCTCAGCTTAGAAGACTCGGCAAAGGACATGGTAACCATTTGCTCTCTAAATTTAAAAACAATTAAAAACACGTACCTTAAGTTATATACTTCGTGCCTCAGACTTTGTTAATGTTTTCAGGAACATGGCATTTCGATCAGGAGCTTCTGGAAGCTGCTGCGTGATCGGTTTTGGCTGTAATCTCACAGTTTGGTTAACTTTTGAGATATTTTGAGTAATGGGATGTATAACTTGTGTGAGGTAGACTTTTTGAAGTATCTTTTATTTTGTGAGGAAAAACAAGCTATGATGATGTTCTTTCGGTCAACTTCCTTTTTGGTTTCACTATTGATATCATGATGTTTTGTCCCTTTCATTAAATATGTGCTCAAAAGAGTCCAAGTTTGCCAGTTACATGAGCCCATTATAACATTTCAAATCAGCTAATGAAAGTGAGATAAACAAATACGTAGTACTGTTTTATTTCATTGTCTGGCTTATATTCTTCCATTTTGGTAAACAAACTAGTACCAACAAATTCTTTAGCCAAGAAACGAAAAAAAGTGGTAACCAATTGAAACTCGTCAAGTATTACACCTCGTAGAATTTTGTTAGACAGTGGTAGAAACCAGGTACTTGTCTTCCGGAAACAAAAGTCCGATTTCATCAAGTATTAATATGCTCCGACCTCGCATTTCTTTGTGGTAAGTGTGGTTACCCAAATAAACAAAGCCAAAAAGAAAGACATGGAATATAATTATCGGATATTTGGTACAATAATATACAATGGATGAGTTAGTTATCAAGCCCGTCTAGCTCAGTTGGTAGAGCGCAAGGCTCTTAACCTTGTGGTCGTGGGTTCGAGCCCCACGGTGGGCGCTTACTTTTTCCTTTCTCATTTCTCCTGAGCCTAGAGAAACGGCGTCGTGGAAGAGGGACATATGGGCTTTGAGTTCTTGGACCGTCGTCTATTATTCCATAGAATCTATTATCCATAGAATACTCAGCTTGTTGATGAGTTGATTTTGTTGAACAAGACAATTTGTATCACAGATGTGGTCATGCATTTTTACGTTAACTTTTTAGATGTTTTGAGTATGAGATGTCATTGTAAAATTTCTTTGTAGCAATAGTCTGTTTCTTAAATCTCTACTATCTCTTCAGGTCTTTCAACAACATATAGTGATTGTGATCCTGATTCTGCGTTTGTATAGATAAAAGAAGTGTGGCCTGATAACACACAAAAGCTTTGTGTTGCAACTTTGGAAATTACACTGAACACACAAAAGTAAAACGGAATAATAAAGTTACATTTCCGGTTTACGGTGTAGACAAATTTCACCATTTGAGAGATATTTCAGAAAAACCTCTGAGGACTTGCATCCACTAACGTGCACATCCAAAAAAGATTATACAATCATGGCATCATAAAGATAAAAGATTTATTTCCATATCTCACATCATGTCGTAGCTACTAATAGCATGACACATGTCACAAGATTTATTTCCTCATATTCATTTGCCAGTCTTGTTTTCTATTTTTAGCTCTTTACTCATAAAACACAAAACTTCCTCTTCCGCTCTCAAGATCGATCAGAGTCTCTCTCTGTTGTGTAGACGACGGAAGAAAAAAGAACGAACGATGAACATCTTCAAAAGTCGGAAATTCTCAGGCCTCTGTGTTCTCTCAATCTTGCTCGTATCAGTCACAATCCTCCTCTTAACCAATGACACAATCGATCTCTTCCCTTACTTGTCCCTCTCTTATCTCCGTCGATCTTCTCTCTCCAACATCCCCACTTTCACACCAACCCCGAGTCCCACCAATGACTCTTCACCTCCTCCTCCTCCGGATTCACCGGTTAATGATCATCCGGTTGATCAAGGTTTGCAACTGGACTCTTCGCTGCCTCGGGAATCACCGGTTAACGATCATCCGATTGATCAAGGCTCGGAATTCGATCGGCTCGGAGATTGGAACGTGAGTTTTGAAATGGATTGGAAGAGATGTGAGAGTCCAGATTACATGCCGTGCTTGGATAACACAAAGGCCATCAAGAAACTCAAGTCGAAGAGAAACATGGAGCACAGAGAGAGGCATTGCCCTGAGCCTGCACCGAAATGCCTCGTTCCTTTACCAAAACGCTACAAGGTTCCTCTTCCTTGGCCTCAGAGCAGGGACATGGTGAGAGACTCGTTTCTATTTTTTCGGTAAGATCTTTTCTTTGCTTCTTGAGAAAAAAAAAACAAACAAACAGGTTTTCTTGGTTCTTGTTTCTTGATTAGAACTTTATGATTCTTCTGCTTTTCTAAATTCTTGTATTTTTTTGTTCTTTTTCAGATTTGGTACGATAATGTTCCTCACTCGAAGCTTGTAGAATACAAGAAAGATCAGAATTGGGTTCGTAAATCTGGACCGTTCTTCGTCTTCCCTGGAGGTGGTACTCAATTCAAAGACGGTGTTATTCACTACATCAACTTCATACAAAAGGTAAACAAACAAACACATTTTTTCATTGCTTTTGTTATACTCATTTCTTGATTTTACGGTTATTTCTTTTGACAGACGTTACCTGTTCTTGAATGGGGGAAGAAAGTGAGAGTGGTGCTAGATGTTGGTTGTGGTGTGGCAAGCTTTGGTGGGACGTTACTAGACAAAAACGTGATCACGATGTCATTTGCTCCTAAAGACGAACACGAAGCTCAGATTCAATTCGCGTTAGAACGCGGGATTCCAGCTACACTTGCTGTTATTGGAACTCAAAAGCTTCCTTTCCCTGACAATGCTTACGACGTTATCCACTGCGCTAGATGCAGAGTCCATTGGCATGGATACGGTTTGATAACAATCCGATTTCGGTTATGATTGAATTTGTTGGGAAAAGTTTCATGCTTTGTTAATGGAAATGTGTTGTTGTGGCTTCAGGTGGTAGACCGATTTTGGAACTGAACCGGATTCTAAGGCCTGGAGGGTTTTTTGTTTGGTCAGCTACACCGGTTTATCAACACGATGAAGTGCATCGCAATGTTTGGAAAAGTTAGTTATTTAACTAACTAACGTCTTCTGATTATGTTTAAGTTTTAACTAACAAACAGAGGAAATTTATCAATGTTCTGTTTTTGTGATTTTGTTTCTCTTGAAGCAATGGAGTCGTTGACTAGATCAATGTGTTGGAAAGTTGTGGCTAGAACTCGGTTCACAAAAGTTGGATTCGTGATTTACCAGAAACCAGACTCAGATTCTTGCTATGAATCTCGTAAGGTCAATGATCCACCTCTCTGCAACGAAGAAGAAACAAAGAGAAACAGTTCTTGGTAAACGAAATTTTATCCATTTTTTTATTTCAGCAAAACAGGTCTTTGATGTCACTTGACTAATAACTCTGTTTCGAATATTAGGTACACTCCTCTGCTTAGCTGTGTACCGAAAGTACCGGCCGGTCCAACCGGAAAATGGCCTTCCCGTTGGCCTGAAAGGTTAACCGATAGGCCGGTTAGCCTCTTAGCAGAACAGAGCAGTGAAGAGATTTACAGAGAAGACACAAGAATCTGGTCTGGAACCGTATCAGAGATTTATCTAAACGGTTTAGGTATAAACTGGACTAGGATTCACAATGTGATGGACATGAATGCTGGTTATGGAGGGTGAGACAATTCTTCAAATCTAGTTACTTCAGAAAAAAAGATTATTTCTTGGATTTCTTATCTTTTGTTCTTGATATTGGTTTCAGATTTGCGGCTGCTCTTATAAACAGACCTCTCTGGGTGATGAATGTGGTTCCTGTGCAAGTTGAAGACACGTTATCGATGATTTTCGATAGAGGTTTAATCGGGATTTACCATGATTGGTGTGAGTCTTTCAACACTTACCCAAGATCATATGATCTCTTGCACTCTAGTTTCCTTTTCACCAATCTTTCTCAAAGGTAAACTTTTTGTGATTCTTGGATTGGACTGCAAGCTTGGGTTTTGAATCTGCAGCAAAACTAAATTCTGTTATTATTTTTTTATGTTCGCAGGTGTGATTTATTGGAGGTGGTAGTGGAAATAGACAGAATAGTAAGACCAGGAGGGTACCTTGTGGTGCAAGACACAGTTGAAATGATGAAGAAGCTAAACCCTATTCTTTTATCTCTCCGTTGGTCAACGAATGTGTACAAAGGCAAATTCCTTGTTGGCTTGAAGTCTTCTTGGCGTCCGTAAACACAACATTCCATCCTCTCTAACAAGGACCAGAGTTGATTAGAGAGATGTTGAATATTGTTTTTGTGGTGCGGATTTTCAAATTTGTAGAAGTTTTTCAGTTGAGAAAGTATAGGAACCAAATTGAGCTCAAAATTATTTTCATCACATTTTTAATAGATACATAAGATTTTAAAAGTATTGTCATCATATTTTTAACTAGAGAAAGAGAAACAATATAAGACTAAGTATTGTCAACATTTATGATGTTTTTTTATTGGGAATCCTCCAGAGGGCAGGGGGTCCTCCAGCTGCTAGGGTTTCCCAAAGCCATTGCGCAGCGACAGTTATAGGTAACTCTCCAGATGAGCTTTGAGGCAGAGCTAAAAGAACATTGTGGTTTAGCGACCTCAAAACGTCAAAAGCCACGACGAACGCAGGGTCTTGTGAGATGTAGCTGGAGACGATTATCATCACATTTGACGGTTCACGTCGCTTTTTAGCCCATGTTAAAACATCGTCAAAGATCCGAGTAGCTCTAGCATGTTTGTTACCTGCGGGTACAACCATGATTCCTGCGGAGGTGAAGTCATCCCAGTTCCTGTTCCTCTCACCATATGCCGTGAATGACACTCTACCAGTAGTATAACCATTATCCTTAAGCGCTGAGGTGATTTTCGTACGAATCAAACGAGGATGAAGACCATCAGGGACATGACAACCCCACACGTCCCAAAAGACAGCTATGGCAATACTTTGCGAGACATCATAGCGTGAGCTGACACGTTTTGAGAAAACTTGTGAGCTCGTGGGGGCTCCTCCAGATGCTAGGGTTTCCCAAATCCATCGTGCAGTCACATTTTCAATTAGGTATCCGGGTGGTGCAATCTGAGGATGAGCTAGGAGAACATTGTGATTTAGCGACCTCAAAAAGTGGAAAGCCTTGCCGTACGCAGATTCTTCTGACATGTCTCTGGAGAGTATCATCAGGTTCAGGTTCGATGGTTTGCTATCACTCTTCATTGCGGACTCAAGCACGTCCCGGAACATCACACTAGTTCTAAGATGTGCTGAAACATGGGTTGCGAGAGGGGTAAAGTCGATTTTGTCCAGCGGACCATAAGCTTTGAATGACACATCACCATGATAACCCATGTTCTTAAGAGCTGATCTGATATTGTCACAAATGACACTTGGTTTGATATCACTAGCTACCGGACAATCCATCACGTCCCAAAACACGACCGTGTCTACTTGTGAGCGGTCAACTTGTGAGTGGTCATGTGGGGGTCCTCCAGCTAATAGGCTTTCCCGAAGCCATACAAAACTTACATGGTTAAGTAGGGTTTCTGATGGTTTTTTACGCTGAGCTATGAGAACGTTGTGGTTTTCGCATTTCAAATGGCTACTACGTTCTGCGTGAGTCACCAAGTCATCTGAGATGTCTCCTGAGATTATCAACAAATTTGATGGTTTACTACGATGATCGATATCAATTGCCCACATATAAACGTCTTCCATAATCTGATCAACTCTGTCACGTTCATCTTCTTCTTCTGCGGGTATGAAGATGATTCCAGCGTCGAAAAAGTCGTCGCGGATCTTGTTCCTCGCACCAAAAGCCCCAATTGTTACATTACCACGATAACCCTGATTCGCAAGAGCTGATCTGATGTTCTCATAAACCGTATCAAGATGGACACCTCTAGGTATAGGGCAACTGCCGACGTCCCAGAAGACGGCCGTCTCAGCCTCTACGAGGTTATATAAAACGTAAAAATGCATAAACAGTTACAACAGAAAGGAAAAAAAGAAGAAAAAACAACAACTGAAAAATGAAAACTTGATCTAGACAAACATGAGAAATCTTACCGGCAAACCTGCAGGCCAAGCGAGACATATTTGGATGGATATCAAGTTAGACCTTTTGCTGCGGATGAGTGACAAATCGTCTGTTACATACTGAATATAATCAAAGTTGTATTGAACTTACCAAATGGTTGAGTATTTATACAAGTCTATTGAAACAAATTATGGGTACAAATTAAAGGTACATGAGTAAACTTATGATAACAAAAAGTTTTAAATACTAAAATCTCTGATTTGTTTCTAAATTTTAATATTATTATTATTATTTTTACATTAAATTAATGTACATTTTGAATTTATTTACTTTTAAAATAAATCAATCAAAATTGAGTTTCTCTGACTGTAGTTTTGATAGTGGGCTTGAATTAAACGATAGGCTTTTAGATGAGTCCATTACGGATATGAAAATTAAAAGGACAAAACCGAGAAAACACATTGATCTGTGTCATCAATCTGTCTAAAGCCCCAAGTAAAACCCTAGCTCCCAATTCCCTTTAATCCATTGAGCCGCTTATAAATCCTTCACTTGCATCGTCTAAATTGAATCTACAGACTCGTTGAGAACCACTATTCATCTGCAAAAGGTACTTAATTTCAGTGAACCCATTTCATGTCTTGTTGATTTTGCTTCACTTATTTTCGTAAAAGCACATATCGAAGGCTTGCAGATAACGTCTAATTAAATCGCCTGCGAGCTCAATATTTGTGCGAAATCTTTAAACCATCCATTTGAGATTTAGAAAAGATCTCTGTGTTATAAGAATTTCTCGTTTCTTATCGACAATTTTAATGGTTGGGACATTTCAATCTCGATTTTTTTTATGTTTTTAGCATTTCTAGATCAATCAAAATGTCTCAATTCTGAATAATTGAATCCTTATCAGCTTGCATTGAATCAATACAATAGTAGCATCTGGTTACATCTAGCTTACTTTAATTAGTTCATCAAGTGAAAGATTCACAATTTTTGCTCTTTGAACAGTTTGTGATCTTGAGTCAGAGGAATTGATTAGGTCTTAAGTCGTAACCTTAGTATCTTCAGAATCATATCTGCAACGTGTCTTGATGATTTACTCTGTTATTGCTGAAAAATGACTTTGACATAAACAGGATTTTGGAGATTTAGGTGAAACAGAGGGAAAATGGCAAACCCTAAAGTCTTCTTCGACATTTTGATCGGAAACATGAAGAAGGGTCGTGTGGTGATGGAGCTATTCGCAGATGTAACACCGAAAACAGCAAACAACTTCAGAGCTCTGTGCACGGGAGAGAATGGTATCGGGAAAGCAGGGAAGCCACTACACTACAAAGGCTCAGCCTTTCACCGTATCATCCCAGGATTCATGTGCCAGGGAGGAGACTTCACACGTGGGAATGGAACCGGAGGGGAGTCGATTCACGGGTCCAAGTTCGAGGACGAGAACTTCAAGCTGAAGCATACCGGTCCGGGGATTCTGTCGATGGCTAATTCGGGTCCTCACACGAATGGTTCTCAGTTCTTCATCTGCACGGCCAAGACTTCGTGGCTTGACGGGAAACATGTGGTGTTTGGGAAGGTTGTTGATGGGTACGATGTGGTTCAAGCTATGGAGAATGTTGGTTCTGACAGTGGAACTACCTCCGAGCGTGTTGTGATTGAGGACTGTGGTGAGATCAAGAACGAAAGCTCATAAGTCTCGAACGCATTGGGTGGCAACATGAGAGATAGTTTCAGAGATCAATATGTACTGTGATGTGAAACTGTTTAGTTTTCAACGAGAGAAAATAAAGAAACCTTGAAAAGTTTGCATAAAATTTAGCTAGACTCGTATTGTATCATAACTTTTCTTCATGATGTCTGAATTTAATTGAATAAGAAAACAATGAAAAATCAAAAACAGAGTAACGCCATCGGAAACCGATTAGACGATTATCAGAGAGGTGTGCTACATTTTGTATGTTTGGGCTACGTTTGATCTTATAATTATAGTGCTTTTTAGTTTTACAAGTTCTATAGAACATGCAAGGTTTTGAAAGAACCCCATATCAAAAATCTTATAATCATTCAGTATAACATACATATAAGACTGATGTACAATTAAAGTAGATTGCTAATTAATATACGATGGTTTTGACTTTTGAGTCCTAGATCTTTCACAATTCACAGCTACCATATGCAATATGGTTTGTACTTTTGTAGTACCATTTAATATATGAGCCCGTGACAAATTCAACTAATTCGTGGCCCTTTACAGTTTTAATTTTGCTAGATCCCCAACCCCCGAAGAAAATGGCTAAAGCAGGTTCCAACACAAATGAGTTTCAGATATTTATCTGTACAGTGATGACAACGTGGCTTGGGAAAGTTGCTGATATAAGCCATATAGGTAAGATGTGTTGAAAGGCTGAAAGCGATGGAGAATGTTGGATCTTAGTTTACGGTACTGTTTTATTAGAAAAACGGAAATGCATGGTAAATTTCTTGATGTAGACATTTGGTTTTGGTTTTGTTCTTGGTGATCTATCTTTTTCTAATTAATGATGGAGTGTTTCATCTGTTGGTTTTAGTTTTGCATATAGAAGCTGCCAACCTCTCTTTGGATCGGATGATTGCGAAAAATTTCTACTCAAAATATAAAATTGTTGACTTTTCCAAATGGGGCATATTTCTACATTTCTGATCATGTGGGAATTATATGGATTGCTTTCAAACTCCACCTACCCAGTTTGCCGTCGTAGTTAATGCTATCTTTGCAACTAAAAAGTCTAACAAACTTTATTCCAAAAAAGGAAGAAAAAATCTAACAAGAGAATGGTACAGTCTTACATTTCTTGACCATTAAGAAGCCAAAGCCCACCATCGAATAAGACTTCACCGTTATATGGCTCCCTTATCTTATTTATACAAGGATCATATATACACCTTTATAGAAAGCGCATGAAATATAATTTCTGCAGGGGGAAATTTAGAGATTATAATCTGCTTACACTGTAATGGAGTTTAATATTTTTCGACTATGTCGTTTGATTCTGGTTGCAATTTTCATCTTCCACGGCTCGTCTTATTCAGAAGGTAAATAATTAATTTCCTCTACCAATGACCAATCATTCAAGTTATATCCATCTTAGCTTATTCAATCAGTGTCCTAACTCCAAGATTTATGAAATATTTTTTTATCGAGAAGCTGGAAACTATAGATTTAGGAAAGATGCAACGTTAGCACCAAAGCTATCTCACTTCGACTACATAGTCATCGGAGGAGGAGCCACCGGATGTGCACTATCCGCAACGCTCTCTCAAAACGCTTCCGTTTTAGTTCTTGAACGTGGTGGTTCTCCTTATGAAAACCCGACCGCAACAGACATCGGAAACTTCGCAAACACACTCTTAAACACAACATGGTCGCAGCTTTTCATCTCCGAAGACGGCGTTTTCAACTCACGTGCGCGCGTGTTAGGCGGAGGCACGGTGATAAACGCGGGATTCTACTCACGTGCGGAAGAAGATTACGTGGCGGAAGCTGGTTGGGAGAGCAGTGAGGTCGAAGCGGCTTACGAGTGGGTCGAGAAGAAAGTGGCGTTTGAACCGCAGGTTGAGGGATGGCAAATGGCGTTCAGAGACGGGCTTTTGGAAGCTGGAGTGATTCCGTACAACGGTTTCACGTACGGACATATTGAAGGGACGAAAATCGGCGGTACAATATTTGATCGGGATGGTCATAGACACACGGCGGCGGATTTGTTAGAGTATGCTAATCCGAAAACGATTGTTGTCTACTTGCATGCCTCTGTCCACAAAATCCTCTTCACCACTAAAGGTATTGATTGGTATTAAATGCATGTCTCTGTGCATTATGACTGAAGATTGAGACAGCAGTTAGCTACTTTACTTAGGTGTGGATAAAGAAACGTAGGTTACACGTAATCGAACTTTTAATCACAACTTGTGTGTTTTAGTTGAAATGTTCTTTTTTTTCAAAAACATATAATTTTTGAACACTTGTTTATCTTTCGGATATGTTCTTAGTTTTATTTTTTTAGCATTTGCTTATTACATTTATAACTCGTTCGGATATGAAAATATTGGTTTTTTCTTAGGAAATCCAAAGCCTAAGGCATATGGGGTGATATTTCAAGATGCAAATGGAGTGTTCCACACAGCTGAACTAGCTGCACAGAACGCAATGAATGAGGTGATCTTATCAGCGGGTGCCATCGCAAGCCCACAGCTATTGATGCTGAGTGGTGTGGGAGCTGCGGCCCATCTTACAGCCCATGGAGTGAATCCGGTTATCGTAGATCATCCCATGGTGGGACAAGGAATGGGTGATAACCCAATGAACCCGGTCTTGATTCCTTCTCCTGAACCAGTAGAAGTGTCTCTTGTCCAAGCCGTTGGGATCCCAAAGTTTGCTAGTTACATTGAAGGTGGAAGTGGCTTAAGTCTCTCCATTAGTTTGACTCGTGCCTTCTTCGACGGCGTTTCAAATCTTCTCAATAAGGTATACATAACCATAACCAATAAGTCAATACACCAAAATGTTATAAATTTGGTTTAACATAAGGTTATTTTTGTTATTTAGGAAAAACTCCCCAACCAATCCATCTCAAACATTTTGAAATCATTGGATCTTCGATTGAACGTGACGACAAGAGCGGGTGTGATTATTCAGAAAGTGGCTGGACCTACCTCGAGAGGTCATTTGGAGCTACGGAACAAGAATCCAGATGATAACCCTTTAGTGACTTTCAACTACTACCAAGAGCCAGAGGATTTGGATAACTGTGTTAAAGGACTTAGTGCTATTATTAAGGTGATAGATTCAAAGGGATACTCCAAATACAAGTACCCTGGAGTGAAGGGGCGTGGACTATTGAATCTCATTCTTGCCCTACCAATTAATCTGAGGCCAAGGCACATAACTTCCACGTTCGATTTGAAGCAGTATTGTATAGATACGACAATGACTATTTATCACTACCATGGAGGTTGTCAAGTTGGAAAAGTGGTCGACAATGATTATAAGGTGTTGGGGGTTGATGCTTTGAGGGTCATCGATGCATCCACGTTTCTCAAGTCTCCGGGGACTAATCCTCAGGCCACGATCATGATGCTCGGAAGGTAAACAAATGCATAAACCAAATGAATCAGAATTATCCGAACATGTTATTAAGATTAATGATTGTTGGAGAGTTATAATGTGTAGGTATATGGGGCAGAAAATTCTTCGAGAGAGGGCGGCTTAAACTCTGACAATGAGAACAATATATTTTCACCGTCCAAAGAAAAAAAACTTCTGAAGGCAGTATCCGTTTAGTGTATATCACATAATTACATCTATTTCATTTCATATACACAAGAATGTGGAATGTTATTTTTAGACAGAAAAAATGTGTAGTTATTTTGTTCATGAACGAAGAAATTAAGTTACTATTGATGTTGTTAATAACAATTTGTGATGTACGAATGTGTGATCTTAGAAGCTAATGCTTTATAACTTCATATTGTAGACAGTGAAGTAACATAACATCCACCATATCTTACTATATTAATATAAACAAGATCTAACATGGAAATTTATCCCCAAATAATATACAACATGTAAAAGAATGGAATCTATGAACCAAATTAATGGGAAATATAAGGTCTTAATTAAATTCGGAAGAAGTCAAAAGACATAAAGGAAACGTGATGATATATGTGTGGTTCATTTTATTTGTTTCACATACGGCTCTGAACAAGAGGGTTATCCAAAGAATCCAATTCACTATTATATATAGGCAGTGAAATAGAGTCTTTTATGCCCCAAAATATATAAAGGAACATATTATAAGTTCTTGAGAGAGTAAAATTTATAGAGTGTATTCACACCAAAATGTATTATCATATATTCCGATTTTTTCGTTTTATTATCGTCGCATTTTTCGCCTTCCACGGCTCGTGTTATTCTGAAAAAGGTACGACCATCACTTTCTTCAGTAACCATTTCAATTTATGACCTTTTTAGGTTATTCTTATAATATATTCCAATTTTTTGATGAAAATTTGTTTTCGTGAAGCTGGTTATTATAGTTTTATGAAAGATGCAATATCAGCACCAAAGTTATCTCACTTCGACTACATAGTCATCGGAGGAGGAACAGCCGGATGTGCAGTAGCCGCAACGCTCTCTCAGAACGCAACCGTTTTAGTCCTCGAACGCGGTGGGTCCCCTTACGACAACCCGACGGCCACAGACATCGGGAACTTCTTAAACACATTATTGAACACAACACCAAACTCATGGTCGCAGCTTTTCATCTCCGAAGACGGCGTTTTTAACGCACGCGCACGCGTGCTCGGAGGAGGAACGGTGCTAAACGCTGGATTCTACTCACGGGCGGAAGATGATTACGTGGCGGAAGCTGGTTGGGAGAGAGAAGAGGTCGAAGCGGCTTACGAGTGGGTCGAGAAGAAAGTGGTGTTCGAACCGCAGGTTAAGGGATGGCAAACGGCGTTTATAGATGGTCTTTTGGAGGCTGGAGTGGTTCCGTACAATGGTTTCACGTACGAACATATTTATGGGACGAAAATTGGCGGTACGATCTTCGACGGTGATGGTCGGAGACACACGGCAGCGAATTTATTGGAGTATGCTGATCCAAATAAGATTACTGTCTACTTGCACGCTTCTGTTCATAAGATCCTCTTCACTACCACAGGTAAATTAAGTGATAATAATGTGATATACTTACTAAAGCTGTATTTTAGTTTTTCCATAATGAGATATTAAGAAGTTTAATATTTAACAATCATAAACAGTTTTTTTTAGTAAACAATTTTCTATATATATATATATATTTTTTTTTTTTTTTTTCCAAGACCAAGATAAAAGAAAGAAACTTCGGCACTGCTTTTATGATTTGTATGTTTATATATTAAAGAGTATATGTTAATAAACATGTTTTGCTTTTCAATTGTTCGCTGGTGTTTGTAAGCAAATAAAATGTATCATATGATTTTTTTCCTTTTCTTTCCAACAGGAAGTATGAGGCCCAAGGCAAATGGGGTGATATTCCGGGATGCGAATGGAGTGTTCCACACGGCAAAACTAGCGACACAGAGCGCAATGAATGAGGTGATCTTATCAGCGGGTGCCATCGCAAGCCCGCAGCTACTAATGTTGAGTGGTGTTGGTCCTGCGGCCCATCTTGAAGCCCATGGAGTGACTCCGATCATCCTAGATCACCCCATGGTTGGACAAGGAATGGGTGACAATCCGATGAACCCTGTCTTCATCCCTTCTCCTGAACCTGTAGAAGTGTCACTTGTCCAAGTCGCTGGTATCCCTCATTTTGGTAGTTACATTGAAGGTGGAAGTGGCTTAAGTCTCTCCATTAGTTTGACTCATAGCTTCTTCAATGGTGTTATAGATCTTCTCAATGAGGTACAAGCTCATCAGTTAACGTTTAGGTTATGTAAAACTGTTATTCACAAGACTATATGCTAATTTTATATGATGTTTTATGCAGATAAAACTCCCCACCAAAACACTCTCAAGTTTTTTCAAATCTTTGGATCTTCGATTTAACGTGACAACACAAGCAGGTGGGATGATTCAGAAAGTGGATGGACCGATCTCGAGAGGTCATTTGGAGCTGCGGAACACGAATCCAGATGATAACCCTTCGGTTACATTTAACTACTACCAAGAGCCAGAGGATTTGAATAACTGTGTTGAAGGACTTAGTGCCATAATTAAAGTGATAGATTCCAAGAAATACTCCGAGTACAAGTACCCTGTAGTGACCGGGCGTGGATTGTTGAGTCTCATGCTTGCCCTTCCCATTAATCTGAGACCAAGGCACATACACTCATTGTTCGATTTGAAGCAGTTTTGTAAAGATACCGTGATGACTATTTATCATTACCATGGAGGATGTCAAGTTGGAAAAGTGGTCGACAATGATTACAAAGTATTAGGGGTTGATGCTTTAAGGGTCATCGATGCATCTACGTTTCTCAAAACCCCAGGGACTAATCCTCAAGCCACGATCATGATGCTCGGAAGGTAAATACTTGAGCGTAAGCCAAATTTATCCGAACATGCATGTTATCAAGATATATGATTTTTTTTGTAGGTATATGGGACAGAAGATTCTTCGGGAGAGGGCGGATTTCCTGGAAACTGAAGAAGAAGCATGAAATATTAAACCTTGCTGATATGTTTCTCTTAGAATAAATTATATAATACGGTTTGAGAAAATCGTACACCAACGCTTTTATCCATACAAAAAAAAAGAGTATATCAAAGTTCAATGCAACATACTTATGAGCTATGGCGTCAAAAAATAAAAATATAACATGCATATGTACGCTAGCATGTGACTGCAGATTTCAATTTGTTTATACTTCAAAAGTATAGTATTCAATGTTTTCAGATGTATTTTGTAATAATTTTCTTTTTGGTCCCAGAAGTGTATAGATATATACGATGGTTTTGGATCCTAGATCATTCATAGCTCCCATATGCATGGTTTGTAGCATTTAGTATGTCAATGACGAATTTAATAAATGCATTGCCTTCACAATTTCAACTGTTTTTTAATCCCCAATGCCCTCTGTTATGCACATGCACTCTTTGTTAAAAATATTTTTTTTAAAAAGAAAGTATAGGTCAAAGGGAATAGCGAATTAGGTCAATGTGTGAACGCAAAGACATCATAATTACGTAAGGATGAAGTTAGATACGCGAGTACATGGCGGTGCATTTTGCAAAACATAATAATTATAGTATTATGATTTGCTCTTCTTTGTCCAATCAAACTCGATGACTTTCAGATTACGGCGAAACCGTTAGTCAACCGTATATACCTATATTATACTTGTAGTCTTATTTTGATTGACATAGGAAATTTGTTTAACCAAATTTTTTTATTGAATTGGTGTGAAAATTTCTATATTTTTAATATTAATTTAGATATGGTTCAAACAAAGTCTGGACTTGTAAATTTGGCCGAAACCTGTTTTTGGATTAGTCCGATCTATTAATGTCAAGAATTCTAATTGTTTCCTCAAAAAGAAAATTGAGTTGCGTCCGTAAAGAATTAAATTAAACAAACCGATTACAAGAAAATGATAGTAACAAATTCCACACACGATTGATTGCGGAAGAGTATAGATTAGGTAGATAGATACTTGTGTGGGCATAATTGTAGGAACTTTGGCTTCGAATGGTGACGCAGATCAAAATATACAGATTAAACAGTAAATGCAGATTATGTAGAACAAACACAGATCATGATCTGGATGTAGAACAAATGCGTATCAAACATATATAGCAAATGAAATAAATATAGTGAATTCTCATATTTGATTGAATATGAAATAACGAAAAAATGCAAATCGATTAAGATTTTTAAAAATAAACAACAAAATTTTGATTTTTTTTAAAAATACAATTATATATGCAAGAAATATAAGTATGATAATAAAGATTCGAAATATTAAATGTTATCCACAAATTAAATTTGATTACAATGTTCATTTGTTTTTTTCCTTAGTAAATTTGCAACTTTTTCTTTAATGTTAGGTAGGGACTTAGGTCTGGAACTTTTAACAAAATCCAAGATACCGAATCGGCCCAAAGACACAGAACAAAACCGAACCAAACGAACCCGAGATTGGTTATTAGATTTTTATACCAGAAAAAACAAACCCAACCCAAACAGGACTTATAGTTATGAACTTGAAAACCCAAAACTGGAAGTAATAGATGAAACAAATCTAGTGAATAATTGAATTGTGAAACAACGTAAAACTTATGCAAATCAAATATTTTTAAAAAGTAAAAATATAAAAATACAATTACATATGCAATCATTAGATTTATTGTAATAAATAATTTTGAAATAATCATTATTTAAATTTTAACTTCCATTATAATTATAATTGAATCAATATTATGGAAACAAAGTAAAACAAAATATATGGTATACTTTAAATGATTTAGATCTTTTATTTTAATTTATGCATATAATATTAAAAATTAAGAATGTTTTTTATAGCTAATGTGTAGTAATCCATTAATTCTTAATTTAAATGATAATGTTGTAATAATATTTTTCTTATGTTTTAAAATTAATTGAAAATTATACATTTTGGTTTCAAAAGAACTTATATATTTTATTTATTCATAATATTCTGGATGCAAAAGTTTAGTTTTCAAAATCTTGAAAACATTGGTTAATTTTTTTGGTCAACCATTGGTTAGTTTTTCAATTACTTTAAAATTTTGTAATATTTAAACAAATTTCCTTAGTTAAATATATATATAATAAAATATTAAAAATATGTTTGATAAAATATAATATAAAATCAATACGAATTTTGTGGATTTATTCGTAATTAAAATAATATTAATTTAATATTAATAAGCAATTAAGAAAAAAGAAAAAACAAAAAAATTGATCTGCACTCGTTCGGAGGGTTAAAGCACCTTCCTTTCAGATCAATTTTTTTTAACTGGATTTTGATCTGTGTACAGATCATTTTTTTTCTCCTTGCATTTTTTTTGTCTGCAATTAAAAGTGTGATTGTTTGCTAAATACAGATCATCTGTATTTGATTTGTATCTGCATTTACTCTGTATCTGATCTGTGTTACCATTCAGACCCAAAGGGTGGGCGGTGTTGATTACAATTATGGAATCTGAATCCACAAAAGTATTTTGCGTATGAAAAAAAAAATCTGAAAATATTGGAATATGGAGAAATAATTTTAAAAATATAAACCAACAAAAGTGGGGGTATTCCCATTACATCCATGACTATGCCCACATGACAAAGAGTTGGATTGAAAACGAAGAAAGTAACAGCCAAGCATTGAATTAGTCAGATACTCCTCCACGTACTATTTACATTTCCTGTTTTTTTTTTTTTGTTTTTAAAATCCACAATACACAATCATTCAACTTCAATCATCCAAATATCCACACATCAAAACAAAAATCCAAGTGGCACGTAAACCCCACCATCGTTCTCGTTATTTATGTTTTGTGTTTGTTTTCTGTTAAACAACATAAAGAAAACACACACACATCATCACAAAAAAAGGAAACCATTTCCACAGGCTACGGCAAGAGTCTTTTTCGACGGTGGCCTCTTCTTTTGAAACCTTTTAGCTCTGGCATCTTCAAGGTCCATAGATTCCTCTACTTTTTTTCCATGTTAGATTTTGTTTTTGTTATATAATAATATGTATACTCGATGACTCGACGTTTACCAATTACCACCAAGTCATTACCTCGTTCTTTACATGTTTTTCTCTTCTTCTAAACTCTAAATTACACCCAATTAAACATTATTCTTTTACAGCGATTAGTGTCGATCTTATTTTCTCTTATCGTCGAATATACTTTGAACAAAAAAGTATTATTGTTCATGAGAAAAGATGTTTTTGTCAACAAGGATAAATTATTTACTACTTCTCTGTAACCCATTAATTCATTACGGGCCAAACCACGGGGACACGCGCTTTAAAATTCATTAAATTTTTAAGGAAAAAAGTTGAAAAGTCATATTTGTTCTCACAAAATCGTTTCTCCAGCAGCCATGCGAGCTCAAACTGAAAGCTCTCTCTCTTCGTCTTTTAGCTAAACTTTTGATTTTTTTTTGGCTTCTTTCTCTTCTTCTTCAAATCCGTGATATCAGATTCAGATCGAGACTCGATTTTCTCAGCTTCCGCGTTTTTTTCATTGGACTCCGTGCTGCTTAACCCCTGCTTCCAGCTGTCGGCGTCTCCCTTTTACTCTCACGATGAGTAAGAACTGGAAATTCATTCGATTAAGGCTCCAAATGCGTTATCTCGTGCTTATTCTGGTGTTTTTGAGCTTCGATTCGTGCTGTTCGTCGAAATACGAAGGTATATTAGCGGTTTTCATTTCTATTTATTGCCTGTTCAGCTGCCGATAATTAGAAGCAAGCTCCTGATAATTTGTTCTCCCCTCTGTTTCGATTTCGTCTTTCAGGTGTGGAATCTAAACAAACGGCGACGAAAGATCCAGCGTCAGATAGAGATGCCGCGGATTTGTAAGTAGCAGCTTTCGATTTTTTTTATGTGATTGCTTTGGTGCTTGTTTTAGTATGTGCTAGGTATTTGAATAAGACCTCTTGTTGATTTCCAGATTTGTTTGATGCCTTCTTCGCTTTACATGACGCGTTTTGGTGTTCTTACTTCCTGCTAATTCGGTTTCTGAAGTGTTTTACCAATTTTGTTTGCTGCTAAGTTGTAATGTGCAACGTAATTTTATATTGTAACTTGGTTGTTGAATGTGGAATCAATAGGTTGTAAACATGTGTTGAAAATGAATTTTTGGTTGAGCGTCAACATCAATGTAGTTGGTATGGTAGATCTATGACTTTAACACCATACTTTTACATTATTTTTGAGTGAGAGTGGTAAACTTTACACTTTATGCTGAAAGAAAATTTGTTGTTAGTGGTTACAGAACTTGAATACAGACGCTCTCTTTTGCACATTTGTATTCTACATATTCTTCGACAGAATCATGTTGGTTTATACTCAAATTCATTTTACTTTGATCATCTTTTTGTAGGGGAGCTGTTAGTTATCACAGGAAATTACTTGGCCGTTTCCAGAACCCCTACACCAATTTGACTGGATACAAGGACCGTCCTGTGGCAGTTGTAACAACACCGTCGTCTTCTGTGCGTTCTCGGACATCTAATACCAGTAAATCCTCAACATTGCCTCCACCACAAAAAAGTCCTCCTGCGCCAATTGCTTCTGCTCCACCTCCTTTTTATGTGCCACTTGCGAATCTTCCTAGTCTAAGAAAAAGCTCCAAATCTTCTTCAAACAGCATGGTTCCTATAGTTGCTGGCTGCATAGGCGGTGCTGTGTTTCTTGTGCTTTTAGCTACTGGTGTCTTCTTCTTCAAAAGTAAGGCTGGGAAATCTGTGAATCCTTGGCGTACCGGTCTTAGTGGACAACTTCAGAAAGCGTTCATAACTGGTAATTGTCTCTCTACCCACTGATACAATATGTAAAGTAGCATTGTTTACTCTGGAAGATTGAGGTTTAACCTTGTGGACGTGCTTGTCTTTGTCAGCTCACCATTTTCTTTTGGTTTTAGCATTAATGATGTGTGATTTGGTGCTTCAGGTGTTCCCAAACTCAAAAGATCTGAGATCGAAGCTGCCTGTGAAGATTTCAGTAATGTCATTGGGTCTTGCCCCATTGGTACATTGTTCAAAGGGACACTATCGAGTGGGGTGGAGATAGCTGTGGCTTCTGTTGCTACTTCGTCTGCGAAAGAATGGACAAAGAACATAGAAATGCAGTTCAGAAAGAAGGTATTTACAATTACAGTCAACTAATTCAGTTCCCTTATATTTTCAACTGGTTTTTGATTCCTATTCCCTTCTCATTTACGTTTATGATAATTTCAGATCGAAATGTTATCAAAGATCAACCACAAAAACTTTGTCAACCTTCTTGGTTACTGTGAAGAAGATGAACCTTTCACTAGAATACTGGTCTTTGAATATGCATCAAACGGATCAGTCTTTGAGCATTTACACTGTAAGCAAAGACGCTCTCTACTCACATGAGTCATTACACTGTTTCCCTTGAGATTTAGAAATAAGAGACAATGTAACTTTTGTTGCAGATAAAGAAGAATCAGAACACTTGGACTGGTTAATGCGGCTAAGAATATCAATGGGCGTAGCATATTGCCTTGACCATATGCATGGGCTCAAGCCACCTATAGTCCACAGCAACCTTCTCTCATCATCAGTCCACCTCACAGAGGACTATGCAGTCAAAATCGCGGATTTCAACTTCGGTTACCTAAAAGGCCCGTCCGAGACAGAAACCAGCACCAATGCACTCATAGATACGCCGCGCATCTCTGCCGCAACCCAAGAAGACAATGTCCACAGTTTCGGTTTGCTGTTGTTCGAGTTGATGACCGGAAAACTCCCTGTGTCGGTTAAGAAAGACGACTCTGTAGATACCGGATTGGCTGATTTCTTGAGAGGAAAGACTTTGAGGGAGATGGTGGATCCAACGCTGGCGTGTTTTGATGAGAAGATTGAGAAGATAGGCGAAGTGATCAAAAGCTGTGTAAGGGAAGACCCGAAACAGAGGCCGGTGATGAAGGAAGTCACGGGGAGGTTTAGAGAGATCACGGGATTATCACCGGACGATGCGATTCCGAAGCTTTCGGCTCTATGGTGGGCAGAGCTGGAAGTGTTGTCCACTGCGTGAAGAGAGAGTAAGTACTAGTTAAGTTTGCTTCACAACGAAACTGTAAGTATTAATATGAATATTGTGTGAGGTTTTGGAGTCTTATTAGGTTATATAACGACTCAAGAATCTGGTCGATCCATTTGTTCTTTTTAAAGTCTTAAAACATAGTAACATGTTCAAGAGCACGGTACTACCCTTTTTTTGGTGTGCATAATGTCAATGGTGATTATTGTGTGTTTAGTTATTCATTCTTTAATCAAAATCAGGTTCTGAAGTAACTTTGAGGAAACTGATCAAGTTATTTATTCACCAGGAAAATCAGGTTTGATCGATCAGAGAATTTAGTTGAGAGTGGTGCTTTCATCATGAAATGCAGTTGATACAACCTACCAAGTAATAAAGAAGAAGAGAGAAAGAAGAAGTATACGAGGATAATTTAACAATTTCCGAATCTTCAACCATAAGTTCAAGTGTTTAATACTCACATAACCACCTCGTTCGTATACCACATGCAAAATTTCGTAGCTAATAATAATTAAACATATACTTTATTAAAAAGACAGGAATGCGTCTGCCGGGAGTCGAACGCGGGTCTATTGCTTGGAAGGCAATTATCCTAACCGTTGGACTACAGACGCTTTTGGCTGACTAAACCGTAGTTTAGTTTTGACTGTTAGCCTAGGCTTCAGATCAGGGTTTAACTAGGATTTATACTTCGGTAAGGGATTATGGGCTTAACTTAGTGGGTTAAAGGGTTCGGGCTAGAATCTCCCCGTTCCGGTAAGTTTCTTCGGTGGTACGTTTTATGTTATTCAAACCCTCGGATTTTGGGGGTGTTACAAAAAATCATAAACCGGAGCACCTCCGCGACGAACTCAAAGATGAGACGATGGATAAGATGATGAAGCCATCGACTTTAGAAAAGAGAAAGTTTAAGGCAAAGAAGAGAGAGATAATGAACAACGACGAAGCTTCTACTTCTTCCTCATGTTCTTCATCTTCTACCTCTAACCCTAATTCTACTCGAATAGTTTCGCGAGTGGCTCGTAGATTACGAAACCCTACGATGCGGTTAGGTATGGCTCGACGAAGCGTTGGAGAACGACAAGCCGAAGCCTTGGCGCTTTCTCTGGGAATGTCATTCGCAGCTTTTACAAATCTGGTTCGATCAGTTTCCAAACCTTATCTCTCTTTGCTTTAAATAAAACCAAACATTGCTTAGCTGAATTGTCTCTTCACACTAGTTTGTCTTGATGGCTTGAGCCTTATGACACAAATTTGTAGCTTTGATTGTGATTTTACGAAACCTCGACCCTACCAAAATTTGCATTGCTCTCTCTAATTTTTACTGTTTCTTTCTTTCTTGTTCTCTAGGTTCTTGAGAGAAAAAGTGCCGCGGATCAGAATGTTCATGTCGATGATCTTGCAGTAGTAAGTACTTCCGTTGTCAAAGAAGCTTTAGTCAGCGTAAGCCAACCTTATCTTTTCGATTTCTTCAATTCATAAGCTTTTAAAAAAAAAAGTAATTAATAGAGATTTGATTTACAGGTCTATGGTGAAAAGCTTGGTTCCTTTGCGACCAGATTTGAGAAATCATTTAAAAGTACTCTAAAGATTCTCAAGGTGACCAATGAATCCGCATTTGCGCATTATCAGTTAAACAATAATAATGTTGCGAGTTTTAATCTAGACCCTTCTACAATAGAAGGATCCTCATCAGACACCGAGCTAACTGCAAAGGAAACTTCATCTACTACGTCTACTTATGAAACTGTTCAAGGCGGTGCAAGACCAACCTCTTCGATGAACGAGCTTGTCCTGAACGAAGACACTCGACAACTCTCAACAATGTCCTTGACCACATTCGAACAACGGTCTCTAGAAGAGAAAGCACGAGCAAACGACCTATCATACATGAAGAATTTTCTTACAGTTAGGAAACTATGTCTGAAAGAGGCTGAGCTGGTACAAATGGAAGAATCAAACAACCTGAAGAAAATCAAAATAGAGATGGATGTCTCGAAAGCTGCTTTCAAAGCCGAGAAATTCAGTACTCAAAAACAAGATACAAGAAAAGACGAAATGGTCACGGTACTCAACGACTGGCTCGTCACAAGCGTCTACATCATGCTAATTGCTATGGTTTATGGCGCTTACATGTTCTCACAACAGAGAATCATGGAATGTGAGCCATCATCATCAGAGGAAGATGAATCCGGATGGGTTCCTAAACAAGTGTCACTGTTACACACAGAGTTTAACTTCTTGATTTGTCGGCTTCGTGTTTGGATACCGAGTAGCTTCAGTGTCTTGATGATCCTAATCTTCACTTACTTCATAATCCAACGGTCGTCGGGTATGAAGCAGGCGATGCCGGTTAGTTTCATCGTTGTTTTCCTCGGCGTTTTTTGCGGTTTGATTGGCAAGTTTAGCGTCGACACGTTGGGATGCAACGGGAAACTCTGGCTGATTCTTTGGGAAGTGTTTTGTGCTTTGCAATTGGCTGCAAATGTCTACATGTTGCCTTTGCATGGTTTGATCTATGGTCCGACTCAAGGGACTATGGTTCCTTATAGGGCACGGCGTGTTTTATTCTTTGGTTTGGTTAATTTGTTGCTTCCTGTGATTATTGGTTTTTTGCCATTTGCTGCTACATTTGGTGAATGAATAGATCTCTGAGATTATTTTTTTGTTACTCTTTTGCATTTGGATTATAGTCACGACTAAGCTTTTGTTAGTTCATATTAGAATTTTATAACAATTTGGAAGAGTAAAAATGGGTTTATCGCCACTTGCTGCGACATTTAGTGAATGAATAGATCACATATCCACTTCCTATATCACATGCAAATTTGCGTAGTTAATAAGAATCAAACACATGTTTGTTTGACAAAAGAAAACGAATGTAACTAATTAATATCTTTACCCCAAAGAGAAAAAATAATAATATTGGAGTCGACATGAACATGGCCCCATCAGTGTAATCCAAAACGATGCCATGTGGACCGTCGGATTAAAGATTGCATCATACGACAGTCACACATCGTCTACACAATCAGATCCTTCGCTGCTGGTTGGATTATATTTCTTTTTTTTCGTATAAAATAAAAAATGAAAGAAAAGAAGCAATCGTCCATTGAGAGCTTTGGGAGAGAGGAGAGTATATGCTTCGAGTATCTCTCCTTATCCCTCCTTCGGGTCCTCTTCAAAAACCCCCCACTCTTCCTCCTTCTTCTGTAACCTTCTCTCGCCATGGCTAATCCTCAAGCTTCTCCGATTCTCCATAACCAGAATCACCTCTCTCTTTTCCATTTCCGTACTACATCTCGTCCTTCCTTCAGCTCTCTGCATTTCGCGAAGCCTCTGCTCTTTCTCCCTTCTTCTTCTTCTCCTTCGTCGTTTTCTTCGTCATTTTCCTCGCAGTTATCGCAGAGCGAGCAGCAATGTAATAATCACCAGGTGAGACGCGTGTCCACCGTTCCTGTGGAGTATTCGACACCGACTCCTCCGGAATCCGACGATTTCCTATCGGAAATCGATCGGCTTAAGGCGCTCCGATCGAAACTAGACGTTTCGAAGGACCCACGGAGGAAGGAAGAGGTCATCGACGCTGATTCCAGAGTTCGTCGATTCTTCAGCCAGAATCGCGGCGGTTTATCCAAGGTTTTAGTCTCAGTCGGTTTAAATTCGAAAGAGATGTTTCTCGTCAAGTGTGTGATCGCGGCGGGGCAAGAGCACGCGCTATGTGTGGGGTACGAGGAAACATTTGAAGAAGAAGAAGAGGAGGAGGAGTATACAGTGAGAAGCTCGGTTAAAACCGCGCTTTACGCGTTGATTGAGATTATAGAGCGATTCGATGTGAACAGTAGCGGCTACAAAGGTAGAAGAGAGACGAGTACAGTTTTAGATGCAGAGGAGATTACTCACTTGAGAAAGTTCTTGACGTTTCTGGGAGAAATTGAACAGTTCTACGACTGCATTGGAGGAATCATCGGGTACCAATTCTTAACTTCCTTTTAGTACATAAATTTGACGAAATTACATGAAATTTTTCGATTTTGACTGCTGAGAAACGCATGATTGTGTGTCAGATATCAGGTTATGGTTCTCGAGCTTCTTCACCAATCAACGAAGAGGCATAATACTAATCGTTCACATGTTATTGAAGAATCATTGGATTGCCAGTACTTAGAGATGCACACTCCTAGCGTTCTTGACCTCACTCAGGAGAAGGAATATGCTTCTCAGGCGGCGCTATGGGGAATTGAGGTTAGTATTGTGCTATTGGTTTCAATATTAAGCGAATTTGCTGTGTATGGTTCCTGGACTGGGTTATAAGTTGTTGTACATATTAGGGATTGCCAGATTTAGGTGAAATATATCCCCTAGGAGGTGCAGCAGACAGATTGGGTTTGGTTGATCCAGAAACAGGAGAATGCCTTCCTGCAGCTATGCTTACTCATTGTGGACGAACTTTGTTGGAGGGGCTAATTAGAGACCTTCAGGTACAGGTTCACTAATTACTTAAGTGACTCTTGGTAGGTTTGTTTGTATTTGAGTGTATGAAAGGGGGAAAATTCAGCATTTGAGTTTGAGTGAACAACAGTATTTGTTCATGTGAGTTAGTAATGCTGTTTATCCTTTTGTTTTTGTAATTTGTAGGCTAGAGAGTTCCTATACTTCAAACTTTATGGAAGGCAATGTGTCACTCCTCTTGCCATTATGACAAGTGCTGCAAAGAACAACCATGAGCATGTAAGTTCGCTTTGTAAAAGGCTCAAATGGTTTGGAAGGGGTCAATCAAATTTCCAACTCTTTGAACAGGTATAGCGTACATATATTTTGTTGTCGTTTATGTTAACCTTTTCTGCAACAACTGTATATTATTACTCACAGTTCAAAAACGGTTTTTGATCTCTAGCCTCTCGTCCCAGCTGTCAGTGCTGAAGATGGTCAATGGATAGTATCAAAGCCTTTTGTGCCAGTTAGTAAACCTGGTGGTCATGGTGTGATTTGGAAATTAGCGTATGACAAAGGTGTCTTTAAATGGTTTAATGATCATGGAAGAAAAGGAGCAACTGTTCGGCAAGTTAGGTTAGTGATATACCCTTGAGAAGTTGTTCGTTGAAATAAAATCAGAACTATCTGGATTTATAGTGTTGATAATTGTGATATGGCAGTAACGTTGTGGCTGCCACAGATGTGACCCTCTTGGCCCTTGCTGGGATTGGTTTAAAGCATAAGAAGGTAAGCTTGCACAGCATGTTCAATATTGATCATAGATTCAAAAGATCATATTTATTACTTTTGGATCCAAAAACGATAAGGTTCTGATGTGGATTACAAATGGTCCCAGGTGTTAGCTTAAAGAAAATGCTAGGTATCATCACATAATCAATTTTCTTGTATATATGGTAAATAAGTTCCTTTGGGAAAACGAGCGTGTCATAGGCCTCAAAGTCTTTTTGGTTAAATTATTGGCTCAACAGTATCTACTAAGATATTGTATGCTTTACAAACTTGCTTACTAGCTGAGAACATATGTTAATGTGTCATCATCTTTCTACAATTGATTACCCACAAACTTTAACTTATCGAATCTTTATGTGACAGAAACTTGGGTTTGCATCCTGTAAACGGAATGCTGGAGCAACTGAAGGAATTAATGTATTGCTGGAGAAGAAGAATCACGATGGGAAGTGGGAGTATGGTATATCGTGCATTGAGTACACTGAATTCGATAAATTCGGAATCTCCAACAAATCACCTTCCTCAAATAGGTATGATATCTCTCTCATTGAATTTGTTCATGCGTAAAAGTGCTTATATCCGAAAACAATTCATAGCATTTCCATACTAGCTGAAACAGTGAGATAAGTGCAAAATTATTTCTTCTTTTGCTGTCTGTCTCTAGCGTTAGTTGTTTTCTCTTGTTCTCTGGTTATATCTGGTGCGGTTTTATTAGTGTGTCTTCAAGTCTTTTTCTTAATCATCTCATAGTGCCAGATCAAGATCAAATCATTAATTCCTTTTTACGTCTGAAGTTTGCAGGCTGATTTCCCTGCCAATACAAACATTCTATATGTAGACTTACACTCTGCCGAGTTAATTGGGTCGAGTAGCAATGTAAAAAGTTTGCCAAATATGGTTCTCAATACAAAGAAGCGAATTGAGTACATTGATCAGTACGGAGACTATCACAGGTTTGTAATCTGAACACTTATGGCTGACTGATCTTTCTGTGTTTCCTTGTTATCTTTCCAATTCCTCTGGACTTCTAGATCCCAAATACTTTGAAATATATACTTTAAATGAATTTAGAAGTTTTTTTTAACAACGTTAGCAACTTTCTCATTATTTTTCTTCTTTGGGCAGCGTTATGGGTGGTAGATTGGAGTGCACGATGCAAAACATAGCAGACAATTTCTCAAATAAGTTTACATCTAGATGCCAGGGAAGTATAGAAGGTAAAGTTATTTGAACAAGTTGCAACGATTTATGTATATGTGTATTTAAATCATTAAATCTTACATACTCTCTTAATATGATCTTATCAGACAAACTGGATACATTTATTGTGTACAACGAGCGAAGAAGGGTCACTTCATCAGCTAAGAAGAAGAAACCACACGCAAGTGCTGCATTACATCAGGTTATCTTTCTCAAACCATTTTCTTCAAATTTTTTTCTGTCTCATTGCTTTGATTTGGCATTCATGAAACCAATTTCTTTATATAGCTTAATTTCCAAACTTATTTTTTCCTTACAGACTCCAGATGGTGCTTTGTTGGATATACTTCGGAACGCATATGACCTCCTTACGGAGTGTGATATTAAACTTCCCATGGTTAGTTCATAGTTACATATCTATTATACGACTTGTTTTAAGTATCACTGCTGTTTCAGAGCTGTGAGGATGTTTTACATGTCAGTTTGGATAACTAATATTAATTTTGTTTCTCCAGATTGAAGCTAATGATAAGTATGTAGATGCCCCACCGCCGTATCTCATTCTTCTGCATCCTGCTCTCGGTCCTCTTTGGGAAGTTTCAAGACAGAAAGTAAGTCAACTGTTCACTATGCCGTCTGCTATTCTTCTAATGATTCTGAAATTATAGTAAATGCTTATTTATGGTTAATCTGATTTGTTCATTGTTACAGTTCAAGGGAGGGTCCATTTCTAATTGCTCAGAACTGCAACTAGAGATTGCAGAGTTCTCATGGAACAACGTTCAGGTTCCACAATCTTTTTCTGATAAGTAGATGTCGCATTAGCTTTCACCGTGTTGAGTTTCTTAAATTTTTAATCAGCTTCCATCTCATAGGTTGATGGTAGTTTGATCATCACTGCTGAGAATGCCATGGGTTCGACAACAATCAACGAAAATGGTGAACCAATATTACAGTACGGACTAAGGTAGAGCAATTGATATCAGTCGTGTACTTGAATATATCTTTCAGACACATGCCTATTATTGGTTTGCCATATGTTAAGTCACATAAAACCTTCTTTTTTTGGGTAGGTGTGGCAAGTGTAAACTGCATAACGTCAAGGTAGGTAACAAAGGAATCGATTGGAACAGTAAATCAAATGTTTACTGGAGAAACGATGTGAACCGGCTTGAGACTTGTAAAATCATATTACACGGAAATGGAGAATTCGAAGCCAGCAATGTAACTATACAGGTAACGTAAACGTGGAAGTTAAAATCCTTGTGCAAAACAGAGATTAAAGTGTCTGCTTCCAGTCATTTGATATCTCTACTCGCTTTGTCAATGTCAATGATACAGGGAAACCAAGCTTTTGAAGTACCAGATGGTCACAGACTGAAGATTACACAAGGAAATTCAGGTCAGTGAATCATTTCAAAAGCAATGGTGATAGTAAATGAGGCTAAATTGACACATTGATTGCATTATTTGGTGATGGATATATAGGTTTAAGCATCAACTTGGAAGCAATGAAAGAAGAAGTAATGGAAACAGGAAGCTGGTATTGGAACTACCAACTCAATGGATCCCACATTAATCTTGAACAAGTAGAGGTTTCACCAAACTAACTCAATAATCCAATATCATCCCAATGTAGAAAGTGTCATGTAATAAGTTTATGTATATTGCCAATAAAAGTAGATAGTTCCTTGCTGTAAATGTTGCTCATTTGTAAATTAAACAAATCATGTTCACCAATCTATCTCATGTGTTGTCTTTCTGACCGGTCCTCTCTAAAGCTTAGATTCATATTTGCTATCAAGAATAAATATACAAATCTGTATGCATCATGAAATCTTGTAAAAATTCCCAATGGGAACAAAGAAGATCCAGAAATGCAGAGAAGCTTTATCTTTAAGATCTCGTCTCTTTATTATCTCCCATACATCTACCACTAAGTTTTTTCTCTGTAACAATGGTGATCGATCGTCTCTTCTCAGAATCACTCATGGTTTTACAATCAGCATTGATGACATAAAAATCACGCAAAGCCTTTCCCATTTTCAATCCTCTCTCACGCATCTCTTTCAAAACCAACTTGGCTTCTTCAAACCTCTTCCTCTTAATCAGCTTACTAGCCAAACTCCCCAAGTTCTCTTCATCCAATCTCTCATCTTTCCCAGCGTAAGCCATCACGAACTCAACACCCTGCGCATAATAGCCACAAGCAATCATCTCCGCTATAACGTGCGCATGAGTGGCGTACAATACCGGCAACCCTACTTCCTCCATCCTCCTCAGGATCGCCATCGCCGCTTCCACTTTCCCCGATTTGCACGCGCCCAAAACAAGCGCGTCGTAAGTGCGCGTGTCCGGCGACATCCCTCCCTCCTCCATCTTCCTCAACACCTTGCTCGCCTCCGCCACGTCACCGTCGTAGCAGTGGGAAGTTAAAAAGTAGTTGTATGACGTCACGTCCACCAAAATATCGTGGGATCTCATCAATTCCACCACGCGCCAAGCTTCCTCGGTTTTGTTCTTCTTCGTGAGCGTGTTTATGATCGGGTGGAATGTGGACGACGTGAAACCGAATCTCCCGGTTGCCATATCGCCGATTAGGATCAGAGCGTCGTCGATCCGACCTAATTTGCAGAGACGAGCGATGAGAGTATCGTAGGCGTGTTTCCGCGTGTAACCGGCGTCGGTCTGAGGTAAAATGCGGCGGAGATCTTCGAGCGAGGAGGAGTAAGAAGCTGTGTTGGTTAGGAATTTGAAAGTTGCGGTGGTGTTGAAACAAGCGTTCACGACTCGGCTGTTTAGGAGACGGCGTACTGCTTCGAAATCGCCGGAGCTTCCTGCTTCGCAGATGAGGTTATCGAACTCAGTGGTAGTATGACGATGACGAGGATGAGCAATTGAATTGGTATTTACAGTGGAGATCGAACGTCCGGAGATTGATTGAAGGAGAAATCTCGAACTTGTTGCTCCTTTAACAAATCGCCGGAGAAGAGACATCGTCGAATTTAATTCACCGGCGATAAGGAAATGACCCCCTTTCGAATTCTCTTCTGTAGGGGTTTAAGCCGGAAAATTAAGGAAGAAGATGAGAGTAAATGGGCCTAATTAAGCCCATAAGAAAATAACGGGCTAATGTTATGTTTATTGGTCTCGTTCGTTTTCTCTAGGGTTTCTGGAATATATACTTCATCTTATTTTGTCACTCACCCTACGGAATCGTTGCGTAGAGTAAGATTTTTGTGAAAAGAAGTCATGAGAGCTAAGGTAATAATATGATCTTCTTCCAGTTTTCCTCATTTGATTGTTTGATTACTCAGTCTCGGTGTTTCAGAAAGTTTATTCCTTTATTCCTGAGTGAAATGAAATTAATTGTGGATCTGTTGGTGGTGTTTTTGTTTTTCAGTGGAAGAAGAAGCGTATGAGGAGATTGAAGAGGAAGAGACGAAAGATGAGACAGCGATCTAAGTAGACACATCTTATCTCCAATTGTTTTTCGTTTTTTCCCTCTGTTTTGTGTACCCTTTGCTTCAGTTTTTTTCTTAATTTCAAGTATTATGGGATACATTTTGCTATTGGATTAATACATTTTCAGTCAATGCTAAGCTTTATTCATCTTCATATTACCCTCTTTGCATTTGTTTTACAATATACCAATTACGGATTCGAGACCGATCAATTGTAGTATATCTTTTGGACTAGTAGATAATCAAATGTTCTTGGACATAGAGATTAGTCTTTTTCTCTCTTGCTGTTATAAAATTGATAATATCAAGAGATCTTGCAAAGCTGAAACTGTGGATGATGTAACGATGTGATCATCATCAACATATAAACTGTTGTTTAGTGTTTGCAAATACTTCCCATTGCTGTTTGATGAGAAGAAACTACAATGTAAAGGTTGAAATTCAAATTAAAGCATGAAGAAATGATGTGAGCAAAATTATGTGTACTATATTACAAACTTGTCCAAGATCTTATCTTTAGTTTTCATTGAAGTGAATAGCACCGAGTTTCCAGACAAGAAAAGTAGTAGCAAACATGACCGTGCTTATGAACACAAAGGAGAAAGCGATGATGAGTATATCTGCGCTTCCAGGGAGATCAAAGGTAAGGCCATTCTTGGGCATACCTCTCTTGCTATCATCAAGCATGTTGGTCGGTGCTTGGGGTAGACCCGGTTTCCGATTTGATTTCTTATCGCTTTCCTTGAGCACCTCAAGAATCTGGCTCCCCATTTTGGGTTTTGACGGTTTCGGTGTTGCCTCTGTGTATCGGCTGAGCACACGAGCTGCTCTTAGTCTCTCTCTTGCTGTCAATGGCGCTCTTTTGCCTGAACCGTTGCTGCCTGCTTCAACGGACTCAGTTCCTGGTTTGTTAGAGTCGACGGATGTTGTTGTGATGGAATTGTCATCTGTCGTTGAACAAGATAAAACCAATCTTCTTTTGCTTGAAAGTAATAACAACCTTGTCGAACAAATTGAAGAGATTTGGAACGTGAAAGGCAAAGGCTTTAACTGTATCACATGATTGGACCGGTTACGAAGCTTCAAAGATAACAAGATTTTTGTTAGCAAAAGCTCATGAAAGCATTGGTTTTTCGATCAATCAGGGAGATATTTATACGATTGAATTGTAAGGCTAACAAATCAAACTCAGTTCCAAATCTTCAGAGAAACGAAAAAACATTTCGATTTTTCCAGAAACCAAATTCATCGCAACTAAATTGGTTATACAGTCGTATGTATGAGAAGAAGAATATTATGGTGATGAAACACTTACCGGAGAACTGAAGCCGGGGCTGAGAGCGACGGCCATTGTTGATCGTGTTTTTAAGAGCGACGCATATGGGAAAGAAGAAAAACGGAAGCTCTCTGTGTGTTTGTGGCAGTGAAGCTAAGCTGAGAATCGAAGATTGGGTTCGCTCCTTCTTCCACTTGCGCTGTTAGCGCGTGGAAACTACGCAGTCGCTTCAATTTTTTAAGTTTTGAAATTGACCCCACATAAAAGAGGGAAATTGCAAAACACAACCACAACTATAGTTTGTTCATATGAAACACTAAATTATAAGCAAAAAGTAAAACATAATCGTTTTGAGACGCCACACTATTGTATTTCTTAAAATATGGAGAGGTCATTTGATATTGTCTTCAAATTTTGATTATATAATCCACATTTCAATCTCATGATGTGCCAAAATCTACAAAATGCTTGTTTGACTGTTTCATTGTTTGGAAAAGCTTATCTTGAGTCTAAACCAATTACTAAACTTAGATTCCTTAAACGCAAGCTGCAACTGAATTCCCAAATTTATCATGCAGCTTGTTAATATGTAATTATTCTGTAATAGAAAATTAACTTCTCTAACTAGTCTAGGACTAGGAACAAGTTACAACAACTCTTCTCCAAGTTATTAGTACTTGGACTTTTACAGTTTTATAGTTTTTCCCTCAGCAAATAGATAATGGTCCACTAATCATTGACTTTGTAAGTGATTATTAATCGTTTGCATTGATGACATGACCCATCTAAACCGCTTGTCTTTAGTGACTAAATTGCACATGTAAATTATTTCTTATAATATCTCATGTAAAATGCTTTTGTACAACATATGATAAATTCGGGATATATCTATAGATAGGTATGTCAATGGTGTCGTTGTCGTGAGAGCTTTTAAATATTTAAAAGAGTCCCTCCCTCTCATTGATCGGTCCAACTATGCAGCGATTACTAGTTTCGTTAGACCTTTAAACTAAACAAAAGTCTGAGAGAGGTTCTGATTATGTCATAAAATATTGACAATCTCCACATAAAAACTTAGACATGGTGTCGTGTAAACACAGCCGATTCCAGCTCAATCAAAACATTTTTCTTTTATTTTTATATATGATCACGATTCACGATTATACATGTCCCATTATTTATTTTAATCAATGAACAAAGACTTATAATTCTAATTCTAAGAGAAATAGTAGTATAGCCAAAAGAATGTCGGATCTTCCTGAAGCTAATTCTTCTTTCTCGAGGGAGATTTCGAAGCTTCCTCTTGCTTTCTGTTAATATTCACTCGAATCAGATTGTCTCTTCTGTGTTTGTGTGTTGTGAAGTCAACAGTATCTTGCAATGGCGACATCTTCTGGTGGACTATTCGACGACATGAATGTGTTGGGAGTGATCGGATATGTATTGGAGAAAACAAGATTCATCTTCCTCGTACCGATTCTTAATGTCCTGGTGAATCTATGTCAGGTCATCTCTTTGTTGTTGTTCATAGATGCAGCTTACATGGCCATAGTTGTAGCCATTGTCAAAATACGTGGACGAACACCACAGAAAGTTCTCAAATGGGAATCCTTTAAGAGCGATGACGTCGAGCTCGCTCCTTCCAGCAATCATCCAATGGTTCTCATCCAGATCCCAATCTACAACGAAAAAGAGGTGACTTGGCATTCAAACAAACAATAAATGTTTCACAAAACAGAGGACTCTGTTTCACTAGTGATCTTTTTGTATACAGGTATGCCAACTTTCGATAAGAGCAGTTTGCAAGCTATCATGGCCGTTGGATCGGATGATTGTTCAAGTGCTCGATGACTCAACCGATCCACACAGTAAGGTCCTTTCGTGAAACCCGTTTGAATCATTCTCCATTGATCATCCTCTTCTTCAACCTCACAAGTCACAATGTATCTAACTTTAAGTGTTTCTTTTTTAGGAACTTGTTAGATTGGAGTGTAAGAAATGGGCGAGTGAAGGTATAAACATAAAGTCAGAGGTTAGAGACAGTAGAAATGGTTACAAAGCAGGAGCTCTCACTGAAGGAATGAAACATAGTTATGTGGAAGGATGCGAGTTTGTTGTTATATTCGACGCAGATTTTCAGCCTGAGCCTGATTTTCTTGAACGTACTGTTCCTTTTCTCGTCTACAACTCTGAGATTGCTCTTGTCCAAGCCGGTTGGAAATACGGTTAGATCAATCATAATTCACTTCCTAGTTAGCTAAAAGACCCGTTTCAAGGTAATTTGATTTGTTCTTGTGTGTTTGTGTGTGTGCGTGACAGTGAATTCAAACGAGTGTTGTATGACAAGAATACAAGAGATGTCCTTAAACTACCATTTCGCAGTGGAGCAGAAGTCTGGATCCTCCATTTATGGTTTCTTCGGATTCAACGGTGGAGTATTCATGCATATCCATGATCTTGTGTGTTTTGTTATTATATGATCTAAATTTGTGTGAATATAAAGAAGATTTTTCCCTTTTTAGGTACTGCTGGTGTGTGGAGGATCTCAGCTTTGAATGAAGCTGGTGGATGGAAAGACCGGACGATTGTTGAGGACATGGATTTAGCCGTTAGGGCTTATCTAAGCGGCTGGAAATTTGTGTTTGTGGACGACGTTAAGGTGAAAAACGAGCTTCCAAGCTCATTTAGAGCATATCGGTTTCAGCAACATCGTTGGTCTTGCGGTCCAGCGAACCTCTTCAAGAAAATGGCTATGGAGATCATCCAAAACCAGGTTAATAAAGGTTACATAAATTTTTAACTTTGGAACAACACAAAGTCAATGAGTCAAATCACTGACTTCGTGTGTACCTTTTTGTGAGACAGAGAGTGTCTTTTTGGAAGAAGGTGTATTTGATATACGACTTCTTTTTGCTGAGGAAGATTGTTGTACACATCTTCACATTCGTCTTCTACTGTCTGATTTTGCCTGCTACCGTCATATTCCCGGAGATAGAAGTCCCAAAGTGGACAACTATCTACATTCCAGCAACCATCACTATCCTAAACGCTATCGCAACGCCAAAATCATTCTACCTAATTCTGTATTGGATCTTGTTTGAGAACGTAATGGCCATGCATAGGAGTAAAGGGACTCTCATTGGATTGCTAGAGACTAGTAGAGTTAAAGAATGGGTTGTGACACAAAAGCTAGGAGAGAGTAATACTCTCAGACAAAACCTCATTCCTCACTATAGCTTCCCCGAAAGGTTTGAGATCGTTTTTTTTTTCATAGCTCAATATTATTTTGAACGGTGATGATGTGATGATTGTGATGATGTGTTTGAATTTGTTGCAGACTCCGGTGGCGAGAGATAACAGTTGGGATGTATCTGTTCATCTGTGGATATTATGACTTTGTGTTCGGGAAGACGTATCTTTATGTATACCTTTTCTTGCAGTCTGTTGCCTTCTTTGTTGTTGGAGTTGGCTATATCGGTATGTCGGTTCCGAGTTGATCTCCGGTGACAAGTTTTTAACTTCCTTCTTCTCATTCATTCAAAAGGTTCGATTGTATAGAGATTAAAGAGATGTGGTTTTGTCAAGAGGTTACAGTTTCATTGGAAAATTATTTGTGGCTCACAACTATTGATCTGAACTAAACACCAAATGTAGATCACTGTTAAGCCGGCAGAAAGAAAATGAAGAGTATTGGTGAAGAAGATTCAACGATGATTAAGAGAAATACTATACTCAAATGTCTGCTAAACCACAATGACATTACAAAAACATATGAACACATTCTAACGATACTAGAGGCATAGCTAAGCTCATATCTGTCTCTACATAAAGTCTTGACCAAAGAAAAAAAAACAACAACTGTCACTACAAAGTTAATTACGGTCAGTAGCCTCCTCCCATTGGTGGCATGCCATATGGTGGCATCGGAGGCATTCCGGCCATTCCTGGTGGTGGCTCAGAGTAGAGTCCGGCCATTCCTGGTGGTGGTGCAGAGTAGCCTCCGCTCATTCCTGGCATTGGCGGTGCAGGCAAAGCCAGTGGCAGTAACTGAGCATACATGTTCTGCACCGTAACACAAACAAAATATGATGAAATTAGTTTTAGTTTTAAATCCAAAACATAACCCAATTGGAAGAAGTTTCACAAGTACCTGTTGCGACATAACCTCTTTATCATCTTGCTCTTTAGCCTTGACTTCTTTCTGAGCTTCGATCTTGTCCTTTATGAGTTCATCGACTTTTCCTGTGTATTCTCGCATAAACTACAGCAAACCAACATAATGAAATGTTTCGTCAAGAGAGAAATACAACAAAATCATGCAATGTTATAGAGACTGAATATGTCATTTAATGGAAGAGTGTGATTAAATCACCTGCAAGAGGTACGGGACGGCAAAGTCAATCATATTATTGATCCAAGCTAGCTCAAGCGCAACATCTGGTCGGATCAAGTCGTAGCAGACAAACAGGCATGTTGCAAAGCATTCCTTCTTTCCCTGTGTTCCACCACAAAACAGTATTGCTTCAGTGAATTGATGGAAACAAAATGCATGGCGACATATACATGGTTTCACAGCTCAATAAATTTTACTATTGGTTGCACTGTGAGAGTAATAATTAATTACCTGTTCGACGAAATAAACAAGCAACTCCTCTGCTAGTTCACGGTCTCCGGACTGTGAAGCTGTTTCCATGCAGTCCTTGTACAGCTTATCTTTTTTCGACAATGCAATGGATTGCTTCCACCTTCCAGCCTTTTTGTATATGTAAGCCGATACACGTCTCATCTCGAGAAGTTCATGTTTCTCAATCTGCTCATCAGATTCATCCAACAATAGTTTTGAGATATTGCAACATTCAATAATGCAAAGAGTCGAAGATTACGTTAAGTACTCACCTTCTGAGCAAGACCTATTTGGTCAAAGCTATCATGCAAATCAGTGGATTCACGCAGCCTTTCGTAATCTTCCTCTTCTACATAAATCTGGTTCAACGCTTCATTTACGGCGGATACATTGTTGCTCTGAACAGCGACCATGTAGGGCTTGATAAGAAGCAGCTGTCCAGCCTGGAAAAGAAAAGAAACAACATCAAGAAATGATTTGAAAGTGTTTTTCTTAGAACTAGAGCAAATAGTAGACTGTTGTTGTATGCATATAATATAAAAATAAGTGTATACCTTGCGCATGATGTCAACAACACGGGCATGATCCAACCTTAGTGCAAGGACATTGAGAAGATCGTTAATGATGTCTGGGTGTTCTTCCAAGTAGAAATGCACTGCTTTATAATATAACTCCACATTAGCAACTTTGGCGACAATATCTTTGAACTGCATATGATCCCAAGCTTCTGGGGAGTGGTTCATCACAGTGGTCGAAGCATTATCAAATTCATCATACTGGATGTACAGATAAACAAGTTCCTTCCAGTGTTGTTGCTCGTCGCAAGCTCGGATAAGCTTGGGAATGTTAAGTCTTGTTGAAAAGAGCTTAATATGCTCCATCAGTTTCTCTGGACGGTATCTAGCATATAGAACTCCTAACTCAGTAAAGATCCCCATGTGTGCACGTTCCAGTCCTAAACCACTCTCCATTAGAGATATTAGTTCATTGAAGCAGCCACGGTTCTGGTAATACTCGCTGACCTCTTCCAAATCATCAACCTAATTGTAGAAAGAGAAATGTTAGAGACGGTATGATCTACTTAACGGTAAGAGAAAATCAATACAGACTATTCCAGAAAGTTAGTAGAAGCTGCGCTACCACCATACATTCTAAAACTCTAAGAGACGTAATACTGCAGAATTAGCCTCTGGCTTTCTAGTATAAGAACAAAGAAAATACGAAAAGGGACATAAATTTTGAAATAGTAAGAATTCGGGAGAATACACATTACCTGTATAATGATGTTAAGCCCGCATATCTGTGCCAGGCGGAACTCTTCAGCATCAACGCAAACAAAGCAAACTTCTTTCCATGTCTTTGCACTGTTAGCTTTCCGTGCTGCATCGACAGCACCTTGGAACTGTTTCAACTTCACAAGTGTGACTGCTAACTTGGCCCAGTTAGATATAAATGCGTAGATTATCTTGGCAGCCTCATACATGGCTTCATCATATAAACGATCGCCGGCAGTTTGAAGATTTGCAACATTCGGCATCAGAATAAACTCTTCAATGTCACTCAACCTGTCAATCTTTGCATAGGCGTATATCAGTTCATTGTCAACCTTGGGCTCCTTCACTTTCTGCCTAACCATCAGAAGATATTTAACTAAGTCATGGTAGACATCCCCATCCTCAGCGGCGCGGATAACATCAAGGAACTGAGTGGCATCATCAGCACGGATAAATGACTCTATTGCATCACTAACAAGTCCCTCCCTAAGTTGAGCCTTAGCAACCTGACTCCAAACTGTATCATCTTCAACACGGAATGCAAACTCAACAGCTCGCTCGATACTTCTAATGTTGTCCAGTAACACATTAACAGCCTGGACATTCAAATTGAATTTCTTGAAAATAGAGAATCCTTCCTCATACAATTGGGCTTCCACAGCCACTTCCCCAACAGCAGGTCCATCAAAGTTATCCAATCTGTTAACATAGTCCATGACTCTCGATGGATCCGCCTTGATAGCTGTCAAAATAAGCAGATTTTGAAGGTTGGAGTTTCCACTGAAAGCTGAGTTCTGAAGCACAATCTTTTCGAGAAGCTCAATGAGTTCATGGGGTAGATCCGCGGTCATGAAAGCTTTCACAGCAGCTGACACTTGTTCTGGGCTCTTGCTTTCTGGTAAAGCAGTTGATACAACCTGATCAATAAGCTGTCTTCGATATTCATTTTCAGGAATAAGAACCTTATCCCAGAGAGTTTCATCCATCCTTTCAACAACATACCTGTATGTAACCAAGTAGAGGCATGTAAGTACTCAGCATTTAATGCCCAAAAAGAGACATTTCACCATGAAAATTTACATACCTAGCCTGCAATTTAAACAATGAGTTCTTGTTTGTAACATTGATGAGCTCATCATCACACTGTCCTCTTTGGTACGCCACAACTGCAAGGGTGGGATCCCGCTTCTCACAGTACTTTCCAACAACTCGAGAGTCATAGTAAGGGTTGGTAGTCAGGAAGTGCTCTGGGTTATTGTTGCTGTCAATAATAATTTTACCCAGGGCATTGTGGACATGCACATCTTGACTTCCTTCGCTAACCCGTTCCTCAAGGAACTGAGTGAGGAGTCGAAGTCGGTTTCTGAAAATTGATATGGAAAGTTAAGACCTAAAGATACCAAGGATGATAAACAAAGGAAAATAAAGATTAGGATAAACCTCTTCTCACACTCCTCGACAAGCGGTTCAACTGGAAGTAAAGTACGAACAGAACGGATAAGACCTTTGATGAAATCCTCTGGGCATTCATCATCCAGCAATTGCCCCACGACCAAGGGGGCATTGCCAGGATTCACCTATAAAGAGAGACATGGTGTAAATGGATTCTCAACAAATCAGATTCATTGATGATCTGTAAAAAGACCCAGTACCTTCTGTACATAGCCTTCAATATAACGAAGCATGTTGCTCGTGTAGAGGTAATGAGTGAGGTCCGGGACAAAACCAAAACGATCACAAACATTGATCAGCGGACGAGCGTCAGGAAGTTTAGCTTCCATCAGAAAGTTCTTGGTTTTTTCAGCGTCATAGAAATTGGATTCTCTTGTCACCCGCTCCACTTCGTTTATTTGGCCAGTTTTTGCAGCAGCCTCAATATACTTAAAGTGAATCTCAGGATCCTCACTGCCCCACAATAAATACAATATGTAAGTAGTTTCGTAGAATTATATAACAGAACCAGGTGTTTCTCAAAGTTACCTCATACTGATATAGGAACCCAAGAAAAAGTAGAGCCCCTCATATGACTTAAATTGCTCAAAAATTTTGATACATGAATCCACTCCCAACTGCTCACAATATTCTTTGCAAGTCTGCATAAACAGCTTACCAGTTAGTTTCAACCAGTATCAGTTTTTATTGCTAGAGAAAAATGTATATGCACCTGCACTATTATCTGCAGATTTCCTCTAAGATTGACCAGCAAAAGGTCCCTCATACACTCCAGAGCCCATTCACGAGATAGGGTACCAAAAAAGTCCACAAGAGCCTGATCAAACATAAAAATTTAGCCATCCATTATTAATAACCAGTTGGAACCTAACTCAAGCTTTTGAGAATATACCTGTGGTTCAATTGCATGGGTATTAACAATAACGCGCTTGATGTCTGGCAACTCCGAGTAATGCTGTATGGAACATTAGGGGGAAATTACTTAGGAAAGGTACGGAAAAACAGAGATAGAACACATAAATTCTCAGAAACACATGTGTAGTTTACCTTAAGAGACTGAATGAACAGGCCAGCTTTTTCACAGAGTTGAGCAATACGTGGACGATCATAGTGAGTGAACATCCCGTTGGCAAGAATTGCCTCAGCCACATTGGGAAACGTAACCAAATTGATCTCAAGCACCTACAAGAAAAGAAATGGCAAAAACGTGAGATGCTGTAGGAAGGTTACTTACACAGGCCGTCATAAGTTGATGAATTAAGTCTTGTTCAACCTTTGTCTGAAGAAATCCGTGCTCAGGTAAATTTGGCTTCAGCACATCCAATAAAAATGCTGTGGCTTCTCTGATCAAGTTTCTCTGACGAAAAAAAGAATAAGGGTCAGTTGGACCTTTATAAGAGAACCTATACATCCTTTTTCCGCAACAAAATTCCAGTAATTTATCTCAAGTACCTGAAGAAAAAGGTCTGTGATGGTATTATAATCAACTGGGCATCCTCCCTCCATTTGGGACATCATTAAAGCAAAATTGACAGCCCCCTGCAATTCAGAGTAACAATTATCAGCTAGATTTTCACATTAACTAAGAAAATCTTAGATGCATCCAAAGGTATATGTACTAAGAGTGAACAAATCAAATGGTATTTTAAATATAGTCTACTATACGGTTTCTCAAGTTATTAGTTAGTCTCCAAAGAGTTATTCCACTGACCTGAGGATCTGTACGAAGAATGGTTTGCAGGAGAAAGAGGTAGTCAGGTGTGTACCCAACCTAAAAAGCAACAACAATTTCAGTACCTAAACAATCAAAAATAATTTCTTGCAATAATAGAGAATTCATGGCATTGACCTGCTTCGAGTAGATTAAAATTTTGTCAAACTCTTTCCTTTCTGCAAAGGCAGCAACAACTTTGGGGGTCACCTTCGCTTTAATGTATATTTTCAGCGCAAGATCATTGTCCACAGTCTGAAATGCATATTCACCAGAATCAAGAGGTCAAAGTCAAGTCTATAAAGAGGTAAACATTTTGTGTTTGAGCTCAAGTCAAACCTTCACAAGGTCTCCTAGCGTCTCACTGCATTCCAATTTGTCCTCTGCCAACCAATTTTCCAGAAGATTCTTTTTATTTTGGTTCACAACAAGGCGAGAAAGTTCCAAGGACTCATACTCGTTAAGCTTCCCTTTAGTTAAGAGAGTCCCGAAGTACTGTAGCAGAGGAGGTGTTTGCCCCGCTTGAACAGGAACACTCTGTGACATTTATTAACAGCAATTAGTTATAAAAATAGACCTTTCAATCTTCCTAGCAGTGGAAGAACAAATCACTACAAATCCAATCACAGGAAACGGTGAAAACCTGAAATTTAGCAACTGTATCAGGTGTTCGAAGTATTCCCTGAGGAGAGTCTGCAGCAAGCTCAGCAGCCTCTTTATACTTTGTTTGCGCAAAAAGCTCTTGGAAACGTTGGACAACCTATGATAATAACAACAAGAAAGAAGAAATTGAAACAATGATGTTAACCCAGTTTTAGCATCAATTTGAGAATAGCACATTTTTGTCTAAATAATAATTGGCAACTATAGTTTCTTCACATCTCATCAGCCATTTTCAACTGAATATTTTTCGGCAAAATATGATCATGATAGTATAGAAAAAATTGTTTTGCCAGTCTTATTCTACTCAGATTTGTTCTCACGTTTCAACATCTCAAATAATCAATTATAGCTATCACAACTACACTACTTGTTCATCCATTAATAATACATAAAATATTAACGACATGGACTAAGATTTCATACACTACTTACCAAGTTTTCTGCTCCAGGAAGGTTCCCTCTTTTCGCAAGACTGACAGCAAGCTCTAAATTGTTCAGCTGTAACATGTGGTACACAAATTAGGATAGCTTTCTTACCAAGGAAAAAATAGTACATTAGTACTTCAAAGTTAAAATTTACCTGGCCACTAACAAAAGGTATTATAGTTGCATCATTAACGGTTCCAAGAAGGACTTGCCCCTTCCTATTGATTGCATAAAAACCCCCGACTGCTGAGGCATCAGAAGTCAAAAATATGGGATCTGGACTTATTCGATTTCTGTACACAGCAGTAGCTGTCTCCAAATCGTACACAAATAGTAGCCCAAGCTTGGTGATGACGTAAATCAAACCGTACTTTTGAGATACCTGAAAGATGATAAATAGACTTCATGAAATTTCCCCATTGACATTTCTAGAAACAGAGGAACCAGTTATGAGCTACAAACCTGCATAGCAACTGGAAAGTCATCTTGAAAATCCGGAGGGAAAAAGAGGTCTGCTTGCTTCTTGCTAAAAGATGGTTTTCCTGGAGACAAATATCTCTAACAGTCAGGACTTGGGACTATGCACAAGAAACTTTTTAATACAATACAGAGCAACATATATGATCCTTATTGACACAATATAGTAAGGTTTTTCAAATGATATATAACAGGTTTACTTGCAGAGCCACACAAGAAAAATCTCTAATAAAGTTGAACTGATAAAGCAGATGAGAGTGACGGAGAAACCACAACCTGGTTGGGCACCAAGCTCAATCACATGCAGCTTAGAGGTTATCTGCCCAGCATTAACACTCTTCGTTGCAAATGAAATAAGAGTAGATGGATTTTCATTTCCAGGGACCTGCTCGGACAAATCAAGTAGACATTTATACTCCACCCAAGCTAAAATTTAAATAAAAAGGAGAAAAAAAATAAAGAAAATCAATATCAGATGAATGTCAGACCTTAAACTGAGCAAATGAAGCAGCATGAGCTTCAAGGGCTTGACTACGCTGCTGATCAACAGAAAAAAGCTGCATATTCCCTTTCACCAGTTGTGGTCTCTAAAGAAAGATCAAAAACTCAATATCAGAAATCAAAAGTTGAACCAATCAAGAGCATTAGAGGAGCAAAAATAAATACTCGTTGAACATTATATACAACAACAGACAATGAGGTTACATAACCAAGTTACCTCAGGTGAACCAGGGGCAATTCCAATCAAGACTAGCCACTTTTCAGAGGGATCACATTTATAGTTTATAATCTGATTGTTTGCCAAGTTCGCTGTCCTATCAAACACCTTAACAGGTGGAGAATCACCTGCCCAAGAACATATAAAGACATGCAAATTAGAACTAAACACGAAAAATAAATATCTTAGTACAGAATTTGAGATAGAAATGCAGAATACAGTACCCTCAATTGACCAATGATATACAGAGGTTTGTGTGACCAAACCCAACATAGTTGGGGAAATCCACTTCCAAAACACGACCTGCACATGAATGGGGCAGGCTGAAGTTCAAATTCCAACGTGATAATAAACTATCAATACTAGATTAGGAAATAAATTCTCACCTGCTCAGGCATCTGATGTGATTTAATTTTCGATTTAGCCTCAATGTTGAATATCTGTAGATGATCCTGAGTGGTGCCCTGTAGTTGAGCTTTGCACACACACACACAAAGAAAAGAAAATAAGTTAACTACCTAACAAAAACGGAGATGGTACAAACTGCAGAACAGAAAACCAATCACAAAATTTCCTGTGACATAATGCCAAACAACAGATTCCTTTCTGATGGAAAACTAATTACTCATTAAGAAAGTACATTTAGCACCCAACTACGCAAAGTCTAACAAAAAAACTAAAATCGAAAGAAGTTAATTTTCTACACTGTCACGGTCAACGTGATTCATGCAGCATCCAAGAATACTTCATCCAGTCACCAAATTCACCTAACAAACGTAAGTGAAACTTTATATTGCAGCATCTAATCTAATGGTGAAAAGCACTAATTATGCTAAAACTCATATATCCAACACATGCAGTTGGTCAAGACACTTAAGATTCCACTATAAGCAACCATAATTTGTTTTCCTCATATGTGACTACCTTTCAACGCAAGAATCCTTGTGTTGGGATTCATTAGTGCGGAATCTGCAGTGATAGGCCTCCTCAAAGGCTGCGTAGGCATACTCATGTCTACAATCACAACACTGTTCTGCGGCGAAGTTTCTCTCACACAAATGTACTTGTCCGACTCCATTGTAACATGCGTAAAGGTGATATGTTGCTGATTGATCCCAACGCTCGGGAGCTACAAAAATCGCATATTTCAGAAAACTCAGAAGTATTTTTCTCTCATATATCTCAGATCGAAAAACTTTGTCCACTGCATGAAATCGAACTGAATACAAGCTTGGAGTATAATAATCCTGTTCTACACAGATCTGAATGTTCAATATCCGGAGAATCATACAACGAGCTGATCACTCGTTCGAGTTCCTCGGTATGCTAATTTCCAAGTAAACACATTCGTGGACTAGCGTTTACTATACGAACTAAGTAAATCTTCGATCACGGGAGTGCTTATTTGATATCAGCCTACTCAATTACCGTGAGAGGGAGTTCTTCCAGAAGCGGATCAAATTCTATGAAAATAAGAAAGAGACTTACCGTTAGGATCTCCTTCATGATGATCGGAGCGTTAGCGGCAGCCATGGTGACACCGGGATTAGCAAAACTTCACGAGCCGGAAACAAGTACTAGTAGAAAGAGTGAGTGTAAAAGAAAAAGGGGTGGGTGGAGAAGACGAAGACGAAGAGAAGACAAAATTCTCGAGTCGCTGCGAGATCTGAGGCAGCGATTTTCCCTTTCTCAAGTTAAATGTAATTTGTGAATGAGAGGAAAATGAGATTTTGTAAATGAAATTGACTAGAAATGGGTTTTATCAAAAAAAAAAATTGACTAGAAATGGGAAGAACCAGACTGGGTGACGAAAAGGGCCTATTATTATCAATGCATGGGCCTATAATTTCTGAGATGTAGCCCAATAGGTTTCGATTGGTCAAATATTCAAATGAGAAGTTTGGTTAATTCTAATATCTTGATGAAATTACAAAATTCCACCACCATTTCCTATACAATCTAATCATTATAACTAGAAATTTGTGCAAGAAAAAAAATGTTTGGCATATTTTTTTTAAGATAATTGAGAGAAGCTTAGTTTATTAGAGGATGTAGAAGATCCTAAACATCATTGTCAAATATTGTATATTTAATATATAAAGATATTTACAGATTTGTATCTATTTAGTTTAGGAACCTCTTTAGTATATAAACCTATATATTTAACCTATTCATATTCTCATGAGAATAAATATCAATTCTTCCATCATAAGCTCTCATCACTTATAATATAGTTATCCTTGGTGTCAATGTCCTAGAAAACTCATTTACCTTTAAGATCTTTTACTGTTAGTGTCCATTTTACACATGTAGTTTCTCTAAGCATCCAAATTTGATCATATTTTTTATTTACACCACTCATCCACCATTGAATAATTAACTTGAACACACAAAAAAACACGATATCTTCAATTGAAGTCACTACAGAATATAAATTTTAAAATCTATAAATAAAAGGTTAATATTATAAGATAACTAAAATTTGAACATTACATATAACTTGGAAAAAAATATGCGCCTAATAGTACCACAATATGTACAAACACTTGTGAATTATGAGAAATTTAACAATTTATAACTACGAGTTCTAATACCATTCAAAATCTTACTTTCCAACAAAAAGAAAGAAATGAATACATATTGACCTTTGATATGTATTTATCCGGTGAACAACATATCAACCGTTCAAAGATACAGACGATGTGGGCAAGTTTTACCCAATTAATTGAACAAAAAACATTTGGCATCCTTTGCTTTCCACCTCACTCCAAAGTTTAAGAGTACACAAACAGTTAAAAGAAAAAATATTCCATTTTCATCCTAATAGACACTCTAATATAAGAAAGAAAAACACATTTCACAGTTACAATTTAAGAAAAATTATGAACATTATGACATCAAAATAATAAAATTTCGAGGCACCCAATGGAGCAAAGAGCGAAAAATTAAGAGAGATTGAATCCCAAACATTTTCAGTTGTTATCTTTAGGTCACGAACGAGAAATAATACGCGAGTAAAGGAACTCATTCCACGTGTCAGGCAAACCGGGAAGACACCAATGGATACAGTCGGCGTAAGTGTTGGGATCGGCTTGTTGCTCCGGCGTCAGCATTTTGCCTTGTCGGATTGTGTGAACCGAAGTGTGAGCATCTTTCCGGAACTCGGAGAGTCTCGTGATGTTGAGGAAGTAAACCGGAACTTTAAGAGAACGCGTGACGTTCTCCGCTACTGAAAACAGCCTGTAGTCTGTTCCTACGCTGAATGGCATTGACATGTTTAGGATCGGTGTCGTCTCCAGTGCGCATTTTATCCCATCTGGATTCTCCCAATCCAAGCTCCTAAGACATAACCACAAATTAAAAAATTAGGAGGTATTTTCTTAATCTAATAAAAGGTACTCTTTAAGACAACACAATACAGTTAAACGTATTAGATGAGGTGGTTAAACCAACTCTTTAAAATAAAAGATTGTAGAGAATTTACGTTTTATGCTAAATTTGTATATTATATAGAGTTTTCAAAGGACAAAGACTTGTCATCTCTTTTTCTGGTAGTTTCTTGGTTTTCAAGTCACGGTACGTCCGCAGGTTGATACTAACTTTTAGAAAGGCTAAAGAATCATATTATAGCAAAGTTAATAGAATAAAGCTAAGTGCCATTAGTGGTAATTTCATATTGCAAGCAAAGCATCACTAGCTAAGAATCAGGTTATCTTAGTGGTAATTAAGGTGAATTAGAGAGAGAAAAGAAAGAAGAAGTTTACTTGATGTGGAGAGGAGACATGCTAGCGAAGAAAACAGTGGTACGTAGAGGATCAATATTCTGTTCCACCCAATCTCCCCAAGTCTTTAACACTCTCTGGTACGCTACTGGCCGTTTGATCTCTTCGTACTCAGTGTCTCCTTTATCGAACGATCCTCGTCTGTTTTCATCAATTCCACAGTCTCACTTAATCCACAACTTCGTAACATAAAACGTATATATATGAGCAAATATTGTAGTAGACTTACAGGACTTTCATGTCGAATGTGTTCATCCACCAGATGTAAGTGTTGAAGACCAGATAGTCAACGCCTTTCCAGTTGACTCCATGCTTCTCAATTGACTCAGGCATTATTATCCGGTTAAGTATACTATGCAGATTTGGATCATCCGAATTCGATTCCACCAAAAATGGCGCCCAATAAAACTCCACCGTCGCATTATAATCCTTTAAAAACCAAAAATCTCTATATTAACTACTCTCATATTCAGCAACTCCACCAAATACATTAGTTGAAGTTTGTTAATTTACCTCGATTCGGAAGACAGAGAGAGAACCGGTTTTGTTCAAGCTCTTTCGACCGGGAGGAACCACTGATTGAACCATGCAAACCATCGATTCCCATTGATTCCGGTTAAGCGAATCCCCAACGAACATCATTCTCTTGTTCCTTAGCTTCTCCAGCAGCAATTTCGCTTTGAACCTTCACCGAATCAAAACAAAAACCCAGAAAGAATTAGATGAAACGAAACTAAATCAACCCAATGATCGATGAAAAAACAGAGCTTTTACTTTGGTAAAGAACAATCTCTCGGCTGCCATCTCCAATTCTGATACAGAGAGTCTCTCCTTCCGTTCCTCATGCACGTCACTTGCGCCGTTAAGAACTCGCAGTGATCCTCTTTGTACAACGGATGCGTCTCGTTATCGAAAACCCACTCTCCGGTGAACAAATCGCACTCCTCCGGCGGAAACTCCACGTCTTCTTCTTCCTCCGTCACGGCAAAAAGCTCAATTTTCTTCTCTGCCTCTGTTTTCGTCACCTCCTCTGTTTCCTTCACGGAATCTTGATCCGTGTCTGGGGTTTTAACCGATTGCTGAATCGGGTCTGCGTTTCCCGCGGTGGATTGGATTGGGTCTGAGCTCTTGATCGATTCCTGTATCGGTAGTGATGCGATCTCTTTGATCGGTTTCGTCTCTTCCTGCTGGACATCGCTGGGTTTTGAGCTTGAGAAAGGGAACTCGGCGATGGATTTGACGTCTTCGTTGTACATGAAGATCCCGAAGAGGAAAACAGAGAAGACGACGACGAAGATCGAGAGATTACTGTTCTTCCTCTGTTTCATTGTGACTCCTGTTTCGAACAATGGGAATTTTCTTCTCCAGGGATGCATTTGATTATAAAAGAAAAGAGTGGAAGAAGATTTATATTGAAAAGAAAAAGAAAAAAATAAAATCTCTTAGAGGCTCTCTAAAATGTCAGAATGTTTGTGAGAGAGGGAGAAAGATCGATGGAAATATAAGAGCAACGAATAATGATTTTTAAAAATACGAAATTGTTATTGTTTGTTAACGTTAATTAGTTTTTGTGATTAAAAGTTTGGTGAGGTGGGTTTATCTTGAACTGGTTTTCAAAGGCTTTCAGGTGAAGAATTTTTTATAAAGAAAACTAAGTTGCTATGTGATATTAAAATGTAATCTCATTCGCTTAACTAATCTATTTTGAAGTTGTTACAGCAAAGAGTTTGGAGCGAAGAGTGGAATCAAAGATTCTAGAGTTTGTCTCAATCCTCACCTAAAGAAAGGGACTATACGATGGATACAACAATTGTAGAAGCAGCATCTTATTAATCACATATGGATTACAATACCAGATTATTAATAGGGTGTTCCTTTCAGACTTAAACATAGCATTTTTTATTCCCCAAAAGATGGATCAAACGCTAGGTTTATGTAATGTGCCAGTTTAACCATGTTTCAGCATTCTTTACGTATTTCGTAAAAAGTTATTAAAAAAGGTAGATTAGTACTAAAAATCTGTAAGAGAATTTGTATATGGGTTGATGTTGTCTACAATATAACTAACAGTTGAAGATTCAAATAGGGACTGTATTGGTAATTTGGTATATACAAAATGTTTATGCTAGTGACAATACCAATTATGTTCGTTTCACGTATTTTATATCTGCTAACTGAATTATTTCATGTATTCTCTTCGTTTCATATGAAAAGCGAACAGAATTAACGAATTTGTAAAAGCAATTGGTATCTTGCGTCTAAATCCAAACTAGCTCTAGCAACAGTCGCCAAAACTTGTTGTCATGATACATATCACATATTAGTTTATGTTAATTAAACATAATTTTACGCCCCCTAATCACCATTTTAAGATAGCTTAGCACCAAACTAATCTTTCGCTTTCTGTAGCAATCATGCGTCCATCGCATGTTGAGGGTGAAGCATCCGTGTTCGTTAGGAGATAATTAAATTCATATTAATCTTCCCCTTGCAAAAATAAAGGGAAAAAAAAAAAAAGACAGGTCAAAAATTCAGAATGATATATGAAGCTTTCTCTTTGAGATAAGTAAAGGCTAAGGAATCTCATAACACACACACACACACAAGTATATACACAGCGCACCAACCATCACCAATCCATTTAATTACATCATCAGCTCCTCCTACATATATAACATACAGTATACTACTATTTATTTTCTTGGCAGATTTTGAATACTTTATTACGACTCCATTTGGCTTTAGTTGTTAGTTCAATATTTGAATCCTTTTGCTTTGAACCAAAGCCAAAGGAACCTAACTTGAACTTGTTGTATTTTTGTTTGTGGGAGTCAGACACACATGTATATATACTTGGCCTCTTAATTTTAGATGATAAATTTGCTTGAAGTTCACCACGTGCATAATGATGTGTCTGAGACACACACGTGCCTCCTATAACACATGTACAGTATATGGCATAAATAAACTCGTAATTTCAATCCATCTTTACCTTAAACATAACAACATACAAAAAAAAAGAGAGAGAAAGGAGAGCATTATCCAAATACGTAACAAAAATTATTTAGTGTGATGAAGAGAGGGGAATGAGGGTGTGATAAGAGAACTTTTTATTTTTCCTTTGAAGTTATTTATAAGGTGATGAAGATCTTAAACCCTGTGTTGAAGACCATAAAGTAATCTAATCCCGTATGTTCACACACTAACGACATTCTATCTAGCTAGGGGTATGGTGGCGTTGTAAATGTTGCTTGTAAAACCTTTACCGTTTTTTAATATAAACAAAAAAAAGAGGTGAAAAACGACCACAGTGGGAGTCGAACCCACGACCTTCTGATCCGAAGTCAGACGCGCTAATCCACTGCGCTATGCGGTCAATACAAATTGATAGTTTTTGGAGAGCTTGAGAGAGTATCATCCACGGCTACAGGCCCATAAGTTTCGTGTATATAAAGTCAAAGTTGAAGGAACCCTAAATTTCCGGTTTCGATATATAATATGAGGTCGGTGATTTAACCCGTACTCAATCTTTCTCCCTCTTTCTCTCTCTCTCTCTCTGATTGAGATTTCCGTTGGGGATTCAACACCTATTTGTTTTCCCTATTTTGAATTTATTGTTTCTTTAGGTTTATGAAGGACAAGGTGGCCATGAATTCTGAGACGTTGGTGTGGTGGGACATGGACAGCTGTCCGGTTCCAGCTAGTTACGATCCTAGTCTGGTCGGTCCAAGTATACATTTGGCGTTGGAGAAATTAGGGTACCGTGGTCCTATCACCTCACTGCCGTTGGCAAACTAAAACGCACCTCTGAAGACGTCCTGCGAGCCATCTCTTCCACTGGCATCCCTGATAAATACGACCTAATGGGTATGTTTTCTTATCTCTTTCTTTCAACAATCGTATCTCAATTTAGTTCCTTCCTTGAGTGTAATCTTCTTATTTAGGGTTTTAGATTCAACTGACTGTATATGAATTACGTTTGATACGGATTCGCTCTCCTAAAATGAAACAGGTCGTTATAACTCTTTTTGGAAGGAGGTGAAAACTTGGCAACTTAATAATCCAGCTCCGGCTTCAATAATGCTCATAGCCGGTTCCTCTTTATTGGAATTGTTGTCTCCCGATATCCGCTCCTTACAAAAGAAAGGATACAAAACGCTTTTGGTGTATCGATCTGCTCCGCCCAAAAAAGATCCAAAACTGGTCACTTCTGCTGAGTGGCGCTGGAAAAGCTTACTGAAAGGTGTCTCTGATGGTAAACTGGAGGCAAAAAGAAAGATTCTCCAGGAAAAGCGCAGTGAAAGGGCTTTTACTTGCACGTTATGCCACTCTGCTTGGCGAAGCGTTGAAGCATTCACAACTCATCTCCAGGGTTTAGACCATGAAGTAAAAGTAAGCCCTCCCCTCTCCTTTTGTATCATCACTTGTACATTTCTCATTTCTCATTGTTTTATTTTAAACAAGTGCTTCTCGTAATCATGAATTGTACTTATTTCGTCTCTAAAACACTGTAGGAATTGGAGTACTTTTTACACAACGAAGCTAAGCTTTACCGTCGAACGAATGTTACTACTAAACTGGTGAAGCGGGATTCTATTTTATTGGCGAAGAAGGCAAGTTTTTATATCTCAAAGTTTTTCCATTAAGGAGAGTTTAAACAAATAGACAAATAGATAGAAAATCTGATTTCTTTCTCAGAGAGTACAATTGTTTCAGAATATAGAAGTCCAGACTAACTCTGTTTGATGCTAAAAACTCTGTAGATACAATGGGAGAAGTTGAAAGAGAAGTTGAAAGAGAGGGACCAATTAGCATCTCAAGGCGAACATGAACAAGGGAATGTATTGGAGGCAAAGTTTTAATATTCTTGACTTGTAGCGGGAAATGTTGTATTAACTGAATACTTATGCTTCTTTTCAAATTATTTTCTTTTACGGTTTTACCACTTTAACTAGGTCTAGGTGTTTAATTTTATCGGCGTTTTTATGCTTGGCATTTTAATTATTCTGCAAAAGGAAATCGTTATTAGCTAATGATGATATCCGTTGAACATCAAATGATTCATATCCATTTTAATTAGTCTGCATATAGAGAAATGCTTATGTTGTTATTGAGGTTGTGTGAATTGAAATCAGCAGGCCGAAAACAGATCGTGTATACATAATTTACCATGAGTTTCAACAGTTTGATCAGATCGTGTATATATAGTGGCAGTCGAACCCACAGCCTTCTGAACCGAAGTCATGTTGGATATCAATCCAAGTCCCAGATCGGAATATTAGACAAGAAGTGTTTAATATATAAGTAATGTCCAATCTAACTAGTACGAGACCTTTTGGGAAGGAGCCCAATAACAAATCCGTGAGAGTTAAGATACATGGACCCAAAGCGGACAATATCATACTAGTTGAATGGTTGGACACGGGCTTTAAAAAGCCCTTTAAGTCAGACGCGCTAATCCACTACGCTATGCGTTTACATCGGACAAATGCGTTTCTCAAATTGTGAATCGTGATAAGCGATTACAATCAAATGCTTTTGGTCTTTCTTGGCTTTGAGATTTCTTTGATCGTGAACTTTGCTCTACTTGTCGTTTTCATGAATTGAGCCGACTAAAAAAAGGTAAGAATTGCCAAGTATGCAATGTAAAAAACACGGGCAAATCAATATCCAAATATTCATCATATTTTTAATCAAGAAGAAACAATATACTAGGAGCAAAACAAATGAGTGATAGAAATGATAACTTACACATGGATACTCACCTAAGTCATTGGTAAGGGCTGTGGTTGCTCTGTACAGTCCTAAATCTCTCTACATCAATACAAATTTAACAATTAAGTTCTCATTTCATCTCTTTCCATTTTTGAAACACAGAGCAATTTTTTTTATTTCAAGTTTTCTAGAGCACCAAATTAAGTGCTCTTAGAATTCTCTCTCTTCTCTTTCCTTATTAATCTTTTAACATTTATTTTTTAATCTATTATTTATATATCTTAATTTTGTTGTATTAATGTTATATTTAATGACACAATATCTTACAGCATTAAAATCTAGAATCACAGCCAAAATTTCTACAGCATTAATTCTACAGCAAAAAAATTAAAGCTACAGCCACAACCAATCATACCCATAAATTACAAAATGTTAAATAAAGCAAACTCAATCAAAGATTTAGTTAATATTTAAACTTATATAATTTCATACCAAAACACTGTAAAAAAGCATTTTGATAATGTTTATGATACAAAAACCAGTGCATTAGGTGCGGGCAATCACTTAATATTTTAATAAGAATCATGAAATTAAAAATATTATATAAAGTTTAAAAATTGATTTTTATGCGACATAATAGTATATCAAATCGTTCGCCCACAGCTATAAGCCCATAAGTTTCGTGTATATATAGGCCCATAAAATTTCGTGTATATATAGTCAAAGTTGAAGGGAACCCTAAATCTTACGCCTGCTTTTCCAATCGAGATCTCCTATCTCCGTCGCCTGAAAACCGTCCTGCTCAATCTCCCTGTCCTGGCGTTTCAGGATTCGATATATAATCTGAGGTCGGTGATTTAACCCGTACTCAGTCTTTCTCCCTCTTTCTTTCTCTCCGATTGAGATTTCCGTTCTGGATTCAGCACCTAATTAACTACGTTTTGTTTTCCCTGTTGTGAATTTATTGTTTCTTCAGGCAAGGCGGCCATGAATTCTGAGACGTTGGTGTGGTGGGACATGGACAGCTGTCCGGTTCCAGCTAGTTACGATGCTAGTCTGGTCGGTCCGAGTATACATTTGGCGTTGGAGAAATTAGGGTATCGTGGTCCTGTCACCATCACTGCCGTTGGCAAACTAAAACACACCTCTGAAGACGTCCTGCGAGCCATCTCTTCCACTGGAATCACTGTTAAATACGACCCATTGAGTATGTTTTCTTAATTCTTTCTTTCAACAATTGTATCTCAGTTTAGTTTCTTACTTCAGTTTAATCTTCTTAATTAGGGGTTTTAGATTTAACGGACTGTATATGAAGTACTACTTTTGATATGGATTCGCTTTCCTAAAATGAAACAGGTCGCTATGACTCTTTTTCGGATGAGGTGGAAAGTTGGCAACTTCGTAATCCAGCTCCGGCTTCAATAATGCTCATAGCCGATTCCTCTTTATTCGACTTGTGGTCTCGCGATCTCCGCTCCTTACAAAAGGAACGATACAACACGCTTTTGGTATATCGATCTGCTCCGCCTAAAAAAGCTCCAAAACTGGTCACTTCTGCAAAGTGGCGCTGGAAAAGCTTACTGAAAGGTCCCTCTCTCTCTCTCCCCCCTCTCTCTCTCTCTCTATCACAGTGCTGAATTTACCACTAATGCTTTGCTTATGGTTTTCTGATTTTATTTTCACAGAAGCAATGGCTTCAGATGGTAAACTGGAGGCAAAAAGACAGATTCTTCAGGAAAAGCGCAGTAAAAGGTCTTTTGTTTGCACGTTATGCTACGCTGCTTGGCGAAGCGTTGAAAAATTCGCAGGTCATCTCCAGTGTTTAGACCATGAAGTAAAAGTAAACCTTCCCTTCTCCTATCGTATCATCACTTATACATTTGTCTATGTCTTCCTATATATACTATTTCATTAAATAAATAAATTTCTCCATATCCTATTTGACCACCCCATGTTACTATTTCTTAAGCAGAAGTTTGAGACTGCAATTGATACCGACTGTCTGGATAACCTTGATCAAGAGATGATGGAGAAAGAATTGGAGGCAAGTTTTTAATATTCTTGAATTTCTCTATAGACGTTAAAAGAAAGAAATATGTTGTCTGTTTTCTTAGAAACAAGTGCTTCTCGTAATCATTAATTGTATTTATTTCGTCTCAAACACTGTAGGAATTGGAGTGCTTCTTGAAAGAGGAAGCTAAGCTTTACCGTCGAACGAAGGTTACTACTAAACTGGTGAAGCGGGCTTCTATTTTATTGGCGAAGAAGGCAAGTTTTTATATCTCAAAAGTTTTTCATTAAAGAGTTTAAACAAATAGATAGTAAATCTGATTTCTTTCTCAGATAGTACAATTGCTTTCAGAATATAGAAAGCAGACTGACTCTGTTTGATGCTAAAAACTCTGTAGATACAATGGGAGGAGTTGAAAAAGAAGTTGAAAGAGAGGGACCAATTAGCATCTCAAGGCAAACATGAACGATGGAAAGAATTTGAGGCAAGTTTTAATATTCTTGAATTTCTCTACAGTCGAAAAAAGGAAATAAGATATCCGTTTTCTTGGAAACAACTGTTTCTGGAAATTATGATTTTAACTTTTGTTGTTAGTATAACAATGTAGGGAATGAAGAAGAGAAAGTTCGTGAACGAGGGAGCTGAGTCTTCCCGTCAAAAGAAGGCAAGTTTTAATAACAATAAAAAGAGTTTGAACAAATAGATAGAAATATGATTTCTCAGAATGTACGATTGCATTCGGTATATATATATAGAAAGCAGACTGACTCTGTTTGATGCAAAACACTGTTGTAGATGAGACTGGGTTGAGAGAAGGACGAACTAGCATCTCAAAGGCAACATGAACAAAACTAAAAGATAGAAGTCATACAAATGTGGCCACTGGGTTGTTTTCTTTTAGTTTAAGACATCATATCATATGGTTTGTAGTTTGTTCTACTTCCTAAATTCCCAAATTGACTTATAATTAATCTTCTAGCGGGAAATGTTGTATTAACTGAATGCTTATGCTTATTTTCAAATTATTTCTTTTACTTCTTACGGTGTTACCATTTTAACTAGGTGATTAATTATATCGGCGTTTTATGCTGGCATTTAAGTATTTTGCAAACGGAAATCGTTATTAGCTAATGATGATATCCATTGAACATCAAGTGATTCACATCCAATACCGAGATCTGCAAATAGAGAAATACATCAAATGATTCATATCCAATTATTAGCTTTTGTTATTGATGTTGTGTGAATTGAAATCAGCAGCCTAAACAGATCGTGTAATGGTACATAATTTACCAAGAGTTTCAACAGTTACAGTTTGATCAGATTCAAGCTAATTTATGAAATTGTATCAACAGGAAGGATGACACACTTTGATCTCTTCCCTTGTTACTTATTTAGATTTGCCTTCGGCTTTTCCTTTGCCTTGACCCTTCTTAGTGTCTTAGCTTGAATCCTAGCAGCTGCAAGTAGGACTGTAACCGCGATCTGCAGTGACCAGCAAAGTTGAAAACATAAAAACTATTGTGTACTGTTTTGTTTCAGTCTGTGTTTGCAAGCCTTTAGAGTCAAACGGAATCTGTTAGATGGTTAGCACATCTATCAAAACACCAAACCAAGACACCAAGAGACAGCCTTTGGTAGCTAATGAAATCGACAAAGTTTCAGCAACAAAATGCTTCAGAACATATATATAAGCAAACCACTCGCAAATCAAATGGCAAATGGATGGAATACCAAATTATCAGAAGGCTCAACGAGACAAACTAGCGCTTATGTCCAAGAAACAACAATACTCGAAAACATGAAACGACTAGTCAAAAATTTGGATTATAGAAACACTTGCATCTGATTCAAAACATCACCAACCTGCCATAGGTTGATTTCCCGATCGAAAGCGTGTTACTTATCTCTTGGCTCCAGCAATCCGCTCTAACCAGGGTAAGAACCCTAAATGGATATATAACATCTTTCTACATAAGCAAGCTACTCAGCTTATAAAATCAACAAGTATTCTTTGGTGACCGACCAATTGCTTTACTAGAAGAAAAATTTCGTTTTACATTTGCCAATACAAATTCGACTAGAAAAACAAAACCTTGTCGGAAGTCTTAATTCTCTATAAAAATATGCGAACAAGAAAACAAAAACCTGAGCTTGGGGCTCTGAAGGTGATTGCCCGGTGAAGCTAAAACGCTCTCCTAAAGAGCGAAAGTTGCGCCTTTGCTAAAACCCAAAAAGCTTCACAGTCGGAAGGCACAATAGCATCTCCGGCCAATCGTCGATTTTGTGCTATTGACTGGCGCGTGAGCAACCACCATGAGCAGTTGTTCATAATCTTCAAAGTAGCATATATATGTTTAAGGCTTTGTCCTACAATTTTTTTCGAGAAACCAATAAGAACTCAAGAGAAGTTGTGTTGTCTCACAATCTCAGTGAGTACACTTCACATGATGCACTAATCTTCAGAATATAAAGCAATTCATAGGTAAAATCTGTAATTCGAAACCCTAATAAATGGTATTTCTAATGATGGCAAAAGTAATAGTAGTAAATGTTAAACACAAGTAAAACAAAACCTACCGTGACAAGCAAACAATGCCATTTGTTAAGCTCCGTCACTCCTTGCTGCTTCAGAATATCAGCACCTGTCGTAAGACACGTAGAGCTCGAAATCCTCATCCCAATCGATCGGCTCACAGAGTCCAAAAGCCTCAGTTTCATCCCATAAGTCAATTCCACCAAAGGCGTGTTGTCGAAAATCTGAACACCTCTCACAAAACACTCCGTGGGATCCGAGAACTCGTTCTGAAGAACCGCCTCGTACGGATACTTAACGAGAGAGAGGTAATGAAACCAGATCCAGTACTCTGGGATTCGATCTCTGTTGATGAAGAAGCCACTGAACAGGAAGAAGTAAGCCAAAATGGCCACAACGATCGTGTAGCGCAACATCACGTGCGGAACGACGCCGGATAAGAAAGTGACAAAGGAGCTTCCGGACCAGAAATGAGGCAACAGAATAAAAAGCCCATTGGGCCTCCTTCGAACCCGACAGCCCAGAAAGTTGTCGTTGCGAAAGCTAGAGAGAGGAAGTTGAGCGAAGGGAAGGAGACGATCGCATGAGAGAGGACGTAGGAGGATCTCCAGATGTAACGTTCCTGGAGGAAGACGGGGAGAGCGTCGGCATAAGTGTAGAACACTGTAGACATTGCAAATGCGAAGAAGCCGAAGTGCTCTCGGACGTCTGTTGGGGAACTGTCTATCCGCCAGAAGACGGTGGCTAGATTGAACACGGTGACGATAACGGAGGCTAATCGGATACCGAATAGCTCCGGCTGTCTACGGGAGTTGAGGATTGAGCGTTTGGAGAGGGTTTTAATCTAGATCCAATAGGGATTCGCGAATGCAGGGACGGCTAGTGTTGTGGTTCTGCCACCGTGATAAAAGGCGGAGAATCCAGCGCCGCCACCGGAATAGCTTCCATCTGCTTATGTCGGCGGAAATGGCTTCTTTCAAGGGTTAATTTGGGTACGGAGAAGCTGGCGGAGTTACGGTTTGCATCTCTTACCAGCTCTTGTTGAATTCCACTAATCCTCTTGTGAGATCGAGTGCGAACTCCGTTTGGCTCTCGTTTTCCGGTCTCAAATTTCCAAATCCGGCGAGGGAACTCGGCAGGCTCGCCGGAGATACACTAAAGACGGTGTGGCCGCGTGGCAAGAAGATAAGACGCGGTCAAGTAAAAAGAGAACTCTGTCACTAGGCTGATGTATAGACATTACTACGATACTGCAACTCTCTACGATTCTCTTCAACACCTTCACCATCATGAATCCACACCAAAGTTGGTTCGTCGAGAAAGAAAACAATCGGATTACGGACGATATCGATTCCGATCGAAACTCCATGTGGTTAAATTAATGTTCGTCAGTTTTAATTTTTTAACGACTTTCATGTGTTGGTAGCGAAATATAAAGTGTGTAACTCGGTGTTATAAATTTCTTTTTCGGTGTGGATAAGATTATAAAATTGTGTGACATAAAATTAACAAAAAACAATGACCAAGAATAATGTACTTACTAAGCATATATTAATAATTCCATATCCAAAGATACACGATGATACTGTGCATCAGCCCAAAAAAGAGAGTTACTATACTCTGCAACTACATTCAATATCAAAAGATACTTACTTAATACGACGATTAATACGACGATATACGAAGATTAATACGACGATATAGTTAGGGATTATATTATCCACGATATAATTACTTTAACTACCAGATTATAGCGTGACGTTGAGGATTAGTATCGACGACCTTGACGAACTCTCTGTAACATTAAATTAAACAACAATCAGAAAATAAACAATAATGGATTATAGTTTTTAATCAATATCCAATATCCAATTTTTAATCGAGAATCAAGGATTATCACCTGAAAAAAGGGTGGCCTAGCATGTGTCATACCGAGAAGCTCCATACGCCAATCCCAAAACAAATTGGAAGCTTCTCTAAGCTCCCTAGAACAGTTGTGACTCCGAGCGGCGATAATTACTCTGTGGCCAGCTGCCCTTAGTTTGTTAACTTGGTTCAGAAAATCTCTATCCCCTGTGTATTCCCAAAAGTGAAATGGAAATCAGATTTAATAAATATTCAACCAGCAAAATAGTGTAATAAAATTCAAATCTGAGGTACCTGATATAAGCAATGTAGTCGCAGGTTTATGAGTTGATTTCCGCCATTCTTTCATCTGACTTTTTATTTCGTCATCAGCGATCTGTTTCTCCGCCGGATCCATCTTCAGAGCTATCCTCTGCTTATCAGTGACTGAAGAGGAAAATGAATTAATCAAAAGATAAATAAAAAATTTTCTTCAATCTCGGCGAGGGCATCGAAGTCGCCGGGGACGATGCAGTTCTCCACGTCCCACCAAACCCGATTTCTTCTTGCCCTTCTGTTTCTTCTTTGGACCTTGGCCAACTCGGCTCTCATGCCTGGAATGCAGTATTTCTTGAAGCCCTTTCCATACGAAGAAGCAACCATTCCAAACGAAGAAGAAACGGAGGAAGAAGAAGAGGCGGCGACGGCCAACTCACGCGAATTTAGGGTTTTGGTGCTATTTAAAGTATAAAGAAGAAGCGCAGTAGATTAGGGTTTCTCCCTAGGGTTTAAGAGGGAAATAGCCATATTGGGCCTGGATGGTCATATTGGGCCCGAGCATTTAATCGATGTAATGGGTGGTCTTTTTTTTTTTTTTGTCGGAATGGGTGGCCTTTTTAATCATACTCAGAAAGTGTGACTCGTGATAAGCGATTACAATCATCCAATCAATGTTTGAAAATTACAATAGAAACTATGAAGCTATAAAAATAAAAATAAAACTATGAAGCTACTAATCCAATTATATTTCTATCTTTTACTTATGATAGTGACTATAATTGAATCCCATTTATAAACTACTGACAAGTCGACAACTAAAGAAAAGAAAGGGAATAGCAAAAATTAAAGAATAAAACTGCAGAAATAATCCAAAACCAAATTATAAAACCATCTTTGTGTGTGTGCTTTGCTTACGCCACAGTCTGCCCTTTGTCTCTGTAAATTTTCTCAGCCCACGACATTATCCGAACCCTCTCATTCATCCTAAAGCCTCTCTCCGACACCACATTGTCCTTGACCAAAGAGTTAACCCACGACACATCTGGCTCGTTCCTGTAATCTCTCACTCCGTTACTGTTACCGTTATTGCTATTGTTGTTCCCATGGATTCCAAAGGAAACGCTTCTCCTCATCTTACTCAGCTCCTCTCCTTGCATCCCCCATTCGAGCTTCCCGCTAGGCGATCCCCAATCCGAGAGATTCGACTGCTGCGCCGCTGTTTGAGCAGCTGGTTTGAAACTCAAGCTGCGTTTCGCAAACGCGGATGATCTAGCGTTCATCACCGCCGCAACCGCAGCCGCAGCTGAAGACTCAAACCCGTGGTGAGGAGGCTGTTGCTGCCTCACCGGAGAAGAAGGATAATGCTGGTTCATGTTTTGACCCCTCGGAGAGGAAACATAAGACCCGAACGTCTCTTCCACATTGCTAAAACCTCGAAGTCTCATCTCCATCTCCATATCAAGATCCAAATCTCTTGCGCTCAACGTTGACTTCAATCTACTTCCTCCTCCGTTAAGCTGCAGAGCCGGTGGAGTCAGAGCATTCACTCTGTTCTGCCATGACCCACCGTTTCTTGGAGAGGAAGCCATCGGAGAAACCGGAGGAGTCGAAACTCCTGAAGAAGAATACGCAAGCGGAGACGACAAACCAGTCGGCTGCATCATCATCTCCAAGCTGCTAAACGGAGACTGAGACACAGCAGCAGAGCCAGTCGAAGCATTCACAGGTCTCATCTCTTCACGTCTATGCGCAAAGAAACAAACTTTCCTTGCACAACAAGTCTCGTCTTTACAGAGCCTTGTCTTATACTGCGCCGGGTGAAGCCACGACTCGAAAACCCCGTGCGCGTACTCGCAGGAATCTCCTTTCGGACAAGACCCTTTACGAAACTCAGGACAAGGAACACAAGTGTAAGGATACTTCCTCGGATCTCTTCTCCTCGCGTTCTCTCCCGGATGAACAAAAGCACACTCCGTCCAGTCGTGAGAGTAAGCTCTCGAACAGGGCTTGACCTTAAAGCTATACATCCTAAACTCGTCACTTCCGTAAACACCTTCGTTGATATCAGGTAATGACGCATCAGCTGGATACTTAGACACTGTCTTGATCTCTTCTTCTTCGACAGCATCATTGATCATAACACCGCCTCCTCGGAGCAACAACTCGACGGCCTTTCTCCTCGGAGCAGCCACGAATCTCGAAACTCGAACAAAGAGATCCAAAGGTTGATTCCCATTAGCATCAACAGAGTTAGCCAGAGCAGAGCCATCAAGCAAGGTTTTGATGACTTCGATCATGTTAACAGAACAACCAGCGACAGCACAGTGAAGCGCAGTGACTTTATCTTCGCCGGAAGCTCTGTTCACGTCGGATTTTCCGGTGGAAATGATAAAGTTCAAAACTTTTGTGCTTCCGTACGTAGCAGCAACCATTAGAGGCGTCCTCTGTTCAAGACCCATCTTCTTCTTCGACCCGAGACTTCTGCAATACCATAAACCAGGCTCGTCTAAATCGAGCCCTTTCTCTTCGACCTCTCTCTTGAACGATTGGAGATCATCACAGGCGGCGAATTCGAGGAGACTCATCGTTTCTTCTTTATTTGATTCGGTTTCTGTTAGGGTGTTTGAAGAGCAGAGATTGCTCTTTGGGCCGCTGCACATAGTATCTATCCTGTGGATTCATAAGAAATGAGAATTAGGAAACTGATAAGAGAATAAATCGCCGCAATAGAATCCAATTTCGTGTAACTTTTGCCATTTTCTAAGATTCTTATGCAGATTTTTAGCGGATTTAATAAAGCTAAGCACTTGACAAGCCAACGACTCTTTCTAATTCTACTCAATACCTTTTCTTCTCTCCGTTGAAAAAATCCAAGCAAAAATTGTTTTTTTCTTCTTTTGAGAAGAGGGGTCAAAGATAAAGCAAGAAAGCAGAGATTTTTCAGTTGGAGAAACTAAAAAACCAACCAACACACGAGCAGTAATGTCTCTAGAAATTGCAAAACTTGCAAACCGAATTGATAATTCCACAGAAGAAGAGGTACTACAAACCTGGAATGAAGTGGCAAGGAAATCAATAGAGGAAGAAAGTTGGAAGCTTTTGTTGGTTATTGAGAGTTAGGTGATGAATGAAGAAACAAGTGGGAAATGGGTTGGGTTTTTAAGAAGAATGGGTTGAGACTTGGGAGAGATAAAGGCGATGAAGGAAAGAGGAAGCTGCGCTCTTTCTTTCCTCTTTCTCTTTCCCGGTCTTCTTTATTTATTTCATTATTTTATATACTTTCTTTTTGAAAAGAAAATTTGGTTTTTCTTCTTGCAAAAAAGTCAAAAAAGTGGAAACGAAAATTTCAAAGATGACGATGTCGCTATATTGTGAAATTTCGTATTTTTTTTTGTGAAAACTGACAAGGAAATCATCTTATCATCGTTTACTTTTATTTATTAAAAAAAATTATAATTTTGTGGGTGGAAGTGGTAAATTGGAGTTGGGGAGTGTTAAAAAGGGACCCACCACTAAGATATTTGACCGACTAAACCGGTACCCCGTGGACACGCGTGTGCGAGTCCCACCACAGACACAAACACGCGCTTTGAAGAACACGTGAGAGAGACTGAAACCAGTCAACTCTTACTACTACTTGCTTGTGTTTGAGCTGTCCAATTTTGGTTAAAATGCGAGCCAAACCCAAAACGAATGGAAGAAGTGTGGTTAGTGTTAGGTCTCTACTTGATTATTTGGTATTTGTATCAAATTAGATCGACCAGGTTATAATTTTGATTTCCATATGAGTACTCTCAAAGTAGAAAGACTAAATGTTGGCTTTCTGTCTCTGCTATTTCAAAATACAGCAAATTCGGTTTCTGTTTATATATTACAAGTGTTTAAATCTTAATTTTTTTAAATGCAAACACAAAACTTGATTAGAAGTGTGTTTTATGTTTGCTTTCATTATCTATAGCAAAACATTTGAATGACCAAACATACATTTTTGTTTCTTTTGTATAGGTTTCTAAGTTGATGTAATGTTTATAAACATAAGCGATATTTAGTCACATAGATATACATAAATAAAAACAGAAAACTAATAAACTAAATTTGCACATCATATGAGTCAAAGGCGTAGGGCGAGCGCGTGGGGGAAGAGATAGAGTCAAGCACGCGTTCTCTAATCTTCATTCCCTTTGGGTGGGCGACAAAAATGTAATCACTTGGCTTCTCAATTTCATTATCTTCATCTTACTTTACTTGCCCACTATTAAATTAATCCTTCCCAAATCTTTTCTCTTCTTTATACTTCTAGGATCATTTGATCACACAAAACATGGTCGTTTTTATTATTCTTTTATTTGCTAAAGTGATCATGACTTTGTGGGAGTATATATGGATTTCGGCAACTTGGGGTCAGATATGTACAAGTGGGTTGAAGAGTCAAAACTTGGAAAGAATAGAGACTGCATTCATAGTCCAAATCGTTATTAGAAATTTAGAATACTTCTAAATGCTCATCTTCCAATGATTGGGGTTTCCTCTATCACTTTTTTTATTTTCCACAAACATTTTCGCTAGGTCAGATTTTGGACTACAAAAGAAATAATACAAATAGTCCGAAGTAGATGTCATTACTCATTTATGGCCCAGAAACACACAAGTATAAATGAATAATGACGGGCCAACGGCGAAGTCATATTATTATCTTGAAAATCCACACGACGTGAGTTATGCATGAAAATATTTTATGAAAAGAGGGTTATGGGAACTAATGATGTTTAAAGAGTAACTATGTGATAAGAATATGTATATGATCACGAAGGCCACTTTTGTTTGACCTTGCAAAAGTTCGTGTATCTCCTCCCACCACTGATTTTGTTGTTGATGGTATCTCATTCCACTCTCGTATTGTTGAAGAACTAAATTGATAAACTACAAAGAGGCTGAGATAAGAAAATGGAAACTAGTTCTCATTGCAACTTCGGCCCAATGATGTACCAAAAACCAATATAGCTCGTATAAGCCATTTTAGATTATAATGACCCAATATAAGCTTTTTAAAAGCGAAAATCACAAACATTTAAACTTTATAAAACGTTTAGTTATATGTCATACAATTTTACAGGTTCCATAACAAACAGTTTTATTTGTGTCATATAAATGGTAAATAGTTCTACATGTGCCACACACTAATAATTGATAACTTCACGTAATGATTTATATTTGATGAGATTTTCTATAAATCAATTTGATCAAGTAGCATGAAATTTGTCGCTTTAAACTTCATGATAATTAACTGCTTGTGCCGTTTAAAGCTTTGGGGGAGTAATTCGAATTGAATTTTGAACATATGGGTCAACTTGTATGAGGTTAGGATTCCATTTTCTTGATTTAACATAGATAATTATTGTATTATATGCATGTGAGTTTATATTTCTATGGAATGAAAGCAATAAAACGAAGTTGGCAGACAAAATCAGTTGTCGTATATTGTATAGTTTGGTTATTGAATCTTGACGTAGTTATAATAATGACTCAGAAACCACTAATACTGTATATATATGGAGATGACGATATGCTTCGCACCTTTCCGCTTTGATTGGTGTTTATACAGTTAACCAAATTGTTGAATAATTGCTTCTCACCATTTAACGCACGTGCCAAATTAAGTCCCCAGTGAAGTTATTTACTTTATCTCGGAGTTGCGTATACAACTTGTACTGTTACAAAGCTGTATCTTTGTCTTTTCTACTTTATGCTTCGCTTCGTCAATATGGAAAATCATTATTATCTAATAAATAATTTTATCCATAAGAAGAACTAATCAACAATTTTGAAATGAATATACACTAAACCATTGTGTATATACTCTTAAGTTTTATGAGAACATACACATACAAATATAGATGTATTTCTTGAATTCTAACAACCGAACGTAAGTAAAATAAAGCTAATCCAACCAAGCCTAAACAAATGCTGCTAATAATAATTTTACCAAAAAAATGCTGCTAATAAAAAAGTTTTTATACTTTCCCTATCTAGAAGGACAAAACAAAAAAAAACGACTATATTGACATTTAGATATCACTTAAATCTATCTCTGGTTTTAATAATTTTTTTAAAGAATTTGTGAATGCCACCAATCCACATAATTAAGTCACATGGCTGCATAAGGCATGATTAGACAGACTATCACAAGTGGCCCATTAAAGGGCGACTTCTGTGCAGTAAACCAGACGTGGCCTGTTTCTATTGGAGGACGATGGCGAATCTATCGTCTTTGTCTTTTGGTGCTTCCATTTGTTTAGTTGTCTGTCATCTCAACGACCAATTCTCCGACAAATTCCACTATTCGGTTTATCAAGGAAAATAGAAAGAAAAAAAGCACATCGAGTTTACTTTTTCCTGATAATATTATATGCTTTTCAAGTTTATCCAAGAATAATAAAAGTTACAAGACTAATGCTGTGCAGAGCCTAATTTATCTAGATGGTATTACTAAAAATTTCATGCATAAATCAATATTTTCTCGACGATTTTTAAAATAATTTCGAAACATGTAATGACAAAAACACATAACTATCTACTACTACTCGATCAATATGACAAAACACTCGACAGCAACGACAACTCAGTTTAAATATTTAAGTTAGCCAAAAAATAAAAAATAATTTATATTACTCGAATTAGTTAGTAGTTAGAATCGAATATTCTTGTCATGTTTTCTCGTTAAGGCCTATAATTTTCATCTTGGCATATGCGGCCGACAAGTGCACTACCCATCATATTAACGAAAGTGGACGACATTTGTTTTGGGACATACAAATAAATCTTCAATTACAATGCATAAAGATGAGATCACGTCGTGCTGAATTTTGTTTCGGCGCCGAAAATCGAAATGCATACAAACACAGATTCGAAATGACCTTAATCACATTTAAAAAAAAAAAATATTTCTGGATAATAACCAATTTTCAAATGTCGACACAAAAAACATCTAACACTAAAAATGTGTCAAATTGCTTTTTCTATTTATTTATGAATAAGTACCCTTCAGATGGCCTTGTCATAAGAGTTAAGGCTCTTAATTAACCTTTATTTTCTGAACAAAGGCTCTTAATTAACCAATTTGTGCATTTCCTTCAGTTGTTGTGTAACATGACACCAATTCAACTGATTAGATATAAACAAAAATATTTTTAGTAATAATCAAATTCAGAAGAACAAATACTTTTCGTTGGTACTTCTAATTTAAATAGCCTAATATAAAACGTGAAAAATTCAATAAATGTCACTCGACAATTGGCATCGACTTTTATGTAACGTTGCCCTCATCTAGACACTTTTTTTGTCTTGGCGATGTAAATTGATAGGTTTGCTAAGTATCTATCCCTTAAGATCTCCCTGTTTGTCGTTTGTACACTGTTATGCATGTGTCTAAGCATTGGCTCGTTGGAAGTGAATTAAAAAACGGCATTTTAGTTTGAATAAATAATCTATCTCAATTACAAATTCAACGGCCACACTTTGCTGCTTTGGCACTAAATTCCTAATCAAGTAACAAAACAGGTTACATAAATTCAAATATATATATTAGATGACTCGTTCAGATGTCGGATCAGACATCTCTTACTATGTGTTATAGACTTATCTAGTCTAACCGAACTGAGATACATATGAACCTAGCTAACTTGAATTATGAATATAGCATATAAATGTTTTTCAATCTCTTAGCCGAAAAGTTTATTAATATCCTTACATGTATAACAAGTAGATCATCTAACTTCGTCAAGTAGCGTGAGTTTTCGTTGTGCCACTATATAATTTGTTAATTCCGCCTATTAATTTGTAAGTCAATACAAAAAACCATTTAATATAATTATGCATGCCTCTAGCTCTCTCCTTTTCTCTATATATATAACTTTGGTAATACTACTTGTTTTATCCTCACCCTCCTTCTTCATCTTCTTGGGCCCTTAATCAAAAAGTAACCAAAGCCATGAACATCTTCCAAGATTGGCCTGAGCCTATAGTCCGTGTCCAATCCTTATCCGAAAGCAACCTCCAAGCCATACCAAATCGCTACGTCAAGCCTCTATCTCAGCGTCCAAACTTACCCTCTCACAACCACCACAACCCTCACAACACCACCATCCCCATCATTGACTTAGGTCTCTTACACACAGACGACATAACTCTACAGGCCAAAACGCTTGATGAGATCTCCAAAGCTTGTAGAGAACGGGGATTTTTCCAAGTGGTGAACCACGGGATGTGCCCTCTGCTCATGGATCGAGCTAAAGAAACATGGAGAGAGTTCTTTCACCTTCCTTTGGAGCTCAAGAACATGCACGCAAATTCGCCGAAAACTTACGAGGGATACGGAAGTCGACTAGGCGTAGAGAAGGGTGCTATTCTTGATTGGAGCGACTACTATTATCTTCATTATCATCCTTCGTCTTTGAAAGATTACACCAAGTGGCCGCCTTTGCCTCTTCATTGCCGGTATGTTTTATTCCCAAACTTCTTCTTACTTAGAAATAATATTTTTTTGAAAGCGTTTCTTCCCGTTTGCTAAGCTTCTCCTTTTGTTAAATTAAAATATCTAATCCTTTTTATGTAAATATTACTTAAAGCTACAACAAATTAACCTAGTATTAAAAAAAAAAAGTCACGTTCTTACAAAACAAAACCGACATACGAGTAAAACACTTATCAGTGGATTATAAATTAATTCATAACGCAAGTATATGGTAATATATATACTAGTTGTTCGAGCGAGCTATAATTTAAAATTTTATTCAAAGTAATCAAAACATAACAAAATTTAAACCACAAAGAATAATTCTTGTTATTAAATTATATAGAGAAATATTGGAGGATTACTGCAAGGAGATGGTGAAATTGTGCGAGAACTTGATGAAGATATTATCGAGAAACTTGGGATTACAAGAGGACATACTTCAAAATGCGTTTGGTGGTAAAGAGGAAGCAGGAGGATGTTTAAGGGTTAATTATTACCCAAAATGCCCTCAGCCAGAGCTGACTCTCGGCCTCTCTCCGCACTCCGATCCCGGCGGACTGACCATTCTCTTGCCGTACGAACAAGTCGCCGGTCTCCAGGTCCGTGGGTCTGATGACGCTTGGATCACTGTCGAACCAGCTCCTTATGCTCTCATCGTTAACATTGGTGACCAAATTCAGGTGAGAATTTTATTTGCTTTTATTTTTTTCATATAAGTTTTCTTTTCTAATCGAAACTCAGATTAGAAATATATTTTTGCTGGTTTATTCTTCTTGCAGTTGTTAGTTTTGATAAAGCACGTGCATGAATCTTTCTTCTAATTTTCTTCGTCCCTCTTTTTTAGTTAAAGTTGTTGATTGGAAATCAATAAGGTATCGGTGAAGTCACGTCGCCGTCTTCTTTAATTCTACATGTGCCGCTATTAAAGGAAAAAATAAATAAAAGTCCAAAAAAAGAAACAGAAAAACACATGTTTTGAACGTGCAAAAAGCAAAACTGTAGTCAAACAAATTTTGTTTTCGTTTTTTATTTTAGCAATATAAATCAATAACCACTTACATACGTTTTCTTTGTTAATTAAATCGACTTTCTTAAGAGCTGACAGATTTTCTTTTGAAGGATAAACCATGTATTATAATACTGTATTAATAATATTTTGGTATCAGTATATTATTCTTATGTCCCTTAATCCATACATTAGTTTATAATGTTGAGAAAGACAAATCTCGAAGACAACTACGCCATTATGAGGTCAAATTTGCAGGGTGTTTCTTTCTTCTTCCTGTTCTAACGACCACGTTTTTGTTATTGGTCAGATGCTAAGCAATTCAATATACAGAAGCGTAGAGCATAGAGTGATCGTGAGCCCTGCAAACGAGAGGCTGTCATTGGCATTCTTCTACAACCCAAAGGGCAATGTCCCCATCGAGCCATTGAAGGAGCTAGTGACCGTAGATTCACCAGCTCTCTACTCCTCCACGACCTACGATATGTTTCGACAGTTCATTCGCACGCAGGGCCCACGCAGCAAATCTCATATCGAAGAACTTAAATCCCCCCGATAGTAGAACGTGCGTACATTTGATTTATTAAAAATGAACTCTATATATATTTTTTCTTTTTCTTCTTCTAAATAATGAGCTATATATGCCTCTTTTTATCTATTAAAATAAATAAACTATCTATTGTATTGTTATGTGAGGATGACTACATTATTTCAACTAATGTACTATATATATTTTGTTACAAATAATGAATTATGCTTTCTTGACACCAAAATGTTTCGATTAAGCTCATATTAACATCTTCGGATCGGAATTCGGAAACCAAAACATGTTAATTTATTTCCTCTATACATATGTACTTTCTACTCAAGACTTTCGAACATTCAACCTTTGTACTGTTCATGTGGTACAGCAGTTAAACTATCGAATTTGAGCAAACGAAAAAATTATCGTGGACATTTTAAAATTAGACACGCAAACACTAACATAAGTCGCAGTCAATAAATAGACAATGGCAAATTCGCCTCATGCTAATGCAGCCCTTTCATTATAAGGCCCATTAAAATATGGGCTGATCAAGCCCAATAGATCGTACGCGATATATATATATTTTATTTATAGGGTTCGATTAAGGTAGAGAAAGAAGACAAAAGGGGTTACTAAATTGAATTTCGGAGAAGGAAGGAGAGAAGAAGCCACTGACATTTCTCTCCAAATGGCGGGATTCTCCGATGACCGGCGCAACGAAACATCGCATAAGAGGCGACGTACTCCGGCATCCACGAACAAATCTTCCGGTGACACCGAGGGAAAGAATAAACGCACAGCGACGCTCATGGATCTGGATGTCCTCGACTGCTCCATTTGCTTCGATACACTAACCGTTCCTATCTTCCAGGTTCGTTTCTCAAATCCCTTTCTACCTGCAATGCATTTCAAACTTGTTTGATTGATCATTCAGAGAGTCGTCACAGTGTTTTTGATTTGAAATTGGATCATGGAACAAATTACTTGAAATTGTGGCCGTTCACTGAGTGTATATGTTTAGACTGAGATCATCATTGTTAATTAGGATTTGAGTGTTATTGTTGATCATATATACAACTATTTTTTTTTGGCATTCAGTGTGATAATGGCCATGTAGCATGCTCTACTTGCTGCAAGAAGTTAAAGAGTAAATGTGGAACATGCTCTTTACCAACCAAGTCACGCAACAGAGCGATGGAGCGAGTTCTTGAACTACTTAAAGTTCCATGTGAAAACGCAGAATTCGGTTGCTCCGAGAGCGTCTCTTATGCTGAAATGTCAAGACACTTAGAGCGGTGCGTTTTCAGCCAACGTCCTTGCCCGTTTAGCGGTTGCGGTTGCGGTTTCACTGGCTCGTACGAGGATTTAGTTGAACACAGTGTCTCTAAACACGATGACACCTTGTACGAGTTTGAATGTGGAGAGTCTGTGTTTATCTACCCCAAAGTTGGTGAGAGGGTAGTTCTCAAGGAAAAGAATACAGGAGAAGGAGGAGGAGTAGGAAGAGTACTTGTGGTTGTGGAGTGTTTCGAGACGCCACAAGGTCGAATATTCTCTGCTAGCTGTGTTGGACCTATGTTTCCAGGATTTATGAGACTCTCCTACAGCTTCACATTAAGATCATCTTCCGGTGATGGCTTGTGTTTTGAATCAAGTGCCAAGAGTGTTCGTGAAGTGAGCGGTGAACCACCAAGCGAGCATTTTATGTTTGTTCCTTCTTACATGTGCCCTGACTACAAGCTGCGTATATGCATCACCTGGACTAATCCTTTTAGATCACGTAGAACTACTACATCATGATGACACATTAGTCTGATGCTCTTAATTGTCGTACTTTTGTGCTTTTAGGATTTTGGGAACGAGTTCTTGACGGTTTAAGTTTTTTCTTCTTTTCTTTTTGGAATATCTATTTCTTGCTTTTTGGGTTTATCAAGAGTTTTTTCTTCTGTTGCTCGTTTATAAAGTTTTATGTTTCTTGTTCTCTGATATGTAGTGATCACAAATCAACCAGATTAAATGTTGGTGATTCCTGATTTGTATGCGTGTTAATTTTGAAAATTGATTTTTGTTTAACTAAACGCAGCCGCTGCAGCGACGGCCAACATATAATTGTCAAAGTATCTCCTCAACCTCACCAACACTAATGTAGCTTGGCTATAATCTGATTTTGTACGCTCCTATGTCCATGGCACTAAAGAATCAAAATTAAGCAAATGCATAAACAAAATTGAATATCTCTCTTCATAACGCGATACTTCACATTCACAAGTTATCCTTCGCGTAATGTGAATACAAACCACAATTTCTATTGCCTTTTTCTTCTTCTTAGATTTGTAAATATTGTATAATTTTTATAACGCTATATATACTGAAATGGATCGAGCCAATGAAAACTAGCTAGGTTAATAGTAAGAAATTTAAAGCGGGATAAATGTTAATGTAAGTTGTGGTTTGAGTTCTGTTAATATTATCCAAAATCGTTGGTCTATCAGCGACTACTCTCTATATGTATCAAATAAATACTTTCTGTAAATGATAAGCTTTAGAGATAAGACAAACAATAATTGTCGATATGGGATTAGAGAGAGCGACTGAACATTTAAAGTTGCAAGCATGTGCTCGTGTGTGTATGTATGGAATTATGGATGTGCCTTTCTACTTCATACAAGCAATGAATGGATCAAATTTAAAACCAGCAATTACAAAGAAAAAGCCACGTGGATGGTTTGAAACGTTCAAATTTGACTGATTGGAATTGGAACCCTCGGGAAGACTAATGCAAAATGATTTGTTGACAAATCAAATACTATCTCAAGTTGGTTCAATCTTGTTCCCTTGTATCGAGCCAAAAACCCGGAATTATTAAATGGCTTTTGTAGACAAAATGAGAGCTGAACCGATTCAAAAATTAAACCGAACCGGGATAAAGCCAGGTTAAGGAAGATGTGTACATTGAGAAAAGGACGTAGAGAAAAAACCATATACTACTAAAGTACTAATCAGCGAAGGATCGAAGAAGCGTATTCGTACAATTATATAAACCTGTATTTATCCTATTGGCCCTATTATTTGCCTTTTTTACTTTTAACCCCCACTCCCATTTTCTTGGCGCGTGTGTTCTAACTCATGAATAAAATGTTCAGTTAGTTAAATTTTTAATTTAACCATCGTATACTGTAGACTTAAATTCTATACATAGCATTTATATTTTTAAATTAAATTCTTAATAATTTTATAAAAACAAATTATTGGAGTTTAATGCCTAAACGCCCAAGTGGGCGCGTGGATCGTATAATAAATGTCATTTTCAAAGGACTTCATCGAACCATCGCCATGGACACACCTCTCTCTCTCTCTCTAATTAAATCAAAATTAAATAAAATCATTTGAGAGAAAACAAAAGCAACGACGAAGAAGAAGAAGAAAAAAAGGGAAAGCCCAAATTTTTTTGATTGCTTCCTTTCTTTTTCAGGTCTGTCAGATTCCACAAACGTTGCCTTAGTTTTCACCGTCTGCTGCTTCATATTGGTTCCTACCGACTCTCAATGGCCGAGTTGACTCAGGCCGATGTCGTTTACTCGCCTCGGTCGCTTCAAGTCTGGAAGACTTTGGTGAACTGGCTCGCTTTTTTCTATCAGATCTTCCTTCAGATCCTACGCGCCGTCGGTTACCATCCTCTCCTCTCTTCCTCTGCTAAAGCCGCCGCCGATGGTTTCAAACCCTTACCGGCCATCGAGCTGCACGATAGAGCAGCGGAATCTCCCACCACCGTTGAAATCGCCTCCTCCGCGAACTCTTGCTGCACCGACGGCCAACGCAGCCGCTTCCAGAGACTCAAGGTATGTTTGAATTTTCGTTTTTCTTCTTATCGCCTGGTCAAAGTCTTATCTGCTGAAATTAGTTTGATTTTGACATTTATGGATGGAAAATTGCTCTATTGAATTCAAAATTTTTGCTCAAGCAGAAATTAGCAAAGGCACATATCAATCTTTGTTCCAATTTCTAATTTTTGAGAAATCTAAAACATCTGATTAGTTAAGAAATGTATAGTTTTTGCTTTGAAATTTCTCTTCCAAAAGTTTTGTTTTTGTGAAAGGATTCAGTAAGAAAGAGTAGACTTGAATTCAACAGCTCTGCTTACATGTTGACTTGTTTTGTGACTATAATATTCTCCTACTATCACTCATGTTGAAAGCTTAGTGTCAATTGGTTTTAAGGACCATTAAGTTCTTAGTTAGGCTCATCATATGAATCTTCAGGAGCCAATTTTATAAGCTTGTCTAGTAGCTATTGGTAGTGTAAAGAGTAGTCTGAGAACAGAAATATGTGTGTTTGCAGGTAGTGCTGGACTTGGATGAGACGTTAGTGTGTGCATACGAGACGTCTAGCCTACCTGCTGCTCTACGAAATCAAGCCATTGAAGCTGGATTGAAGTGGTTCGAGCTTGAGTGCTTATCATCAGACAAGGTTTCTTTCACAAACTTGTTCTTCTCAAGTTAAGCTCACATTTTGTTGATATCGAATGACACAATTCACTCTTGTGGTGTGAAGGAATGTGATGGGAAACCTAAGGTCAATTATGTCACGGTGTTTGAGCGTCCAGGATTGCACGAGTTCTTAGAGAAACTCAGCCAGTTTGCAGATCTCGTTCTGTTCACGGCTGGTCTTGAAGGTCTCCTTAGTTACTACTTCTCAGTGTTATTCTTAAACTCATGCTCAAATACATAAACAATCATGTTTCTCATCTACAGGATATGCGAGACCGCTTGTGGATAGGATAGATACCAGGAAAGTGCTAAGCAACAGACTTTATCGACCTTCAACAGTCAGCACGTAAGTTATCTCCTGAATTGGGGAATGCTCTGTTTCTTCTTTTTGTGAGGGAGGTTGTTCTTGAAGCTTATATACATTGTGTGTTGCAATTTCTCATTTCAGGCAATACCGAGATCACGTGAAGGATCTGTTAAGCACATCAAAGAATATGTGTAGGACAGTGATTGTTGACAACAATCCTTTCAGCTTCTTATTGCAACCATCAAATGGGATTCCATGTGTTGCCTTCTCTGCTGGGCAGCCAAATGACACTCAGGTTGGTCACTACTCTTCTCATACATTTTTTTAACTCTTTAGATTAGTCTTGAATCTAATCGGATGATCAAACTTGAAGCTATTGGACGTTATTCTCCCACTTCTGAAGCAACTTTCAGAGGAAGACGACGTGAGACCGACACTTTATGATCGGTTCCGCATGCCTGAATGGTTTGAGAAGCAAGGCATACCACCGTCGTGCTGGAACGCTAAACCAGCTTAGTGGAAAGTAATGGCCAAAACCGAATTATCAGAAATCTCTAGTCCACATCAAAAAAGGCGAAGGAATTGTTTGGTATAGTAGTTTCAGCAATGGAAGTTCCACAGGAGGAGGAAGGCGGCAGAAACTACCATTCGTGTTGTTTATAAGCTATGGTAGATTCTTTAAAAGATTTAAGTCTTTTTACACATTCTTGGTTTCATGTAATTCTTAGCTTTCTCTGTAATTTTGTTAATGATCAAGCTTTTTTTTTCTTCTTTTCTCGGGTTGGTTCGGTTTGGGTATACAGACTTGATAGATTGAACCGAAGCAGAGATTGGGTATGGTTTGAAAATAAACAAAAGTGTGCTATGGTTAAAAGTCTTAAAGATCAAGATCATACCGTCCGCAATCACTAAACGAAAAAAAAAAAAAAAAAAGATTCAGGAATGAAAGGGATTCATGCATGCATTGCACATTCGAGAGATAAAGAAAAAAACTCGATTTTTATTTTTGTATATGGTTCATGTATCTTAGTCGCTATTATTATATCCATGAATAGCTTACGAAGTTAACTATTTCCAACAAACGTATCTATGCATGATATGAGACTTATATAATTCAATAGGCCACGACGATCTGATCAACAATATACTTGTTTTTTCTGAATATTGATTGCATCCGCAATCTAAGAAAAAATGGCATACTATAGAATACGACTCTTATTTATGATGAGAAGTATTAAAAACGATTTTACAGCAAAAAGTGTTTGCCTTAGATTGAAATTCTGAAATGAGTTGAAACTTGAAAGTCATCTCAAGATCCAGCAAAAAGCATTTGAGAAAGATTTGTCAATGTCCCTAATCTTAGCTAGCAGACATTATTACACTCTCCCTCCCCAAAACAATATAATACCGTTTTAATGTTTATTTTTTTAAACACATTTTACAGGTCGAAAGAGTTCATGAGGTTTACATTACAAGACCTGTCATGTTTCATTGTATTATAATTAAATGTAATTTGCAAGTAGTCTTTTATTTGATGGTCGGCCTTCTTATGTTTGTTGTTAAATGAGTGGATCGTTATTAGCTGTGCTTAGACTTCTAAGGCATCTTCACATCTAAACTAAGCCTAACTACTCCCATCAAATTTACTCTTTTTGTCTTCTTTTAATTTCTGCTTACTTTTATTTATTTTATAGAGCCAAGATTGAGTTTCCGCTGGAAACCAATATCAAGAAAAGAAAAGCACATTTGCGTTGACATTGGTGTTCTACATACATTAATTTGATGAACTTGTGAGGTTAAAAAGCATATATAGGCCTCCTGAAAAATCATGTCTTTCTTATTTATTTAAGAAATTTAGTTATTTTATTTTATTTTATTGGTAGTAGTTCACTGATTTGAGTTTTAGTTTAGTGTTTTCGCACGCCAATTCAAGATTTAACAACTATTCTTGCATGCATTTTATTAGAAAATAGTAACAATATAATACAATACTCATTGTTTGAACAGTATGACATTAATATAACTTTGGTTAGTAAAAGGGACGTGTTACGTGATTATTTTCATGAAAAACACGATCGATGGTTTGACAATTTTGAAGAATAAATCGATTATTTAACTTTAGTCACCTAACTGTATATAGTACGGCTTGACATTATTTGTCGCATATGTTCCTTTTCTGAAATGGACTACTGCAGCGATTACCTGCACTCTAGATTTTATTAATACAAGAAAGTTTATGATCACCGGAGCCTACACTACATATATGAATCACTCAGTGCGTTTGAACAAATTTCTTGATTTTGGGAAAAAAATGACCAAGCAATCAATCCACTTGAATTTTCCCAAATGTTTGAAAGAAAATACTATCTTAAATGATTGTTCTAACCCCATGGTCGGCCTTCTCATGTACATGTATGTAGTAGACACACATAATGAATTCTAACAAAAATAAACATAAAAATAAAGGAGTCGGATATTGTAAATTAAGGTGAAGGGATACAATTCAAAACTTATTATGACGAGTCTGAGCAGAAAATCATCCAATGAAAAAATGGAGAATGTGTTCATAAAATTCAGAGAAGGTATTTCCAAGTCTTCACCTAATTTTGGCTTCAACTTTGACTTGTATCCCCTCACCTTTATAATCGCTTTTACATATATTTAGACGATCCGTACCTATATTAGTAGTTAGTACAAATCAACGAAGTAACGCGAACTATATTCAATAGAAGAATTTTGGTCAAATATGGCCAGCCATTGAATAAGTTTATAAAATTTATGTCTTTTTTCCAAATTTATCACTGCTATCGATCATTTTCCTCTCACTCTCGGTTTTTTGAACTTTTCTTCGATCGATTTTTTCTTTATTCCAAACTCCCAAGCAGGAACTCCTTATGCAAAGTACATGCGCATTATAATAGTACTAGGAAGAATTGTTTTCCTCACTCTCGCATTTTTGTTGGATCAAAAGATATAGGACTATATACAGCAAGCTCTATTTATTAGAGAATTGTTATAAACAGTAAACAGTTTTCTTTTTTAGTCAGCATTTCTCTCATTACTTAAAACTTAAAAGCAAATTATAATGTACTATCGTCTTATCTCATTTCTTTTACTCTTTTTTTGTTTTTTTCAGTTTCATACTTTATATTATAAAAATGGATACTATTAATATAAAAAATGACAACTGTCATCATTGCTAATAAAGTAATAATTAATAAGATATCTACTATAAATAGATACAGTTTAGCCAAAAAATGGATACAGTTAATATAAAAACTGACAAGTGTGATTGCTAATTTTGACAGGCATGAACCGAATTTCCAAAATGTTACTCATATAAATCAATTGAGTTTCGGGTTATTGTTCTTCTGTTAATGTTTTTTACCTACCAGTCTCGGTTATTGTTTAAAGGCATGTGTATACGTAAAAAGTATAAAAAAACGAAAACCATACTCCATATACCGGAATGATGTTTTAAAATTTGGAAACAGAAAGTAAATGTTACGAATTGTTTTTTTTTTTCAAATTTTAAAAGGTAATAAGGTTTCCATATATTGGTAAAGACATGCTTTTATGGTAATAAATTTCCATTAAAATGCTATCATATCTAATTACCTAACATTTCATTTCACTGATTATAAATTGACCCATTGGTAGGGGGTGGATATTAATTGTACTAGTTTGTTTTGTATCAAAATTAATTAAGCATAGTTTTTAAGGGGAAAATGAGTTCCACTATCACCATTTGGGAAATATGGACATTATAGTTTGAATGCTATATTTACTGTTTACATGGGAAGTTTCATTTTCTTTATATTACTCACACTGCTTTTTTGCCTTATGAGCGGTTGTTGCATGACTAATATAAATGGAAATCTAGCATAATATAATATACGCACATACGTAGTATCTAATTACCGAAAACACTCGTGTTATGGTATTTAAATATTGAAACGGTCGAACGAATTCAATTCTGTGAGAATCATAAGATAAAATCTGCCATTAATAAGAGTAAAGATAGCTAATTACCAAAAACACTTGTGTAATCTTCATGAAATCCTGATTTTTTAAAATCCAATAACATTTTTTTTTATAACAATGATACAAATTAGTGTTTCGGACTCATTATGTAACCAATTTAATTGAGCTTAACAATTAATTACATCATAAATGAAAAACCAAAGAAAAAGTCGAACAAAAAAAGAAAATCAAGAAAAAGAAAAGAAACGTGACGCAAAATATTTAAAACGCATTTCCTAAGCAATTCCCACTGATATGTAATTACTGTTTTGTCTCTCAAATCTTAAAAACGCATTTATTCGTCGCTTCGTCTTTCTTCGTCTTCTTCGTCTTCTTCTCCTCTCTCCCTTTCTCTCTCTTTCTCTCTTACAGAGTCTCGACTCCTGAAAATGAACCAATTCAACTTAGACTCGACAAAGACGGCAGTCAAATTCAACCTCCATAGATGACGAGGTCTATCTTTACAACCGTGACGTTTTCCGTCACCATCGCCGTTATCTTCATCGTCATCTTCCTCCCGTTTCCTGCAACCGCCTTAGGCTCAGGCTCAACTTATGCCGTCGTCTACGGCTCCAACACCGTATGCGCCTTAATTTCTGGCCAGCCCACACAGCGCATCCTCTGTTACGACACGCGCGTTCGAACCGCCTTCACTCTGAATCCCGGAGTCTCCTTCTCCTCACTCGCCGCCGGAGATAACTTCCTCTGCGGCATACGCTCCGGTGGTTACAGCCTTCTCTGCTGGGATAACATCGGCAGCTACCCTCTCAATCCAAAGCGAATCTACCAAAATGACACCGTCTTGCTGGACAATCTCTCCGTCGGCGACAGCCAAATCTGCGCCACTGTTAACGGCACGAACGTCCCAAAATGCTGGAGAAGTGATCGATCAACGCCCACGAACGAAAGATTCCGGTCAATTACATCCGGCGTTGGTTTCTCCTGCGGCGTCTCAACTCAAGATAACCGAATCATCTGCTGGGGAAGAGATCAGCTGAAATCGGGTCGGATCCAAACCGGATTCGGAAACACGTCGATGATAAGCATATCCGCAGGAGAGTCACACGCCTGTGGATTAAACTCCACCGGGAATTTAATCTGCATCGGAAACAACGATTCTGGGCAGCTCAATGTTCCTTCGAATCAACCTTACCATTACTCAAAGCTCTCTCTCGGATCGAATTTCACTTGCGCGACGCGAAATTCGAACAACTCTGTTACTTGCTGGGGAGGAGGAGCAGAGCGATTCAACAATGTCACCGAAGGAATCTCGTTCGAGTCAATTTCTTCCGGGCCGGGACTAATTTGTGGGTTAATCTCCGGTAATCTCTCCGTTATGTGTTGGAGCCCATCCAATTTCTCGAGAATCTTTCTCCCTTTCCCAGATATTTTACCAGGCCCTTGCGTCGAATCATCTCTCTGCTCTTGCGGTGTGTATCCACAATCCGATAAGCTCTGCTCCGGTTCTGGTTCGATATGCAGCTCATGCCCGATCCCAACTCTGGCGAATCCTCCAAGCCAATCACTTCCGCCGCCACCGTTAGCTCCATCACCGAATTCGTCTCCGTCGAAAGCGTTAACAAGAGGATTATTAGCGTTTGGAATCGTTGGATCGATAGGAGCAGTCGCAGGGATCTGCACTGTGGTTTACTGTTTATGGACTGGAGTTTGCTTGGGGAAGAAGAAAGTTCACAACTCAGTCCAACCGACGATAACCCGCGGCGGCTCAACTAGCCGGTCCAACAGTTCGCCGCCTTCTCGGTCGTTAACCATCAGACGTCAAGGATCGAGAATGCTTTCGATGAGGAGGCAGAGAAGCGGGACATCGTCGATGAAACACGGGGATAAAGCCGAAGAGTTCTCCTTCTCGGAGCTCGCTTCCGCCACCGGAAACTTCTCTCCGGAGAACAAAATCGGTTCCGGAAGCTTCGGCGTTGTTTACAGGGGCAAACTCAGCGACGGGAGAGAAGTGGCGATCAAACGCGGCGAAGTAAACGCGAAACTGAAGAAATTCCAGGAGAAAGAAACCGCGTTCGACTCAGAAATCGCGTTTCTATCGAGGCTTCATCACAAGCACTTGGTGAGGCTCGTCGGATACTGCGAAGAGAGGGAAGAGAGACTTCTCGTCTACGATTACATGAAGAACGGTGCGCTTTACGATCATCTCCACGACAAGAACAACGTCGGAAAACACAGCAGTCTGATCAACTCGTGGAAAATGCGGATCAAAATCGCGTTAGACGCGGCTAGAGGAATCGAGTATCTACACAATTACGCGGTCCCGCCGATTATTCACAGAGATATCAAGTCGTCTAACATCTTGCTCGACTCGAATTGGGTCGCTCGGGTTTCGGATTTCGGGTTATCATTAATGGGTCCGGAATTGGGGAAAGATCATCACCACCTTCCGATGAAAGCTGCGGGAACCGTCGGATACATCGATCCGGAATATTACAGTCTCAATGTTTTGACGGATAAGAGCGACGTGTACGGGCTTGGAGTTGTATTGTTAGAGTTGTTGACGGGTAAAAGAGCGATTTTTAAGAGCGATGAGGGTGATGTGGAAGAAGGGTGTGTTCCGGTGCACTTGGTGGATTATTCAGTGCCGGCGATAACGGGGGATGAGTTGGGTCGGATTTTGGATCCTAGAGTTGGAACGCCGGGGTTAGGAGAAGGAGATGCGGTGGAGCTGGTGGCTTATACGGCGATGCACTGTGTGAATGCGGAGGGGAGAAACAGGCCGACAATGACTGACATTGTCGGGAATTTGGAGAGGGCATTGGAATTGTTTGGGGATAGTCATGGGAGTATCTCTAGTGGTGGCATTTGTTCTATTGTCTCCGATTAAGAGATTAAACCCAACTTTTGACATTTTTTACATAGAGAATTTTTGTTTTTCTAATAGGATTTTCTTTTTGGTTACTCATAATTTTTTTGGCTTTTTTTGGATGGATGATTGTTTTTCTTTTTGTAAATAAAATATAGGGTACTGCTGAGGAGAATTCGAGTAATCAGTATTTGTGGTCTAACCTTTTTGGTTGGAAAATGTATAATTTGGACAGCGGAGACCGAAATGATTAAATTCTTGGATTGCTTTTTTTTAGGAAGATGCAGATGATGATGTCGCATTTTGGTCAAAGCGTCTTGTTAACTTGAGTTCTGAGCCCGCATGTTAGCCAGATGGATACTTCAAATAATGTGGATGTTGTTATAAAAGTTAGTTTTTGGACTCTCTAAACATATTTTGTAATAACTATTTGAATGATTGCCCTAAGTAGAGAGTTATAGAGGTATGAAGATCCCTAACTTAGAAAAAAATTGTAACTCGAAGATGAAGTAGAGAATTCTGATTATATAACTAAAAAAAGCTGCTTATTTCTGGTTCATCATGTGTTTATGAAAATTCGTTTTGTTTTCAGATCTTAGGTTCATTGTTCAACAATTGCACAGACATTAAGTGGCGGAGCTAGGGAAATATTTCACACTCTGTTTATTAAGATAAAAAAAAATATAATCAACTGACAATATTTCCATATGATAGGGACTTGTCAAATAATGATTTGACCGGGGGAGTAATAGACATGTGAGCTACTTTGTCAGCCAAAATGAACACATTATTGATCTATTGATGTTTTCATAATATTTGGTTATTTTACCGCGACAGAAACTTAAGCTGGAACAATCTCAGTGGTCCACTCCCTCAGGCTCTTCTTGGTAAAGTTAAAATGGGGCTAAAATTGAAGTATGATTTTAATCTCTTCCAATTTTTGATATTCATCGAAAACCCATGTCTTAGTTTGTCTTAATTCAACACTTAACTAACTTGTTTACAATAACAGCATTCAAGGAAATCAGAACCTCTGTTCTTCCGGTTCATGCCACAAAAGGAAAAGTAGGATCATGTTACCAGATATGGTAGCATCACTCGTTTCTTTAACAAAAGAGAAAGTATCGAAGTTTTTAACAAAAGAGAGAGTAACTTCCGCTCAAAGTTTTTAACAAAAGAGAGTATTGGCATGACTTCCGCTCAACATAGAGGGCGGCTACGGCCAACACAGCCACACCTGTTCTGCAAAGAAATGGCATCAGCGTTCACACCTTCCCACTCTGCTCTGTCAACTAGAGGGCGGCTACGGCCAATGCCGCCACCACCGCCGTGGTTCCCCACGGCTGCTCTTCCACCCCTCCTACGACCGGCCACCCAACGTCCAGCACGGCCACGGCCACGGCCTGAGCCAGCAACCTACAAATCATAAATACAAGAAATAAGCAGCCAAGTAGAAATTACATCAACTATCAAGATTTCAACTACAACCAGAAGTCACAAACAAACAATGAATGATTATCTTAGACAGTTTTTAGTATTATTTAGATGGATATGATGTGTTTTAAAATAAATGAAATATAAATATATGTGGAGTCCCAAATTATACCAATGGAATTCTGTCTGCTCAAATTCTAAGAATTAAAAAAGCGCTTCGGAATTCATCTCATCCTTTACAAATTTAAATTTCTATTTGTTGATTAATAACTTAAATACTTTAATAAAATATTCCTTGTAAAAAAAAAGAAGGTATTTCAGCACATCGTGGTTTTCGATTATGAAAAAGGATTAGATTTAGATAAGAAGCAACGTAAAATAATCCAAATTTGATACCTGAATATTCAGTTTGATAACCTGCTATTAATTCCTCTTTCGCTTCTGGTAAATCAAACGGTAACCTCTCGCATTCTGCTAGGGAAGAAATTAGAAAAATGATAAAACCTATAGGTTGACGCCACAAATTCCATCCCAAAAACCATATTTTGATTGTGCCAGGCTATTACCGACGTCCAGGCTAGTCTCATCATCATCATCATCATCATATCCGTGTGCTTTTTTTCTCCATTTTTTTATTTTTAACCTCGTCTGGCTTTTGTTTCGCTTTCAGACTGATTTTGCGGCGGCTTTGGCTGACGATGTCGAAGCGATCATCGTCGTCGACGTTGGGGAGTCTAAGGTATAATCATTTTTTTTTTCAAATCCTATCTATAGTTTTTTGCTCCAATTGATTCATAGTGTCATTATTTTTTCTCCGAGCTTTCAGGCTGAGTTATTCGCCGATCTCTACTCTGCGGAAATCTCCACTGTCGACTCTACGCACAAGCTTGCATTACAAACAAATTATCATGTCACTTTGTTAAATTTCATGTATTCCTTATTCATACTAAGTAGAAACTACAACAACTATCAAGATTTCAAGTACAACTAATTTAACATTCCACACACACCAAAATATGATGAACAAGAAATCACAAACCAAAAATGAATGTGTACGCACAAGCGAGTTATTTGAATGAATGCCCTAAGTAGAAAATTATTTGTAACAACTATTTGAATGATTGCCCTAAGTAGAGAGTTATAGAGGTATGAAGATCCCTAATTTAGAAAAAAAAAATATGAATTGTAACTCGAAGATGAAGTAGAGAATTCTGATTAAATAAGTAAAAAAAACTGCTTATTTCTGGTTCATCATGTGTTTATGAAAATTCGTTTTGTTTTCAGATCTTAGGTTCATTGTTCAACAATTGCACAGACATTCAGTGGCGGAGCTAGATAAATATTTCAAATCTGTTTAATTCACTTGAGGACAAGTCTCTGGTGTTAAGGTCATAAACACATTTAAAATGTCAGATATTAAGAAATGTAAAGTTTAAAAATTATAAAGAACACTTAATCTTACGAATGAATGATCCATCACACGTACGTACAAGGAATGGATTCTTGGTGGTGTATACATATTGGTGTACTCGCATGTAAGACCATCCCACAAGAATTGCTGAGGAACACATGGATCTCCTTGCCAACTAATTCTACTCAACCCATAGCTTATCTCTATACTCTTGATAGCAACAACTAACAAAATTGTGAAAAGAATAAACCTAAATAAAAAAGTATCATATATGTACATATTAAAGCAAGCATATACTCACATTTCCGGTAACATACCGTCGTTTGCATGTGTTTCAGTCTGCGGAAACTCAACTGTTATGAAAGCGTCAATAGCATTTAGGAGAGGAGGAAGAGTTGAATTTGGAGTTCTTATCAGTTGCAAATTGCATATCCATCCTTCGCACTTAACAGGTGATGTGTTGAATAGATTATATACTTCAGACTTCTCAGGACTAACTGGTCCGTAACTAACATTTTGACCTGCGCTAATCTTGAATTCCCTCGTATCATTTCCCTTTAAGGATTGGATCTCGGTGACGTGGAGGTATGCATAAAGTAAGTCTTCCGATGTTTCCTCATTCCAAGAAATGGAAAATGGTGAACTCACATTTGCAGGAGTAGCTGCCGTAACCAACACGTCTCCCGGTAATTCATATTCGTTATCAGAAGTGTTGACTGAGAGAAGGCTTGTCCTTAACAATTTCCTTTCCGGCATGAAGAATGGACTCCATAGACGGTCGTGGACATCTTCTGGATACCTGAAGAGATATGATTAAGCCTTAAACTAGTAGTATTTACTTACCGACCAACATGTTAGTGATTAAGCAAGGTTGACTTATTTACCGGATTGTGTCTTTAGAGTCGGTCAAATAGACGCGGAACAGTTTCTTCAGGGAACCAGATTGAGGAACATAAGTATCAATTCTCAGTGGTCGGAGCTCTAAAGCTGATATTAGCGGCGTAGTTGTTCCCGTCTTAACAAGACAAACCTGCAAAGAAGTTGACCTCGGTTTGTGGATGATTTCCACCCTTGTACCGTTTACTTTTCTTTGCAAATCGACCGTGGTCCATAGATTTGAACCAAGATAAAGGTTTACTTTTCTCCGAGAAAAGGGTTAATTACTAACATAAACAGATATAGATAATGACTTCATGATGTCTTAAAGATTTTTGGTGGTTGTTAAGTTTTTGATTTGGTTGAGAATTGATTAGTCGCAAATGGAGCTTCCGTTTCTCGCATGTGCTACTTTCTTCCTCATTATACACCTTGTTATAGAACTTTTCTCTTCCCTCTTTTTCTAGTGTTCCACTCAAGCCCTCCTTAATATAAAAAAAGAAGGACTAAAGCTACAGTAAGATATGTTCTTCTCTTGTTCACTTTCCATCATTATTTTTTATTTTTCTTGGTTTTGCCACCAAAAACATTATTTACTTTAGTGTTGAAGGAAATACAAACCTATGTGTATCATGCCATAAAAAGTTTCCAGCGGTGGTGGTTATAGCGTCTGTTTCTTCAGTAGTGGCCATTATCGTAATTGTGTTATTTCTCATGTTCATTTTAAGAAAGAGAAATCCATCAGCTAGGAAAGGTACTTACTACAAAATAGCTAATGGATAAAATACATAAACTAAATAAGCTCATATGAAAAGTATGAAATATCATTGAACTTGGTTAAACTTTTGTGTGCAGCTATGCGCCCATCACTGGAAAAGAAAAGTAGAAGATTTACATATTCAGAAGTCAAGCAAATGACTAATAACTTCAAAGCTGTTTTGGGTAATGGAGGATTTGGTGTTGTCTTTCATGGTCTACTAAACAATGAACAAATAGCTGTTAAAGTTCTCTCTCATACATCAACTCAAGGCTATAAAGAATTCAAAACAGAGGTACATATACAAAACTCTTGAACAAAAAGATAAAAGGATAAAAAAATAAGTAAGATGATAACTCAATGAAATATACCCTTTTATATTCTTGATTTTTAGGTGGAACTACTACTAAGAGTTCACCATGTAAATTTGGTACGCCTTACTGTGATGAAGGATATGACTTGGCTCTCATCTACGAGTTCATGGAAAATGAGGACTTAAAAGAGCATATCTCAGGTAAAATATGAGTATGAATCTTTGAAGAATGTAAGAATTCTGAACTTTTGAAAGATTTTAACCATTTGGTAAATTGGTAAATTTTTACAGGAAAACGTGGTAGTTCTATCTTGACCTGGCCATGTAGACTTAGAATCGCTGCAGAGTCCGCACTAGGTTTGAAAAATTATTGTAGTTCTTATTATTATATATCTCTTTTGTTTAAGTTGAAAGTTGAAAGTTGAAACTTTACCTATAAAATAATTAGTTAACATGTAAATTATTTTGTGCTAGGAATTGAGTATTTACACATTGGATGCAAACCGAAATAGGAAGATGTAAAATCAATACTTTTTGGTTGGGAAATGTATAATTTGGACAGCGGAAACCGAAATAGGAAGATGCGGATGATGAATTGATGTCGCTCTTTTGGACCTTTTTGGTCAAAGCGTGTTGTTAACTTAAGTTCTGATACTTATGGAGCCCGCATGTTAGCCAGATGGATACTTCAAATAATGTGGATGTGGTGATAAAGTTCGATATAAAAATTCGTTTTTGGAGGCAACCAAAACAACGTAATAAATCAATTTAAAGAAAAATAGAAGAGTGGGTCCACACCTTAGACGTTTATATTCTCTTTGGTGACATATGTCTTCAGCTCTTCATGCCCACATTACAAATCCTTTTTCTTTTGGAGATAAAACAAATCCAAATTTATTGACTTTGAAGATTCGAATAGCGGTCAACAGTTTCATCCGTCTTTTGAATTTTCCAAATCGTTGTATTTCCCTTCTGTTTGGACGGAAATTATTATTATACTTCTCTTTTAAAATAGTTGATGATGGTGAAATGCTTTTGGTGTTAAGATATGTCTTGAAAAGCAATTTTGTGTCAAAATTCAACTTTTATTATACACAGTAGATTCAAAGCAATTTGATGTTAAGATATGTTGTAAGATGTTGTTTTATCGGTAGTTGCTATGAATTCAGGTCTTTAACTTTTGCAGTCCTGCATGAAGGTCGTGCTCGACATTCTTTCACCGTAAATCATCGGAGAGTGATTCCACTTGACAAAGGAGTCCAAAATCACCGGAATGTGTGAAATATGAAGCAATCACCAAACTAGTACCACAAATTCAAAACGAGAATCTCAAAACAAAGCTACATAAAAATTTCAGAAATATAGTAGCTTAAACAGAAACTATTGAGCTTACATCAACTCGGCTCACATTCAAAACAAAACTTGGACAAAAAGAAAAAAACAGGAGAAATGTTTTGGGGATCATACTTGATAAACCTTTGAGAGTCAACAAACGAAACTTACTCATCCATGTCTTCCTCTTCTTCGTCTTCACTGAGGTCAAGATCAGCAAGCAACTCCTCAATAGGCACAGTCGGTGCACCTTCTCCATCCGTCATCGAACCAGTCTCAGAAGCTTGATACTCCTTGTTCTTGTACAAGCTTATGTTGAACCTCAGCTCAGGGTTCTCTTCAAGATCCCTCAAAAACTCCTCATACTCCTTATCCGTCTTCTCCGGATCAGCCCTACCTCCTCTTGAATCATCCATCTCCATCGGAAGCGACTTAATCTTCCAGTTACGCGTCTTCCTCTGCTTCCTCTCCCTCTGCTCATCATAGCATTTCTTGATCAGAATCGCTTCAGGAAGCCCATTCTTCACACTCAGACGATACTTCTCCATCTCGTTATCGTTCACATTAGCACCATAAATGTCATACCCCAAAGCTTGATCTCCAGGTTTCAGAATGTGACCGAGATGAGTCTGCACGTAAAACATCTTCCCAATGTCAGACTCTCTAGCAATCTGGACGTAGGAGAGAGCATACTTCTGCCCTCCAACCGTCGCTTCACCAACAGGAGCCTCCACGTCAAACACAAAGTACTTCACAAGCTGCCTACTAGTGAGCGCAGACCGAAATCCGGATCTCCAGTACTGCCTCGCGTCCAAGAACGCACACCTCAACGTTCTCGGATCAAGAAGAGTGATGTTATCAGACACTTTCGTGCACACCACAAGCGGGCCAAGGTTCCCTAATCCGCTAGCGACTTTCGAAGGCAAGCAAACAAGATCCTCACGGCACACGGGGCAGATCTTGACAGAGTAAGTGTACTTGTAGTTGTACAAGCTGCTCTTGACATCATGAGACACCAGCTGCTGATCCTGACGGTACTCAATCGGCACAACTTTCCTCAGAAACTCAACAAAGCTATTAGCATGACTCTTATTCCCAAAGAAGAAATCAATCCCTTGGTCCACCTGCGTGATTCTGATAGCTCTTGAAGCAGCGTCGTGCCTCAGAATCAGCTGCTCAAGGTAGAAGAAAGTCCTCCTGTGAGAGACATGCTGCCTAAGCTGCACAGAAGCAACCCACTGATCAGGATTCGCCTGGAACCTCGAGCAAGACTCGCAGAGATTGTCTCTCACAGTGTACTCAACAGGGTACGACTGCTCAAGCACCGCACCGTTGAGAACCTCGGCTTGCACAGTGATCTTCACTTTGATTCTCTTGGAGTGAGGCTCGGTCCAGACGAACTCGGCGTTCTTGAGCTTCACCTTGTTGAGGTTCTTGAGCCTCTTGATGCAGAAGGTCAAGAGCTCTTTCGATTCCCACTGAGCTTTGATCCAAGTCTTCGGCGGCTGCAAGTAACAGCCACACTCAGGGCAGTAGAAGATCTGGATACTCTTCTGCAAACCTTCGGTGATGTCGACTTCGGATCGGAGGCAATTCACGCACATGTTCGCGGCGTTTGGCGGCATGGGAACACCGCATTTGCAACAGAGGACGCTTCCGACGGTTTGTTGAACGTTGAACATGCCTGACTGTTGATCCATTACTGACATCTGTAGTAGGCAACGGAGATAATGAAAATCAATCACAAGGAAACCCTAGAAATCAACAAGAGAATCGATAACTAAACACCATTATTAGACATTTGAGCTGGAAATTAGGGATTCGACATTAAATCGACGCAACAAATGGATTCCACGGTTAAATCTTTGACTAGTCTAGGGGATCGATAAGAAACCTTAAGAGTACGAAGAACGATGATAAATCGTAGAAGTTTGCTTACCTCGGAGGAGCTCGAGAGAGAAGAGAAAAGGGAGAAGAGAGAAGGCGGCGTTGCAGTAGGAAGAAAAGAAAGGTTACATTTTTATTTATTCGCTATAAACCTGGTGTAAATTGCAAAACAAACCTTATAAATCTTCTTTATTTCGAAATAGTGTAAAACATTTCCTTTAAATCATGAATGTCCAAAATCTCGGTTTAGTTCGGTATAGTATAAGGTTTTCGGTTTTCTTGTTACATACAATATTGTAAGCAATGTTTCAATAGGTGAAGAAAACATTAAATTAATGTCACAAAACTGATGGTTAACCTTGAGAAAATATTGTGAATTTTCTGTAAGAATACATGTTTTCTAACCTTAAAGCCACTAATTGACAAAGAAGTAGGATGGCAGACAAACTTTATAAAATCAACATTTTTCTTTTTTCACTCACAGTCACAAGACTCACAACTCAAACATTACACAATAAAATAAAAGAACATTCTCAATATTATGAACAAGCACCCATGAACCGAAATCACAAACCCGGTTTAAGTGTATGTACTATAATTGGTTTTATAAAAATGCTTCAAACAGAAAAACATTTCTTATATACTGATCACACAAACTCCAACCGCACAAGAAGCTTCACGGATCTACACTTGACCCCATCCTGATTACGCAGAGGAACGACACGTATTCCTTGCCTCAGCTCCCAAACCGGCAAGCAAGTTTGGCCTCCAAAATCGTCTTTCTCAGACATATCATACTCATGCACCTCTATACGCAAAAGAGCAAGCTCTGGAACCGTTAATGGGAACTCAAAAACCTCGTCCCAAGATGGTATCCAACTGTCTTCTAACGTTTTCGTCTTCTTCATTACTTTATCCGCCGGAACTCCAGCGATACCGACCTGAAATATAAATTTCGAAACTTTGTATCAGTTTCATGCCTCCAAACTAAAACTTTAAGGTTACTTATTTTTATTTTTTATATATATGTACCTTCGTATAGAAATCAGGTGGAGAGTATCGATCAAAGTGTGTGTGCGGAAAATCGTAGTACCATCCTTCTCCCATGTATAAAGTTACCTAGAAAAAGAAATCAAAGACATTATAATAAGTTCATGAGCTTTTTACCAAAACAGAGAATAGCTAGATAGAGAATAAGTATCTGACCCTTAGTGTTGTTTTTACAGGTAATGGAGCTTCCGGGTCAAATATGGCGTCGGGTTTTAGCAAAATACTGGGTTTCTTGATGTATCCACACCCTCCATTGGCTCTAAACATTCCTTGCATTACCCACAATTTTTTTCCTTGTCCCTTCCACAAGATAAACCATCATAAAGTCATTTCAAGAATTCAAATTTTCTTGCAACTATATACATGGTGGTAGATGTGTTACAAAACTAAGAGGAAACCTGCATGTTGAAAGCCACCATTTGAGCACCATGGCTCCATCCAACCAGTGGATTGTAATTTGATGAAGTAATTCTTGTTCCTTTTGGATAAATCCGAAGCATATTCCTCTGAGTAAACCTACATTGATCCACAGCGTTTCTTAAGACACACGTAACTGGAAACTGCATATGTTCTTTTGAAAAAGCAAAAAAAAAAGTCAATGTGATATGAGAAGGAATCCAAAATGGAATAATACCTGACAATGTCTTTGGCATATTTTTCTGAGGCCTTTTCGAGTTGTTCTTCACTCAAGCTAAGCCGTCTTACTTTATCAGGATCCACTTTCAAGCATTCAACCATTCCTCCTTTCGGTTTACCAGCCTGGATTGCAATCAGATTCTTGTATTCCGGTGGTGCATTCTTCTTAGTATCCTCATCATCATCATCGTCGTCGTCTTCTTCGTCATCATCTCCATTCAAATCATTCTGCAACAAGAAAGAAAATAATGTAAGAAAGAAAAAAACAAATGTAATAGAATGAAAAAGATGTCAAAAACTATGCAAACCTTTTTATTCAAACCATCATCATCCTCATCTTTTGGTTTCTTGTATTCTTTGGGAGGTTTAGTTGAGATGATGATACGCTTTTTCAAAAACGCTGGTGATGGGAACTCCTTTAAGCATTCTCCGGGAGGAGGAGTAAACAACATTTCTCCAAACACTTCAGTAATCATCTACAACACAACAAACATTATAATGAGCAGTTAAAGCAAAATGAAAAAAAGTGTTAGAGAAATGCAAAATAAGGTCACACCTCAGCAACTTTAGCCTGGAGATTGGGAGTAAGATGATCTTCAAGAGTTACAACAACTGGATAATCAGATACATCAAAGGCGTGCTCTCTTATAGCATTTAGACATTTGATCAGCTTCACAGGTGATGTAAGAGTCCTATTACAATGGTTCAATACACATAAGAAGAGAACAAAATGTTCTTAACCAATGACTCATTGGATAACTAACCAATAATAATCACTAAAATTAAAATCTAGGAGACATATTTATACATACATTCCATGAAGAACATCGATATCATCTTTATCGGAGTTTGGCCATAGATCCAATTCAATAACCCTGACACCTTTCTTCAATGCTTCTATTATAGGCACTTCACTACAGTCACTACTCAACTGATTACCAGTTAAATATGAATTATGCCCTGTAAATATGAAATAATGTGATAATGGAGCATCCATGTCTTGATTCACCTGCAAAAATTCATATACTCAAGAACCAATCTCCACTCCACAAATAATTAATGATCACATTCAATTATTTCCATCTAATTGATTTTTTTCTTTCTGGAAAATAAAAAAAGAATGGGAGAAAAAAACCACCTCATGAGAAGCAAGAGGAGAGTTATCGACACCAAAGAGGTATCTGAAGAAAGCATCAAGAGAGAGACCCCTTCGATGAAGAAGAGAAGATGATGCATTGACAATGGCTTGAGCTTCCTCTCTCGTCGCTTGATCTTGTTTCTGAACATCGATTAGAAACCTATGGAGAAGATCGACGGTCATGAGACCTCTGTCGGAGTAATTGTCGAAAACGGTCTTGATCTCATCCGGAGCAACCGACACCGTGTGCCGATACCTCCGGCTGAAGCAGAAACAGACTTTGTATGTTTGCTTCGACATTGTAACGATGAAAAGAATTCTCTCAAACTGAAGATTGAATACGAAAGAGAAGAAGAAGAAATGAGAGAAATGATGTAACCGCTGTCAATAGGAGTTATTTAGTTAATTATCTCGTTGGCAGTTTTGATCGTAAAGGTCACTTTCCGTAAAACTTGGGATGTAAGGTAATGTGAGTTTGCATTATTGGTCGACGTGGATATTTTTTGTCAATTTTATTTTTTGGTCGGCAGATATTTTTGCAAACTAATACTCCCTCCTTTATTTATTAATGAATTTTCTGTTTTTGGTGTTTCTTAAAGATAAAATTTATAGATTTTCAAAACATTGTTATTGATTAAAACAAAAGATTCAGATTTAATGTAAACATTTATGTTTTTTGGATTTCTATTGGTTTAAAGCTCTTAATATGTATGAAAATCTTAGAAATTTTATTTTTAAGGAATGGAGGGAGTAATTATTAGATAAGTGTTTTTGAATTTGTTGATGCAGTCAAACATCTTTTTAAATAATTAAATAGTTCCTTTCTTGCTCTAACCAGCTTGCAACTTCCAAGTATAGGATCCAATTCGCAGCTATGTTTTTAAAAAGATTGAATTCGAAAACAGTGATGTGATTAGCAAAGTAATATTTGCATATAGAAATAAGAATAATTCTTCGAAAAATCGAAAGTAGTGTGGTTCACGTCCATTTTGGGGTCTAAACAGTAAAACTAAATTATATAAGGGTCTTAGTGAAAAGAATTAATAGTTAGAGGGTAAAATGTTCAATAACTTCAGTTACTCTGCAAATGCGAAAGAGAAACTTTGGATAGTTTCTCAGCGACACTCTCACTTCCCAGGACCTTCTTTGAATCGAAGATAGTGATCGAGATCTGGGTAAAACGAAGAAGCACTTGATTCAGAGCAATCGAATTAATGGCGTTTACGGCGACTAGACTGGTCTCTTTCACTATCCTGTGGATTCTCGTCCTCTTCGTCACACTTGCTCTCATACAGGTTTAATTTAAACCCCTTAATTTTTCTAGTTTCTCGATCTGGTTTTGCGACATTGACTTACGTTTTTCGCTTCGATTTTGCAATTAGGTTAAATTGGCTGATGTTGCGGATCCTACTGTCAATGGGAAGATCGCTGATGCTAAGCTCAATCATGTGAGCAAAAGACTCATTTTCATTTTTGTTTTGTTCGTTTACAAATGGTGTGATTCTTACTAGGGTTTATGAAAATTTCTGAAATTTTCAGGTGGGAGAGGATTTAGAGGAAGTCACACACAAAGTTTACTTTGACATTCAGATCAATGGTACACCATCAGGTAAAAAAGTTTCCTCCTTTTTCTGTTTCCATTTTGAAATCAAAACCTCTGATTTTGTCATATGTGGAATTTGGTCTTGAAGTCTGTAAAATGGCTGTTTCTTGTTTGTGATGTTTGAGGATGTCTCTAATTCCGGGTTTGGATCAGTTGCTTAAGCACATTAGTGGATGCATTTTGTGTTAGTCTTTGAATTAGAAAATGGCTCTTTCCTTTTTCTCCCAAGAGACACTGTTTTATTGTCTCTAAGTGGTACTGTAACTGTTGGCTTGAAAGCTCAGAAATCTTCTACAGCTCACGCAAATTGAGTTTGAGAGTAACGTTTGCGTTATACTTTCATTTACAGGGCGCATTCTCATCGGCCTTTTTGGGAAGACAGTTCCTAAAACTGCAGGTACAGTGAAAAAGTCTTCACATTGTCTCTCGTTCTTGCTTTTTGAGGTGTTTTTCTTTACTGAATCCTTGGTTTCTTTTATCTTTTTGACAGAGAACTTTCGAGCACTTTGCACGGGTAGCCAAGTAACCTTTGTTTCCCTCCCGTTGAAACTCTGTGGTCTTTAGCCTCTTCTTAAGCCAAGAGAAACTCTTACTTATTCTTCCCGGTTGGTGCAGGAGAGAAAGGAGTTGGAAACATGGGGAAACCTCTTTACTTCAAAGGAAGCAGCTTCCATAGGATCATTCCTAAGTTCATGATTCAAGGTGGAGACTTTACTCGAGGCGATGGAAGAGGTGGAGAGTCAATCTATGGCGATAAGTTTCCAGATGAGAATTTCAAACTCAAACACACCGTGCCAGGTATGCTGCTAAAAGCTTAACCAAAGATGCCTCTCTAAGCTCAGTATACAAAAGACTTATTGGCTGAGTCTGAAAATGGGTTTTCAGGAGTTTTGTCAATGGCCAATTCGGGACCTGATTCAAACGGTTCACAGTTCTTCATCACAACAGTCACCACGAGTTGGTAAGTAGGCTTGATGATAACTTGCTTTTGCGTATCTTCTCTACCGTTTTGCAATCTTGGTTTTGATTCTTGTTTTTCTACAACTTGTGATTTGGAAAAAAGGTTGGATGGACATCACGTTGTGTTTGGGAAGGTGTTGTCTGGGATGGAAGTGGTGCGCAAGATCGAAGCTCAGGGACAAGAGAGTGGAGTGCCTAAAGTAAAAGTTATCATTTTGGACAGTGGAGAATTGCCTTTGTAATAAACTCTTCTTAAGGTTTCATCAAATACTTGAAAGATCGAACCAAATGTATACGTTTTTAGTTGTTTCAAACAGGAACTAATTTCATCGACAAGATCAACAATAGTTTAGTTGCCTTAACAACACTTAGTGATGGGGGCAATTCAAATTCTGATCCGTTCTCAAATTCCTGGTGCATATGAAAGTACATTTTGTTATTTGCTATTGTTTCGTTTTGGCACCTTTATTAGAAAACGAAGTCATTATTAGTTCCAAGAATCATCAAACATGATTGTTATTAAAAGGTAAATCAGACTAAAACCTATAGAACGAATGTAAAATTACGATCAAGTACCAAATAAAGTTATTCGATAAAGAACAGAGAAAACCCAAGGTCGAAGAATGTACATTTTGAAGAAAAAAAAGACATCTAAAAGAAAGAGAAGGGGAAAAGCTTAAGCATCATCTTAATCATGTGATTATTGAATCATAAGTTGTGAAATTTCTTGACAAACCAAGTCGTTGCTATCATGAGGACCCACAATCTTAAACCTGTTGCAAACAAACAAACAAAATAATTTCAACATTTTGGGATCAAACTTCAAAATACATTTTTGAATCAAAAGTTGCCAAGTTTGTTTTTTATTTTTTTTTAAAGTTGGGACTTGGAAATGTGATTGCTTGGGAAGAAAATAAAAATAAAAAAGGACTCTTACAATTCAAGAACTGATTTTCCTTCCTTGTACTTCTGGCTGTCAACATGGGAAATCACCTGAAAACACAAAACCATTTTGTAACTCCAGAATAATCGAGAACATGGATTATATATATTATTATGAATGCAAGTAAGACGAGTTTTCGTCTTACGTATTTCCAGCCAACGTTTGATCCACAACCAACACAGAAAATGTCAGTTACGGTATGAAGTCCAGTTATCATCATTCTATCTTCTTTCTCTCCAGTTGTAATGTTTACACTAAAGGATCATCAACATTCAACAACAACAAAGCGTAATTAGGAGTATAAAGAACAAACTATATAAGCACCAGTTCTTGATTCTCAGAGTTTATTTTTTTAACCAGAAAACTTACACCTGATTAAAGAGATAAGCTTCTCCATACTTGCATTGAAAAGACTGCACAAACACTAAGTCAGTACTATAAATCATACAATCTTACTGAAGAAACCATATACATACTCTGGTTTTACACATGGTGATCTCAGTTTCAGTCAAGTTATAAGTTCGGTAAATTCAAAAACTATAACTGACATTTAAACAAAGTGGTGAAAATGAGCGACATGGTAAAATCCTAAAATGAATCACTGAAAATTCTAAGAAAACGCATAACTATGATCAGATTATCAACAGTAAAACCACAAGTTTACTCAGATGAAAGACTCACTACACTATCAAAACGAAATGAACAAAAAAAATAACACAAACGAGAATGATCAAAAGATCAAACCTTGGACTTTAGGTCTTGGTCTCTAGTAAGATGGGTCTTACAGTGTCTGCAACTGTAGATTTGCCCTTCGAGATCCACCATGAAAACCCTACCCATCTTTGTTTGTTTCAAACGACAAAAATCTCCTTCTGTGAATTGAATAATCCCCAAAATCGAGTCTTCGGATTTTATAACGAGAAAGCGAAGATATCGATAGGAAAATTGTTAGACTTTTGGAGAAGTTTTCGGCAGAGTATAAAAACTGTAAAAAGATGATTCGATCTAATCGGATTTTGGAGGTTGAGTATTTAGCAAGAAACACGGATGATAAAAAACGGAATTCTAAATATCCTAGATACTAGCTACGCGCGACCAAAAAATGTAACTATCAAAACTTATTTAACCAAAAAAAAAAAAAAAAAAAACTATCAAAACTTTATAATTTTTGGAATTTAAAAATGCGAATAAAGAAGAATTTGGAATCAACGGACTACAGATATTTGTGACCGGTTAGCCGCGTGGTTTGATTGGTCTCGTAACTTTTACTGTTTTCGTCCTAACTAAGTCACTCTTCATGGTAGGGTAGGTAAGTCTATTTAAGATTTTCGTTTGTCATTTGTCAACAAACAATACATGTTTTTGGTAGAAGTTGTCTCGATGTAAATTGGTTAGGTCCAGTTTTAAGGCCCTTGACCCTATATTTCTAATGGATTGTTATGTGACATAGATTGGGACCAAATGCAGTTACTCTCTATAACTCTTATCTCCCTATCAAAATTATTTGTTCCGGTGAGAGTATCATCTATAAAAAATGATCCATATTGTTAGTTTGGTATACATAGAAGTTGTGGATTTTACTTTCTTCATTTGAGAACAGAATGATTTTTTAACGAAGGAGTTCATCTTCAAATTTTAAATTCGATCACATTTGTAAATGAAGCGTTTTAATCGGAAAAACAAAATTGCACTAGGTTCACATTTTCTTGAGCTTTAAGAGTTGCACAAAGGTCGAAATACACATATCACATATGCAAGCTTACATACATATAAGTTAACTATATATTTTGCTTCTTTTCTTTTTATAGTAAAAAAGAAGAAAGATGCCTTCGGCTTCTAATCTCATGGATGAAATTATGGTTTATATATACAAACAAAACATAACAAAAAGACAAAAGTGTAACGGTGGCTCATTCATTAAAGTAAACAAGAACTATAATGTCCTCTCTTTTTTCTGTCTAACCTAATTTAAAATCTATAATATATAGTAACAACTGCCAATTCATTGGAGTTGTCTTTTGTAGTCTCACATGGAAAAGCATAGGTTATATTAAGCCCCATTCGTTATCTGTTCTTCCATCCTTTACAGATTATCCTTTGGACCTTTCTGTAACCAAAAACACACAATAAACAACATTATCAGCACAGATATTCTCAAATTGGTTACCTCCACTATATATGACTCACACACTTCGAAAATGATAGTAATTAAAGCAACTTTAGTATATAATAATCAAGCTATTAATAATATATATGCAAGTTGGTGGTCCGAGATAATAATATAAGTAAAATAGATTAAAAAAGGATGAGATGTATTTCGTTACCTGAAACTTGAAAGGAGACCAAAAGGTCCAAAACCTTGAAGATGTTGCACTGATACGTATATTTATATAAATATAGCTGTGTATATATATATGTACAAGTGACGACTATCTTCTAATATAGCTATTTGAGTCTCTCTTGTTGGAGGAGGATCTTCTGGTATCGGGGTAACACATTTTTACAAGCCGAAACCTGAAATTTGATAAATCAAACACAAAACTAAAACATTAATTTACGCTTATTAGTCACACTTCATTCAAATCATGAAATATTAGGTGTTAGTGACGTTGTCATGTCTTAATACTTTATGTCTTAAATAATATCTACAGATTTTTTCTTCAAAACAAAGAAGATTAGAAAGCAATCCGTCATTATTCACACACGGTTCCCACTCGGAAACATCCGTATCCTTCATTTAAGAAAATGCGATTTATTCTTTTAAGGGCCCTATAGTTAAATCCTATTATTCGTCACTATCTAATTAGTTTGAATTAAATTGTTTAACACACAAAAAGGTGTAAATCGAAGTACAGTTTTTTTATTTGGTGAGTGAAAAATCAAACCTTCTAAACTGACCAGTCATTTTCCAACCTACTACTACATACAGCAAAAACTTCAAGAAGCCTAATAAGTGCCAAAAATGTGTAAATTTTAAATTCAAAACTTTGACAAACCCCCCACATGCTATTTCTGACCGAGTCTGATTTTTTATTAGTGGTAGAAGAACAGCATCCTAGTTTTTTTTTTTTTTTTAAGTAAAAATAATACCAGATTTGAAAATTAAACCATTTGATACGGCCTCTTTTTATTTTTAATACTGCTATTGTTTCTGTAACGGCTAAAAGTTACTTTCAAACAAAACAAATTATAATGTTTTGTAACGGCTTAAACAAAAAGAAGTTGAAAGAAGGGTAAAGAACAATAAAAAAAAGTTGAGAAACTTACGGATTCAATATCGATTTTGAAGACGAGGAGTTTTCTTCTCTCTCTACAACTTGTTCGGTACGCCACAACGATGTGACCGATGGCTAGGATCCACGAACAGACAAACAGAGCCACTTCCTCTGTTCTGAAATATCCTCCGACCACTGGCTCGCCGAATACAACCGCTGCTTTGAAAGATACGTATATCAAAGACGAAACAGAGCAAATCATCGTTATCATCAGATATGGACCCCTTGATAGTTTCGGTCCGTCACAGAGCCCGTAAACACCTGTAATCAGTAGAAGAAGAAAAAAAGTTAATTTTATTTCTGATTACGGAAAAAAAAGTATATTTTGTATAAAATAATTCAGATGAGACCAAAACAGTACTCTCTGGCTTTCTGCTTTCTATATTCTTCCGAAATTTGTAGAGCTGGATTTTCTAAAAGTTTCAATATTTTCACAAAATATACAAAAGAGCTATGGATTCCACAGTTACAGAAGTTTCCATATTTAGATTGAGGAAGTTTCCGGAATAAGCTGAAGGGTTTACTTACAGAGTATAATGGCAGATCTAATGATGGAGATGAGAGGAATATCGATGAGAGAGTATCGGAAATCGTAGTTGCTGAGGTGAGAAGAAATCGTCGCCGGAAAACTAGAAGGAGAGAGACGGTGTATAGAGGAGGAGGAGGAGGAGAGGATTGCTGAGGGAAGAACGGCGTCGGCGACGGCGAGGAAGATCGGAGCAGAGAAGAGGATGAAAGAGATGAACATAGTGAAGAGAACGAAGATCGTTTTTATTACTCTCCAGAGAGAGGAAGAGTATCTTCTGCTTTTGCTGATTTCTTCTTTGCTGATCAGACCCATCTTTTGATTTATTTTTCTTCTTCTCTAGGGTTTTTGTTTGTTTATTTACAGAGGATTTATGATGTTAAGTGATGATTTTGAAGAGAGAAGTTTTGTGAGAGATTTTTTTGAGGGTTTTTAAAAGGGTCGTAGAAAACAAATTTGACGACGCTGACGATAATGCTGATGTGTAATTTGTGTTTAAATAAAATAGTTTTTTTTTTACAATGATAATGACTCTTATTTTCTGTTGAATTAAACATATGAGATGATGTTGTTTTGGACGTCTTTTCCAAGGCAAAATTATTCTAGAACATAATATATGATGATATGTTTGATTTGGTGCGTTTAATAGGAATTAATCGACGAGACATTATTTAGTTTATATGATACGTTTTCCATCATTCTTATCCCATCGATTTTAATTTGTTAGGTGTAGCTGTAAATTTCATTATTAATCTCACGTTTGCGCTATAATATCTAAGATCTTACAACCTTGTGTTCTATGATCAGTGGCGGACCTACATAGGATGGAGTTCAATTGACACAGGTTAAATTTCAATAATTCTCTAATAATCATGTGTTTAGTGGCTGATTTTGTCAAAAACATTACTATTGAACCCCCTAAAAATGTCAAACATTGTATCTTTGACCCTATTAATTCAGCTTTTTACATTAAATTTTTACTGGGCTATAATCCATTATTGAAATATGTTGCACAATAATCGGGTTTATTTCATTTGTTCTTATTATTTCGGCTTAATTTATATTAAAAAAAACTAAAATATTTATATATTATTTTAATATATTATTGACCCACGTAAAATTAGCTTCTAGGTTCGCCACTGTCTATGATTACCTATTTGATACATTCAAGTATTTTTAAGTGTTTGCTACTTACTTTCGTCCTTTGACTCCGTCACTAAATTTGTGTTCGTATACGTTAGCCAATCAAAATTTTGTCTTCGTATATATATGAGAGCTAAAACACTTCAGCTATATCATTAACAACCCATGTTTTAGTCTCCCTAGAGTAACGGTAATACCTAAGATGGCGTGAAGCACAATATTCTCTGAGTTCCATTGAATCTACTTTGCAAATACACCTAATCAAATGGATATGTTCGTATCCGAGAAAAGGAACTTCGTTCAAAGAACAATGGTATTTATTTTTAAGAAAAGACATAGCAAGATGGCCGTGGTATTTAATGGAAGAAGAACAATCGTACTAGTAAAATATTGTTATTTGCAGACATTTTCCTATAAAAATGAAAGTGGGTAGTTAAGAAAACAAAAGTGGATCTAGAGGAATCGATCGATTTTAGTCATGTGGGCACTGATCGAATACATGCCGCTAATCTACACTTATTTTAGTTTCGTATATTTAATTAATATAGTCGTGTAACTTTCTGAGAATAAACATGTCATTGATGTTAAAAAAACTCTATATTGAAAACGAAAAATGATGTAACTTAACATATGCTTTACATGGAGTGTTATACTCGTTTTCAAATTGGTTATTAGTTGGTCACTATTCTCAGTTTATTACTGGAAACTACTACACTAGTAAAAGGTAGCAAAAAGGAAAAAACTGCAGTAACCACAAAACATGTTACCTCGTTTAAATAGTTCATGTCAGTAATTATTTAATAAATAGTTGATATTATATCTACCATTTTTTTTTTTGATAACTCAGGGGTAAATAACTTTTTTTTTAGAAAAATTAATGTTGTACGACCAACTAGTGAGTGAATTGAGCATCTCATTTAAAACGACTACAAGTATTAAACCACAAGTCACATGCTCTAGGGCTGCTGGGATTGACTAATGACTAGTAGTCTAATATCGAAAGAAGCTTCTTACCAATGAACTCACGAGAGGCATGTTTATTGGCCTTTATAGATAAGTTTTTAAAAAAAATAAAAAATCAGTCCATTAAATTGTATCGAAAATATAATTGTAATCAATCAAGGGATATTAATGTATTGACTTAAATGTGTATTAATATTTTCAATTTAAAAAGTCCTTAGTTTTTTTTTCTTTATCAGGTTCATATGTGATTTTCTTTTGTCGACATCAGTTTCATGTTTGATAAGAAAAAATGTTTTTTTTTTTTTGGTCAACAGATAAGAAAAAATGTAATCCCCAAAAGAAACTAAGAAAACTGTAGTTTCAGAGGAAATAAAAGTCGTTGAGAGACAAAGAAACAAAAAAAAAAGAAAAGTAGAGAGCCAAGTGTAAGCAACCGGAGGGGAAGGGCGGCGTATTCATCCGTCCACATCAGCTTCGTGTCTCCTTGAGCCTCCTTTACGTCGTGAGAATGAACCATTAGTCCCGAAAGCTTACATCAGCAAATCTCTTTCTTTCTTTTGTTTCGGATAATCATTTTCTGTAAATTATGTTTATCCATAATATTTTGTTCTTATTTCATTCGTCCACTTGGATTAGCTTTTTAATAACAGTTTATACACTGGCCATCTGGCAAAATCTGGACAAACTTTTTGTGGTTAACAGACAAATATGAAAATGCGACAAAGGAAAGCTTCAATATTTGAAACCATCTAGGAGTTGCTCACGGCTTACCACGTATTTCATTTTTATTACATTAGTTTTCCTAAGAAATATGACTCGATCATATAGATATGATTACTCTCTAGTTTCAATTTCTGAACCAAAAGCCTTTTTCTTACTCTTACACTTTCACATGTCTAAGTATAACATTAACAATAACAACAAACATAATGAACATAAATTCAAGAAAAATTCAAAATTTCCCTTACATGAGAGATTTGACTATTTTTGTAACATAGCATTGAATTTCTTATATTATTACGGCTTAATAACTCACTAACTCCCCGGAGTTCACGAGTAGAATTGAGTTACAAGCTAATTTATGTTTGCTTGTAAAGCAAGAAACCTAGATAGTTCAATCATTTTTATTAACAAAGGCAGACTCAGCCAAGTCAATGGCACGTGCGAGTCCCGCAGCTTTGTTCTGGCACTCACGGTGCTCATCCTCTGGGTCACTATCTGCTACAATCCCTGCACCGGCTTGCAGATAAGCTATCCACTCACGGCGAGGCATGTCTCTGTCTTTGTACGAGTACATTGTGTCGTGACGAGCTTGTGTTGGGAACACAATGGTCCTAAGTGCCAAAGCAATGTCCATGTCTCCTGTGAAGGAAACACTCCCGAATCCACCACTGTATGGTCCTCTTCTTGTCACCTCTAGCTCATCGATCAACTCCATAGCCTTCACCTGTTCCAAGAGAAAGAGACTATCTCACCAATCAGACACATATAAAGATTGAAACAAAGTCTTATGTAAGAACTAGTTGTTGAATTTGCCTTTGGGGCTCCGCTAACGGTTCCAACTGGTAAAGCCGCACGAAGAGTGTCCCAACAGGTCAGATTCTCTTGCAACTCTCCAGTCACCTGTTTTCACGTTTCAAAGTTTGTAAGCGTTTGCATTTACATTTACAGAAAAGAAAAAGAAAATACAATATGAAAGTAGTTTGATGATTGTAATATTTCAAGAACATTTGTGCTATACCGTTGAGCTGATGTGCATGACATGTGAATAACGCTCTATGTCCATGAGCCTCTCCACCTTCACTGAGCCGTTCTTGGATACCTGCTTTCAAAGAGATTGATAGAACACACACAAGTTTGCTTTCAATCATTGCTAAAACAAGATTTTGATCCTGAGAGAGAGGATTTGTCTAACCTTTCCAACATCGTTGCGACCTAAGTCAACAAGCATGATGTGTTCTGCACACTGCTTCTCGTCTTTCAACAGTGCCTTCTCCAACATCTGATCCTCTTCGAAACTCTTTCCCCGTCTTGCTGTTCCTGCTAATGGTCTGTTCACGATCTTGTTCTGTTTTACAAAAATCCAAAAGTGTTTTAGTATTATACATTACAAGAAGTTGAGGAGAAGAGATGATGAATGTGAGAGATGCTTACTTTCTTCACTCGAGTGAGAATTTCAGGACTTGACGCTACCAAAATACAACCTCTCGCCTGGTCAGCAAAACAGAGGAAAACAATGTACACAGTTTAGGAGATTAAACAAGTGATATACAAGTATAAGAATAGGTAACAGAGGGGAAGAGGAGTGACCTGCAAGTAACACATAGAGGGACTTGGGTTGACAATCCTCAAAGCTCGATAGACTTCAAAAGGATGAGCAAAAGTCCGGCGCTCAAACCGTTGACTCAAGACGATCTGAAAGATATCACCAGCCAAGATGTGTTCTTTGGCCTCAAGTACAGCATTCTTGTAAGCATCACTTGTCATGCTTGATTTCTCCAAAGGAGTCCCAAACTGGCTTGTGTGTAGGTCTACTGAACCAGAAGGTAGGTTAGGGCTGAAACACAAAGATAAGTCAAGTTAAAATGTTAATCCGATTGAAAAACAAAAAACAAAGATTCAAAGAGGGAAGAGCCAACTCACGGATTAATGCCTTTAATTCTAGAAACAAGCTCTTCCAAGTGCTTCACACCGTCAGCGTAAACATTATCAAATGAAGAGTTTCCAGACAATCTCACCCAGTGAATTATATGCATTTTCTGTTGAAATGAAGAAAATTCCCCATTTGAAATCTCAATCATAGACGTAACTTTAAAAGTTTTAAGAGTCCTAAACACTGTCACAAACCACTCTAGTAATAAAAAAACAACCATCAAACGCATACGTTCACTGTCACAGAAAAGATACAGACTTGCTAGATTAAAAAGCTCATTATATAGATTAAACACCTTTTGGACATGATCAAAGACAATGACATCATCATAAAGGCCAAGATGCATGTCTGGAAGATTTCGGTCATCGACAGGAGCCTTGGAGAAAGGTAGCTTTCGGCTTTCAGCATAACGGACCGTATCATATGAGAAATAACCAACCCAACCACCTGTTGATAGCATAAGCAAGAAGCTCATTGGTAATTTTCATGATCATTTCTTGAACAAAACCAAACAGTTAAAGCAATAAGCAAGATCTCTCACCACAGAAAGCATCAGGGAGATCATCAATGAGTTGAGGTTTCCAAGTCTCTGAGATTCTTCTAGGAATCACCATTGGATCTTCGACTTCCTCTGTGGTCACAGTGCCTTTCACATGATCCATCACTGTTACTTTGTTCTCCTTCGCCACGATTTCCATTGTTGGATGTGCTCCAACCACACTATATCTTCCCTAAAGATTTTTATAAAATCAAAGGTTTGTGATTTGACTAAAATTAAAAAAAATAAAGTAAGAGTAAGAAGAAGAATTTTTACAACAGTGGAAGCCTGAGTTCCTGGCTCCACTGATTCGAAAAGGAAGCTTGGAGACTCTCGATCATCTTCCTTGACCAGACATCGGTAAGCCAGAATGGGAGTGAGATGATCGGAGAAAATGGTGTGGCGGAGCGGAACTAAGTTCTCCGTCGTAGAACCTTTCATCGCATCACTTGCTGCGATGAAACCAACAAAAAAAAATCAATTCGTTAAAAAGAGCCCTAATGTATTCAATTTCAAATGAGCTTAAAGAATCTCTCTAAGCAAAATCGATTGGAAAAGCGGTAAAGTGAGTGTAAGGAGTTGGGATGATTCACGTTGAGAGGGATACGACAAGACAGAACCGCATTTGATGGGAGTGACGAAGGAAAGTGAACCGGAGGAGGAGCGTCTTCTTGAAACCCCGGTGAACGTAGACGGTGGCGAGATGCGGCGGTTTGACGGAGAGAGAGAGAGAGACGGATGGAAGGAGTCTGTATCATTCCGAGCGCGTTCATGATGTCGAGAATGGTTTTTTTTTTTTGACCGGAGAGTTTCGATTCAAGGTGGTTTCAGTTGTCCTTGAGAGGGAAGATATATAAAATGGACAAATTCTTTTGTATTTACCAAAAGGAACACTTTCCTTAACTACAATTTTATTTCTACCCCCGACTTTCTTATGGTGCAATTTTGGGCTGTTATGACTTATGACCACTTGACCTGAATTTCTATGTACCAGCAGCATACACCAACAAATGTTTGTGACGCATTAGACTTTAAATGCAAAATTGACATATTAGAAATTTCTCTTTTAGATGTACGTGTTACACGTTCTTGTCGAAAATTATAGATATGTACGGTGTGTACCATGTGTCGCATAACCATGGTCAAGTTTTAGTTTCGTTATCCATCTAACTTACATTTTCATTCAAAAGCAATTAAGAAGATTCTTTTTTTCTTTCTTTCTTTTTTTTTTTTTTTCTGGTTAGATTCTTGCTATTGTTTTCTTTGTCCGGCAGATTCTTTCTGTCTAAATGTTAGGGAAAGATTTATTTCTATTTTTTTTAACTTAATGTTAGTAAGAAATTCTATGGAAAATAATGTTGACCATAGGATGAAGATTTTATAGACGGAAACAATAAATCTCAAATGCAAGATTCTTTCCATTTTTCTTTCGAACGTTACAAACAAATTCATAGTCACTACGAAAAACTTCTGAGATGTAGGTATGTAGCGATACTATACAATAGGTTACGAAAAAAATTTGGTTAGGATCCTAATTGACGAAAAAAATCCGGATTTATAGTTACTTTGTGGTCAATACGTGGCTAAATCCTAATTGACGACACATTATTGTATATATGGAACACATCGTGGCTCATCCATGAATTAGAAACAAAAAGTTGTTTAATTAAACTTGAGAGCAGTACATTTACTTGGGTGAGTTTAATTCCGATTTCACTAAAATTAAAATTGATTGGTGGTTCGGTTTTGTATTAGTTTCCGGTTACGATCGGTTTTGGTTTAAGTGGAGCCAACATCCAAATCCTGAACAACTCTGTAGTTTGTTTGTATCAGAATATCTCCGGCGAGTCGGCGACTATGAACCGCTTCGTCCTAGTTTCCGCTGCCGTCTTCCTCCTCATCTCCGTCGCTTATCTTCCTTTGCTCAACGAACTATGTAATTACTGCTTCCGCTGTTAGCTCCCCTTTCCCGCCGTTTATCAGTTTTTTGTTTTTGTTGTTTTAGTCATTTTGACTTGATTTTGAAAGTCGTCGACTCGATTTGATGTTCGCAGATTGGTCAACGCTGACATCTCTTATACCACCGGTAAGGGTCGTGGCGGATTTGTTAGTGAGAAATGGAACAATCTTCACCAGCGACACCACTTTGCCGTTTGCCGATTCCATGGCGATTCGTAATGGCAGGATTCTCAAAGTCGGAAACTTTTCCACTCTCAAGGTTCTTCATTTTTGCTTTCACTCTTCTTCTTTCTTTTTTTTACTACTTAACTAGCATGAATCTGGAATATGTCATTCTCATGTAATTCGTATTTCGACGAAAGACAGGATTTTGTGGGAGAGGCAACAGTGGAGGTGAATCTGGAGGGGAAGGTTGTAGTGCCTGGACTTATTGATTCACATGTTCATTTGATTTCTGGTGGATTGCAGGTGATAAACAAAAACTTATTTGCATTAACAATGAAGATGATCTTGGAAATAGATTTAGACATGAGTACTCACGTTTACTTTTCCAAAATGTTATTTTGGCTGAGCACAGATGGCACAAGTTGGACTTAGAGGGGTGAGTCAAAAAGATGAGTTTTGTAAAATGGTCAAGGACGCAGTGCAGAGTAATTTCATTTATCTTAAGTACACTGAACATTTTTTCGCTTAAGTCGTTCGGTTTCTTAGTAGTTTGAGAGAGTGTTTTAATTAATTACTCTGCTTTGACGTGGTCAAAAAATGTATTCAGATGCAAAAGAAGGGTCATGGATTCTGGGTGGTGGATGGAACAATGATTTCTGGGGAGGAGAATTGCCTTCTGGATCATGGATTGATGAAATCTCTCCTCATAATCCTGTAAGAATTTTAATATGCTTGACTGATCGTGTTTTTCAATCGTAAACATGATCAGCTTGGTTACGTTTTTCATCTTCATGTAGGTTTGGTTGGTTAGGATGGATGGTCATATGGCTTTAGCGAATTCCCTCACGCTTAGGATTGCTGGTGTTACGAGTTTAACGGAAGATCCAGCTGGTGGAACGATAATGAGATTGCCTAGTGGAGGTAATGCCTTATGTTAGGCAATGTCAATATTCATATGTAGAGAAACTCTGTCTATGTTTTGATTGTATACTGAAATGAGTTGGTACTTGCTTTTTATGGATGACTACACTACAGAGCCTACAGGTCTTTTGATTGATGCTGCGATGGAGCTTGTCTCTTCCTTTGTTCAAGAAGTCTCAGTGGATGAACGTAGGGAAGCACTTCTTAGAGCAAGCAAATATGCTTTGAGCAGAGGCGTGACAAGTGTTGTTGATCTTGGAAGATACTATCCTGGCACTACAGATGAGCTCTCCTGGAAAGACTTTCAAGGTGCAAAATACTTTTTTTTTTTGTTGACCCTGAGTGAAATTACTTGTCAAATTCATAGAAGTTAAATGCTCCTTTTTATAGTACAGATGTCTATCTATGGGCTGATTCCTCGAAGAAGAAGATGATGATACGGACTTGCTTGTTTTTCCCGATCACGACATGGTCTCGTTTATTGGTATGGTCTCTTCAGAAGCAGCTCTTGTTTTTAATAAAATGGAATGATGATTGAGTCAAGCATCATTGTGTTTCTTTAGAACGAGAAACTTAAGCTTGTTTTCATGCTTATCTTCGTTGTTTGGGCTCATCTTCGTTGTTTTCATGCTTTTAGGAACTTAAGCTTGAAAAGGGACCTGTACTGAGTGAATGGTTGTATCTCGGTGGCGTCAAAGCATTTATTGATGGCTCTCTAGGTTCTAACAGTGCTCTTTTTTACGAGGTGAAGAGTTACATGTATATTATTCTTTCTAATTCATCTGCTATGCATTCGTTGAAAATATATTCATATAATGAAGTATACATTATAGCATTTCATTTTGTGTTACCTTATCTTTCAGAACCACTATAGAAATCCGAAGGTTTAATATCTATCTGCAGGATTATCTTGACACACCTAACAATAATGGGTTAGTAGTAATGGACCCTGAGAAACTTTCCAACCTCACAATGGCAGCAGACAAATCAGGGCTTCAGGTGTCTCCTTGTTATCTTTCTGCTTGCTCATTGTATTTGTCAGTATCTAAAGTCCAAACGCATATGTATGAATGTATAGGAGAAGTACGTTCAACAACTCATATCAGTTACTTATTTTCTTGTCTTGTTGATCAAGGTTGCTATCCATGCTATAGGAGACAAAGCAAATGACATGATCCTTGACATGTACCAATCAGTTGCCGCAGCTAATGGAGACCGAGATAGAAGATTTAGGGTGAAGTTTTCAATTCAAAGGATCTTTTTTCTCTGACCTATTTGCTTATCCTATCAATACTCAATATCTCTGATATGCTGGTTACAGATTGAGCATGCGCAACATCTGGCACCAGGATCTGCTGATCGGTTTGGTCAACATAACATTGTAGCCTCAGTGCAGGTTAGTCACTTTCCACTATCAAGGCATTTTAAAACTCATTTGGTTTGATCTAACATATCTATGGGTTTGTGAACAGCCTGATCATTTGCTTGATGATGCTGATACTGTTGCTAAGAAGCTCGGTTCTGAGAGAGCTCAAAAGGAGTCGTATCTATTCCAATCTCTCTTAAACGGCAATGCACTCGTACCATTTGGTTCAGACTGGCCTGTAATGTTACTATATACTCTCCAAATATTGAAAAGTTTTACATATTTTTTCAAATTCTTACTTGGCTCTGTCTTTGCATTTCAGGTGGCAGATATTAACCCTTTACGCAGCATCAAAACCGCGGTTAAACGAATACCTCCAAAGTGGACTCACGCTTGGATTCCATCTGAATGCATCTCTTTCACCGATGCTCTGACTGCGTAATAAGCCTCTTCTATATCATTTTGTCAAGTCTTTTTTTTTCTTCCATTTACTTAAATGTGTTTTTTTTTTTCAAACATTTTCGTCATCTTTCTTGATATGCAAATCCGCAGGTATACGATATCAGCGGCAAAAGCAGCGTTTCTGGATCATCACTTGGGGTCATTATCTCCGGGGAAGCTTGCGGATTTCGTCGTATTGTCTACAAATTCGTGGGAAGAGTTCTCAAAAGACGTTACTGCGTCGGTTTTAGCAACGTATGTAGGAGGAAAGCAAGTGTATCCATGAAATGATTATGAGATCTCTCTACATGATAAACAATGCTTTGTAATCTATCTGATAAATTATCTGTTTGTTTGTCTATGCACTTGGGAATATACACATATCACATATGAATACAAAATTTAGCATTTACAGTTACATAATCGAAATATTAACACTATACATGCATATTTACAAATTGATTTCGCAGTTCATATCCAACTACTGTTAAATGAAAATGTATAATCCAATATCCGCTTGGCTCTTTATATACGGAATAGATAGTCAGCTGAAACCAATTGCTTATCGGCTTCTAATTCACAGACTATTTATTTAAACATTAGACATACCGTGACATAAACGAACGTTATCCCAAATTATGTAACTGGATTTCGTAACGCGAAAAATACAGGAATCAAACACGGTTTGACAAAAAGAAAGATCAAGATAAATAAGGATGGTTATGTTTATCTTAAGAAATTTGTTTGGTGTGTCGGCTTTTAAAGCAAAAAGGATATTTATTGGTGAGAAGAGAGGACGAACTTTATGAGAGACAGCAACATTTGTAAAAAGGTTGTATTTTTGGTGAAGGGCCCACGCACGAGTCAGACGCGGAAAGGAAGAAAGCCAATCAGATGTGTAGCTGTACTATCTACGTGGCTTTCTGGTTCCAGCCGTCAACTCTGTTTGGTTCCACCACGTGGCACTTAATTCTAAGCATTGCCCCCACGTGTTATACCCTTTTTTTCTTCTTAACGCGCGAGATCACTTGATTGGTCGCCTTACGTATGAATTCTCTGGTTCTACTTGAAGTCATCATTTTTCTTGTTCATTTATTTATTTTTATTACTTTGAGAACAGGTTTAGACATCATTTATTGTCGCCACGTAAAGATCTGATGATTCTAGTTTTTTTCACGCGAAGGGGAGAACCTACGGAGTCGATATTAAATTCCATATTCTGATCAAGATTTTGTTTACCTTTTCAACTCTCGAATCATAGATTCATAGATAATGTTTGGTTTGACTCAAGTATGAGAGAAAAGAAGTGAGGAATTGGGAAAGAGTTGTCTTAAACGTAAAAGCAAGATCAGATATGTGCTAATTCATCTCAATCACCTTTTTGGTTAATATTTGTAGGTGAAAACACACTATATCTATATATCACATGAATTTTAATGAACATGCATATTTGGCTTCCATAAAACTAAGCCTTGGACATTATGCTCAAAATGTGAGGTTCTAGAACATGGAAACAGAGTTGCAACTTTAAACTCTTTCTTGAGATATACTCCCTCCGTTTTTTAAAGATAAATTTTCTAATTTTTTCACACAGATTAAGAAAAAGTTGATTTTCAATCATTAGTGCATAGATTTCTGCAATAAAACAACTTTTTATAATTTTAAACCAATAAAAATCCAACAAATATAATCATTGTATCTTGAAAACTGAAAAAGTGCATCAAAAAGGTAAAAATTTTATCTTTGTGAAACAACACATAATGGCTAGAAAATTCATTAAAAAAAAACGGAGGGAGTATGTCACAGTTTCAATACTTTTATGACAGACTGTATTACTTAGGTCGCCACACTCCACACAATATGATTTTACGAAGAGACGTACGTCATGAGACGAATGTGTGACATACTGACATCGTGTTATGTGGGTGTGGATGTGCGCACGTGTAAAGAACTTAACTGTTGAATTGCATGTCGACTATACAAATAATATTTAGCAATTAGTATAATTTCCCGAGGACAGGTGGCTGATTGATTCATATGATAATCTCCAATTTCGATATTTGGATATTCAATGGAATACGTTCCCATTCGTTTGTATCACCACAAATTATGTCGATGACTTATCTTCAGTGTTCACAACAGCTAAGCGATACAATGATTTCCTTTTTCTATTTCAACTTTGTTCTCTCTTCAACTATATGAGTCTATTCACTGGTTCCATTCAAAGTCATGGATTAAGGATAGCTATACATTGGGTCCCTTATATATTCATACCTTTTTCTTAGATCGAACATGAACATTCCACTATTTTTGATCTATGTGAGTGGTTCTATATTTTTTAAAAACTTCAACTGCATTTCTATTATTTTGGTGTGCAATCTATGTATAATTTAAAAATTTGCTATTAATATAGGTTCAGTTGGTATAATGTTTACAAACTCTAAAAAAAAAGTTGATACAGTGTTTATAGACCAGTTTCAAGGGTATACTAGAACTAACTATTAATTTAACACAACCCTTGTTCCAAAAAACAAAACTATTAATTTAACATTGTATATTTTTATTAAATTCAGGAACATCTACATCTAACAGAATGAGAAGAATTTTAGTTGGATAGGTTTTTGAAAAGTTCTCTATTAACTAGGTCTACAAATTTGGTATAGCTGCAAATAATTTTCAAGGATTGTACGATAAGACCAAATAACTTTCAAAGATGGAAGAAGATAGGGTAAAGAATATTAATGTTTTTAATAAACCACAATCAATACTAGCTACTATTTTTCCTACTAAGTAGACACCGACAATTTTATGTAATGGAACGTAACATTCGGAATGTTGAATAATTTACACAAACGGGATAAAGAAACGAGAAAAAGGAGACCAAAGTCAAAGGCTAGCTAGGACCCGTTCCACTCTCTTTCCCAAAGTCCTAAAACGCCATCGAAAGAGATTCCGACCAAACCTCATGTGCCCTCTTATTTTATTTTATTTAGGGCTTGACAAATCATCATTAGTGTTTCATTAATAGCAAGCTTTAACGCCTTTAACTACAGAAGCAGCATGCCAGTATCGTATCCATATCCTTACAGTTTGTAAGAAATTTAATGAGAAAAGAACATTTCTATGTCAAGAAAGATTTTGAATAATTCCTACAAGTAAGGAAAACGTACCGTTAAACTGATTGTATTCGTGAATACATAACTGAATGAAAGTTTCCATTTTCTACATAAAAAAAAGACAATAACAAGGGAAACAGCCGTTGTTGTACGTTGACTTTCAAACTACATATGATCTTTTTTCATTTTCCTATCCGTTTCCTTCAAATCTCTCGTGTTTTCTCTATCTATATAATATCCTCACATTCTTATATATATTAACTCACCAAACAAACTCGTTTTGTCAAAAAATAAATGGCTGATTTGGATTTGCAGAGGAAGATGGTATCGGACGACAAGAAGCTCCACGTCACCATTCCAGAGCAGTTTAAGCTCTCCGTCTCCTCCCCAATCTCTTGCTCCTCCTCCGCCGCTTGCTCCGCTTACGAGCTATACCTCCGCTTACCGGAACTCAGGCCTCTCTGGTCCTCTCTCGACTTCCCTCAATGGATATCCGAGCCGGTTCTCAAACCAGCTCTTCAGGCTCTAGAGATCACTTTCCGTTTAATCCTGACCGTTTCTTCCGACACACGTCCGTACATCAACCGCCGCGAGTGGATCCGACGGTTAGATTCCCTCGCTACGAGCCAGATCAAAATCGTGGCGTCAATCTGCGAGGATGAAAACGATGACGACGAGGAGAACGTATCAGCGGCGGCTCCGGTCAGCAATGGCTGGAGCTCGTTGAGCTTGCTTCCGGAGATCGCCACGTGTCGGACATCAGAGAGCATCGGGCAGAAGATCCTCTGTACGATCGAGAACGAAATGCGTTGGTGTAAGTATACGCTCGGTTTAGGTGAACCAAACCTCGCCGGAAAACCGTATCTTCAATACGACGCCGTTTGTCGCCCGGAAAAGCTACACAGCCTCAAGAACAATCCTTACGCCGATCACATCGAGAATCAAGAGAATCAAACGCTCTACACTATTCACCAGATTCTCGAATCGTGGATTTACGCTTCCGTGAATCTCTTAAACCGAATCGTCTCGAGAATCGACGAGGGAAAATTCGAAAAAGCTTCCTCCGACGTGTACTTGCTGGAGAGTATCTGGAAGCTTCTGACGGAGATCGAAGATCTCCACATTCTGATGGATCCGGAAGATTTCCTCAAGGTGAAGAAACAGTTACAGATCAAATCGGCGCCCACAAACGACGCGTTCTGTTTCCGATCGAGGGGACTTGTGGAAATGGCGAAGATGTCGAAAGCGCTGAGGGAGAAAGTGCCAGCTGTCCTAGAGGTTGAGGTGGATCCCACCGGAGGTCCGAGGTTGCAGGAGGCGGCGATGAAGCTTTACTCGAGGAAGACGGAGTACGAGAAGATACATTTGCTTCAGGGGATGCAGGCGGTTGAGTCAGCGGCGAAGAGATTCTTCTTCGGGTACCAGAAATTAGTGGCGACGATGATGGGGAGTGCGGAGGCGAACGCGAATAGAACGACGGCGGCGAGTCATCATCACGACTCGTGTGACTCGCTGAGTCAGGCGTTTATGGAGCCAACGTATTACCCGAGCTTAGACGCTGCAAAGACTTTTCTTGGAGAATTTTGGAGTAATTTGGCATGCAATGGAAGACACTGACACGACTAAAGTAAACACTATCCAGAACAAAAATATTTATGTAACACTACTGAAATTTTTTGGAAACATTTAACGATCAGTGTATGAATATATTATACATATACAACTCATTTTTTAGCATAAAAACAAGTCTTTTTTTCACAAAATCGGATGTTACAACAATGTTACAAAAGGTACAATGATACAAAGTACACTATGGCTACTACTATCTCTCTTAGTAAGCTTCTACTTGAAAACCTCCATAAGCCACCAATTACAAACTCTCTCTCCTTCTCTCTTACCGCAAGAGCAAGATCAGTTCTCTATTTTTACACTCGCTTTGTATAACGATAGCTAGAACGTGAAGAGTGTGGTAGTAGTACCCAGCGGAAGTGCATCAGCATGCGAAAGCAGCAATCACCAGAACCATAAATTGCGGCTATCGACGGCTTTCATGGAAGTGTAAACAAGTGGCATTCTCCCGAATTCTGCTACAAACCGGTTTACGCAGTGTGTTCTTTTCTCTGTGTGCCCTCCTATGCTACTGATTCCTGTTGAACCGATTTCATATATCTTGCCTACAAAAACAGAGGCCAAACAGAGCAGAACATGCTTTTCATTATCAGAATCATATGACAATAGATGATGGTAGATGGGTTCTCAATGTTGGAAATTTACCTTTAACCCATATAGGAGGCGCGTTTGTAGCATTTGCGACGAGGAATGACATTGCAATATCTTCACAGTTCCTGTAATTACATGAAATCCAGACTCAGGGTTGTGTAGTTTAATCACATAACCAGAGATGCAAATAACACAAAGAGATAATTTTTCAAAAGAAGATAAGGAACCTATTCTTGGTTGTGAATGCTCTGATAGATGCAGGCATGTCGTTTGTGTAAAGGCTGAGGTACTTTTTGTGGAAGAAGGCTGCCTTTGAGAGTACCATGCTATATGTACCACTCCACCAAACAGACCACCATCCGCTGTAGGTATAGTAATCGGCTTTATCATCCTGCAGAAATTGAAATCGACTTTCAGTTTCTTAGATAATGAAAGAAAGATAAACCCAAAAAACATGTACAGAGTTCTTCAAACTTAATTATGGCAATAGCTGTTAGATCATATGCATGGAGAGAGAAAGAGATTGATTATTAACTATGGGGAGAGACATTATCTAGATCAGTAAAAGAGAATGCATTTTTTACTATTTTGGTATATAAATAAGTTCTTGAAGATATTCAAAAAATAGAAAGTGACCGTACCGATTTTTCAGGCCAATGCACACGAGGCACAAACCCCACCATTGTCTCTGGAGCACTCTCCCAAACGTTGAATGCAAAATCCACCGTGTGACAAGGAAATATGATATCATCATCTATCGAGAAGACGGCGTCTGTTTTCAAGTCTTTAATCTCTTTAAACCTGTTGTTCAAACTGTCTTCTTTGTTTATATCGAATCTAAGCTCAACTTCATGCCCATCTCGTGACTTCTTCTTTATAACATTTTGAAGATACTCCTTAAGTGAATCTGATGGAGGTTTAGGTTCACTCCACACAATGTGGATAGAGTCAAGCCTAGAACATGATGCGTAGTGGGAAACAGACTTCTTTAAAAGATCATATCTCTTCCATGTGTTCATCACAAGTGTATAACCTTTCCTGCAGAATTTGAACATAAATCCATAGAATTAGACTATGAAGTCTGACCAAAAGCAAAAGGCAGAGTACTAAATAATCAAGTTGACACAACCAAATCGCTCAAGCAAATAAAATTTCTACAAAAACCTCTCGCAGCCAAAGAATGGGGACAAACAACCCAATATAGTATCAAAATCTGAGGAAAAGGCCAAACGAATCTCAGTTTTAATAAACACTTCACAAAAATTACTTCCATAAATTTCATTTCCTGATAAAGTATCTAAGTCTTCACCAACAGTTACTAATTTTAGAGATCCAAATCAAAAGTTAGACCAAAATAGTAAGATTTGCAGATAAGAGGCAGAGTCAAAACTCGAAGAACGTGTGCACACCTTGATCCGGAGATCCGATCTGCGACGGCGATTGAACTGTTAACCCAAGGCCGAGAAGATCGGCAAGTGAGTGTGATCAAAGCGAAAGCGATGCAGCAAAACAGAAGAAACTTAGTACTCCTCGCCGTCACGAACTTCCTTAATTTCTGATCTCCGCGGCGATAAGCTAATGAACAACCACCCATCTCTTTAGAAATATCGCCTCCTCCCATCTAAAGTAACCAATTCAGGTTTCTTCCAAAAACTGATAACGCGGATGATTGAAGAAGAGAAAGACGACTTCAGGTCAAGCGTGTCAAAAAGCGGGTCGACTCAGTCTTCGTTCTCATGCGGATTTTTGTTCTTCTCTTTTCCGTTTTAGTAACTTTCTCTAGATCAGAGAAGACGAGGGAGCTTTCTGGTGCGGCACGGCGCACAATAAGAGAAAACTATGCACCACGTGTTAATAATATTAAGCGTTCATGTTAGCTTCATTAACTACGATCTCGACGTTTTCCCGGTTCCATGTTGACGTGGCGAAGCTGTCACTTATTACGCTAAATCGTGGGGTCCCATTTGAGGTTTTTCATGTATTTTTGAGACACAAATTTATGGATTGATCAGTGAGGATTATACTCTAAAATGGCGCTAAAACAAGTTTTTTGAGCTATATACATTTTCACTTATATCATTATATGTAGCACCAATTTTGAAAATTCCCACATATATGTGAGCTATATACACTTTCATTCATAATCATTTTAAAAAAAAATCTTAAAATTTTAATATCAAAGATGAATACTTTCTTTTTTTGATAATCGCTAGCTAATGGTTTGATCTCTCTCTCTTAAATTTGAGAAATAATTTCCCATATTCTTTCTAATTATTATTTTGAAAATAAACATTAAGTCTTTTAAGAAATCATTTAGAATGCGATTGCATGAAAATATGTTTTCTTCGAAAATTCAAATTATAGTTTGATATGAGTCGGTTTGGTTTTAAATAGAAAGTATATAACAAAGCCCAACCGGAAGATAATGGTTTAGAGTCGAATATTTTATACTTGCATCTTTTTAATTTTTATTAGAAAGTGGCTGACATATACACATGCAAAAATAAAACCAAAACCCTAATCTCGGATACTCGCTCTTTTGGGCACACAAGCGAGACTAACAGAGATGAAGAGAGGAAGAAGGAAGAATCTGAGAGAAGAGGAGGATTTGAGGCTTAAGGAATGTCAGAGCCTTGACTCTCTCAGAGGTTCCAATCAAATTGTGGTAATAATTACGCCAATTTCATAGCGTTTCCTTGGGATTTTCCTTAGTCAAACCCATCTATGGTTTGGCCTAGTTCGTGTGTATCATGTTATAGTTTTAGGCCAATGATGAGAGTTTCCATTCAATTGTTTTTTTTTTCTTCTCTTTCAAGATAATGAATGCAAAAGGAGAGAACTCATTAGCATTGCTTTCTAAGAGAATGCCTCTCAAAAGAGGTAGTTATTTTTTTATATAAACAATGGTAGTGTACAAACTGAAGAAAAGAGGGAAGATCAAATTGCGCTTATAATAATATTTGTTGATTTTTGTTTGTTTGTTGCGTAGCCGTCACGGAACAAAAGAGAAGAAGAGGAAGAAGAAGAAGAAGAAGAAGAAGAAGAAGTGATCTGTGCGAGGTTCCTTTTGATGTGGTGATCGAAATTCTGCTTAGATTGCCAGCAAAATCGCTGTTAAGGTTCAAGTGCGTCTCAAAGGAATGGTCAACCCTCATCTCTTGTCCCTCTTTTCGCAGCCGTTTATTCACGCACACACGGCAAGAACAACAATACATCTCTCTAGAGGATGAGGAAGGGCCACGCATACTGCTATCAATATCACTATCACCAACGTCGTCTCCAGACAAGACTTGTTATGTGGTCGACGGGAGCATAACAGGGCATGCAGGCTTGTCCTTGAATGCTGTTCGTGGCTTGGTATGTTTCCCTGTAAGCGGAACAGCGTGTGTCCTTAACTCCACTACAAGACAAGTCTTGACCTTACCCGAGATCGAAGCCCATAGATACGATCGCGGCAAGTACTATATAGGATACGATCCCGTCAATGATCAATACAAAATAGTCTGCACGAGTCTAGGATCCTCGTGTTTTTGGGTCTTGCTACTAGAAGCTGGAGGAGGCTCGTGGAGAAAGGTGCTTGTTCATCAGCGTCATTATCCGTCAAAACAAGTATGGCTTAACGATGGATCAGTAGTACATTACACTGCTTGGATCAATGAGTACACTTGTGCGGTTGTGAGTATTGACGTAAGGTCTGAAGAGGTGACTACCATCCCAGTACCTAGGGAACAAGTCGGGGATGAGGTTGAGGAAGCAACTTGGACGAAGAAGGGTCTTATAAAATATGGTGGGAATATAGCTGTTTACGATCATACTCGCCTCGAAGACGAGGGTTTTGTGGATTTATGGGTATTGGAAGAGAAGAAATGGTTGGAGAAGAAGAGGCTTGTTTTGCAGCCTTGTCAAAGGCATTTAGTCACTGAAGACATTGAGTTGGTCGTAAAAGGTACAACTCAGGACGGCAAGCTCATCTTGGCACCGTTAGAGATGATGCATTCTCATGACTTGTACTTTCTGCTTTACGATGTGCACATCAATGATTTGAGAAAGGTTGAAATCAAAGGAGTACCACCCCTTTGGTCTAATAAATTCTGCTATTTTGGCTTGAGGTTAATGGATGAGAGTGAGAGAGAGCGCAGTTTTTGTTTTAAATCTCTCCACTGTTAAATTAAAACCCTTTCTTTCTCTAGCTATGAATTATTTATTTATCTAAAATAATGGAGCCACTTTCCTTATTGATTTTACAATTTACAGCAAGAGTTTTGGTGTGTCGTTTTAACAAAAGGAAAACAGGCATAAAGTTTCCAATTCCTTGTGGAGTTAGGATCGGATATGTCTATAAATAAACCCTTATTGTGTTTGTTCACGTTTAATACAATGTCCCCAGATCATTACGTCATGGAGAAGGAGAAGAGGACATACTCCAGGAGCATCCGTGATCGAGACCTAACTGCCGACCATTCTCCGGAACGTCACGGCGGGCGTCGCGGTGGTCGTGATGCAGATCACTATCATCACGAAAGGTCTCACGAAGGAAGAAGCAAGGAGAAGGAAGCGAGGAGTAAGAGGAAAGATAGAGAAGAAGAGAATAGGGATAAAGAAGGAAACAAGAAATCTAGGTTTTGTGGTGAGAGGAGGAGCAGGTTTGAAGATGTAGAAACTGTGAAGAAGAACGCTCAAGTCAGTCAAGGTTCTGTTCCTATTGCATCGGAAACTTCTAGTATTCGTCAAACCATTGAAGCTGCCAAGAAGCGAGCTCAGGAGGTGGCAGCTCAGATGGGACAGGCAAAGACAGAGACAGATGTTGCGGTTGAAGCACGGAAGCCGACCACTAAGTCCTTTGTTCTGCGTGTGGATGCACTTGGAAGAGAGATAGATGAACATGGACATGTGATTGCTAGTGTAACTAAACCAAGCCATCTTACTACATTGAAGGTTAACATCAACAAACACAAGAAAGATGATATTCAGATTCTTCAACCTAATCAAGTAGTAGATCAACAAGAAGAAAACCCCTATTTTGACCGAAGGATGGGTGATATCGATAAAAACAAGATCTCAAGACCTAAACGTATGAGTTTCCAGTTTGTTGAGCAAGGTAAATGGGAAAGAGATGCTAAGAGTTTGAAGCTAAAGTATCAATTTGGTGAAGCAAGAGCAAGAGAGCTCAAGGTGAAGGAAGCTCATCTTAAAAAGGCAGATGGTGATCACATAAACCCTAATTTGATAGAGTTACCTGAACGTGTCCCAAGACAAGAGAAGCTCAAGGAGGAGCCAATCTCAGATGATCATGTTGAGTGGTGGGATGCAAATATCCTCACGATCAAAGGCAACACTAAAACTCTGAAGATGGAAAAAATTACTCATTACATTGAGCATCCACGTCCCATAGAGCCACCTGCAGAGGCAGTGCCTCCACCTCCACAGCCTCTTAAACTGACAAAGAAGGAACAGAAGAAACTTAGAACACAGAAACGTGTGGCGAAAGAAAAGGAGAAACAGGAGATGATCAGACAAGGGCTTCTTGAACCACCGAAAGGAAAGGTGAAAATGAGCAACCTAATGAATGTTCTTGCGTCCGAAGCAACACAAGACCCAACCAAGCTTGAAAAAGAGATCCGAAAAGCAGCTGCTGAGCGTGAACAGGCTCACACGGACAGGAACGCAGCGAGGAAGCTAACTCCAGGAGAGAAACGTGAGAAGAAAGAAAGGAAGCTTTTTGACGATCCAAAAAAAGCTGAGACGATTGTGTCCGTGTACAAGATCAAGAAGCTATCGCATGGCAAAACAAGATTCAAAGTGGAGATGAATGCAAGACAGAACATGTTAACAGGGTGTAGTGTGATGACGGATGAGATGAGTGTTGTTGTGGTTGAGGGTAAGAGCAAAGCAATAAAGAGATACGGGAAGCTGATGCTGAATCGAATTAACTGGAAAGAGGCAGAGAAGAAAGAAGAAGAAGAAGAAGAAGAAGAGAATGGTGGAAACAACAAGTGTTGGTTGGTTTGGCAAGGAAGTGTTTTGAAACAGAGTTTTGATAGGTTTCATGTAAAAGAATGCTTCACCAAATCTGCCGCCAAGAAAGTTTTCACGGATGCTGGTGTTGCTCACTACTGGGATCTTGCTCTCAATCACTCAGACGACTAAAATGGCTCTACAAAAAAAATTTAAGTGTAAATTTGAATTTGATATTTTTTTTCTGGTCTACAAGTTGGTTATATGATTTTGTGTAATTTTTTCCTATTCTACAACATATAAATGACCAACTGCTTAATTCACATGTCTTACTTCTTCTTCTTCTTCTTAATATCCTTTCTCTATGGATCATCTTCGGAGGAAGAAGCAACGGACTGTGCAAAATCAGAATCCATTAACACACCGTCAATGGTGTGAACGACTATCTTCCCTCTCTTTAAACCGATCTCCTCAGTCTTCACGCCGTTGACCACAAGTCCACCGCCATTTCTCTTCTTCCAAATCTTCACTGTGAAACCACTCAACGACTCGTACGACGCCGTTTCGTCTTTCCTTATGTCTCTCTCTTCGACTTTGTAAGGAACCACCGAGAAACTCATGATCCTCGATACGACGGCGTATGTGTTGTCTCCGCCGTCGTAGCCGTGAGGATTTTTCGGGCGGCTAGTGTTTAATTTCAGCCCCAGATCTCGGCTGAATGCTTTGTCGGACGGTACGAAGGCGGTGAAAACCAGATCTTCAGGTAGCATTTCGATCATCATCTTCCCGAAGAATCCAATTTCGTCGGAAATTTCCCGGAGAAAGAGATGATTACCGGCGATCTGAGGTGTTTCCGGTAATCGGAGAAAGGAGATGATGAGAATAGGTATGGAAGAAACAGTGATGAGAAGAAAAAGGAAAACCACTGGATTCTTCCAGAATTGGTGTTTCTTCATCGTTTGCTTCTACTTTTGTTGCCCTGATTTCATCGATGAAGCTCTGCAACGAAGAAAGAAGAAGAAGAGAAGCTCGATTTTGGTAAAAATGGAGTTCGTAATTTGCAAGTTAAGACGTCTCGAAATTTGGTCTTGGGTGGGCTTTAACATAGTTTTGGGCCCAAATGATATTTTGCACAGCTTGGATTTTATATTTTTAAGCATTTAACAAATTTGAACATATGTAATGTTAATGTACCACAGAAAATTGGTTTTCATATTTGTGAGAAACGAAAGTTTGGTAATAATAATTTTTGTTGCTTCTCTTAATAATCCAAGCGAAAAAAGTAGATTATCCGGTTTATGGAGAAAATAAACATGATTCAAGTTTGTTTGTTTTTTAAGCAGTAACACCAATGGGAACAGTCTTGAGTCTTGATGTTCCGTAAAGGGTTTCTTCGAAACGGATGATCTCGTTCTTCGAGCCATAAGCAACTTGAGTTCTATCGTCGAGGTTTACGATGGTCTTGTCGAGCACAGACTTGTATCCATCACTGCTGAATCCTCCAGCGTTCTCCACGAGCAGGCCAAGAGGAGCCACTTCGAACAACAGCCTCAGCTTTGCCTTAGCCGTAGGAGAAGTCACGTTTGTGAAAATTCCTTTCTCCTTCACAATAATCTGTCAATCAAAACCAAAGTCAAGTTTCATTCATAGTTAGAAAATCCGGTTTAAGTAAGTGACTAGAGAAGAAAGAAACCTGGTTAACGTCAGGAACCATGCCTCCTGTGTATCGAAGTGTGTACTTCTCTTTCACGTAGTAATCAATCAGCTGATTTCAGAAGAAGAAGAAGAAGAGCATTCAGAGATTTTATAGATTCGAGAGCAAAACTTGAACTCAAGATTGATCAAAAGCAAGAACCTTGCTGTATTCAGAGTTGTCAAACGTGGCTCTCAAGTTTCCTGGTGAGAACATTTTCCCTTCATTGATCTCTGTTGTCTCCTTAACATGTTGCCATTTCCCTGGAAAACAACATTCCGAAGCTCTAAACCGAAAAGCTACCAAATAATTAAAAATCGGGATTGGACAAGAAATAACAGAGGAAATAATTACCTTCATCAAGAAGCAAGAACTCATGAGTTCCTGGAAACCCTTTAACAGCCAAGACATAAGTGGTTCTTGGACCGTAGATTCCCATAGCTGCAGCCACTTGATCTCCTCCTGTGACTCCGGTTAACTTGTCTCCAGGCCAAACCCCAAATATGGTTCCCACTGTGAAATTTGTATCCACAATGCTTGATCCATCCAATGGATCAAATGCCACACTAAACCCACCTGTCCCAAAAACAATTTCATACATTTTTCATAACCATTAATTCCGCATAAATGTCACTTAATTTTATATATGGACCGACCTTCCACTGGACCTCCCATGTCTTGAAGCTCAGGTACTTCTTCAGAGCACGCATACTTACACACATGAGAGTATTGCAAAGCCTAGTACACAAATCAAAACCTAATGTGATCATTTTTTCCGCAAATAAAACTTAGGAAAATAAGTTATTCAAAATGTAAATGAAACCTCAAAGAGAAGCTTATCAGCGAGCATATCAACAGCGAGTTGTTCATCGCCAAAGGAGTTAACACAAGCTGTTCCACCACAAGAAGCTGTTCTCACTTTGAAAGCTATTGTCCTCAATGCTTCTCCCATACACATCAGCAGAGATCTAAGCCCCTTGTCTGGCGTTGCTTGTGCCAAAAACTCTTCCTATACACACCCCAAAAGTAAGACACTTTCACTTCAAAAACAAAATTTGAACAAAAATTGAGTCTTTTCGTTGCTCTAGATTTTACCAAGCTTTGGCCGATTTCACATTTGGTCATAGTTGAAGCACCATTGTTCTTAGCCTTGGTGGCTTTCAATTGCGATCTTGGTGCTAGTCGCAGTGAATCTCCAAAGATTGAGCTTGACTTCAGACGCTGCTTATATCAAGTTGCAATTAGGAACACAATCGTTAGTAATCAGTTTTCTCACTCACTAGCAGTGAACAAATTCTACTTAGTACTCACACGTGTGTATGATCTCAGTGTCATAAGCATAACGGTAGAGGATACGAACCTTGAAGCTGGATGATGCAGAGAAGGAAGGAGGAGACACCAATGTAGAGGATCGCTGAGAAGAGACGCTTGGGAGGAGGATCCCACGTGAGTAGCACGTGACGCTGGTCTCCATTTGCAAAGCTTAAAGTTGATCGAAGAAGAAGAAGAAGAAGAAGAAGGGGTCGCTGCAGAGAATGGTGAAGACAAAGAAATCAGACACAAGTGGTTTCGGAGAAGATAAAGGGAGCTTAACTGTGAGGGTGCCACGTGGCGGTTAAGAGAAGATATGCTTACCTGCTTTGGTGATGCGCAATTGGGCAAAGAGAGAAAGTGAAGGCAAAGAGGATGGGTTTAGGCTTTGATTTGCCATCATTCATTTATTGTGTGGTTATCATTTTCAGATTATTATCGTATCTCCATTTCCACAAATCATTGAAATCACCACCACGGAACTAGAAACTGAAAAATATGATATAGCACACAAGTAAACCTTTTTTTGTTTCTATTACAAACATCTAAACCGACGGAAATTAGCCAAGTCCAGTTACGCATTCAGCTAGAACTTAGAACGCTTACTCAACTTTCGAAAAAATAAAATGATCAGATTGTTATCAGAGCCAAGTTTCGATCTTGGGACCTGTGGGTTATGGGCCCACCACGCTTCCGCTGCGCCACTCTGATTTATTGATATAAGTGCTTATTTAAACTTTAATATATCTATCTAACAAATCTACATTGAATGTTATAACGTCATTTGAATATTGGAGGATTGCTTTAAGATTCTTATTTCTGTTTTAAAATATATATTAACATTTCTATTACCATATTTTTGTTTTCTTCCGTAAAATGTTCATATGTTTTGGATTTGATCAAAGATAACCATTATAAGGAAGGATCTGTATGGTTTTGTCCGCATTTGAAAACATTACATATATCTGCAATAGGTTGAACCCGTCGTCAACCGGATGGATTTGATCCCATGCATGATTGATCACATCCCTAGCTTAGCTAGTTACAATGTTTCGTCTACCAAAATCATATTCGACTGTCTGTTTGCATTTACATATCAAATAAGCATTCGACCTAGTCCATATCTGTCTTTCAGCTCACCTAATAACTAAAGCCAAGACTCCAAAACATTCAATATAAAAGTAAAAAAATACACCCAGGCTTGCGTAAGCAAATAAAACCATACCACATGACACACAAAAATTCTATACCGATGATCATCAGTAGCGAAATTAACTTCTGAGATTTCGAATCTTCTGGCTTTGCCTCCTCCATCGGACAAGTCAAAGCTGTACTTGTTGGTCATGTTGTGATGCAAAATCCCCATATTTCTCATCCTTTGCTTGTTGGCTGTGAGTAAGCAAGCCTTTCAAGTTTCAAGTACATTTCGCCGAACAGCATTGTCTTATCTACTTTGCGGAAATAGGCTCCGGATCTAGGCCAACCGGTTTCCGCCACAATCAAGGGAAGATTCTCGTGGCCCATCACGGCCATGGAGCAGACCACAGAGTCGACCAGCATATCGAAGACATTACGGTAGTCAAGTCCGGTAGTGAGGTCGGTTAGGTAACTCAAAGGAGAATCATGAAAAAGAGCTAATGCCATTGTAATGCCGAAGTTGGATCGGTAGACATTGTAGGGATAGAGATTGATCAGGAACGATGAGTTGGTTCGTTCGAGGAATTGCAAAATCGGCCTGATAATCACATCTCCGATAGGTTGTTGGAACTGCGCCGCCGAGGGAGGGAAAGCCGTGGGGATGATGTCTAAGTAAGAGAAGGTAGTTGACACCGGAATGTTGTAGATTCTCAGATCCGTGAGAGATCGATGAACATTCTGCATCGCTCGGAGAAGGAACGGAGAAACGTCCGGCGAGTGTGAGATCGCGTCGTTCCCGACGGAGATGATTGAGATATTGGTGCGGCCGTGGAAGGGAAGCACATGGCGATAGACCCAGCGATTCGCGACGGAGCGATTGGAAGCGAGGAGTGGAACCATAGAATTGGGGACGGAGAGGAAGAGAGAAACGTTGGTGTCGGCGAAGGCGCGAATCATCGCCGGATCGGAGTCGACAAGCCTCACCGCCGGAATCTTCATTGAAACGACCTTCTCGGCGATTCTGTCCGGCGAGAGTAGTACGGAACTGGAGATGGAGTCTGGACTCGAGTAGGTGACTCCGATCGTCGTGGCGGAGGTGGTCGGAGGGATAGCTACGGCGGTTAATGAGAGGAGGAGGAGGAGATAAAACGCGGTGGAGTCCATTTTCTTCTCTGGCTTTAACCAATTTTGAATATTTGAATGAGCCATAAGGTCAAGTATTTATACATCTCTAGCAAAGTCTAACTCTAATACTAAAAGGAAACATATTACAAACAGGAAATAGAGAATTGGAAATTATCCGAAAACGCTTACTTTCAATTACACTATTTTCCCGTTCAACTAGACTCAGCGGAAACCTTACTAATATATGTAAATTTTGATTTTAATGTGGGAAAAGTAAAATTCAAAAAAAAATGGTAAATGGTAAATGTTTATCAGAGCCAAGTTTCGATCTTGGGACCTGTGGGTTATGGGCCCACCACGCTTCCGCTGCGCCACTCTGATTTATTTATAATTGTGTGGAGTTTGATAATTATGAAATCGTTACAAAAGGTATTTTAGTTAATGTTCTCTGTTCCCTTTGAGAAACGCTAAAGTTCTCATTTTTATTTAAGGAATGTTTTAAGATTCTTATTTCTGTTTCCGACCGTATATATATTTTTGTTTCTGACCTTATTAATATTTTTCCGTAAAACATACAAATGATATGGATTTGATCAAAATGAAGAATTCAAACTATGGTTTAGTCCGCACTATAAACGCTAAACATAAACCGATAGCACCTGTCCAATTGGATCCAATTTAGCCTATAAAGGAGTAAAGAGACTAGATCCGTCTTAGCTTGCCTCTGAACCGGACTGATGTACGGACGTAGCCCACGATCATAGAGAGTAACATATTCACAACTTCAGTTTGTGTAGAAAAACTTCCCTAACTTGAATACGTTTAAAAAAGCATAGTCATATTTTTGATAAAACTAACCAAACATGATTACAAAAGCCGGAATGGTGGAAAAATAGTTTGTAAATTCACAAAGCTCTCCAACAAAGTACATTGGTCCATATGAGTTTCCACATGTTAAGTATCTCTGTTCTCTTTACAGTTTATAGCAAAAAAGTTTTTTCTTGGAGTATATTGAAGAAGCTTACAATTTCAAGCTAAGATCACAAAACATCGTTGCTCTGTCAAATGAATCCTGGTCTGCTACAACTCCATTCGATCTGCCATTGATCAATATCAGGATTAGACAAATCGCACACACACGAAATGCATCATCTTCTACAGTGTCCATGTGTGACACCAAAATGACATTTCTCTGAAAGAGCTATTTCGTTGTATCTTAACATTCTTTCCAAATTCTATAAAAGCTTTCATTGTTTTTCATGAATTTCAACCTCAACATGTCACTCTAATTCAACAGTATCATCCATACAACAACGGTGATGGCCTCAAGTTCCTCTACAAACACTAATCTATCGGAACCTAAGCCAAAATCAACCTACCAAGTGATCCAATTTCAACGAGCCAAAAGAAGAATCAGAGGAACAGAGACATTACCTCTTCTTCTACATCAACAGGTAAAGCATCACCACCTCCACAACGAATCCAATCAAAAGCTCTTTGAATCTTCTGGTTTCGCCTCCATCCGAGAACTCAAAGCTGTACTTGCTCGTCATGTTGTGATGCAAAAGTCCCCAATTCCTGATTCCTTGCTTGGCTTCTTTCTCAACAAGCTCGAATACGTAAACCTCCGAAACACCTTCTTTCCTCAGTGGTGTCCCAGATCCGCTTCTCAGGTGCGTAAGTAACGCTCTCAAGAACATTTCGCTGTACAGCATCGTCGCATCAACTTCGCCGGCATCGATTCCGGAGCTAGGCCAGCCGGTTTCCGCCACAATCAACGGGAGATTCTCGTGGCCCATCACTGCCATGGAGCTAATCACGGCGTCGACCATCATATCGAAGAGATTACGATATCTAACTCCGGTGGTGAGGTCGTCTCTGAAATTGAAAGGGGTTTCTTCGAAAAGAGCGAATCCGATTGGAATTGGGAAGTTGGATCGGTAGATGTTGTATGGGTAGAGATTGATGAGGAAAGACGAGTTGGTTCGCTCAAGGAATTGAAGAATCGGCCTGATAATCACTTCGCCGTTGGGTTGCTGAAACTGCGCCGCCGAGGGAGGGAAAGCGGTGGGGACGATGTTGAAGAAAGAGAAAGTAGTTGACACGGAGATCTTGTAGATTCTCAGATCCGTGAGAGATAGGTGAACGTTCTGCATCGCCCGGAGCAGGAACGGCGAAACGTCCGGCGAGTACGAAATCGCGTCGTTCCCGACGGAGATGACTGAGATCTTGGTGCGAGGGTAGAAGGGAAGCACGTGGCGATAGACCCAGCGCATCGCGAGCGAACGATTCGAAGCGAGGAGTGGAACGAGAGGATTGGGAACGGAGAGGAAGAGAGAGACGTTTGTGTAGGCGAAGGCGCGAATCATCGCCGGATTGGAATCGAGAAGCCTCACCGCCGGAATCTTCATGGAAACAATCTTCTCGGCGATTTTGTCCGGAGAGAGTTGGACGGAATCGGAGATCGAGCCTGGTGTCGAGTAGGTGACGCCGATCGTCGCGGCGGAGGACGTCGGAGGGATAGCGACGGCGGTTATCGAGAAAAGGAGGAGGAGATAAAACGCGATGGAGTCCATTTTCTTCAGTCGCTTACTTTCTTGGAAAGAGAGAGAGAAAAAGAGAAATCGGAAACTGTGAATTTGCTCTGCAAAGAGACGAAAGCTTGAAGACGACGAAGTGCGAGAATGGGCGGGAGGATTCTGTTAGAGTGGTTAGTGATTCTTTGTGCTCCGGTGTATATTCGATACCGTAGACTAGCGACGTTGATGTAGCTACACGTGTCCTTTAAGGCATATGTTTGACTAAAAAAGTCTTACGGAGTTTACTCTTAAAACTCTCTAATTTACACAGAGCACAAGGAGTTTCAGAGAGCAGAGGCATTCTTTATTGACGATGGAAAAATAGTTTCAAAAAGTCACAGATTTTTTTATTGATACAAAGACTTTAGGAGACATGAATGGAAACAAGAACATCAAAGGATAGATTACAAGAACACGCTCACACACAAAAGACGCAAAGGAAAAAAGCTGAAATAAGTTTGGCATTTAACTTGAATTTAGACTAAGAGAGGAGAGGATTTTGGAGATTAAGATTCAGGAACCGCAGCTGCTGCTACACCAGCAGCGACTGCAGCGGCGGCTGCAGAGCGTTTGATAGTAGCGGATTTGATCAAGTGGTTGTAGCTTCCCTTCTCCTTGAAGAGCTGAGCGAAATGGTGCTTGCAGTACAAAATCCCTTCAAGAGCTGCATAGTTTGAAGGCGAAATGGGGCAGCCTCCATGTGAGCACTTGAAGCATGACTTGTGATATGTCTGACTCTCCACTGTTACCTGCAGTTTTCAGAATGAAGCAAGTTTGTTGTTTGTGAACAAAGAGAGCTTTCAAAGATCCTAGCAAGTTTACTCAGGTGGCACTATGAGAAGCAAACACATTCCATAATTTTCGAACTTGTTATGACTTATGAGTCTTCCTTTTACACGTTTAAACAGGCAAGCTAGACCAACAAGAACCTACATTTTCCAGGGACTATGCATATGTTCAAGACATCAAGTTTTCTGTAATTCAGGGGATTATGTATTTACTATCAGCAATGAAGAGAAAACACTTGAGAGAAACCTTGCAAACAAACGATCAAACTCATTTTTACTGTTATATATATCTCGACATAGATCATAGAGGACAGAAAGGTGAATCTTTATGGAAAATGCAAGAGTAGTGAGCTTAAACCAATAGTTACCTTCTCTATAGGATACACAGTTTTACTGCAAGTAGCACATTTCTCTTGTGTACCAGAGAACATGCCAGCAACTCGACTAGGGGTCCTTGTCTGAGAAACAAACACCAAAAAGGAGATATAAGAGAAACGTTCAATCTGATGAGTAATGTAACCAAACACATTCAATAAGAAAACATTTTACCAGCTCAGGACTTGATTTCTCAGCTGGTTTTGCAGCTGTGAGACAATAAAAGTTCCAAGACAGATTAAAAAATGGATAACCATAAGAAGGGTAAGTGAAAAACCTTAGAAATCAAGACTAGTACATACGTGACTGGAAATTCTTGTTGAAGCTACCAGACTCCTTGAAGAGCTGCTCGTAATGAGGCTTACAGTACAACACACCTTCCATTGATGAGTATCTGCTCAGCTGAATTATACAAAATACATTTACTTTATCAGCACACATCATCACAGTAGTAGTACAAGAGACGAAAAAGAGACTCAAGGGACCTGAAGCCTGCTTTTGCAGTGAGTGCATTTGAAGCAAGACTTGTGATAGCTGACTCCATCAGCTGAGAGAAGCTCCACAGGGTACACTGTCTTCTCGCAAGCCTTGCATTTCTGCTGAGTTCCTGTAAACGACATCCTTCACTTTCCTCACCTTCTTCTTCTCCTTAAATTACAAAAATCCAGAAACAATGAGGTAAGAAGAAGCCCCACATTGAGCAAATGCGTAATCTCTCAGAGATTCTAGATACCCAAAAAACAAATCGATCTGTTGATAATTGAAACGAGATTGTATCAAACGATCCAATCATAAAGGGACCCAATTCGAAACCGATCTCCATCGAAACGACATAGTATAAATTAAACGAAAAGGACAGATCTGCTAACCTCTCCTTGAGCTGAGACCTTCCAAGATCTGATCCTCCTCCAACGAAACTGCAAAAATTAACCCGAAAAAAAAAGCCAAATTAGTCGGATGAAGATAGCGAGATTCATGAGGGAAAAGTCAGCTTGCTCGGAAAGAGAGCTGTTACGTAAAACTTTCGTCGGTGTAACGAAAATGGAGGATCTGTGTGACGATCAAAGCGATGACGAGGAGGAAGAAGAGATGATCCAGCAAATGAATAGAAGAATAACGGAGATTGGGTAAAATCCTTTTTATGTTTACTTTTAGGCTTTTAGCTGGAGGAGCAGACAGTGGGGTCCCACTATGGCTTGTCCTATCTCATTTTTTTACTAAGAATTTAGAATTTGTAACAGCAAAACAATTTATTGGTTACAAAAGTTGGTGTTCTTATCTTACGGTATCTTTACCAAATAAAGGTTTTAATTATCTGTTTTTGAATTTTATTCTCCTGAAATATGTTCCACTTAACAACTCCAAATTAGGTAAATGAAAACTGGAATTGTTTGTTCATAACAAATAACACATACTGTATGTTACCAACTTACCATATAGTCTGATAAGGGTCCCTGCACTTTCGTTTACCAAATAGATAGAGATGCGACGACAAGTGAGCTGTTACATTGAGACTCTGACTAAGTATCAAAGGAATATTTTTTATTTTTGATGAATCAAATATTTTTAAAATTGAATTATAATTGTCCATAAAGAATGACTAGTAAGCATGAAAAAGTTTTAAAATTTCAATTAACCAAATTTTGACCAATTTATTTGCTTAACAATTTAGACATTCAAATTTGTAGAAAGGCTATCAATGGAGGAATAGAAGTAGAGAGAGCAAACTGGAACTCATTTGAATCTTAGTTTAAAATACTGTTTACTTCGTCTAGAGATAAACAAAACCAACAAGAGTCTATGAGAAAAAGTGAATAAAGGATAAACTATAGCTTCTGAGAAATGATAATGGAGCTTCTCTCTGATAGTTGTGAAACGAAACTCAGATCTTGAATCTACCCACCTGCATCAGAAGGAAATCGAATCAGGACTCACAGAAAATGTAAAACAAGATTTAGAGAAATGTGTCTAATGGCTCTGAACTATACATTATCCAACCTTACAACTATAACACAAGTCTAAATGGCTAATCTAAACTAATCTCCAAGGATAATGAGACAGTAATCATAAATGAAGAAAAGTAAAACGTGTATTGATGTTAAGCTTTACCTCAGATGTTGCTTGGGTACATGAAGACTCTGACTCTAGCTCCCTGAGATTAACACAACAGATACAAAAAAAGCAATGAGTCACAGAACTAAGGATTCAGAAAACATCCAAATAATCGAAATACATGTTCAAAGAAGATGAAGTTACCATTGACTTAGGTGGTAGGTTTGAGGTGAACTTGGAACGGACGACACCGCTGTTACCATGAGGCCTAGTGACTTTGCCCCAAATGCAACGGTAGTGAGAACCGTTCTTCTTTGTCTTGGCCTTGTAGATGTAAGCCAAACGCTTTCCCTTGTACCATGCAACCTCCCCTGTTGTGTTCACTCCTTCAATCTGGATCAGGGAAGTGTTTGGGTACTGGTTCGACTTCGACCTGAAATAAAGTTACATAAATAGTTTAAGGAATCAATCTTTACACAAGCAATCAAAAGATTCAAAACTATCAAGCAAAACTAAAGTTAAATCTTTAGTATAATAGCACAAAATGTATGCATCATTTGCAGAACCATAAATCAGAGACTTCATACACAGAATAACATTATAGAATTGAAGGCATTTCATACTTCCATCAAGATCTTTGCTAATATTAATACACAACTGATAAATATTCGAATCACATTAACTCAGGAACATTGCTACTAAACCCTACAATCTCAAGCCGCGACCACGCAAAATCGAATTCGGAAAATCTAAGGGGGTAACATATGGGAAAGATGGAAAATTTCAAAGTACCTCTTGTAACCGAGGACTGTTCCTCGAACGTACAATCTGCAAAACAGCAAAAAGCATAGATTTGGTGAGACAAGTGAACAACTTGCAAATTCGAATCGGAGATTCAGCTGAGAAAAACTGAGATGAATCTGGTCAAATTCGAAACGATGATTACCTAACTCTTTCTCCTTGGCGTCCCTTCATTTTCGATCTTGCAACTGTCTTCTTCTTCCTCTTGCCTCTTTTATGCCGGCGAGCGAATGACAGAAGAAAAGCCCTAGCTCTCGATATTAGGTCAAATAATATATATGGACTTCATAAATAAGCGCTGCACGAAACTGGGCCTATGTTTGGCTATCTCGAGCTGTTGGGCCCAAAATGTAATAAAGCTTAGCCCAAAAGTGACTATTTTTATTACAGTAACCACGTAATTAATTAACCGGACTAGGAAATAGCTTTCTCTCCTTTTTTTCTTGTCAAACTAACCGGAGCAGGAAACCAATAAAGTTAAATAACCATATGAAAATACGGCTTTGCAGTTTTCATACAAAATTAACCGGAGTAGGAACCAAATAAATATAACATTTTCGTTTCTTTTATCAGTTTTCAACATTTCGGATCCGAAATAACAGAATTCAAGCCGAATATAAGAAACTTTGGTTTACTAATTGAACAGAATTGAGTTCACACCAAACCGGAAAAAGACGGTTTAGCAATAATTGTAATGGTTTTGTGTGGACTATTAAAAATTTGGTACAAAAAGATTACAACAATGTAGAAGAGTAGAGTACAAAAGTAGAAGCTATTGTTAAACATCAGCAAAAACATGGAAGTTCTTGGAGTCAACAGTGATAAGTCTAACCGCAGCAATAGCAGCAGCGAGAGACATTAACCCAAAGAAGCAGACATTAAGCCAATGCCATAGCTTTTGAGCAGTGCTAAGCTTATCGTGCATAGCTACAGCGTACATGTGATTCGCTAATATGAACGTGAGAGGGAAAGTGCTTATCGCTCCCGTGAGGCTCATGAAATCTCCAAGAAATGGCAAAAGCGCAGAGAGAAGAGTACTCACAGCGAGGTAGCTTCCTCTTGCTACTGTTCTAAACAATAGATTCTTCAACGCCAATGGACTTCCTTTGATTCCAAACTTTGTATCCATATACTCATAAGTCGGACTCGCAAAAATCTACACACAAAAAAAAACAAAATTAGACTTGCGGTTTAAGACGCATAAAAAGTTTTTTTCTACGTGTTTATGACTATATGTTACAATAAAACAAGTTTATCTTGTGGTAATAATGTGCTATTACGGAAAAACACACACAATACTACGTAAGAAAACAATTTAAAGAAAAGAAAATTGTAAGCATAAACGTCAAACACAAACAAACATTTTGGAAAAATATTTTCAAGTAGAACTAAAAAGTTATACATTTGGTATGCCAAAATTTTCATAAAGTATTATGTAAACGTGAAGTAACGGTTTGGGGAAGAGAAACTTACATGTAAAGAGATCACAGATTGGAGAAAAGCAGAAATGTTAGCGAGGGCTTTGACCCAGATAGGTCCACTAACGCTGTTTAACAGATAAGTCGATGTGGAGGACCCGTAAGCCCAATAACCGATGAATGTAACGGCGTACATTGGTAAAACACCGGCAGTGAATTGAAAATACAGAGCCTTCATCATGTTTTTAACAACCGGTTGTTTCACTGTGGCCTAATCATTAACACAAAGATTAGTGTCAAGAACAGAACAGAGGAATCAAGATTGCAAGAATAGATAGATTTTTATCATTTATAGATGAGACTGACTTGAATTTCCGGGAGCATTCCGGTGTTGAATGCGAAAACAAGATTTGCTGCTGCTCCTGTTATGGTAAAGATTTTGTCTATTGATGATCCTTGTATCTTGTAATCTCTTGAAGGTTTGTTTACTCCTACAGAAAAAAAAAATGCAAAAAAATTAATTTATCAGTAGTAATGTTTTTTTTGGTTTATATGATGGAATCATTTTGAGGTTTTGATTGATCAAGAAAGTTTTACCATCTTTAGCTGATAAAACAATTGCAACAACAATGTAGATCAAACTAAGGACTGTTGAAACTCCGAGCCAGATTCCAAGAGCTGATAAATGAGGAATCCCAATAGCGAAAACCGCGCATACAAAACCAGCAATGGCTATAAAGTAAGGCAGTTTCATGACACTATCATCTCTAAAAAGTACGTAAACAGCCTACACAATGCAAAACCAAGAATGAGACTACATTAATAAAGTTAACCTACTTTCAGCTAAACTTTGGCAACAACAAAATCGGTTTTGGTTTTACCTTTAAAGCGGAACCAGCAAGAATGATGAAGCCACAGTTAATCATGAAAAGATTGACATATTGCAATCCCCATGTAAAATGGTACATCTTTTTACTACCATAGACGAAGCCAGCGAGATCTCGATAGCGGATGTGTCTTTTGCCACCAAACTCATGAAGCTTGGCGATGAGAGAGTTTGCGTAAAGGGAGATGGCAGTAGCAAGAAGGAGACCAACCACACCACCAATCCAACCCAAAGGAACCATCACTGTCCCGGAATATCCCAACACATAGGCACTGTTTATTCCCGTTGTTAGCACAAATGATACCTGAAACCATGAATCTGTACCATTTCCTCCACAGTAAAAAATCTTTTACCCACAAATGCAACATGTGAATAGTCAAGGGAAATGAAAACCGAGTCAACATAGCAAAAATCCCATTTTTTTTGTAGCTACAATTCTTGTGAGAAGAGAGAAACTGATCAAGAAAGTTGGATATTAAAGTTTCACATTCTTAAATCATCAAAGACAACATTTGCTATGCATGCATCAGCGAGGTATGAGTAAAATCAAGTAACAGAAGTATCAATGAATCTGACAAAGAAGACAAAAAGTTAATAAATCCTTTTGAATGTTTTTTTTGTCACGAAAAAGTTTAATTACTAAAAAGGATCATCATTACCCAATTGGGTATACTTTGTTTTGCCAAAGACAAAACAAAACTTTTTTTTTCTCGAAAAGCTGGAGATCACGCAATAAACGACAAATCGATTCACCAAAACAACCTTAAAAGAAGAAAAAGAAAAAGCAAAACAGGACAAAATTTTCAATAACAATTAAGATTAGGAAAGAGATTTAATTACTAAAAAGGATCATCATTACCCAATTGGGTATACTTTGTTTTGCCAAAGACAAAACAAAACTTTTTTTTTCTCGAAAAGCTGGAGATCACGCAATAAACGACAAATCGATTCACCAAAACAACCTTAAAAGAAGAAAAAGAAAAAGCAAAACAGGACAAAATTTTCAATAACAATTAAGATTAGGAAAGAGAAATGAAGATAAGAAGTACGAACCGCTGCTAATCTGATGAGCAGTCTCAGGGATTTCGACATCGAGGTTTTCCACTGCACTGACTTTACGGTTCCTAGCATCACTCGTATCCATGATTCCGACAAGAAATCAGCTAACTCTTCAGTTAGTTATTTGTGTCTCTGCCTCCAATTCCAGTGTAGTTATGTCTTCTTCCTCCTCAGTTTCGAGAACTTTGCTACGAAGACAGGTTTTTTATTTGCTGGAAAGAATCAAGCAAGATTCGTAACAGGCAAGTTCAATTCCACAGAAAGAGTGTGAAATGGAATCGATGAAAACGAAAAAGATGGATTCTGTTTTTTATGTGTTTGATCTTTCTGGTCAAATTAATTTGATGGGTCAGAAAGATGGATACGTCTCTCTGTGTGTGTTTCTGACTTATATGCACGCGATCCTATAAAATGGGCAACGACCATTTTTTAGTAATTTTTTTATTAAGGAAATACTTACATTTGTTTCCCCTCTCTATTAGAGCAAAAGATTACTACCTTTAAAAGACATCAAAGTATATCTCATAGTTGTTTTATTTTTGGAAAGTCAGATAAAATTCTATCCAATCAACGAAATTTGATATGATTGATTACGAGAAAAATATCACATTAGGAATTAGTCAAATTTTAAAAGAGCAGTGTTGTAATGTAAACCTGAAAAGTCAAAGAATAGTCGGTAAGACATCAACGCAGGTTTTCATTTTTTTTTTAGTGGAATTATTTTGACTGATTATAATGGCATCATATTCCTTTGACTTCTTATGACATTATCTTTTCATTTTTCAAAACGAAGTTTCCTCTAATTTTGTTTATTTAAAAGATAGATTCGTCTATATATGATTCGATTCTAAGACCAACCACATATCTCCACTTTGTTGGCATATATCCCAAAGCCCAATTAGGATACTCACTCCTACACAACCCGTCTGTCAGCAAAATTCAAAGTTCTTTCCGAATATTAAGAACAAGTCATCTACATTATATTAAGAAATAAAATTTTAAGTTGACAATGAAATTTAATACCAAAATCAGCAGCCTTTACGCAATCTACGTAGCTTGACTTTATGGAAAATACGAAAATCAACACTCCTGCGAAACTTTGTTACTTGATTTTTTTTCTCCAACATTATGAATTTATGATGATGGGAATGGGATTCTCAGTCATGACTTTGGAATTTGGTTTTCGTCGAGTTTAATAAATTTTCCAAAAACAAAAATATAGATATTCTCATCGCGGTCACATGTATTTGGGTTTTAGCATTGACTAGATCAAGATTTTAGAAAATTTCAGTAAAATAAAAAAATGCAAAAAAATAGAAAATAACATATCAGAGCCAGGTTTCGATCCTGGGACCTGTGGGTTATGGGCCCACCACGCTTCCGCTGCGCCACTCTGATTTACTTGTTAATTTTTGGATTTGAAGTTATATAATTATTATTAACAATATATCTATAAACTGTCATAATATTCTGGCTTCTATTTTGGAAGATACTCTTACTGATTGTTGTGGGTCAGTAAGATGAAAACAGTGTTTCATTTCAAATTCAATTCATGAGAGCTTGGTGGAGCTCGAGATAGAAGGTATCTTAAGGTATCAATGGAAACATTGTTGGTTCACATACCTAAACAAGGCACTGTTCGTGATGATAAATTTGACAAACGAATGTCCTTCTGTTGTTCAGTTTTTTGTCCAAAGGAAAGGTAGATAGTTTTTGGAGAAACTACACAGTAGAAACTCTATTTCTCTAAGTGTGATCGGGACGGTAAATACTAAACAGTGTACTTAGTAGTCTAACTTGGGTAATTTGTGGTAATGATGCTATCTTGGTCAGTACAAAGAGGAAAATATTTCGTATATGATATTTAAAGTTACCAGTTTTATAGTCGGATGTCATTGCAGATGTATAGTCCCCAATCCTCATGATCTTTCGTGATCATTAACATCGCCTCAAATCCTTCTCTAGTGAGAGAAATGAAGATCTGTATATTAGGGGGGAAAAACACTATGAACACAATTAGAGAGGAAAAAACAAATAATTTAAACGTAAAAACAATAAAGCATCAAACAGTTTTTTATTTTTTATCATTACATGCATTTGACATTCATCGAGAGTTTATATCTAATAGAAGGTTGACCCACGATGGAAAAAAAAAGGCTGAAATCCTTTTAAATGGGATCAATGGAGAAAAGAAAGCTTGACCAGTGAATCATTATCCATTACCATTAATTACTTTACAGTAAACAGTTAGCATTTTTCCAATAAAAGGAGGACAAATCATTGTATTGGAAATCTCTTTACACTTTCACAAAGCATCGAATAATTAGAAGAAATTTGATACCGACGGTTTTCATAGTTTCATTTTAAATACAGCTATCGCAACCTTATAAACTACGCTAACACAATTAGTCTAGTTATTTGTCTGTTCCAAGTTTTATTAAACTACCCTTACAAAAGTTATGTATTAGACAGAAAAAGTTGTGAAAAATTATCAAGCAGAGACGTAATAAAATCTACTATTACATATTGTTTTCAAACACGTTTATTCGTTAGAAATAAAGGTTGTACAGTCCTTCACCAATCAACGGAATATATCATCTCTATAAATTCTAGTAGATAATCGTATGGAAAAAAAATCCATATACATATTTATTTACCTTGTAGTATAAAAATCTACCATTCCCACATCATATATATTCCAGTAGAATTAGGACATACTGTATTTGTTCTTTTTTGTTCCTTTTAGAGAAAAAAAAAAAAAATCTGTAGTCAGCTTTTTGTTCTTTCTGAAAATTATAGAATAATCAAGAAAAAAAGAAGCACGGCATGACTAATATATACCCTGTCACATTGAACTTCACCCATTTTTCATTGTTATAAACTTATAATTAACGTTAATATACTAGTTAATTATATTCGTAGCTTCATTTAAACACATATGGCATTAGCCGGAGTCTCCCTACTGAGAAAACGAATTTACGGGAGTCAAGCACTTTTTTCTTGGGGTCAATTTGTTTCCTAACGACTGGATCCAAGCACTACGTGATCTAAGATTTTGAACTAGTAAGTTTAATGACTTTGAATAATTTGTTAATAACTTTTTTTACAAAAAGGAAGACCCTAAAAACCATAATTATCCAAAGCGTATTTTTTTTCCACCGTATTATGCTTATAAGATAACCAAAAAAGAAAAAGAGATTTAAGGTGTAAATATACGGTTTATGTAAGCAAATATAATGCCACAAAAACAGATTTAAGAGGTGTGGACAAAAAGGGAAAAAAATACCAAGTTCCTGTCTTCTTGGCATGTATCCTAAATCTGTGAACTTACTTGAAGGAACAAGGCCGAAGAATCTGCCGCCGGTTAAGTCTCCGATAGGGAAACCTTCTGACCAAAGTGGAAGCCACCAAAGGATGAATCCAAAGAGATCGCATGATCCGGAAAATGAAGCAAACTTTTGGGGGAGTTTTTTTTTCCATCTTTCGATTGAGAAAAAAAAACTATTGAAGAAATAATGCGGCTTAATTAGGATCAATGCGATCCCTTTGGATCCTTTCTCTAGTTGCTGTGAAGAACACTCTTTCTCTCTCTCTCTCTTTTCTCCAAGTGAGAGCAACGTTGTGTTTTTCCCGAAGGCCATTGATATAAAATATGGCCATGTTCCTCTTAAGTAGATAAAATACTTCGTTCTCTTTTTAATTTCCACCTTCTCATCTTTAAACTTTTTTTCTTTATTACTATTTCCACTTTGAGGGTTCCTTTATATTTGACTTGGATGAGTAAAAAAGACGTCTACACTTACGATTTAAAACCCTTCCCATGCTTCATTTTTTATTACCGTTATTGAAGTATTATATTTCACCGTTTGAACCTACACGTTGTGATTTACGACATCATTTATGTGATTTCTTTAAACCTTTTGGAAAGTCTAACGTACTATATATCACCAAACATGAATTAAGCTTAAACACAAGATTTAACACAGATCCATATAGTAGCATAGCATTATAAGAAAATGATTGTTTGAATCGCCGTGCTAGCTAGGTCATGGTAATTTAAGACAAATTAGGACAACACTCAGTTTTACTTTTCTGACGGCAATATTCCACTGTCTTATACTCCTGTATATGAAAATAAAGATAAGAACATAAAATGTGTAATCTTGTTTATGGAACATGTTATTTGTTGTGAATTTACAATTTATCACATGGTATCTTAAAAAATAAAATCCTAAACTTAAAGTTCCGTATGTAGAAAAATCTGGTTTTACAAAATATGTTCACTTTTCAACATGGTGGTAACATTCTAGTTGATTAAAACAAAATCTTGTTGAGAAAATAGAATTCTTGAGTTTAAAATTCACCTTGTAGAGAAAATAGAAAATGGTGGTAACATTCTAGTTAATAATCTTTCTCAAACAACCCAGACAAACTATCCCATCTTAGATATTCCCCACAAGTTCGGTGGCACTATTAATTATCTTTTTGTCGTTTTTATAAACTTTTTTATTTCTTCTTAGCTTATATTATTCGAAAGTTTATTTTTTTTCGTGGTCCATCCCATGTTCCCCTTCGCTTTTGGCACCAAACATTTCCTATAGTCTCCTTTAAATACTGTTTTAGGTTGTTTAAATTAATTATACAACAAATGTTTCATTATATTTTTATTTATTCCTAAGAAAAATGTGAGTAATAGTTCCAAGGATAAATCATTTTCTTCTAACTTGCCTTATACATAGGCACATATGCAATCATAGGATCAGATTCAAGTCAAAGATATGGTCATATGATTGACACCTAATAAAGAATTATTATATTAATGGATCCAATGCTTCTCCATTGCATTACACGTACCCGTATATGTATATTTGTATATATTGTATATGATTATATATTCATAATACTATCAAATATGTTCATTATGCATCTTAATAATTAAATTAGCTCGTAGACATCACATGTTTTCCATATTTTTTCTTCGAGTATCACATGCAAAAGCAACACATTATGGATTCTTTATTTTCTAAAAATAACAATTTGGCGAATCAGTAACCAAAATGCTAAGGATCTGTATTACTGGCGGAT